ATTCTCGACTTCGCTCCATCTCGTCTTATCTGTAAGCCACCAACTTTTGATAACAGCATGGTGAAAAGCTGGTCCATCGCCGGAGTTTTTACGTCGACGACCAAAAATCTCATCATCTTTGACGAAAGGCTCGCACTCGGCTGCATATGTATTCACTAACCGCGGTGGAGTCCCGGTCAAGTCATGGCCGAGGCAAAACCCTCTCCACTTCACGCTATATCATCTCACGTGCCTCGATCTTTGGAAGCGAATCATGAAACTGACATACAGTCCAAGAAACTCCATCGCAAGGAGAGAGCTATGGCCCGAACAAACCGTAAGACACCCGTGATCATCGGAGTCGGAGATGTCGTCAATCGCTCCAAGAAAATCGAAGACGCCTTCGAACCACTCCAACTCATGATAAATGCCATCCAAGAAGCCATACACGACACCGGAATCTCAGGCCCCCAATTCCAAGCCCAAATCGACAGCATCGACGTCGTGAAATCCTGGACTTGGCCCTGCGACTACCCAACCCTCGTCGCCGAAAGACTAGGCTTCAAGCCAGTACACGCCGAATACAGTGAACACGGCGGCAATCAACCCGCGAGATGCGTCGACGAAGCAGCCCGTCGCATCTCCAAGGGCGAAGCGAAAGTAGCAGTCGTGACCGGCGGCGAAGCACTCGCTTCCCTGACAGCATGCGCAGCCGCAAAGAAAATGCCACCACCCAACTGGACGAATCCCTCCGAGGACGTGACCAAAGTCTTCTCGCCCACCACGCGAGAACTGCAAGCGAACTATGGAGCGAGACATTCGATTGGCAATCCGATCCAGCTCTACCCGCTCTATGAGAATGCTCTGCGAGCACATCGCGGCCAATCGATCGCGGAGAATCATGCGGAATCCGCGGAGATGTATGCCGAGTTTGCGAAGATTGCCGAGTCGAATGCGTATGCGTGGAATCACGGTGCACCTGCGGAGACGGCGGAGAGTATCGGGATGGTCTCGAAGAAGAACCGCATGATTTGCTTTCCGTACCCGCTATTGATGAATGCCTTTAGTACGTCGACACCCTGTTGCTTGGTGGGGGAGAAGTACGACTGGGCTAAAATGGTCTGCAGATACCGTCAACCTCGCGGCTGCTTGCATCCTGACCTCGACGGAATACGCAAGAGAGCTCGGCATCCCATCGGAGAAGTGGATCTATCCTCTAGGTGGTGCTGGTACCTCCGACAGCGTTGAATGTGAGTCAATTTCTCACGCAGTGGGTTGATATTCTTAGCTAATAACCGTAGTCTGGCAACGACCAGCATACTGGTGGAGCCCGTCGATATCGAGATCGCTGGACAACGCGCTGGACGTCTCTGCTCTGAAGAAGGACGACATTGACCTCTACGACTTCTACTCGTAAGCCAACGTCCCTTGCGGCCGTCACAGAGAGTTGCTGACCTCAGGTTGAGATGCTTTCCCGTGGTGCCAAAGCTCGCATGCGACCATCTCGGAATGGCAACGACCAAGGGGGACAAGGCTTTGACATTACTCGGAGGGCTGACATCCTTCGGTGGTGCTGGGAACAACTACTCGCTCCACGTTGGGTTGCTCAGAGAGTCCATTGTGAGCCCGGAAAGCTGACCGCGATTAACAGGCAATCACGGAAATGACTCGACAGCTACGAAAGGGCAGAGGTAAGACTGGCCTTGTGCTAGCCAACGGCGGCTGGGTGACGTATCAGCATGTCCTATGTCTCTCGAGCAGCCCGAGAAGCGACGGATTGCCATATCCCGACGAGCCGCCACTGCCAAAATACGTGACCGACGTACAGATTCCCAAAATCGTAGAGGAGGCAGAGGGCGATGCCGCAGTCGAGGTAAGCAGGAGTAAAATTCCCCGCCGAGACCATTTTGGCATTTCGCTGACCCCCTCCCGCGTTTTTGTAGACGTACACTGTCGAATATGCCCGCAACGGACAGCCGCTCCGAGGCCACATTGTCGGCAGACTCAAATCTACAGGCCATCGTTTCTTGGCAAACCATGCAGATGAAGGTACCTTGAAAGCTCTGGCCAGCTGGGAGGTTGATCCTATCGGCCGCAGCGGGAGGGTCAAACGGGGCGGCGACGGCAGAAATCTTTTCTCTTTCGGAGAGTCGGCAAGATTGTAGAGAGAGAGAAATTGTGCGCGAGAGGCCATGCGTGGTCTGGCAATGGCGAATGCGAATGCTCATCGCTTAACGCAGATGCCGCCTCTCCCTTCTGACCAACTGATCCTTCCTATTCCCATACTATCAGTCCTAACATCGAGCCAGTGTACTGGTGCCTTGACAACATGCTTCTGGTCGGTTGCTCTGACGTCTGTAACACGTTCTGTGAAAGAACAAGGGGATGTCTTCCACTTTCTCAGCTCCAGCAACGTATCGGCAGCCTAAGCAGGTCGGCCAGGAAATTCCCCAGAACGAATGCAAAATAGCGATGCCATGCCGAATTCTCCCGGTTGGCATACCAAGAAGTTCAGAATGCGACGGGTTGATGGGACGTGGCTTGAGCGGGATGCAACGTGCTGGCAACGGTCCAAGAAGCTATAGTATGTCAGCAAATGCTCCGATCACTTTGGGGAAAGCCTTTGTTGCTTACTGTAGCAGCGCGCGCTTTCCAAACATCGAGCGCGAGATCGTTTCACTTCAGGTTGTGTCCAATCATGAGAATGATACGCATCAGATCCACATCGAGATCATCACGAAGCTTGCGTCCGAAGGAGGGAAACGCGTTGTCGAGTACCATCGGTAAGGCGGTAACGCCAAGAAGTCGGTGTTCTGGGATATCAGTTCACTAAATTGAGGAACTACTACGATTTGCAGTCACTGGAAGCTGCCACGCAATAGGCCTGAATTGCCATGTTTGTATTTATGTCTCGACTTGAACTTAATGCTCCGAGCATGGATCTATTCGTCGACATCGCAGCTGTTAGACAGCTTCTCATACTTAGGATACAGCTCAGAGTACTCCTTGATCTTGCCGTTGATTGCCTTGTATGCATCGCTTCCGAGAACGACACGAAGCGGAGGATCGTCCATCTTTGCGAGCTCCCACATTGCTCGTGCGGCCTGCAAGACAAACACAATCAGCACACGACAACTTCCCTACACCGTATCGCTGCACTTACCTTTGGAGGATCACCAGCCTGTGTTCCATTCCTCTTACCCATAGTGTCCTTCGCGTCCAAATGATCATACGCAGCCTCCTTTTGCTCACCGAATTCCATACTCCTACCCGCCCAATCCGTCCGGAAACCACCAGGTTCAATGCAAGTGAATTTGATATTCCATTCCGGCTTCACCTCCTTGCTGATGACTTCCGTGAAGCCCTCGACCGCCCATTTGGAGGCACAGTAGATGGAAAACAATGGCACACCGCGCTGTCCACCGATCGACGTGACCTGCTGAATGAGACCTCCCTGAGGTTCGTTGACCTCACGCATGAGTTTCATGGCGCGGCGGGTAACGTGCAAGAGGCCGAAGAAGTTGACTTCCATTTGCTTGCGGGCTTGTGCTTCGGAGACGGATTCGAACTCGCCGCTCAGGCCGTAGCCGGCGTTGTTGACTACGACATCGATGCGACTGAATTGCTTGAGAGCGTCGTCGAAGGCTTTGTCGACCGATCTGTGAGAGGTGGCATCGGATTAGTTCTGATGCGTCCAATGTCCACAGATGTTCTTACCCTTGATCAGTAACATCGAGGTCCACAGCGAGAAAGTTGTCCTTGGTCGTGCCATCGAACTTCAACTTCGAGGAATTGCGAGCAGTAGCGACGACTTTGTCGCCCTCTGCCAAACATTTCTTCACAAGTTCGGCGCCGAAACCCGTGCTCGTGCCGGTGATGAAGAAAACCTTGGGTGCCATGATGATCGTCTGGTCAGGTCAATGAGATCGAAGGAGAGGAAAGATTGCAGGTGAAGGAAATGCTGGACTCTTCTTGCCTTTTAAGCTCTCTGACCTTTGATCGTGGGAAGCGACTTCGCTCTGATCACTGTTGACGTCAAAGCAAAGAAGCTCCATGTCTCCGCCACGTTCGGGACCCTGATCCAGCACACGACACGGACAAACACCAATTGTCGCAGCAAAACGCAAGTGAAAGGTAGGGCTGCGCATGTCATTCTGGAGTTTGCGATTGGTTTCCGGCAGTCCAAACGCGGCCGCGGAAGGCCGCGTTTGTCGTACTTGTGGACTTCCGGATCAGAGCTCGCATTTAAGCTAATCCCCGTCGCGCATCAGCCAGAATTCCCGTCTGCTGGGGACCTTACCGTGGGGCAGTGTGGCAGTGTGGCAGTGCACAAGGAGATGCTCTTGACGTTCGTGAGACAAGACAATGAGTGAGTAATGGAGAGATGGGACTGGTAGCCAAGCGAAACAGTTTGTCATTATCAAGCTGTCGTTGCTCCTCAGATTACTGAAAGCTCTGATTCAGAATCTCGGGCTTTCTTTCGCTCAGATCGAGGATGGTCTGTCCAAATAGGCCATTGGCCCAAGAGAACCTACCCAGGATTAGTATTTAGTAGCACGGTATCAGTCTAGAAGAGCTTGACTTACCACTGTCGTGTCCAGTCTGTAACATTGAAAGTATTGATGCTCTCATGGATTAAGCCCAAGCCATCGGTGCTGCTGACGATCTCCTTGAGCTGCTGAGAAATCTCTCCATCATCATTGCTGGTGAGGATGCGAACGATCGCTGCCATCGGCCACGCGTAGCCGGGTCCATTGTGGGGTCCACCTATCGCACTGATAACAGGGCCGTGCATCCAGTAGGGGTTTGCTGTGCTCAATAGTAGTTTGCGAGTGTTCTGATAGACCTCGTCATTCTCGTCCAGATAGCCGAAGAAGGGCGCTGCCAGCAGTGACGGGATGTTGGCATCGTCCATTATATTCTGTCCAAAATAGCCATCCACCTCGTAGGCGTAGATCCGTCCGAACGTAGATGTCTGTACGATGCCGCTGCTCGTGATAGCCTTTCTCAAGTTCGATGCCATCGTGCTCATCCGGGTGGCAAGCGCTGGCTGATCCGGGATCTGGGACATGATCTCGGCACATGAGCCCAGATACCTGGAGAACATCATGTTTGCAGGAATGAAGCCCTGGAAGATCGTGGCATCATCAGAAGGTCTGAAGAAGGACCGAATCAGCCCCGTGCCGTTATTGAATGGGTTGCCCAGCCCGTTGTTCTCTGTTGTCTCCGAAGCTCTTGTCGTCTGCCTCGTGAACGTGTATGTCAGGTTCTCAACTCTTCCACTCGGCTCGTAGGTGGGCACCATCATCGTGTCGGCGACTTTCATCACAGCTTCCACAGCGTCCACCCACTTGAATTTCTTGAAGAACTCAATGTCCTGCGTCGCGTTGAAGTAGTTGTGCCTGCAAGTCACCTTTAGCCCAAATAGCACCACTGAAAGCCACACAAACTTACGAGATCTCAAGGAAAGCCGCCAACGAGTCCAGCTCATATTTGCATTCAAACACAGACGTATTGGTATAGTTCGGTGTGACCGTGTCCATGCTTGCGGCGCCATTCGCGGAAGGTGGGATTTTCGACTCAGCCGGAGGTTGGAAAGAGTTGCAGTACGGATCTGTGAGCAAGTATCTAGCCTGTAGATTGATCACTCCTCGGTACAGCGAAGCCAACGAGTCCGGTAAATTAGAGGGTCGCAGAAGGGACAGATACGATTGCATTTGGTTCGCGGAGTCGCGCAGCCACATGGCATTGATATCTCCAGTGATCAAGAAGGTCAACTCTTCGCCTTGCGAATCATTGGCATAGCCCTTCCATTTCACGGCTGTGTCGAGAGTGTTCGGAAAGGAATTCAAGAACAGTCTCTGCAGGTCCGGGTCTTGAATCTTCCTCAGCGTGCTGTTGATCGTCTGCTCGACGATGGAGGAATTGAAGGTCCGGCATCGAGGAACTGGGCGCTGGGAGGAGAGGTTGTATCGTCCCTCTGAGTATGGCCCATGGTGCTCCGTGGAATAGATCGAGTAGTCTGGGCAGGTCAAGTTCACTGGAGCTTGACTCTGACCTTGCGCTTGACCTTGAGCTTGAGCTCGAGCCACGACCAAGAGCGAAGTGAAGGCGAGGAGAATCCGGGTGATGGGCATCATGGGCATGATGGAAGAGCAGGGCGGTGTCGCAGGGCACTGCTGCTTCATGCTTCATGGCCAGAGTCGCAGGGCCAGCGGCGTTCTTGTAGTACTTGCCTGGCGCGCTGGGTGACATGGATCGACATGTCGGAGCATTGATCGGGTAGGAGTGGATACTGGAAGGATGATGCTTGTGGCCGACGGGGAGAACCCCTCTACGTAACGGGTATATTCATTTCGGGCTGCCTTGAAATGCGTGAGCCGTGCTGTTGTTGGCTCCTGCATCTCGTCCAGTCCAGAGCGTCTTCTCAATGGTACTATTAGTACTGTGCAGCAATGCAGAAGGAGGAGGAGGAAGATTCAAGAAGTGTGTGTGCCTGAGAACGTTTGGCGGGGAAGGTTCAGTTGCATGGAGACGATCCCTATGCTTGCCTCACGCGGCGCGCGCGTTGCCGACTGCCGAGTCGGCTCCAAGTTGGCCGGCCGTTGTGGAGAGCGTCTCCCGCTTCCCGCCAGGTTCGTGTTGCTTTCTTCCCCCATACAACAACATCACCGGTGATGTGTCTTTCGTCGTGCGCAGTCGAGGGCAGAGCGTCACGGGAGGAATGCACATCGCTCTCGTCCTCAAGCTTGCTCGGCCGCGGAGCCATACCCAGGATGTTGCTTGCGCAGTCCGCTCGGCGCCCATCGTTTGAGCAGATCTCCGGTTGACATTCCAGAATTGGTCGACGACAGGACATCGGTTGTGAATTTGATCAGAGCAAAGCCAATCCGCGGAACTTCCAGACTCTCAATTCCGCCCTTCAGTGCGAGCATCCTCGAAAACGCCGGTCCGTGGATCTCCAAGGCGTTTCTGGCCTCGCCGAATAGTCGCTCATGCAACGCAATACTCGCTACAGTGAGCAACACTGGAATGGTGAGCATTCGATCCGGATCGCGTATGGCTGCGTTGAGATGCGTTACGACCTGTCCGCGGAGCCGGAGCACAACTTCTTGTGCAAGTTTGCCCTGTGTCACCAGAGGCGTCGCCGCGTTCAGGAGTTGCATGGAGAAGAAGCAGGGCTCGCTCATGGCCTGCCGCATGTGCCAGTCCATATATGCTCTTCCCTCCTCTTCTGAGCGCTGAACGACTGCAAGGCCCGGAGGTAGATGCATCTTGCGATAGTAATGCAAAACCCATCCAAACCAAGGCTGGGATGGTACAGGAAAGGTGTCGAACGGGTCTCCTGTGTCGGCGCTCACGGGTCTCTCGATGGCTTTGATCAGTCTGCTTGCACGTCCCGAAACCAAAGCTGCTTGGTCTGAGACCCCAAAGAGAAGCGATCCTGACTCGATTCCTTCCGGTTCATCGTCTTGCCCTCCAGACGAGGCAAGGCTTTCGCGACGAATTAGCAAACAGTCGCCCGGCTTCTGCTTCCTGGGCTTGTTCCGCCCTCTTGTCTTTCTGGTTGGGTCTCGGTGGGACTAGGTCGTCGCCTGGGCTCTAATGGCCCTCGCGATGACAGCGTTGCCGCGGCTCTCCCCCGGCTTGGACACATTGACAAAGGTGAACTTGCTTCTAGTCTCTGATAGGACGGCCTTCCCGCGCTTTCTAGGCATTGGCTTTTCTCGCAATAATCATAGAACTGAGCAGCAGGGAAAGATGTTGAAAAGAGGGTCGTGACCGCCGATCAAGAATATTGTGGTGTTCCGCATCCTCCGTCGGGGCTGCATGAGGCGAGTTAGCGCACCTGCAGCTTCCAAAACGGCCGGGACTACCTCAGCACGTTCTTTAACATATTAATTACGCGTTTGGCACCGCATGTTCGGAGTTAATTGTCAACATCTTTGCATCTCGAAGATGCGAGATCCTGCAATGTCCCTTATCAAAGCGTGATCAAAATCGCACGCTCGACACCGAGATCTACAGGCCAGACTGCAGCGTCGGTAACGTTTCCTGGTGTGCCAACGTTACAGGCAAGCTCAATAACCGCACGCCAATCAGCAATGGGCTTCACGCAGCGGATCGTTTTGTCGTGACTTCGAAGAGGTACAAAGGCGTCCCGATCTTTGAAAATTTCGGCCGAAACAATCTGTCCTTTGCAGATCCATTTCTCAGCTGCCCCGTGGCACCCGGTACCGTGGAATGGTTGTTGTGGAAGCACAGAGTGTCGATACACCTGCCCAACACAGTTTTCTTCTTTCCAGACTCGCCTGAAGACTCGCCTGAAGACCGCCTCAGGATGCTCACCGACATGTTCGGCGAGCCAGACGTTGTAGTGGTTGAGCGCCCAGTCGGTGAAATAGGAACCGCCGATTTCTGCACGTTGGCGAAGTGCGGTCAAGAAAGCACATGACCCTGCGATACCCGTGCAGTAGTCAGAACGAATACGGGGGTGACAGGCTCTCGATGCCCCATTGCTCACCCAAAGCCCATCGATTAACCCACATTGGAGTCACCTGCCATGCCAAACGATCTGTCCACGATCCTTCCAAGGCCCATACCATCCGTAACAATTGTCCCGCACAGAGAAGATGCCTCTTTCACGGTTCTTGCACATCTGGAGGACATCCTCTCGCGAGATGCCGTACTTCTCCAGGGGCTCCGTGTCGATAGCCTCGAACCACCACATCGGCATCCAGAATCCAAGCTCTCAGCTTCTCGCGGTCTTCTTGATCGTGCAGGTCGATGCTGCAGTTTCACTTACCCAGCTCAGATCGTTATGCAAGACGCTCATGTCCGGAAGGGTGGGGCTTGTGCATCGCATAATCAACGCGCCAATGTGCCAAGTTCTGCAAGACTGCGTGTCACGACAGGCGCCGCGATGATCCTCGTGAGGTCATCGACCAGATTTGTTTTGTCGTTCCGATGCCTAAAATTCGTCGAAACAGTTACAGATCGTTCCAGCCTGCCGGTATACTTCACTGTCAAGGCCTAAGCTGTCAAGAGCTGGGTTCGGATCCAGTGATGCGTGCGAATAGAAGTATTTGCCATCAGCGCACTAGTATATGTGGTTGGCAGACTTCGGTAAAGGCAATTGCCGGTCTTATGTATGTCGCAATCGGAAAGTACTTTCCAAATGCTTCTCCCAAAGCACGTAGTCGACTTAGTGCTATGCTTTCGCCGCCGAAACCCAAAGTCCACAGCATGGCGCTGAATATCAACAGGGTGGCTTTTTCGGCATTGATAATGACATTCTGCATGGGTACTCCGTACTTTTCGTGGACGAGAACGTTAACGAGTGCGGCCTCAAGGCCATTGAGTGCTGATACGGTCTCCGCGAAGCGCCAGCTGACTGGAAATGATGGTGAGTCGCTGCCATCGAAGCGGATACGATGAGCAGCTTTGGTAATGTCGCTTGACAGATCTTTGGCTATACTGAGGTTCGACAAGATGTGCTAGTGCAACAGCTTTGCCGCCGCTTCAGCTTTGGAGTATGTGGTACCGTCCAAGGTGTCGGTTGCGCCGTCGTCGCCAGAGTCACCCATCGCGGCCGATTGGAAGGTACTCACTCAATCGCGAGGCAGCAGGACTTTGTGTCACGTCAGCGTAAACATCCGCGAACCGGGAATGACAGCGTGTTTTGGTTCTGAAATCGACCTTTCATAATAATGGAACCTCACACAATGGTATGGACAAAAGCAGAAGCAACTGGTTTGTACAAGGGCTCAATGCCAAGTGCCAAGAAGGGCCAGGTACAGCAAGCGCCATCTTATCATTGGTGCGTTCCTGCCACCGTCAACTCCACATCCTGCCAACTGCTTCTGTTCCGCTCAGGTCTCGTCTTTCATCAATTATGCTGCCAACTTCCATCAAAACGGTAGCTCACGGCTGTACGAATCAAGGTCGACTTCATCTTCCGACTCCTGTTCGCCCTCCCCGCCCTGCTCCTCTCCATGCCAGATTGATATCGCCTGACGGCCTCCCTTACTCGTTCTCCAAGCAGACGTCGTGCATTCTGATGGCCCAGCTAACTCTGGAGCGTTTTGGATCGCATCTGCAATTGCCGTCGGGGTTGAAGGACGTATTGGCGTCGACACTGCCGAGTCTTGCTTCTGCTTGCCCTTCGCCTTGGAGCCTTCATCGTCTTCGGTTTCCAGCCAAACCTCAGCGCGAAGTCTTTTCTTGATAGCGTCAAAGATTGCCAATCTAACATCGTTGCGCAACCCTTCGCGGAAGAGGGTAGTTTGCTTGGCCATGTCCTTCTCTTGCTTCGCTGCTGCCAGACTGTCCGCTGATCTCTCATCAGCCTCAAATTCATCCCACGATAGACCTTCTCGGTACGCCCGCTTTGAACGGGCAACGAAATTGCTTGCAATGGCGCGCGCGCGCTGGACCTCCGGCGACAAGCTCGAACTTTTAGGCTCGTTTGCATACAGGTCTGGATCGCCAGCAAAGTCAGCCCAGTCGTCGTCACCCTCTTCTCCTAGGCCCTCTGCTTCCTTGTCCGTCTTCTCTTTCCATCTGCGATTTGCGTCCGACAAGTTCGCGAAGTCGCTAGGAGGCGGATAAGGCCACTGGTAGATGAAGAACTCCTTCGCGCTCAGGTCGGGAATGACGGTGCTGTCTGGGGCTAGCACGGGTGGCGGTGGCTCGACCAGTGCATCGTCTGTGGGCGCAGTTTTCTTGGTCACGGGTTTCTTCGCTGGCTTGCGCGCGCCTGTCTTGCCTACGGCATATCGCGCTCTATGGACACCGCCTCGCCCCATCTCGAATGTGGCCTTCTGGCGTGAAGAAAGCGTGGCGGCGGTACCGACTGGTCGCGTGACAAGAAATGGTGTAGGTGGGGACTCGAAGCCGTGCGGTGCTGTAATTGATGGATGCGCTGGAGCTGAGCCTAGTCCGATTGACTGCGCTGTCGATGTGGGCGGTGTTGTTGGGGATGGCGTAGCGGCTGACTGTGGTGTGGTCAAATGGGCGGATCCGACTACATGAGGCGTAGTTTGCACTGGGGAAGATGAAAATCCCGGTATGTATGCGCCGTTCTTTTGTGCTTCCTCCAATTTCTTGGAGAGGGTCTTCTGTCTGCACGAGCGGCGGCTTGCTGTCCCATTGTCCTGATTCGAAGGCATGTTTCTGGAAAGTCTTGATCTTTGAGCTGCTGAGCAAATTAACCATGCGCAAACGGACAACTGATGCTGTTGATTTGTGCGGTGGCCGAAAAGCTATGCCGTCTACAGAATAACACGATTGTACAGGTATCAATTGCATTTCCACTGCAGCCACTGGCTGCTACCTCTGTGCGGTCGAACCTTTCCTCTCGTCAAGACTCTTCCATGAACCGCTTTACTGGAAGGAACTTGCGTCGCCACTGTGATATTCGCGAGTCCCCTAGCAAAATCGTCCTTACAGCTGCAGTTGCAGTCGGCCTCCGTCGTTGATTATTGAGAGCTCGGAAGCGAAAAGGGTCGGAAGAACAGAGGCCGAGACATGTAGCAATACATTTGCCATAGTTTTCATTATCGCATTGTTACACGATTCTCGATAGAATTTCACTTGGATCTCCGTTATTTTGGCGCCTTCCATGTGAAGGCGCCAGGGGTACGCACAGACCATGAAACGCGATCGAATGCAGATGTGCCGAGATCCGAGTCCGATCTGGGGAGACGCGAAATCGTAATCGCGTCTTAAACGCGTGACGGCATAGACTTGAATCTCCTTTCGACACATTTCCAAGGTTGCTACAAGCACTCCTCGGTGACATTTAATTGACTTGTCTGTTATTCTTCAACATCTTTGCAAAACCCTAGATAGAAAGTATCAATCAATCAATGTCGTCGGAAATGGCGGATTCAACGCCACCAACTTCGCCAGAAACTCGAGGAGATGGACCCACGGAGGCCATGGAGAAGGAAGAGGCCAAGATGGCAGAAGCCAGACGGAAGGCAGATGAGAAGCGCGAACGGAAGCTGGCTGCTGAACGCGAAAAGGATATCAAGGGTGGAAAAGATGTTGTCGATACAAAGTACAAAGCTTTGGAGTATTTACTCAGTCAATCGAAGCTTTACTCAGCGATCATGCTGGAGCAGATGTCGCAGCAAGAGCAAGCCGACGAGGCAAAAGACGAGAAGAGCCGCAAGCGGGCGCAAAAGAAGGAAGAGAAGGCAGAGCAGGCAGCTCGGGTCGGCCAAACGAGAGCCACCAGAGCTGCTGCATCTACAGAGGACACTGCCGGAAACGCAGATGAAGCATCGTCGAAGAAGCAAGCGTCGAAGAAAGGACGTCCGACGAAGAATGACAAGCGAGGAAAGATCTCCGATTACATGAACAAGGAGGATGTGAGAGCGAAGGCCGGGCAGACCTCGATATCTCAGGCATTGGCCGAGGAGACCAAAGACTCCGATGTCAAACCGTCCGAAATTGGTATGCAGGACCTACGCTCCGCCAAACAACCAGAACTGGTGACTGGAGGCCTTATGCGGACATATCAGCTGGAAGGACTGGATTGGCTTACTTCGCTATACGAGAATGGACTGAACGGTATTCTAGCTGACGAAATGGGACTGGGGAAGACGATTCAGACAATCTCATTTCTGGCATTCTTGAAAGACAAAGGCGTGCACGGTCCTTTCCTCATCGCAGCTCCTTTGAGCACCACCAGCAACTGGGTTGCCGAATTCCAAAAGTGGACGCCAAAGATTCCTGTAGTGCTGTACCACGGAAGTAAGCAGGAGCGTGAGGAGATTCGACGGGAAAGGCTACGAAATCCTGGGAGCGAAGACTTTCCCGTGATTTGCACCAGCTACGAGATATGCATGAACGACAGAAAACACCTTGCTCACTTCGGTTGGAAGTTCATTATCATCGATGAGGGTCATCGTATCAAGAACTTGAACTGCAGGCTCATTCGCGAGCTGCAATCCTACCAATCGGCAAATCGTCTTCTCATCACTGGTACCCCATTGCAGAACAATCTGACAGAACTATGGTCATTACTGCACTTCCTCATGCCTAACATTTTCGACAAGTTGGAGTCGTTCGAAGCCTGGTTCGACTTTAGTGCGCTGAAAGAGAAGAATGGCTACGAACAGATACTGTCTGAGGACAGAAAGAAGAACCTGGTCGCCAGTCTGCATGCCATTCTCAAGCCATTCTTGCTTCGGCGAGTGAAGGCAGATGTTGAGACATCACTTCCAAAGAAGCGAGAGTATGTCTTGTACGCGCCTCTGACCCAAACGCAGCGCGAACTGTACCAAGAGATCCTGGAAGGTAACAGTCGAGCGTACCTGGAGAACAGAGTCGTGGAGACACTCAGTCGAAGTGCTACACCAGCCAGCATCAGGAGCACCAGCAAAAAACGAAAGGCCGCAGACGAGGCAACGACTCCCAACAAGAGTGCCAAATCAAGTCGTGCATCTACGCCGGCAACCACTGGCAGTACAGGCGCACGTTCCAGAAAGGCGAAGAAGAATCAGAAATATGAAGAAGTGTCGGACACGAAGTACTTCAAACAGCTTGAGGAGCCTGAGCCTGAGCCACTAGATGATGAGCTTGGCGAGTCCGAAGATGAAGAAGATACCGAGCGGTCCAAAACGTTGGCGATTGCGAAACGCGAAATTGGGCAGAAGAAGTTGCAGAATCCAGTCATGCAACTTCGTCAATGTTGCAACTCGCCACACAACTTCTTCTATCCGTTCGACTTGGATGACAAGACTCCTGTTGACGAGTCACTCGTTACGGAGTCCGGGAAAATGCTCCTTCTTGATCGACTCTTGCCCGAGCTGCTTGATAAAGGCCACAAGGTCCTCATCTTCTCGCAGTTCAAGACCCAATTAGATCTCCTCGAGACCTACTGTACCGAGCTCCGACAATGGCCGACCTCGCGAATCGACGGGTCTGTTGCACAGACGGACCGCCAGCAACAGATTCTTGACTTCAATGATCCGAAGAGCGACGTAAACATCTTCCTGCTTTCGACACGAGCTGGCGGTCAGGGTATCAATTTGGCAGCTGCTGATACCGTGCTACTTTTCGATAGTGATTGGAATCCGCAACAAGACCTGCAGGCTCAGGATCGTGCCCACAGAATTGGACAAACGAGGCCTGTTATCGTGTACCGCTTTGCCACAAAGGGCACAGTCGAGCAGATGCTTTTAGAGAAGGCGGACAGCAAGAGGAGACTGGAGAAGTTGGTCATCCAAAAGGGTAGATTCAGGAACGTGCGTGGTAGTGAAGGCGGAGGTGCGGACTTTTCAGAGCTGCAAAAGTTACTTGGAAAAGATGACGGAGAGCGAATCGATGTTGCTGAAGGCAAAGGATTGTTGAGTGATGAAGACTTGGCTATCTTGACCGATCGCAGTGAAGAAGCATTCGATCGAGCTGAGAGGGGTTTGGACACTGTTGGCGAGATGTTCAAGGCGGTACAGATGAAGAAGGACGGCGAAGGTTTGCTGGAGAGTTTGCAGTAATGATCCGTGTTGGATTTCGCCCATGTGTCGCAAAGCATCGAGTCGTTGGGATTGATACCCGCTGTTATAAAATGCGAAGCTGCGTTGTTGAACTGTCACCGGATCCAGCGTGAGCCTGCACTTGTTCGGGTAGACACAGTGATCTTCTGGGCCCAGAGCTTGTTCGGACCCTCTGTGGCTGCCGGATCTCACTGCGGCAACCGGAGCTGTATAATAGTCCTCTGACTGACAGACAAGGGATGGAGTACTTCGAATTATACGACCTCGGTTTCACACAACACGACATCTCCCTCTAGATATCGATTCCTCTAGAGTTGGGGGCGAGATCCAGAAGGAGCACAGCATCTTGTCAATGCAACATTATACCAGAGATACGTGAGGCGACCTTCAGTGCGCTGCAGAGGATTCTTCCACTACTCTACAACATACCCAATCGGATAGCCTGAAAAGGAGGTAGGCTGATGAGAGGGGGAACTGACGGCACCTATTGGAGTCTGCTCCTCTCTTACACTTTTCTTCCGAGCCGGCAGCCCTGTGCCACATCGCGGACACTATCGCGAACTCTCGCGTCTTGGAGGACTGGAGGAGCAAACATTTAAGGTCAACGGATGTCAGAATTACTACGCCGCATAGGGCTGTTACAGGCTGCGGAGCCGCGAAGTCGGAATCCTTCACGTGCGATGGCGCTAAGTTCTTGGCACTCATCCGCCAGCGCTATTCGAACCATAACGAGCCTTTCGTTATTGTGCACGTGTCTGCTCTCCAGATTACTCTTTGTACGGTAGAGATGGGTGTCAGACTTTCGCTGCCTATTATTCTGTTCACTATCCCATCTCGTGGGCGGCGACTGCGAGGCCTGGATTTTGGATGCTAAAGTTGGGAAGGACAAACAAGGTCTAGGTCGAGTGTCCATCGTCAATACAGAAGGGGATGCCCACCTCCTCTATGCCAGATTTTGCCTTCCTGGCCGGCGTGTTGCAAGAGCGCTATTCATGCTCGGGAAATTAGAGGAGAGAACAAGATGAAATCATCTTTGCATAGTAGTGCATTCGCAGAAGTAATAACCAATCACGCGAAAAAGTGAGTCTCAGTCTTTCCCCTGCTTCTTACTAGTCGTCGATCAAGGTGTACACGCAAGGAGGCGAATATGCTGATATAACAGGATCGTAGCCAACTGGCAGCAGTGAAAGCTGGAGAATCGACCATCCGTAGTAGTAAGATGGCAGACGACGTAAGGACTCACAAAGTGGGACGATGGCATATAAGTCCTCGGGGGATTTCCTCCTGCAACCCTTGTCCACCAACGCGGAGACAGGACAAATGGGACAGCAAACTGGATTTTCCTCGTCCGGAAAGGGTCACTGCGCGAATCCGCTCATCAGTATGTCCCGGATATAGATTCATTTCTGCTCAAGAGGTTACCTTAACAAGGAAACTCCATTGAAGATTGTGCGGCGCTGCAAGGCCTTTCCCACCGGCTTCACGGAGGACAGATAGCCAATGGAGCTCAGTTGAGCACCCAGTGGCGGACCAAGGCTAGAGACAGAGCCAGGATATAGCTGACATGGGTAGTGATAATACCATTTCAAATGTTGGGTTGGCAATGGACCACATCCGGCCTGGGACCGAACATCCATTTGAATATATGAATATTGTACAATACTATCGCTTGACCCAGGTAGGCATTTTGCGGGCCTTGAGCTTTCCAGGCTTCTTTCTTTCGACTCTTCGGGGATCACGGGTGACAACGCCGGCTTCGATGACATTAGTTTCCTAGATAAATGACATTGTAGGGGGGAATTTGAGAACTCACCTCTCCGCAACGCGGGCTTCAAATCAGGCTCGTGCGCCAACAATGCCTTTGAAACAGCCAATGTGAGAGCTTCTGCTTGACCAGTCGTGCCTCCGCCATGTACGATCCCCCAAACGTTGTATTTGTCCAGCCGCTGAGTGGCCTTCAATGCCCACACGGCGGACTCTCGATCATGCAGCCTTGCGAAGTATTCTGTCAATGACCGACCATTGATCAGGACCTGGCCATCTCCTTCCACTAGATATACTGCAGCGCGGCTTGACTTTCTTCTGCCCAGTGCCTTTGCTCGTCCAAACTCATCGATGATGATTGGCTTTGCCTTGTTCAGGTAAGGCTGCACCAGCCTCTTGTATTTCTCCAGTGTCTGCGTAACTTCTTCTGGGATGAGAGATGGGTGAATGAGACTCAATCGTCTCAGTAGGCTGACCATTATACCGTAGCTCTTTGATCGCACCGGCTCCTGAGTCTCGATCTGGTAGTCCCTTCTCTTCTTGAATGTTACCCTCGCCACTTCTTCAGGGCTAGCAGTAGGGAGGAGCTGGTATTTCCGCAGTAACGATGAAATGTGTAGTACATCATCCATGTGCTTCGGGAGGGCGGTAAAGTATGAAGGAGACGCTGGTACAAGTCGTATGCGCCGAAGCAGACGGCGCTGTTCCGGATCAAGGCTTGAATCATTTCGACCCCTCCGACGGCCCAAACTGCTTGGTGCGTCTTGTTCTTCTTCCTGAATTAGTTGCGCTCGAGGCTGGGAGCGTGCGAATTGGTTGGAATCGCCGGTGAAGCGAATGGCCGGCGCTGGTTTGATCTCTCCAGTAGGCGTCGCCCGACATTGGTGTGATGTGTGGAAGGCTCGTCGCTTCCATGCGCTACGACATGTTTGCCGCGCGCCAGTGTGTATCAACAGCTCCATATCCTCACACCCCAACGCGATGCACGGAATGGAATTGATGTTTCTCTCGTTGCTTGGGACTTCAACGCTGGAGGAGTTCAGAGTCGCGAATGCCAAGGCTGGCTCCGATTGGCTGGTGGAGCTTGGACACCTCTCTCAAGAAAATCCTCTCCAGGGACGAAACACTCATTCTCCACTACACTACAACACCAACACAACTCTTCCACACACTTCTTGCAGATACAATAGCCAACGAAGGCGCATACCAGACCACACTTGCATACGACAGAACGCACAATGGCCTTTGGCAAGATCTACTCCTACGAGGTAAGCAGACGTCCGCCTGTTGATTCATGCCCCACCGCCCGATATGAGTGAGCCACCTTTTTAAATAGCGGCAACATCCTCTGCTCTTCCCAAGATCGTGTCTAACATATGCATCTTAACACAGGGCAACCCTCGTACCACCGCTCTCCTCGCTGTCGCTAAGGCCAACAACCTCGACATCGAACTCGTCCCCACGGAGCCGGCCAAGGGTGTGAGCGATGACTACAAGAAGCTGAACCGCCTGGGAAAGATCCCAACTTTCCAGGGCGCTGATGGTTACGTCCTCACTGAGGCCATTGCCATTGCCATTTACCGTGAGTCTTTCCGCATACAATGAAGCCCTACAAAGGAACCCTTCCTTTCACACCGCGAGGATGAAAGATCAATATTTTCAGTTATCCCTGTCTGAAGACTACTGTTGAGAACGTATTCACACTCTGATTGCACCACTCATACAACACTCCCATATCAGCAACTTGGTGGAGATTAGCTGCTGACCCGATCGAATAGTCACCTCCCAGAACGAGAAGACCACCCTCCTCGGCAAGACCAAACAGGACTACGCTTCCATCCTCCGATGGATGTCCTTCGCCAACACCGAGCTCCTCCCTGGCCTCGGTGGCTGGTTCCTCCCGCTCATCGGCCGTGAACCATACAACAAGAAGAACGTCGATGCTGGCCAGAAGCGCACCACGGACAACATCAGGGTCCTCGACGACCATTTCCTCGTGAACACCTACCTCGTCGGTGAGCGCCTCACCCTCGCCGATCTCTTCACCGCCGCCATCCTGCGCCGCGGATACGATTACTTCTTCGACAAGGAGTGGCGCTCGCAGAATGTCAATGTTCACCGTTGGTACGAGACCGTTGCCAACCAGGACATCTTCAAGGCTGTCGCTGGCGAGGCCAAGTTCATCGAGAAAGCTATTCCTAACACCCCACCAAAGAAGGAGAAGGAGGAGAAGCCAAAGCAGGAGCAGAAGAAGCAGGAGAAGAAGAAGAAGGAGGAGGTTGCCGCCGATGACGAGGAGGACGAGCCTGCCCCGGCACCAAAACCAAAGCACCCTCTTGAGGCTCTTCCAAAGCCCACCTTCGTCCTCGATGACTGGTGAGTCACAATCGCCTTCATAGGGAAATCACAAAACTGACAAGGATATAGGAAGCGCAAGTACTCCAACGAGGAGACCCGTGAGGTCGCTCTACCGTGGTTCTGGGAGAACGCCAAGTTTGACGAGTACTCGCTGTGGAAGCTGGACTACAAGTACAACGACGAGCTCACCATGACCTTCATGACCTCCAACCTGGTTGGTGGTTTCTTCACTCGCCTCGAGGCCAGCCGCAAGTACATCTTCGGCGCTGCCTCCGTCTACGGCGTCACCAACGACAGTGTCGTCCAAGGCGCCTTCATCGTCCGCGGCCAGGAAGCTCTTCCAGCCTTCGACGTCGCTCCCGACTACGAGAGCTACGAGTTCACCAAGCTCGACCCATCCAAGCCAGAGGACCGCGAGTTCGTCAATGACCAGTGGGCCTGGGACAAGCCGATCACCGTCGACGGCAAGGCCTACGAGTGGGCCGACGGCAAGGTGTTCAAGTAAGAGACGGCTGCCCTGGGTAGCATGTTTGATAGACGCATGACGGCACGTGGCATGAGGGAATTCCAAAAAGTTATGAAGGCACGAAAGTACGTGCTCTTTTGACCAGGGTCGTTGCCCGATGTGCTGCCACTGCAACCCCGCGAGTCAAGATCAGAGTAATGGCACAAATGATACCAACGCAAATTATGCGAACAGTCAGTTCCAATCTCATTCTCCATCTCATCATGTCGGAAATCTTACATACCTCTTTACTGATTCGCAGCTGCTCATTCGTAATGTCTGTAACACCAAACACAAGAGGCGCGCCCTTTGTGTGATCCCGATCTACAAGTGGTCAGCCCTCCGCGGGTGTTAGTGGTTTGAGGCTTGGAGAAATACTCCTTACAGCGCAAGGGATGCTCTACCAGCCTTCCGTCGCCGAGGGGCGTCTTGCATTAGCCGGACTTTTCACTCCAGATCCACACGACTGCGCCAGCCGCCACTTATCCGCTTACAGTGGCGCTTACCAGACCTGTGCAATAAGATATAACCACTGCCATCGCGGATTAGACGATACATACACCCACCCTTCCGAGTCATCATATACGATCCCCCCACCTTTCCGAGTCCTCAAGAGGGTAGCGCCTAGCCAGGGGCTGGCGTGACCCAGAAGCACCGGATATCTGAGAACGACCATCCGTTTCCCATCGCTACTAGATTGTCACAGAGCACCAGAATTCTCTCTCTCCATAGCAAACCAGAAGCATCCCCATGGTTGGACTCAGCTTGGATCCAGAATTCGAGGCGGCCATTGCGCCCATGACAGAAGTCCTCGCCTCGAAACCCAAGTTACCCGCAGGCGACGCTCTTGGTCGACGAGAAGTAGGAAACAAACTGCTCAGCCAAGTCTTATCGGGCAGGAAACCCATACCAGGAATCTCCCGCACAGACCACACGACGAAAGCGCCAGATGGGCATACGGTGACGGTCTCAGAATTCCGGAAAGAAGGAGTCCCATCAGACAATTCGAAGGCGATCTTTTACGTCCATGGAGGAGGCTTCATCCTAGGGAGCGTGGATGTCTTTGAGGACGGAATTAGGCGCCAGGTTAGGGATCACGATGTCCCTGTGTTTGCGGTTCATTATCGACTTGCGCCGGAGAACCAGCATCCGATTCCGATTGAGGATTGTTACGCAGGCTTGAAGTGGTTGAGTGAGAATGCCAAGGAAGTTGGAGTCGATCCAGGAAGAATTGTCGTTTCTGGGGAGAGTGCCGGTGGAGGATTAGCCGGTAAGCTGGTAGTGAAGGAAAATTCCAAGCAAAACATTAATATCTTACTGAATGATTGACCAGCGTGTCTGACTTTACTGGCACGAGACCGAGGCTTCTCTCCTCCCATTGCCAAACAAATCCTCATATTCCCCATGCTTGATGATCGAAACCAGAGCCCCATCGCGGGAATCGAAGAGCACGCGTTCTGGAAATGCAACGACAATATCACCGGCTGGAAAGCCCTCGTGGGCGAATCAGCAGGCGGCCCGGATACTTCGCCGTATGCCGCAGCCGCCAGAGCTCCCGACGTGACGGGTCTACCGCCGACATATATCGAAGTAGGGCAGCTGGATATCTTTGTGCATGAGAACATTCAATTTGCGGGCAGATTGGCGGCGGCAAATGTGCCCGTGGAATTGCACGTGTATCCGGGTATGCCGCATGCCTTTCAGGGCTACGCTCCTGAGGCGGAATACTCGAAGATGGCGGCTAGGAATGTCGTTGCAGCGGTGGCGAGGGCATGATTTGGCGGAGCTGAGTCCAGGTTGCAGGAGAGGTCATGGCAGGTAACTAAATACTATAGCCATACATTTCTCTCAGGACTTGCATATCTTCCGGTCAAGCTTGCAATTGAATTGTGCTCCCCTTCTCATTCTCCACCATCTCCCTCACATTTGCCCCAGGAAGCGCCTCTGCGTGCACACCTGTCAGCTTCTCTAGAACATCCTCGCTCACGTCTTCCTCCGGTCCCTCAATATACGCCCGTAACATCCGCCCCTCAGTCCCATCACCTGCAATCTCCTCTACGAGCCCCTTCCGACAGAACAAACACATATCCCCTTTCATCCTCATACACCAGTTCGAAATCCTCAACCCGGGGCCTCTCCTACCCCTTTGGGAATGACTCTCATTCCCCCACACACACACTTTACCTCCCCCATCGCTTGGAATTGGGGTCATGAGAGCTGAATCTTGAGACGAAAGGTTTTTGCAAGGGCGGCCAAAGGAGACAGCCTCGGCTCAAAAGGGAGTCCTTTCGAGCATCGTAACGGTCGATCCTTTCCGTTGGAGTTGTAAAGAGCGGTCGTCTCTCGTAACCGACAGAGTCTTGTTGATAGTGTCGTTAGGTCTGATCAAGATTCAGTTGGGAATAGTGATAAGGACACGGCTAAGGCGCTGGAGGGTTGGGAGGCAGTGAGAGGGTTGCTCTGGGGGCCGACCAGTCAGGCTAATAGTATGGGGTAACGTTTCTGGCTAGGTAAGCGCCCAGACAACACACGCGCTCACAGGGCCGTGCTGTTTCGGTGGAACAAGCAAGAGAGCGAAACATTGGCAATCTTTTTTAAGACATTGTCAGCAGATTTTCAATCAATGACACAGATTTCAAATGACCCTTCACACCGACACGGCGGAGATGTACAAAATCATTCGTGATCCATTTTGTGCGTTCGGAAAGAAGTATACCATTTGTATGTGTCTTCTCCCATTACCAAATCCACCACCTGAGCTGCGGCAAAATCAAATCGCTCTGCACCCTCACCACCCCCCGCCTGGGACAAATACTCTGACTGCCTTCGACACTCTGCTTTGTCCTGCCCAGATCGCAGTGTGCTAACTGCGTGATGATCCTGTACTTCTCCCCCGTGTGGCACAGCTCCCGAACCTCTGCCATTTCCAGCCGTCGCCAGTCCTTCGAGTCGACAGAGAATTCCTCCCAGACCAGGATCTCGTTGAGCCAGACACCCAGGCATTCGACGTACACCTGTCTGCTGGTGCGAAAGAAGGCCGGTTGGACGAAGAGAGAGGTGAAGTTATGCCGAGAGTGTTCCTTGCGATGTGCCAGCTCGGCATGCATCGCGAAGAGCATGATTTTGTTTCGAACCTCTCCTGGTAAGCGGAATAGGAGTGACTGTGCGTTTTGTAGTTGCAAGATTCGACGGCGGACCGTATCTAGTTGCTGTTTCATGGTTTCCAGGTCTTCAAAAGTCATGGTGTCGAGGTCGTTCATGTTGGGGTTCTGCGTGCTATGATGTCTCGCTTGCATTGTCGTGGGCTTCGTGAGCAGAGTGATTGGTTTCAAATGATTCTGTAAGACAGTGTCGTCAAGCGAGGCTGTAGAGGCTTCCATCAAGGTGTCCATTCCGGAACTGCGGTCGGACATCAATGTTGCGATCCCTGAAGCTGAAGCTGTGCTTTTGCGGAGAACTGGAAGTGTGGGGATGAGGAGAAGTTCGGCTGTGGGTGAGGTGCGGCTGAATTGCAGAAGGCAGGGTGCTCGCGCGCAAGACGCGTCGTGGCTTCAAAACTCTCGCCCAGCGCACCGGTGATGACCGTAGGCGCATGTGGTACGAAATCTTTCCGACAGAAGGGTGGGGTTCTAGTAAGCCGTAGGATCTAGACGGGTGCTAGGGCAAGCCACATAGCCGCCTGTAGATTCAGATATTGCGCAGTATCCTACGATCAAGCCGGCACAGGGGAATGGCGGCGCTCCCGGATGTCATCGATGTACGTTTTGGGCTTTCGTACTCTACGACGGCACCGGACTCCTTTCCAAAGATGAAGTACCGACCTCCCATCACTGGAAGACGTGTCCGAGTTCTTCAAAGTGTATTTAGTTTGCCCAAGCATCGAGGTGTCTGTATTATCCGGAGCAAGCGTACCATGATCAGTGCGCTGCATTTCTGGCACGGTAGACTTAGGAGCCCATTTGAAGAGTTTGCCGAGCCCGACAAAGCGAGACTTCTCCTGCAAGTTGTGTGCGAGGCCTTGCGAAGGAGGTGTGTTGACACGATTGCTTGACAATGGCCAGCTTTCTTGTCGTTTGAAAGCGGGCGATCTCTGAAAGGTACCCTCTGCAGTCTGCCGACATCCCAGTGACTGATAGGGTTCCATTCCATTCTTGAGCGATGCTCCGGATGGGAGATCCACCAAAGATCTGCTGAAGCTTGACGAAAGTAGCGTTGGGCTGGAGATGTCCGCCTTGGAAATCGGCAGTCTGCGGACGTTCTCCTCGTCAGGCAGGGATTCTTTGATTTCATCGCTGTCGAGATCCGGTAGTAGAGGCATTGCGAATCCAGTACCGGGCGAACTGGGAACATGCGAGGTCTCCCAGGGGTAGGGAGTGCCGGGCAAGCTAGTCTTCTCGGCCTGCACCAGACAGCCATGGCCGTCGAAGCGCCAAGAGAGAGCAGTCGCAGCCACTGGCGTCAGAAGTGCAAAGTGGCCAGGACTTCGACATTCAGGTAGGCGAAGGTGTTTTGTATTTCTTGACTGCTTTGTAGTGCTCGCGTCGCGTGCGGACAGAAGTTCGCTGTTCGTGGCGGATCTGGCCTGCGAGGCGACAATGTTTCGTCCGGAAGGTGATGGTGCAGCCATGTTGTGTGGTGGGGAGGAGTAGAGATTGATGGGCGAGAAGGTAAGGAAAGCGGTGACGATAGATAGGCTCCCGTCGCTGTGGAGAAGGAGGAAGGCTCTTTTGACCGTTGGGAAAAGTGCCACTTACCGTTTAGTACGAGGCCAAGCGACACGCGCGATCACCAGGCACGCACTTGGAAGCAATGTCTAGGACAAGCAATAGCAGTGTCTGAGACGAGCAATAGCAGTGTCTGGGACGAGCGATAGCAGTGTCTGGGACGAGCAATGGTGGTGCGTTGGCGACAGACAGTAATACCTTGACGGTTGTGGGCTACGCAGAGGGCAGCTCCAGTCGCCCACGGGCAGGCGGCAGCGCAAAAAACGAAGTCGCAAAGCTCTCGCGTGCTGTCGATGTGAATACGCGCTGGCCGCAAGTCTTCCGTTTCGGCGAAATCGTGTTGGTGTTGGAGGTTAAGGTATGTTTTCGATCGGGGATATCGGATATCAGACACGGAGAGTTTGGACCCCTGCTCGGCAGCTCCCGGAGCGATGCTGTGACGAGTAGTTTTCCAGTAGGTCACAGCTGTTCTTTCCGACCAAGACTCGCTCTCGTTACCTTATTCACTAGGTAATAAGAAAGGACCGATCAAGCCACATCACCATGCGCTGAAACCGCCAACACCAAGTCAACTCACCTCCCCAACACTATACCACAACACAACACACCTTGCGCACACTCGGCCACCGCCTGACGCCTCTCGCTGGCATATGTCGAGGCACAACGACGCGCATAGCCCGCCATGTCTAACGAGTACAACTACGATGCCGACGCCCAGTTCTATCCCTACTTCGTCCTCATCACCACCTCCCTCGTCACTCTCCCCTTATCCTACTCTCTCCTCCGCGCGCCGACCGACCTTTCCTCGCCCAAACGAGGTCACATCACCTCCTCTTTCAAGCCACAAGATGCCGACATTATCGATGCGCAGCGCGCAAAGCAGAAGCGTAAGGAGCTCCGCCGCAAGCGAATGCTGGTCGTCGCTGTCGGTTGGCTTGTCATGATATATATGGCCTACCTCATGGCCACCACTGAGCGCACCGGTGCTCAACTATGGGATCCTTACTCCATCTTGAACGTGCCGGTTGGTACTGCTGAGAAGGCAATCAATTCCCGCTACAGGAGACTGTCCACCACCATGCATCCAGATAAGAGGCGTCCAGATGCCGCGACCAACACGACCGTGGAGAGCATCAACGAAGAGTGGGTGGAGATCGTGAAAGCATACAAAGCACTCACAGACGAGGATACGCGGAGGAACTTCGAGCTGTATGGACATCCGGATGGCAAGCAGAGCACAAGTTACGGAATAGCACTCCCAAACATCCTCATTGCCGAGGGGAGTGGGAAGTACGTTCTGGCCTTCTACGCTGGATTGCTCGGCATTGTTTTGCCTTGGTTTGTAGGGTCATGGTGGTACGGCATGCGTAGCAACACTAGGGAACGCATCTTGGTTACCAGTGCGGGCAACATGTTCCGTGAATTCAACGAGAGAATGGATGGAGGCGATGTCCTAGCAGCTGTGAGCAGCGCAGACGAGTTCAAGGAGACGCTCCACGGCGCAAAAGCGGACAACGGCCTCGGCAAAATCGAGAGCAGGCTTGACTCCTCGCCTGAAAGTAACGCTGTTCTCCTCGCAAAAGACAAGAAGAAGCTCAAGGAGCTCGAAGATCCAGTGCGTCGGAAGACAATTGCCCTGCTCTGGGCCTATCTGACTAGAGTCGATCTCGAAGACAAGACATTGGAAGCGGAGAAATACGAACTTGCCCCTACCGCACTGCAGATGAATGAGGCCTTCATCCCTACGTGCCTGGCGTACGCCTTCACTAAGCCTGTCATGTCTTCGTACGAATTGAGCCAGAGCCTTGTTCAAGCTATGCCGCCCTCCTCGGTCGGTCGCACGCCTCTTCTCCAACTGCCGCACTTCACTCCGAGCATCATCCGCGAAATCGAGCTGGCTACAAATACCCAGAAAGACCACATGAGCATTCAATCATTCATGTCTCTCCCGGCCGAGCAGCGCCAAGCTCTCGCTCAAGCTGCAGGTCTTACAAATGACCGTCTAAAAGTTGCAGAAGCTGTTGCTCAGCAGCTGCCTCTCCTAAAGGTCGAGAAGGCTTTCTTCAAAGTGCAAGGAGAGAAATACTTACTCCCATCTTCTCTCGTCCAGTATGTCATCAAGGCGCGGTTTATACCTCCTGGAACAACACATGTCCCGCCAGTCGACGAGAAGGACCTTGTCGACATTGATCCCGCTGAAGGGGATATCCAGGCGCAGAAAGTCGAGCCCGAGCAGCATCCCATTGCGCTCGCACATGCACCATACTTTGCTCGTGACCGGTCACCCAAGTGGCACGTTTTCCTCAGCGACAATCGACAAGGCAAGATTGCCGTACCCCCATTCACCTTCTCGACATTCGACAAGAAGCCGTTTGACAGCGATGGCAAACCAACTTTCAATGTTGTTACTTTGAAGATGCAATTCGCCGCGCCACCGCAACCAGGTGAATACAAGTTTCAAATGAATTTGGTTTCGGACAGCTATGTTGGATTCGACTATAAGCAGGATGCTGTCATGGTTATTAATGAAGCCAGTAAGGCTAATGAAGTGGACGATGAGGATGAGATTTCGGAGCCTGAAGAGGGTAAGCTGCACGCCCATGCACCTGTTCGAGATCAAAAGCTAACACGGCAGCAGATTCGATCGCCGGTCAAATGGCCGCCCTCAAGGGGCAAACCACTGCTGATCCCAACAAGCCTCGCAAGACGAGGAAGAAGATCGAAGAGCCTGAGGAGAGTGACTATGAGAGCGGCACGGATGAAGACGAAGAGGAAGAGAGTGAAACGGACACGGACACAGATTCTGAAGCTGAGGATGAGAAGCCAAAGAAGGGCTGGTGGTAGACCAGAGCTCGGTTGCTGGGCATAGCGTGGGCGTTCTGTCTCGGTATAGGCATTGTGGCGATAAGATAAGACAGCTGTAGGATTATGTGTCCCACATCAGCTGTCATGCTGCGTCTTTCGGTGGTAGCTGGCTTCTTCTTCTTCTTCTTCTTCTTCCTTGAGCTAGGGGTGATACTCAAGCATCATGATGTCGCGAAAGGCCAACATTTTGACGGCGGATCTGAAGAAGAACATGGCCCTAAAAAATTACTTGAATCGATTGGAACCTTTGAGTTGTTGCCGGTTTGCAACAGGAACTACCTACCTAATAAGCGGACATTTCACGGCCAAAAAAAGAAAAGTCAACCCCGCGCACAGACCTCATGTCCACATGTTAATTCGCAACTCTCTCTCGAGGTTAGGGGGGCGGGGGGAAGATGTTCCGTACCATACATTAATTTACCAGCCGAATTGAAAATGCCATGTTTTGCAATTTCCCACCCGCCCTGATCCCGACGCCGGCCAAAAAAGAAGAGGACTGTCTGGACTACGGTTCCATATTTGAATTCTCTGCGCTAGATACAAGTGACCGAGCTCTTTGTTTACCCGCGAGGCCTTCTTCTGTCCTCTTGCCGCGGCGGTACTGGTTTGCTTCGAGTACGGAGAGGATGCTTGATTGTATGAGCTGTTACATTCTCCAGACAGTCTCGAGCATGTGTCGTTGTGAAGTAAAGCGGTACGATGCAAAGAACAGCGTAGGCGGAACGGCTTTTAGTGTTTTGAAAGCTGAATAGCGAAACACAAGGCGTCCAGCATAGCTTCGAGGTAGTACAACAGCGGGGATCGGCTTCACATCAATCAAAGAGTGACGGGGCGACCTATCCTATGTCACCACATGGGTAGAAAAGGGGATGCTGGGTGGGAGTGAGGGATAGAAGCGCGTTCCAGTGCCATGGGCTAGGTCTGCGGCCGACGGTGGCTCGCCCAGTCGACGGCGTCGTCTGATCGGTACACCTTTCTGTAGCGGTCGAGGTGTTGAGGTTCGCGTAGCACAGCGCGCATACCCCGAGGGAGCATTTCTGCATCACCACGTCATCTCGGGGTTTCGTTACGGGCATTGAAGCAGGCGGTTCCGTCAATGCATCTCACCCACAGCTGGCACCTTAACTACCACTTCCACAGCCTCTCGTCGGCTCAGCTTGTACCTTCAACCTCACCCGTACGATTCAGAAAAAGCCAAATCCGGGCAGAAAGAACACATACATCCAGGACCATGCTCTCCAGCTTCAAGGCCACGGTCATTCGTCGTGCACTTACGGCTGCACCCATACAGTGTAAGTCATCATCAGTGACATGGGCCGTGGACGTGCAACGAGTCTGAGCTGATGGAGTGGAGAGCAGCCGCGTCACGCAGCCTGCCAACTTCCGGCGTGCGCAAGGCTTCCTCGGTCGCTGAAGCTGGGGACGTCGATGCCAAGGCCGCCGAAGAGCATTTCGGGGAGATCAAGGCGACAAGTATGCAGTCGGCGGGTGAAGGTGGCGGAAAGCAGCACATGGGTGAGGCTCGCGGAGGCCAGAGCAGGGTGAAGCCATCATCGGAAAAGTCTCTCGACCCGGCGGATGATGGATATGGCATTGTGAGCGGAGGGCCGGGACAGTAGAACTCTCTCTCTCTTCCAACTTTAGCCGGTGTGAGCCGTTGCTTCTCGGGTAGCCATGCAGACCCGAGCCGGTCCCGGGAGATGATTGAGTACATATACATATATGCACGTGTACGCCTCTACCCGCAGCTATACCCGCAGCGATACTGAGGTTGGACGACGCCGGGCGGCCTGACTCGAACGCAGTCTCCCGAGTCTCGAACTGCGGTTAGAACTCCGGCTCAGAACTCCGTCGTCCCGGCTGCGGCAAGGCGCATTCACCGTGCATTCACTGTGCATTCACACCATCGGCGCCAAGAGCACGTGCCCTCGACCCTTCTCTCTACCCCAAAGAACACGACTCTGCCCTGCGAATGCGAACTTGGAAGCGTCCACACGTCCCATTGACACCGCGACCCAGCGCTGGGAGCCTCTGGAAGGCTGTCCCCGTCCTCGACCCACGCCCACGTCCGCGCCCACGCCCACCATCACGATCACGATCACGATCACGATCATCCGCCAACCCGCCGCGACGCCCACGGCTACATGCGCATCGATGAAAGACTCCGGGAATGAGACAGCGGGCTCACACATAGGGCTGCATGGCCACAAGCCCGCCTTGCAGGTCATCTGTCTCGGCAACAGCGGTGGCCCGAGTGAGGAGAACGTCACGGGCTTTCTTGTTCGCTCCGTGGGCAGCGAATGGGCCAAGAACTCGCTGCTGGCGGTAGACGCCGGCTCGCACCTTGCGCCGATCACGCGAATACTCGAGCGCTCCTTTCCCCCTCTCAGCGGTGGTGGAGACGGCCGGACAGACTCCAATGGACGACACCCTCTGCTCAATGGCAACAACAGTGCCAAGGAACCCTCGCCCACGTCTACCTCCCCTTCGTCCTCGATAGCAGAGGATGAGCTTCCGGAGCCCACGGTATTGTCGTCCGGACCCTTCGCCGGCTTGAAGCTTCCCAACAAGTCCGCCCGAGCAAACGCGCTGCACCTCCTCCGCACGTACATCACCACTTATCTGATCACGCACCCGCATTTGGACCATCTGTCGGGCTTTGCCATCAACACCGCTGCCTTTCATGCGACTTCAAGGCCGAAAACACTGGCAGCCTTGCCAAGCACCGTCAACGCCATCAAGGACCACATTTTCAACGATATCATCTGGCCGAATCTAACAGACGAGGATGGCGGCGTTGGATTCGTCACTTTCCAGCGCCTGAAAGAAGGTGGCGATGTAATGCTTGGGGAGGGCGAGGGCAGAGGCTACATCGATGTATGTGACGGATTAGGCGCCAAGGCATTCAAGGTGTCTCACGGAACCTGCACCAAGAGTCCACCGGCTCATCAGCATAGAGGAAGTATACCTGGGTTGTCCGATTCTCACCCTCCATACAATGGATCAATACAGGGCAGTTCTGGATCACAGGACCATGGTTCAGTAGCTGCACATCGCTCTCTGTCCATCACGCAATTGCATTCTACGCCAGGAACACCAGGAGGTACACAGAGGCCCAGCTTTCACGCAAGCCATGCTTCACCCTCCACCGCAGCACCTGCTTGCGAGTCATCGTGCGTCGTGGACAGCACGGCATTCTTCCTTCGCGACGAGCACACTCAGCGAGAAGTGCTCATCTTTGGGGACGTCGAGCCAGACGCACTGTCCATGATGCCGAGGAACAAGATCATCTGGCAAGAAGCCGCTCGCAGAATTGCTCACCGGCGTCTTGGAGGCATCTTCATCGAATGCAGCTACGATGATAGTCAGCCAGATGCACTCCTGTTCGGACACCTGAGCCCGAAGCATCTCATTGCAGAACTCAAGACACTCGCCGGGTTCGTGATGCAAGCAAAGGAAGACCTCGCGGCAGAGAGGGCGTCTAAGAAGCGCAAACGATCCGCAGCGAATGGTCTTGACAACTTCGCAAGGAACGCGTTCCCCGAGAAGGAGCGCAAGCGAAGTCACAGTCTCGTGAACAGGATGCTGCAAGTCGAGGACAAACGGCGGAGCAGTGCACCTGATGGAATGCTACCTGACATGTCCGCCGTGGTGCCCACATCGACTCCGCCGCCCTCGGATTCCAACAACCAGTATGACTTCCACGATCCCATCACGCACAGCATCGAATCCGCATCACCCAAGACCGTCTCTTTTCCGTCCTACATCAGCGGCGGTGGCGACAGCAGCGGGGACAGGAAAGCAGATCTGCCTCTCAGCGGCATTCGGGTGGTCATAATACACATCAAAGACACGATGAAGGACGGACCGCATGTGAGCGAGAACATCCTCGCGGAGCTGCAGGAGTCCGAACTCCGACTGCAGGCCGAGAGAGGTCTGGGGCTCGGGTGCGAGTTTGTCATTTCTCAGAGCGGGGAGAGCTATTGGTTCTGAGAGGGGGGGAGGGAAACTAATACTCATATGACCCTTTTTCTTCTTGAATGATTCGACGACGTTGACGTTGACGGTAGGGAGGGTGGGGGGGGGGGGGAGTAGAGGACTTTACGACAGGATAACAGTAGGCAAGGCAAGGCAAGTCAGGGGCGACTAGGAAGTACAGCAGCTCGTGTCATCACTGAGCGCACGGCACAGGCAGGGCCGGGGGGCGGGGAGGGGGAGAGAAGAAGAAAGGCGCTTCTTTGGGGTCTTGGGGAAATTCCTTTTTTTGGTTCTGTTGGGGCAAGCATATGATACATGCATGCATGACTCTGGGGTCTGGGGTCTGGGTCTGACTCCTGCAGCATTTTTTGTTTTCCTTGTTTCCGGGGAAAGGAAAGCTCTTCTTCTTGGCGCGCGGAGTGGGATCCGCGGAGTATCCATAGCTAGCTAGCTAGCTAGCTAGCATGTGAAAGTGGATGGATCCTCGGTCAGGATTTCTCGCGCCTGGCGTTGCTTGGTTTGGTTGGTTTGGTTGGTCGGTTGGATGGTTGGACGGAAGGCAAGGCAAGGCAAGGCAAGGCAAGGCAAGGCAAGGCAAGGCAAGCAAGGGGAACAAAGAGAATACGTTTTTGTGCATAACGGGCAAGGCGATAACAGGTTTTTGTGTTTGGTTTGGGGAAAAAGGGACCGTCGGTACAGGGCGGACGGACAGACAATGATACCTCGGAAAATCAGGGCGACGGGGAGTAGGGGTTGTTTGTTTGTATGGAATGGAATGGAATGGACATATTGCATTGTTTGTAGGATTTGGACGACTTTTTCTCTCAGTAACCTAACTTATCATACCGTGACCCTTCGAAGTTTCTCGATTTTGGGTTTTGCGGCCTTGAACTACGTACGATGCTCCTAGACGTTCATTTAGTGGAGCCGGTGGGCACGTCCAGCTTACCTTACAAGAGCAGCGCTCCTTTTTTTTTCTAGGGTCTGTCGCTGCTGCTGCTAAGGCGCACATGGTATACGGGTTTTCCTTGAGACCATCCATGAAAGGCTGGGCGTCCCCGGAGACCGGATGGAACCTTGCTCGGACTCAACAAAGCACAAAAACATCAAAACGACAATCCAAACAATAATGAGGTGTTTGTTGTTTCTTATTGTCTGTTGTGGTGTCACTTCTCTCCAGAGCGAATTTCAAAGTCTCTGATGCCAAGGTACAGGGAGCTACAGAGTTGGATGGAACCTGGTTCAGAGATCCTATGAATAGAGTTGCTGGTTGGTACTCGTTGTGACTGTAGCGAAAGTGGAATGGCACCCTGGATTGCCGTTTTGGTCGTTGTTAGGTTGCTCTCTTTTGTCTCCTCATCGATGTATCCGTCGTTGATCTTTGCTTCGGAATAAGCTCTACTGGTGTGCGTCGGATCCTGAGACCGATCTGTTGTTCCAAATAGCCGGCATCGTTGCAATTTTCCCCTGTTTCAAGAGATCATTCCGACTTTTGAGGACATCGATCTGCCATGTGGAAAGCGTAGAGACGAGCAAGTACGTTTGGAATGGGCGTGGACTCGAAACGCGTCAGGGCCGATTCTGCGATATTGGAAGCACTTGATCAGTGAAGGTACGGACAGCATCGCATTGTGGATTCTCCTGACATGGCTGCCATACGCCAGAAAGCAGGAGAGACCAGGTAGAAGACGCAGTGCCGATTATCGAGGAGTCTGACCGCGCTTCCATCAGCATGTAAAACAGGGCGCAGCGTTGAGGAGTGCCCGTCGTCGCCGTCCTGCCAACAGCCAACAGCCAAGCACGCCGTTTTTGGAGTAGAAATCGTGCAATCTGGAACGAGCGCAAGGTCAAACGCTGCCGTATCATCTCCGGTCATCAGGTCATGGCTCGGCTATCGTGGAGGTGGCGCTCGGGGTCGCTTCGTCCTGGGTTTCTCCGAAAGAAGAGCCAAGGGTGAGATGCTGCACGATGCTGCGAGATGGATGAAGTGGTGGGTGGAGGTGAGGAGAACCTGGGTATTGATCGCTGGCCGGAGCTGCAAACCTTTCGGTGCCGTGGCCAAGTCCGGATGAGGAGGGTGTGTCGGGGCAGAGAGAGGGTGGCGCCTAGCAGCTTTGTTGGAAGTTGGTTGTTTCCTAATACTAATCCAGAGCAGGCACTTGCGAGATGGACTGTAGTTGGCGACCCTGTCGCGCGATTGACTTTTGCACGCAGCCAAATTGAACCTCATCTTCTTCTTTTCCTGCTTTGTTCGTCCTGCTTCTTGGACACCTCACTTTCAATGCTTCTTGTCAGTCGCGTGCCACACAACCCAACTCTCTGCACCGTCCATGTCCGAGCCTGCTCATGGTCTGTATCGTGTCGAATCGTGTCGTGTCGTGTCATCAGCGGATTGCGACGCGGCCCCAAGGTGACGGTAGCTTGACAAAAGTTGACAATGTGAAACGCCTTCGTGAGCGGAAGTGGGCAATGCACGCAGGGATAGCATGCGTGGGTGGATCGCAGCGCTTGCGGAGAGGCGAGGATGCAGCCTTTCACGTGCAGCTGCTGACGATAAATCTGCACAATTGCATATGGCGACTCATGTTGGTACGCCGTGGTTGACCGAGACGCAGAAGCAGAGCAAATGCTCCATCCCTGCATGGCCCCATGGCCGACGACTGTCTCGTAGGTCGCCCGTCAGGCGCGCTCTCGAGACGATTCGGCCGCAAATCATGGAGCACAGCACAGCATGAGGGATAGTAGGTACAGTAGGGTGTGTTGTGTGTCTTGCAGGGGAGTTTAGCTAGCGTCGCATGTGAGCTGGATGCAGGCGGCCAATACGCATGGCGCAATGCTGTTCGTGCTGTTGCTCATCCACGAGCTCTGAGAAGCTTGTATCCACACAAAGCGGCAACCTTTTCGACCTTGGCTGGCGGAAGCCTCTGCGGCGTGAGCGTGTGCTGCTGCATCCGGCGTGGCGTGACGAGGTGGTGGTCATTCATCGACGGGTTTGATGCTAGAAGGCGGTCTTGGCGGAGAGGGTAGCTGGTGAGGGTAGTGCCGAGAGGTGCAGAGAAGCTGCCGCAGATCCGTGGGAACTTTTCCGTACTCGACCTCGCAGCGAAGTGTGTGGTGCTGTTGCGCTGCTGCTGAGCAAGTGGAGGGATTTGGGTTTGAGGCAGGCGCTCGATTGACTTTGATGGGGAGGACACAGAAGTCGTGGTCCGCAACAAGGACAGCGAGGGCGTCGTCAGCCCAACAGCGCACGCGGACATGTCTCCGCTCCGACGTTCAACGGCTCATGCTGCTGCCGATGAAGATGATGAGCGGAGCGCGGTCGTTGGATGGACGAGTGTTTCAGGAGGGGTCCGCGCGAGATGGGGACACAGGGACGGTCCAGCATCGAGATTTGTGGACTGATGAGAGCATCGCTGGCCTGGTTTGAAGCCGGGGGGGGGGTTGTTAGCGTGTGCTGTGTGTGGATAAATTGCGTGTCGAACCCTGCATCGTCTCGCGCGTAGCGGCCTGCGATTCGTCCTGGAGCGGCAGCGTGCGGCAGGCGTGCATCGAGGACTCGGGCGGGCAGAGGAAGGGCAGGAGCTAGGCCGACACGAGACGAGATGTGGATGTATCTGTCGGTAGTGTCAGAGTTCTCGGCCGTAGCTAGCTAGAATTATTATATCGTATAGCCGTAAATTATAGTAAAAGTATAGAAAGGAAAACTCGTTAAAAGCGAGCCTTACTTATTAAGGCTTAGCCTTCTTTATTAGAGTTTATATAAAAGACAGGTTAATAACCTATTAAGAATGCTATGGTTTTGTTCTTCGCCTGATTAGCTTTCACGCTTTCCCTCAATCAACAGTATTACAGATATCGTCGTCGGCTGCTTTTTGGCATGTGCGTGCGTCGGTCGGGGTGTGATGGACTAGTGCAGTGAAGCGCAGCGCAGCGCAGTGCAGTGCAGTGCGGTGCGGTGATGTTGTTTGTATGGGGATCGGAATGCTTCTCGCGCTGCTGCACTGTACTGTAGGACAATTTCGTGCGGCAGGGACACTCGTATCGCATTCAGGAACCAGCAGGCAAGGCAAGGTCTGTTCCGAGGCTGGGAGGGCGGAATGGCCAGAAGTGTTGGTCGGGAGAGCGAGGAGTCAGCCGTTGCGGAGAGGAGGAAGGGGCGAGATCAAGATGGCTCTATAGCAAGGTAGGCGGCAGATGTGTGCGATGGGACTAGATACGACTGGCGACGACGCGGTCGTGAGGAGGATGATGAGAACAAGACTGTGAAGATGAGAAGAAGAAGAATACCTGGAGACTACTACTACAAGCGCACAGGAGACAGACGCGAGCCAGTGTACCCACCACCCACCTGTGCACCCGTATTCGAACGATGATCCAGGCACTAGCCCCCATCCGGCTAGCGCGCCCTGCACGGCTCTCACGCCCTCCTCTCTCCTTCCTCCTCACTCTCTCATCAGGCCGTCTCTCTCTCTCTCCTCTCCTGCAGACGCCGCTGCACTTCGAGCTCGTCGTCGTCTGGCCGTCCATTCCATTCCATTTTCTTCTCCTTCACCACCTGCACTCCCTCTGCTTCGCTTGTCCGGCGTATATTATCACTCCACCCATCATCCTCTACTACGCCCCCCTCCCCATCTCACCCGGCGCTCGAACTTGTTTCCCGATGCAATTGGGGCGGCCAGGGAGCAGCAAGTCCTAAACATTCGCTTCGCTAGGGGGCGCTCTCAGACCAACTCGCCTGAGATTGTCTCTGCCTCGCCTTCCTTCCACACCGCACATCCCTCCTCACTCCCTCCTCACAGACCGCGTCTCCATCACCACCACTACCACCGTCCTCTCCATCCGCACACGCCGCAGTCGCGACCCTCGCTGCTGCCGCCCATGCCGTTCTGAACTCTTGCCAGTCCGCTTCGGCAGGACGCTCTTTCTTCGCCAGCACACGAGGAGGACACCTCCCACGCCGCCACCTACACCACCACCATCCAAGGTACGTCCGCTCTACTCCCTCCCTCCCTCCCTCCCTCCCTCCCTCCCTCCTGCCTGCCCGCCCGCCTGCACGCTCAACGAGACGGCCAGCCCCGTCACCTTCGCCTGCCCGTCTCGCCCCTCCCTCCCCCCTTCCCCCCTTCCTCTCCCCACCGAATCACTCCTCTGCCACATGGTCTCCAGCGAACTGCCCCCCAACACCCGTCTTCCACCGCAACAGGGGGCTCTTATCCGCTTCCAATCCCATCCAACCCGCTTCCACCGCGACCCTTCACGCTCCTTTGCACTGCCAGACCACACCTGCTCAGCTTCGTCCCCTCGACATTTACCCGAGTGCACCGCGTACTGACTGCTGGCCGGCTCAGACGATAGACAGACATCTTCCTCGCCAAGCCTTCTCGAGACCCATTCCTCTCCCACCATTCCATACCCACCTACCTCTTCCGCCGCGGCAGACTCAATGGCTGAGGTACTGCCGCCTCTTATGCAATCCTCGAGCACCATCACCATGTTGCATTCTCGCCCCTCGTCCTCCGACGCGTTCCAGGGCTCATCACCACAGTATTCCCAACAGTCTCCAAGATCGGGACAGCAGTCCCGCAGCATGTACAATGGACAAAATACGGGATACAGAGGCACAGCTGCCGCCCCGGTGCAGGCCTACGCGTTTCAATCTACGCCCAACCTGCGGCAGGATATGCGCACTCAGCCCGCCGGCTCAGCTTCGGCGTCATCACATGGAGCGATTGGAAGTCACAGACACGTTCACACACAGTCGGCTTCTGCCTCGTCTACCACGTCTTCGGATAATTCATCACAGCCATCGGCCAAGGATGATTCGGTCATGGGCTCGCGAAATGGCTCGCTGATCAACTTGTCCTCCAGCATTCCAGATCTCTCCCTCACCTCCTTTGACCAGCCGGCCAAGCCTTCACCAGACAGGTATCGTCGTCCGGCCCAGAAACGCGCCGAGTCTGGAAGTGTGACGCCCAAGGCCTCGTCTCAGACCGCCAGCTCTGCGGCGCCTTCGGGGTCAGGAACGGCCAGCGTCAGCCACTTGACGCAGCAACAGCCTTCACTACAACGGCAGGAGAGTGTGGACGACATGGTCATGAACAAGAGCAGCAACTCGGAATTGGCCAAGAGATACCGACGACGCAGCTCGAACAACTTTGACGCCTCGAACTTGCAGGTGTCTACTGGAGCTCAGCGGCCAGCAACAGGCGAAGGCAGCAGTGCGCAAGGTGTCGCTTCGACGCCGCCAACTATTCGACCGGTTTCCTTTCATCAGCGGAACGGAAGTGATGACAGCCAGTCGTCTCAGCGGCGAAAGGACTCCGCCCTGCAAGAGAACTCGAAGCCTTCTGCATCTCTCAAGCCAGATCAGAAGGGCGTCGTCTCTGTCTCATCACGCACGTCAGCTGAGACAGGCAAGCGGTTAAAGACGCCTTCTCCTCTGTCCAAAGAGAATGTCGACTCTACCGATGCTACGCCGGTTGGCTCGCCCGCTAAGCCCAAGACCTACGCTGCCGCCGCCCAAGCTGGCGTCAACGCACAATCTGCCGCCGCACAGCATCTGGCCGCTGTCTCCGACAAGGACTTGAATAAAGGTATGAAGTCGCGACTACGTCGTGCCTTCTCCTTCGGCAGCGCCCAGGAGTTACGCAGAGTTGCTGGGGAGAACAATGGCGAAGCTGCAGCCCATACTGCCCAGCAGACCAGGGAACAGCACCAACAGCACATCGACGAAGAAATGGACGCCGAGCAGCAGGAGATTGCTCGAAGACAGGAAGCCGCTGGAATTGGTGCTGGCATCTACTCCGGCCAAGGTGGTTTCACCGGCTCCACGGACAACCTTTCCATTTCATCCACGGCCTCCTCGGCCTCGATGATGCTGCGCAAGATGGGCCGTGGCGCGAAGAAGAGTGCTAGGAGCATCAAGGGTCTCTTCCGGCCCAAGTCAGTGATCGGCGTGCCAGCTGCAGATGGGCCGATTTCGGGTGCTGGCGCCGCTGTTCAGCCGAGCGTAGCCCAAGTGTCCATGGTGACCGTCGAAGCGGAGAGACAGAAGGTCAACGTCACCGAGCATGCCGCCCAGACACCACAAGGCATTACTGGCTTCCCGAAGCTGGAGCGCAACTCCATTGATGCGGCGCGCACTACTCACATCTCCGCCTCGAGAGGGTCCGCCGATGGTTCAGATTCCCTATCGCGTCGGAGCATCGTTGGAAGCGACAAGGATCGTGCAGAAGTCCTTGCCGCCGGCAAGAAGAGCATCCTCAAGCGCACGGGCACTGGCTCGCCGAGTGGATCGCCTGTTATCAAGCCCAACGACGCCGTCGGCCTTCAGGCTCCCACCGTCTCGTCTGAAAGCCCAGCATCCAGCATGCCGAGCACTCCGAAGGACAGCCAGAGCAGGAACGATTCGATGAAGAACATCAATGCAAATGGAGCTGACTACTTCTCTCAAAAGCTTTCGAGAGGTATCACACCAAACGGTACGAACCGGAACATCTCTTTCAGCCCTCGAATCCAGTTCCACGATGCCTGGTCGAGCTCCGAGTATGACCGACGTGGTGAAATCGCCACTTGCAACCGCCTTACGCCCATGTTGGCCCAACAGATCAAGGAAGAACTGAACACCTTCAAGATGGTATGTCTTCTTCTCCGGCACTACGTCTCAACGACTTTGCTAACACTTTTTCAAAGGAAATGGAAGTCCACGAGTCGAGCAAGCCGCACACGCATTTCTTCTAATGACAATGGAGTCGCCTGAATGGTCGACGACACGACACGCACGCAGCGGGAAGCATCACCGCCCACAATAGCATTTCCTCTCTGGTTGGCGGGCAGGATTAGGATATTTCACTAATCTCGAATTGAACATGGGGACCACCGGCGTCTAGGGTATGAAAGGGTTGCAGAGAAACAGGCGTCACTGAAACGGGAAATCTTTGGAATGGGTCCTTCTAGCCCCGCTGACTTTGCTTATTGTCTCCTGGATTAGCGATTGCATCTTGCAAAGGCCTTTTTGGGTGTGGAGGAAATGGGATGGAAGGATGGAGTGTGAGGATAAGAGCGCACTCATGGTCTGCTTTGTACTTGATCGTCAATACATTGGGGTTGAACAACACCGACAACAACGAGACGGAAAGAAGTCCTTCGACAAGGTACCCCTACTACACGACGCGGGGGTGCAACTTTGCTCTGGTTGGACTACATGTTACTGTCTTGCGATAGAAGTCCTTGGAGAATGGCGGGCGAATGGAGGAGACTGATGTGGAAAGAAGAGATGATGCCGCTGCCACGGCTGTTGCGCAAGAAGAAGTGTGTGCGAAGTGAAAGAGAGGCCTGTTGACAAGTATTTTTATTTTTATGTGTGAATAATGGAACGGAGGGGCTTTGGTCTGGCTGGGCTTGTCCGCATTTTCTTTCTGTTGCTCCGCATTTCTTTCTGTTGCTCTGGCAGCTCGGAAATCCAGATTACATACATACCGTGAACATATCACGGGTTTCAGAGCAGATTAGGGCTTGACGACGGAGGAGGTGTTGTATTGTATTGTATTGTGGATGCTGTTGCATGCCGTTGTGTGGATTGTGTGGAGGCGAGGAGAATGAGTGGCCAGTCCAACGGTTCGTCGGTGTGTTCCTTTCGAATGCACATGTATGTATGTATGTATGTATGTATGTATGTATGTATGTATGTATGTATGTATTATGCTTGTGCGTGTCACACTGTGTACGCAGTGATTCTATTCTTGCAGTTCCTGCTCTTTGGACAGACAGTTCACGAGACTGGTCCTCTTTCTTCCTTTCCTTCTCTACGTTCTCCTTGTTCGACTGGTACGGTACGGTACGGTACACCATTTTCTCATATCATTCTCCGGCGGGCCGAGTCCTGTTTGTTGTGTGTGGTCACTGGTGGTGGTGGCGACATTTTGCTTGCGGGATACTAGCGCCGGGGGCGGCGTTCACAGATTTGAGGGGAAAGTGTGGAAGGGAGCGAGTCGATCTTCAAGTTGGGACTAGTATCCCGATGGTGCATTTCCTAGTGCGACGGCGATATATGTGTACTTCATCTCCTCCCTCTCATGATTCCAGCAGCAGCATCATCATCATCGCCATCGCTCATACGGACCAACTCTGCCATCGATCAAATCCCGTTTTTCTGCAGGGAAGAATCGAACGCTTGGACATATATATCCTGGGTCGTCGGGCAGTCGCAGTCGTATTATTACCAAGTCACCCTCAGAAGACAAGACAAGACAAGACCATCATGGCTGCGGTCCTGGTGATCTGGGCGGGTGTGGAGTTGAAGAATTATATTGCCAAGAAAGAGGCGCAGAAGAAGGGGAAGAAGGGAAAGAACGAGGAGAGATATGAGGAATTGAGGGCCGAGACGGCGAGGCGGTGGAGTGGGTATCGGGCGATGCCTGGGTCGTACGAAGAGGAGGACGAGGACGAGGATGAGGATGAGGAAGGACGCCGGAGCTTGCGGGGACAGCTGCCGTCGTATGAGCAGAGCGTGGCGGCGGATGCGCAGAGGGCATCTTCTTCTTCGACGACGACACGCACACGGACGAGGAGGCGACCGAATGCCGTCAAGAGGCGTGGTATGCCTGCGGATCCCTCTCTCCGTGAGGCCTTCCGCTCGTTTGTTCGTCGAAGGGATTGATGAAGACGCAGGACCGACACCTTTTCCTCCTTCCTTCGACGAGATACCTGACTTGACTTTGATGAAGGAAGGGCTTTCATCGAAAGGAGGCGTCGTCGGTTTAAGCTTCGCCGCTTGGGACGACAAGGCCGAGGTGGTTCTATATCATTCTTTCTTTCTTTCTTTTCGAGTATCCCGCGGAGTAGTCCTGGGCGAGGGAAGAGCTGACCTCGCTTCGTCTGGATGTGGCAAAAGACCATGGGGGGGCAGCGCCATATTTTCAAGGTCAAGACGCTTCCAAAGATTTTTGCGTGGCCAAGAAGATGAGGAAACGATGTTCTGAATGAAATGATGATCAACGACGACCCATGAAGCCGGAGTGGAAACCTCCATTCACACACAAGAGATGCTGTCGCTTTGAAAAGATATATCGACAGCAGCAATGCAGGGCGCATGAACGCTCGAGCCTTTTTTTTGAAGATTCCACCACCTTCGCAACAATACAAATTCGAATGACTCCTTTTTTTTTTATTTTCTAACTTGCGTGACGGGACGGGGTGTCCGTCCGTCCTGAACGTCAGCTTCATCATTGAATCCCTTACACCTCAAAAACGGCAACATGCGATTACCAGATCTGTGTGAAATGAGGCGGGCGAGGAGAACCTTTTTTCATGGACATGGACATGGGGCCTTTTCCTCCTACTACCTTACTACTGCTACTCTGACACCCCGGTCGCGGTCGCGGTCGCGGTCGCGGTCACAGCCGAGACGGCAACCCACTCTCGATCACAGATGATGACACGCGACCATCTATCTCGTACTGATTGATGCTAGAGCTAGCTACACACAACGAAGTCGCAGCAGGATATTAAAACCGGGCTTGGATCTCCGCGGAGAGGAGAGGAGAGGAGAGCAATGAATAATAAGACAAAGTCATCATCAGACACATGTTGACATGCTCGCTCTGATGATGAATGCTCGAGCAGCAAATCGGAGTTCTCGGTCAAGGCCAAGGGCAAGGCAAAGAAATCTCGCGAACCAAAACAAACCCTACGATCCATCAATCTCGATCGATGGTTGGGCGTCGATGTTATGATTTCTTGTCATTTATTTGTTGGGAAGCCCCTGCCCCTGCCCACCACAGCACACCACAGCACAGCACAGCCACCAGGAGCGAAATTTCCCACACGAGAGCGGGTATTCCATAGAATTCCCCAGTATGCTTTCTGTCCAGGGGCTCTGCTCGGTGCAGGAGGGAGATGTGGCAAAAAGGCGGTTGTTGACAATGAGAAGTTGTATTACCAGTTGCTTCCCCTTCCACCAGGCAACGGCATCCGACGGATGATTCCTTGCCACGGTCAAACCTCACACCTCGACCATGAAGCGGCTATGACACAGCGCGTCGAATCGAGTCGAATCGAATTGAGTCGAGTCAGAATCGTGTCATAATCGTCTCGTCCAAACCCCGTACACAGCACAAAGGTCTACAGAGTTTTCCCTCCTCCTCCTCCTCCTCCTCCGGCTCCGGCATCCGATAAGAGAGATCATGAGACCAATGTTGTATGCAGCAAGGGGGTGCAAGAATTGCTGGGGGGCCGGGGGAGGGCACATGGAGATTTTCGGGTAGTTAGTTAGCTAGCTAGCTTAGCTTTGCTTTTTTACCTCACCTCACTCTCGGAGCCGAAACTTGCTGCAGCCCTCGTCACATCGCGTTTCGTCGGGCGCGGAGGACCTGACTGACTGACTGACTGACTTGACTGACTCCATGCCGATTATCTCCTATGTGCGTGTCTGTGTGTTATTGGCACAGGGGGGGGGGGGGGGGGGGGGGGGGGGGGGTGGGTGGGTGTGTGTGTGTGTTTACAAATATAAAAAAAAAAATATATAAAAATAAAATATGATAATAAAAAAGAATGTTGTTGTTGTGAAGGATGGATGTTTTTCTTTGCCAGCCAGCCGGGCCTCGAGCGAGCAAGTCCGGAAGCACAGCGCAGCCCCGACAGCGCAGCCCAATTATCGACGGAAACGTAGCACAAACGGCAGCTGCGTAGACTAGCGTCACGGGTAGGAGGTAGGAGCGACGAACACGTCGCACGGCAGGGCAGGTGCAGCTCTGGACCACAGCCGCGGGTCGGGAGAAGTACTGTAAAATAGGTAAGGTAAGGTAAGGTAAGGTAAGGTAAGGTAAGGTGATGTGTAGAGTAAGTAGACCAGCTACATACATCCCATCCATCGCATCCAGCCATTGCAATTATTTACATCCACTCGTTGGCCTCGTCGTTCCTCCGCCGTGCAGCCAATGAGAGAGAGAGAGAGAGAGAGCTCCCCCATCGGCGCACCGCATAGACATTTGTTAGTAGTCATCATACAACCCTTTCCCATCTCGCGCCCTTTGGGGAAAATGCAACTCCGTGATTAAAGTGATTCTTTGGGTTCGCCGTTTTCTCCTCTTTTTTTCTCTCCCCATGCATTTACATTACAAGGTACAAGCAGACCGCGCATTGCGCGCGTGCGCAAGCAACAAGGTCGTGGTATCTCAGTGAAAAAGAAGTCGGCATTAGAAGGACATCTCGCCGGCGTAGGCTTTCGGAACAGAACGGATGGTTCCCCTCTGCACAAAGCGCGAGCAAGCAAACCGGTCCATTCGTGCATGCAGTGGTAGCAGCAAGTAAGCAGTGTCTAGCTTATATCGTATCCCATTCGCACCAAACTCATGCCGTGGACGGACGGAGCGGACAAGACAGAGGGAATTCCGTCGCGTGTGTGTCATGTGTGTTGTTCGAGATTGGTTGCCCAGAGTCATCTAATTGGTCGTAAAACAACGCCAAAGGAAGGGGTGAACTGCATCACCGGCTTCTCGCGACAGCGGACGAGGAGGTTTCGGCACCGGCTTCTGCAGGAGTCGTGCTCTCTGGGTCCAGCTGAGCAAGGCACTGAAGTAACACTGGAAGAGTGGGATTAGCACAGCGTTCTCGCGACGCGTCGAGACAAGGCCAACACTCACGATCCATAATCTCCTCTTCCGCTACACCCATCTGATAGTCCACCAGCCCGTGTTTCTCCACGCTGTCGCAAAGTCTCACCAGCTCGCGTGAGAGTGTCTGCAGAATCTGCTGGCTCATGATGGAGCGTGGCTCTCGCACGGGCTGGTGATTCCCGATCCACTCCTGTGTGAGGTCGAACTGCGCCTGTAGTGTCGAGAGCCACGCTCGGTTGAACTCGTCCCACAGTCGGATCCGCTCGTCGTGCAGGTTATCGTCGTCTCTCGTCAGCCCTGGACCTACAAATCAGCTCTAGTACGAAGACAGCAGCCCATGCGCACACCGTACACTCACCCAAAGCTTCCGCATTGCCCAGGAGATAGTGCGCGCATTCGATCAGAAGATTGCCGACGTCGCGCAGCGAGCCCTCCCGGACCTGCGTGAAGATCGTGCGGATCTGCGCCTGATAGTTGTTGAACGCCTGGTCGATCGACTGGTTCGACTGAGGCGTGTATTGCGTCGCGTACGCGGAGTACGCGCTCGGTTGCGTGGGATCGATCATCGCACTGGCATACGACGAAGAAGGTCCGGCCTGCGCGTACGCCGCGCTCTGATATTGCGAAGGCAGATGCGGTGCCGCCAGGTCGGGCACCGTCGCACTGGTGGGAACTGACTGTCCTGCAAGGTAATACTGCGCGGTCTGCGCACCGCCGAATTGGGACGCCAGTGTCTCGGACGCCGTACCAGGCCGTGGTTGGGTGTAGCGTGAGACTGGGTCGTAGGGCGACTGCGCAGCCTGCTGGCCGGGCTGAGTGATGCCATACATAACGTTGGACCCGTACTGTCCGTACTGCTGCGAGTCCGACTGGCGCGCCACGTCCGGACTCGGCAGATCGGACGGATACTGCATCGACCCTGCCGGAGCAGACCCTCCGGCGCCGTATTGTGAGCTCTGCGCGAAGCCATAGACTTGCGCATCGCCGCTTGCTCTTCCCGTCGAAGGAACCGTATTGGGAGATTGCTGGAGGTACGAGGACTGGCGGAATCGCTCGACGGTTCCGGGAGCGGTGTACTGGCTGCTGGTCTGTCCGCTACCATGCGACTGTTGCTGTGCCGTGTATGGATTCTGCGCGTACTGTCGTCGTGATGGATCATTATAGTCCATCACAAAATTCAAGGTCGAACGGTCCCAATCTAGCCCTTCTTTCCGCGACGCCAACGGCGAGAAAGGCGGTGATGCATAGACAGTCGCCAGGTTGAAGGTCGGAGAGGGTCGAGGGGCGCGAAGAAGTCAAGTCGAGTGAAGCTCGACGTGAAGCCAGAGGACAGCAGGCGTCCAAATATGGGGTGTGCCTCGGAGACGCGTGGGCCGTCGGGCGGATGCGTGAAAGGCGGTTCTGGCTACTGGCGCGACTCGTTGCAAGAATGTTGTGGCCTGAACGCCAGATGCCAGATGCCTGTTCCTAGTGATGCCCAAGAGCGCTGGGTCTGCTGGTTATAGGCAAATCGGTCACAGGAGATGGAGGTCGGAGATGGCCACAGGGCAGAGGTGAACCGTGAGTGAGGGCAGAGCAGAGAGATGGCCTCTCCGTCCGTTCGTATGGCTGGTGATGAGATGAGCTGACGGGAGCGGGAGCAGGAGCAGGAGCAGGAGCAGGAGCAGGTAGCGGCTGCGAATTGGTGGATTGGAGGGTGGATTTCACGAAAAAAGCGAGCGACTGGGTGGGCGGTCTTTGAAGGAGCGACGAAACGAATGTGCATGTAGTAGCGGGATTTGCAAGGCCTGGCAGCAGCGAGAGAATTGCAATGCGCAAAGGACAGCAGCCAGCGGGCGTCTGGTCGCTCGAGTCGGTCGCGGGTCGTATCGTGTGGAAGGGGACAAGGAAGCAGAGCCGGCGGATCGGACACTGGGGCCCAGATGCCCTTGCTCGCGGCGCGGTGGGATTAGAATTCTGGAAACGCAAGGCGTGAAACTGGCTGCTGAAAAGTGAGGCTCTGAGCGGGAGGTGGTCGACGTGTCGTGTCAGGCCCTGGACTGCACGACAAGTGAAGCACGCGGTCGGGTGGTCGTGAGCCTGGGCGGGCGGAGGAGGTAGTAGTGGAGGTGGTGAAGGAGAAGAGGGAGGGGAGTGGCACGCGGAGTGGAAGGGAGAGATGGATGTTGGAGTGCAGGATCATGTGCAGTGCCGAGCCGTGCAGTCAGTAGTAGGAAGGTTCAGTCAGTAGGCTAGACTGGCGCCCGGCACGCAGATTCTAGTCTAGCTCGCCGTAGCTGATGGGGGGAATGGTGTAAAGCGTCGAAGCTGTCAGTAGCGTGCTCGTCGACACATGACAGGGATGAGGTGCGGTCGGGTGTGGGAGAGGACAACGATGGGGGACGCCGTTCACGTGCCGTGGCCGTGGCCGTGGCCGTTACCGTTTCCGTTGCAGTCGCTGTGGCAGCTGCATCGGTGGCAGCCCAACGGACATGAATCGGGGTTCATAACGCAAGAGAGGCGCAAGCTGGAGAGACGCGGCCATTATTGGTGCGGGTGAGGTGTTGCGAGCGCGAGAGCGCGAGATGACCCAGCACACCGCGCTCTCGGCCTAGTGCTACCGAGGGGAGGCCCAGCGGCAGCAGAAGGACGCCTCCAGCAGATGGCGGCCTCCGAGTGTGCCGTTTGTCCATTATCGACGCCCAGGGTCGGTCGGGTCGCATGGCATGTAGCAAGGCATGTAGCATGGCCATGGCAGAGCATGGCATGGCATGGCATGGCATAGCATAGCAGAGCAGAGCATGGCAGAGCATGGCATAGTATGGCATGGCATGGCATGGCATGGCATGGCATGGCATGGCATATAGCATGGCCGGCCATATGGTCATGCGGCGGGCGTCGATGACAGCGACTGCGAGCGACTTCGCTCCGCTTCCCTTGCCTTGCCTTGCCTCCCTTCCCTGCCCTGGGCTGCCCTTTCCTTCCCCTCCACTCCACTCCGCCTGGGCTCATCTCATCAGAGGTGTGTGGTGGGCTGTAGCCGGTGAGGTCAGGGCCGATGTGGGCAGCTGCCGGGCAATAAGGTTCCTGCTAGCGATGCGAAAGGACCTGAGTCGACCGGCCGGTCCTGCCACCTGGGCTACCCTACCGTCATCATCAACAACGTCAACCGTCAATGACAACCGACCCCGCCAGCGCAACACCGCCGCCCATCACCGTTGCGACCGCATGTCTGTCCGTACGCTGCGTAACGTGACCCGGCATGCCCGCTGCTCGCCCTCTCCCTCTTCCCCAGCGCGCACATGCGAACACGCGCCTGCATGTCGAGACTCAGCGACCCGCCCGCCACCCCAATGCTTTCCGCCAGCCTGCACAGAGTTTGGTATGGCGCCACTTCTCCTCTGGTGCGACGCGCTCACGTCCCTGTTCCTGCAGAAGCCGTTGGTGCCTTGACTCTCTCCCCTCCCCTTAAGAGAATCTCGGTGATCCCAGCTGCAACCCATCCGACTGGCCCGCCGCCATGCCCCAGAATTCGCCTGAGCCTTCTCCGCCCGTCCGCCCCTCTCCGCGCTCCTGCTTCTGCTGCTGCTCCTGGCCGTGTGGCTCGTCAAACGCAACCGACACGCGTGCCTGCTGACAAGGAAACAAGATGTCATGGATGTGAAGGCGAGGCCCCCAAAAGAAACGCCCTATGGTCGATGGCTGCGACATGTGAAACTTGGTCGTTGGGCACGACGACCACGCAGATCTGCGGCGGCGTCGGACGGCGGCACGTTGGTCGAGGCTTAGGGTCACGTGGCGGTCGCGGTGGAGCCGCCAGTCTGAAACACCTCCCGACCGCACCTGCATCGGTTACACTTTCGCCTGCTTGCTCCTGCGAATACATCAACCGCCCTCGCAAGTCATGCAATTACCGCAGAGACGAACCTGCCGAAATGGGTCAGCCGGACGGTGGAACGACGCGCGAGGCCTCGGACGAGAGCCCGGGCGTCGCTAATCAAGAAGGTACTGTAGGTAGGGAGTCGATACATCGCACGCGACAGATACGAAGACGCCCACAAGAACAACCGCATTCTGTTACCTGCCGTCACACAGCAGCCCACACAACAGAATCTCCCCTCTCTCACTGCTGCCAAGCCAGTCTCAAGCTTTCTCGCGCCAAACAACCAGAGGATTCACAGTCTAGCGCGCATCTCACACATGCTGCTGCTGTGCTGTGCATACGTCTCAAAAGATGATCGTCGTCGCATTCTGCAGACACTCTATCTCGGCACTGGGCACTGGCACCCATCTGCAAGATCACTGCAGCTGTCGGGACAAGGGAAATTTTCTTCAGCCACATCACAAGCGCGTAATCCTTCCTGCCCGCACCTGCACCTGCCCCTGCACCTGCACCTGCACCGCACCGCACCGCACCGCACCGCACCCCCCAACATCACATCACTGATTAAGGCAAGGTAATTAAAAATGATCGGGCGATTGACGACAAAACCTCCTGGTCATATATCGCAACCCGAGCTTCTCCATCTCATCCATCTCATCCATCCACCGCGTCCATCCGTCCAGGCCAGTTTTACACAGCAGCCTCCGCCAGCCTCGTTTATTATTATTGCTTTGCATGGCGGCAGCCGCAGCCCTCATCACTGTGAATAATAATGCCCCAAAAACGACATCATGTTGTTGTGTGTGAGACTGCGGATACCATCGGCCCACCGAGACAGTGGCATGCCACTCCACGTATCGCGTATGTTCCAGAAGCCCGGTCGTGGAACGCCCTTGCACACTTCTGAGGCATTCGCCCTCTCAGCGCATGACAAGAGGAGCCACAGTCAGCGTCAGTGCGTCGTTGCAGATGATTGTCGCAGATCGGCCTGCTCCGCAAAGAGCCGCACAAACATACTATGTGCTATATTGACAGCCGTGTCATGGCCTCGCCAGAGTCCTAGGACCCTTTCGAGTAGGAACTTCGACACTCTTCTCTTCATCGTGCTCTGCAGACGATTGAGATGTGAGAGCATGGGTTGGTTTCTTAACGACTCTCATCAAAAGGCCAACTGGACGACCAGCGGGGAAACACTCTAGACGTGGCCTGTCTAAAATTTCTCCCCTCTCGCGTCCTCTCATGAATCGCTTCTCCAACAAAATTGCATTTTCGTATTTCTCTACTTTTCCTTTACCGACGCGCCCCATTCCGAAACCTATGCCGCCGTTTTACTCTTCCAAAACCTATCCTGTCAGGTAACTCAACACCGTGGAGGGTGTGTTTGGGGTATCATCACGTCACGCGACTAAAACAACACACTTTTCGTGTCTGAAATTGTTGAAAGTTGTTGAAACATCGAACTCGGATTCAAGCTCGAAGCGTGAAATCACTTGGTAGCGGTGTAGGCCTTCTTTGGGAAGGGGAACCTGGGATTGTCATCAGTCAGAGAAAGGCCGTCGTAGAGGTGATAATCCAACGGAAGAAATGGCACATACGATGGTCCCAGCTCTCGCAGACTCTGAGCCGCCAGCCACTGGCCCATGTCGACGCAGGTTTCAAGGCTCTCGCCCTTTGCTACGCCGGCGAAGAAACCGCCAGCAAACGCGTCGCCGGCTCCAGTAGTGTCGACGATCTCGTTCTTGTCGATTGGGTGGACGGGGAAAGACTTGACGTTGTCGTCGCCCTGGACTGCAACGACAGTCGACTCAGTTCCCTGAGTAATGATGGCGACGCGCTTGCGCTGCTTGTTCTCCTTCGGCAGATTGGCCAAGGCCTTGGCAATGGTGGGGATGTCGTGAGTGTTGAGGTCGTGCGAGTCAGCATACGAGGTGGCTTCTGTCTCGTTGCCGACAACGTAATCCCAGTAAGGTGCGGTCTGATCGAGTGGCTCCTTGAAGAATTGAGGGATGAATGGCGCCGACAGAGAGAAGATGAAGGGCTGAAGCGACCGTAAGCCTGCTGTTCTGTCGGAGACGTTTTCGGAAACAACGACTAACCTTGTTCTTCTTTGCGGCTTCTTCGGCAAGCTTCAGGACAGCGGGTACGCAAACTGTAAGGTGGTATCCCCCCACAAAGTATGCCTTGGCCTTCTCTGCGACGTCCCAGTTCTCATTCAGATGCTCAATCTTGTAGCTGTTGGCCGCAGCAAGATCCGTGCACATGCTTCGATTGTGTCCCGTGACGATGACACCACATCGCCCAGTGGGCTCTTTCTCATCGTAGCGGTAGCGAACGGCAAGACCGGCTTGCTTGTTGGCATCTTGCAAGATATCGGCGTATTTGTCCTTTCCGACGCAGCCGAAGAAAATGACAGAGTTGTCTGGGAGCAGATACTAACAGCATGGATCAGCTCTGTCGTGTCAATTATGGCCACTAGAGTCAGGTTTAGAGTGGAAGCAAGGCCCTTCCTCCTGTCTATTACTGCAGTATTAAGACCGGCGTACCTGAGCACCTCTTGCGCTATTCTGAGCGGCACCTCCGGCCAGGAGCTTGGCATTGCGGTTCTTGATCAGCTCATCGTACAGCGTGAGGTGGTTCTTCTCGGCCAGGATGGCATCGTTTGCCTTGAGGCCGTATTGGTTCAGCAAGGCCTCGTCTCTGCATCGGACAGGAAACCGTCGGTCAGTTTCATCGGCCACTGGTCTTTCTGCTCTCCGCGAGGAGCCGCCGGAAACTCACCCTTCGCCCTGGATATCGAGCAGCGGATTCTCGAGGAAGAGAATGTCGTAGCTGTGATCGGAAGACATGTTGGCCTGGTCACGAGATCAGGTTGTAGTGAGGGTGTCTGGGCGTTTGCAGTTTAGCGAGAAGGTGTTTGTTGAGAAAAAAGGCGTCGAGATTTTGTGGAATCGGCGAATGGCCCCCTCGCTAAGGTAAAGCGCCTTCCTCCCCACCACAGCACTGTCGTCACGGCCCCCGTAGCGGGCATGGCGGGGCATTTCCACGACTTTCCCCTCGCTTACCGGACTCGGACTCGCCAAACGCCGAGCGCCAACATAGATGTCTAGTAGGAGAGCATAGTGTCTCCTCAGATATGTCTTGTGGTCCGTTCCACCTCATTGGATCTTCTCATTATTGTGTATATCTAGATACCAAAGCAAGAGACGACCAGGGCGTCGAGGGTATCAAACACCGCCAATGCTACGCCGGCCCCATGGCTGCTTGAACGCGAAAATTCATCATGTACGTACGATCATGACCCATCCTCCATCTGTTGGGGTTTTGGTCGTGTGTGCCCTCAGGGCGCTCATGGAGCCTGCCACTCACAGAAAAATGAGATCAACATTACTGAAGTCAGGCGGACTGCGACGGAACACCACGCGGCCTTTGCCATCGAGAGCAGTACCCTCGTTACTCATCCAGATGTTCGTCCTGTCCCTCTTCATGCCCTTCTCCTCCTCAACTTCAACCGTGCTCATCTTCTTCGCTCGCTTGATCTCATCATCACTTACGCCGAGTGCATCCCGCGGAATCCATACGACAGGACGTCTGGCACGAAGTGCGCTGTGCTGGAACGCATAGCGGACGAGCAGGTCGCGCTCCTCCGGGGTAAGATCTTCCAGTTCATCGGCGAAGCCAGAGAAGAGGATGTCGCCGACAGTATGCTGCGATTCGGGATCGCGCCTCTCTTGATCCTGGTCAGCACGTCTGCCGTCCGCCAAGAAGCGCAGCGTGTTCACAGCCTCGGGGGCGACCTTCTTCCACTTCTCCGTGGCCCAGAGCGGTTTTGCGTCCTTGCGACGATGCCAGCTATCTTTCATGGTGGGCAAAGACACTTGTCTCCTCGCCTCGGGTGAGGAGGTCGCGGACGCATGGCTCTTCCTACGGCCCTCAATTCGCCTCTTCTCGGCCTCCTCGGCGGCTCCGTCCGCGTCGTCCTCTTCGCGTTCGTGATCCTCGAGTACATCTTGAATATCTCGAGCGTCCTCGCCTTCGCCGAGGGTTTGGTTCAGTGGTGCGAACTTGCTGGCCTGCGCTCTCGCGAATGCCTCATCCCTAATCACAGCCTCGTCCTCGAGTGTGATAGGTAGGTACTGGAACAGAGGCTTGAAAGCTTGGTTCAACAAGTACTGGTAAAGCATACTCGAAACCAACACGAAAATCATGATGACTGCCTGAGGAACGGTTTCGAGATTGCCGTGTGCGTCTGTCAGCGTGAAGAACAGGCCAATCATACACAGCTCCAGGACGTAGACTCCTGTGAAAAGCTGATTGATAGCTGTAGGGAATAAGAGACCGCCCGTATCGTTGCGGAATTGGAAGACGAAGAGGACATTGTACCGGTTGACAATCCAGAACAAACTGAATATGAATAGCATGAAGACCAGGATGAGTGGCGAGATGATCGAATACACAATGCCAATAGCAGCGAAGTTGGTGAAGGGTGGAAAGTAGGTTCCCCACTGGACGTTATTCAAGTTGGTTTGTCGTCTCCATTTCGCGCGTGCGGTGGAATCAAGCATAGGAGCCAGGAGGAACCAAGCGAACAAGCTACCGGTCTGCAAAAGAGCACTGGCGGAGTTTGACAGAGCCTGCACTGTCAGGTAGGAGAAGAAGTAGTTGGAAGCTTTTGGTAAGTTCGTAGCCAGGGTGCGCACAACACCTGCCGGGTCCGAAGCCGCATTCGAGAAGAAGCTCGTCAAGCCTCCGGTAATCGTGACGACGAGGAAAACCTGGATGAACAAGAAGGTGAAGTACCAGATCTGTACTCCGAGTTCTTTTGCACTTCCGGTTGCGACGCCTTGCTGCTTGACCAGAAGTCGGAAAATGATGGGCACCAGCAGAAGGATCAAACTCAGGAGAAGAGGGGGCAGAACACCCTGGATTATGGACTTTACCCAACCAGGAGCGTCGTTGAGCCAAGCCAGCCAGCTGACGATTTTCGCCAGGTTGCTGATGTTGTTCAGCAAGGAGGTGAAAGCGACCGGAATAGCGTAGAAGATGATCAGTGCGGCACAGACCACAACGACAATGCCGAAGCGGACGTATCGTTCCCACCATTTGATAGCCATATTGTCCCAGATCACGTCGTGGGGACTGATTTCCACCAGCCGAGGTGACATTTGCTGCGGGATGTGATGACTGAGAGACTGACAACACATGTGAGCGGCGACCTGGTGATTGAACTGAATGAAAGCAGAGTTCATCAATGGAAACTTTTCCACATCGTCCTGGTCAGTCTCCACCTCCACATTCAGGCGAGCCAGTTCCCGGCGCAAGTGATAGATCTTGTCGACCTTCTTGCCAACAAAGGGGATAGCTGGAAACCAAGTTGGGCTAAACAAGGGTAATCTCATCGTCTCGCGATCCTTTGGCTCAATGAATCTCCGCCAGTAGGGCTCTGCATCCGGGTCTTCGTCCCACTCCTTGTTGATGGCAACAGGGTACTCTTCCTTCTCCTCCTCCTCCTCCTCTTCTTTTTCTTTCTTCTTCTTCTTCTTCCAGAAGGCTAGCTTCTCTGCCCATTTGCTCTTCGAGACTTCTTCCGTGGTAGGAGTAGCAGTGGATTTCTCGTTGGGAAGACGCAATGGGAACTCGTCCTCTTCCTGGATATGGGGCTGAGGGGATGGAAGAGCAATTGAATTGTCGTCACGCCTGAACAACCCGAGAATGCGGTGCTCAAACTTCTTCTTGCCTTGGTGAGCAGCTGGCTCTTCAATCTGCATGCTCATTTTTGGTTTCGAGTCCCCAGACGGTCGCGTTGTGTGAGTTCCCGATGCACCCACAGACTCGTCACTGTGGACCTCTTCCGAAGTAGTTGGCGACACCGCAAGTGGATGCCGTGTTGCGCGCGGCATTGTGTCGACGTGCGCACCATAAGCCATCCGTGGACTGGCTCTTGTGCCATGAGCAGGCTTGTGTGGGTCGTCACTGCCGTTGCGGGTCCGGTAAAGAGAGTCGTCCATAACAAATCCTCCGAGACCACCAGCGTTCGCACGTTCAGTGGCTTTGTTAAAGTTCTCGCCCGTCCTATGAATCCCCGAGTCGACACCTCCCACAACGCCTTTCCCGAACTTGCCAATGCCTTTGCCAAAGGTCCCTAAGCCATGACCCACGGCGTCGAATCCTTGGCCAACAATTCCGAAAGGATTGTAAGATGCCTTGTCGTAGTTCTCGTGCTGGCGCTCCCCCTCGTCCAAGACATCCTGCATCCCGTGAGAAACTTCGTGTATTTCGCCGGCACTGGTACCCGCTCCTTGTGCCAACTGCTCTGCAGCCGTATCTTCTGCAGCTTTGTCCTGCTTCTTCTCCTCCTTGGTCTTGCTCTTGCGGCCTTCCTCCTTCGCTCGCTTCTTTTCCGCTGCGGCGTGCTTCTTTCGGCAGGCTTTGATGAGATCCGTTTCCGCACCTTCCAGGCTCTTAGCAATCTCATCACGAAGTTTCACCTTGTCCGCCAGCGCGTCAAAGTTACGGTTGATCCAAATGTTCCTAATACCACCTGGAAACACATCGTAAAGGCCAGACAGAGCTTCAAGCGTAAGCCATTTGCGTGGAATGCCAGTAACAAGCACGGTAGTGGCTGACGCTCGAATTCTGTGCTGCGGACTCGTGAGGTAAGCCTGTCGCACGCGGATGTAGCCTCTCAGTTCCTTAAACACGACGTAGAAGAACCATCCAATGAACAAGATGGCTAGAATGCAGTGTGCCCAAAGCCTGCGGAGATGTGTCTCCCCTATGTTCGAAATTGAATACTCGTCCAAGCCACTCGAGTCGCCGCCGCCAGTGTGATTGAGCGGCAACAGGATGGGGATGGCGAGGAGGGCGGTAGGAAGGAACAGCTTCAGGAGCATGCGCAAGAATCGCAGGAAAAAGTAGGCGTCGAGACCGCATTTCTGGATGAGGGTCAAGTTGGAAGTGCTGAAGAGCGGATACAACCAGCCCACGATGCCTCCTGGAGGTTCTGGAAGGCGCTCTCTTTCGGGCACCAGGTATGATTTGGGTCGATATATCCTTGTGAGTCGCAGTCGCAAGATTACAAATAGCAGAAGTTGCACGCCCAGGGACGCAAACGAGGCCGCAAGGGCTGCCACCAGGGCTCCCACGGTCTGTCCCTCATTGTTGGCACCAATACCAGCGCCACAGTTCAAGATGGCTTCTAGCCCGGAGTAATTGCAGGTTGCAGACGCCGAATGGGACGCGGTAGCCGTTCCGGACGCCGACATTTTTGTTCGCTGGCCGTCTCGATTCGGTACTCAAGAGGGGTGCGGTGGGAGTGCGAGGCCAGATTCCTTCTCACCCAGAAAGACGCATACCATGGCAACAAGAATGCTGCCGGATGGGTGTTATCGTAGGATCGTACGCGCCATTAGGTAGATGCAGCGGACTTGTGGATTGTTTGCGAAAATGTTTGGTTGGAAGAAGGAGGTGTGAAGCCTGCACGGAGGACAGAGAGCGCGTGGCTGCCAATCAATTGTTGACGTGCAGTGGCGGCCCCCAGAAATGCTGGGTCGGAACGCTATAAATGTTTCCAACGGTTTCAGCTTTGATAGCCGGCGGCAAGCACCATCATCATCAGTGCACAGTGCATTCTTCCCGTTATATCTATCCACGTCAGCACAACGGCTGCAGGGTCCTCACGACGCGGCAGGGAAGCTCCACTGCATCGCAAATGTGGGATGGAAGGTGAAGGAGGTCTGGTGAAGAAGGTCTTGTGAGGAACATCCTTGGCGGCTGATCTCCTTGGCGGCACGGGCCAATGACGTGAGCGGCTCAAGTGCTGCAGGGATGGAGGGAAATTCCCCGCCAAGATGTGAAGTGGAGTACAGGTGCGTGTCGCGATGGATGACAGCGGGAGACAAGGATTCCACAACATAAACATCATCGTGTACTGCACCTCAGTCGGGCCTCAAGGTGCCACGGACCGCATACCGTCTCCGTGAGACATCACCATGGAGTCTCTCACGGATCAACAGGTCCTCGCCCACTCCACCGCCAAACACGTCCACCATACCTGGGCCAAGACGTTTCAATGCCGACCCGAGCTCTACATCAAACCGCAAACGCTCGAGGAGATTCAGAACATCGTGAGATTGGCCCACAAGCGTCGACGGCGCCTTGTCGTAGTAGGATGCGGACATTCGCCTTCCGACCTTACGTGTAGTTCGTCGTGGATGGTCAACTTGGACGATTACAATCGCGTTATCAAGGTCGACAAAGCTCGTAAGACATTGCTGGTTCAAGGTGGCATTCGCTTGCGTAAATTGAACAGCGAGGCCAACAAGGAGGGCCTCACGATGCGCAATCTGGGCAGCATAGACGAGCAAAGTATAGTGGGCGCGATCGCGACTGGAACCCATGGCAGCTCGCTGAAGCACGGTCTCCTCTCCGAATCGGTGCGGTCATTACAGATCGTATTGGCGAATGGACAAGCAGTGAGATGTTCGAAAGAGCAGAGTGCGGAACTCTTCAAGGCTGCTCTGATCAGTCTCGGCGCTCTCGGCATCATCGTGGAAGTGGAATTCGAGATGATCGATGCAGGCAAAATCGAATGGGAGCAAGAGCTAGTATCGCTGAATCACGTGCTCACTACATGGGAGAACACCCTCTGGACGCAGAAGGAATATACTAGAGTTTGGTGGATGCCATACATGAAGCGAGCGATTGTGTGGTCGGCAGAAAAGACCGACAAGACATTACGGCCACCGCAGGAAAGCTGGTACGGTGGCAGTGTTGGATTTCACACCTATCACAATCTTCTCTGGCTATCAAATTACGCACCTTGGATATTACCCTGGGTGGAATGGTTCGTATTCGGCATGCAATACGGCTTTTCCACTGGCAACAAAACGAGCGCTGTTGAGGATTTGCGAACGGGCCTGCTGATGAACTGTTTATACTCTCAATTTGTGAACGAATGGGCACTACCGCTCAGCAAGGGACCCGAAGCTATCACACGTCTCTCAGCCTGGATAAACGGCGAGCCTGGTGCAGGTGGCATCCCCTTCTCGTCAAAAGGCCTCTACGTCCACTGTCCCATCGAAGTCAGAGTATCAGACACATCCGAGACACGATGTCGACCTTACCTCGATAATACCGTGCACGATGGCCCAACCCTGTACCTGAACGCCACGCTATACCGACCGTACTTGCAAGACCCACCTTGTTGGAAGCGGTACTACGAGGCGTTCGAATGGCTTATGCAAGAAATGGGCGCGAAACCGCACTACGCCAAGAACTTCTCGTATACCTCTTCCGAATATTTGAGTGAGAAGCTTGGTGAAGGTCTCACGCAATGGCTCAAAGTTCGTCACGATGCAGATCCCGATGGTATGTTCCTGGGTGAATGGCATCGGCGTACTTTGGGTCTTGGAACTGCGGATATCAAATACAGACTTCAAGAACGAGAGGTATCTCGCCAGAAGGCTTCCGATGGGGGAAAGCTGTGGGTAGGAGAAGTGACTGCTTCTGCTGGACCGGCAGCCGAAGCGTTCGGGGATGTGAAGCCGCTCAATGTAAGGACGAGGTCGGAAAGCCCTGGCGCCAGCTCGTCGGCAAGCAGCTTTGACATGATGCACGGTGCGGAGGCCGAAAAGAGCATCCTGTACAATGGCAGTGAGTATGATGACGATGAGGAAGGGGTTAGGTTCCACGGCAATCCTCGGACTAGAATGACTGGGACTGCCGTATTCGATAAGATGTAGAAGCAGCATGCCTGGAGGTCTGATGAGAAGCTCACAGCTCAATACTATGTAATGATGAGAGATGCGTGATGCTCTACTCTACGATGCTCCCAATTGGTTCCTTCGCGTCACGGAATCAGCCCGATCTCGAGCTGTTCCCAAGTGGTACGACAAAGTTCTCCCACTTGGAGTGGCATGCGACGAGATGCTGGAGATGCTGTACATGACGATCAAAACGTTTCGCTTCGTTGCTGCTGTCTAGGCGCTATGAGGAAGAAGCGCCCTCAATCCATCAAGGCCTGAAACATGGTGGCCATTCTCTCGCCGTAATTCCCACCTTTACGCCGTAGTATCATGCAGTTCAACGTTCATCGAATCTTTTTTAATCGCCTCCGCCGACAGCGCGTGCTATCCGGAATCATCAGTACTGCAAATCCCCATCGCCTCTTTTTATTCGTGACACTTGTACTCACTGTAGACCTTGCACGCACTGTGGCCGATCACCTGCTTGATCACACCCTTCTCCTCGAGATCCGACAGGGCTTTCCGGGCGAGCGAGCCGTTGATCTTCAGTCTGTCGACGAGGACGGCGACGGTGATGAGGCGGTAGGACTGGACGTCTTTCTGGAGCTTCTCGCTGGTGTTCTTGTCGAGAACGACGGCGTGCTGGGCCTTGTCCTTGACTATATTGATGGAAACACGATTAGTCTGATATCGTACTCTTTTGCGCATTCGAGATCGAGCTGTGCGGGTGCAATGACGGGGACGGTGACGGCGTACCCTTTCCCTTGGACCACTTCTTCTTTTGCTTCTTGCCGCCGGTCGCTGCTGGTGCCATGATTGCGGATTATGTGTGACGGTGGTGAAGGGTCGAGCGACGGTGAGGTCGATGGGATTTGGACCTTGTGCGTAGCGCCGGCCCCCGCAGGGGCTTGGCGCTTTCTAATGCTTCGACGCCTGAGGCACCCAGCTCACATGCAAGCCGACGGCAGATTCCAACGTTACGTGTTCCCTTAAGCGAACATTTCCCGATCTCACGCGCATTCGAGAGCCGCGAAATGCATCTCGACGACATAATTGAGTCGGCGAAGCGGCAGTAGAGATGTATCATCTCTGCAAATCGCTGTATCTGCACGCGACGAGCAAGGAAGAATACTCCATCCTCTTGCTGGGCCTCGACAATGCCGGGAAGACGACACTGCTAGAGCAGATCAAGAGCTTGTACAATACAGAGCGCCAGCCGAATCTTAAGACTGTGCCGACTGTTGGACAGAACGTCAGCCTGGTCGACTTGCCCGAACTCTACCTCCGAATCTGGGACGTCGGCGGACAGCACTCTCTACGAGGACTATGGCAGTCGTACTACAGCAGTTGTCACGCGATAGTCTTCGTCATCGACAGCACGGACATTGGCGATGCAGATCTCGAAAGATTGAGCAAAGGCGTGGGGAAAGCAGATGAAGAAGGACGGCTGGATGAATGCAGGCTGGTGCTGGAGGATGTGTTGCAGAACGAGGATACTGAGGGTGTTCCATTGCTGGTGTTGGCCAACAAACAGGATCGCGAGGACTGCGTCGAAGTTGTGAGGATTAAAGAAGGTCTGGTCAGGAAGGTCTTTGAGGGAGAGAAAGGGCAGAATGTCCGGGACAGCAGGGTGTTGCCCTTGAGCGCGCTCACAGGAACGGGAGTCAAGGAAGCAGTTGAATGGCTCTGCAGCCGCGTCAAGTGGAATACAGAGGCACGTCCGCCGGTCATGCGATGAGTTGGATATTAGCTGGAGCGCATATACCCCCGGCAGGTTTTCGGAATGTTCCTCGAACGCCGGCATGGTCCTCTCTGGGCGAACACAACCCCTGAGAGCCTTCTGCTGAGCTCTGAATATGCTCTGGACTCGAATGAAGCGGCATGACCCCTCCCAGAAAGACAGCTGGGTCTGCGTTTTGTCAACATCACCGCTACAAAGACCGAGCTCGGGATGTTATGTCAGAGCTTCACGAGCATCCCATGCAGATATCAGAACGGTGGAGGTAGAACTCTGTTCCCGAAGGTCTCATAGGCCATGTCGATGCCATCTGTCAAGAACTATTCCAACTGGAAGCTCCTGGCTCTGGCTTTGGAGACTACAGCACATCCCACTTTGATATTGAAGTCGTTCCAAACGGAGCGAACGTCGTTCGTGTGTTGCATCATTGCTCCCGTCCAAACGTGGAACTTGCGCGAGAAGTGCGCAGCTCGTGAAAGGGACACAGATTGATATCGTCAAAGATCATAGCTTTCTTGGATAGCGTTTCCCACTCCGTTGACCTTTGTCCAACATCGACGAGACTATTCGAGCACACGCTACTTCAATAGCGCGGCGAGTTCTTTTGCAACAGCATCCCCAACCTCGCTGGTCTTGGAGCTTCCTCCGATATCCTTGGTCTTCACTCCTGCTTCGATGACGTTGCGCACCGCCTCGTCGATCTTCTTGGAGATTTCGGGCTGTTGCAAGGAATACTTGAACATCATGCCCAAGGATAGAAGCATAGCTACGGGGTTGACGATGCCTTGGCCGCTGATGTCGGGTGCAGAGCCTGTTCGCAAAGTCAGCTGTGATGATGTGGTATTCTTGAGAAAGGCTGACGTACCGTGAATAGGTTCGTAGATGCCATTGCACTTGCTCTTGCCGTCTGGCGAAGAATTCAAGCTAGCACTTGGCAAAAGACCAAGCGAACCGGGAATGACAGACGCCTCGTCGCTGATAATGTCTCCAAACAAATTGCTCGTGACGATGATTCCGTTGAGGGCTCTGGGGTTCTTGACCATCAACATAGCTGCGGAGTCAATAAGGTGATGTCCCAGCTTCAGCTGCGGGAACTCCTTCTCCATCACGTCCGTCACCGTCTTGCGCCACAGTCGACTCGTAGCCATAACGTTAGCTTTATCAAGGGACCAGACCGGTGCAGGCGGATCCTCTGCAAGGGCAAGGTAAGCCGCCAACCGCGTGACTCGCTCGATCTCCTCTCTCGAGTACGGCTCCGTATCCATCGCAAAGCCAGAACCGTCATCTTCCTTCCTCTCACCGAAGTAGATACCTCCCGTGAGCTCACGCACAATGTTGAAGTTGACGCCTTGGCAGACCTCTTCCTTCAGAGGAGAGCTCTTGACGAGGCTGGGAGAAGCAAAGAAACACGGCCGTAGGTTGCCATAGGTTCCCATTTCTTTTCGCAGCCTGAGGATTCCCTGCTCGGGGCGGACTTTGGCGGTTCCCCATTTTGGACCGCCTATAGCGCCGAGAATCACGGCGTCTGCTTCTTTTGCCGCTTGGAGGGCTTCGTCTGTGAGGGGAACCCCTGTTGCATCGATGGAGGCCTGTCGGGCTTTTTAGTAAGGTTTCTCATAGCCAAAATCTGGAGGACGTACGCCGCCAAGGAGCTGTTGGTTGATGTTGAACTTGACATCCACGCTGCTCTTGTCGATGACATCCAGGACCTATTCAATGATCAGAATCGAATCGGTCTGGGCGCAGGTATCGAGCGCAAAGTACCTTGAGAGCCTCCTCGGTGACCTAGATTCGCCTCATTAGCGCACGTTAAGCGGACCTGATGGCAATGGAGATACCTCTGGACCGCAATGATCACCACCAAAGACGACGATATTGTAGGTAGGCATGGTTCTCACTCTAATTGTCGTATTTGTCGTGCACTAGTAAATTTGTTGACTGTAAGTTCGGAAGTTATTTGCTGGTCACGGAATTTTGAAAGGTGAGGTGCCGACATCGGCTGGAGCCGGGGTGGGAGACTTTCCTTCTTCACTCCCATCACCTTTGTGGCCTCATGTATTGACGAACACCATATGTCCTCTCCATGGGAAGGGCTTGCAAAGCCCAAGATGAGTCTGCGCGCATGATGGCTGTTCTAGATCAATGGTGCCACGGCTACTCCGACCAGCATGCGCTGTGAAACCAGCGCCGACATTGGATGGCCGCTATTTTGGATTGGCAATTGAGGATATTTGTTCTTGAGTTAAACCTTGCTACTCAACTCAAACGAATGAAGTGAAATGCGGTGGTGCTCGGCTTCCAAAACCGTCATACGAAAGCTCTGGCTGCTGCTGCTTTGCCAAATGCAAGGTCCAAGATCGACTACGAGACCCAAGCCAGTCACGAGATGCAAGCACGAACCCGAAAATCACATGCACCAAGCAAATGTGATTATGATGACTTCAGACGCATCGCCTGCCGCATTCTTATTGTCTCGCGTCTTTTCCATGTTCTGCTCACGGATCATCGACAAACTCTTCGCTTGACTGCTCCGGAGTTCCACGGTAAGGACCAAGATACATCGACCGACCGTGTGGTGCTGGATGGCACACCAGCGCCACGCGTATACCCAAACCTACCGCATATACAGGCGAAGTCATGCCGCACTGGACATCGCTCAGCTCCTCCGAACCACAAAGCGCTGCATGTAAAGATTAGCAGAGGCCTCCAAGCGTGGAGTCTCAACTTACCTAAGACTTTATGATGGCGACAAGTGCATCGCCATCGTAGACAGTCATATAGCAATGACTGAACTTGTCATTGCTTGCCATTCCTTTATTCGAACGGAGTTCTGGCCACGTATAGCAGGAATTCCTGGTGAGAGGTGATATGGCGTCATTTGACGACACGTAGGAGTGTCCCTCGCGGATTGATTAGAAACTTGCTGGAGCTATTCTCTGCCTTACCTTACTCTATCGTGGGAAATGTGAGGTGAAGTGGCCCGCGTCCGCTCTCATCAGCCCGGCGTTGCGCTATCGCGCACCGGGAAGTGGATGAAGGTGGACACCCGGTGTGTGAGGCGGACTTCGGAAAACAAGGTTTGCGTAGTCAGCCGCGGCTGCCATAGGTAACACGGGAAGATAGCTTAAGCGAATGCGGCTCGGCCTTCCATTGAGCTTGATCCTACCTCCTTCTCTCTGATCACAGGCGACACGACTCCGTCCGAAGAGCAACACTGCGTTTTCCTTGACGACAACACTCCAGCGACCGCGAACAATGGCAACTATTCCGAAGTTTGCCGTATGGGGCGCTGCGTTGCGTCGCGTCGCACATCGCGTGGCATCAGCCGCGCCCAGCCTGCACGAGCCTTTGCCGCTTCACATTGCCGCGAGCTGATGATGGCTTGTCTGAAAATATGACGGCGCGATAGGAGATCCACTTGGACCATGTGCTGCAGGCGGGAAACGTGGTGGGCTCGTCGATAGCGACGTTGCGTTCGGGATATCGTCCGACCTGCCAGACGATTGGAAGGATTTCTATTGCTCCACACACAACAGGGTTTGGAGAGCAGGTGGGAAAGGCTGGAGCAAGCGCACGGAGTGTGCCATGGGCAAAAGTGGATTCTGACCTGGAGTTCTGCCCACTGATGGGGAAGGGCAGGGTGGAGCCAGGATGGCGGTAACGAATACGCGATCCGTGAGCACTGCGCTGTTAGCGACATCCCACGGCCGATGCTCTGCTTTTGTCTGCCTCGTTGCGAGCTCTCATGTGAGCACCGAGGCCGGCTGAGTAGTCGATTGAATGGAGAATCGTGGACGTTGGTGAGAAGCCTCACGCCTCGAGAATATAGTATCAGCAACCAAAGACGAGCAATACAGTGTAAAGGGAAGAATCTCACAGGATGGACATCTTAGAAAATTCACCTTGCTTCGAGGTGGTCAGATCGCTCTGCAACGGCACAGCGGCTCTGCCATCGGGTCCAATTCACATGCAACAGGGGACCCTTCTCTAGCCGGCTTCTGCTCGTGCCCTGCTCAAACGTCGTTTAAGACCTCTCCCTCCCTCCTCGAAACATCTCTGTCTCTTCGTCGCGCGCAACAATCACGACCTCCTCGACTCGACGGCGACGAAGCCACACCACCCATCAACACCTACCCACCAAGCGTTGCCCAGAATGGTCAAGCAATTCGGCAATGTCTACTTCATCGCCGCCATCTCCATCATCGGAGGTGGCCTGTTCGGTTTCGACATCTCCTCCATGAGCGCTATGTAAGCCTTCGCACTCTCTAGATTTGACTTCCACCTGACACGGCAACAGCATCGCCGGCAAGGGCTATCTCTGTTACTTCAACCAAGGTCCCAAGGAATGCGTCGGCCCGAGCTCGAGCACACAGGGCGGCATCACTGCCTCGATGGCTGGTGGTTCGTGGCTCGCCTCTCTGTTCTCCGGTATCCTCTCCGACTCAGTGGGACGCAAGAAGGCCATTATGTATGTGAACTTTTCACACGACACACTTCGAGTCTACAATGCTGACTTCTTCAAAGGGTTGGCGCCGTCATTTGGGTCATCGGCTGTATTATCGTCGCCTCCTCCCAGAACATCCCCATGCTCATCGTTGGCCGTGTCATCAACGGATTCTGCGTGGGTATCTGCTCTGCCCAGGTACCTGTCTACATCTCGGAGATTGCACCACCTTCCAAGCGCGGTCGTCTGGTTGGCGCACAGCAATGGGCCATCACTTGGGGAATCATGATCATGTTCTACATCTCCTATGGCTGCAGCTTCATCAACGGGCCATCCGCCTTCCGCATTCCGTGGGCACTGCAGATGATCCCAGCCATCATCCTGTTCTTCGGCATGATTTTCCTCCCTGAGTCTCCACGTTGGCTGGCATCCAAGGATCGCTGGGAGGAGGTGCGTGCGGTGCTCGTTCTCACCCACGGTCATGGCGATCCCGACAGCCCATTCGCCGCTCGAGAATTCGACGAGATCAAGGAGTGGCTGGACATCGAGCGAGCCAGCAAGCAAGTCAGCTACTTCGAGCTCTTCACTCCCAAGTACCTCAACCGCACGCACATTGGTCTCTTCACCCAGATATGGAGCCAGCTTACCGGCATGAATGTCATGATGTACTACGTAAGTCGCATCTTCTGGCCACTGGCTGTCCTTCCGTAGTCGTGCTGACTTGTCCAGATTACCTATGTTTTCACCATGGCCGGTCTGACGGGCAACACCCTCCTCGTATCATCCTCGATCCAGTATATCATCAACGTCGTCATGACAGTCCCCGGTCTCATCTGGATTGATCGTGTTGGCCGTCGTCCAATGCTCCTCTTCGGCTCGACCTTCATGGCCATCTGGCTCTTTGCTAACACTGGCCTGCTGGCGACTTACGGCACGGATCCAGGCCCAGGTGGCGTCAATGGCATTGCCGAAGCCTCTGTCTCAATTACAGGCGCTCCTTCCAAGGCCGTCATCGCATGCTCCTACCTCTTCGTCGCCTCGTACGCTCCGACCTGGGGACCGGTCTCCTGGGCCTATGTACCAGGCAAGTTTCGCATTCAAAATTAGCAAAGCTACGAGCTGCTTGAAATTCATACTAACCTTTGCCAACAGAGCTCTACCCCAACCACCTCCGTGGCAAAGCCGTTGCTCTCGCCACTTCCGGAAATTGGATCTTTAACTTCGCCCTCGGCTACTTCGTGCCCCCGGCATTCGTCAACATCAAGTGGAAGACGTACCTCTTGTTCGCCATCTTCTGTGTAGCTATGACGATCCACGTCTTCTTCGTCTTCCCGGAGACTGCTGGCAAGCCTCTTGAGGAAGTTACGGAGATGTTCGAAGATCCTAAAGGCATCAAGTACATGGGAACGCCGGCATGGAGGACCAAGGGCCAGTTCAAGACTACCGAGGAGATGGAGCATGGACGAGGATTGGAGAAGAAGATGATTGATGAGACCCCAGAAACGCTTGAGACTGTGGAGCCTAAGATGGAGGTTTAGAGTAGGCCTCACAGGTCACAGCAGGGCGTACATGCATTGAGCGTTCTGAAAGCATCAGCATGGGATCTGGTAACTCCATCAGTAGGAGAGTGGATTGTGCATAGAAGGCCGCGATGGCCACGAGTTACCAGATGCCGCGAAGGCACGTTTTCGTTAAGAGTAATGAGTAATTGAACAGCTCAACTGCAGCGCGAGTACTCCCCCGTTGTCAATAGTCCTTCTCGTCTCTGTTGAACATCGTAAGCTGGTGCTGCTTAGCGGTCAAAGCGAACGCTGGTTCGAAGTGCGACGTAAAGAACCCCAATAAGTTCTCGTGTTTGGATGTTTCGCCGCACGTGATCGTCGGAAGACCGACCTCACTTCAGACTTCCACTTCAATGCTCCCAAACTCCTGCCATTGGAACACCAGTTGTATACACTGCCATCTTCCCACTATGCACACCAACCACACAACAAGGGCAAGCCTCCAAGCCCTCTATCGAATCTTCGTCCTCCCGGCGCTCAGCAGGCCAAACACACAGCGTTCAATCCGACACGCGATACCACCTCAGACCACCACCCCCACCAGCATCCGGGCATTCTCCCAAACTGCCACCCAAAACAGCAAAAGCCGCCCCCCGGAAAAGCGAGCCCAAAATTGGGACCACGAAATCCGCGCACGCGAAATCTACCTCATCGATCCCATCACCAACCGACGCAGCGAGAGAACCCACACGCGCTTCGACATCCTCAAATCCCTAGATCTGAGAACCCACCGGCTGGTGCAAGTCACCCCAGACGATGATAAGGACCATCCCATCCCGCTGTGTAAGGTCGTGAATAAGAAGGAGGCATTCGATCAGGAACGAAAGCGAAAAGAAGAGACGAAGGAGCAGAAGAAGCTTGCCAAGGTCGCGGGGGAAGCGGGGGAGAAGACGATGGAGTTGAACTGGGCGATTGACGAGAATGATTTGGGACATCGGTTGGGGAAGATGCAGGGGTTTCTGGAGGAGGGGAGGAGGGTGGAGGTTGTGTTTAATAGTAAGAAGAGAGGGAGGAAAGCGACCAGGGAGGAATGTTTGGGGGTTATTGCGAGAGTAAGAGGAATTGTGGAGGAGGTCAAAGGGGCCAAGGTTAGGAGTGATTTGGAGGGTGTGTTGGGGAAGTTTGCCAAGATGGAATTGCAGGGAGCGCCTGTTGCTGTGCAGAAGAAAGAGGCAAATACTAATGGTGAGAGTGGTAAGAGCGGGAAAGCGGTTGAGGAGGCGCCTTGAGATCGTCAATCTCTGGCGACGAGAAGACTTTCGTAGCCTCGAATCTGACACATGCTCCTAAAACCAGCCCACAGATTGTAAAAGGTCTGTATGGGATCAGCGGGGACGCCATGAAAGATTGTGTATTCGACCATGTTAATACAGAATATACAGAGCCACGATTGTACAGGTGATCCACTATCGGTATCTCTCCCCCTTCAATCTCTGGTATGGCAATGGCTCGATCCTCTTCCTCTTGAATTCAACATCCCATCCAATAACACCCGCTCTCTGCATGACGCCGGCAGTACCCTCATCCCATTGGGTACGGAAGAGATCGACACCAACTGGCATCAATTTATCAACGCTCATCAGGCTCCGTATAGTGAGCTTTTCACGCGCATTCTTCAGATTTCTCAGTTTCGAGACATCCACTGGCGTCGAAGGAATCACGTCATTGCTTCCTGCAGGAGGTCGTGTAGGCGCCGGCTGTTCTAGGATGACGATTGCCATACGCTGATAGGGTAAACCTTTTTGTGCGTAGGCTGGTAGCCAAGGGAGGGCAACTTGCGTGTCCTTGTTGAGTTGGCTCAAACGGACCAACGTGTTCGTTGGCGAAAGAGGGATGTTGCAGGCCAGGAAGTGCATCCTCGATGAGAACCCGTCTTTGGCAACATCTGGTACATCGGGATTGATGACTGCGATGGTGTAGAGTTTTTCTCCCTTCTCGTATTTTTGAATTCGAAGGATAGCAGGTCTCTCTGAGACGCGCGATTCGACGATATCACCGTGTCGGACTCCGCGCGAGTTAGGGAATTCGAAGTTGAGGGATGTCGAGAGCGTAGGATCAATTGCCGGGATGACGTCTGGGACGACGTTCATGGTGGTGACACGTTGCATGACAAGTCGTCGTTCGTAGGATCGCCATTTCTGGTCAGCTAGGTGTCGGTAGATGGGTTTGTTCATGTCGGCTTCACACGAGGAGTTAGCAGATCCATCAGGGGTCAAATCTAGACGGGTAACGTACCCAATCCATCCTCGAATCTCTTCTTCACAAGAGGATCATTGATATCTGCTAGAATCTTTGTGTGTTCCAACCTCTGTCGCATAGTCTTCAGCGAATGTTCTTTCTTCTGCTGTTCTCTCTCATCCACAACGACCTTATCCTGCAACTTGGCAATCCTCGTTCGCTGTATAGCAATCTCTTCCAGTTTTCGCTGGCGATCCTGCAGCAGGTACTGCCGAGCTTCCTGAAAGCATTGGTAAGGGAGCTCCGTGAAAGGGATGTTTTGGGAGGTCGCGAGGGCTGCTCGTCTTCGTCTCGATCCAATGGGTAGTCTGTGTTGCTCGCGCACGAGCTTTCGTTCTTTTCTGGGCGAGGATACCGTTTCTGGGTCCAACAGCTTCTTTTTAGGTGCGGAGGACGCTGCTGGAGCTGGTTGTGCTTCCGAGACCGTCTGTTCTTCTCGGGCTGCAGGTGTGTTGCTGAAGGCTCTGATTGGCAGCGATATTCTATCGTGTCGCGTGCATCGCAAGCACTTGGCCAATGGTCTGGTGCTTCTCTCAAGCGCCATGTCCGTTGGACTCGCGAAGCGCAATACGGTGAGGTGAGTGTGCAAGGAGTTGACTGGTGATCTCGTGCTCTCGTGCTCTCCAAGCCGACTTTTCCTGACATAAGCATTGAGGTGCGGCGAAACTGCTTCACTCCCGGTCCGCGACTTCACTCGCCATACGTCAATTCAAACCTCACAACTGAAGGTCAACATCATGGCAGCCAAAAGGGCGACAGTGCCCGCGAAGCACCTCTTCAATGGCTTCGTCCGATCAATGTCAACAGAAGCAGCTCAACAACCGCCATCAGGCCCATCGACCTCGTCGCCCGCACCGGGAAAGACATCAACAGCCAAACCCAACCCACGCGCCGCGCATTACTCACGACCCGAGAATCCATTCATAACAAAAGCACAATGCACACTCTACACATTTCCCTCCATGACTCCGAGCGGTTTAACGGCCTATCCTTCCACGCATCTCCTGCTCCCTACACGCAGAGACATCCTTCACCGCGCCGTAATCTTCGAGGGAGATGCCACTCGTCAAGGAACCGCCTCCACCAAGACACGCTGGGAAGTTCATGGTTCCGGTCACAAAGTCAGACCGCAGAAAGGAACTGGCAGGGCAAGATTAGGAGACAAGAAGAGTCCCATGCTGAAGGGAGGTGGTGTGGCTTTTGGACCGAAACCTAGAGATTTCTCGACGGATCTGCCGAAGAAGATATATGATTTGGCGTGGAGGACGGCGCTTTCGTACAGATACAAGATGGGCGAGTTGATGATTTTTGACGGCGAGATGGAGGTGGAAGGCGTCGCGGAGGAAAGTTTGGAGCGATACGTGAGGGATTTGTTGGCTTGGAATAATCTCGGGCGACTAGGCGGGAAGACCTTGTTCGTGACGCAGGAGAGGAGGGAAGCTCTATTCAAGGCATTGGGGGGCTTGACTGGGCATGCACGGGCATTGGACGTGGAGGATGTGGATGTTAAAGATTTGTTGGAAGGGAAGAGAGTTGCGATTGAGAGGAAGGCGTTGGAGCACATCTTCATGAAAAGAGAGTCGGACTTGGTGTGGCATCAGCGAGTCTATTCTCTCGGCCCACAGAGGGCGAAGGGGCTGCTGAAATAGAGGCATAGCAAACACGGGGGTGTCTACCTTACTGTACAGTATTTATACAATCACGGCGATACCGACCCGTTTCTTCGCCACCCACCTTTTTCCTGCGCGACCGCACCCAGTCGCTTGCAGCACTCCTCATACCCCAAGATTGCCATGACGACACCGATTCCTGGCCCTGGCAAGCCATAGCTCAATCGTTCCCTCAAGTATCTCATCATTCCCTTGTTCCATTCATTGTACGCTTTCACGGTCTCTTCTGTCCCAGCAATCGTCAATTGCGGGTTCGATGACTTGTCGCCCAGTAGCTTGGCCATGGCTTCTTTATCAAGTGATTGATCCGTGAAAGGCACATATTCCAATTCTTGTCCGGGCGGTGGGACCTGTCCTTTAGCGGCTGCTTCAGCATATCGTTCCTCCGGCAGCATGAGCCACATAGGATTCGCGAGGGCACGCCAGATGGAATGATGGATCGCAGCATGAATTCGACTAGATATACGTTCGATCTCTGAGGCTGGCTTCGTGGTACGACACGTTGCAACAGCGGGTTCGCGATAGGGCTGATTGAAATCGAAACTTTCAAGGATCTTCTTGGTGATTGCTGCATATGCCATAGAAGCTGCACCGTCAGAGAAGCTGTCGCTGTGGGTCATTTGGGATGGATCGTGATCGAAAAAGTAGCGATTACGTTCGACGTATTCTCTCGGAGTACGGTAGGCTTTGGAGTCTGCGAGCAAGATTTCGGCGCAATATGCTTCAAGATCGAGTTGCGTTGGAAAGCGTTGCTTGATAGATCCGGACAATTGTCTTTCAACTTCTTCGCGGATTTGCGAAACGACGTTTTGGATGGGCTCGGTAGAGTTGCTGGCTTGTGCTCGTTCGCACTTTAGGGCAATGTGTCGCTTCTGCAAATACCAAAGCTTGTCCATCATGACAACAGTATTGCCTTTTGTGAACTTCAGATCGAAGCTGCGGACGAGGTCTTTCATCTCCAGGACGTCACTCCGGCCGGGGTTACTCCAGCCTAACAAGGCTAGGAAGTTGTTCAACACCTCGGGGAGAATGCCCTGTTCTTCTCTCATGCTCTTGACGTCGAGCACAAGGCCGGTGTTGCTTCGTTTCGATAATTTCGCTTTCGTCTCGTCTACTAATAGCCCTACATGGGCGAAGGCTGGAGGCTCCCATCCGAAGGCGGAGTACAAATCGTAATGCAAAGGAGTGCTTGCCATCCACTCTGTTCCACGGATGACATGTGTAATCCCCATTGAATGGTCGTCCACCACGTTAGCAAAATGGTACGTTGGCGTGCCGTCCGATTTGATCAAGATGGTATCCGCGGCGTCAATACCAGAATCATCCTCGCTATCCGGGCTAGCACTAGGTGAGCGTTTTAATGGTTGTATCTTCCCATAGATCAAGTCCTTGTAAACTCGTTTGTGTACATTGCCAGGCTGCTTCAATCGAACTGTGAATGCTTCATTCCTGCCCTGCGCACGATCCTGGGCTTCTTCCAGAGGCAACGATGAGCAGTCTTGGTAACAACCACTAGTCACGTACGCGGCCTTGCCACCAGCGGATCCAGAGGTTTGAGGCGTGCAGAAACAGCGATATGCGGCTTCAGAATCGAGCAAATGTTTCGCGTGTTGTCGATAGAAGTCTGTACGTTCCGATTGTTTGTATGGCCCGTATGGGCCGCCAACAAGAGGTCCTTCGTCCCATTGGAGGCCGGCTTTTTGGAGGTCTTCGCAGAGTTGCGCTTCAGCGTCCGGTACTAATCTTTTCTTCGTCAATCAGCAATCTGAAAAAGTAATTACATGGCAGCCAGTCTGACATACTTGATCGGTGTCCTCTATTCGAAGCAAGAATTGGCCCTTGGTTTTTTTAGCCAGTAGGTAACTGAATAAAGCGGTTCTCAGTCCACCAATGTGCATGTAACCCGTAGGAGACGGTGCAAAGCGCGTTCTTGCTGGGAAATCAGGTAGCTTCTCGTTTCTCTGCAATGGTCTCTCTGTTGTTTCTGTGGAATGGTATCGCCCTGGACGACGGAAAGGATCGCTACGACGCGACCTGTTTTGCCGTCCTGAAAAAAGGCCGCCCAGCGCTCGAAACTGTTGGCTTTGGCATGATGCACATATCCATATTTCACTCGGCTTGACCAGGAGTTTGGGTTTGCTTGATGCAATCATGGATGCAAGCCAAGGTCGAAGTGTGTTTGACGAGAAAGTAGGTAGAAGATAGACATTCACTTGCTGTCGCACGCTCGTGGCGGCTTTCGAAGGGTCGGGCCGTGAAGATCCCGCCCGATGACATCGATGTGTCGAGGATTCAAACTTACAGGGCACGAAGCACTTTCGAGAAACCTGCGACACCCTATTTACAAACAGTCTCTCTCAAGAAGAGCGTATTTTGCTGGACGCATTTTGCCTTTCACGTCCACTCACAAATCGCTGGAACAGCCATGTCGGCAGAAGACCAAGATCTCTACGGTAGGCCCATCTTTTCCTTTGGTAGTGTGACAACAGGCTAACAGGAACAGAGGTACTCGGCGTCTCGAAAAGCGCATCCAAAGCCGAGATCAAAAAGGCATATCACAAAGCCGCTCTGTCATCACATCCAGACAAGGTCCCGGAAGACCAACGAGCCGAAGCGGACGTCACATTCAAATACATCTCCCGCGCCTATGAGATTCTCTCCGAAGATGACACGCGATCAATGTATGACCAACATGGCATGGCAGCATTCGAGAAAGGTGGTGCGAACGGGTTCCCGGGCGGCGCAGGCCCAGACCTCGACGACATTCTGGCGCAGATGTTCGGCGGCGGCATGGGAGGAGGCATGGGAGGATTCGAGACATTTCCTGGGGGGCCGGGTGGAGGTGGACCTAGACGAAAGAGAGGGAAGGGTAAGAATGAAGTACAACAGTACGAGGTGACCTTGGAAGAGCTGTACAAGGGCAAGACCACAAAGTTTGCCAGTACCAAGCAGGTATTGTGTAGCAACTGCAACGGATCAGGTGGTAAGAACAACAAGGTCAAGGTAAAGACATGCGATACGTGCAAAGGACGAGGAACGCAGGTCAAGATTCAGCCTGTCGGACCGGGTATGATAACGCAAGCGACCGTTCCCTGCGCGACATGCAGCGGTAGAGGCAGTTTCTACGCAGACAAGGACAAGTGCAAGCGGTGCAAGGGCGAGCGAACGATGAAGGAGAAGAAGATCTTGGAGCTCTACGTGCCTCGCGGAAGCAGAGAGGGGGAGCACATCGTCCTAGCGGGTGAGGCAGATCAAGATCCAGACGACGCGGAACCAGGAGATATCATTTTCGAGTTGACCGAAGAGCCGCACAAGACATTCAATCGCGCCGGAGCGGACCTACACGCGGAGCTCGAGATCAGCCTCTCGGAAGCGCTGACGGGGTTTAACCGAGTCGTCCTGCGACATCTCGACGGCCGCGGCATCCAACTGCACGTCGAGCAACCCCAGGGCCGCGTTCTGCGTCCGGACGAAATCCTCAAGATCCCGGGTGAGGGTATGCCGCTCAAGCGATCGGATGCTAAGGGAGATCTCTACCTGTCTGTCAAGATCAACTTCCCGGAGGATGGCTGGCTGAAGGATCAAGCTGCGATCGATCGTGTCAAGGCCGTGCTACCTCCTCCGCCTGATATCAGCTACAAGCCAGGAGAGACGCCGGAGATTGTGGATGAGGTGCAGTTCGAAGTGGTCGACAGCTTGGAGGGCTTCGGTGCGGGATCCGACGATCCAAGAGCCGCCGGTGCAGAGTGGGAGGATGATGATGATGACGAGACGGGTGGCGCTCAATGTGCTCAGCAGTAGATCATTGAAGCTAATTTATGACCTGGTTGCACAGCGTGGGCGTTTATCGAAGTGATTATTAAAACAGATGGGGCGGTCTGTTCTGCGGAAAAGACGAACTCGACTCCGCTTCGTAGATGGATACTTTGCGTGTACATAGACTGCAGGTATTGAGACACAGAGCTCTTCATACGGCTAGAAGAAGATGCAAACGAGAGGTGACTTACAAAGTACAGCTCTTCTTATGTTCCATTTCGGCTTTCCCTTGGGCATCTTATCGAATGGCAAGCAGTCTCAACAATGCAGCAACTCATGGACTACATGTGATGCTTCTGCAGGTCGTGATGTCCATACGCGGTGCAGAAATGTAGTGAGAATCGTTGAACATGTGAACGGCACATGCAAAAGACTTGGCACCTCAGGGAAGATGGCGCAAAAAGGGTTTCCGAATCCGAAGATCGGAGGCCATAGCTTCCCTTAGCTCCTGTGCTCCTGTCGTTAACGCCGATGTACAAGAAGGCAGCTGCTTCCCTCCTCAGCAAGCCTACATACGCGACATTAGAAATAATGGCTCCCAGCACAGGTACGTTATACAGGATCTGAATGCTCGAACTGCGCTTATCATTTATTAGAGAAGACAGAGAAGCTAGTCGATAATACCAGAGACGCGCTGTTCAAGTACGATGCCGCAGAGCAAAAGGCGATAAACGAAGCGCGACCATGGCGATCAGATCCTCACCACTTCAAGTATGTCCGCATATCGGCCGTGGCGCTTGTCAAGATGGTCATGCATGCGCGATCGGGAGGAGATATCGAGGTGATGGGATTGATGCTGGGATATGTGGAGCACGAAACATTTATCGTCACCGACGCGGTTCGCCTACCGGTCGAGGGAACAGAGACCCGTGTGAATGCGCAAGATGAAGCCAACGAGTACATTGTCAACTTTCTTCAGAAGTCAAGAGACGCAGGAAAGCCGGAGAATGCTGTCGGTTGGTACCATAGCCACCCTGGGTACGGCTGCTGGCTTTCTGGTATCGATGTCGGCACTCAGCACACCCAGCAAATGTTCCAAGACCCGTTCCTCGCAGTCGTCATTGACCCGCACCGCACAGTAAGCTCTGGCAAGGTCGAGATCGGCGCGTTCAGAACATACCCCGAAAATTACAAGCCGGAGGGGCAGCCCTCTGCGGCGGAGGGCATGGCTGCCGTGCCGATGGCAAAGGCGCAAGACTTTGGAGCCCACGCCAACCGCTACTATTCCCTGGAAGTAATGCATTACAAATCGACGTTGGACAGCAAGCTACTTGAGGCGTTGTGGAACAAGTACTGGGTGCAGACGCTGTCTGCTTCGCCCCTGGACACCAACCACGAGTACGTCACGAAGCAAATCGAGGACTTGGCAGGCAAGACGAAGGTCGTGCAGGAGACCATGAGGCAGCGCAGTGGCCCTTTGATGCCGCAGAAGGGCAATACTGGCAACGATCAGCTGGCGAAGGCTGTGAAAACAGCCGAGAAGATCGCAAACGAGGAGAGGACGGGCCTCACAGCGGCAACGGTGAAGGAGCGAGTGTTTGCTACGAACGCCGAGGTGGTGGAGGATAAGGAGATGAAGGACGTCTGAGCAATGCTGGGGCGACCTCTCTTATACAGATGCAGAGGGTGATGAAGCCAAGCCGAGAGAGAAGTCTTTGGTAACACGGAGATGAGCAGATGCCATGGGTAGATGCCATGGGCAGGCGAGCATCACCAAGTATATGGTTGTGCAATCTGCACTCCACTGATGACGGGAGGCACTTGAAGCCCAGCCCCCAGGCCCGGGTCGAGGCTAAGCGGGACCTGCACACGGGTCCACCTCAGTCCGCCACCTCGTGGACGCCGCGCCGAAGCATTCCGGCAACATTAGCTCGTAGAAACAGCGTCACAATGCATCGCAGAGGCCAACTAAGGTAGTGAGCCTCTTTCAACGATAGATCGTGTGCCTTTCCCTCTTCTCCTACATCCACACAGTTGCTGAAGCCATCACGGAGCTGCCGCTCACTGGATCTCCGCCGTCAAACGTCCACGTCCACCTCCAAGCAAAGCCGAAGCTCCCACATCCGGCCAACTCTCGGCAGCTTTCCACCACCTGGCTCGTCTTGCCTGTCCTTCCGATTCGCATGCTTACCACCACCTGAAGCATCCAAACGAGCATGACACGGGCAATCATCCGGGGCCGTAGTTACGAGGATTTTGTGCGCCGGAGCGCACGGCTCTGATGGCGGTTGCGCCGCCATGCCTATGCCCACACTTTCCTTCCTGCTTGGGGTCCTCGTCGTCGGATACCTGTTCACCTTTGTCATCTTCGCCGTCTTGCGCATCGTCACGGGCGTCTCGATCCAGCGCGTCGGTTACACCGGTTTCAGGCGCATCGCATTCTCTCCGCGCCATGGCGTCAAGGCCAACATTCGCGGCATTGGACTCTCGATCCACCGGCCTACGTTTGCGCTTCCGACTTGGTGTAGCTTGGTGATCACGGAGCTAGTGGTCACAATCGACCTGAAGGCGTTGGACGAGGGCAAGAGCAAGCGGGATGGGATCTTTGAGCGTGCAAATGGAGATGCGAAAGAACAGACTGGGATCCGCTCCAGTGCACCAGATGAACAGGATGATGCGGAAGGACACGGACAACTATGGCGCAAGCTCACTGAGGCGAAAGAGAAGATCAAGAGATTGCACAGACAGATCAGGTGGCTGCGGGTAGTCGATTTGGTCGCGACCGCAATAACACTGGATGTCGTGGGCGTTGGAAAGCTCAGGCTGGAACGTGTGACGCTCACAGTAGACACTCGAAAGCAGACGGTGGATCGCAGCAGACTATTCCAGCATCACAAACACCGGCCGGAAACTCAGGCGCCAGCGGAATGGAAGTCAATTGTCCGGAGCGTCTTGTTTACGCCTGAGGGCAGGGAGTCGACGGAAGTGCTGGATTACTTCACCCTCAACATTTACGGAATGCTTCACCGCGAGAGGGAAGGTCTGCGGGATGCCTCGATTGCATGGAAGCTTGGTCGTCTCAACGTTCCCTACGACGACCTGGAACACGCCAAACGATGTGCAGATCTTCTTCGCGGAAAGTATGCGTACCCTCGAGCAGACAAATCTCCTGCGGATGTCTCGTTTGCCGATGTTGTAGGCGAATTGGGGAAGCCAGGCTCACGGGATGATCACATTGTCCGGGCTGTGTCTGATTGCAGAGATTTCATTGCTTCGATTCTGCGTGGCATCCAGGAAGTGCAATTTGCTGTTGGGTTCGTTGGCCTTTCCCAGAAACTCGCAGTCAAGGGACATGGTGACAAAGACGTCTACCTCAATTTTGCCATGAAAGAACTCGGCTTGGATATTTTGCGCCTGGATCCTAAGAGCCCGGCGCATCGAATGTACTTCTCCACCAGTGATGTCGCACATCAAGCGCTACTGACTGGTATCGCCATTGCTGCCGGAATTGATGATGGGCATGAGCATCCCGAACGAATGCTATACGTGCCCATGATAACAGCGACTGTCAAGACCACGTTGCCGTCCAGGACCATCAACTATTCAAAGATTTCCGATCCAGACGACCGCAACTCAAATCTCCTCCACGCCAACTTCGTGTGCACGTCTCCGTCGATTGACCTTGACCCAAAGCATTTGCCATTAGTCAGGGAGATACTTAAACAGCGGTCAGGGAGTCGACGAGGAAGTAGCAGTTCGTCCTCACACCATCAATTAATATCACAGCTACTTCCGAAGGCTCATGTCAAATTCTCTATTCAAGAGCCTGTCATTCGGATATCCTTACCGCCAATGGACACCAAGAATGCAGCAGAAGATGACTTTGACTTGCTCATTTCTTCTGTTTCATCCATTGCGTTGGAGTGGGAATCCTCGCACGCAACAGACGGGCAACACCATTACAGCCTCAATTCCTACTATCGGCACTCGAGACATCGCTTTTACTATCAGACTGCTGCAGGCGACAGGCACGATCTCCTCCAGAGTGACTACGTCGAAGTGCAAGTCGATGTCAATGCTCTTCCCGACATCAGCGTTGTTGCCAATGGGAGGGCACAGACGTTCAATGTCTTCCTTGTGCGTCCAGATATCTGCGAGGGTGTGCGGCAGATCGTCAAGCAGATGCGCAGAAATGTACTGGCGAGAAAGGACACCGAGAGTAAGCCGCAGGCCAGCTTTTTGCGAAAGATGCCGACATGGTTGAAACACTTCCGTCTCGATGGTTCGGACTTTGGTCTCCAGCTAGCTGGCGTCGATGAGGTAGTTTCGAAAGACACCCGTGGATTTGGGCTGCAGCTCGAATCCTGGTCGACAGAGTACAAGGCTCAACGTGATGACTCTCAGGACACTGAAGCGCATCACCGTCGAAAGTCTGTCTCGCAAACGCCCAAGAGCAAGGAGAAACATTCCAAACCTGGCGAGCCGACGTCCCCACGCAAGAAGTATCACACATATGCCGATAATCGTCGTCTGGCAATACACGTCCAGAATCTTGAAGGCACGATCGTGGACTCCATTGAGGATGCGGAGCCGGAGCCTTTCATGTCACTGCCGAAGTTCGAGGTCGCCATGTCAACGTCGACAGACGCACACGGCCCGATTTTCCATATCAACTCCTTCGCCAAGAGTTTCTTGCTGCAGTACTCTCTCTACAATCACTTCGCTATTGGCGTCGCAGCTATGGTGATCAAGAAGACATTCATGGAACGGGAGAAGGAAGAACCCAAGCCAGGGCTCCACAGACAAGCCAGTCTTGGTCTTTCGGCGTCAGATCCTACGCTAGAAGAGATCGCACACCGTGAGATCACTGCAATAGACTTCAAGACGAATCTTGTGCAGATAAAAGCTCGAATGCCTGCGGATCCGCCAATGATGGTGCAAATCTTTTATCTGGAGTGTGGAAAACATCGCTGGTCAACTCCATTCCTGCGCAGTCGCTTGGCTCGCATGTATGTCAGAGCACCGGCAACGTACTCTGCATGGAGTCGGATCGTCAGTATCAAAGCGCTGCGTCTTGATTTGCGTGATTTGAAGCGAAGAGTTGGGAAACAGAGCGTAAACGAGAAGTCGGTGGATGCCGTGGCAGAAGCGATACGTATTGCTGTGCCAAACTCTCTCGTCGTGCATTCGATATTCGACAACATCACGAACGTTGTGAAGACCACGAAGCAACTGCAACATCAATTTGTCACTGGGTCAAGTGCCTACGTTCTGACGAAAGAGCCGGAAGGTCCGAAGCATGTACCACGAGTTACCATCCGATCACAGATGTTGCTTTTCGACATTGAAGACAACCAGTTCGAATGGAAGCTCGGAGCAATCTACAGAGCGGGTCTTGCAGAGCAGAAGCAGAGACTTGCGCGAGAGGATGCATTCAGATTGAAGGAAAAGCGCCTCTCCCGAGGAACTCATCGCGGGGGTAGCTCTCGTTTCCGTGCCCAGTCTGCGCAGGTGGACCACCGTTCTAGGTCTCGAACAAGAAAGAAGGAGCAAGCAGAACGCCGAAGTCACAGCGCTGATGGGTCGCGAGAGGCAGACAGGTCTGCAGCCCAGACGGGACAGAGGCATTCGAAACGCAAGATGCGCTACGATGCAGATGGGGAATGCGGCATCAGTGGAACTTCAAACCTCACCATTGAACAGGCAAGGGAGAAGCTGGATCATCTCAATGCCCAGTCTTGGAAAGCTCGCATCGATCGGACTAAATCCATGCAGAGTCAAGACATTCGGGAAATCAGACGATTGTTCGGTGTAGCTGACGACCTCGAACATGATGTCGAACAGAGTGAGCCTCTGTTGGCGTGGAGTCGCAAGCCTGGACTCATGGTGATTGCGCTGAGCGACTTGAGCATCACGGTTGACAAACCTTCCTTCCCCATTGATGACTACCCCAAATTCCTGCACGATGTCGGCAAGGGCATGCCTCGAGACATGAAGTACGGACTGTTGCTTCCCATGAACCTGCATGTCATGATGGGCGAGGCTAGAATTCAGCTGCGCGACTACCCATTACCGCTACTCCATGTCCCGGCTCTTGGCAGTGGACAGTCACCAAGACTTCCTGCGTTGTCATTGCGGACTGATTTCGTGGTCGCAGAGGAGTTCAGAGATATTGAGTCGCAACGCAGCGTGAATGTCCAGGTCGTGCCTCCAGACAGAATGGCCGACGGGTCTGGTAAGGGCTTCGACATCGAAGTGCGCCGGACTATATCAGCTGTCAAAACTTACTCGGACATCAAGATGGAGATCAATACCAACAGCCCTACGAAGATATCATGGTCGACTTCGTATCAGCCTGCCATACAGGATGCTATGCAGGTAATCGAAGGCTTCACCAAGCCACCTGTGGATCCATCAGATCGCGTCGGCTTTTGGGACAAGATTCGACTATCCTTCCACTCTCGAGTCAATGTAGCATGGAAGAACGATGGCGACGTGCATCTGATTTTGAAGGGGTCCAGAGACCCATACGTCGTCACTGGAACAGGCGCTGGTCTTGTTATGGTCTGGCGAAACGACGTCAATTGGAACATTGCCCAGCACAAGGATCCTCGCAGGTTCATGACTGTTGACAGTGGAGAGTATGTACTGGCCGTGCCCGACTTCAATAGCTATGCCCGGCGATCTCATGAAGCTGCGACCGATGACGATGCTGGTACGAGCACACGCTCGACGACATCGATCAAGCGAGATGCGGTCTTCAAGAAGGTTGTCATGAAGCTCTCTGGCAAGGTCACCTGGCTCGCTGGGTTGATGTTCGAGCGTGATCTCGCTGACGGCAGTCGTACATTCGACTTCAAACCGCACTACGACATTGTTCTAAAGCACCCCGACTTTGCCAAGAGACCTGAAGGCATGGAGTACGATGCATATCGCGGATTCAGGAGCCATCATATTCATCTGTCGATTGCCATATCTGCGCCGCACGATCGAGACTGGTCTGTTTCCAACTTGAAGCCCTCGAACAACTACAACTCTGTTCACCTGACACCGCGATTCTTCTCGCACTTCTACAACTGGTGGTCAATGTTCTCAGGAGTCATGTCACTTCCCATTCGCCAGGGCCCACTCTGGGGAGTTACTGAAAAGAAGAGCAAGAAGTTTGGCCGTCACATGGCAACGATCAAGTACAATCTGCTACTCTCGCCACTGTACATCAGTCATGTGTACAAGCACAAGGATGCCGAAGATTATGCGGCAAATTCTGTCTCTGCAACTGGCCTCAAAATGCGGCTCGACAGTTTCATGCTGGACCTGCACCAAAGGCGGGAGCACTTCGATCTAAAAGGCAGGGAAGGGGCTAGAGCCAAGCAAACAAGTGGAATGCGCATCCACCAGGCCCAGCTCGACTTCATTTCTGCGGATCTCCGAGCGTTGTCTGCCAACATTGAAGGCACCAGCGCGGAAGAGATTGAGAAAGCAACTGACGACACGCTCGCTTCTCTGCACAGCCAAGTTCCCACGATCGATATGTCCAAGTTTGACATCCCTGATAATGATTTCGCCTGGATAGATATGGATGACTTCGTTGAGCTAGACTGGATTCTGCCTGCAGAAGCAGATCCGGCGACGAAGATATTACCACTGGGATTTGCTCCTAGATTCACATATTTCCGACAAACGGATCACAACGGCACGATCGCTGGCGATCCGTCTCGAACTAGTCCGTTCGGTGACGAGCCAACGCATTACTGTGTCATGTCAGCGAAGAACGACCCTCGCAGAGTTCAATCAGAGCTGATTGAAAGACGTCTATCCTTGCTGAAGGAGAAAATTGCCCAGAACGTCCGAGCTGTTGGCGAGCAAGAGCTCAAGCTGGTACAAGAACCATCGAGCGATCAAGCAAAACGACAGGCACTACAGGACAAGCTAGATACCTTGCGAGGCCACACAGAACATTTGCAGGGTAAACATGACTTCTTGGCTTTCATGCTCAATGAGCTGGTACAGCGATTAGAACAGGACGATCCATCCGCCGTGCCCGATCTCGAAACGAGCGAAGAGTTTTTCGAGGCACACGAAAAAGCCAGACCGCAGGAGGGCGACATAAACCATATGGACACTGCGCCTCTTGCTGACTACACCAGCGACTTTAACAACCGCTTCATTGTGCACAACGCTCAGATCAAGTGGAACAACTCGCTGCGAAACATCATATTGCGATACATTCATCAGAACAGCCAACGGCGAGGCTTTGTCTACTACATGTCTCGACGCGCGGTCAAGTTCATACTGGAAATCCTCGAAGAGAGGGAGAAAGAAGAGCAGAATCCTGCCACTCGCCAGAAATCTCGGTCGACGCAGTATAGCGCTATATCTCCAGAGGCTGACGACGAAGCCACCGTACAAGATCGCATTGACCAGTTGTTGCGCGATGGCCGTAACTTTGTCAACGCCGACGAGCCATTTGCAGAGAAGTGGGAGAATGGTCAAAGCAATGATCCCAGAGACGATATTGCTGTTGAGTTCACTCCATTGAACACATATCACTTCCGTCTCATCGCTCCTCAGGTACAGCTACAGAGCGAAAAGAATCCCAAGTCTGCCGTACTGGTCACCGCGAAGGGCATGCAGCTGAAGGTTGTTCAAATCATGGAGAAGGACAAGGTAGATGACGATGTCAGCGGTCTGGTACAACGACGATTCAGTGCTGCTGCAGACAGCTTGCAGATGTTCGTGACAAGCTCCAACACGTTCAAGACGGAATATCTGCATTTCTATTCTGCCAATCGGTATGGCGTGAAAGCTGGAACCTACTGGCCTCCGTGGGTTCCCATGGAGATCATGTTCGAATTCCAGACTAATCCGTATGGATTCCACCGTGTTGTTCATCGTACTTCGGCAAGCCTACGTTACGACAAGTACAACACGCTGCGCCTAAAGTACAACGACGACATCTCTGGCGGTGATCCTAAGAATGCAGAAAGTGCGGAAGAAGCTGAGTCGCGCATGGACCACGTCTGGCTCGAGTTCCCTCACTTCAGAGCCATATGTGATTCCAATCAATACTTCGCACTGTACATCATCGTTATGGATCTGCTGCTATACAATGAGCCTCTTGAGAAGACGCGTAGTGAGCGTCTGGAGAAGATCATGTTAGCCTCAGACTTCAGTGATCTTTCAGGTGCGCCCGAAATGGTCCAGATGCTGCAGGAACGCATCCGTCAACTCGAGGAAATCAAGATGCATTTCCAGGTCAACGAGAAGTATCTCGACCGCCAAGGCTGGAAGGACCGAATAACAATCGATCAAGACTTGACGGGGTGCGAAGATGAGCTGTTCTTCATGATGAAAGCAATCACTACTTCGCAGCAACACAACGAGAACCCGCGAGATCAGGACGAGGCCGCTGGTATGCTGCATTTGCACATGGCTTCCAAGGAGATCGCATGGCACTTGATTCGGGATAAAGGCGAATCGTTGATGGAGATGCAGCTCAAGGACGCTACATTCGACCGTACAGATAACTACGATGGCTCCAACTATAACAGCATGGAGATTGGGCGCATCAATGGCTACAACTTGCTCAACGATGCCCTGTATCCTGAGATAATTTCGCCTTTCACGGACGAAAGTAAGGGCGGCCGAACGCTGGGAAATACGAAGATGCTGCGAGTGCATTGGCTGATGCTTGAAGCTATCGCTGGTATCCCCGTCGTCGACTACTTCGAGATTGACTTGGTGCCATTGAGGTTGCAAGTCGAGCGTGAAGTCGCTAAGAAGCTGTTCGAATACATCTTCCCCGGTGCCGGCGGCAATGCTTTTGATGGCGGTGGTTTCTCCCCTTTCATGGTCAAGAATATGCTGCCTACTCAAGAGGAAGAAGACGAGACCGACGACAAGCAAGATTCGCAAATTGTTCTCGGCGCCGAGAACCCAGACTCTGAGCCAAATCTTGGTGACGGCACCGGACCGGGCTCTTTGGAACATCGTCTAAAGCCAACCATGAGTTTGTCGAAGCAGAGGAAACCAAAAGCCCATGAGAAAGGGCTTGGCATCTCGGGAACGAATCACGGGTTGCATGGGTTCACCCTTTTCCAGCACTCAAACAAGTCTCAGCAGGATGGCAACAATCGAAGTGCAGCCTCGAGACAAGCACTGTCGCGCACTAACCTATCCCCAATCTCTCGTTCGCCCAGCGAGCGCTCTCTCAACACCCTGAGCAGCAGTACTGCTGGCGAGAAGCGTGTGCAGAAGAAGAAGGGTAAGGACAAAGGCAAAGACAAGGTGAAGCAAGGACCTTCGGACGATCTCACGCAGATGATGAATCGAGCTTCAAACTACATGACTCTGGCGTACGTCAAGATCCCGAGTATGGTGTTGTGCCTGTCGTACAAGGGCCAAGGAAAGCGTAATCTTGAAGACGTGCACGATCTTGTCTTCAGAATGCCTACCTTGGAGTACAGGAACAAGACATGGTCGAATCTTGATCTCGCGTTGCAGCTCAAGAAGGATGTCATTCGTGCTTTGATCAGCCATGCGGGCGCGATTGTGGGCAACAAGTTCAGCCACCACAAGCCGAGTCGTCAACAGCAGTCAAGGCTGAGGGAGCTTGCGAATCGAAGCACGTTCATGAGTTCGAGCGTCGGCCAAGCAGGACTTTCTGGACCAGCGGATTGGCAGACCACCGGCTATGGGTCGGAATCGAGCAGTATGCTAGACTCGGGAGAACCGCCTTCAGGCAGACCTTCTAGCGCAAGACCACCGAGCAGCAGTCTTTCGAGGAGCGTCAGCTATTCTGCCTCTTCGCCTTCCGCTTCCACGTCGGATCTCCCCAGAATGTCGGAAGAGCTGCCTACGATAGGCTTCACGAATGGGAACGGCAGGAGTTCGCAATCAACGCCGGAGTCACCACCGCAGACGAGGAGACCGAATGGCGATAGTCCAGAGCATGCTCGTGCTCACGCGGCTTCCATCACTAGGCATTTGTCTGGTTTCGGAGAGCGATTGAGACAGAGGCAGAGCCATCCTACCCACGCCAATGGCTCTCCATCGCAGCAGCATTCGACTGCCGCCGAGGCATCCAACTCGGCACCTGAAGATAATACGGAAGAGACAAAGAGGAAAAGCAAACTCCTCCTCGGACCGCAGAAGCTGCTGGGTAGATTGAGGGATTAGCAGAAGGACTATAATCTTGAATTTCTTTGGTTGGATCAGAGTATCTGGGTGGCATGGACTGGAGCTTCCCGTGATACCCTGAAAATTCTTCCTCTTTGTGTTGCGGCATTGCGTTGGGCCGCGTGTCGAATGAATGCACGGCTGACCTCGATACAGCACCTTTACAGCTTCTTTGGAGAATTTGTATTTAGCGCGGTAGTTTGTTCCTGTCGTGTTTGAGTGGTTTCTGTACATCGAGATCTCAGTATTCCGTATTTCCAGTTCAGTGAAAGGTTCCAGGTTGAGATGATGTCGGGCAGCCCCGCATCACGTGCAAGGGTCACAGTTGCGACACGCTAAGGTAGACGCGACGCGTTCCGGGACATCGAGCCTGGAAGTCGACACCATCCACATGATCATCTCACACCCAAAATGCCCGGCGTACTCACCCAGTCGACATCCAAGGTCCCCGGCAAGAGAGTCTTGCAGGACACAACCCACTCGCGTCGAAACCAGCAAGCATCGCCACAGAAGAGGAGGAAGCTTGAGGACTCGAAACCGGCGTTCAAGGGCACAGCGGCGAGGAAGGGACCAAATGGCAGCTTTATTGGCTCAAGCCAGACGAAGAGCAAGTTCGAAGAGGAGGTGCTGGAGAAGCTCACACAGGATATCGATTCTTTGAAGCACAACAATGCCGAGAAAGACCAGCAATGGGCCCGTCCCAGCCTCGACACATTCAATGAGAAGACGGACACGGTCAGCTTTCAGTCCATTGACGCCGAGGAAGGAACACTCCATGGTGGCAAGGCTACGGTCAAGCTCTTTGGAGTGACAGAAGCCGGCCATTCGGTGCTGCTCCACGTCACTGACTTCCTCCACTACCTTTACGTAGCTGCTCCGATTGCTTTCACCAAGAACGACTGCGAGCCTTTTAAGATCTTTCTGGAATCGAATCTGGCTCAGCATCAGGCTGCCATTCACTCGGTGCAGTTGGTGCTGCGAGAGAACCTGTTCGGCTTCCAAGGAAATCAGAAGAGTCCTTACCTCAAGATTACCGTCACGGACCCCAAGTTCATCAACAGGCTCCGCACAGCGGTCGAAAGCGGAAATGCAAACTACAAGGGCATGTGGAAGGTTGCGGAGGGCGGCATCCTCACCTTCGACAGCATTCAGTACGTGCTACGATTCATGATTGACACGAAAATTTCCGGCATGTCGTGGGTTTCTATCAACGCTGGAAAGTACCACATGATTCCCGAGAGAGACCGCCACTCGACATGTCAGATTGAAGCGTACTGTCATTATCGAGATATCATCGCGCATCCCACAGATGGAGAGTGGGCGAAGATGGCGCCGCTTCGCGTTCTGAGTTTCGATATCGAATGTGCTGGTCGCAAAGGTGTCTTCCCAGAAGCCAACATCGATCCCGTCATTCAGATTGCCAATGTTGTCACCCGATATGGAGAGGAGAAGCCGTTCGTCCGCAACGTGTTCTGCATGGATACATGCAGCCTCATCGTCAACACGCAGCTCTTCGAATTTGACGCTGAGGAGAAGATGCTAATGGCGTGGCGAGACTTTCTCGAAGAAGTCGATCCGGATGTCATCATCGGATACAACATCTCGAACTTCGACTTCCCGTATCTTCTGGATCGCGCAGCCCATCTCAAAGTTGGACGATTCGCCTTCTGGTCTCGACTGAAGAACGTCAAGTCGCAGGCTAAGGACACCAACTTCTCCAGCAAGCAGATGGGCAATCGAGATACCAAGGCAACCAATATTGATGGCCGATTGCAGCTCGACCTGCTGCAGTTGATTCAGCGCGATTATCACCTGCGTAGCTACACCCTGAACTCGGTATCTGCCCACTTCCTGAACGAGCAAAAGGAAGATGTGCACCACACCATGATCACTGAACTCTACAACGGAACACCAGAGTCCAGACGACGTTTGGCGGTCTATTGTTTGAAAGATGCCTACTTACCACAACGATTGATGGACAAGCTCATGTGTCTCGTCAACTACACCGAAATGGCAAGAGTCACGGGCGTGCCGTTCAACTACCTACTTTCAAAGGGCCAACAGATCAAGTTTATCAGTCAGCTTTTCCGAAAGGCCTTGGAGCAACAGCTCGTGGTGCCGAACCTGAAGTCCGAGGCAAGCGACGAGCAGTACGAAGGTGCCACGGTCATCGAACCCACACGAGGATATTACGATGTCCCTGTCGCTACTCTGGATTTTGCTTCTCTGTACCCCAGTATCATGCAGGCACATAACCTCTGCTACACGACGCTACTCAATAAGAATGCCGTTGAGAAGTTGAATCTCAAGAAAGATGAAGACTACATTGTCACGCCAAACGGGGACCTCTTTGCCACAACAAAAGTCCGGAAGGGTCTTCTCTCCCAAATTCTGGAGGAATTGCTGGGAGCCAGAAAGCGGGCGAAAAAGGAGCTTGCTGTTGAGACAGATCCGTTCAAGAAGGCTGTGCTCAATGGTCGTCAGCTGGCCTTGAAGATCAGCGCAAACTCGGTCTACGGTCTTACGGGAGCCACTGTCGGTAAACTGCCCTGTTTGGCGATCGCCAGTAGTACCACCTCGTACGGCCGACAAATGATCGAAAAGACGAAAGAGGAAGTCGAAAACCGCTATACCATTGCCAACGGATATAGTCATGATGCCCAAGTCATCTACGGTGACACTGACTCTGTGATGGTCAAGTTCGGACCGAATGATCTGGCCAAGACTATGGAGCTGGGCCAGGATGCTGCGGAGTACGTTTCGAGCAAATTCATCAAGCCGATCAAACTGGAATTCGAGAAGGTGTACTATCCATACCTGCTGATCAACAAGAAGCGATACGCTGGCTTGTACTGGACGAACACGGAGAAATACGACAAGATGGACACCAAGGGCATTGAAACTGTGCGGCGAGATAACTGCAGGCTTGTACAGACTGTCATTGAGACGAGTCTAAAGATGTTGCTCATCGACCAGGACGTCCAAGGCGCTCAAGAGTAAGCGTCTCCCTTCCTTGCCGCAGGCAACCAAATTCCTTATTTTAGAATTTACTGACCAAGCTTCTTTGCTCTCGTTACAGCTATGTCAAGGATACCATCTCCGAATTACTCCAGAATCGTATCGACATGTCAAATCTCGTCATTACCAAAGCTCTAAGCAAAAGCGATTATGCATCCAAGCAAGCGCATACCGAACTCGCCGAACGCATGCGCAAGCGAGATGCCGGCTCCGCGCCTGCTCTTGGTGATCGCGTGGCGTATGTGATGGTCAAAGGCGCCGCAGGCTCCAAAGGCTACGAAAAGTCGGAAGATCCCATCTTCGTGCTGGAGAACAATCTTCCCATTGACACGAAATACTACCTCGACAATCAACTTGCCAAACCTCTTGGTCGGATCTTCGAACCTATCTTAGGTGAGAAGAAAGCCGGGTCTCTGCTTACAGGCGAGCACACACGTTCCATCTCCGTTGCAGCACCTACAATGGGCGGATTGATGAAATTTGCGAAGAAGACGGAGACTTGCCTTGGATGCAAGAAGCCTTTGGTGACCAAGGAAGAAACGGGTGGCGCAGTGGGAGAGGAATGCAGACCGCGTTTTGCGGAACTGTATCAGCGTAGTCTGAGCAAAGTGTCGGAACTGGAGGTGCGGTTTGCTCGGCTATGGACGCAGTGTCAGCGGTGTCAAGGGAGCATGCACAATGAGGTGATTTGTTCGAGTAGGGATTGTCCCATCTTCTACATGCGCATGAAGGCCAAGAAGGATGTGGAGGATGCCGGCAAAGAGATCTTGCGATTTGATCGGGACGCCACGTTGTGGTGAGGTAAGAGGGGAGGTGTGAGGCTGCCGGATTCTCGATGCTCGAGGCGTTGGCTGACGTGGACGGACTGCTAGGTGGTCTGTATCTATTCAGTGCTGGTATCGAATGTGAGGCATGGTTTGTTTTGCACGGAATGAGCAGGGACGATGCCGTCAAAGGTTGAGGCGAAAGTCAATTCGATTGGAGTGGATGAGCTGTCTGTAAGACTGAGTTCTTTGAGAAATATTCGTTGCGACATACTGCGTCACATTATACGCATTGTCATGACTTGATCGGGCTTTGAAAGCCTCCTGAGTTGCGTAGAGTCCGAGCTTAGATTCATCCGAGTCTCCGGGAGTTTGCTCCTCATCACAGCTCCCCAAGATTCTACCCGTCGGTGCTATGCTTCCAGGGACGACCGGCACACGTAGTCGTTGACGAGGCTTCTGACCAGCATGATGTTCCGAGGTCGAGGAGATGCTTTGCACCGTGCCCATGGTAGCCGCGAGTCGAGTACCTATACACACACGTACCGAGGAAGCTCGTGCACGCGTCTCTCGAAACACCCATGCTGCAAATCGGGAGGTCGTTTATTCAATATCAGTAGGGCGGGTGCATGTGGAGCACGCTATACGTACGCGACAATGCGATCGCTTTGGTAGAGCGGTGTATGACGGTGCTTTGCTGTACAACATGGTTCTGCAAACGGCCGAGAAGAGACGTGGCGAGGTAGCGCGTGGGTTGAAGCTTAGGTCCGGATGTGTGGATGCACTGGGTTCACGTGATGGCCGCGTTGTTTCAGCCGCGCACGGCGCGACGCACAACGGTTGTTCCTGGCGCTAGAGGATTCGACGTGCAGATCGACCGGCACATCGGCTGACCAGTGACATGTCGCCAACACGGACGTCTCGTGTTGTCCGGGACCAAGATCGGAGAGGAGAAGGTGACCGCTGCTTGCTTGACTCGCTGTTGATGTGTTGATGGATGAGGCGCCCGAACGGCGTAGGAGAGTCGCGCAGGCTGGGGAGTGAGGTGTCGGTGGTGAGAGAAAAGGCGGCCGCTGTGCATCCAGTGGGCGCTTGTCTCACCAAGCAGCGCGGCGGCGGTCTGCGGCGCTTCTCGCAGTGCTTTTTTTGTTGTTGGTCAGCGAGACGACGGACCCCGTTATTAGTCCCTCGCTTGTTGACCGACTTGGCCACCTCATCATCAGCGGAGGGATGGCACAGCAGCGTTGCACGTGACAGCATGTGCGCCTGACTTCCTGATCGTAGGCTTTATCGAATAGGGGATACCCTTTCGACGTGCCCAACCACTGGGCAGCCGGACTGTCCTGATGCCCGGGCGAGATCGGGAGACGGAAGGTTTGCGTTGGTGTGAGGTGCAGGTGTTGGAGATGCTAATAACAAGCGCAGAAGGGGGGGCAGACACTACGACGGCGGGCTCGATGGCCGGCGCTGAGTGGTGTGGCTGGCTATATATGGGCGTTAAGGACGGGGGAGTTCTTGTCCCCGCGCTGAGCTTGGCATTGTGTCTCGCATCCCGCTCCGCCGCGTTCGCGCCTGCGCGCAGGCAGTGACGTCCGCGGGCTGGAGGTGTCTAGGGAGGGGAGCGATGTCAGCGCCATGGAGGCACTAGAACCACGAGAAGCTGGCCGGGTGGTGGTGGTGTTGGGCAAGTCGGCAGCGGACTCGTATCCAAGCCAAGACTCTCAGGAGAAGCTGGAGAGTCGCACCCGCTTGAGAACGGAGCGTGTAGGTACGGAAGGCAGCCGTGTAGCGGGTAGGGGCGGGACTGTCGACAGACGCCGGACGAGCCAATCGGAAGGAGCGAGCGGCGGACAGCGCAGCCACCGGCAGCGGTGGTAGGGGCAGAAACGCGCCTGCCGTCACCAGGAAGCCATGTCGCGGGGGCAAGAAGCACGCACGAAGGGGGAAAGGGCACTCGCGCTAGCGACAGGAAGCCGCAGCTCACGTCAAGGGGGCACAGGGGGCCCGTGCGCCTGCCGTCCGCTGCTCGCACCCGCCCAGCGAGCAGCGGCCGGACAGAAGGTGGAAGCGTCGCCCTCTCTCCGCATTGCTCACGCATTGCTCACCTCACCACCAACGTCTCTCTCATCTCGTCCCCCTCTGTATTTTCCAACCCAGACCACAGATCATCATCCACTCTTTCTGGTGCTGTGTGTCGCGACTTTCCTTCATCATCCCACCACCAACTACTACTACTGCTACTTTACTGCTTGTCAGCTTCTTCCGCCATTGTCCGGCCTGCCGTTGCACTCTTTCCGGCTCCGACGACTTTCACTCCCTATTTCTTTGTTGACCGGATAATCGCCACGACCGACCCTTACACACCACCCGAATCCCTTCAGAGGCCCTGCGAGACCGAGCGGCCATACCTCCCTTCTCCACCGCTACCCTCCGCTACATTCACTCTCCGCCTGGTTGTCGGATCCGCCTGCTCAATCGCAGCTTTACCAACCCATCCCTTTCCATCATCACCGCCAGGCATCAGCTCGCTTCCAACTACCGGCTGCTCTGCCCGTTGACGACCGCTCCACGATCCCGACATCCAATTGTACCACTACAATTGCGGCAGCGCCACGAGTGAACGAACGAAACTTTTCCTTAGCATTCTAGAGAGAGAACTGTGCGGGCAGCGCTCAGCCATCCACCATGGCCGACGTAATGCACCCGCCTCAGCCGGCTCACACGCCTCAGCAGGATGCGAACCCCAACATGGCTCCGCCGCCGGCACCTGCAACCCCTTCCAACGCCGCCACCCAGAGCAATACGAGCAACGCGGCCAGCATTAGCGCGAACGCCAACAACGCGTCTCGTAGGCCGCCCCGAAAGAGCACCCTCACCCAACAGCAGAAGAATCAGAAGCGTCAGAGAGCGACGCAAGATCAGCTCATGACGCTGGAGGTCGAGTTCAACAAGAATCCAACACCCACCGCCATGGTGCGCGAGCGGATAGCGGGGGACATCAACATGACGGAGCGCTCTGTGCAGATCTGGTTCCAGAATAGGTAAGCAGATGGGCATTCAGTTGTACCTGAAGTTTTATGCTGACAGCGTTCAAGACGGGCGAAGATCAAGAACATTGCCAAACGCAGCATCGAGAGCGGCGAGGACTGCGACAGCATCCCGGAATCAATGCGGCAGTACCTGGCAATGCAAGCTTACGGACCCGGAAAGGGCCTTCCACCAACCATGGTCGGACGAGGACCTGCCTTCGCTCCATACGGAGGCGGCACACTCTGCCTCAACACTGATACGTCTTCTGGCAAGGTCGTCATCCAGCATTTCCATTGTCGCTCTCTATCGATCGGTACCTGGCGCCGCGTGGGACAAAGCACCATGGACCTCGTCATCTTCTACTCGCCCGACAAGGCTTGCGTGACATACTACATCAATAACGACTCGGCGGGTTACAAGATTGAATACCCATTCGCGTGGATCAAGAACATCACTTTGGAGCAGGGAGACGTCCTGGCAGCTGCCGAGGGCGCATCTCAGCGCTCTGGCGGTCTCGTAATTGAGCTAACCCGGCCGCCCAAGTTCTACATGGATAGCTCCGGCAGCGGTGGCTTCTACGAGTGCGGCGACTTCACCGAGGACCAACAGGCCAGCCAGGTCATGGTTCATCACCTTGGAGGTCCGTCCAAAGTCCTCAGTGGCCAGCTCGCCAAGCTTGTCTCCCTCGAAGCATACCAGAACCGACATAACGTGTTTGATCCGAACCAATTCGCCGTCTCCGCTCCAGTCTCGCCTATCGGTGGCCACAGACCAGCCAGCCAACCGAACCATATGATGCACCCACACAATGGCCTGGGTCTGTATCCTCCGCACGATCCCTCTGCCGGCATGATGGGTCCACCAGGTCCTCGGGGACACAAACGGCAACGAAGCCGATCCGTTCCCGTCGCTGTCGACTTCAACATGCTTCGCAATGGACCCATGCCTTCATTCCTCATCCAGCACGAAGGTCAACCCGCACAAGCGCCACCAATGCAGGACCCGAACCTCTTCGCCCCCATCCCACAGCATCAACACAGCTTTGCTTCAGGCCCAGTCGGACCTCACCTCAGCATTGACACTTCGGCCGGGTATAACCTCGGGTTACAATTCAACGGTTCTCTATCTGCTACAACTGCCAACTCCCCCAGTGAGTACGGTACACCGGGCTTCTTCACCTCTGCACCTCCCAGCGAAGCTATGCAGCAGACCCAATTCACGCCTGGCTTCAACAACAATTACCTCGCTGTCGATCCTGCATCTATGATTGGCACCAGCAACACTCCGCTGTCGGTGAGGAGTCATGGTGATCCCGTCATTGCTGATCACTCGCCACCACTGAACGGCATGGGTCGCAGCCAGAGCGCTGATATCTTCGGCACGCCGGGCGAAAGCTCGCAGCTTGGTGACGATGCCCTCTACCTGTCGGAGTCGTTCAACAAGCAGATCGCGCTGCCTTTCCGGAGCCCCCTGAGCGATGAGGCCTTCCATTCGCCTATGCCGGATGGCATGTTCAACTTCCAATCACCACCACCTTCTGGTCCTGACGCGAACGGCAACATGGCCATGAATGGAGGATCGCAAATGAGCTTCCACAGCCCTCAGCACGACGGTGGCTCAAGTTATCATTCCCCAGCGCAGCAGCCGAGCCAGACGCATCAAGACAGCGGTGTGTCGTTCTCGACCCCATCTGGACAGGATCAGTCGAACATGTTTCACAGCCCGCAGGACAGCGGCATGATGTACCAGGACTCGAAGATGTACTCGAGCCCGGGTCAGATGCAGCACCTGCCCGAGGAGCAGCAACTCTTCCAGAACAGCCCTGGAAACGGCTTTGACATGCAGGCACAGCAAATGTTCAGCTTTGTCGACCCCAACTCCCTCGGACAGCAGCAGTAAAGAGCTGACTGATCCGGAACGGCCCGGAAAAGGACACTCTTTCTACGATGATGAACGCGCCTGGGAGGTCTCGTTACGGCCGCACGTCACTGGCGTTGGAGAACTATAATTCGTAATATACCCTGGATTCTTGTGGATATTTGGACTGGAGCAAGACTGTTCTGCCGTTGATCTTGTTGTTTGGTCTGTTTTGTTGTTGTTGTTGTTGTCGTTGTTGGAGGGAGCAACACTCCACGGTCGAAGTCGTTTTGCAAGCTCTTTGGCGTTGTTAATGATGTGTCATAATTTTTATTGCGGCTTTGATCGCCGGTGTGCGATGAGGGGCGCCTCCAAAAACGTGTGATGAGAGAGGGAAACAACTATTTTTGCTACTGTCTTGCTAGTTGGGCTTAGAGCGGGAAGGAGAGAGGATACCCCCAATGGAGTGGAGTGCGTGGAATCTGGTGTTGGAATTTCTTGATTCGGAGTGAGTGGGTGGGTTAACTCGCTGGTCTTGAGCGCGCGCGTGCGACACCACAGCATAGTAGTCCTTGGCATCTGTTCTGGTAATGGAATGCGAGGAAAGCTTCTGTCGTGAAAGTACAAGATTACTTCTCTTTTTGAGCTGGCTGTATGCAAAGACGGCAGTCTGTGCATTCACTTGTTCCATTTCGTCTTTTTTTAGTTCGGAAGAGGTGCTCCCTTTTAGTTGGCGGTTCTTCGATCCATGGTATAGGTAAGTTTTCAAGCTGCGAAGGCAAGGGGCAAGAGAGCAGGCATCCGGGCATTGTTGTCTTCTTGGCGGGCGTGGCGATGAATACTTGTATCTCATCAGTGCGTTGCCCGAGTATCCTTTTCCACATCTTTCTTCTCTGTGTCCTATAAGTCATGCTCTTGCTACAGTTGGAGTCTTCGGCCTTTCTAAGCCCTTTCTGAGCCCTTTCCAAGCCCTTTCTACAGGTAGACCCTTTCTGAGCCGCTTTAGGCTTCAATGGCTGGTGGCTGACATAGACTTTGGCATCGAGCGGATGCACACTCCACCTCTTGCATGCGGCCTGCGATTCCGGCCACGGCCGATGGGGAAAGAGTGCACGTTGGAAGTTGGAGGAAGGGAAGGGCGCGCGACCATTATTATTGTGCATCTACCTTGTGCCAGGCTTTCTTGCGCAATTCGGTGGCGACGGCCCTCCGCGGATGGGCAACCCGGTTGGTGCTTCCCATTGCGCTTTCCATTGTGCCTTCCATTGCTCTTTCCGTATTGCGCTTTCAATCGCGCTCCCAATTGCACCTTCCATCGCACTTTCCATCGCACTTCCCAACCGTAGTGGCTGCTGAGTGCGCAAAGCGCGATTGGTAAGCTTGCTCCTACTTCTACTTCTCTTCCTGCCGGTTGTTGCGCCTTGTCTTCCCTTCTTGCTTCTCACCCCAAGCATCTTCCCGTGGAGAAGACCGCGGAGAGCAAGATATGGGCGCCGGCGCATGTATCGAGCCTCTCGTGGTGGCGGCCCTCTTCTTCGGTGGCGCATGGATCAACCGAGAGCGAAATTCGTCTTCCTCTGCTCTCACACGGGCGAAGCATAAACGAGACGACAACATTGAATTCGACCCGTCCAGTCCACCAATCGAAGACGGTCTACTCACTCCACGAGCTCCTCCACCAGGACATCTCCACCAGGATTGCGGCTGGCGAAGTCGCAGGATTGGACTGTTTGGCTGGCAGAAGGATGTCCCATCTCCAGACACTTCGCAATTTTCGTATCGGCCGCTCAGCCGCGTCCTATACAACTTTCCCTTCCTGGTAGAAGTCTGGTATTGCCTGCTCACAGACTGGATCTACCAGCTCGGCCGTGCTTTGCTTGTTGAGGGAACTGTTCATACAGCGCGAAAACATGCATTGCAGCTCATTCAAGTTGAAAAAGCACTGCGCATCTTCAGGGAGCCGGCGATACAGAGATACTTGTTGCAGTACCCGACCACGATGCACTGGATCAATTGCATCTACAGTCTCATCCACATTCCGGGTACCATTCTGTTTCTAATCGGGCTGTTTTACATGACGGTCACGGCGAATAGAGCGCCGGAAGCAGTGGCTGAGCGGAGCCCGGCTGGACCAGCGCTGTATCAAGCAAGAAGGCGAACCATAGCAATGTGCAATCTCATTGCCTTTGTGGTTTTTACTGCGTGGCCCTGTATGCCTCCGCGTCTTCTCAGTGATCCATCATATCAAGGGCCCAGTGCGAACAGGGCAAAGAGCTTCAGATTCGTGGACACGGTCCATACTGCAGACGGCGAGGGCAGTATCTGGACACAGAACAAGGTACGTTCAAAATTCAGCATGGCCACAGCAAGCCAAGTAGCGTTAGTTGACCCTATCCACCTTTCACAGTTTGGCAACCAATACGCCGCAATGCCGTCCCTCCACTTTGCATACAGTCTTCTGATTGGCCTGACGGTCGCACTCCTCCCTATAGCGTCCCAAAATCAGACGCGAGTCTCGAGAGTCTGTCGGTGCCGGTTACCAAGCGCCAGAAGATTGTTCTGCGTGGTCCTAGGAGTCGCATACCCCCTCACAAGTCTACTGGCGGTATGTTGCCCATTTGTTCACATACAGAGTTGCTGAATGCGTGCTGACTGCATTGTCAAGATCGTTGCCACTGCGAATCACTTCATCCTGGACGCTGTTGCGGGGGCGCTTGTCTGTGCTATCGCTTGGATTGCGGAGCCTTTCTTGTTAAATTTGCTGCCTCTGGAAGACTGGTTTCTGTGGTGTTTGCGGATGCATAAGCCCGCCGTAGAGGTTGATGCGCGTGGTTCTTGGGACGAGAAATAGCTAGCGTGATGATACCCATTAACCATATTGATAAACAGGCCTCGGAACATGTTCCGCACTTCCAGCTAGGTATCCCTCACTAGCGCCTTATTTGGTGGCTCTCAAGTGAATGTTCGCTGCGTTACGTCGGGCGAATGAATTCTAGACAATGTCAGTGTGAAGATTTTCAACAACGCGTTGCGCGCATTGACCTCGAACATATTTAAAGCTTCCACCTTATACGGTCAAGCAGATTCCCAAACTTCAACATTCTGGGAGACTTCGTCAAGAAAAGTGGAAGATCCTTGTCGAGTCGAGCCTGCACCTCGGAGCTTCCAGCCACCCGAAAGCGAAACGAGGAATCCAAACTTTTTGTTGCGAATTGCTTCACACTTCGCATCCTCCAGAGAAAACCTGCGCACCAACCCCGCCAACATGTCGCGCGTAAAGCGACAGAAGCTCGACCGTTCCTCCAATGCAGCGTACATTGCCAGCCAACCCCTCTTCTCGACGCTGAAGAATGCGACCACTACTTCACTTCCGGCACAAGAAGCCCACCTTACCACCGCCCGCGACGTCGTCCAGACCCTCCACGTCAAGATCGCCGACAATGACAACACCCACAATGACATCTCGCGGCACCAGAAATACATGGATTCGGTGGTGAAAGCATGGGAGAGCGCGGTGGATTCATACTGCGAGATCTTCACAGAGATGGTCAAGATCACTGGGCCAGAGCCTAGTGAGGGCCGAGAAGAAGGGAGGAGACATCTGGAGTTTGTGGCAATGCTGGATTCGGTCAAGAAGGCGAAGAGTGTCGTGGAGGAATTCCGCGGCACGGAGAATTCTGGAGAGAGCCGGGAAGATGACCACGATGAGGGCAGTGGGATCGAGGTCGCGAGTGAGAAGAATGCGCAGGGCAAGAGGAAGCTGGCAGACGCTTCGCCGCTGTCAAATGGGGAGATCAAGGAAGAGGAGCCTCAGCCCAAACCACAAGAAACAAAACCTGGGCCACCGGAGAAGAAGTCCGAGATGCAGGCGCAGAAGCCCTCGATACTCGATCAGGATACTCGCTATGACAAGACAGGTACCAAAGTCCTGTGGCAGAAGCGCGAGCTCAAGGTCCCTTACAAGTCGCTTTCGCCTGCAGAGATGCGAGCTTGGGACACGATCAAGCGGTCCGAGAAGAGAAGGAAGGCGAAACAGGCGACACGTGCACGTGGAACGGCTGGAGCCTCGAATGCTGAGACTCGTTCTCAATCAGCTACTGCAGCGAATGGCAACCAGGGCAATGCGAATCCTGGAGCACACCGATCTGCGAGCGTGGGTGTGGCTACGATCCAATTCGAAGATGTCTCGGAGGAAGTCGAGAGACGATTGAAGGCAAAGGCGGACAAGCGCGCTGCTGAGAAGGCGAAGAAGGGCGAGAAGAAGCGCAAGCGAGAAAGTGAAGGCTCCAATGTTGCCACCATAGCGCAAGAGGAAAATCCGGCTGCGGCGGATGAGGACAACATCACCGTCACTCCGAAGCCGCTGAAGAAGAAACCGCGGCGACATAGCGCTGAGGGCTCCGAGATTCAAGTGAATGGGAATGGTACGACGAAGAATGAGGCGGACGGTAAGAGCGGGAAGTTACCGAAGCGGAAGCAACACGAGGAGGAAGCTGCTGCTGAAGAGGGGAGCAAGCAGGCGACGAAGAAGCGCAAGAAGGCTAAGATGTAGAAAGATGTTCGGAAGCGTTTCTTCGTTCGCTAGCTAGATGTACCACTGTGGTGCTGTGCATCATTCCAACGTGTACTCAGTATGTCCCAGAATAAACTTACAGATTGAACAATCCTTCACTCTCCACTTTCTTTCCGGCTGACTCCAATAGATCTGGCTAGGCTACCATGTAGAGCTCTGTGCTGGGGCTGATGGGCTTAAGCATGTGAAAGGACGGGCATAATGGTCCAGCCGCTTATAGATTCGGCGAGGTCTGCCACATTGACATACGACTATCTGGGAGTGTCTTCATTGCTGAAGTTCCGATGAGAAATGTTCAAGTCTCTTCCAGCTCAAAGGTGCCTTTGCAGGATACTCATCAATCTCACAGACACGACTAGTTCGACTAGCGCAACTCGAGCCCAACATGGCGTGCGAACGACAAAAAGGACATCAGTTGCCGTATATGATGGTATCCCGCTGTTGCTAACGGGTATCCCCGCTGGCATCTGCGTCGCCGTTAAGTCTGTAGATGTACACAGCGTGTATCCAGCTTCCGCCTCTTTGCAGCTGGCAGTTTACTATGGCTTGTTTCAGCATTGCTGGTGGTAGAAGACTTGATCACATCTTCGCGAGAGTTTTGGTCAAGATGACAAGATCCTATTGTGTGAATTCTTGAGGTGACGTCCGGATGCGTTGTGCCGGCACATCTTCGGCTCGGGAAACGTAGGTACATAAACATTGGTGGTCATCCAGTCTCCATCCAATGAGATGCCGCCTTCTTAGTTTAACGGTTAGAACATAGGTCTCATAATCTGACCAAGCCAAGCTTGGGTAATCAGCTCTGTCATCCTGAGATGAGAGTTCGATTCTCTCAGAGGGCATTTCTTTTTGGTCTCGGACGAAAGTGGGGAGCGATTGATGATGGTTATATAGCCAATTTTTGGTTTCTTGTCCTCTGACTAGCGTTTTACTTTGCGCTCGGCACCCGTCTGGAAGTATCGACGCAAGGTGAGATCCATCCCCATCCCGATGCACCGAGGACGTAGATTCGATTTCGATTGTTTTTCTTCTTCTTGACCCCTGAGCCTCATCTGGCTCCTTCTCGGATGCCCCTTCGAAAGCTCCGAGGGTGTTGCGGTATGTACTTGCCTCAGGTATGTTTTGGCTTTCTCTTGCAGCTATATCCCGGATATCTTCAAACAATATCAGAGCGAGAAATTAGAAAGCCGGCACCACACTACCAAGAGGCGGAAAGAACGCAGCGAGCCACGCAGTGTGGAGACCTCCGTGGCCTGATGAGGGAGGCAGTGCCTCATAGCTGCCCGCTTCAAGTATCGAGCGACCTAATCAAATCATGTTCTGAGAACGATTGAAAAAGACTCCCGAAACTCTGCGGAGATCCGATTAGAGCAGCGAAAAGCGTCTCCGTGTTGCTTCATCGTCTGGGATTCACATGCTAAAAGCACAGGCCTCTCGCGCAGACTTCACAGGCGTAGCAGCAGCCTAGATTCGGCTAGTTCAACCCCTCCGGTCGCGTCGAGCAGGATCAACTAAATCCGAAGTTCCGTCATAAAGTTGCACTGTCCAACCAAGCTGTGCCACTGCAGGACTGTAGTAACAGCACGAAAGGATTCGGGATCCTGACACATAAAGGAACACCGCTCTGTGTGTGAGCTTGGGTCTTTCGTTGAGTATCAAGACCCGCAATGGCTTCGTGCCGCTCTCTACTTGAGCTTGCAAATTCCATTTCCAAAGATGCTGCGATCCTGGACGACTACTGCGAGAAGAATGGCTTGCCTGACCCTTCTCTAGACGTCAATGGAGGGTCGTTGAATCAGATCAGTGATCCTGATACCGTCAAAGCTCAGGAGAGGCTGGTATGCAGTAGCAACTTTGGCACTCATCTTGTCTATGGTATGTTGACTTCCAATATAGATCACGGCTACGCGTGAACTCCATGTCCTTGGCATGGGCTCCTTCGCTAGCCTCCGTGCTATGCAGAGTGTACGTTTCCCACGAAGTCTACATTCTACTGTCAAAATATAACGTATATCTCAGCAACCGGACATCGACATGATGACCTTTTCCTTCATAACCCGCTACGAGATCGCGAGAAAGGTTCCCAACGAGGGCGGCATCTCATTCGAAGATCTTGCAAAGGACTGTGGAGTCCCATCAGCTTTCGTCAAACGAATCTTGCGCTATGCGATGACATCCTACTTGTTCGCTGAACGGCGAGAAGGGCTTGTCTCACATACAGCAATGTCGTTACTATTGAAAGAACATCCTTTCCTGCACAGCATCTCCGAGATTGGAACGCAGGAAAGATTTCCAGCCTCAGCAAAGGTCGTTGAGGCCATGGCAAAGTATCCCGAATGTGACGAGCCAAGTAAGTCAGGCTGGGGCCTCGCAAATGAGGCAACACGGCCAATGTTCGAGGAAATGTCCATCAACTATCCAGATCGAGCCACTCGTTTTGGCAAAGCGATGGACGCTTTCGCAGCAATGGCCAAGACCGATATACTAATTCAAACCTACGACTGGGCCAGTCTAGGCAATGCCAGGTTCGTCGATGTGGGCGGCGGCAAAGGACACGTCTGCATCGAACTCGCAAGAAGATGTCGCAACATGACCTTCATTGTGCAAGATCTGCCCGAAGCCATGGAATCGGGACAGAAGCAGCTGCCAGAAGATGTCAAGGACAGAGTCCAGTTCATGGAGGCAAACTTCTTCAACCCACAGCCAGTCCATGGAGCTGACGTGTACTTCCTCCGAGCTGTATTCCACAACTGGCCAGACAAGTATTGCATCCAAATTCTGCAGAATCTTATTCCAGCCATGAAGAAAGGCGCTCGGGTTATTGTGCATGATCCGTACCTGCTTAATTCAAAAGAGCTTTCGAGTTGGCACAATCGATCTGGCCTCTATGTCTGCCGTCTCTTAGCTAGCGTACGAATGCTAATTCCATGACAGGGCGCACACGTTACACATGATGGTGTATTTCAACGCTCACGATCGAGACGAGGCGGAGTGGGAAGCACTGTTCGCCCAAGCCGACCCAAGATTCAAGGTTGTGTCTTTGAAGAAGCCTGACGACATCGGCTATACAGTTTCTCGACTTTGTGTTCTGGAAGCTGTATGGGAGGACTGATTAGCCTCACTTCGCTCATGATCTGGACTACTTTCAATACTACCCACGCCCCCCCAAACAAATCAGCCCATCAGCTGGCTAATATCATCGGGTGGCCACCTTATTTGCGCGTAGCTGAGACACCGCTTGATTCCCTGCAGCATCTTTCTCGTCGTCTCATCACTTAGAATGTGCGCTTGGTTTTCGGTCTCGTGGAGTTTCTCTCTCGCACTGCGCTCGTGAATACCAACCATGGTGACACCAATGGGCCATGCCGCCTTGCCGATGGAGAGTCGCAGGTATGCATCGTTGGCATTGACGTATCGCTTCAATTGGGCCAAGTGGACGATCTCCAGTACAGCGGCAAGAAGCGTGTCTGAGAGATCGTTCGCTTCCATCTTCTTGAACAGTGGACGAAGGTTATCACGAGCTGCAACGAAGGCGTTGAATGCTTGCTTGCCAGTAGAGGACTCCGTGACCTCTTTGCTTCGCCGGGCAAGATCTCTCTGCCATTCTGAGAGCAGCATATCGAAGTAGCTGGCGATTTGCCTAAGCAGGAACTGTCGCGCTTCGACATCCTTGGGTACGGCTCCTGGTACTTTCATCTGTGCTTCTGGAACCAGCTCTATTGAGGTTGGAATTGGCCCATTGCTCAATTTGGGCGTCAACGCCTTCACCACGAGTTTCCGATATCGTCGTAGTTTTTGTAAATGCTCTTCGCCGAAAAGGAAGCGCGGCTCGTTCATCTCCTGAAGTTTGTCCAGCAGCTCTTCGTCCGGGATATCTTGCTCATCTTCTTTCAAAGGCGTACCCTCCTTGCTGTCCGACTTCTTCTCCAGCTCCGGTAGTCCCAAGCGCTTCCTCCTTGCCCTCTCTTCCGCCTCCATTTCTTCTTCCTGTATCCGCCTGCTTTCCTCCGCTAGCCGTCGCTTCTTTTCCTCACGCGCTCTGTACCGCTCTGCTTCCTCTTCATCCCGTTTTCGCTTTTTGTCCAGTCTCTCCAAACGAGCATTCTCCGCCTCTTCTTGCTCGCGTTGGTAGTCTGCTTGTCGTTGCGCCTCGATCTCGGAGCGCTTCAAATACTTCTTGCCGCTATCTTCGCTTGTCTTCGAAGACGAAGACGCGATTTGCGACTTCATAAGACTAGCGAAATCCATTTTGATGTCGTTGCGCGCAGCTTGAACCGTCGTGAAGTTCAAGCTGTGTCTTGGACCAAACGTTCGGAGTGGTTCCGCATGTGCGCCTCAGGCATCCAGAAAGCTCCCACTTCGCTTCTGGCTTTGGAGCTTCAAATGCGAACAACAACCTGAGTTATTTTGACTGCATTCGACATCTGATGAAGTGACCGATCCAACCCACGCGTCAGACTCATGTAGCGATCATCGATCATACGAACACATCAACATGGCGCTCCAACCAGACGCCAAATCCGACATTGACCGCACCCAAGCAGCACCTTTCCTCCTCCGACTCTTCTGGCGCCAGAATCGCCCACTGGAAGCGTGGGAATTCAGCGTTGCGCCGCCCGCGGATACTTCCACAGTCGCCGACTATACTTCTATACTGCCTTCCAATATCCGTCAGCAGAGTGTCCAGGTCTTCACTTGGCCCAATTGCACCCTCCGCGAACTGGCTGGCCTCTTCGTGCCCATCATACCGAATGGCGCAGTCCCCGTACCAGCCGTGGGGACGCGGCTAGTGTTCAAGCTCATATTTCCGGACACGCGCGCGACTGTCATCGAGGGCAACAGAGGGAAGTGGATCGATAAACCTTTAGGCTCTGTTGTGATCGGAGGTGCTGGAGCCGAATTGATAGATGGGGAGGTCAATATTAAGGATAAGGAGGATCTGATGGCAAGCTTGACAGGCGAGGCAGACAAGAGCTTGGCTGAAGCTAGATTCGTGATTGGAGATTATGTCGCAGTCTCGATATATCCTCCTGGTCCTGATGGTAGAGTTGTGCCTGTACCGCCAACAAGCTCGAGAGGCCCTCCAGGTAGAGACATGGGGCCACGAGGACCGCCACCTCCGCGCGAGAATGGGTACGGCGGTGGTTATGGACGAGGCGGTGGAGGCTACAGAGGAGGTTATGGCCCTAGGGGCGGTGGATTCGGCGCGGCACCTCCTCCTGGAGATTGGAGAAGAGGGGAGAGACCACCAAGCGCATATGATGGACCCCGTGGATACAGAGGCAGAGGCGGGCGTCCTTACTAGGGGGAAGGCATGGCTGATACTTCTGCCTTTGATAACCCCGCGGAATCTGGTCTGGAATACAGAGAGAGGTTTCAGAGGAAGCTTCCGAAGTTCAGGACCGATGTTGCCAACCCGAACAATATGCCGCTGGGAGAGGTTAGATTCTAGGAGAGGGTTCCGTTAGCGAGGCGTTGGAGGTATTGTGCATTACTGCTGGCTTTGAGTAGGCGAGCAATACTCGGCCAATGGCTTTGCTTCTAGGCAGTTAGCCTGGGCTACACAGCTTATTCGAAATATCAACAGGCCTTCAGTTCGGCAGACTTTCAATCGACTCGAATTGTAAGCGAAAGCTGGCACGACAGTGAATGATTTGCTCAAGGCGCAGTTCTGATGCAGCTGGACTGTCGAAATCCAATTCAGGTTTCTAATAAAGTGACAGCACTGTATATGCTATTGCTGTTCTGCCGACAATGTGACAGTCGTATGCGCCGGCAATTATTCCCTGGTCCGATAAGCAATCTAACACTGCGAGCTGAAGAAACAGGACCTACGCATGGATACATCGGATTTCCGTGGAGATTGCAACCTGCACAGCTGGAATACTCGCACGGCTGCGAGCAAGACAGATTGCCAGCTATACGATACTGCTGTCTGCGCAGGTCGTGACTTTGTGCCTCTTGACAGTACTTGCAACTTGGCTGGAAGGACCATAGCAGCATCTCATGCATCGTGGAGAGAGAACGAGCTTGCCAGGCTCACTGTGAAGTTCCGGCAACGCGCGGGCTCCGAGAACAAAGCTGAGAAGAACGTAGTGGAAACGCATGGCGGGCTTCAGATGTAACAGAGAAATTGACCTGGCAGTGCAGCAGCATGATTTCATACAGGAGTCGTCCCCCAACCAAGACGGAGCTGTAAAGAATTTGGCAGGCAACCCTTCAACGTGCCGACGTCTCATGTAAAAGCTGCAGTTGGTAGCCCGCTCCGCCGTACGCTTGTATAGACCCTCTCGATGGTCTCACTGTTGCTATGAAGTCAGCTTCCAAGTCTCAAGAGCAGGCGAGCCAGCACTCTTCAGAAAAGTCTTTATTGGCCCGAAACTGTCCGAAGGATTTCATTACTGATATGCCCGAATACTGAGGAACGTTCAGTTTATGCTGGTATTTGTCCTACGTAGAAGTACGAGTTGATGTTGTCAACGCTTCTTTCTCTTACCATCCATCGCATCATGACTCGATAGTCATTCCGACAGAAGACCCCAAACTAGACCGTTCTAGAGCTCGTGTCCTAGCCAAGTCGATGTTCCTCGTCCGAAGCGAATGCGACAGCAACCATCCAGAAACAAACGAGTCGGACGGGTAGCGAAACTGTGATGGTTCGGTTTGTGCAGTAGTCGTTTCTTTGGACCTCCCTCGACCGTGTGGTATCTTACATTCCCAGGAGAAAGTTCTCCACAGGTATATTTCTCCTCAACGCCGCCTGATGCAATGTTCGTCCTCCATGCTGTACAGTTCATCTCGAGGACAACGCCATATCACAGTCCATCTCAGGACCCCCTCTTGTGCCCCGTATCCTCATCTCTTCGCAGAAGCTCCCCATTCTGCTTGCCCTGCCACATCCTTGATATCCTCCAGCTTGGTCCCCATCTGGACTATGCTATATCTGATCAATCTCGGATCTAAGCCCAACGTTCTCCGTACTGCGTGTTGTGTCCTCGCGCTCGAGTCGAATCGTAGGATGAAGTAGTGGCCTTCCCGGTAGGTTGCGCCTTGTTTCCGCGCGGGTTTGGGAAGCATGAAGGTGCCCCAGTTTGTGACGCCTCGTACTACCCCGCCAGCCGACAGGACGATGTTACCCGTTGTTCTGGTGATTCTACAAACAGGTGGTTAGATGTTGGATAGGGTAGGGTTGGAGGAAGAGACGAACTCTTTGATTTCATTGACGCCACGACCTGGGCGGACCTGTGCACTGTCAGTTTCATTCATCCAGCCGATAAGCATGGCTGTACATACCGCGCCGATTAGTTCGTACAGCATGTCGTTATCGCGATATCATTGAGGTGTTGGAGGGATGTTCAACGACAAGAGTCCTTCTTGCCAAGCAAAGCGCGTGTATGCCTGATCGGGCCAATCGATCCTGCTCCAATCTGACGTCGGCCGGCAAAAGTTCGGCTCGTCGACGTTCGGAGCCCGCTACGACTTGTGTCTGTGCTATCCAACACGAGCAAGTTCACTCCCGCCTTTCTCCTCGACTTCTACGACAATTTCGAGACAGAATGGCCTCACCTGTCCTCTCCCGTGCCTTCGCACGCGCTCTTGCCAGCACCACCAAATTCAGCCGACCTCAGTATCTCCGCCTAAGAGCTCATAACCAGGCCACGAGAGCTCCCATCCGGAGCTTCACTGCGAGTACACAAGGTGAGACACATTGACGCCTCACACGAATCGCGCCTCTCGTCTCTTCAAGACGCTCGGAAGTCTCGACAACTCTGGTCCTTTTGAAGTGCTCGATAGACTAGTCACCGGCACATATCTGGCTGAAATTGGTGTTTCGGCGCATTCGGATGCTGTTCCCGAACGCATTAGAGGACGCGACTGACATTGAGTGTACAGTATGGACAAAGCGCTACACCGAAGACCATGAATGGGTCGAGCTCTCTGAAGACGGCACAACCGGTACTTACCAGTACCCCGATCTTTCCAGTCCAAGTACCTCCTAATTTTCTACGTTCCAGGCACGATTGGAATCTCAGAATACGCCTCCAAGGCTCTTGGAGACGTTGTCTTTGTCGAGCTGCCTACACCCGACCTCGAAGTCAGCGCTGGCGAATCCATCGGCGCTGTGGAATCCGTCAAGTCAGCCTCCGACATCATGACTCCCATCTCGGGCACAATCATTGAAGCGAACAGTGCGCTAGAGGAGAAGCCCGCAACAATCAATAAGAGCCCTGAAGGAGAGGGCTGGCTGGCGAAGATCAAGGTCTCAGCGCCTGATGAGGTGGAAGCACTCATGGATGCCGAGGGGTACAAGAAATTCACCGAGGAGACGGATGACCATTAAATGCAGTGTGATGTGAGAGCAAGCACTTCCGCCGAAACTCCACAGTCACATTAAGAGGGCGATCCGGGCCCGGGGTATTGGAAAGCTGGCCATACACTCCAGAAACCCGGCATGAAAGAGCGAATCTTCAACATGCCTCAGAAACACACCTCACGTTTCAGAGAAGGCTACGCTGCCTGATATGCAACCATCGATTTATCATCGTATCCAATACGGCTGTTCTCCTCGCGGCTCTCTCCAAACACTCGTCCTCGGCCAGAAAATCCCATTTTCCAGATCCAGACATCTCGACAACACGGTGTGATGTCTACCTACGCGAGCACAAATTGCCAAACGACTCACATAACGTGTAACTTTCACATGTCCCATCCCAATCCCAGTTCTAGACAAAACCTGACTCGTCGCCCACCGCTTTCAATCAACCATCGGACAGGTGACAGACCCATGTACCGAAACCTCACCTAATCATTCGGTCCCCTTTATGCCTGACAAATGAATCCAGACGGGACAATTTACACACACCGGCCACTAATCAATCCGACCCGTGGCGAAGTGCCTGTTTGTACATCCAATTTACGCAGGCGATGTTACAAGAAGCTTCCCGTTGCAAACCCTGCTTGGGTGTGTTTTAATCACTCCAATGAGAGAGGCAAGCGAGTGGCTTACATTTCCCCTCACAGACCTGGATCTGGAAAATTGAAAAAAGGCAAGACAGGAAACAGAAAGTTCGCATGTCGATTCGCCGTGCTGACGACATTTCGCGAGGAGGCAACGTTCGACACAAGAAATCTTTCGCGAAGCTTTTTCATGACCAGGCGTTAGGTCTGGCGCGGAGGTTTCGATGAACGGACTCTCTAATAATGTTCTTCACCCGCTTGTCCTGCTGTCAATCGCCAAGTGCCGACGCTTCAGAGGACAGCCGCGCTTTTCAATCGCGCAGAGATGAAAGATGGTGCTGATCTTCTCCAGACATGGTCGATACAATCTTGCAAGCGCGCAAGTCCTCACGTCTGCGCATCTCTGTTTCAGGGCTTGGAGATTTCGTATTCGGTGACTCGCTGCCGGCCTTGAATGCTGAAGTTTTGACAGGAAACGGTACTTTTCGCCCTGCGATTCAGAAACCGATAACGCGTGCGCGTTCCTGACGGAAGTGAAAGTATCTTGTCGCGACAGTTCTAAAACTTTTGATGAGTTTGGTCCGCGGACCTCGTCGCTATAACGCTCTCGGGGTGGGCAGAGTTTAAACGCTCGACTTGTCTCTCACGTCGTATAATCACGAATCGTAGCCAGCGATTCTCGGCAATCTATATGCGGGTCCCCGGCTTTTCAAGACGACGGTGAGGTCGAGAAGGATCACGAAGATGTCTCCTACTTCGTGGAGCCTGGCAATTCCTGACGAAGTATGTATGCATCGAGTTTCAATACTCATCTCGGCTTGCTTTCACAGGTCGGCACGTACCTTTCGAGAGTACGGAGAGATATCAATTCAGATCGACTTACCTGCTAAAGGGTCGGCAGCGACTTTCGTTCCTTGCAAGCTCGACCAATACCGCAATTCCTTCGACTGAGTAAGTTGCTTGGTGGAGGAGTCGGTGGCTCGTAAGATGTAGCGAAAAGGGATATATCGTGCACGTGATAGCGTGGCCGACATTAGGGCCGAAACGGGATGCTTGTTATAGACTAGCTCGAGACCGAAATGGAGATAGGATACGATCACAGTTGTGCTCACCAAGATCTGTCGCTACATGCCGTGACGTTCTCACTCTCCGATTCACCTCCGCACACCGCGTTTCTCATGGGTGCACATATGCTGCTGAGCCTTGTAGAGCTACGTATGCACTCATCAATCGATCTCGGCCTGTCCTCGCTCGTCAAAGTTCAACCGCCGTGAAGCGATGGTCGGCAGTGGGACCCGGCGGAGTGTGAAGAAGTCTCGTGGCGGATGCACACGATGCAAGGCCCAACATCTCAAGTGCGACGAGAAGAAGCCCGGATGCGGCCGGTGTGAGCGTCTGGGCATCACTTGTCCGGGCTACAGTCAGTCGCTGAGGTGGTCTACGAAGCATGAGGTCAACAGCTGGCGGGTAGATCGGCTAGCAGCAGCAGCAGCAGCATCAGCATCAGCATCAGCATCTTCGCCAACGAGTCCAGAACAGACAGACTTGCAGATTCCCGCTCAGAATGGCGGTTTGGAATGGTTGGACTTCTCGTATGGCCCTTCGATGGAGAACGAAGTTGGTCTGGCGAGCCCAATTGGTGACAACCACCTGTTCGGCATCGACAATCTGCACGACTGGACACCGAATGATCTCCTCTTGGTGCCGGAGGAGAATACGTCCTTGACGCCTTTGATGCCGCATCAGCCTTCGAGTGCATTGGATCAGCCTATGCTGAAATCTCTGGGCCCACGCAGGTCACGGCCACAGACATCAGGAGGAGCAATACCAAAAGCTCTCGCCCATCAGCCGTCCGATCTCCTATCGTACTACTTCCAAGTCATGCCGCGAGTCTATTCTACATTTGACAGCCACAAGAATCCATTCCGAACGGCAGTATCGGACCTGTTCAGTCATTCACTGGCGGTCAATCTGGCGGCTCAGAGCATGGCCGCAGCATTCTTATCTGAGGTCCATCCTCGCTTTGCAGCAATCGGAGCCAAGCTTAGGCGAGAGGCTCTCCAAGTCATACAGTCCAAACCGAGCAACGACTACGACGTGCTACTGGCGTTGATGATGTGTGGCCCTACCGGTAACTGGCATCAGACAAGTGATCTCGGCCTAGCTGCATACAAGGAAATGAGGAGCCGCCTACATGCCCTTTCTGCCTCTGAGCACCAACCTCCAAATCTTCCCTTCTTCCAAGAAGGCATGTTGCACTGGGAAATGATTCTATCTTATGCTGCCGACTCCAATCTCCTTGGTCCTGGCTTCAAGTACAGACCAGCAATTCCACGGCATGCCAAGCATGAAGCCCATCCCTGGACTGGTGTTGGACATCAGACCGCACAAATAGTCGCTGACATTGGAAGACTTGTCCGCCGCCAGCGGCTATCTTCCCGCGAGCAACAATTCGTAACGCAGGCGTACATCCGACAGATGAGCCAAGATCTTGACACTGCGCGTGAGCTAGAGCAGCGGCTATTGGCTTGCGAACATCCCGATGAAAGTGACATCGTCCCAACGGAAGACGCCGCAACACCAGCATGGCACATCCGAGCGATTGCAGAGCTCAATCGCTACGCAGGCTTATTGCAACTCTATCGCGTCTTCCCCGACCTCCTGACCGAACGTCCCCAAGCCGAAGATGCCACCGATCCTACAGCTTCAGAAGAAAACAACGCCACACTCGTCGACCTCACAAACCTCTCCTCTCCTCTACACACAGACTCTCGACGAAACCAATGGCTCACGCGCTTCTCCCTGGAAGCTCTTCGGATCCTCGAAACCATCCCGGCAGAATCAGGCACCAAAGATTTCCAACCCTTCATCATTGTCGCGCTAGCGAGCGAACTGGTTTGCGAGACTGTTCCTCCTCAACAGCAAGACACAACGGCGGCAGTATCTTCCGCCTTCGCAGAAGTGGCCATGATGCGCAAATTTGTCATCGACAGGCTGACCGCCTTTCTGCGCTTGATTCCTCCCAAGCCGATTCGAGCCTGTCTAGATATTATCAGGGACACGTGGCGGCGAATCGATGCGGGAGAATGCGATGTCTACTGGCTTGATGTGATGATTCAGAATGGATGGACGACAATCATGGCGTGATGAGCGTGCGTTATGAACAAAGTCAATTCGTATCAACATCTCGTCAACTCGAAGCTGCTTTCCTATCCTACAAAATGAAATGCCATTCAAGGCTCGATCATCACTCGTCACTCGTCACTCGTCACGCATCACTCATAACCCATCGATGCCAGTCAATGGCGACCTGAGGATGACTGCGGCGGCGGCGGCGGCGGCGGCCACACATTGCTGCTTGCGTTCCAATTCTGCATCGAGCCGCCAGCACCAGGGGCAAATTGTTGAGACTGGACCTGTTGTTGAACCTGATGTTGCCACCAATCCGTCTGTTCAATCCCCACCACGACTCCGTTCAAATCTTCCTCGAAAGTCTCCCACATCATCTCGTCCCAGAAGTTGTTCATGGAAATTTGATCTGTTGCGCTGGGCATGAAAGTGTCCTCTGCCATCAAGTCCGACGGCACTGCTCCAAAGAGCGTCTCGTCTTGCAATGGCGCTGCTGTTCCTGGCATTGACGAAGAGACAAAGTCGTGGGCAAAGCCGTTTACCAGACCAGGATGCCTGGCATCCACCGGAGTTTGGAGAGAGTTTTGATTCTCATCTTGATCCTGGTGCGAGGTCGTCATTGTCATCATGACGGATTGCCGCCTCTGCTTGAGAATTTCTTGTTGCTGCTGATGGAGCTGCGCATGATGCTCGCTCACGAATGTCGTCGCGTTATACATCTTCTGCACGACATCTCTGCTCTTCCTCGCGGCGACAGACCAAGGCTGCATCCTATCGAAGAAGCCGATGGAAGTCTCGACATCCTGTCGCCACCTCGCAACGTCACCATCGCTTCCGGGTATGGGCGGAGAGGGAGCCTCGTCGCTGTTACTTCTGGGTGTCGCAGCTGGGCTCTCGGCGGCTTGCACTTCTGGCGGCATCGCGAGTACGGAAAACAAGGAGACCAGGGGAACCATGACGGCTTGATACATCATCCAAACAGCGTTCCATCCTGCAATCAAGCTTTCCTGGCAGGTACGGTCGATATCAACAATCGTCTGTCCCGCGACAATTCGGCATCTTGCAACCGCCAGCTTCTCTTCGGTTGACATCTTGGAGTAAGGCGCTCTTCTTAAAGCCGTGGCCAGCAACCAAGGTCGATGCATGAGGATTCTCAGGTTCTGATACCGCCAATGCATAACAGCTCGCGGAGTCTTCAGAATCTCCGGGCACATCAAATTATCCCGTTCCAGAGGCTGTGAAAAATCATAGGGGCTCCTGTCGAAGGCTGAGCAGCCACCCGACTCCGGCTTTGCATCAGTTGCGCGACGAGAAGCGGGCTTGCGCTTTATCACAACATCCCGCAGTATAGGCGGTAAATCATCATGCCATTTCTCCAGCTCAGCATCGAGGGGTAGAAGCTCTTCAAAGCCAATAATCGAGTGAGCAGCCAGTAGGTCCTGCACTCTGGTCGCAATCTTGCAAAATTCAACGTTGTGGATTATCGGTAATAGTCGGAGGGAGGAGAGATACTGTGCGTTGTCCATGTGGTCCGAGATCCGTGGGCTCTGGACTGTAATACCGGGTCCCGTCCTTCCGAGCGATGGTCGACCGGTCATGATGCTCGCCCAAGAGTCGAGGCAGTAAAGGCTCCACCAAGTGCGCCTTCTGATCTCTGCGGGCACTTCAGAGCTGCTCGCGACAAATGTGGTGCCCGCGCCCGAGTTACTCTTGGACCCATCCGTGTACTCGCGATGCAGTCCGTTGGCGGTAGCCATGCGCAGCGTTGCTCCCATGAGACCATTTGCTTCGTTCGGTCTATTGAGCCAGTGTAGATAGTAGCCGCTCAGCAATCCTAGCGCCTGAAGCATCATGATGCTACTACTTCCGAGCGTCTCCAGCTCCATGTGTTTTCGAGCTCTCTGGTAGAAGGCAAGGTGGTCCTCGTTGTCGCAAGTCGAGCTGGCCAGACAGCCTAGAGCCATGACCACATTTAGCAGAGCTAACCACGGAGAATCCTTCCGATTGCCAAATGCGTACGTGTTGCGAAACAACTCCTCGTCGACCATAGGCATAAAGAGGTGTATGTGAGCAAAGTAGGAGTCGATCAATCTCTCCCCAAGCTCAGGTGGTGGGATGTAGAGCGGATCAGGATCTCGAGCGTAGGGAGCGGGCGAAGAATTTCGGCTGGGCTCGGTGGTCTCTGCGGAGTGTTGGGATAGGAAGTTTCGAGCAACCGGCGCCGTCTTTAGTACAACTTTCATTGCCGCGTTGATCGAAGAGATGCCCACATAGGACGAGGCTTTGTCGACTGAAAGCGAAAGGCCATTCACATCGTCTGAAATGCCCTGGATCTTGTCATGCAAGCGCATAGCCTCGTCGGATTCAGGATCTTGATCTGGTGCCTGCTCCAATGCGCCCAGGCTCTCGGCGCATTCGGGCTTTTGAACATCCTCTGATGCACTCCGAAGGTTATCAGTCGTGTCATTGGGAGACGCATTCGAGATCGGTAGCGTGACTGCAAGATTGATGAGTCCTTCGCGAGGCAATGACAGAAATTCCTCGAGCTCTCTGCCTGGGAACAGGCGGGCGAAGACGGAGTGATACGAGTCTACCTGAGACTGGAGCTTTTCTACGAGCCTTGGGCCTTTTGTTAGTCGCAATCACGGCAAATCCGAGGGTTGTACATACTTCCTCGACGGTACTACTCTTTGTGTTGGTTTGGCATAGACGCAGAGCTCCGGATGAGTGTACCATTGGCACTGGCCGCACGGCTGACTCCCGTCGCATCTAATCTTGCGACGCCTACATTCGACGCAAGCGTTACTTGTCGATATTCGCCGCGAGCCGCCAGATGGTCGAGACGGTTTGTTGTTTTCCCCTTCCCCCGCCGAAGACGCAGTTGCGGCTTGGAACGTATGATACATTGCTGGCAGGCCAGACTCACTAAGAGGCAGTCATCATTCTTTAAGAAGCTGGGCAAGAGAGGTGAAGCAGCGTGGCTGTGTGTGCATGAGGTCCTGTGATGGTGCATGGTCTGATATCCGGTGCAAGGATGGAAAAGAGAGATAACGATTCAGTCTTGGCGTGGACTTGAAGCGATTAGGTTATGCCAGGCTGCAGGTATCTGGGTATGAGCATGTGTCGGGTCCCTGCTGTTCTTTTATTGGAGACACCTTCTCCCGGGAGCACCGTCCTGTATGATGCATCTTTCCAGCGGCTGTCGCTGGGGCACCCTCGATTTGATTCGCAATTATCCGTGTACAGCTCGGCAAGAGTGCACGCGAAAGGTGTTGACTGGACTGTTCCTTTGCAGAGCTGGCCCCTCATCGAGCAGCCGCAGAAAAGTTGGGGGAGCAGGGCAAAGCATGGCACTCATGCGCTTCGAAGCAATATGCAGATGTGGCGCATGGCAATCTTCATGGCGCTCCCAGGTATGTCCACTTCAGTGATCTATCCTGAGGTCGTAGACCTCTTACAGTGATCACCTGCTCATCACCAGGAACAACATCAAGGGCGCTATCGTTTACCAGGACACCCTCGCGCTCTTCGAACACAAGGCCCTTCGTTGGTTTCGCGGCTCTGACAATGATGCTATTTCCAGCGGGCAGAACCTCGACCTGACGATCGCTGAAGTCGAGGTATTTCAGAGGTTGCGGCCAGTCGACATCCCGAGACACCAGCTCTCCATCGATCCAGACTCGTGCCGCAAGAACGTGCGGTTCTTCTGTGACGTTGTCAATCACGCCTTTCAAGATTGCGGTCGTGCCGTTTGCAGTGATTTTGACATTCTTGTGGGTGGAGGTCTTCTTGATCTCCTGGCCAGTGGCAATGCTGATGTGTCTCAGCTCTACTGTAGCCAAGATATCTTGCTGCTTGAAACTAGCGACCCAGCACTGGTAAGTGAGAGTCTCAGCAGGGCGTGCATGCACAACACTCCAGTCGTGATGCTCTCGCTTTACCGCTACCGCGACGGGGGCGAGCACTCTACGAACCGCGTAGTAGGCAGGCTTCTTCCGCAAAAAGTAGTCAACAATAGACCAAGAAGTGACAGGCCAGCAGTCGTTGAGTTGCCAGAGGAGAGCGCCGCCGCAGAATCGTTCCTGGCCCCACTGCTGCCTCCAACCCCGGTATCCAAACATCAAAGCCTCTGCTTGGCTGCAAGAAGGTCAGCTGTTGTCTGAGACATGGTACAGTAAAACATGTTGTTGAAGAGCTACCTCGTAGCTGAGACGAGTAGCAGGCGCTTGGACTGGGCTCTACACTTGGGTATCGTACCTTAACTGAGTGAGGTGAATGTATCTTTCTAGATCCGTCTCGTTCCGAAAGTTTTCCATCAGGTAGGTAGCGATCCTACGCTCGTGGCCATCCGCTTTGTTATGGAAATCGATCATGTGGCTTTGAGAGTAGAGTTGTGAGGAGTCTGTCACAAACTCCTTGATTGTGTCGATGTGTGGAAATGCTTCCATCCCGAATTCACTGTTGAAGCGGCCTCCTAGAGTGTCGAATATCTGGTACTTTTCTTGGGTGCCGTGCCAGACATTCCACTGATGCATATCGCCCACTGTACGGTCGGACGTGATTTTGCCGTCGCCCCAGGGCGAACCGGGGTGATAGGGAACATGTGGAGTATGGGCCGCGACAACTTCCGGTAGAAGCTGCGTGATTTTAGCCCAAGACTGAGCCAATCACGATGTCATTTAATACCTTTTCGTAAATGTAGCGAGCCGGAAAGTCTGTTCTGAGCCAATTTTGCGGGTCTCTGTCTTCGTAATCATATGTCAGTCCAAACTGCTCTTGCACCTGGTAGTCTTCGTTGTTTCCAGCATATATTGCCATGCACGGATGATGTCGAAGACGCTTCGTCTGACAGCACGCTTCTGCTTCGATGGACTTGAGCATGTCCGGAAAAGCAGGATAGTTGCCGCAGCCAAACATGAAGTCCTGCCAAACCAATATACCCAGCTCATCGCAGATCTCATAGAAGACATCCTCCTCCCAGATTCCGCCTCCCCATATTCGAATCATAATCTGGTAACCGTCAACCATCATCTGCAGCCACTTCCTGTATTTATCTGCGGTGATGCGGGGCGTGAAGCTGTCAGCTGGGATCCAATCAGAGCCACCACAGAAGACATCTACACCATTGAAGCGAAAATAGAAGGTTTTGCCGATCTCGTCCGCATCCTGGATGAGCTCGCCCTTGCGGAACCCTGTCCGCTTCGAAACGGTATGCAATTCCTGGTCGCCGCTTCTGATGGTAGCAGAGACATCGTAAAGCGGCTGTTCCCCATACCCATGAGGGTACCAAAGATGAGGTTCATTGATGTGGAACTCGATACGTGAGGATCCGTTGATGTCGATTTCGGCACTGCTTTTGAATGCCTGCTTGCCATTCAGAGAGGCGCAGAACTCGACCGATCCTCCCGAGGCTCCTTCAACTGTCGCAGTGATCGTACCGGAAAGCTCTTGAAGGCTTGAGTGGACCTCATAGTCGATTCGTAGGTCGTCGATGTAGGCTTGATAGGTCTCTAGCCTGACAGCTCGCCAGGGCCCGCAGGGCATCAACACAGGTCCTGAGCACATTGTAGTCAGCAATCTCAGCGCCAGAAATGCAAGGCGAAGTAGTACCCCAGTCCCAACCCCAGTGATACTGTGCCTTCCTAACGGCGAGTCGCGCCATGTCTCCGTTGAAACCCACCCATTTGTGCTCCGGGTGGGAATCTTTGATCTTTCGGGCTTCCAAAAGAGCAGGGGCAAAGTCGATCTCCAGTACGGCTTCTTGCTGGGCGTCGAGCTTATCGGTCACGTCGACACGGTGCATGATCCACATGTTGTTGCTCTCGAGAACGACCTCGCCATTCAATTTGACAGTAGCGAAGGTGTCAAGCCCGTCAAAGGCCAGTACAAGCTTTTTCCCCCGTTCCTGTGAGTGTGTGCTCGGCACAGCGACGCGGTATGTCCATGACTTCTCGGCGACCCATTCGCATTTCAGCTCGTTGAAGCCCAAGAACGGGTCCTCGATCCTGTGGAGAGTACAGTACGTAAGCGTACGGATGGAGCCATGGCATCAGAGGCTTACTTCTTGTTGTGGAGCAGATCCAGATGGATGTTAGTTGGGACTCGGGCTACGGGCATCCAGTCGTCTGTGTCTGTTGCCTTCACCTCCCAGCCATTGCTAAGCTCCACGGCCTGAAAAGGGAATGGCATTGTAGAGTTGGGGCAGTCGCCCATGATAAGGGCAGCGTGAAAGCAGCGAAGCGAGAGATGATTGGAGTGGTTTAGATGTACAAGCAAGAGAGGAGAAGAGAGAAGGAGACTGGAAGTACATGTAGTATCCGGGCGAACATTGAGATGGAGAAGGAGCGCCACTGGTGATGGAAGACGGAGAAGGAGCCCCACTGGGGATGGAAGACGGAGAAGGAGCCCCACGGGAGATGGGACAGGGCGGCCAGAAGGGGCAAGTGATGCGCGTACTACGGGTAAGGTATGCACGCTCTGCCGCGACTGCCACTGCCATTTACTGCGAATAATCGTGCTGCAACGTACCCTCCTGTGCACAGCTGTGCTTGCCACTGTGAAGCCAGCCCTGGCCAGGATGGAATGAAGTCGGCCTCCGTCCCGACCCCCGTCTCCGGATCTCTCCGTGTCCAAAGCGGTTAGTCGTCAGGTCGTGGTAAAACAGACGGAACCACCATCCGATGCGCCAAGTGTCTGACACGTGCTCGCGCGTCGTCCCTCACGAATGGGAAGACGACTCCGGTGTCGAATAGATTAGAGGGGCGACCTCCTCCATCGTTCGCACCGGTTCGTATTCGTATTCCGTCTGCACGTCTGGCAAACCTTATCCAGCTGAGTTTCGATATCGAACTTTATCTACCATCTTCTCCCAATGCGGTGACGACGACCTTCCTACACGGGCGGGCTATACGAACGACTCCGGTGAGGTAGTAAAGGCAGTGTCGAAACATGCAATCATTCACGCCTGACTGGCCTTCTAATCCCCATCCCTGCCCGCGCTCTCGCTCGCGCTTTGCAATCTCGGGACATGCTCTGCTCCCAGTCCGCAGATGCCACTGGTCTACCTCTCAACGTCAACGTCAGCAGCGCCAAAAGAGGACGCCTCAAACATCGTCGTGACTTGGTGGCCCGGTATGCTGGGGTTACAAGACGAACGGCACTCGGCGAGAGAAGTCTGCGACCAGCTCGTTGAACAGTTGAGAGAGATCGACGGAGATGAGTGATGACACCGCTTCATCGATCGCAGTCGCTCACCAGTCTCATAGAGGATAGACAAGTAGGATAGGACAATCGAAATGTCTTCATCTCATGCAAGAAAAGCTCTCTTTGTCAACGTCTATGATCAAGCTCCCGCTCTCCTCTTTCCTACTCGTCATGACGGCCCAGGTTCCCCGGCTTGAGCCCAAGAGCTCTTCTGTTCAATATTTCCAGTCGGAGTGGATCCAGTCACTGCGTCCGTTCCTTGGATCTTCTTCTGGCTTTCGTCGCCCTCCTCGTTCGACTCTCGCTGCTGCTTCTTCTCCTCTTCCTGCCGCTGTCTCTCCTCCTCCTCTTGCCTTCTAGCGGCAACCTCTTCCTCCGCCCTTCTCCTCTCTTCTTGCTCACGCGCCCGGACGTATGCCTCACCAACACCAGGCCAAAGACTAGCAACAAGTAGTGCGACAGCTCTTTCGACTGGTCTCACTCGGTCTCGTATCCATTGGTAACGCTCATTACGAGCCTGATCCCGTGCTCTGGCGTCCTGGTTCAAAAGTCTCTGTGCGAATTGCTCGGGAGTTGGCATCTGTCCAGGCCTTATACCCCCTTGTGCTTGACCTTGTCCCTGACCTAGCGGCGGCTGCTGGCCTTGCCGCTGTTCTTGTTGCGCTTGATCTTGTCCCTCACCACGTTGTTGAGCCGGTCGCTGGCCGTCATTCACGATTCCGTCCCACCATCGCCTCACTGCGCCGCCATCCCCAAGTAGTCCGGCTCGGATCATCCAGAATCCAAGTCCAATGGCGAGTAGCGCTAGAGGACGCCTCCAGCCCATGTTTGCGCCAAGAAGGAAGTAGCTGAAGATGAGAATGCGCAGCAAGAGCCACAAATGGCCAAGGATTGGCGCGAGAGGCCCCAGTGGATCTTGTTGCGCGCCTGGCAGCTGAACTTGAGCTTGCGGCCCGTTATCGCCCTGTCCTTGGGGTAGAGCTACAGCTTGATTGGCTTGTATTTGATTTCCCGCGGCTGGAGTGGTCGGGTGTGACTGTGCCGTAGAAGTAGGCCTTGACCGCAGTCCCGTTGAAGTTGTACCTGCCTGATGCTGTTGCGTTCCTGTGAAAATTCCAAACTCAGGTGAGTGTAAAATAGCTTGAGGGCCCATTGGAGACGACAACAGATAGCAGGTAACATCGGTAGAGCTTGTATTTGACTGCTGTTGGGCTTGACGCATCTGTTGAGCTCTCTGTTGCCAATTAGTTGACACGTTCGTGGATGGCGCAGTGGTATTGTGGGATGTTGTAGCTGCAAAACCGTTGCTTACACCAGCAGTTCGGGGTGATTGAGACCTTGCCCGATGTTGCGTGCCCAGGCGCAGTGGATCGATATAATCGCTCAACGCCTGGGTCCTCTCCTCAAGTCTTGTAATCTCGCCACGCTGAGCCTCAGAGGCTGCCTCAGAGCTTCGTAATTCGTCAAGCATGCGACGCATCTCGACAATATTCTCGCGTGCTTGATCCAACGCGGACGTTCCGGGAGGCCGCATGGTGTTCGGGTGTTGTACTCCTGGTGGAAGTCCAAAACCAAAGGGCGGTATTCCAGGTAGTCCAGGTATTCCAGGTATTCCAGGTATTCCAGTTAGTCCAGGTATTCCAGGTATTCCAGGTATTCCAGGCATGCCAGGCATTCCGTGCATCCCCGGGAGCCCATGCATACCCTGCACACCAGGCATAAATTGAGCACCTGGATGCATGTGTGGGCCCGCGTGTGGAATATTCATTGTCTGCTGATGGATCGTAATCCGCTCGCCGTTAGGACCAATGCCTTGCACGTGAAATCCGCCTTGGTTCGGAGGTCGTTGTTGGTTGTTTCCGGGCTGCGGCTGCATGTTCTGAGGTACTTGCTGATGTAGATTGGGAGGCATGTTAGGTTCGGCCGGCGCTGGTACAGGTGCAGCGGGTGGAACACCGGTTCCTATCCCTGCGTGGGCCGGACTTGCTGACCGGCTCGATGTGTTCATACCTCTCATGTGCGGTATGGGGATGGTATTAGTGCCCTCGCCCTTGACGAGAAGATGTATCACATATTCGTCCTGAGAAGGATCTCTCCTGATGTTCAGAGCATCTGCCAATGTTTGCTCGTTGTCCACCAGTGCTCGTCCTCCGTACAGCAAACGCTGCCTCTCTGGTGTCGGGCTAGATGGAATCGCCTCTTCAATGCGTTCTCTAATTTGACCTATTCTCCATACCACTGGGATATCTGTCCCCAGGGTGAACTCGTCCGCGCCGCCTGGGATGTGACCGGGCGGGACTTTGATTCGCAACGTGATCGAAGCCGGTGGCTCGGGTGCAGGTGCCATGACGGACTAGCTCGGCTTTGGTTTCGACAAGGTCTCTGTAGTTCAGCGAGGCACTTTCAGTTGGTCGGAGAACCTTCTCATTGCATGCCGATTGTTGATAAGTTGGAGATGTTTCGAGCAGACAGCTGTGAACTTCCTGGCAGCGCGGTAGGCTTTAGGCTCGTGGACCCTGCGTCCGGCTGTCGGACCGAGCCTAGGGCTGTGGCCCAAAATCGACTCCCAAAAAAATCCTTGGAGGTGTCTCCGCCACGACATCAAATAACCTAACCATGGCAAAGCGCGGAGCGGAAGAGGGAGCTCATCAACCGTTGAAAGCGGGAGATCGCCCGCCGGTGGAAGACACACAGCTAGAAGGGGACGATTTCGAAGACGAATACGAGGACGAATTCGAGAGCGAAGATGAAGACGAAATTCTCGAGGCCGGTGTCGATGGCCGCCCTGATGAGGAGTTGGAGGCAGAAAGAAGTAAGTAGAAATATCCATGTTTTGAACTTCACCAGGGTCGGCCTCAGGAATACTACTACTAGCTGCTTCTCGTGTTGAGATCCAAGAATACTTCTTGGAAGACGTACTAACCTTCTCCAGGCGCAATGGATGTCGACCAGGAAACATTCATACCCGGGCGGCACAAACTAGATGCTGGCCAGACCCTTGCACCGGATCTGTCAACGTATGAAATGCTCCACACTCTCGAGCCAACATGGCCATGTCTCTCTTTCGACATCCTCAAAGACAACCTGGGCGAGCGCAAGTCCTACCCTGCGACAATGTACGCCGTTGCAGGCACGCAGGCCGCCCAAGGACAAGAGAAAAACAACCAGATCATGGTCATGAAGCTCTCCGGTCTCTCACGCAACGACAAGGCCGCGAACATCGACTCGGAAGATGAAGAGGACGACGACGACGACGAATATTCCGACCCCATCCTCGAGACTAAAGCGATTCCGTTGAACTGCACGACCAATCGCATTCGCGCTCACCAATCACCCCAAGCGAGCTCTTCCAATCCTCCAACGACCATCGCGGCTGCTATGCAAGAATCCGGCGACGTCCTGATCCACGACATCACACCGCATCTCCAGTCCTTCGACACACCGGGCTTCCAGATTCCCCAGCATGCCAACAAGCCCCTCAGCACGATCCGAGCACACAAGAAGAACGAGGGCTACGCTCTAGACTGGTCTCCGCTCGTTCCCCTCGGAAAGCTACTGACCGGCGACTCTGCCGGCTCGATCTACAGCACGACACGCACCGAGGGCGGCGGCTTCGTAACGGACACAAACCCCTACCTCGGCCACACGTCTTCCGTCGAAGAACTCCAATGGTCGCCCTCGGAACGCAACGTCTTCGCATCGGGCTCCGCAGACGGCACGGTCAAGATCTGGGACGCCCGAGCCAAGGACCGCAAACACGCCATCTCCGTCCAAGTCTCCCAATCCGACGTCAACGTCCTCTCCTGGTCCCATCAGACCCCTCACCTCCTAGCTTCCGGCCACGACGACGGCACATGGTCCGTCTGGGACCTGCGCCAGTGGAAATCCCCCGACACGGCCGCGAAATCGAAGCCCGTGGCGAATTTCAATTTCCACCTGGGCCAGATCACGAGTCTCGAATGGCACCCCACAGACGACAGTATTATTTCTGTATGTGCTGGGGACGACATGCTCACGTTGTGGGACTTGGCCGTGGAGTTGGACGACGAGGAGAGCAAGTACACGGCGGACGCCAAGGACGTTCCGCCGCAGCTGTTGTTCATTCACTACTCTCAGCAAGTGAAAGAGGCTCACTGGCATCCCCAGATCCCGGGTGCTCTCATGGCCACTGGCGGGTCCGGCTTCCACGCGTTCAAGACCATAAGTGTATAGTTCCAACCCATCTCCATCGCACCAGCTGGATCAGAGTCGTCGAGGAGCTCGCTCTGATGGCAACGGACGGCAAATGAAGACGCTCGAGATGTCTGTAGATAGATACCCACGTGAAAATGAACATTTGCGGGACATCATTGCCGCATTAATATAAATTTCCCCTCTTTTGTCAGTAACTCCACATTGAATCAGGACCTTTGATCCGATCCGATCCTTTGAATCCCATCCCATATATGACTTCTGGTACATCGCTGGACACGCGCTTCAGATCCCGTTACGCTCAGAGTACACCGCCCGGAATCTGCTACACCCAACGGTCAGTTCACGTCCCCACCGAATCAAGGAAAGCTAACATGTCTCTCACCTTATTCTCCTGAGCAGTATGCGGCACTCCACCACCCGCAGCCCCAACCCAGCCTTCTTGCGGCGATGCATGCCTCCTCAACATAAACATAGGCTTCTTGCCCTCCTTATCCAGCTGTTTGAATAGAAGCAAAGGCTTCTCGTCCAGTCCCAGACATCGCTCCTGATCACCATGGACAATATACAGAGCATACTGCCGCCAGTCGTCCGTGATGTTGTAGCGTTTAAGAGCCTAGAAGCACGGAAATATCAGCATACAAACACACAGTTGGTCGAGATGATTGCGTATACTCACCACAGGCAACACAGTCCGGCAGGGATCCTCAATACCCACCCGGAAACTCTTGAATATCTCCACTTGTGGATTATCCCGATCCCTCGCGCTGTGAGGTGGCTCATCCTCCCTCGGACTAGGCGTAGGCGCATGTCTTCTCGCTCTGTCCTGCTGTAGCCGCGCGCTTGGTTGGTCGGGTGGCACGGCTGTGCTCGCCTGGCTCCACTGACTACTCGTCGAGAATCCAGTGCCAGTATCATCAGCCGCGTGACCGCCATGCGCTCGGTGATCTTGTCGAGAAGAATTCCCGTCGCGCGGGAAGGACCGATTAGCAGCCGCCGAGCCGGGTGGTTGGTACGAGCCTCCAGACGCGGGACCTTGCGTGGTGCTGTATGCTGGACTGGTTGGACTGAGTTGTTGACCATGAACGCTGTTGGGGCTCGTCTGGCTGGTCATGGAGGCTGTGAGGTGGTTGCTTGCCGCCATCGCGGCGGCCGAAGCTTCAAGATGTGCACCTCCATCATCGCGGACCTCTCGCAGCTGCGGCGTGTGCGATTGCGGCGGATGAGTAGGCGAGGGTTGTTTTGTGGTGTCTGATTTTAAGAACAACTTCTTGGTGGAAAACTTTCTGCTGAGGGAACTGCCCTTGTTCTGGTTTCCAAGGGTTTCTGGCTGCTGTAGCCTTGACATGTCCGCTTCTCTTGGTGAGGGTATGGTCCCACCTGCAGGGTCTGGCAAGGGTGTCCTCTGGTCTTTCATGATGCGCATGATCGGCAACGTCTCTTCTCTCAGTTTCTTGTTCTCGTCCATTATCCTGTCCAGATCCGACTTCATAGCTCGCAACTCCGCCTCCGCGGCAATAATACGCTGATCACGAAGCTTGATAGACTCAATGATCCGCGCGATGTCGTCCTGTGTTGCATTCATGTCTCCCTTTTCCCCTTCCGCCGACAAAGGCACATAATCGCCCTCTTCGATCTTAATGCCCGCTCGCACCTTCTGCTCGTAGACAGTCTTCAGGATGGTCAATCGGTGTCCTACACTGGCCACTCCCAACTCTCGCAATTCGTCGTGGTGGAGCGATATCAGAGCTTCGCCCGAAATGCCTTCCTCGACGAACCTCTGTCGGTATTGTTTCAGTGCTGGCGATAGCACGGCGATGTAGTCCGCAACCTCGTCTTCGCTCCACTGCGTGATCTTCCCCGTCGGACTCCTGCCATCCCTCTCTGCCCAGCCCTGCGTGGTGGGGGTGTCTCCTCCATCGACGACAGATCTCTCATCCTCCGATTCAGAAGGGTGGTCTGACTGGTCGTCATTGAAATGGCCGGCAATGATCGGGGAGCTGAAGACAGAGCGCTCGAACTCGTCGTCGGCCTCGGCGTCACTGTCGTAGGTGTTGTCGCCAGCCTGGCGGGCGTACTTGTCCATCTCGTTGATGTGGTTGCTATCCTCTGAGACCCGCTGATCAGCCGTCACTGTGCCACTCGGCCTCCGACCCTTGTCGTCCAAGCTAACTACAGGCGGCAGCTCTGGCGGGAGACGACCGAGAGCGGTGGAGGGACGCTTCGGTTCGAGCACCACACGGTCGCCAACGCGGGCGTCGATGGGCGTAGTCGAATCAGCGTCAGTGAGGGCGACCGGCGAGGCGGGCGAGGAGGTAGTCTTGGACAGGGGAGGGAGCTGATCATGTGAGGATCGTCCGAATGCGGCACCAGCGCTTCCAGGCGGGCGCAATGGTAGCAGCTTGTGTGCGTGCGGGTAGTGCGGGAGGGCGGTGGCGGCGGCGGTGGCGGAGTGGAGGTCGGAGGAGGGAAAGGCGGTGGTGGTGGTGTCGCGCAGGGCGGCAAGATGCGGCGAGGAAGCAAGTTCGGAGGTGGAGCCCGAGCGCGGCGTGTGGGACAATGGATTCAATGGGCGCAGGGAGGGAATGTGGGAAGCGCGGTGCGAGACTCTGGCCCACCACTTGAAGGTCGCCGTCGCCGTCGCCGTCGCCGTTGCTGCGGCAGAGGAGGATGGTGGTGGTGGTGGTGGTGGTGGTGGTGTTATTGTCGTCGACCGCGGCGGCTGGGGGTGTTGGCCGTGGGCGTCGCCGAGAGTGGTGGAGTGAGCCAGGACGAGGAGCTGGTCGCGCCAGACTGGACGCAGCAGCAGCAGCACAGCAGCACAGCACAGCAGCACAGCAGCACAGCAGCAGCAGCAGCTCCTCCAGGCCAGTTCCGCGATATCTCAATGCCTCCTCATTGTATCAGATTGTTGTGATCGGGAGGTGTGTGGGTATGTGTGTGTGTGTGGGTATGTGTGTGTGTGTGTGTGTGTGTGTGTGTGTGTGTATGTGTATGGACGGGTGTGTGTATATGGGGACGAGTGTATGGACGACTGACTGTATGGGCAAGAAGAGGAAGAGTCAAGGTAAGGCGCCGTAGGTAGAGAGAGAGCGTTCTCCTTCGTCTTCGTCTTCACCTTCGCCTTTCGCCTTCCGCCTTCGCCTCCCACGCTCCCCCGTGTGCCCGTGTGCGCGTGTGCCCGTGTGTCCGTCCGCGTGTGCCGGGGCAGAAGCGTTAGGTTGCCTTTCCCTTTCCCTGATCTTCACTCTACCGGTGGGAACCATACGCAATGCATCTGCACTAACGAAGCCTCGCAAGCCACCGCCCGCCCGAACGAGAAAGAAGCCAAGAAATATATGCCACCGGCACCATCACTTCGCATGCCCGCGCGCACAGGTAATCAACTCGCGCGCTCTCATCATATCACCAACATGAAGCCAATATCCTCCGCGCGGTGGTAGGCATCCATGCTGTCGTCTCCCGCGGTCCGCGTGACGGTATAGTCGATTGACATACAGCCCTTCCTCGTCGAATTAGAGGCCCCCAATCGATCAAGTCCACGCTGCTCTGCTACTGTCCGCCGACCTGGTCATCCTGGTCAAGTCCAACATCCACCAGATCCATCAACACTCGCCTTCCCTCCCATTAACCGCTGTCATATCATCTTGACACCCTTCCAATCTTGCCTTTCCACGATCACCGCTGAGAGTCCCAAATCCTTGCCTCGGGCAACTCTCCAGAATTCTGACTCGCGCCCCCACCTGGCCTTTCATTATCCAATATGACTTAGCGTGTGTACTATTCGCTATCTACCGTTATTAGGTCGTTCACTCGTCAATTCCATAGAAGAATCTATCACGTACTTTATCAAGTGGTCGTTGAGTCGTTCAATGAAATGTAAATCATCTAGTTTAATCATCTATATATCTGATTTTACCATAGGATATATACCCTCCTTTCTCGCGGTGCTTTCTCATCACGGAGCGGTTCGGCAAGGTCATTCAGAGGGCATCTTTGAGATGGTCATGTCATCTGTCTTGCAATGCCAGCTGGGCCCCGTTGGCACCAATGTCTTGCAGGTTAAGCTAGGCTGCCATTAGTGCTATCGTGCTTTGTATAGGTACTATGTAGTGGAATGGCTGAGCGATTTAGGTTACGGGAAAACGTTGTTCGGTAGCAGGGGACAGCACGGGCTGTTTAGTGTGAACAACCCGGATGCGGGCGAACAAAGATAGGACGATCACTTCCAGGCTTCGCCTGAATAACACCCCATTGGCGGATCTCGTTTTGCCAGCCCAGAAGACAGCAGAGGCAGACGTCAACAGCTGACATGGTTTTCCTCTTAATGAGTGAACGCGAACTCCATACCAGGTCTCATGGCCCATGTGTCCTGAGCAACATGTGCGAGTTCCCAACTCCTCCGTGACCTGGTTCGCAGACATACAAGTGTCGCCGCAACAGGTCCGTTGGTTCTGTCGCTGTCGAATTCGCCATTGCTGTATTCTTTGCAAGGATGTTCGGCAAGAGCAGATCCCTTTCGTGCATAATGTGATAAGAATGCAGCATACTTGTATCCGATCAGTCCACGTGCTGGTGATGATGTACAGCCTGCAGCCATGGGTGTGCACAGCCCGAAGCAGTACACATATTGGCTTGTTGTCATAAGCGTCTATCGTGTACATCAAGCAGGAAGCTCTCATAGCCCTCGAAAGTGCGCGAGGAGCACTGGGGATTTACCACTGGTTCGCTGAAGTTCGAAGCTGAAGCAGAATTAAATCGCAACCCAGCCAATGAAAGGCCATGTCGTAGGGCGTAAATCCAGTGGCAGAATCCGCTAAGCCAATGGGCTGGTGCATACTACTAAGTAGCAGCACTGGTCGACAGACCACCATCCTGGACTGTCTGCAGGCCTCTCGCTCCGTGCGGTCCAGGATGCGAGAATGACGAAGCCGAGATGGATCGCAGTACATAATTGCTCATCATGAATGCGGGTCTTGATGTGGTGGTGGCGTGACTTCTGACGCGTACGCACGGAAAAGCTCTCGCTGTTACAAAAGCACCATGGGTTACGCTGTGCTTTTGGCCAGAATGCGAGACGGTTGGGCTCCGGTTGTTCCGCAGGCTCAGGAACATGGCGGAAGAAAATCAGAAAAGTCGGCGTCCATGAAAGCCAAGTCGTATCAGCGCAAACCGCCCGAAAGTCGAGAGATGATTCTAGGGAATTCTTCTGGCTGTAGTCCCGGCCTCCTGAGTTTGCGCACGTTTTGTAGAACGCCAATGTCGCTCGTCAGCGCTTCGTGACATACGCCAGCACGCATGCAGAGGCGAGGAAAGGCGAGGAAAGGCGAGGATTCCGAGCCTTCCACGAAACCTTGCAAGATCGATTCGCCAAGTTGCGTGGCTGAGAAACATGGCAGCTCTATGTACGAGCTTGAGGTCCACGGAGCGGAAGAAATCGTCCCTTCCTACAACGTTGCCTCAATAGGATTGGCCATGAAGGATTTGACGTCCCACGGTGAGTTCTACCGCATCGCAACGTGTTTTCACAGGGCACCATCGACCAGAGAAGACGCATGCCGAGCTCAAATGTTAGGATTCTCCCTCATGAGTTCGTTCACGGCCTTGGCGGCCATACGCTTCCGTTGTTCACTGGACAAGTCTGCACCCTGCTCCTTGATGGCAAGCAGCTTTCCCATCAGCCTGTCTAGGTCTTCAACTTGACCTGCTTGGCGCTGGGTCTGCTGCGGCGGCGGCACCATGAAGTCTTCTTCGGACCGGGCCTCGTCTTGGGCAGTGAGGGCGGCCTTCATACTGAAGAGCTCTGCGGTCATTTCTGCTTCTTCCTGATCGAAGCTGCCTATGGTGTCATGGTCGATATCATGGTCTGGATCATCGATGCCGAAAGCATTCTCATCTTCTGCAGAAGCAGATGCCCACTCGTTCGCTTCGAGGGCCTCCCTCAGTCGTTCAAATCCAACCTTCTCGCCGAACTCATTCTTGCCTCTAGCAGCGTAGTCGATGTACTCAAAGCCGTACTCCATGCATTTGTCCTCGAGTTCTTCTCGCTCTTGATGCGGCTCTTCTTGTTGGGATTGCTTGCCTCCACGCTTCGCGACTGCGAGCATCGCAGCTTCCGCGCCGGAAGAGTGGTGTTCGATGACTTCTTGTATGCTTCGCAAGGTCTGCTCGACTTCATTCGATATACCGCCATCTTGCTCTTTCTGGAAACAGAAGATCCAAGCACCAACTGCCTCGACCACTTCTTGGGCTTCGTCTTTGAGAAACTCGTCCTTCCAAGCTTGGAGGTCGGCGACTTCGTCTATCCAGATGGGTATCTTGGCGCAATAGTAGGGAGTCTCAACATCCCATTCATGTGTGAGTCCTGCTGTTGAGCCGTCGACATCGGGTGAGGGAGCAGAGCCAGTCAAGTCTGGCAACTGTTAGAGAATGGAGGTTGGCTGGCTGTGTAGCGCGTGTGGTCTCACCTTTCACGACATCCAAAGCGCCCGCTTCCCTGGCACCGAGGAACAAAATGCGTCTTGCATATTTGATGTCCATCTTGCAGACGGATTTCTTTCGCGGTGTTTTACATCTCGGCACAAGTTCAGGCGAAGTGTCACGCGTAAGTGACGTATCCACATACGGTGTTCAAGTGCGAGCTTCAAGCTCCGCCAGCTCGAAGGCACATGAAAGTCACGTGCGTTGGGATTAATGCGATTTCGAGGCATTGAACTCATTGACGTTCCATCAAGTAGCTAATATTGTCTACTTCGAGCTGGCTCTTGCGATGCAATAATGTGCATATTCTCAAGCAGCCATGCCACGTTATCGCTGGAGACGTGCCGAGCTTCAATCCCCGTGAGACTCAACAGCTGCTGAGCACAGCACTTGCTGATGATCTTGGAATGCCTCCCGATGAAAGCCTCCAGCCCCATAGTTGCATTTCCCCGTTGCGCAGTGTCACTCGCCTAGAATACTCCGAACGCCTTGCTCGGAGCACATATTGTTGCGTTTGACCCTCAGCATCTCATCGCAAGCTTTCACTTCTCAATGCTGCATCAAGCGGTCCATCGCCGACGTGTGTGTCTTTGTTCTCTCCTATCTTCCACCCCGTTGTCCTCTGGCCCGGTTGACCGTCGCACGTCCTCTCGCCAAGCCTACACCACGGCCCCGCTGGCCTCTACTCCTGAACATTGGCGCGTTCCTCAGCATGTCCGGCACGATGAACAGTCGCACATGGGATCCGCGGATGTATACGCGATCGAGGTGCGTGACGCGTCCGTCTCGCTGGGTGACGTTGATGTTTTCGAGTTGGCAGTTCATGTTGTCTTCGGCTTCGACGAGCTTGCCTCGGTAGGTCTGGCCGGAGTCGATCTCAACCGTGACTTGATGACCCTGTACAACAAGTATGCATTAGCTACGAGATCGCATCGTAAGCGCATGTTGGACCATGAGCTGTAAGATTGGAGGCAGCACTTACTGTGGCCTCATTGAGGAGTTTGATCGGTATTCCAATGGTGGATGTCATGGTCGCGATCGCTTCGCCGAAATGTAGTGCTCGATTCCGACGCGACGGTTTTTTGTCAAGTCGAGTGTTGTGCCTGTGTCGTTGCGATTGGTGATCAACGCAGAGGAAGATTTAGCGGGCTGGTCAAACCAGCGCGCGAGTCATGTTGTCTTGGCACCTGCCCATTCACATGCTTCTCGCCCTCTCACCTCGCTGATCCCTCTATTCCGCAGAAGGCGCATCATATCATCAATGAACGTATCCGCCACCCTCAACGTCTTTCGCATCCTGATCAACCCTTCACTCTGTCTACCCCACCATACTATCTCAACGTTCGACCAACTGCCCATCCCCCTTTCCACGGCCTTCGCCAAACATGGCTCTGAGAAGAAACCGGACATTAGAGCGGTAGTCTTGGACAAAGACAACTGCTTCGCCGTTCCAAAACAAAACGAGATCTATCCAGCCTACCAGTCTACGTTTGCGAAGCTACGACAAGAATACCCTGGCTCACGCCTTTTGGTCGTCTCCAACTCTTCTGGAACAGGGTCCGACAGAAATCACGCCGAAGCCGAGCTCCTCGAAAAGAATACCGGAGCCACTGTATTGAGACACAGCACGAAGAAACCTGGTTGTCATTCTGAAATCATGGAATACTTCCGAAGCAGGCCTGAAATTGGTGTTACGAGAGAGGAGCAGGTCGCAGTCGTGGGTGATAGATTATTCACCGATGTACTGATGGCGAACATGATGGGCTCCTACTCAGTTTGGATCAAAGATGGGGTCGTTGTAGACCATGGCATCGTAAGTGATCCTAAAAATCTCATCAACAGAACTCATGACATGACCATCATCTAGCTCTCTCGACTTGAGAAGGGTGCAGCGAGCTTCCTCCTTCGAAGGGGTTATGTGCCTCCAAATCCACGCAGCGAGTTCGAGTGATAGATGCGAGTCGAATACGAATATCTTCAACCCCAAAATCCAAGATCCAAGATCCAACATGTCAACTGTTCCGCCCATCGCCCTGACGGCTCTGAAGCACCAGTCTGCTTCTAACACTCTAAGGTCGGAGAGCTGGGAAGGATTGGCATCTTGAACGCGAGAATACAAGATGATTGAACATCATGCAAGTATGTTGAAGTGGGAGCGCATCATTCGTATACATTTATACATCGCGCGAAAGAAACTGTACCAAAAATTTAAAAGCAAGCCGCGCCAATTGTCAGAACGACTTCACAGCTCAAGATCACGCCAACAAAGCACGACCAATCCAATCCAATTCCAAATCCACCCGTCATACAACCAAAGCAACAAAAGTCAAGAATCGAACCATCCAATGCCCGCGCCGTACCCTCTAGCATCGCATCCAGGCCCTCAACTGAGCCCTGACCGACTCGTACCTCTCACGCATCAGCTGCAGCGCCTCATGCAATCTTCGATTCTGATGTGCCACGTCCCGGTATGCACGATTCTGCAGACGGAGTTCGTGCTCCCGCTGCCGCAGTCTTGCTTTGAGTTCCGCAATCTCCAAGCGGAGAGTCGGCACGTCAGTCCCGTAGCGGCGCCGGCTCAGTTCGTTGATGGTCGGTGGATAGTGGTGGGCCATTCGTTGGATGAGATAACTACTTTAGCCGTCAGTAAGGCTGCACAATTCAAGGCGAGACAATCTGCACTCAGACTTCTGTGGATTGTATTGAATTGACTTTCGTCACAGGGCCGGATGTTCTTCTCAGTGGATGGAAAGAGCTGTGAGTTCCACGTAAGGAGGTCCAAGCCTCTTAATATCCACCCAGCCGGTGGCCGTCCCATTGTTCGGGGCGGCGAGCATAGACATCGCCTTGTTCGAGCAATGGTTGCCTGTCTCGAAGCCGAAACATCTCGGACTTTCGTCTCAGAAAACAAAGGCTGTGCAGAGAGGCCGCTGTGGTTACAGGCGGCACGTCTCTCTGACGCCGAGAGGCCGCTCGCTAAGGCTCAGCTGTGGGATTTAGAAAGCTCTCGCTGCAGCAAGACATCACCAGAACATTAAACACCACATAATGATAGAATGGATTCAGCTCGCTTGAAGCTGATTGCAATTCTGCAAGTCTTCCAAAGCTTTCCACACGCCCGTTCGGCCTTCTCACAGCCCGCAATACCGGCCGGCTATGCAGCACCTTGCCGCGTTAGAAACTCGTCTCGACTGACAGCCACGATGATGGAGACCTGAAGGGAAGAAAGATATAGCAATGAGCTTGCTCTACAAATGCAAAGTCTTGTATCGTAAAAGAAGCGACAGCATCAAAACATCTCAACTCAAAATCAAATCCTTGAAAGCGAAAGCCACTAAAACGCAAATTTACATTGTCGTGTTCAGATCCAAATCCATCCTCCCAACTCCCTTCGTCTCTTTTGATATTCCTTGTCGTCAAAAGTCGTCACCGTCTCCCGATTCGTAGCGGTCCATCGTACAAGCTTTCACGACTGCTAGTGCCTCTATCGACTCGCAACGCTGGAATGGGGTATAGTGTCATATAGAAATTCGTCGAAATGCAAAGAAGGCGCGGTAATGCCGTTCGGGATGCCTTTTAAGCCGCAGCAGTGATGAGCTCCTGAGGAGCACCGTTGGCCTTATGGAGGAGCTCGTATGGTGGCCGCTTGATGATACCACCAGTGACGGGCAGCTGTGTGCCTACGCCGGTGAGGTACGAATCGACATCACGAGCAGCCTGGCGACCCTCGTTGATGCCCCAGACGATCAGAGACTGGCCGCGACGGCAATCACCAGCGGCGAAGACACCCTCGAGGCTGGTATTGTAGTGACCTGGAGGAGTCTTGAAGTTCTTGCGGCCATCGAGCTCGATCTGACCCTCGGTGACCTTCTCCTCTGGGGACAAGAAACCCATAGAGATGAGCACCAGCTCAGCTGGGAAGAACTCCTCGCTACCCTCGATCTCCTTCATGTCCCAGCCGCCGTTGGAGTTTTTGGTCCACTCCAGACGCTTAATGTTGATGCCCTTGACGTTGCCATTGCCGTCGTCAACGAAGTCCTTGGACATGATGCAGTACTCACGCGGGTCTCTGCCCATATGGGTCTTGACTTCGGTGTGACCATAGTCGACACGGTAGATACGTGGCCACTGTGGCCAGGGGTTGTCGGCAGCACGCTGCGCTGGTGGCTGTGGCAGCAGCTCGAAGTTGATGACGGACTTGGCACCATGACGGACGGAAGTACCAATGCAGTCGTTGCCAGTGTCACCACCACCGATGACGACAACGTTCTTGTCCTTGGCCGAGATGTACGCATTGTCGGCGAGCTCGGAGTCAAGCAGAGACTTGGTGTTCTTGTGCAAGAACTGCATGGCGAAGTGAATGCCGTTCAGGTCGCGGTTGGGGATCTTCAAGTCGCGAGCCACCGTAGAGCCGGTGGCCAGAACGACAGCATCGTTGGTGTCGCGCAGAGATTGGAAGGTGACGTCGCCCTCTCCAACGAAGCAGCCAGTGACAAACTTGATGCCCTCAGCAGCCATGAAGTCTACTCGTCGCTGGACCACGTTCTTGTCAAGCTTCATGTTGGGGATGCCATACATGAGCAGACCACCAACCCGGTCAGAGCGCTCGTAAACGGTGACCTCGTGGCCAGCCTTGTTGAGCTGGTCAGCAGTGGCCAGACCAGCAGGACCAGATCCAATGATGGCGACCTTCTTGCCGCTGCGGTACTTGGGCGGGGATGGGACCATCCATCCCATCTCGAAGCCGCGATCAATGATGGCGCATTCAACCGACTTGATGCCGACTGGGTCCTCATTGATGCCGAGAACGCAAGCGCCCTCGCAAGGAGCTGGGCAGACACGGCCAGTGAACTCGGGAAAGTTGTTGGTCATCAGCAGCCTGTTCAAGGCATCCTGCCATTGGTTTTGGAACACGAGCTCGTTCCACTTGGGAATGATGTTGCTGATCGGGCAGCCAGTATCGGACTGGCAGAACGGCACACCGCAGTCCATGCATCGTGCGGTCTGGTACTTGAGCTCGTCCTCGGTGAGGCGAGAGCTGAGCTCAGCCCAGTCACGGGTACGGGTCTTTGCGGAGCGGTACTTCTCAGAGCGACGTTGGTACTTCATGAAGCCACGAGTCTTGTCCAACACAAGGGCAGATCGCTTCTTTTCGGACTGGTCATCTGGGAGGCTCTCCTCAAGATCCATGAGGCCTGCTTTCTTCTCCTTGGCCTGTTCGTTCTCCCTAGACTGCTCATGAAGGTTACGAACTGCGTTTCCAGGGAGGATAGGCAGAGGATACTCAGCCTTCTTGGCATCCTCCTTCTTCTTTGCCTCCTCATCAAGCACACGCTTGTAGTCGGTCGGCAAGACCTTGACAAAGCGAGGCAGAGCACGGTTGAAGTCGAGAAGGACACGAGCGGCGAGCTCGGAGCCGGTGTAGTGATGGTGGTCTTCAATGAGGCCACGCACAAACGCGATCTCATGAGGATCGTCAAGTCCTGAGAGCTCCACCATCTCCTGGTTGACCTTACTTTCGAAGTCATTGTGGAGATCCAGTACGTAGGCGATACCTCCAGACATACCAGCAGCAAAATTACGTCCGGTGCTGCCGAGCACGAGGACACGACCACCAGTCATGTACTCGCATCCGTGGTCACCGATACCCTCAACGACGGCGGTCACACCCGAGTTGCGGACGGCGAAACGCTCGGCAGCAACACCACGGAAGAAGCAAGTACCCATAGTAGCACCGTACAAGCAGACGTTGCCAATGATGACATTCTCCTCGGCCTTGTAGACAGCAGATCGTGGAGGGTAGATGATGAGTCTGCCGCCAGACAAGCCCTTACCGACATAGTCGTTGGCATCACCTTCGAGCTCGAGAGTGACACCGGGTGCAAGGTATGCACCGAAGGACTGACCGGCCGAGCCGCGAATGTTGGCGTGGATGGTGTCCTGTGGCAAGCCCTTCTCGCCGTAGCGCTTGCTGATTTGGTAAGAAAGAGTCGCTCCAAGAGCTCGGTCGGTGTTGACGATGTCGCATTCGATGCGGCAAGGCAAACCCTTTTCGAGAGCCAGCTCAGACTCGGCAATAAGCTTGTTGTCCAGTCGCACGTGGAGCTTGTGGTCCTGCTTGCGAACATTGTAGGTGGCAACGCCAGATCGGAGAGTGTGAGCCGGCGTGAGGATCAGGGACAAGTCGATGTTCTCGGTCTTGGCGTTCCTCAGATCCTCGCGGACCTTGAGCATTTCGGTGTGACCGACCATCTCGTTGACAGTGCGGAATCCAAGTTTAGCCATGATCGCACGTAGCTCGTTAGAAACGTAGTAGAAGAAGTTAATAACATGCTCCGGAGTGCCTTTGAACTTCTTCCTCAACTCGGGATCTTGTGTGGCAATGCCCACAGGGCACGTATTCCTAAACATCGGCAAGTCAGCAGGTGTCCTAGACACAATAGAGGGCATTTGGGTAGACTAACAAATGGCACTTGCGCATCATGATGCATCCCATGGCGATAAGAGGCGTGGTTGCGAAGCCAAACTCCTCGGCACCAAGCAAGCAGGCGAGTGCAACATCACGTCCGGTACGGAGCTGACCGTCAGTCTGCACAACGACACGTCCACGAAGGTCGTTAAGCACCAAAGTCTGGTGAGTCTCGGCAAGACCCAGCTCCCAAGGTAGACCGGCGTACTTGATACCAGTCCAGCGAGAGGCACCAGTACCACCATCGTGTCCAGAAATGAGAATGTGGTCAGCCTTGGCTTTGGCAACACCAGAGGCAACAATACCAACGCCGGTCTCAGAGACAAGCTTGACCGACACTCGTGCACGTGGGTTCGAGCACTTCAAGTCGTAGATGAGCTGTTTCAAGTCCTCAATGGAGTAGATGTCGTGGTGTGGAGGTGGAGAGATAAGACCGACACCGGGAGTGGAGTGTCTAGTCTTCGCAATCGGGCCAGAGACCTTATGTCCTGGCAGCTCACCACCTTCACCGGGCTTAGCACCCTGCGCCATCTTAATCTGCAGCTCGTCGGCGTCAGCCAGGTAGTTGCTGGTGACTCCAAAACGGCCAGAAGCAATCTGCTTGATGGCAGAGCGCATGGTATCGCCGTTTTCCATTGGGAGACTGCGCTCTGGATCCTCACCTCCTTCGCCGGTGTTGGACTTGCCACCAAGTCTGTTCATTGCTACAGCAAGAGTGGAATGCGACTCCATCGAGATGGATCCGTAGGACATGGCACCGGTCACGAAACGGCGCACAATCTCGGTCCAAGGCTCGACTTGGTCGATCGGAATCGGAGTTGTGGCTTCAAAATCGAAGTCGAGCAGACCACGCAAGGTACAGTTCTTAATCTGTTCGTACTCAGAGCGCGAGTACGCCTCGTAGGACTTGTCGTTCTTCATGCGCACTGCGTCTTGGATGTTGGCGATAGAAACAGGGTCGTTGACATGCGGCTCGCCTCCGTCTCTCCAATGGTACTCTCCGGTCTCTGCCAGACCCGGTATCTCCAAGATGTTGCGGCTCGGGTAACCCTTCTCATGGAGGGCAAATGCATCCTGAGCGATGAGCTCGAATGTCATACCTCGAATACGAGTCGCAGTACCAGTGAAGCATCGGTCGACAACGGTATCATCGATACCAAGGGCCTCGAAAATCTGTGCTCCCTTGTAACTCTGAAGGGTAGAGATGCCCATCTTGCTCATGACTTTGAGGATACCGCCGTCGCATGAGTGCTTGTAGTTGCTGATGAGCTCCTCGGGGCTCGTCTTCTTTCTAATCAAGCCTTCGCGGTCGAGCTTGAGGATACATTCAATGGCGAGGTAGGGGCAGATTGCGTCAGCACCGTAGCCCACGAGCACGCACATGTGGTGGACTTCACGAGCCTCAGCAGTTTCGACGACGAGAGCCGCCTGAGCACGCCACCTGTTGCGGACAAGGTGGTGGTGGACCATACCAGTGGCCAGTAGAGATGAGACAGTCACGCGCTCAGAAGAGGTCTTGCGGTCGGAGAGGACGATCAGCTTGTCGCCATTGTTAATGGCCTCAGATGCGGCGTCGCAAATGCGGTCCAGAGCTGCCTCGTAACCAGCGATTCCATCTACCTTGGGGAATGTGATGTCGATCGTCGCCACTGTCCAATTCTTATGGACAGACGTAACGTGATTGAGCGCGTTGAACTCTTCGATCGAGAGCATTGGAGATGGCAGATACAGTCTGTGGCACTGCTCCTTATTCATCTCAAGAAGATTACCCTGAGGGCCGACGTAAGAACCAAGAGACATGACAACTGCCTCTCGAATCGGATCGATTGGAGGGTTCGTGACCTGGGCGAAAAGCTGTCGGAAGTATTCGAACAGCAGTCTTGGCTGCTGGGCCAAGCACGCGAGAGGAGCGTCGTTGCCCATGGATCCCAGTGCTTCCTTGGAATCAGCAGCCATAGGTGCAAGGAGAAGAGAAACCTGCTCCAAAGAATAGCCGAAGGCCTTTAGTCGCGGGTCTTCCTGCACCCTGGTCTCAGTGAGCTTGTGGGAAAGGTCGGTGCCGTTCTCAAGAAGCTTCTTGTGGATATCTGGCATCACAAGCAGTTGAGAATCTAGCCAAGCTCGGAAGTCCTGTCGGTTGGACACCGTCTCCTTCAGCTCTGCGTCGTCGATAATTCTCCCGGCCTGTGTATCAACCAGAAGCATACGTCCGGGTTGCAATCTGCCCTTTTGGACAACGGAAGATGGATCAATGGCAATTGTGCCAACTTCGGAGGCACAGATGATGCGGTCATCATCAAGAACATAGTATCTGCAGGGTCTAAGACCGTTTCTGTCCAGATTGGCACCGCAGTATCGTCCGTCCGAAAAGGTGAAGAGCGCTGGACCATCCCATGGCTCCATCATACAGGCAGCCCATTCGTAGAAAGCCTGCTTCGTACCATCAATATGGTCATTTCCTTGCCATGCCTCTGGAACCATTAGCATCACAGCCTCCGGCAGCGACAAAACGCCGTTGATCACCAAAAGCTCCAAGACGTTGTCGAAAGCCGCGGAGTCGGAACCGCCGTCTTCAATGATCGGGTAGAGCGATTCCAGCTCGTCGCCGAAAAATTCAGACTTGAGCACGCCCTCTCGTGCGCGCATCCAGTTCTTGTTTCCTCGCAGAGTGTTGATTTCACCGTTGTGTGCAGCCCATCGCAGAGGTTGTGCCCTGTCCCAGGATGGGAAAGTGTTCGTAGAGAAACGTGAGTGTACGAGCGCGAAGTGGCCTTCATAGTCGACATTGACCAAGTCGTGGTAGTAATCGTAGACCTGAACGGGTGAGAGCTGGCCTTTGTAGACGATGTTCTTGTTGCTCAAAGAGCATAGGTAGAACCAGTTGTGCAGTCCAATGACGTGTGTAGCACGCTTCCGCAGAACGAAGAGCTGTCGCTCAAAGGCCTGCTCGTTGTACTTGTCGTTGAAATCAGGCTTGGGCTCTTTACCGTCTCCGTAGATCGACTTCAGCACAACGAATGGCTGCAGAATGATGGGCTCTCGAGACTTGGCGGCTGGGCCGAGGAGGCTGCTGTCCTTTGGAACCTCTCGCCATCCAAGTACTCGTAGGTCGAGTTCGTTTGCAATCTCCTCGAATTTATCGAGGGTCTCTTTGAGAGTCTCCTCTTCTGGCTTGAAGAAGACGTTTCCTGCAGCGTACTTGCCGGGCTCAGGGAGCTTGATGCCCTGCTCCTTCTCAAAGTTCTTGACGAAGAACTTGTGGGGAATGGAGGTCATGACACCAGCACCGTCGCCGTCTCTTGCATCAGAACCGACCGCACCACGGTGGGTCATGTTGCAAAGAAGGTTACGTGCTATCGCGTATTAGCTGCTGGTCTCTAGCATGGCTTCCACATGCTACTCTCACCATCTGTGACGATCTTGTGGCTCGCCTTGCCCTTGATATGGGCGGCGAAACCTACACCACAGGCATCCTTCTCAAGCTCCGGGTCGTAGAGGCCCTGCTTGAGCGGGAGAGCACCCGCCCAAGACTTGTTGTCTGGAGTATTCTGATACTCATATATATTGACCGGCTCCTCTTCAATCTCGTCGATGGTGCGCTCGTTTACATCGTCGGCGAAGGAGACTCGACCCATTGCTTCGGCGTGAAGCCGAATGGTCCGAGTACGGGTGGCGGTGTGTATTCGTTACGTTTTCTCGGAGTGTATGCTTTCTTTGCGATCGACGTTGCAGCTCTGTGCTGTCGCTGTGCAGATACTGACCAGGGCGCCAAGGTTAGTCACGGGCTCGAAGGTAACGGAAGTGCAAAGGGTTGGTGTTGGTGAAGAGGTGTAATGGAGATGTGGGTAGGACGATTGCGGGTGCACGGAAAGGCAGCAATGCACACGGTTCGCAAGGCCAAGGCAGGCGGGCGGGCGAGAGAGGATTCCCCGGGGAGATGTGCTGAAACGCGATCGACAAGTGCTGGTGCGGTGATGTCGATGACTCCGTGCGCAGCTCGCCAATGAATCCTGCGTGCAATGCTTGGTGCAGTGGAGGAGACCTAGCGAGGTTGTGTGGGCGGTGCGGAACAAGCAAGAGATTTTGTTCGCCGGGGCGTTATCGAGAGCTGTGCTGGGCTGGCGGCGGCTTCTCTGCTTTTGCCTTGCTTCCAGGTAATCTCCGAGCTGTGCAGCAGGCCGTCGTGGGGTCGGATGCATGTGGCAGTGGGCTCGTGGCGGGCATTGAAAGCACGTGGGTGCCCGTGACAACGAACGAGGGCGAATGGCCGGGGCAGCGGGGAAGGAGGACGATGAGCACGACGATGACGATGACACTTACCTCGGGGCGAGGATGCGAGGCGATGCGATGCGACGCGATGCGAGACGCTGCGTTGTGCTGGCGGGCGGTGAGGTGGAATTGCGTGGTCGTTGTTGTTTCGAGCAAGAGGTAGCGGAGGAGGAAAAGATGCAGTGGCAGCTTTTGGTGCCGGAGGGCTTTTTACCTGCCCCCCCCAGGCCGTGGGTATCCACCATCACACGCTTAGCCACCACTCCTCGACTGATCTTACCTTAGCGCAGCAACGCAGAGACGTTCTCGCCTACGACGCCCATACATCGCCATCCGCACTCGGACGTCCTGGTCACTTTCCGGGGCGTTCCTGAAACGATCCGCCTTGACGCACAACTGCCGACGTAGCAGACTGCATCATGACTATGATCTCTCACGCGCACATATTCTTCACCCTATGGTCGGAGGGCACGGAATGAGGCCGGTGCCTTAGCATGTTGAGATGTCTCCTCTCTGCTACTACCCCAGCCTTCCGCCTCGGCATAGACGATGGCAGAGTCCAGATGAGTCCCTTCTCATCATGTCCCTTCTACCTCCACCCTCGTACGATTCTCCAGAGACGCAGACCTGTCCATCCCGCATGAAGCATGGCCACTGCAGTCGTCACGACACAGAGCGCAGAGTAAGGATTTCCGCCCTCTCCACGCCGCCCCGCCGCTCGACCAAACAATCTCAGCAGAAGAGACTTGATGGAGGGGTCCCTGCTTCCCCAGCTTCAACGTGCAGGCAAGCTGCGAGCTAAATCCCCTTAGACGCAGCCCGGGTGCACTCCGTGCCCACTGCTCCTCTGCAGTGCGACTGCCGCCCCTCGTGATTCGCCAACGCAATCTCGAATGAAGTCAGAACCTCAGTGCCGCGCATCGGCAATCTGGCACTGTCGCTCATCAAGCCTTCGGCCAGCTGCGACCGGTGATGCATCCCAATCCTTTGCCCTGCAATTGGACAGGTCGGCCGCATTGACACATTCTCACCGCAAACGCCCTTCTGGTGCCTGTTATCGCACGCATATGAGACGCCCGCCAGTCCGCCGCAGGAGATGTCGCTCTTCGCATGCACCTCTTCGCTTCCTGCGAGCTTCGTCAGAGCTTGTTCCTTGGATCTCATCTCAGTATCGTCTGACGTGCGTGGTGCGTTCATCGGCCCGTCATGTGCGGTAGTCGGGTACAAGAAGCACGCCGCCTGCGTTGTTCTGGTCATCTGGGCATCTTTGGCTTCTCTCCACAGGTCCCTCCTGTCCGCTGCTCCTCACCGCACATGCCGATTTGGACAACCTAGCTTCTACAGCTCATCGGCGAGTTGCTCGGCACGCACGCTCCGCTCCCATCAAAGGCCCCGGGCGAATCCGGGAGAAATCGTTACCTCGCTTTCGACCGACCTCCTCCGCATTATCCGCTTCCCGCTTCACCACATTTTGTCCACTGGGCCGAGATCGGAGCGTGAATTTGGATCGCACCTGCAGCTGAGGTCGCGGCTAGCCGACACGAATGATGCGACGACGGCAGGATGGGCCCCCACTCTTTCACATGCGAGAGCTTTGCGGCTCTGCGGGACGATTCTGAGAGCCTAGACCTCTTCGCTCTCCGTAGCGCGAAGGAAGGGCAATGGACTATTCACAGGCTGGGAGGCGACTGCGACGGACAGACCCTGCTGTGACATGCTCTGATGTGAACACTGCTTTTTCATTTTGTGCTATGGTGAGAAGCCATGGAGGGCGAGAGCCAGACTGCGCCCGAACTCCTGCGCGATGCTCCTAAAACAGTGTGACTGCTGTTCATGCCTGTCGTAGCGGACGCTGTGCTATCGAGATGGACATCGTCGGCTATGCAAGATGCATCCTGCTTCGAAGATGAGTGTTTGCAGTCTCAGACAAGGTGAGGCCATAAGACATACCTCACCGCGGTCTTGCGTGAGGGACCGTAGGGAGATGATAGATGCGAAAGCCTGGGCCTGATCTAGTCCTCCATGGCATCATCATCCTGGAAATCCTCGTCGTCGTCCTCATCGTCCTCCTCCGCCTCCATGTTCTTCGCGGCCTCGGCGTAGTCGATGTTCTTGCCGCGCGTGCGACTGCTGACGATGTTGTCCATGTCGATCTCCTCCATGTTGTCCTCGTCAGCCTCCTCCGGCTCGCCTGCAGCCATGTCAGTGCATGCGCGTTCTCGCAAAGCGCTTCTTGCTCTTACCCTCGCCATCTTCTCCCTAATCAGAAAATCAGCAACGTGGCTCTGGCTTGTTTCATTTTCAGCAACGCACCTCGCCCTCCTCAGAATCCTCCTCGTCGTCCTCTTCCATCATGTCCAGGTCGGTCGCCTTGCCCTTGCCCTTACCCTGGGCCTCGATCTCGGCTTGCTTGACTGCCTCGGCGGCGTGCGAATCCTGAGGAGTGTCGCTCATGATGGGCGTTTGTTGGGTTATCGTAGACTGTCTGTGGAAATTGTCAGCCTTAGTCTTCTCTGCAGAGCTGTATACGCACAAACATACGAGTCCGGCGATGTGAATCTGGGATGCGCGACAACAGCGATGCAAGCTAATTTGTTGTTGCGATGTGTTTTTTTGGGTGCACGATGTTGCAGAAACACCCGCCGTGGAAAGCTCTCGCGAACGCACAGACCTCCAACGGACCCTTAATTGTTGTCAACGCGTCTTGACGCGACCTCCGCGTTGACCTCACCTCGAATTCTCGACGACAAGTTAATACAACGCAAGATGGCCATTCCGCTGAGAGGACGCCCTGCGCGTAAGTACATGACGAAACTACTACAATCAAGTTACTAAATCTCTGCATAGACGCCCCGGGCCCGACGTTCTTCAGCTATACGCCCAATGGAAAGAAGCTCATCACAGCTGGTCCCAATGGTGCTATACGAGTGTTCGAACATGGATCGGACAGCGAACCTACAATCATCGACGTGCCCACAGAGAATCACCTCGCAGCTGTTGCAGCCAATGACTTCTTCATCATTGCGAGCGAAGAAGGAGATGTGACGAAGTACTCCTTGGTGACGAACAAGATGGATGACATACTCATCCGATGCTCGGCTCCTCCGCGCGATCTGGCTTTGTCTCCAGATGGCGAATGGCTGGCAGTGGCTAGCGAGTAAGTAGTTAAACAAAGTACAGTATCCAAAGAATACTGCGACTGACTGTGGCCTAGCGAGCTTGAGATCAAGATCGTGAACGTAAAGGACACGATGCGCGTTATGTACTTGCGTGAACAAACTCGTCCAGCCAAGCATCTGTCTTTCGATATCAGCGGCACGACACTCACCGCTTCGTGCGCGGATGGCATGATCTATGTCTACTCTCTCAGCTCGGAGCAGCCGCAGCTCACCAAGCGTGTCGATGGGCTGCTTGGCATGCTCGATGTTGAATCAGAGAATGCTTCTCGGCCAACATGGCACCCAGATGGAAGAGCTTTCGTGGTACCAACACAGAACAAAGGTGAGCTCTGTGCCAAGGAAGTTAGCTATCTATCCTATGTTAACTAACATCTCTCGCAGAGTTGCAGGTTGTTGCCCGAAACGATTGGTCGCGGCAGAAGGTGTTCTCCGGCCTCAAGTCAGAGATTACAGCCTTGGCCTGGTCACCGAACGGCGCGTTGTTAGTCACCGCAGACCTCGACAAAGCTCTGACACTCTGGGATGCGAGGACCCAAAAGGTCCTCCAAATATACAGCGATCTTCGCAATACCGTTTTGAACGTCCAGTGGCACCCGAAGGACAATGTCTTGTCCTATACCAACAATAATGGCGAGCTCTTCATCCGCGAAGACTTTGTGCCAGATGAGCACAAGAAGCTGCTCCGCTTGGAAAAGCAACCAGCTCCTTTGACCAGCGATCCGCTTTTAGAGGTATCCGGTAACGCTCGTAAACCCATGACAAATGGCGTGAATGGACACAAGCGGACGGCACAAGACGAGTACCTCGATGATCTTCTCGGACCAGACGCCATGTCCGAGGACGGTGATGGTTTCATTGAAGACGACGATGGTGCGGGCTACGCAGAAGAACCTAATCTGTATGGAAAACGTGCAGCTGGCGCTTTGGACGGGCCTCAACCAAAGAGACAAGCCTCGTGCGGCGCTTGGCAGCCTCAATTTCATCCCTCTTTCCAGCCAGGGAGCACTCCGTGGAAGGGAAATCGCCGATACCTGTGCCTCAACTTGACCGGCTTCGTCTGGACTGTCGATCAAGAAACACACCACACCGTGACCGTGGAATTCTACGATCGACAAGAGCACCGGGACTTCCATTTCACCGATCCTTACCGCTACGACAAAGCTTGTCTTAACGAGAAAGGCTCACTCTTCTCTTGTCCCTCTTCGTCGCAACATCCAGCCGTCATTTACTACCGGCCGCACGAAACATGGACTGCACGGGTGGACTGGCGGACCGAGCTTCCTGCCAGTGAAGAGGTCACGTCGTTGTCACTGAGCGACTCCTGCGTCGTCGCCACTACCTCCACTGGGTATGTTCGCATTTACAGCCTGTTCGGGCTGCCCTTGAAGGTGTACAGACAGAAGACCACTCCAGCTGTCACTTGTGCAAGTTGGAGGGACTACGTCATGACAGTTGGAAATGGTCCCGTCGGAGGCGACGGCACAACACGGCTCTTGTACACGATTGAGCATGTCAAGCGAGACGAAATCTGTCAGAGCGAAGACATCTTGGCACTGCCGGAGGGCACAGAACTGCGTAGCGTCTTCTTCAGTGACAAAGGTGACCCCTGCATCTACGACAGCGACGGAGTCCTACTCGTATTGCTACACTGGAGAACGCCTGGACAAGCAAAATGGGTACCATTGCTGGACACCAAATCACTGGACCGTCTCGCTGCTGGCAAGAAGGAAGAGACCTACTGGCCCGTTGCCGTGGCAGAGGGTCGCTTCCACTGTATTATCTTGAAGGGCGGTGAACAGTATCCCTACTTCCCCAGACCACTCCTATCCGACTTTGAGTTCAAGATCCCCATCTCCTCTCAAGCGACGGCGGACGAGGACGAGGAGAATGGAGCGGACCATCAAAAGAGTCTAGAAGAGCAATACGTTCGTTCTTCCCTTCAGCACTCGCTCCTCCAAGACTTGGTGGAGAACACGAACGCCACCTCCGCTCAAAAGACCGCCATGGGCGTCATGGAACGCGAGGTCGACAAGGCCCTCCTGCAACTCATCGCGTCGGAATGTAGGGAAGGCGAGGAGCGCGGTATGAAAGCGCTGGAGATTGCCTCGTTGATGAGGGACAGGACAGGAAAGATGCTAGAAGCCGCCGGAAAGATCGCACAGCGTTTCCAGCGCGACCTGCTAGGCGAGAAGATCAACGAGCTGGCAGAACGACGGATAGTCGGTCTGGTTGACGATGATGATTGAAAAGCTGCATGTGGTCAAAAGGTACGACCGCGTGGCACATGGCGGCAGACCTTTCCGTTCTAAGGGGGGAAATTGGTGGCATGGCATGGGCGTTGTAGGCGCTCATCAGTTCTGGAATGGCGGTGTAGACTACTTCGATACCGGTGTACATTGCACACGAATCGCGATGGGGCCAGAGTGGTCGTGGGTTGCAGTATCGGCACCCGTGACGGCCACGAGCAAACAAACCGTCCTTCGGGTCGTGGTCGGCTTCGACTCCGCCTTGCATGTGGCCTGCGCCCCGAAGGGTGAGACAGCGCGCATGGGGAACGGGGAGTCGCGTGTTTCCTCGCAGAATCATGGGTCAGTTGCAAGTTTGCGTAGCCTGGGGGGGATCATGGGTAGGGCTTCCGCAGCAAACAAATTCGCCTTCGGCCGGTGTAGGCATGCGTTGCGCTGCCGCGGATGCTTTTCATTCGCCCTTCAACTTCGCACTACGAATATATGATATTGCAGACCTACTCTGGAGGGCCGTTCCGACTTTGACCGGTGTTCCTGGCTTGTCCGAGAGTCGTGGGCCGGTGATAATGTTTTGGGACCTTGGGTGGCGTAACAAGGCGGCCTGTGGAACGAGTTTGAAGGCAGGCCAGCCGCCCATCTTTCACTTTACTTAGCCTCCGTTCCTGCGCCTTCCTGTTCCTCTTTTTCTTCTTTAACTGCGTTTCTTTTCTGACTATCATTCAGCCATCTTGAAACTTACATCGATCTGTCCCAATTTGTCGAACCAACATAGAGAGCAGTATGTGATGCTCGCATTCAAGAGACGATCAAGCCGACTGACTCTTCTCTGACCAGATTCTATCACGCATGGCAGCCATCGGTCCACTCCTCTGGGAGGACGATTCTTTCGCAGGCCTACACGCCAATCCTCTCGCACTGCAAATGCAACTATATCAGCATTACTACAACAGAGGATACATTGGCGGCTGGAACGACAATACTCGACAGCAACTTATTCTGCAGTTACTGTTCGGGCAAGGACGCCGGCGGCGCATCCGGAGGCGATACTCAACCAATGAGATAGCGTGGATGATGATGATGTCCGGAGGAGGAGGCGGTGGCGGCGGCGGCGGATTTGGGGATGGGTTCGGCGGGGGCTTCGCTCCATTCGCTGGTCTCCTGGGTGGAGGCGCGGGTGGTGTCCTAGGAGCTGTCATGGGACCTCAGCTGGGCGCGCAACACATGCTCATCAACCAGCCCCGTCTATGGTACCCAGACCAGCCGCGTCTATGGTACCCAGACCAGCCGCGCCTCTGGTACCCGTAATGAGCACCCAGCTTCCGCAGAGCAATGTCGATGTTATGGGAGTATCATATGGGACGGAGAGGCGACTCAGTAACGACTTCGAAAAAGCCGAATGGGACTTTCGGAAGAGCTTCCGCAGAATGGGCTGACGAGCACCCCGAGACGGCCGAGTTGTTTGTCTTTTCGAAGCGCTTCGCGGCGCTGGTGAGCTCTGCTATTTGTCTTCTCCAGCGCGATTTGGATATGGGACCACACGGCCGCTCTAGTCTTACACAGGATACACAATGTGAATGTCTCTCAGCGAATTCGAGCGTCTGAGAGTATTCATGTGGTCTCTCATACTCCTGCAACACTGCTCAGCCTGCAGCTGAGGTTGTGCCATTGCGCGGCAAGCATCTGGGTGTGCGGTACGTCTTCGGCTGCCGTACGTGGTGCTTGTTGCCAGTGCGACACTTGCTTGGCCGTGACGAAGCATACAATGCGTTTTGTGATGAATCTCGTATGATCCAAGCTCACTCCTTCACGACCGCACTCTCGTCCGCATCCGCATTCGGGTCCTTCCAGAATGCCCTCGGGACGGCAGTCTTCCGGAGCTCCCAAATATCCTCGCTACTTCCACCCTCCTTCTTTCTCCGTTCATCACGCGCTTTGTAATAATCCCGTATCTGCTCCTCCTTTTCCTTCTCAGGCAACGTTCTCGTCCTCATACAGAACCAGAAAGCTCCCCACTGCTCGGAACAGGACCTCAGATGCCCATATCTATAGACATCGTTGAATTTCCCGCCCAAAGACTGACAGTAGAACGCTTGATCGAATTGCGCGCGACAAGACATTGTGCGTGGATATACGGCATCGGGCGATATATCGAGGGAACCATCGGCGCGTACTCGATCGGGAATGTTCCTCAGCTGTTCCGCGACCTTTGTGTTCTCCGGCGGAGTATCTGGATCGATCACTTGAGGCGCTGCGCTGCCTGTATCTGATGCGGCAAACGATTTGATGAATTCGTCCAGTTCGGAGTCTGCTTGTTGCTCGCGTGTCGGTTTTGTCGATGCTACGGCGGGTCCAGGCTTTCCAAAAATTCGAATCCGCTGCTCGTCTGTGAGCGCAACGCTGGAACTTGACGCGTCTTTAGAGGCCTCAGTACCCTCTTCAGCAGTTGATCCGCTCGAAAACCACATCCAGCCCATTTTGGTAAGTGAAGTTGATGCCCTCAGAAGAGAAGCTCTCGTTCGAGGTCAAATCGAATGCGCTTTAGATCGGAGTTCGGTGTTGTTGCCGATAGTTACTCTTAGATTGGAAGTACCCGCCAAGAGACTAGCTGACTCAGCGATCAGTATATAGCTCGGGCTAGTCCTCTTACTCTGGAGCAGGTCCGTCCTCTAGACGCCCTTGTTCCTACCGAAGCACACTACATTACTAGTATGCCGCTTCGCCCGACAGGTCAGTCTTTAAATGTATGTATGATAATGAGTTGAAAGTGAAGATTCTTTATACTCTCACACCTATACGTCGTATCCGTGCGGTACTTCGTTGCACCCACACGTCGCGCCCACACGTCGCACTCGTATGGTGCCAGATTTCACACGTGTCCCGCGGGTGACTCCCTTATTCCTCTTCGGCCCGATGTTTCTGTGTTCCGAGGACTTCGTATGCGCGCCATCCGTACGCTTACACGAGATTGATCACATGGCAACCGTTGCGCCGTCATAACTTCTGGGAATTTGCTCTCGCGTACAACCAAGGTAAGGTATAGGAACACCGGGAGTTGCCGGTTGAGCCGAGCTTGTGGAAAGGATGTAACCCGCCTTGCCCATTGGAGAACATCCTTTCAACGAAACGCCAAATGCCGGTCAGACCAGCTACCTACGCCGATCTCCTCCCGGCCTCGAAATTCCTCGCCAAAGCCTTCGAAGATGAATACCTATTTGGAGAATACATGCACCCACATCGGAAAGAATACCCCGGAGACTTCTACCTTACCTTCCTCCGCAACTTTCTCCGGATCCCATACGTCAGCGGTGCAATGGATGCGATCCTGGTGTCTTACAAGGAAAACGAACAGGGCCAGGAACAAGTCACCGGAATAGCGGTTTGGAAACGAAACAGCGCGCACCCTGGCTCGAAGAGTCTCTTTGCCACGGCGAAGATTAGAGCGATGGAGTGGTATAATAATTACTTTGAGCCTTTCCTCTGTCCGAACAGAGCCATCGATCCGTCGCGTCAGAGCATCCTGGGAGACAATTGGCCGTTCATCCAACATCACTGGACTGGTTCGCGGGCAGAAGTCTGGGATTTGGCTTTGCTAGGAGTAGATCCAAGTCAGGGAGGACAGGGCTTCGGCAAGGAATTGGTGAGTTGGGGATTGGAGAAAGCGAAGGGGGAAGGTGTTGGCTGTAGTGTGGTTTCTGCGGAGGGAAAGGAAGGCTTCTACGAGCGATGTGGGTTTACGATAGTAGGTACTGTGAGGGACGAGGGTGGAGATGAGAACCCCATGAATCGGCATAAGATTCGTGGTGGGACAATATTATTCTGGGACAATGGGAGAGATTTGAGTGGGGTGAAGAAGTATGGAGAAAGCTGAAGTTATGTTGAACACGAAGAAAGACCATGTAAGACTCAGTCGGTGATTCTGCTGGTGCCGAGTTCTCACAATTCGGGAAGATCATATGCTTGGGTCTGTTGCCTGCATACCGCACAGCGTGCCATATGCTAAGCTCGCTCAGTCCTCGATCTTGATAATGCCACCGCTCTCCCGAGTCGGCCTTCCTGCCCTCTTCTCCAGCTCTCTTAACTGGCGCTGCACTTCCGCTTCTTCACGTTTCAGCTGCAGCTCTTCCTTCCGCATCCGAATGTCTTGGAGCCGCGCCTCGAGCTCTTCTTTGTCGTTGATCTCCTGCGTCTTGAGCATATTCTTGCCCTTGCCTTCAGCCTTGTGCTCGGTCTTCACCATTGCGACATCATCTCCGGTCAGATCAATATCGATGCGCTGATGTTTCGCCGGGCGATCTTCTACCGGTTCCTCGGCTGGTCGTTTGGACATATCTTCCCTCTCCGATATCTGCGCTCCGCCCTCCAGGGAAATAGCAGGATCCTCGGAGGAATATGCTATCGCTTGTGGGCTAGAGACCCCAGTTGACAGCGACTCTGGTGGAGCGGAGGGGGCGGCTGCCGAAGCTTGCTCGTTCGTGGTCTCTGTCTGAGGAGACGCAGCAGATGATGGAGTGATGGTGACTTGAGTTGCCTCGATAGCTGTCGTACCTGGTACTTCGCCCGAAGATTGGAAGGCGATGGCGGTAGCACTACTCTCCATAGAGGGCTGTGGCTCATCGACTCTGCTTCTGCCTTCAATGGTAGAACCATCCGCGGCGATCTCTTCATTCCCGTGGACACCGTCCTGCGCCTGATCGTTCATGTCAGGAACTGGTCGAGGTGGCACTTCTTCATCGTCGCCATCATTGTCTTCGCTCGACCTGCTATTGTCTTGGTGCCATTTCTTTAGGAAAGCTGGCCGACGGCTTTTGGGCACCTTCAGCTTCTTGCATCGCCCACAGTGCGTCGCCTGCGGGGTTGCCACCTTGTCCTTTGAATTGGATGCATCAACAGAGCGAGCAGTATGTTGAGGATCTTTCCGGGCCGCTAGGGGGGCTAACCTGATGCGAAACCCTGATCGACCTGCTTGCGTCGGATAGGTACGAGAATGCTCGCCGCAGTCGCAGAATTCCGGGGCCCGCATCTCCCGTTTCCTCGGTCGCTCTTTGAGCATTGAGCTTTGCGTACCTCCGGTCTGGATTTCATTCTGAGACGGATCTTTGGCTTCTTGGGCAAGTCGGTCTTGGGCTTTTTTGTAGTCCTCGCTCATCTTCTCACGCCGAGCCTTGTCTTCTTCTCTGACACGGACATATTCCCCTGTCTTCTACCACAGAAATGAGGTCGATGCCAGTGTTCTCTATGCTTGAGCCCTTCTCGGCTACCGAAGCCAGATACCGAGCTCGAATACAGGCTTGAGCCAAGTCAGTGTTTTCCAATAGACAGATACAAGTTGCTTACCTTCCGATCGATAACAGAACTGAAAGAAATACCATCGACCGTTCCGACTTGCGATCGGCTTACCGGTTCCGATCGAGTGCTTGCGAATCTCAGTATGATCGTTCGGACCGGACAAACTGAATGAGTCAGCACTGTAAGAAGTATGGAAGTAAGGAATCGCAATACCTATCGGCTTGGGAAGTGCCCGCATCTCGACTGTCCAGCCAATCAGCCTTTCCGCGAGCAACGGCTACGACAATCGATCCTTCGGGTGCGCAGCCAACCTCACTGAGGGGCACTGTATATCGGCGATCGTCGTATTGCCCTTGCAAGGCTTGAGATGTTAGTCGCTGAATTTCATGATTCTGATGGATGAGATTACCTTGAATAGCTCTAGGCATGGCGAGTCTCAAGCTTTTCCATCGACCAATGACCGGATCGTATTGCAGGATTTTTCTACTTGCATATTGATCGTATGCCCGAGATCTCTCGAAGATGGCGTGATATAGGCGATTATGCAGCGGCATTATATCAAGTTGCCGACGGACAAGCAACGCTGACGCCGAGTACATGTTAAATGTCGGCGATAGCCTTACTACGATCTTCAGATTGTCATGCTGGGCCAAGACCATACAGCGGCGGATTTGTTTGTCGTCCTCGCGTGTTTGGTCCTCAGGTAGCGTGAACTCTGCCAACTTGGTGTTTCTATTTTCTTGTCCGTCGAGTTTGAGATAAACCTCAATGCCGTCTGGGTGGTACATCGTCTCAGATTGCTCCTGGATCCGCTAACGCTGCTGGCCTAGGCGGCGGTATTGATAAACGTTCTGTGGGTGTTCCGCATGGAAGCTGTTGAAGGTGTGTCTTGTCGGTTGTTGGTGTTGTTGCTGCGAGAAGTGTTGAGTTCAAGTGACCAGGCGCTTGGAGAAAAAGGCTGTTTACGTGTATTTTCACATGCGTAGTGTAGCATGTGATACTGACATTCCGAGCACAGAAAAGAATGAGTCGTCCCGTGTAATGAAACGGTGTAGTAACTTCGGGCGACATTTTGTCTGATCATACTACCTGAAGGGCGACGTTCAGACGCACGCCAATATATCTCACCTAATGTCAACAGTCTCTTACAGCATTCTCGTTGCTTATTTTGCGGTGAAGTCGCTGAGCCTCATGCATTTCCAGCGGAAGCTCGGAACTGGAAGTTTGTCGTCACGGAGGTCCGTGCACGCGCAAGCTCCACGAGACGGACTGTAGGAGATGGCTTTAAGCTCGAAACACCGCTGCCGAATCCCTACTACTGCCCTGTACTTCCATATCACCACCTGACGTCCATCTCATCCCATTCTCCCGACCACTCTGTACATTATACCGGCGCGCATTTGTTCGGTCGATATCTCCATTGTCGCCGCCGACCTCAGCCAGCTCGCCTCCGTCACCATCCAGCTGCATGACAGCTGTCAGGCACCATGTCTGACGCGGGTAAATCTCCACCATATACGTTGGAAATGCTGGCCTCACTATAGCTAACCGGCAATCAGACCCTGCCATCCTTAATCTATCGCCCGACGAGAAGCGCGCCTTCTCCTTCCTCTTCGCACAGGCCGACAAAGACCAGCTGGGTGTGGTCACAGGCGAGAACGCCGTCACCTTCTTCGAGCGTACCAGGGTCTCGCCAAACGTCCTCGGCGAAATATGGCAAATCGCAGACACGGAGAACCGAGGCCTGCTCACGAAGCCCGGCTTCAGTATGGTGTTGAGGTTGATAGGACACTACCAGGCTGGGAGGGAGCCGAGCGCAGAACTGGCCTTCAAGCCAGCGCCAATACCAAAGTTTGAGGGACTGCAAATACCTGGCATCGGTGCAAACATTCCTGCTGGAGGAAGCAATGTGCCGAGTCCCACGGCTGCTGGCTTCCCTCCCAATGCGCTCCAGCCCCAACTGTCTGGCCAGGCTCCGATTCGCGTGCCTCCGCTAGATCCCGCAAAGGTTCAACAGTATTCCGGGCTGTTCGAGCGTTCAAGCACACAGAATGGATTACTCGATGGTGCTTCGGCGAAGGCGATATTCGAAAGAGCGGGACTACCGAATGAGGTACTTGGGCGAATATGGAATTTGGCAGACCGAGAGCAAAAAGGCGCCCTTGACCAAACAGAATTCATCATTGCGATGCATCTGCTGACAAGCATGAAGACAAGAGCAATGTCGGCACTTCCCAACGCGCTGCCTCCTGGCCTATATGATGCGGCCGCTCGGAGAGGCGCGCCTCCAAGTCGACAGGGCACTGGGCCGGCGGTAGTTGCAAGACAAGTCACTGGTACTTCTGCCGGGCCTATGCCTCGAGCTCAGAGCCCACTTGCACGGCCGCCGGGCTATGGGACTCCTCCACCTCTGTCTGCGCAGACCAGCGGCACTCCATGGCTCATTACACCCACGGACAAAGCCAAGTTTGACCGGCACTTTACCACTATTGATCCTCAAGGACGTGGAGTCATTACTGGCGAACAGGCCGTCTCCTTCTTCTCCGACTCTCGTCTTCCCGAAGAGACTCTTGCTCAGATTTGGGATCTTGCGGACATTAACAGCGAAGGACAGCTTAACAAGGACGAATTCGCTGTGGCAATGTACTTGATCCGCCAGCAACGTGCGCCGAATCCGCCTCCTCTACCGGCTTTCTTGCCTCCAGCTCTGGTGCCACCCAGCATGCGAAAACAGACTCAGCAGACACAGTCTACGGCGCCCGCTTTCGACAACGCAAATAACACATCAAATTTGCCAAAGTCAGCGGCAGACGACCTTTTCGGGTTGGACCAACCTTTGCCGCCTCAAGCACAACCCCAAGTTTCTGTTCTGCAGCCACAAGGAACAGGAGCGTCCGCTCCTCGCGATCCATTCGCGGGCAGCTCACCTGGTAGTCCCAACAGTCCAGCGCGATTCCAACCGCCGCAGGGCGGAAGCCACTTCAAGCCATTCATGCCCACGTCTGCTTTTGGCGCGAGCTTGGCATCGCAGAACACAGGCGGTTCGATGGGCTCCAATCAAGCCGCTCCTGCTGCCCGCAGCTTTCCACAACAACAACCCCCGTCCGCTTCTGATGATCTTTTAGGAGACAACGAGACACACGCCGAGGAGAGCAGTAAAATCACCAATGAGACCACCGAGCTGGCCAACATGAGCAGTCAGATTGGAAATCTCCGCTCTCAAATGGAGCAGACCCAGAGCAAGAAGAGCGCCACTCAAGCCGATTTAGATGCCACAAACAACCAAAAACGGGATCTTGAACAACGCTTACAACAATTCAGGACACAATATGAGCAAGAAGTGCGTACCGTCAAGGAAGTAGAGCAGCAATTGGCGGCATCACGCGAGTCCGCGAAGAAACTGAATCAAGACCTGGCAATGCTCGAGGGCACATATCAAGACCTGCAGACTCAGCACCAGAATATTGCACAAGCACTGCAGGCCGATCAACAGGAGAATGCCACCTTGAAACAACGCATTTCGCGAATCAATGCGGAAGTTGCGCAGCTGAAACCCGAGATTGAGAAACTCAAGCTGGATGCTAGGCAGCAGAAGGGGCTTGTCAGCATAAACAAGAAGCAGCTGACGACAAATGAGGGTGAAAGAGATCGATTACAGAGCGAGAAGGCCGATCTTGAACGAGAAGCAAGTGAGCGCTCGGAGCAACCTCAGAGCGTGGAGTCCGTTACCAGTCCTGCACCCACATCGAACCTGGCCAGTCCAAGTGGCCTAAGCTCGACCAACCCATTCTTTAGAAAGGCCAGCAACGAAGGACCAGCTGAGCGCTCCACGAGCCCACCGGCTCAAAGCGGAAGCTCGAGCGGCCCAACGCCTAGTGCATTCGACAATCTATTTGGGCCGTCTGCTGCATTTGCACCCAGCGGACAAGCTGGCAGCCGAACAGGTACACCACCTGCTACCAGCTTCGTTGCTCGGTCAATGGCAAGTGCCTCAGCGGGGCCGGCGCATGGCATGACCGACTCCATTCAAAGCATATCTTCTACTGGAGAACACACTCCATCTGCTACGCCGCCACTTTCTGACCAGAACAAAGATAGTCCAGCAATAGCTGAGCCTCCACCACCACCAGAGAGCCGGCAGTTCACTGCGTCCCATCTCCCTGTTGTAGATGTCACCAACAAGGACGGCCAACAAGACAGTGACGCAAGCTCTACTAAAGTAATACCGCCGGCCAGCAGTAGTGGGTTCGAGATGCCCAGAGATACATCATCTGTTGCAGGCGGTTCGACATACCATCAAGTCCCCACGGAACCAGATGCTGCAGCGAAAGAGCACGTTCCTGGAGCTTTTCCAATTGAGCCGTGGCCGCCAGCCTCCAGCACTGGCGAGCAGAGCCTTCCTCAGACCGAGACCGAGACGGGCGAAGCATCTTCCAAAGATGATTTCAACTCGGCGTTTGCCGGCTTCGATGACGGCGACAAAGCCAAGGAACCGGTGAATGAGAACAAGGATCCATTCGCACCTTCAAGCCGCAATGTATTGCAGCCATCTGGCTCGGAGTTTCCACCCATTCAAAGCTTAGAGCTTGAGGACGAATCTGATAGTGAGGATGAAGCAGGCAAAGGCTTCGAAGACGATTTCACTGCCGCTTCTCCACCACGTACTCAGGCAACTAGAGACATGCCTGGCAGTGCTGCTGCAGGTTCCATACTTACGGCTGGTCTGCCAGCTGCGGACTCGCAGCGCTCCCCGCCAGCATACCAGGATAGCGAGAAACCGTCTCATGGCGGTAGAGGCGAACGCACTGAGGAGAACCAGTTCCCGCCTGAGTTCGGTGGTTTGCTACCAGCCCGGGAGGATCCAACAAGCCATCCGCTACCAGAAGAAGCACCCATCGGCACGGCAACCGCAAGTACAACTGAGATAAATTCGGAATCTGCAGGTGAAGCTGCGACACCTGCTGCCAGCCACTCAGCGGCGCCCAAGAATGCCTTTGACGACTTTGACGCTTTTGACAATTTGGCAGAAGCGAAAGAAGCTGATAAAAGCGGCACAGATTTTGACTTCGGCTCCCTAGAGCAGAGCACGGAGTTCAACTCCGCATTCGACTCGCCTGCGGCTAGCACGACAAACACGATGACTTCGTCTCAGCAAACTCCTGTGGCTGCAGCAAGGACCTTGCATCAACCAGACAGCAACGGCTTTGCCAACTTCCAACCCTCAGCTTCGACGAGCAGCGCATTTGACGGTGGAAGCGGCAGTATCCAGCAAACGCCCCAGAACGTACAGCATGATTGGGATGCGATCTTCTCTGGGTTGGATAACTCGAAGAACCTTGATACTTCCCTATCGAACGATCCATGGGGCACTGCGCCGACCAATGGCGGCTCAGCTACAACCTCGCAGACGCTTGCGGCGCCGGCTGCTCCGAAGAAACCGAACTTACCTGATCGCGGCGGCGCCATTACGCCGGGTACAGAACACGACGATCCAATACTGAAGAGATTGACTGGAATGGGATACCCCAGAGGGCAAGCGTTGGCAGCTTTGGAGGAGTACGACTATGACATTAACAGGGTGAGAATGCATCCGATCTGCCGTGAAAAGAAGTAAGCTAACGAAACGCAGGCCGTCGATCATTTGACCAGTAATTGAAGGGCTTGGACAGCCTTGTAATCCTTGTAGATAGGCATGAAACTGATCGTTATTAATGGACTACCATCAGAAGACTACGTCAACACTTCTGGAAGAATGAACAGTCAAAGTATTCGCACAGGAAAATCAAGCCAACACACGGTTGCAACAAAGTGCGTGTTCCGCGTGCATGGCAACCTAGACTCTGCAGAAACCCCAATCCTTCGAGAGTTTGCTCTCGCAAAAAGGTCACCAAAACAAGGTAACGCTGGCACAATGACAATTGCACAGACGCGAGAGGTGCGAGGAACGCGAGAGTAAGTCCCAGTGGTCCATGCAAATGTCCGGAGGAATAGATCGAATGGCTCACTTCCAAGTATGTGCACTATCATCTGGGAATACACTTGCTTGGTCTGGAACTTCCACTGGGTTGAGAAATCGACGGCACAGCACCTTTAACAGATCCCTCTACGCGGAGTGCTAATTACGATGAGCTTGGAGGCATGAACGATGTCGCTCAAGCGTTGATCAACAAAGCTGGAAACGGCTCTTATTGCCGTGCCCGTCCGTACAACGCAAGCCCATATCTCGCTTGCGCTCCCAGCGCGCTGTACGGTGCTTCTCTCGCGCAAAATATCACCAAGGACTATGTCGCTCGCCGCGGGACTAATTTGAAGATTGTTCTCATGGGATATCCTTAGGGAGTTATGACGAGTGCTTTGACGGGAACGTTGACCAGTGCAGGCAATTTGGCTTCGATTGAGTAGGATAGTAAGTTCCACAGTCTCACTCGTCGAGCCTAGTAACCCATCACTTCGTCTAGTCCGGACTGGGGCATTCTCCGCATCGCCATACGTTTATGCCAACTGCAAAATCGATGGTGGCAACTCGGCCACGAATAGCGTGCTGTCGAACGTGGAGTTGAATTACCAGTACTTCAGCAAGACGTGCAGCGACAGGATCAGGAGTTACTGTCAGGCAGATGATGAGTTCTGTGCCGCGCGAGGATTCGATGCACAGAGCGCTGCGATTCATCAAGCTGCTTTTCATACACACAAGCAGCAGGCTACGAATTTTTTGTTGCTATTGGTGTAGATCGTATAAGCTTATTAGATGGGCTTCGGAAAGCAACTTGCTTGTGCAGAGGATGGAAACGTGCATGTCAAACAAGCGAATATCCCATCGTCTTCCAGGCGCCTTCTCTGGACACGAGCACTTTCCAGCAGGTCTGTGCGCTTAGCGTCGCTGCTGAAGTTTCGATAGTTCCGGATGCGGAAGGAGCGACCCCTTCACGTGGCATGAAGACTCAATTCAGGTCGGTCAGTGATTGCGTCCAGACTCATAATCTGAGCACATGCCCAACGGCGACAAGAGCGCTCCACCTTCTCCCTCGCCCGCAATTTCTTCTCCGCGACATCGACCCCGGACACCACACAGTCCACCTCTGCCATAGCTGAGAAGCCCTCAACCTTTTCGAGAAACACCGCACCCAAAGGCTCCCGGTCATATGGCCAACAGACAGAACAACATGCCCTTCAACGGCAACCGCCCCGGTTTGTTCACAACGGGGCCAAAGGAGAAATTCAAGAGAAATCCAGCCAACCTACCATCCAACCACACACTCAAACCCAACACCAGCGGCGCTTTCAAGAAGCGCACACTCGGCAGCGGTGGCGAAGATGAACCGACTCCTTCCTCCAGCGCGAAGAAAGCCAAGACGGAGATGACCCAAGCTGGACCCATCAACAACACCCCGTTGGGCAGCTCCACCGCAGCTCAAGTCGTTCCAGACGCCGTCCAATCACCTGGCTTCAACAACGGCCCTTCCAACAACACAAACAAGAACAAATCCCAAGTCGCCCAGCGCCAACCTGAACGCAAGCGCAAACCATCAGCCAAAAAAGTCCTCCCCTCCCGCCAAATCCCCAGCTCCCTCGACGAAGCCTCCGAAGAAGACCGGCAACTCCTCGGCATGCGCGACGCAGGAACAGACTGGAAAGCCATCCGCGCCAAATGGGAAGAGCTCACCGGCGAGACGACGGGCGTTTCCACCTTGCCGAACCGCTACGCGCGTCTCAAGGAGAGTTTCACCGTCATCAGGGAAGAAGATCACGCGAGGTTGTTGGAAGCTAAGAGAGAGGTGGAGGAGAGTTTTGAGAATCAGAAATGGGATCTCGTGGCGCGGGTTGTGCAGGAGAAGGGTGGCGATGGCTATGCTGGGGTGGTGTTGCAGCGTGGGTATAAGAAGATGATGACTCAGGGCATGGGAGTTGCGCCGCCTGCTGGCGTGAGGGATCCTGACTTTGAGATTGAGTCGCTTGAGGAAGGCGAGGAGGCAGATGAGTGAGGATATTATCTCCGAGAGGATCTCGCGAGGTAAGTTCAATTCTCTACACCAATGAGTCCTGTCTTGTATGCTTGTGAAAACTCAGCCGAGACGGGATGCTTTTAGGATTGCTTTTGGCTTTCAGCATTCCGGGCTTTTGTACAATACAAGCAGCGACGGGCATTGAGCGGTTTTGATTCCGTGAGTTTCGAGTCATCACCCACCAGTCTGGGTCTTCCAGCATACTATCTTGCCCACGTCTCTAACGCCTTTCATCTCTTGGTCGTCTGCGATCATCGTCGTAGTATCTCCTCTCGCGATCTCGCTCTCTCCTGTCATCGTACCGCCGGTCGCGCTCTCTATCATCGTATCGCCGATCATCGTATCGTCGCTCTCTATCACGATCTCGAAGGCGAGTCCGCTCACGCTCTGCTTCCCGCTCTCTCTCCCTCAGCCGTTCTCGATCACGCTCTCGGTCAAGTGGAGGGACACCTCTAGGTGGTGGAGGCCCGTCTCGATCGTCTCTTGTGCTCCTCCGATCTTCAAATCTGTCATCTCTACCTGGCCCATGACGTGGTCGGCTGTCAAGTGAATAGTCTCGTTGCCGGGCGTGATCTCGCTCGCGCGATCGATTTCGCGGTATTGGAACTTCAATCTCCTCTTCGTACTCTTCCCACTCTTCTGTGTAGTATCTGTTGACTTCGGCTCTCTCCTCTGTGGCTCGCTGCGGGTTGAGCATGAAGCGCAGAGTGCCACCTCCCTCCGGTGTGGGTAAATTGAGGCCAGTACCATTAGACTGCTGTGGTGGCTGTGTACCGGGCTGAGGCGGCGACACAGGGGTCGGATGCCCATTTGCCACTCGCAGAGTGTTGCTGGTACCGTTCGCATTGTCTGGTGACGGTGGAGGCTGAATGACGGTGTAGCGTGGCAGACTCGACTCAGTGCACTCCTTGTTCAGGGCCAAACGTATCCGGAGCAGGTCGTCCAGCGAGTACTTTGTTCCGAGAATAGTCGAGCTTGTGTGGTGCGTATACAGGTCTAGTGCGTCAAGCAATGTCTCCATCACCTCCTCTCTGGTAGTGTGCCATGTGTTCAGATCCAGTGCCTGCAAGTCGTCTCTGACCGTACATGCGTTATTTGGAGAAGTTGTCGCAATGAAGTGTGCGGCCAGTTCTAAGCTCGCCAGAGCTAAAGTAGAGCTCGTCTGCTTCAACACGGCAAAGGTACGATGGATATCTGTAAGGATGGTCCATGCCAGTTGCGATACGCTCCTCAGGTCGTCGCTCTTGGGCAGACTCTTGCTGATCTTGACCAAGGTGTGGTGCGGCGATCTACTTCTGAAGTCGAAGCCACCGCTCTCCAGCACCAGTCGCTCCAGCCCTATCACCACCCTGCTTGGCGCTTCGAAGATGGGGTCATCCGCACCGACCTGTTCATGCGCAGACGGTTGCTTCAGGTTGTACGCTGCTGCCAGAATGTCGCGGCTCTTCTTCAAGGTGTCCTCGTTCTTGCAGCTCGTCAAGAGACTCGCTGCCGCTGCATCTGTGTAGCTGTACTCGACGGTTGGATGGGCCAGCCGGAATTTGTGGTAGTATACGCATGCGGTGGTGTAGGTCTTGACCGGCAGCTGGAGGGCTCGGCGGACGCTGTCCAGCCAAGTGACGCCCTGCAGTCGGACGCTGTCTTCTCGTGCCTCCGCTAAGCTCCTCTCCTGAGCATCGAGTGCGGGCGGTTGTAGTCTCTTTTCGATCGCGGACTGGGTCATGTAGCTGGCCGAGACTCGGATCGTCGACGGATGAGGCCCGACATTCTTGGCCTCGCCGTTGGACAGACGCTTCGTCGCGCCCATCGCGAAGGAATGGAGGAGAGAAGGGGGCACGGGTGCCGCTGGCGGTGCTGAGGGAGGCGTCGGTGGTGCTATCCTTCCTGCCTGCACGTCCGCTGAGGTGTGAGCCTGAGCCTCATGAGGTCCAATTTCGCCGAGGTTACAGCGAGCCTCCTCCGTGTCCGCCTCCGCCTCCGCGTCCGCGTCCGCCTCCTCGACTTCAGGCTTCAGCTTCTTCGGCTGCTTCTCCTCTTCTACATCTCCTACGTCTCCAATCCTCCTCTTGGCACATCTCTGCCTGGAGTCTTGCTTGCGACCGTTGTATGGTGCCTCTCGGTAGTCTCTCGCCGAGGGATCATCGTCGTCGCGCAGAAGTGAGCGTGGAAGCCGGCGCGTCTGTGACCGTTCCCAGTATCCCGATTGACTCTCCAGCGGCTCCCTCTCTCTCCATTCGTTTTGCGCTTGGTCACTGCTCAATGTCTCCAAGCCGGTCGGTATCGCCGGTGCTGGATCTGGCCAAGACATCTCTGGCTCTGGCGTGAGTGTCGGATGAAGACTGGACGTCGGCTGCCGATGATCAAGTCCTCGCTCCGCCTTGTTGCGATTCTGCTCTTCCCGGACCAAATCGTAAAGAAAATCGTGCTCTTGCTTGGACAGTGGTGGGGATGCACACTTCTTGTCTCGTGGTAGATGACCCAGCTCACCGCATTGCACGCAAAGTGGGTTGCCCCAGACGAAGCGGTAGAGCCGCGACCCGTTGACAAATGGATTCTGTGACCGACTTGGGTCGAAGTCGTTATCTCTTCTGCGCTTTCTGCTGGCTTCCAAGTCATAGCCGTGGCCCTCTTCGTTCTTCCGCTTCGGCCTAGCGGCCCTGTCCGGACTCATGCCATGCGGATCAACGGCTGGCTGCTGGTTCGACACATGCGACCTGGGAACGCTGTCCGCTCGATCCATCGTGAGGAAGTCTGACGCGAGAGGTATCTGTGGCGGGAAAGATGACCGAGAGTCTGGCGCCGACTCTTTTCGCTCATACGCGCCACGGACGTGGAAGTCGCTCGCCGCGTGGCCTTCTTCCCGAATCGTCGGCGGTGATGCAGGGAAGCTGGGGCGTGGAGGTAGATATGTTCCTCGACGCAAAGTGTGATCGTCGTTGCTGGAGACTGGATGATTTGGGGGCGGCGGTGCCCGCCAGAAGTGAGTAGATGGCGGTGAATGCAGTGACCGAGCGCCTGTTTGCGCCGGATCTTGCTGTGACTCCAACCACTGATACTGATCCCACAGATGCCGCACCTCCTCCTCTGGCGGATGTCTCCAACGACATGCCTCGCCTTTGTTACAGGTCGTCTTGTGCATCGCGAAGAATCTGCATATTCCAAGCTCTTGCCACGGAACGTACACCATGATGTCGGCTGTTCGATGTTGTTGGCGTTGAAGTTCGCGACGAATGTTGATGTAAGAGCAGGAGTAAAGTCACCGGATGACTCCTCGAGGACAGCATCAATCGGAGGTCGACAAGGGTAAGTTGCTACCTTATTGTGAGGTTGCTATTGTGTGGTGTTTGGAATTGGCGCTAGCGGGCGGATAGCGTTTGTTGCGTTCGACGCGCGATCACATGCAGCCGAGTGACAGACTGCCATTTTCAGATATTCTTTATCAACAGGTCAGCGGTTGAGCTAAGGCGAAAACGGGCAAAGTCAGATTGTTCGAACGTCGTTTTGGTTATCTATTTTTCCCTAAGACAACCAAATGCAACCGGGATAAACAAATGAAAGTCATGCTCGTGCCCTTCCCATCCATTGTTCTTGTTCTTGATCTTGGTCATCTCATCAGTAGAAGCGAGCCCCATTGATCTAACGGCGTCACCACATTGCAACGCATCTGTATGAGCGGCTGTAGTAGACGTCTGCAAATGCTGGCCATCCGCCCCTTTGCCAAATCCTTCTCCAACTTCACGGGATTCTGAACGTCCTGCTGCTTACAACTTGTCGTAGTAGTTCTCGTAGCCGGGCACTTCTGGCTTGATACCCTTGCGCTTCCGCATGTCCTCGACGATCTTGCCGGGAATCGAGGTTTTGTCCAGCACTGAACCACCGGGCAGGATCTGCCAGTGGTCGAAGACGGACTGTGGGAAGGCCTGGCCACCAGTGTTGGAACGAAGATCTGCGTTGAAACCGAAAGACTCGTTGACAGGCAAGTAGGCCTTGATGTTGAACAGTGGGGTACCTGGACGCTGGGCTTCCTCGAAGACGTGACCTCTCCGACGGGTGAGGACGGAGTAGATACCACCCATGGCGTTCTCTGGCACTTGAATCTCGACCAAGAAGACGGGCTCAAGGAGACCGGGCTCGGCGAGGAGAGTGGCGGCGTACAGAACGCGACGAGCAGTTGGGATGATCTGACCACCACCACGGTGGATGGCATCGGTGTGGAGGGTGACATCCATGATGTTGAAGCGAATGCTACGCATTGGCTCCTCAGCGACTGGGCCTTCCTTGGTGGCCCACTGGAAACCGGAGACGACAGAATCCTTGATTTCGTTGAGGTACTGGACGGCCTTGGTCTGGTCAACGAGCAAGTTGGCGCCGTTGGTGTCTGGTCCAAAACACCAGATCTTACGAGCGTCAGTGACATCCCAGCCGTGGTCGTCAGCGAGGATACGAGCGCGGGCCTTGAAATCGTCACGTGGGCCGATCTTGCCAGACTCGATGTCCTTGCAGACCTCCTCGGCCAAAGGAGTTGCGGTGACGTAGAGACGGTTGTGCTTGTTGGGCGACTTGGAAAGAGCAGTCATGCTGGAATCGCCACCGACAGTCTCACGGTACTGGACGACGGGGTCGGAAACACGGAGCGGAACACCGGCATGGTCCTCCTCGAGATCCTTCAAGCAGATTTCCAGGTGGAGCTCACCGGCACCAGCAACGACGTGCTCACCGGACTCAGAGATGTAGGTCAAGACGCAAGGATCCGACTTGGAGAGACGCTTGAGACCTTCGACGAGCTTGGGCAGGTCGTTAGCGTTCTTTACCTCGACGGAGCGCTGCACGACGGGCGAGACGGAGAACTTCATGACCTTTAGGTTGTGCGAGGTCTCATCAGTGGTGAGGGTACCAGACTTGAGCAAGAACTGGTCAATACCGACCAGACCCAGAATGTTACCGGCTGGCACATCCTCGATAGGCTCAGTGTAACGACCCATCATGAGAATGGTACGCTGAATGGACTTGACAAACAGATCTTCCTTCTTGCCTGGGGTGTAGTTGGGTCCCTGGATACGGACCTTGAGACCAGAGCGGGCAGTACCGGAGAAGACACGGCCGAAAGCGTAGAATCGACCCTTGTCGGAAGTCGGTACCATCTTGGAGACGTAAAGCATGAGAGGTCCCTTGGGGTCGCAGTCACGGATACCAATGGCCGAGACATCGTCTTGAGGACCCTCGTACAAAGTCTCCATACGGTACTTCTGGGCAGTAGCGGGAGATGGGAGGTGGAGAATCATCATCTCCATGAGAGCGTCCGCAGCTGGCAAGAACTTGCGCATGACAACCTTGAGCAATTGCTTGCCCTCGAGGTCCTTCTCGTCACCAGCAAGCTTGATCTCAAGCTTTTCAAGGAGCTTGGGCACCTCGTCTTTCTTGAAGTTCATGATGTTGTCGAAGATGCGGAAGATTGGGTCCAAGCAGAACTGGTTGAAGGCACGCTCCAATTGCTGTCCCTCGTGGGTGCCCACCTTGGTCCACTTCTTGGTCTTTGGGTTGAAAAAGGAGTCGCCCTTGGAAAAGATCAGCAAGCACACTCAAATCGAACTTGCCACGCGAAGACTCACCCAGAGACGCTCCATCATCTTGTTCTTGTCGACACCAAACTTCTTGGAGTACTTGGTGGCGAATTGGCGGACAGTGAAAGCCCAGCCGTGAAGACCGGAACCGAAGGCGACGGTACCCTTGTCGGGGTAGACCTGGCAGTCACCGAGGGCCTTATCGAAGTAGGTAGAAATGACGACGTTGACGGACTCGATAACACGGCTGAAGTTCTGGAAAAGGTCTTCCTTGGACAGTTGCAGCTCAAGCAGTGCACGGTCGACCTTGTTGATGATGACGACGGGCTTGATACGCTCACCGAGAGCCTGACGGAGCACAGTCTCGGTCTGCACGCACACACCTTCAATGGTGTCGACGACGACGAGCGCACCATCGGTGACACGGAGCGCAGCAGTGACCTCGGAAGAGAAGTCAACGTGTCCAGGGGAGTCGATCAAGTTGACCAAGAAGTCGTTCTTCTCAGTCTTGACCGGAATGTCCTTCAGATCCTCATCCTCAAGCAGTTGACCGTAGAGGGAGATGGCAGTAGACTTGATTGTGACACCACGCTCTTGCTCGTCCGCACGGGTATCCGTAAATCGGGCGCTACCGGCGTTCTTGGCTGAGATAATACCGGCGCGCTGGACGAGCGAGTCGGTGAGGGTCGACTTTCCGTGGTCGACATGGGCAATGACGGACATGTTACGAATGTTTATCGGGTTGTCCATCAAGGACCGGATCTCCTCGACGGTGAAGCTGTAGAGTGCCCGTTAGCTATGCTGTCCCCAGTGTTTCCTCACGCGGAAGCACTGCTGGCCCGATTTCCCCAGCATGCATGTCGTGATCATACTGCCGCCGAGGACTCGTCGCCGCCGCAGTGTCCTCCAAGCTGGACTTACTTGACCATCTTGGCGGTGTTTGATCTGGTTTTGGGGGAAAAGTTTTCTTGTATGTAGCGGTGTTGGGCTCTCGGTGCCCTTGGTCGCGCTCAATTGACGACCTGTGTCTCTTGGCCTGCTGAAGTGTGAGCGAGCGAGCGTGTGATGGAGATACAGGGCGGACGGTGATATACCTGTCAAAGGCGCTTGGTAAGTGAGCGAGAGGTGGGTGGAGGAGGGCAAGGTCAGAGAAAGCGCCCAAAGACGAATTTGCATCGAGTGGGACGGCGGGGTCCAAGTGGGATGCGGGCAGAGCCGCGCGCTATCCCGGTTTAGTGTTCCGGAGTTAGTCGTCAGCAGCCGGTGGCCACGACGACGCCCAAGGACGCCCTCACATGCTGCCGCATGTAGCTAGTCGCCTGTTCACATGCCCGACTGGATTACTCCCAAGCTCATGAGTCACTCGGATCGTGTCTGTCCGTCGTCGAGGAGAGACCGCAATTCCTCTCTGGGATGAAAGTGTGAACTAGCGCGAACAGCAAGTTCTGGCTGGCCTCAGGCCACAATCAACGTAGTGCATTAATAGCAGTCGACTCTTCCCGCCACTGTAAGGCCTATATGCTGCATGTGCTGCTGTGATCCTGTCTACGTTCTGGGCCCGTATGCACTCTGTACCCAGCATATTCTATCCAGAACGCCATGCTTCAACGCTTCAAATGAACAACACCTGTAACGCTCATAGAGCCCCCCCCACCGCCGTTCACGAGGACCCCAGTATCTTCTCATACGCATCCTCGACCTCCTTACACATCTCCAACAAACTGACAATGATGATCTGGTGAGTCACATTCGGCAGCCGGTCCCTGTTCAGCCCTATCCACTCCAGTGGCGGCGTTGCCTCTCCCATGTCTCTCAGCTGTGGCGTCTCGATGACTGGCGGCTCCAAAGCACGATACTCATACCGCGACTGTGGAAGACTGATTTCCGCAGTAATCTTGTCCTGCGTTTGCGAGCCGTCCTGGCTGCCCTCTGTGGATTCGTCGCTCTTCTGAGGACCGGCAGTAATCTTGACTGCAGATTCCGGCAGGGACTTGCCAAGACGAGAAGCTAGAGCTCGTGAATGTGAATTCCACATGCCTTTGATAAAATTGATGCGGGATAGATTCCAGCCAACATCGATTTTGCCATCGAATAAGCTTTTGAAGATGTAGTCGACGCCGTTGGAATCGGGCGCCTGCCATGTCTGCATGGAGGCAACAACTTTCGGGACACGGAGGATGATTCCACCTCTGGCGTTCAGGGCGCTGTTGATAACATCGTCCACGGTAACTTCCGATGCTTTGGGCACAGCCGTGATCCTTCTGACAGAAGAGAGGGCGACTTGCAGCTGGCCCAGGGTCATGCCAAGCCCGCTTGTGATCTTCCCTCCCTCAAGCCCCACGGCGAATCGAGCTTGGATATTGTTGGCCTCGAGCTTCAACATCTGGCTATCAAAGAAGGTGCTCGGGTAGACGCCGAAGCATATAGCGCCCATTGTCACCACCACGTCTGTGTGCAGTGAGATGTGGGTCTTTGAATCCTTCGCAACGATCGAAGAGTCCGCAATCTGCGGTCCATATCTTGTAGACACGACCGTGCTCTCTCTGCGCAGGTGCTTTTCGATGTCTCTCAGGGACTGCGCAAAAGCAGACTGTTTTTCCTGAATCAGCCTGTCGAAGGCTTGATATAGGCCAACCGCCTGTGCTGGACTGGTGGACGTGCAGAACACGAAAGCCTTCTCACAGTCGAGCACTGCAACAAGCCGATCTGACTTGCCGGCAGCATCGCGTACATTGTACATGAGGAAGTCGAATCCTTCAATGTCCCCAAACGCAAAAGCCTGATAGTCAAATGCTGCCTTCGCTCTCAGCTTACCAAAACCAATGGACGCTTGGATGAGAGGCGTTTCACGCATGGTGGCCTCGGTGGTGCCTTCGGGCCACTTGATCGACGTTCGCACGCCAAGCTTCTCGAGCTGAATGAACCCGCTCATCCTCCCTGTACTGCTCATTGCCATTTCATCCATACCCACGCACAAGTTTTGCTCCCAACTTGAGGACTTCTGTTGAGATGCCCACAAGTTTGTAATGGTGAAGCTAGACTTGCCAATACTCTGACCAAGATCGACATCAAGGCTAAGCTTTGCAATGGAGACGGTTGCATTCCAAGGAAAAGCGGCCGCCGCAGCAACGGTCTGGTACCTCTGCACAATATACTCATCCGGCCTGCTGGATGGCGAAGCTGCACTGGGTGCTTGCGCACTTGTTGCAGCAGCATTGCGGACTTCAGGCGGTAGCCAGATCTCGCGGAAAAGCAGTAGGTCTTGAAATTGCTTTCCATTCACGACAATACGGGTTGGGTTGACGTTCAAGATGGCCGAGATCCCAGGTGTACCGTTCAAGTGCTTGTTGTTCATTGCGGACAGTACGACGGATTCCATGTCGTAGCTAAAAGTTGGCTCCCGAGAATACATGTGTTTGACTTGCGCTTGCAGCTTTGTCATGACTGCAGACATCGCGAAGAAGTGCCCGTGCTCGTCTGAGTCAATGGTGTTCATGGTAATGTAGAAGTCTTCCAGGGAGGCCTTTGCATCAACCCTCGCTATGGGCTGACAGGTTAAGCCAAACTCCTGCTTGGCGATGCGAAACCCGAGGTCGACTGTAATTTTACCGAAAATCTTGGCAGGGGTAGCGGTAACGATGGACTCCTCTTCAAAGAATCGCTGGGTCGATTTGGCAGCCTCTGGAACAGGCATAGGCTTGATAGGCGCATCATCTTGCTTTTGGTTCTGCACAAGCTCTTTGACGCTGTCGGACACCTCCATCATCAATGGCACGACATTTGGCAACAGCATGTTCGTGGATGCTTCAATCAACAGCTCGCCGTTGACGGTGGGCTGTTGCTTATGGGAATTGTACTCAAGCTTGAATGAGAAGCCCGGGGCAGTCAGAGTCGTGTGCAGAAGGGCACCGTCGGAGGCAAATTGTCCATAACGGCCGTGCTTCGAACCGTGCTGCTGCGAAGCCGCGGCCAGAGTTGAGAGATTTTGTTCTGATGGTCCTGATCCTTGCATGTAGACCTTGGCACCCGCAAAGTCGGCTTCTATTAGCAGTGATTCAAGGTGCTTGGTGTCCAATACCTTTGCAGTGGACCTGGGAGCTCCAGTCACTGTTGGTGTGTTCTGCCATGTCGCGGCGTTTCTCTTCGCTTTCTGTATCGCCAATTCGACCGACTTTTGAACAGCATTGGCTGGTAAAATGAATCGTGATTCAAGGCGAAGGTCCAAGGGCTTACCTGAGGCCTTGAACGTCAGGCTACGGTTCTTGCCGTGCGACCAGTAGCCCACACTAAAGCCTATGTACGGCATGAGCGCAGAATTGAGTGCGCGCTTCAGCTTGCTGTCTTTCTTCTTGGCAAGTTGCAGTTGCAAGTCGGTAATTGTGAGCCTGACTTCATTGCCCTCGCTGGTGGTGAGGGCAATGCTTTGAATGCTGAATATCAAGTCGTCGACCTGCGCACCTTGATGTGCGGCGAACGTTGGTCCCACAAGCCAGCAAACTTGGATATCGTGTAGCTCGATGGTCGTCTTCATGGAAAGCAGATCCTCTGGTGAGAAAGGGAGTTCACCGTCCTCAGTCCAGTCTTCCCTGCCACTGATTCTTTGTATCACCGTATGTCGTCGCTCATCCCGTAGTCGGCGGAGGTATTCAACCTCCTTAGAGAGGTCTAGATCTTTGATACGGTCTTGCAGATGATTGATAACATCGACAATGGTCGGTGCAGTCTCTGGGTATGCGTTGATCTCCAGGCCATCGCTACGCACCTTGAACTCTCGTGTGACTGTCCCGCTGTTGCCCTGACTACTCGAGAGGTGCATTTTGATACTCAACATGGCATTACCACACCGTCGCAACTTTCCGCGCTCCTTAATGTTCAAGTTCGCGCCAATATCCTGGACCTGAGCACGAACTTCTGGGATGATCTCTTCGGGGGTTGATCTATTTGAAGCCGTTGCATGCACAGGTCCTATGCCAAATTCAACTTCTGCAGTAGAGTGGCCAGGCACTTGTGGCGTGCTGGCCGAGACTCTGACGCCAAGCAGCGCTAAGCGAGCGTCAAATGCAATGTGATTGTTCGGCTTGGTTGTTTTTGCGTTGGACTTGTGCTCCTCCGGAAATACCCCAATGACGTGCTCTCTGATATCCTCCACTCCAGATTTGATGGCAGCAACGACGTTCTGAACTTCGGGCCTGTTGACCACGGCAATGACCCCCTGGATTGCACCAGCATCAATCTCGACCCGATCGATCGTGGTTGCAACAGACACGGACGTCTCTTGCTTGCTAAATTTCAGTCCAACATGCCCATTGATTGGAGGGACATGTAGAAGGCCTTGGGTGTGCCGCTCTGCTCGTGAGGTGTTGACGAAAGCATGATTGATGTAGCCGACGTCGAAATCGATGCTGAACGTCTTGTCTTGCAACAGGCTTGGCGCTACTCTGACGCTAGCAGCTGTGCCTTCGATCTGATAACTCAGAGTGGAAAGAAGGGAGATCTCGATATCCAGGCTGCCCGCCAGGACAGCTACATGCAGCTTGGGAGCCCCTACACCAGTGCTAGCCCGCGAGGGGGTCGTCGTCGTCGTAACAGGACTCGTGGGACCATCCGGTTGCCTTGGCTGTGCAAGGTCAATAAGCTTCTTCACCTGGGCCACTTCATCCATGATTACAGTATCAACCGTGCGCAAAATTCCAGGCACTTGCTCATCAACGACGATTTCAAGACTGTCGTACGCGGTCGCCAAAGTTATTGTCGGAGGTCTATCGTAGCCTTGAGCTGGCTGTAAATGATCGACATAAAGACTGGGTGATTTGAGGATACTTTGCCAGATGCGGGCGGAAGGACCATGAAGCTCGGTGATTGCCGTATCGAAGTTGAGAATGGCGCTGGCACATTGGCCGAATTGCTCACTAGCTTGCGTGGTGCCGACGACTGACATCTTTAGACCATCCGCTCGGGAAAGATAGCGAAGATTGATGCTCTGCAGAATAACGCTCCCAGTATCAGTGGAGAGCACAAGGTGAAAGTCGTGACGTGCCAGACCGTCTTCCAGTGCCTGCCCAGCTGTTCGTGATCCTTGACTCTGCAATGACGAACTCAGTTCTTCTATCTCTTCTTTGAAAGAGACTGCATCTTCTGCGACGCGAAACAACGCCCAGGACAGATTGAACGTGATGGTATTGGTATGCATCTGCAACAAAGTGTTCGTCCTCTTGTTCTCTTCCACCAGCATCAAGCCTTCAGGCTTAGTCGGAGGAGTATTTTCTAGTCCAAAAGAGGTGTCTTCTAGTGTGATATCACTGTTGCCCTTCTCGCACTCGATCGTTATTCGAAGCAGCTCTGACCGGAGAGTGACAGTGGTAGGTTTGGCGTCAGAGGACTCCAACTTGGCAAGCTCTTCATTGCTGAATAGCACCTCAAATGCCATGGTCTGGTTGACATGAATAACGTCCCACGCTCTCCATTGGGTCCAGCTTTCAAGGACTTTGGCTGGGGCATCATCGGGACAATGCAATTGGGCGTCCTTGCACTTCGAGCTGAGCTCAGCCATGCCATCAGACGGCAGATTTCGCAAGATGTAGCGGAATCTAGAAAGAATCTTCCAAGAGTCCGTATTGCGAAAATGACGAGGGTACGCTCGGAGGATGTATAACATGCGGGCCATGAAAGGCGGATCGCCTACATTCCCGCCATTGTGTGTCAAGACGTAAGTCAATAGCTGCAGGCGCTTAGTCTTATTGGCAAGCACCTCCTCAAATTGTGTCTTCAAGGTATTGATCAGGGGCACAAGCCTGAGGGCAAGCTCCGTAAGATATTTTGCTTCGTTGCCAGATACAGCAATAGAGGTGTCGCGCAGCGACGCATGCACAGCGTTCGATGTTGTCAAGGCTAGCCATACCAGAACCTCGTTGACATTGAGACGGACTGCTGGGCTTGCCAGATCCATGCCCTGCTTCTGAGCCAGAGATAAATTGACTTCGGACAGGAGAGTATGCGAGGCGAGAAACTGCGCCACACCCGCACCTGAAGGCTGTGTTCGGACTCTGACAAGGCTTTCCAGAGCTTTCAATGTAAGATCAACTTGGTCCGTGATCCGGGTATCGGACTTGTCGCGGAGAGCTACACGCAAGCTTGCTATAGGCAGACGAGCCTGGATCTCGATGATTTTGTTGTTGGCTTGCCGCTCTGCGTTCCGAGACTCTACAGCCCCCATGACACTCATTTGATATGAGTCCATGACCTCTTCGGGGCTTGTGGGTGAAGCTTTTCGCATCAGTTCTGCAGCCGTCATGGCGGCACGTGGTTCGAGATAAACTCGTATGCCCGGTAAAACCCTGATCAAGACGGTCTGATGCTCTGCTTGATGATCGACGTCTGGGTCGTCAATGACTGCAGAAACAGATGAGGATGAATCAGAGCTCAAGTCGTCGTCGTCCATAACAGGCGTAAAAGAGGGCACATCAGATTCGTCAGGGCGTACCATCTCAAGCGGGAAATAAGGCTCCGAGTAAGAGCTGGAGAAAGCCATTGTCGAAGACGGAAGACCAAACTTAGCTCTTTCCGTCTCACCAACGAGCTCTGTTGGATCTGCAGGGGCTTTTGAATCTGGCGAGGAAGATCGACTGCTTTTTACAGCGCTGTGGTAAGAAGTTGGCGTGCGACTTCGTTGCGACGCGCGACCGGATATGACCGGCCGCTTTGAGGACACGGACTGGCGAATGCTCCGAACAGATGCAGACAGAGAAGACGACGAGGATTTCGAAAGAAATTTTCCACCTTTGCTCAGGCTTGGTACAGACTTAGCGGACTCTCTCCGTTCTCTCCCAACGGCTGTGGTCAGCGGTGGTGGGGGAAATGGGTACGGTATCGCCGGAGGTGCGAAGTCGACATCGTCATCCGGATCTATGGGAGCATCGATGTCCGGTCTGATCAGGAAAGGAAAACGGCTCGTACGTTGGTCATGCAATCGAAAATGTCTTTGTTGCTTCTCAGTCTCGATGTCGAAATGCATCCTCCTGCCGACAACGTCCAGGGAGACGCCAGTCTGTAGAAAGGCGTAGGTTCGCACATGCTTCTTGCGGTTTGTTCGCAGACGGTGCCTTGAAGCACTCATGCCGTCCACGCAAGCAAGCGTGACAAGAGGTGCTTGGATGCTGACGCGCTGCGAGAACAACGCGCTCGCCCAGTCACTTACGTCTACCTTGACGGGTGAGACGTCGAGAAGCAGAGCATCATTGCCGACGTGAAGCCACAACCGCACGATGTCCGTACGCACTTGCACGAAGCTGGCGTCGAGGACGACGGCGGGCGACGTGACCGGAAGTGCATTTTCAGCATCACTGATGCTGAAAGTCAAAGCTTGCGCTGCGAGGACAAGATCGCGCAAGAACTGACTGGAAAGCTCGCCTGTGATCTTGCCCACATCAATATCCCACTGACTGACATACGCGTCTTCGTTGGGTGGTAATCCAAAAGAACGGTGACCATTCAGGTCCACGTGCTGAACGTAAAATTGCGTGCTCGACTCGGAATCCACAGAGGATTCATCATCTGCAGATGCGGTCTTTCCGTTGAGGAAGCTCAGCGGAGAAAGCTGCAAGCCCATATCGAGGTAATAGCTGACAATCCGCAGATCAAGATCAGCACGCGGCAGCTCAGCGCGCACAAATTCTTTGCATGAGTATATGTTGGTTGGAAAGAGAACAGTTGCTTCTTCGGCGACGATGCAAAGAATCACGTCCATCTCGTTGATAGATGTTGGCTTAGGGAAGCTTGCTGTCTTTGCGTTGGCCTCTTCTAAGTCGTCGCTTGCGCCTTGAAATTCCTCCAACGTCTTGAAGTGCATATAGTCACCGAAGTAGTTCTCTTTGATGTTGACGAGTTGTCGCACATAGAACCCAAAGGCTTTGAGCGTGAGACCAGTGCCGACAATGTCCATTCGTAGCACGTCAACATTTCCGACCCGAATTTCTTGATTTCCATTAAACGATCCGTTGAGTGTCAATTTAGGCAGCTCTGCCATTGTCTTGTCCTCGACGAAGGTGTGAAATGTGCTCTTAGGTGGGCTTATCATCCTCATTTTCAGATCCTGGGCCAGAACATCGAACGATATCTGATTGCGTTTTGGCCGATAGTGCTCCATTGGAATTCCAAGAAGAGCGTGGAGCTGTCCCTCTATTGTGAGAAAATCATTGCGTTCAAAATCCGCCGGATCGTTGATTATGTTCGCATCATTGACATTGAGATACATCACGAAGTTCCTGAAAGACAAGTCCAGCTGGTAGTTGTAAGGCACAAAGGTATAGTACTCCGCGGGTGCTCCAGATGCCCAGTCATTCACGAGATCGATAATAAGAAAGAGGTGGTCTCGCAATATGAAGAGCTCCATGTCATTGACCACGACGTTGAAGGGCCACTTCCGCAAGGTGTTCCACGTCAGCGGTTGGGACAAGTCGGCGTCTACCGTAACGGCGCCGGACTTCCAGAGCAGGCCGTGATTGACGCTGCTGGTCATCTCCACGCCCTTAGCGTCGACATCTAAGGTGTTTCTGTATCCAGTCGTGCGCGCATACATGTCCATGTTGTAATTGACAACAGAATCCTTCTTGACGGTGATGTCGATCCAGCCGAAAGGGCGAGCGTCGACTGCGGTCAGACCTTGCTTATCTTTTCGGCGCGTGCCTTTAGATCTCTTTTTACTTTTGCCTTTTGCATTGGCGGGCTCATTGCCTTGGCCATTGATAGGATGCGATTTATCGGCACGGCCTTTCCATTTCGCATCCTTTGATTCTTCACGCGTCGGCAGGCGCATTACAACATCCTCCTCCACGGTGACCTTGATTTTGAAAATTGTAGCAACGCGGGCATCACCGGATTTGAGCGGTTCAAGAGGCGTTGCATCGACGTAAGTTGCTGGAACAAATATAGGCTGCAGGTTGAGACGTTGTCTGTCTGCCCAGGGTCCATACACCACGAAGCCTCCATAAATGCCCAAATCCATTCCGTAGTCTGGCGGTTCTGATCCGTTGACATCATCTTGGAAGGTGGAGCCCAAGAGTGTATCGACGTCAGCGCTGCTGTCGGTGAACGGACCAGGCATATCCCAATGAAAGTTCATGGTAATCTTGGGACAATTGACGAGTTCTGAAGCTTTTGCATATTCGATCTGCTGCCACTCCTCGTGTTCGTTGACTTCTGCATCGTCGAGGTACCGCATCAGCCCATGCCACTGGCCTTGCCCAGGTAGTTGATCAAGCGGCGGATTTGCGTGTATGGATTTGCTGCGTGACGATCTCGCATCGTTCAGAGAGGCCGTGCGAAGAGACCCAGCATAGCTTTTAGATCGTTTGAATAAGCTGCAGAGCCTTGACCACCCGCTTTGCGCCTTTGCCCTGGATTCGCGAAATGGCTTATCCGGCTTGGGCTCTTCCTGCTCCCTCTCACGTATGATTCGACGCGCAGCGTCCAATTGTTCATCTTTAAAATCTCTGTTTGGCTTCATTGATACATTGACCTCTTGAATCTCGAAGTTGAACAGTAATTTCCATAGGTCCAGTGGGCCCGCTTGTCCGGCGTCGACAGTTCCAGCAGACCTCTCGGCTTTGGCGACGATGACATTCTTTGTATTTTCATTTCCCAAGGCTGCCGCAGCTCGTTTACAATCGATTTTAATGGGAAAAATACGCAAGAACGCCGGCAACCTTGGCTTCTCGACAGGTACAGCACTCGTTGCTGTTTCAAACGTCTGTGATCTATCTGTCCGAGCGCGCGTTTTAGGACTTCCAAAGCCATTACTGCCCGCGGAGCTAGTTGTGGGCGACTTAGCCGTCTCGTTCTTGGCGTCCACTTCGCCAGATGCGTCTTTGGCCTTGCCCATTGTTGCTTCAACGACCGCGTCATATACTGGACTTCTGTTGTAGATGAACGCTTCTACACCGGCAACGTTGACCGATATTCGACACGGCAGCTCTTTCTTTGGTTTTCCGTTGGCTTGCTCTTCCTTGCCCACGCTTCTACTGCGGTCGCGAGCTTTTGCGTCTTGTTCATTATGGGCCGGCTTTTCGATCGTGGAGGTACTTGAGGATCGAGCCTCGCCACTGCCGGACGGTTGCTCATCTTGGAACACTTCCGCCTGTTGCACCAACCGCAACCAGTATCGCCAAGTGACATGCCCCTCATAAACGTAGAGGGTGACATTGTGTGCGTGATATCGAATGCTTTTGAAAAAGACTCTTCCGCCCAGGATACTGAATTGGAGAGCTTCGATATCGATGTACGCCTTGTATTGGTTCCATGTGTACGCGCGGATGGCGAACGAGACGACGGTCGCGAAGAGTCGATTGAAGTAGAAGAGGAAGAAGATGGCGAGGACGGCTACGATGAGGATCTCTACCAGAAAAGGCCAGTTGAACTGTCCGGTGTAGGTGAGGGACTGCGCCGTCAGGCCATTAGCCATGTTGGAGGGCGAGGATCGCGTAGGAATCCAGTCCACTGCATGTCGCTCGCTCGTGATCTGTCGCCCAGAGTGTGAACAGCGGTCTTCTGTCGTCGTGGAGGTCCTTCCACACGTCGGCTATGTCGGTCTCGCGGGAGCTTGCAGTGGGATTTGAAGGGATTGGTATGTAGCAGAGTAGACAGCAGCGTTCACATGAGGTGAATGCGAGGCGGATTAAGGTTGTTCCGCTCTGCCCGCGGTGGCCGAAACTCTGTGGACGAGCTCGACGAACGGCCCTGAAGCTTCCAAATTCCACTTGCACCACGAAACACGAAACACGAAACACAACATCGGCCACGCGATCGCGTCGACAAACATGAGCCTTAGTGACGGAGACGTGGAGCTCCTGAAGAAATGGCTGATCAAGAAACTCGAAGATCAGAAAGTGGAGGCCGACAGCGACGTGCTCAGTGACTATGTACAGTACCGCCCAAACCTATTCGGTACGAGACGTCAGCTAACATTTTTCTGCTGTGCAGGTGCTTGCCCTCGTCACAGGAGCTACCGACGAGCCTGACGAAGTCACAAAGGCCAATTGCGTGGAGCAACTCGAAGGCTTCCTGAATGATCCGACAAAACTCGTGAACGAGGTCTTTGATGCCATTGCGAACAAATCCTACGACCCATCGAAGCCTGCGCTGAAGCCTACAGCACCGAGCTACAACCTTCCTCACCGCGCGAGTCCCGATCCTGCAAGAGCGCAGAATTTGTCCAAGAAGCGCCCATATCATGACTGGGATCGCGACGAGTCTCAGAGCGGGCAGCTGTTTACGTCGGAAGGCGGAAGCCGTCCGCACAAGCAGGCACGGCGCGGTGGAAGAGGAGGTGACTACAACGTGCGCAGAGGAGTTCAGCGGCAACCGTTTGGAAGCGCACAGTTTCCACAGGCTATGCAGTTGCCGCAAATGCCGACTCCGCCTCCAGGCATGCCGCCCTTCGACCCCAACAACCCAATGGCTTCCTTCATGGCTATGCAAGCGTTGGGATTCCTGCCCCAATTTTCGGGCCAAGGTCAGCGCTGCATAGACTACGACACCAAGGGTTTCTGCGCGCAAGGAGTATCCTGTCCCTTTGAGCATGGTAGCGACTCGTACGTGATGCCGGCCAACAACGACTACGACCCTGCCCAGTCCTCTCTGCTGAACGTTCAGCCGACTCGCACTGGGGTAGTAGACACATCTTCCGCTATGCGCGGTCGGGGTGGGTCGAGAGGTCGAGGCGCTAGCTCTAACTTTCGCGGTGGTGGAAGACGTGCAGCGTTCTCGCATCTGGGGCCGAACTACGACAGGTCGATCACAACCATCGTCGTGGAGCAGATTCCAGAAGACCAGTTCGCTGAGGAGAATGTACGCGAGTTCTTCAGTGAGTTCGGCAACATTGAGAAAGTGGACATGCAGCCATACAAGCGACTGGCAACGGTGAAGTTTGACAAGTACGAATCAGCAAAAGCCGCATACGATAGCCCCAAAGTTATCTTCGGTAATCGATTTGTTAAGGTATATTGGTTCAACCCGTCGGAGACGATCAAGTCGGAAGGACACACTGGCGCTTCGATGAACGGCACAGCTGAGGACGAGAGCATGCAAGATGAGGAACCGCAATTCGACCCAATAGAGCTCGCGCAGAAGCAAGAAGAAGCACAACGCAAGTACGAAGAACAGAGGAAGAAGCTAGAGGAGACTGAGGCGCAACGGAGAGAGCTGGACACGAAAATGAAGGCCATCGAGGCCGAGCGCAAGAAGATGGCAGACGCTCTCGCAAAGAAGCAAGCAGGTAAGACAGCTGTACCAGCTCTCGAGCATTCTTCTTCCAATGGCGCTGGAGAGAGTGCGCAGACCAGAGCACTCGAAGCTCAACTGGCCAAATTGGAAGCCGAAGCCAAGAGCTTAGGCATCGATCCTGAGGCGCCATCCATCGATAACTACGTTGGATACTCTTATCCGTATCGCGGCAGAGGCGGCTTCAGAGGTCGTGCGCGAGGTAGGGAAGGCTTCAACTCTAGCTTTCGTGGAGGTCGGGCTGGAGGTCGTGTAGGCGGTGTCATGCGGCTCGATAATAGACCTAAAACGGTCTCGATCGTCTTCCACGAAGGCACTTACGAGGACAACGAGGGTGCTTTGCGTCCATGGCTCTTGTTTAATGAATCGGAGTCCGCGACTCTTACGAAGCACCCAAGTAGGCAGGACACAGCACTACTTGCTTTTCAACAACGCTACCTCGCCGAGCAATTCATGACTGCGGCCGCTGAACCTGGCTTTCCACTAGTCGGCAAAGTCGAGTTGTCCTGGTACAAAGCGGACAACAATTCCGCGGTACTCCAAGACGATGCGCCAAATGTCGATGCTGCTCCTGAAGTGTCAATAGAAGAAACCAACGGCAGAGAGGCAGATGCCTGGGACGTTGCCGAAGACGATGACCGCTGGGCATAGCCTTCGCGTCTCCTGACCTTCTCATGTCTACGCTGCTCCTGAATTCGAGGATCCGACGATCGCATTGTATCATACAATCCATTTTGCATGCCACGAGGATGCACATCATTGCGCGCTCTAGCTCCCGACCTCGACTTGGCAGTACGGCAGTCCCCTTCTCGCCTTGCTTGAGGGATTCCGCGGGCCGCTTCTGCTGGTATGGTTGGATTTCTACTGGGGGCTGTAAAGGAACAACGCAGGCATTGGTACCACGCCACTGTATAGCTATGTGGATTTGTGGTAGGTTATGTAGGGCACCGCGAGCGTGCAGAAAAGGTTGGGTCACTCTAATTTCCTCTCGTCGTTTGCTTTCCGTCTACTCGCTCTCTTTCAAGTACACTACTTGGAAACAGATATCTCCAATACACCATGTCGCAGCTTGCATCTTTTCTGGAGAAAGCTGCAGACTAGAACTCGCGATTCATTACGGAGCTGGCGGAAACTGACTATGCGCCTTCGTTTTTGGAACAAAACGTGGCATACATTTGCTGACCTGAAGAAACCAAATCCAACAAACCGACAAGGAGCTTACACGCCTACACCAGGTTACGAAAGACGAACGAAAGGTGCACCCTCTCGACGTGCCTGGTTTGCTTTCCAGTTCACTGACTGTAGCAGGATCATCTCAAATATCGAGACGGCAATGTCAAGCGCTGAGCGTACAACTTGCAAGGTTCCAAAGGCAAAGACACATTATCCTCTGGACAAGAAAAGGAAGAACGCGAATTCCTTCGAGCCGGGCAAAAAGAATGCCCAGCCGAGGAAAGCCATGAGGAACTCAGCAATGCTCTACAGAAAGCCGAACAGAATCGTACTCACCTGGAAGCCGATAGTCAACGTATTGTACGTCTGTGGAGTAGATATAATCAGTTCTCTGATAGCTGGGACTGTACTGTTACCATTCTACTGGATTTTGAGAAATTGTTCGTACGGTAAAGTTGCGAACCTTAGACTGACTTTTCCCAGCGATGGTATTGACACTCAGATCTCACTTTCTTCAGCACAATGCAAGCGTCCATCTCTTCCAAACGACAGTCCACCCAGTCCTCCCATAAGGTTCAGCGCATCTGGCGGGTCGAAACGATCCGCATACCTCCTCCCCATTGTCAGCTGCAACATCCTTCTTCCCTGCTTCGCCGCATCCTCCTGCGCCAGGACCAGTCGCTCCAACCAAAAGCCATCATCGCCACCATCGAGCTTACCCAGACCATCTAAGGGAGATCTCAAGCCACTGTCGCGAAGGCACGTCCTCCCATTGCGAATCGAGAGTCCAGGGAGCAGATTGAGCGCGAGGAGGTCTCCACCACGAGTACCGGTATGCACGCCAGCCCGGTCAAGATGCTCGATGACTTTGTTCGCTTTCCAGCCTCGACCTGCGAGCTTGATGGCGAGATCTGGGCGTTTACGCATGGCTAGACGGAAGCATTCGTGGCGATGTTGTTCGCTCATGTTGGCGCGGACGATGGCGAAGAGCCATTGGCCCAAGTAGAGTGAGGATTCCGTGGAGGTGATGTACGTCGCAGCTCGAGTGAGAAAGAATGAGGCCAGCAGCTCTCCGATTCGCCTGCTACCGGTACGATTGGATGCTTCAGCAAGTGCCCGGAAGAGATGCTGGGCTTCTGTGTGGCAGAATGGCTCGGCGATATGCCGTGCTTTGCCCACGTCTGATGCAAGGGAATTGTCGAGGCGTTCCATGAGATGAGTTGCGACGAGTCGGTCCACTTCGCCGTGGCAAGACCGGGTCATGGCCTGAGAATTTCAGTGAAGCTTCTGGCTTCAGAGTGGCCGGCGCTAAGTACTCACTTGAAGGATCGAATAAAAGACATTCCGTAGCTCTTCTTCGACCAGGGGGTTGGTCTTGGTCATGGGCCATAGCTCCGGTGAGTCGAGCACGAACTGGTCGATCAGGCTGTCCGCATCATAGGGTCGTCGGGATGCTTGACGGGCATACTCAGGAAGTAGAGCTTCGAGAGCCCGTTCCTCAACAGATACAAGAGCGTGGTTCCTCCAAGGTCGTCGTACTTGCAGCGAGAGAGGATGAGGAGAAGCGGTCGGATCGAAAACTGGCCACATAGCTGCAATCGGGACGGCGTGGGAAAGAAGAAGAAGAGTGTTGAGAGAAGAAAGGAATGGCGAGTGTCAGTTTGTGCGAGGATCGAGTGTGGAAGTGGGCGGCTGACGAAGTAGCAAACAATTCTCAGGCGTCAATGCGGTAGCACCAAGAGAAGAGACGAGCACAGAGCGTCTGATGATGGCGGAGTCTATGGATTGATAGCAATGATGGATCATAACCATGATACCCAATAGATCATAACCGGCCGGACGGAGGTCGTTTGATGGATATGAGGAGAGCTGATCACTCTCTCACTTGCTCCTCGATGGATGAGACGAACATGCGTGGTGGCAGCGTGCATGATAGCAGCACCTCACACAACGCTCTTGCTGAGAACAGTCGTGTTCTGTGATTGCATACATGTATCGAACGAGTACGGTATGCCGGTCGTGTATGGACGGAAACGGGACGGCACTGCCCTCAGACAGCCGATCCCGTTCCGAAACTCAGCTGTGGCATGCTTTATGCTTTTCCATTCTGCACGAGCTCATTATTGTTGATTGTCATTTCCTTCAAGATGCCTGTGCCCAGACAGGCCCAGACCGAGGGCTCGACTACCTTCGATCCCGACAAGTTCTTCGATGACTGGCCTGCCGGCGAGGCCCTACTCTACAGCAATGACTTCCGAAAGTGCATCCTCAAAGCCTTTGGTCTCGACATTCGCGACGATTACGTCTACAGAGCGGTCGCCGAGGTGACCCTCCTCCAGGCTCAGACCTACATCGAGTTTGGTGCGCAGGGAGGACTTCATGCTTGGTATAGAGATGCAGAAGGTCAAGCAGTAAGTAGAGCCGGTCTAACCACGCTGAGAGTCTGTCTCATATCAAGCACAGCCTAAGCCTCTGCTCAGAGACCATCTCCCACCGCTGCCGACATAGCCGCATACACCGATATCTTTCGATCCACCACGAACACACAGAAAGCTTTGACCGCTCTCTCTTCGAATGCCAAAAAGGATACAGTCCGCGCCCATGTCGCCAAGCACCTCTTAAGTCTCTACGCTCCTCCCGACCCGTTGCGAAAGCTGGTAGTAAACAAGTCCAAGAATCATGTCAATCCGAGCTTCGACGTCTGGGCTTGGTCAAATCAAAACCTAGAATGGGGTGGGCCGGAAGAGAGAACCAAGGACGTAAAGATCAGCCATGCCATACTTCCGATAGTGTACCACCACTTTGGTTGCGTTTGCCCATCGTACGAAGCGCTCTCGTACATACAGCAAGTTGCTCAAGGGCGGACAATACTAGACATCGGCAGTGGCAATGGATACTGGACTTATATGCTCCGTCGCTTCGAGACAAACCCTAAGAAGAAACTGGCCGTGACAGCCATCGATAACAGCCAGAGCGAATGGAGAACCATGTGGATAGCAGATACCATTGAAGCAGACGGGGAAAAGTGGCTAAAGCAAAACAAAGGAGGGCAGGATGAAGTTCTACTCCTCGTGTATCCAGTGGTGGGAGGGGACTTCACTTCCAAGATGCTCAAGTCATATCGTAAGTTGTATGTTCTATGGACATCAGCAAATACTGACGGCACACAGGTGGAACGACGATCATATCGGCAGGTGCGCAGAATACCAGTGGCTTTACCGCATTTGCGAAGGAGACAATCGCAGATTGGATCGGCAGAGAAATGACCGACTGGGAGAAGGTTTTGCAGATACCACTGCCATCGTTCGCAGGAAAGGACGAAGCTTTGTTCATCTTCGAGAAGAAACCCAATGCTCCAGCAAACGGAGCTTGAGCAACGACCTGCCAAGGTGCGGACATTGGAAGGCCACCAATATCGGGACGATGCATTGCTATAGCTCTTGGCATTTATCCGCATGTCCATCTGGTCATAACAATAGCTCATGTCCGAATTCTTTCCTGGGTTTTGAAGTCTAATTGCAAGGTCACGTTATTCTCCATCCTAGCATTTACACGTGCCCGCCCGCACACGTACATCTAGGCTGCGTCCTGTTTCCTTATCAACATCCACCATATACTTGGTCCTCATGCAGATTCGCGAGTGCCTTCGGTCGTGATCGGCCCTGATGCAGCACAATTGCGGCTCATAGGAAAGCCCCGTCGGATCCGAGGCAAAACGAAGCCTCCATTTGAGGGGTCGAAAGCTCGAAGATGCCCACCTGCGACGAAGCCCGTCGTGATCCTCGCGCGGGAATAGCAACCATCAAGAGTAATCCCCGGAAGACCGTCATTGCCAGCGTTACAGCACGGCAATGCAGGCACAGATTCCACAGCCGCCGGCTGGTGTGGCTCATGCATCAAACACACCCAATGGCGCTGCGCGGGACGGTGCGTTCACCGCCACGATAGACGGTCCACCCAGGGTGAAACCGAAGCAGAAGCGGAATAAACCTACGCTCTCTTGTCTGGAATGCGTGGAAAGGAAAACAAAATGTGATCGAGGACGTCCCTGTCTGGCCTGCGTAAAGCGGCAATCGAATTGCGAGTACACTGCTGTTGCAAACTTCATCGCATCTGCGGACCGAAAGAATAGTGCACCGGGAAGCAAGGCTCGATATGTCACGAAACCTCCTGCGAAAGTCAGGAAGACGACTGGTGGTGCGTCGCCGACGGCTACTTGGACTTCTCCGTCCGTCGTCACAGATAGTGGATGGGCTGCATTGGACGCAAGAGGGAATCGCGCTTCGCAACCGTCATCCCAAGCAGCATCGCCGTTCCTCTTCTCAAACGTGCCACATTCTCAGAACTCACCGAGCAATGTCTTCGGTGTCGGATCGCAGCACCCCTTCTCCAACTACTGGACGTGTCAAGGAGGCCTGCCAGAAGTGGTCAGCGTGCTGCCGAGCAAGGAACAGGCTGATATCCTCATCGCAAATTACTTTGAAGCTGTGGATCCCGTTTATCCGATCATTCACAGAAGGACATTCTATTCAGACTATGAGCTTTTCTGGTCCTTGTCGTTGGAAGAGAAGGGCGACGCAGATGCCTCTTTAGTGGCTCTTCATTATGCCATGTACGCCTTGGGCACGCAGTTCATGCAGTTCCCGGCATACGAAGAACGCTCGCAGACGGCCGAGTTCTACTGCTCTGCGGCCAACCAGGCCCTACGTGTATACTCATACCTCAACCGTACGTCGATGCGGGCGATCCAGGCTATGCTTCTCATGACCTACTTCTTGATGAACGACAATCATGCATCTGACGGCTACGCCTGGGCTGGTATTCACCTTCGACAGTCGTATGCAATGCGTCTCCATCGCGATCCGTGTCTCGTGGTCCCCGAAGCCTCGGTCCTGGAGAAGCAGCAACGGCGGAAGCTATGGCAAGCTGTGTTTGTTCAAGATACTTTTCTCACAATGCTACTGAAGTTACCGCCCACGGCAACTCACAGCGATGTTCCGGTAGAATCGCTGGCTGACGAGAATGAGCTCAACAACGACGGTCTAGACGTCTGCCTTGGCACCCATTCACGAGTGGAGAATCTGATGAGCATCAATGTGATAGCACCTCAGATCTCTCAGCCTCTACCACCGCCACAACCTCATCATATAGTCGAGCCGACCACGTCGCGCAACGACATCCAGTATATGCGCTGCATGTGGCATCTCGGCAATCTTGTGCAGGAGAATTTGGCCTCACCCTTCTCCCTATCGCTGCCAATCTCGCACAGTGCGAGGCATAAAGAAGGACTTATCGGAGCATTCAAGAGGCTTTACAAGTCTTTTCCCTCGCCTCTCACAATTCTGGATCACAAGATCTTGCAGCAGCAAGCCATTAATAGCCCGAGGCAGGTACGGCAGAATCTCTTCCTCACATCAAACTACTATCACTGCATGGCCCTATTGCAGGCATCCGAGAATCCTGAAGCCGACGTGAGACCGAACATCAAGGAGACATTGGAAGCTGCACATGAAGCAGTCTCCGCGTTCTTCAAATTGTGGACCATCTTTGAGGTTGAAGCCAGTGTATGGTGGGTAGTGCAGGTGAGTAGAGACGGACGAACCACGTGCTGTCTCGATCACGGCTGACAGCTTTTTGTAGCATCGTGCATTCGAAGACAGCCTACTGATCGCGAAACTCCTCGCGCTGCCGCTTCCGCCGGAATCACAGGTGGATGAGATCTACGGCAACGCTAAAGAGGATATCGCCCGGATGCTTGAGATCATGGAGCAGTATGGCGGCTCCGTCGAGATGCACAGGACGAGGAGGGCTGCTTTGGCCGAGGCATTCGAGCAGATTGCTGTCTGAGTGCTGTCGGGAAGCGAGTGAGGTTGCGTTAAGCGAACTCGCCAGCACGGACCTCCTGTCTTTGGAACATGTGACGCGAGCTTCATCAGAAGCAAACGTCAGACTTCCCCGGCAGAACCACCGCAACACCCTCAACAGCAAGTATGGGTGACGGTACAGAGTCCATTACGCGCAACATTGGCAACCTGCTCCTTGATGGCAGATTTTCAGATCTGAAGATCATATGCCAGGGCGAAGAAGTCAAAGTCCACCGCGCCGTGGTGTGCAACAGGTCTGCAGTCCTCGCCGAAGAGTGCGACGGTGGATTCCTGGTAATTTGACCCTCGCATGCTCCTCTTGAGATTCTCACTGATTCCGCAGGATGGGGAGTTTCGCGTGATCAAGCATTCACTCTTTGATGCGGACACGCTTAAGCGCTTGCTGCACTTTCTGTACCGGGGGAGCTATACCCTCAAAGACGCCGACCATAACGACTCTGCTGAGTCGTCTCCCGGCATTGCCGCCTCTGCGCAACAGACCTCGCAGCACCAGCTCGCTACGCCACAGCAGCCCTCGAGCGAGACCACCGAGAGGTCGCTCTCAGATTCCAAAACAGATGGCCTCCCAACGGCAGAGGAGCCTGAATCTCTGGGACAGGCCGAGGCTTTTGTTGCGCATGCGTCCGTCTTCGAAGCTGCAAGCCACTACGATATCCCGGAGCTAAAGGCCTCCGCGCTCGCGAATTTCAAACAAGAGAGGGAAAATCTAAGCTCACTTACCACCGATGAGTTCACCACCATTGCGTTTATCGTCTATCAGAAATCCGTCGCCCCGGCCCTGCGTTCTGAAGTCTTGAAGATAGCCATTAAGCATAGACACATGTTGCTGCACGACGACGAATTTGTCAAAGTCATGCGCGAGGAGCAGGAACTTCGATTATTCGCCACGGACTTCCTGCGACACTTCAACAAATGGCACGACTTGCGGATCGCGCAGGAGCGTCGATCCTTCGAGACCGAATCCCGGCAGCTCAGGGAAGACAAAGCGGCCGTCTCCGCAGAGCTGGCCACCGTCAAGAGCCAACTCCGTGCCGCGAATTCTCACCTCGAAATGGAGAAGCGACAAGTTACGCAGCTCAAGGCACTCAACGAGATCGAGTCTTGTCGGCACTGCGGATTCGCTTTCACGTACGGCTTAGAGGGCGACGGTCCAGGTCAACACCTGGCACGATGTTTCTATTGCGGCACCAGGCATCGCATGCCATTCTAGAGCGCCGTCTTAGCCACAGCTCCGTGGGTGGCAAATGCGCGGGAGAGGTAGAAGAAAAGTCCACCACCCGGCCGCAATGTGAGCGGAAGAGTGGAATCTTGAAAGTGATGAGAGATTTTGCACACTCTATGGTATCGCACTTCTGTCGGGAGAGAGCAGTATGTAAGATTCGGGGTCTTTGGCCTGTGTACATACTTTCACATGCAGATGCCAAGATTGTGGTGGTCTTGTCCCCTCGCGTTCAGTATTTCATACAACTTGATTATCGCCATACTCCCGCTACCGCATACAGTCCAGAGGATTTCCCTGGTCGTTTCGCATGGATTCGCCGATTGTAGGGATGTTGATACATAGACTTGAAGCGAAAAATTCAAGCACCTCAACACACCGAGAGTCAGTTGTGAAATTAATACATTCAAAGAAGTCTACCTAGTTAATGTATCGGAAATCTTCTCGCAGGCCAGCATAAAGGCGAGGACTCTGTTGTCTTTCGCATTCAACGATATCTCGCAAAACACAAAACACGCCACTAGAGTGTGTCGAACTGCCGAATAGCCGTCTTGACTCGCTCTCTCACGTCAAGATTTGGATCCCCTTGAAGTGCCTTGACCGCCTGCTCGATCCCCAACGCCCTGAGCTCACTCGCACGTTGTCTCGCATCCCGGCGATCGTCATTCTCCTCGATCCATGTAAGACTGTTAACAGCCCAGACACTCATCACCCGGACGCGATGGTCGGTGTGATTGAAGTGTGGCAGCATGGCCTGCAATAGTGGCTTCTGCGCAATGAGCATCTGACGGTGTTTGAGAGAAGCGTTGGCGAGATGAATAATGACGTGGATCGTACTAAGAACAAGCTCGGTGGGGTGGTAGACTGGTTTGCCACCAGCAAGAGATCGTGGTAGCGGGGAGAGCTTGGCGGTGAGGAGTTCGTAGACTTTCGCACTGCCGATTTGATTCATGAGATGGTCTGAGAGGGCGCCGCAGTCATCACCATTAATGAGATTCCGGAGAAAGTCGAGAGCCTGTGTTTGAATAGCGGCCTCGTCTCGTCTTGAGGCATAGTCGTCGTCGTGTTCCATTTCGCGAATCGAGGACAAGTATCGTCTGCTGTTGAACATCGGCGCGGGAGGATTGAGCGTCGAGCGCAGCTGCGAAGCTTGGTAGTGTGTGCTGGAAGCCTCGTCGTAGAGGACTTCTCCATCATCGTCATCTTCGTCCATCGTCTCTTCGCCAACGGGCTCATCGACGTCCATAGAGGACGGGTTGAGCAAATCGACTTGCTCGCCAGCTGCATTTGGTGTACTCAAACCAACACTGACTCCCCCAGAGACAGCTTGGCCACCTTCGCGGTGCTCGCCATGAATCGTATCCACAAGCCAGCCTGTACCAAGCTCTTCCAATGTGTTGAGCTTGATTTCTTTTGGACAGCCGTACACCAGGTGCTTCAGCGCCCAGAGGCTGGAGAGTCTAAGCGCAGGCGAACTGCTTCGTGCATGCCCCACCAACGTTTTTATCACATTGTGCTCCAACAGGTCCTCCCTCATGGGGCTGAATTCGGGTAATAAGTTACAGCAGACGTCTGTGGCAGCGGTCTGAATTTGCAAGGATGCATGATGGAGTAGATGTATCAGCGGCTTTGCGATACCACCATCAATAAGGCTGGTGCGCAAAATACTGACGCTTCTGGACATCGACTTTGCCGCGCAACATGCTGCAAGAATGACCGAAGTCGTATTTCCGTCCTTTGGACTTAGTATCGCTCGGTTGCTGGCAGCATCTGCAACTGCATTTGCAGGGAACGGCTTCATGGAGCCAATGATACAGCTGACCACGCCATGCTCGATGATCGCCTTGCGATGCACGTCTTCTCGGGCTGCCAGGGCCTCCAGTGCCCTCAGAGCGCCTTGACGACATCGCATTGCATGTGCGATCTCCCGCGGAAAGGTACTGGTGCCCATTCGGCACGTGTTCGGAGTATTTGCGGTGTCTGTGACATTGTTCGATTTCGCAGACCACATTGGTTTAGAAAGCGACACGTTGTCGAAGCTCTTCTTCAGTATGGGGCACACATGCTTCACTGCCCCAGCTTCTACAGCGGCAATTTGGAGTTCCTTGCTGCCGCCGACTAGCAGCGCAAGAACGTCACACGCTTGTTCCCGAATACCACGTCCGCCCTGTTGCTCATCAACGCCCTCCGACTTGTCCTCGTGGGCTTGCTTTACGAGCGAGACGGCAAGAGGGACGGCGAGCATGGACAGTTGCTTCTGACGTTCTCGAGTTTTCTGGTAGAAGTCCGATTTGTAGATAGTAGTAACCGGATCAGCTTCAATGGCATTGGCCACGAGTGCTAGAAGGCGCAAGCCAATGAGACGGTTAAGCCCTGACATGTGCCGAACGAGGACCAGGAGCCATCCGACAACGGCATTCGAGTGGTCAATGTCTCCAATAGGCTGTGATACATCTGAAGAAGTAGTTCCGTTGGTTCTGCTTTGCAAGGTCCTCAGAGCTGGGAAATGATTCGACACGGGATTATGCGAGACTGTTCTGTAAGTTGGTATGTGAAGTGGCGGAAGGAGGCTCTCATGGGGATTGGCAAAGCCGCTACGAGCTCCAAACAAGGCGCGGTGATCATTCGCCTCAGACCCGGAACGAGTGAAGAGATCGCGGACCTGTGGAGCCAAGATGAAACGGTGTGCACGATAGTTAGAGCCCCTGATAACGGTGGAAATCGCGGCAAGAATGCTGGGCAGAGCCGCATCTGGCGGAGGAGCTGGTGGAGATGTCTGCTCGCCAGTGTACCAGACTATTCTGTTGGCGACAGCGTGCGCGACCAGGAGCGCAGCCAAAGTGTCCAATAGGCCACATCCGGTGATGAGTTTCTTGGTTTCGTACGTGCCTTCGGGCAAGACAGAGAATATGTCGGCAACCAGACGCAGCTGCTGTTTGGAGTTGCTATTCGAAGCCGGCTGCTCTAAGATGCGTTGAAAGGTGGCGAGGCTCTGAACATTGAACAGGGCGGACCAAAGATCGTATTCAATGTCGACATCTTCGGCCGTCGACCAAAACGTGGCCAGTGCCTTCAGTGCTTGGAGGATGGCGTTTACGATCCTTGGTGCTGCATCAGTCAGGAGGGTATCGACCAAGAGCTTTGGGATATCAGCTGCGCATAGTGGGCGCAAGAAAGCCTGTCCTCCTGCCGCTAGGCTGCCAATGATGAGTGTCGCTTGTAGCCTCAGGTCGTCATCCGGAGTCCATTCCTGTGACTGGTTCAGGGGAACACCGTTGGTCTCGACTTTGCGCTTCCCGGTGGCTTTGGTGGCAGCGGAAAGGATATCTGCCAGGGGCTGGACGATGCCATGCTTGACGGCTAATTCTTTGCGTTGGTCCTGGCCGACGATGATGTTCTTGAGGCGCTTGGCGACTTCCACCTTCTGTTCCGTGGAGACCTGGACGTCGCCTGCGTGGAGCTGTTAGCATGTGCTCATGGCGATTTCGATGTTTGTACCGGCAACGAAAACCATCTCCACGGATGTTATCGTCGGCTGTGTGCCGTGCGGCCTGCTCTCGTCCCAGCCCCAGCCGGGATGTTGGGGAAGAGGCACATACCAAGCGTTGATATTGCCTCGAATGATGGACCCTGCACCATATCTGCTGGCCGGCAGCGTGGAGGGGAGTGATGATGGTGCTAGCACGTGCCGGTATCAGGTGAGGCGGATGGCAGTGGAAGGTGAGGTTGAGGTTGCCTCACAGCCTTGTCGTGCCGGGGAAGTCGCGTGGCTGGCTGAGGGGCGAAAGTCTTGGCCATGGGCTTCGAATTCCGACCCGGCGCGCCTTCTGCGTTCGCTTCACCACTGCCACATGCACGGTTGCACGGCACTCAAACTGCTTGAGAACGATGATGTAAGGTATATGGCTTGGCGTGTGGCCGCCACTCGACTCGTCTCGATCGGAGCCAGATGCTGGGGAAGAAGTAACGTGTTTCTCTCCCGTCAGTGTTAGGAAAAGTAGTAAAATAGTAAGACTATTAGTAAGAGTAAATAGTAAATAGTAACTACTATTTACTCTTACTCTTACTATTATTCTTATCGTTCGGAAAGTCTTACTCTTACTATTTACTCTTACTATCGTACTATAGTAGTAAGAGTAAATAGTAAGAATAAGTTTTATATAGCTAGTATCTAGAGTCTTCTATAGACTATATAGAAAGAAGACTACTTAGAGTATTTTATATCTTATTTATCTTTTATCTTAGCTAAAAGATAAAAATTAGAATATAGATCTAGTTCTTATTAGAAATATACTATAAATAGTAGATAGTAGGCCTAGTAATTATTACTCTTACTATTACTCTTACTATTATTCTTACTATTATCTTACTATTACTCTTACTCTACTATTCTTACTCTTACTATTACTACGACTTTTCTCTAAATCTTACTCTTACTATTTACTATTATTTTTACTCTAGGTAGTAAGAGTAAGACCTAAGTTCTGACTATTTACTATTTATTCTTACTACTCCTAACACTGACTCCCGTCGCGAATGAGAGGCGGCAGTCGGGAGCATGCCGATGCCGCTAGCTCTCTCTTCCGCAAGCCACAGGCGCGTTCGGCCCTATATGCTCCCTAGTCTCAGATAGTTTGCATACTACGCCACCCACCACGCGCTGTCCATCATAAACGTGCTGTGAGAGCCCGCTATCGTTCGTCGTGCCCACGTCCGACTTCTCGCCCTCTGCGCACCCATCTCGCGCTTCAACTTCCCACACGCCCACAGCCCTCCCCGTTTCAGGTTCCTGAGACACGCCTGCGTCTGCGCTTACTCCAGCCAATCGAATCGGGCCCCTCCTCGCCTTACAATGCGCTGCTGCCACGCCGGCAAGCTGTTCCTGTACTCGACCTACATCGGGCACGCTTTTTACCAGGGCCAGCGCTGCTCGCCTTCATGTCTGCCACCGTGAGCTCCTCCTCCTCTCCCGTCAACTCTCCACCACCACATTCCTTCCACCGCTCCTCCCCACGCTCGACCTTTGGCACCGCCCAGCGATCGCCCGCTGCTCCGCGCGCCTCTCCACGTCTCTCGACCACCTACTCGGCACATTCACCACGTCGCGCCCTCGCTTCCGGCTCCACCGGCCCTTCCTACCCGAGACCGCCCGCTGGCGAGAGCGCCTTTCCCGTAGCAGGAGCTGGAATCTTCCAGGGCTACACATCGCGAGGCACCCAATATTCGCCCGACGGCCTGCCTCCCACCGCAGACGCAACCAAGGTGGCCGCCCATGCGCGCAAGACGGCAGCCGCAGCGGGCAGCGCACGGAAGCGGAAGGAGGCAGCGCACTCAGACGAGTCCAGCGAACAGCAGATGAGCGGTGCGGACAGCGCCGCCTCGGGCGCCTCCCACTGGCAGCTGCAGCAGCAGCAGCAACAGCAGCAGCAGACGAGTACAGCAGCATCGCGTCCGCAGCATCCCCCGGAAGCTCAGCCCAGAGGCGACCCTGCCCGGGCTTCAGCGGCCACAGGTTCTGCTGATCCCGAGCCGCAGGAGGCTCGCTCAACGCATGGTCACTTTGCTGCCCCAAAGCGGAGCAAGCAGGGCAGCCTCCAAGTGATGTCGTCCAAGTACGAGAACTGCAACCCGAAGGATCTCGGCGTCTGCATTGCGAACATGCTGATGGAGCTCATCCGTATTAACGATAGGATTCCTCTACGCGATGGCCGCCTGACCAGATTCCATTCTCGTGCCCCGCCGGGCATCGGCGTGACTGATTACCTGCAACGACTCATTCAGCACGCCACTCTTTCTCCTCCCATACTGCTGAGTATGGTATACTATATCGACCGACTCTGCACCATGTATCCGGCCTTCACGATCAACAGTCTCACCGTGCACCGTTTCCTAATCACAGCCGCGACGGTTGCAGCAAAGGGGCTGAGCGATTCATTCTGGACGAACCCGACATATGCCCGCATTGGAGGCATACCGGTGTCTGAATTGGCGACTCTCGAACTTGAGCTTCTCCAACGCGTGCAGTGGAAGATTGTTCCGAAGCCAGAAGCGCTCGAAGAATACTACGCAAGCCTCGTAGAGCGCACAGATGGTTACATCCTCGAAGGATATTCGAGTTCTGGTTCATCAAGCATCAGTCTAGACGAGAGTGATGTCGTTACCAAAGCGGGTGAAGAGAAGATGGACGAGCAGCAAGGTGACGAGGAGATGGAAAACGGACCTACATGAATGAGATCGAGTCACGGCTGACATGACGGATCTTGTTCGAAAACGGGATACATGCGGGCATCTCGAATATGGCGGCAGACTTGTCTCTGCAAGTACAGGGCAGGCCGAGCATTTCGTGGGAACGTGGATTTGTGAAGAGTCACGTACAACTGGGCGGCATTGGGAATGTGCTTATCTGCATGGAGCAGCACGGGTCAACTGCCGCTGAAGAGGCGTGCAAGGGAAAACGAGAAAAAGAGAAAAAGTAGTCCCGAGGGCCAGACTGTCAAGGAATGGCATTACTGCATGGGGCCTGGATGGCTTACGATGAAATGCAGCATACAGAAATTCGAGCGATCGGCACTCTGAGCGATTTGCATTAGCGTGGGACGGATGTCTTGATTGATCCATTTGCGTTCTCGAGCGGTACTGAGCGAAGTGAAGCGGAATTTAACGAATTACTTCGCGGATTAAAGAGGACTAGTTGTCTTTCAACATCCCAATTCTTCCATCTGGTCATTTTGCTAACTTGGTTGGATGCTTCTGCAGCCAGTGTTGGCCAAAGTGAAATCCAGAGCGCGCCCAGTCCGCTTCCTTGAAAATGGCCTGATCTACGGGGACCACGCGCCATTCCCGGTCTCTTGAGATTTCTTCGCCACGATAGGAATACATCGTTGTGACATGTATGCTCCCAATATACTGATGAGCGGTATCCAGCAAGGAAAGCGCCTTCATAAGGCTGAAGATTTCATAGACGGTTTCTGCCCACGTAGCGGGCGTATACCAATCCTCAAAGCCGACATGCACCGACAAGCGCTTGATGAAATGCGGACCGGGAGTCTCTGCAGGCGGATCTCGATCCAGAAAGGAAGGACCACGGAACAGGAACCGATTCAGCAAGCGGAGAAGATTCCCAAAGACCTGACCCGGCTGCCGCGGCCAGCTGTCGTTCCTGCGGAACGCCTCGGTGCTATAGATGGTCATGCAGACTTTCAACTCATCGATGCGATCCCGCGGGCGCAGAGCAAAGGACATGTAGGTCCACGTCGGCGTGTAGACCCATCCCTTGACGCGGAGATCGATCTCGAAGCGCACGGTGGAGGCTTTGTGCTGGGAGAGCATGAGGCCTTGGATCTCGTGGCGGAGTTGCTTGCAGATGGCGAGGAGGGGGGCCGGGTTCCATTTGGCATCTTCGGGCCAGAAGTAGATTTGTCCGTCTTTGATGTCCGGGTTGGGGATGATGCGGAGGGTGGATTCTGCGTTCCAGGTTTGGTGCAGGGTGTGGAGGAGGATTTGATCGCGGAGTTCGGGGGGAAGGGAGAGGAGGGAAGGGCCGGGTTTTGGCGTCATTGGAAACTGGGAAGAATGGGTGCGACCCACAACGGGTTGAATTATTTGGTATGTGCGAGGGAGATGTTGTACTTTGATGATCTATCCTGACGAGGAGATTCGAGAGGTGAGGTTGCAAGTCGTGCCTCAGGCAGCAAGCCGCTCGTCTCGAGGCCGCTCTCCCACTTCAGTACCTATCGACATCTGCCGTCTTGGAAGGACCAGCCCTAGATGCTTGGCTCGTATGATACTCGCGTCAATGATGAAATGATGTTGTCTGGCATTATTTACAACTGCTACAGATCAATCGGAAAGAATACGCAGAAGACACGGCTTTCTGGTCCTTGAAATCTGCCTACGTTCTCCACCCTGGAGAAACAGAAGCTGGCATCCCTCAAGGCTACCTCGAAGGCCTGGAAAACCCAACCTCCTACAAGACATTGTCAAATCCAACGTGATGCTTGGTCTGATCGGGGAAAACATATTGAACAACGCACTTTACCACGTGCGAGGAAACGATATAACTGGAAGAACCTACCCGCATCCCCTCGGAGATTGGGGTCATGACACTGGGATGCTCATTGGAATGTACGATTTAAGGGACAGTGTAGATGTACTTGGTGATCTTCCTTTACTTCCAAATGTGTACTACAGCATAGAGCCGTTCGCGGAATGCTTTCTTGAGGAGGATGTGTTCTGGAATGAAGAACATAGGCTTTGGGAACTGGTATATGGACGGCAAGAAGAATTCCATCTGATTAAGACGAACAGCGACCGGAAAGCCTTGAGAGTGCAGGTATAAGAAGGTGGTGACAACCGAGACGTAGCTGTGATCCCTAGCTAGACACAACCACCCACGCGTCGCGTTCCGCAAGCAGGGCTTGTTTCGTACCAAGAACAATACCGTCGAAGCCAATCGCAGTGATTTCGACACTCATTGCTTCAGCATTCTCGGGCCTGGATAAGGTGTGATCGTTCAGAATGTATTCCAAAGCATACGCTCTCCCAGCCTCTTCGCCGTTGATCTTGACATCGAAGTGGCTACAAAGGCCAGTCACCTCGCTGAAGGGCAACCCGCGATTTGCAAGGCTTCCGGAGTGATGGCGAGTTTCGGAATTCGTGATTGACCATACCAGCCTTCCACTTCTGTTGGTCGCATCTTCGCAGATCTCAAGACTTATGTCGTCGACATGACACTTCAACCCAAGACTTTCCTTTGGTTGGATTGTGATCTCGTGTATCTCCACAATGTCCGTCTTTTTGGACTGCAATGTGTTCGCATCCGCGACATCAACCTCAAGCTGAGCACTGGAAATGGTGCTATTGTCGTGCCCGAAGGACCTGGAAAGCGTGGTAATGTCGGTCGTCGTAGGCAAGTTGATGCGCAAATCTGCTTGCTGCATGCCATGCCGACGGACGACAAGTCTTGCTATGTATTCCGACGGCCGCAGTTTTCGATACTTGACGGTGAGCTGATAGCTGCTATTTTGTGAGATGCCGAGATCCGCGAGGGTGAGACTGGCACGAGCACAGGGATCCAACCATTTCACTTCTGGTATCTTCTCAATGGAGAGTATGCATCGGGAAGGCGAGTCTGCTAAAGAGGTTCTGAGCAACCCGTATAGATTGCCATTCGCTCCGATCAGGTGCACTGATCTGTCTTTTGGCAGAATTGATTGAGAGCCAAGATGTGCGCACAAAGTCCCGTCAGGGCTCTTGAAGATGGCTCGTTGGAAGTTGGTGTGGAAGAATGATTTCGTTCCCGAGGGACAAGATTTTGCGTACTCAGCGATACCGTTATGCTCGTAGTCCACGCTGGCATGCAAGGCTTCAGGGCCGCAGTCGCATGTAATATTGTCGGGGAGGCGCCGACCCAACCACATTGCCTCGTCAATCGCCCTTCTGTGGTCTGGAAAGTGTTCAAAGGACCAGCCTGGAGCAAAGATTCCAGTGCCAAGCGTCGCTTCCTCTAGATCATCGCCATCGTGAGACTTGATCTGTTGCAGGTCTCGCATTCCTACTCCGGTGCCTGTACCTCCGCCTCCTGGTGATGGCCACGTCTTCCTCGAGTGCTTTGTGTCATGCTGTACGTTTTGCGCCCATGCGTCAATGCCAAAATAAAGAGCGTCGACACCAAGACCGCTCTGCTCTGCTGTCCGCTTTCCTCTTCGTGCCAGGTCCGGATTCCAAGCATAATTTGTCAGTATAGAGCCGGCTGCTAGAGCGAATGGTAGATTGAGTGAGTTCAGCGTATTTTGATACCAAACGAGATTGAGAGTAGTCAGGGCATCGTACCTGAGATAGTGAGTCAAGAAAGAGGCAATAGAAAAAAGATGATAGAAATGCGGAACCTACCAAACCACTTTCCCTTGCCGACCAAGGGACTCACGCAGCTGTCCAAGGAATTGTTCGAGCTTTGGACGGCTCCAGGATAGAAGTGGAAAGGAGGCTTCGATGTTGATGAGCCAGCCGTCGAAGCCGTGATGTTTGGCAATGCGAGCGAGTCTCTCTGCGACCCAAGAGATTCCTGCATCCTGTTCCAAAATGCATCTGACATCACTTGTGCCCGGTTCGACGATGAAAGTGCCCAGTACTTTAACACCGTTTCTATGACATGTGTTGGTCCATGTAGGTGGCGGAATGGTGACCAGCCGATGGGAGAAATAGACAAAAGATTCGACGTTATGCAAATAGTCGCATGTGTACAGTTCTCCTTGGACCTGAGCGCCCTGACAGGCCTCGTAATCATTGTATCCGCCAGCATAGTCGTGAACTAGCATCACGTGAGACCCAGCATTGCTCGGCTGCTTTTTGCTGTTCGGTCGTGGGAACATCGGCGTATTTGCCCTCTGAAGGGGACGAACGCCATCTTCGGACCATTGCCGGAGCTCTGAGAAGCTTTCTAGATGTGCGAAACCTTTCAGCGGACCGGCCATCAGGTCTGCATCTCGAGTGTCCCGGAGTTGTGTGTTTGAGGAAGGAGGAAAGAGGAATTGGAAGGCTTCGAAGGTGAGGAAGCCCCGTCCGCCCGCACGTGACGATCTGCAGGGGCAAGTGCGGTTCGGATCTCGCGTCGCGTCAGCTTCAGGGTTCCTAGGATTTTGGCAAGGAAAGCTGTCTGTTGCATTGCACGGCGCAGCTTCGCAAGGAGTCTCTTTACCACCCACCACTACTGCTTTTTGACAGCTTGCTACAAACCATACCCGGCCGAGGAAGATATCGACGAACCCTCACCGATCGAGAGTACCGCGAAAACACTGGCTACGGCCATTGGTTGCCCAGCATGAATATCTTCCGGATGCTAGGTACCAATGCGAATCTGGTCTACACACTTTGGTATGACGGCTCACCAGCAGAACAGGCGACTTGTCGCATCTGGCGTCAATCTTCCTATTGCTGGCCAAGATGAAGTCCTCTAGCGTATGCGCCGAACGATCCATGTAAGAGAACCCAATGCTAAGACATCCCGCAGAGTGCTTCGGGCATATCATTCAAGTCACAATTCCTATACCTCGTAGTATACGTCACGCGGTATCTGGGTATGGCAGAACTTGAGCTCTCGCTGTATTTGTGAGAATACTAACGCGCAGTAGACCTCTTCTGGACCGATCCGACCAAGTCTCTGTGGAACACATCCTTTAAGATCATCTTCATCGCTGCGCAAGTCTACACTGTCTACCTCATGCTGAACGACTACAAGCCGACGCACGATCCAAATCAAGATACCTTCAAGGTAGAATACTTGGTAGGCGGAGCAGCAGTGCTGGGCTTGCTATTTCCGTACAAATACACGCCCGTTGAGGTATGAGGAGGGATGAAAACTGAGAGGACAAACAGTGTTTGACAATGCCATGCAGATGCTCTGGGCCTTCTCGATCTGGCTGGAAGCTGTCGCGATCCTGCCGCAGCTCTTCATGCTTCAAAGGACTGGAGAAGCAGAGACCATCACCACACATTACCTGTTTGCGCTAGGAGCCTACAGAGCGTTATACATCCCCAACTGGATATGGAGGTATTTCGCAGAGGGTGGTTACGTTGACCCAGTCTCAGTCCTTGCTGGAATCGTGCAGACGGTCCTCTACTCGGATTTCTTCTGGATCTACTATACCAAGTATGTTGACCTTTTTCCCGTGAAGGTGGATTGCAGAGCTGACTTTCCGGCAGAGTGCTACAGGGCAAGAAGTTCAACTTGCCGGTATAGGAGGCTGGCGCTCTACGTGGTGCATATAAGCCTAGGACCAGGATGGCGGGATGCAAGCGAGTGAGATTTTTGGAGTCTCCAGGGAAGGCGGCGCAATTCTGCTGAATGCATAGCCAGGAGCTGGCGAGGTCGGCGTCCTCGGAAAGGTAGGTATGGCGGGGTAGGCTAGGGGAAGAGTGCCTCGACTACAAGGCCTCGTATTGTATGCTATACGACTAATGCAATCGGTGGGATGACATACAACGAAGTGATCACATGTGACGCTCTCTGTGTACATGTATACTCTGCAAGGGTCTGGCAGGCAGCGTAGGGTAGCTTCCATGTCAAGTCCTGAACAAAATGTCTGGGAATAGTGATGCCGAAATAGTGATGCCGAATCGAAGTTTCATGCTGTCTCTGTGTCGTGGCCTTCGAGCGCCATATGTTGAGGCCTCGTAGCTGCTAGCTGCGTGCACGTGCGCATTTGGAGAGAGAGAGATGTGGCCCAAGCTCCTCGATCGAGAGCTGGCCGATTGCCGACCACTTTTGAGATCTTGTTCGCAGCAACCCGCCACTCCATCACTTTCCACCGACACAACTACACAGCGGCACTGCGCTACAACAACAACAAGATAACACTCTTTTTGCGACGCTATTTGTGATAAGATACACGCATTGCGGATAGTTGTCCCCAATACACGCGGGCGCACTGCGCCATCTCACGACCAACAACCATGGCGGACTTGCAAGAGCTGTTTGCCCGCCTCAAGAACCAGCAATCCGATCACTCACAAAATTCGGCGCAGCAACAAGCTCAGCAGCCGAATATATGGCAGCCGAATCAGCAGTACCAGCAGCCTGCTGTCTCGTCGCCACTGTTCTCGCCGCCGATTCAGACGCCGAATCCTGTTCACTCTTCCAACATCATCAGTCCAGTCAATCCAGCCTCCTCTGCGGGCACGCCAGCTCCTGATGTCAACCGCACGAACAATCTTCTGAACCTGCTCAAGTTCAACGGCCAGCCCGGTCAGCAGCAAGGCGGTCAGACCGGTGCAATGGCCAATCTACAGAACGTCAATGCCAACCGACATTCCTCATCTCAGACCCGCGACGCCGGAAGCTCACGACCACTCTCGGCCGCTGATCTGATGTCGAGCCTGCGCGGTCCATCGTCTACTCGAGCAAGTCCATCTCCAATGGCCGGCGGTGGTGCCGAAAAGAGTGAGGGACAGGCTGCAAGTCCCAATGCGCAAGATTTCTTGCTCAATCTTCTCACCAAACCAAAGTCTCAGCAGCCGCCTATCCAAGCAGTCGGAGAGCCCGTGGCTCCAAGTATTGAGCGGGCGGAGAAGAAAGAGCCGGACGTGGATATATTGGCGCAGAATTTGGCCGCTACCAAGATCGACACGGGTTCCCAAGCCCGCGCACACAGGGAGTCCACACCGGTTCGTCAGTTTGGGAGTCCTGCAGCCCAAACCTCACCATTCGAGGCTCTGCAGCCGTCGAAGGCGCAAATGTTCACATACGTCAATCCGTTTGATCAGCTGAACATGTCTTCGCCGCTCAACCGGACGCCTAAGCCTGAGCAACAAGCTGAAGTCGCACATGCCGCCCAGCCGAAGAAGATTGAAATTCTGAAGCACACTCGCGATGCTTCTTCTCAAAACGGAGATGGCTCAGCCCACGCAACGAAGAGCAGGAAGATGGGCTCGAATGACACCGCATCAGCGCATGCTGCCGATGAGAAGAATCAGCAGAGCGTGTCGGAGGCGTTGGAAGATGTTGGTGAACAAGTAGACAAGCAAGTTGAAGAGGCACTGGCCAAGGCGGGCGACAAGTCTGTTCCGAACAAGTCAGATCCGACACAGGGAGGCGATGCGGCAAACGATGAGCCAACTGTGAAGAAAGAAGAGACCGATGATGTGGAGTCGAATTGGGACAGCGCGGAAGACACGAACAAAGAAGAGTTCGAGGTGGAGGTGTACAACTTCCCCATGAAGCCCTTCGTCTCGCTACAGATTCAAAAAACGAAGCAGGCACAGCCGATACGCCAGGACAACTTTATGGTCATTGCCTCTCTGAAGAAGGAATTCGATCAAGTTGACCGGTGTCTTGTTACTGCCACTCAAGCGCACATTGTCTACGCTCAGGCCGCTGCCAAAAAGGACAACGGTGGTTTCCGCATCATTCGCCAAGACACAGGCGATCACAAGCAAGTCTTCCGTTCTAGCGGCGAGCGCGTTTTCAGTGTCCAGCTCTGCACTAACGGCCAGCCAAGTAGCGACGTGGAGACTGTGCTTGGTACGGGCGTCAATGGTTCTCTCTTCTGGAGCTTACTGGGCAAGTCGCGTGGTGACCTCTTTGCGGACGACGATGTGGAAGCTAAGGGATTCGCCATGCCACCCTTGAATACCGCAGAGGAAAACAATTCCGGGTCGCCGGTGAAGACGCGCGCCAAGATGAGCTGCCGGCATCCGGACTTCTTTGCTGTTGCTAGGGGCAAACAGATTTTCATCGTTGGTCCAGAAACGGTCAGGAACTCCATGTATTGCGACGGAACCACCCGGATTGTCGACAGTGAGAAGTTCTTCAACGAACACAGCCTTAAGATCAACACCGGCAAAGCTGGCAAAGACTTCTGCTTCTCCGAGGATGATACTGTTATTGTTAGCCTCGATAAGAATGGACGATTCAAGTTCTGGGACATCCGCGAGTTGTCACGTCGTGCCAGCATTTTGCACGCCGACAAACAAGAGAGCGTGGAGCTGAAGGAGCCATTGTGGACGATGATGTCCGCGGCATCGGGCAGCAAACCAGATGAGAAGCCATCAGTGTCTTCCATCCTCTTTCTCGACAAGGATCGACCCTTCACTAAAGGGACTGCCCTCCGATACATGCTAATTGGCTTCAAGCAAAACCACACTCTCCAGCTTTGGGATCTGGGTCTTGGCAAGGCAGTGCAAGAGCTTCGGCTGCCACACGAGAAAGACAGCGATGGCATCTGCAGCATAAGCTATCACCCCAAGACTGGTATCATTGCTGTTGGCCATCCGACCCGAAACAGCATCTACTTCATCCACCTTTCCGCTCCTAAGTACAATCTTCCGGCGATGGAGCAGGCAAAGTTTATCAACATGCTCGCACAAAATGATCCGGGTCTTCCCAAGCCTGAGAGCACGGCTATCATGAGTGGACTTAGGGAGTTCTCTTTCGCAAAAGTCGGACAACTTAGGAGTGTCGACATGCTTCGCACTCCAGTTGAGACTGCCAGTGAGAAGAACAGCCCAGAAGAGACGCTATTTGAGTTATACGCTATGCACTCCAAAGGCGTTGTCGGTATCAGCGTCAAGCGCGATGACCTGGGCTGGGATGATCAGAGCAAGATGGTGAATCCTAAGGATGCCGTGAAGGAAGGTGTCGTCGAAGTTGGCGATCTCATTCAGCCATCCAAGCAGCCCACTCCCAGCGAGCAATCCAGCAACGCGGAAAACTCTGTTTCGAGACAGACTAGCAAGTCGGCCACAAGCAAGAAGCCAGAACCTACAAAGGCTCAAGCGCCACCTAAGGTCGAGATCAAGAAGAAGGAAACATCGCCCACTTCCGCGGCAAATGGAACCGCACGCATCGCTACTCCCGAGCCATCTACGAAGCCAGTCTCTCAGGCCCCGACCAATCCACCGCTGATGACCCCTGATTCTTACGCCCTAGCTGCGCAGCCCGCTAAATCTTCAACGGCCGAAGAGCCAGCCGAGGATGCCACCAAGAGAGCTGTCGCATCTTCCAAGCAGGATGGCGCTGCTTCAAACCTCAGCACTGAACGTCAGGACGTGGAGGCTTTGCTCACCAAGCATTTCGATTCGCTGTATTCGCGCATCGAGTCTGATAAGCGTGTGCAAGAAGCCGCGGCTGGCGCGAAGCAAGATGGTCTTCTACGAGTCGTATCTTCCACCCTCACGGAGAACGTGGACCGTAGCCTCGCCAACATCATTTCCTCGCGCATCGAGAAGGACGTAATTCCAACTCTGACGGACGTCACAAGCAAGGTGGCAGAGCGCAAGATTGCTGAGACTCTCCCTCAACAGCTGAATGCAAGCGTGTCTTCGGCAATAAAGTCTACATTGTCCAACACGCTTCAGCAGGCGCTCAAAGACAAGGATGTGCAACGTACCATTTCGGAGACGACCGCCAGCGCTGTTTCTGCAAAGGTTCAGCAGCAAGTCTCGACCCTGTTGCAACAATCACTTCCTAACATGGCAACCCAAGCTGCACAGAAGATGGTGGGCGATCTAGAGAAGCGCTTGGGTCAGCAAATGCAGCAAGCCGAGACCCAGCGACAGAAAGACAACGCCAAGATTGAAGAATTGTCCAACATGGTCCGCAGCTTGTCTCACACGGTGCAGAACATGGCGGCCAGCCAGTCTGCCTTCCAGGAGCAGATTTTGAAGATGCAGCGCGAGAGCAAGTCCAATGCCGGCTCTGCAAGATCTAACACATCTGGTAGTGCAGCCCAAGACCCACCAGCTCAACCTGAGCAGGACAATGAGGTCACGGAAATGGCGCAGAAGCTCATGCAAGGACAGTACGAGGAGGCAACGATTCAGGTATGTATATATTTCGTCGGGTCAGTGTTCGAGTGCTAATCTGCTTGTAGTGGATTTCATCCGACCGTCAAGCCGAGATCTTCGACAGGCTTTTCGTGAGAGTCGATCCAGACTATTTGCGACAAGTCTCGCCACTCGTCGCGCTCACGGTCTCTGCCGCCTTGACGTCCAGCTTCGACACCAACCTCAAGGAGCGTCTCGATTGGCTGGGCAGAGTCCTGGCTCAAATCGACATGAGAGACAGCGACATTAGGGATGTCGCTCCTAAGATCATGGACGTGCTGTCGCAGCGCCTGCAGGGAGCCTACATGGAGATCTCCGAGGCCAATCCGAGCGACACTTCGCTCAAAAGCATCAGCCAGCTTAATCGGTTGGTCAACGAGATCCGGAGAATGGCCTCCTGACTAACTGCTGCCAACTCTCGCGGTATGGATGTCATGATTGGGAAGGGACGAATAAGATCCCACACCGGGACCGAGATGCTGTAAATGAGGAGCATTTGAGCCTGGCGTTGGTGGATGCTGATGGTCCTCACCGGCCTTTGAGGTACATCAGCGCATGCTTGCACGTGTAATTCTAGCGTCCAGGGAGCGTTGTGGGACGGAAAAGCTTGGAGCGAAAACCTGTCTGTAGTCTCATTGCGAAGTAAGAGTAACGATTACGTGTAGCCCATCTTCTTGTTAAACTCGTCAATGATCTTTCTGGCTGCTGTGACAATCTCGACGGCGCCTGGGCTGTCGCTATGGCAGCACAAAGAAACATCATGGTCGTCAATCGGCAATGTTACGTTCTCTCCAGTCACGGCCGTGACGCTAGAGTCCTCGACTTGGCTGGAGATATGTTTCTCTGTCTCCTCAGGCGTCCATGGTTTCTTCTTTCGATCAATCACGAGTTTTCCGTCTGCTTGAAGGTCAGCGTCATCCTGCTTGGAGATCCCGAAGCACCAACTGCCCACCTTGACTATACTTGACATCTCCATACAGCTCCGCCGTAAAAGGTAACCCCATCTCCATCGCGACTTCTTCATGAAAAGTCCCAGCGAGTCCAAAAACCCTACAACCCCTCGGAACACCCTCGTACACCGCACGACAGATTTCCTTGTCACGGTACATCATGCCATAGAGCACGCCGTGGGGTTTCACGTGGTGCAGGGGAACGCCTTCGACGTCGAGGAAGGCTTTCAGCGCACCGACTTGATAGCGCACCATGGCTGTGAGTTCCTCGGGGGAGAGTTTCATTTCTCGCCGACCGAAGCCTTGGATGTCGGGCAGGCCTGGATGGGCCCCGACGGCGATGTCGCGTTGCTTGCAGATGCGGACGGTCTCCATCATGATGAGTGGGTCGCCGGCGTGGAAACCACAGGCCTATTTTTTTTTTTCGGAGGACGAAATGTTAGAGTTGATGCCGGTTCGTGCGGTTCAATATTGGAAGCTGATGCATCTTTGGCGATTTCTTACTTACGACGTTGGCGTGGTCGATTAGAGGGATGAGTTCTGGGTGGGGAGGAGAAAATCGTTAGCTCATGCTGTCTGTCTCTCGAGGATGAATGAGAGATGCGTCGATGGATGGATCGAGTTGCATACCATCATCCGGGCCGCATTTGAAGTTGCCGTATCCTTCTCCCAGGTCGGCGTTGATGTGGACTTTCTTCTTGATGGGTGGCATGATGCTGCAAGCTTGTATACGGGTATTGTTGAAGCGCGATTGTAGATGCACGGATTGAAGGAAATCAATTTTTCTTGGTCTTTGCTTCTCTGCCTTCTCTCGGCGACGAGATGAAGTCTGCCGACGGGCGTGGATCTGCCTGCTAGTACCTTATCTCGACCTTGACCTCGGACCCACTGAGAGACGTATCTGTATCCTGGCCATTGAGTGCCCCTCAGTAGTCCAGAAGCATCCCAATGGGGAATGAGGGGAAAGCTCAAGATGCACGGGAGACGTCGCCTGTACAGTAGTAGTAAGTAGCTCCATACCGCTTCAGCCGTCTACAGTGAAGAGAGAGAGAGAGAGATGGAGAAACTGCAACGCTTGCTGATTGCCAATCGCGGCGAAATTGTGAGCACGCCCCGCCCGACTGCATGACCAGCTGTACGCATGTGAGGAAAACACGAGACTGACACGCCCACACCAAAGGCCGTCCGCATCATCCGCACCGCGAAGAAACTCGACATCTTCACCGTCGCCGTCTTCACCGAGCCCGACGCCGCCTCGCTGCATGTCTCGCACGCCGATGAGGCCGTGCTCTTGCCGGACGCCACCAGCTATACCGATGGCGACGAGATCATCCGTATCGCCAAGGCCAGGAACTGTGACGCCGTCGTTCCCGGCTATGGCTTTCTCTCCGAGAATGCGGCCTTTGCGCAATCCGTCGCGGACGCTGGGTTGGTCTTCGTAGGCCCGAGTCCGGATGCGATCAAGTCGTTCGGCATCAAGCACGTCGCTCGCGGTCTGGCGCAGGCTTGCTCGGTGCCCATCGTTCCGGGCACTGCTGGGTTAGTCGGCAGTGAAGCCGATGCTCTTTCGGAGAGTGAGAGACTCGGCTACCCGGTCATGCTGAAGATCACAGCCGGTGGTGGAGGAGCCGGACTCATCACGTGCAACACTCCTGACGAGGTCAAGACGGGCTTCAAGACTGCCCAGTCCCGCGGCGAAGCTCTGTTCAAAGATGCCGGCATCTTCATCGAGAGATTCTTCCCGGAAAGCCATCACGTGGAGGTCCAGGTCTTCGGCAATGGCGCAGGGAAAGCCATCCATTTTGGCGAGCGAGAATGCTCCATTCAGCGGAGACATCAGAAAGTCATCGAAGAGTGTCCAAGTCCCTTTGTCGCGAGCCATCCTGGTCTCCGGGAGAGACTCTGTCGTGCCGCCGTGTCATTAGCCGAGTCTGTGAGATATGGCTCTGCTGGGACCGTTGAATTCCTGGTGGATGACAAGACTGCTGACCTCTTTTTCTTGGAAATGAACACCCGCCTCCAGGTCGAACATCCGATCACTGAGGCTTGCTACGACATTGATCTTGTGGAACTAATGCTGAAGCAGGCCGACTCTCATCTGACAGGAAAAGGCGGCCTATCATCGGAGTACCTGAGCTCCTTGCAACGAGCTGGTCCAACCGGGTGTGCCATCGAGGCGCGAGTGTACGCCGAAAATGTACTCAGAGACTACGCGCCGTCCCCAGGACTGCTAACCGAAGTCCTTTGGGCAGAGATTGCGAACTCCCGAATTGATACGTGGGTGAGGACAGGGCTTCGGATTTCTCCAAACTACGACCCTTTGATTGCCAAGGTACGACACCTGTAAGACTTCCAACTCAACTTTCTGACATTCGGCAGGTCGTCAATCACGCCAAAACTAGAGAAGCCGCGATCAAGGGCATGGAGCTGATGCTATCCCGCTCAAGATTATCTGGCCCTCCCAACAATCTAGAGTTCCTTGCGGCGATCATGAGCGATGATGTCTACAGATCTGGTCGCACCATCACATCTTTTCTGCAGAATTTCGCATTCAAGCCTCCGGTTGTTGATGTGATCTCAGCAGGAGCTTATACACTGGTACAAGACCTCATTGGAAGGCCGGCTGTTGGCAAAGGCATACCACGTAGCGGTGCTATGGATCCCATTGCTCTAGCTGTTGGAAACCTGCTCGTGGGAAACGACCGCAGAGAAGCTGGGCTCGAGATCACTCTGTCTGGACCAGAGCTCCGATTCCTCGGCCCAGCCGTCGTTGCCATCACGGGTGCACCGATCGAAGCGTTCCTAGATGACGATGCAATCCCACTCTGGACGAGGAAACATATCAAGGCGGGCCAAACGTTAAAGATTGGAAGGACCACCGGCGGGGGCTGTAGGTCATATCTAGCAGTGTATGGCGGATTCCCGTCCATCTCGGAATACTTTGATAGTAAAAGTACCTCTCCCATTGTAGCTATCGGTGGCTACCAAGGACGGCAATTGGCTCCTGGCGACCAACTCGGTCTTGTAAAAGATATCTCTAAGGGTCTTGGAGCGCACCCCAGTTTGCCAGAAAAGCTACGGCCCAGTTATACATCCCACTGGGAAATCCTGGCCATGCCAGGTCCACACGAAGAGGGCTATCTGACTTCCGAGGACATTGAGATGCTGTACAGTACCCGGTGGAAGATCTCTCACAACGCTAGCCGAAGTGCCATTCGACTCATTGGACCAGTGCCAAAGTGGGCTCGATCGGACGGTGGCGAGGGAGGCTCTCACCCTTCCAATCTTGTCGAGTATGGTTATTCTTGTGGATCATTAAACTGGACTGGAGATGAGGGTTGCATCTTTGGTCTTGATTGTCCCAACTTTGGAGGCTTCGCCAGCTCGGCCACCGCCATTCGGGCAGACTGGTGGAAAGTAGGCCAGATAAAGGCTGGAGGTTAGTTGTGACAGCACATCACCGTGGCCCTTGCACACTGTTGACAGGACACAGACACCATTCAGTACAAGCGCGTTTCTCTAAAGGAAGCACTCGGCCTAAGAAAGAACCTCGACAACTATGTGGATGCTATTGCGAGCGCCGTTGAGACGGGCACTTTCGAGAATGCTCCCGCTTTTCCTACCATTCAAGAGCCCAGTGACCGTTACGAGAGCTCGGTCTTGTGGGAGCGTGCTGCCAGCAAGGAGTCTCCGCAGGTCCGATATCGCCAAGCAGGCGACGATTATCTTCTCGTCGAGTATGCGAGAGCGGTCCCGTCTTCACAGTTGACCAAATGCTAACAAAGTGATGCAGATATGGCAACGAACAATTTGATCTCAATTACAGATGCAGGACAACGGCTCTGGAAAAGGCTCTGCACTCGACAGATGCGCCTGACTGGCTGAAGCAGAACCTCACTACTACTGTGAGCGCCTGCACGAGCGTGAATATCTGTCAGTGCACGAGTGTGTCTCTGGCCTGACTTCGCTGATCGCTTTACTTTCTAGGCTACGATGGCTCCAAATTACCCCGTGACAAGCTCATCGCGCACCTGCAGACACTTGAGGACCAGATTGGCGACCTTAGCAAAAGCAAGGTACCTTGTCGACGATTCAGGCTGCCACTTTCCTTTGAGAGCAAAGAGCAGCAAATGGCAACGCAGCGCTACATGGAGACCCAACGACCTCACGCTCCATATCTCCCGGACAATTTGGAGTTCGTGGCGAAGAACAATGCTTTCACGCCGGAGCAACTGAAACACAACCTATTGAACGGAGAGCTGATGGCTGTCGTCGTTGGCTTTTTCTGCGGAAATACGGTGTCCCTGCCCGTCGATCCTAGACAACGGATGTCTTGCCCCAAAGCAAATCCATCCCGCGTCTTTACTCCGGAGGGTACGTGGGGCTGGGGAGGCTCTTGTGGGAGCATTTATCCGGTCGACTCTCCAGGCGGATACCAGATCCTCGGCCGTACGATCCCATGCTTCGACTACTATGGTTTCAAAGCCGGTTTCAAGCCCGAGAGGCCGTGGCTGTTCCAAGACTTCGACATCATCACGTTCTACCAAGTCACCGAAGCCGAATTCAACGAGAAGCTGGCTCTGTTCCGCTCTGGCCTGTACCAATTCGAATGGGAGCCCGCCGAGTTCGATATGGCGGAGCATAACAAGATGCTGGCGGAGACGGCAGAGGAAGTCAAGGAGATCCGAACGGCGCAGCGAAGAGTTCAAGAGCAGATGATACAAGCTGAGAAGGAGTCATTGGAGAAGTGGAGGGCCGACAAGGCGAAGAATAAAGTCGACGAGAGCACCGTCGACTCCCTCCTCCAAGACCCAGCCATCACTGCCGTGGAAGCCCCCGTGGACGCTAATGTAAGCTCTCGTCATCTGAAGACTCTGGCACGGGAATGCTGATGCCCTGCCACAGGTCTGGAAAGTCGAAATCCGAGAGCAGGACGACATCAAACCCAAGCAGCTCGTAGCGATTCTCGAAGCGATGAAACTCGAAATCAACGTCAATGCGCCCGAGAATATGAAGCCAGGCAAGGCCGTGGTGGAGAAGTTATTGGTCGAAGCGGTAATGTGTCTCCTTTTTCTTTGGAGCGAGAGAAAGCCGTGCTGACGAGAGAGCTCTTTCGTTTCTTAGGGCGAGACGATCAAGGTATGTATACATGCGATCCCCCAAAGTTTTTGTACCCGAGATTTTGAGGCTGATTTTCTCCGCAGGCTGGTGGACGGATTGCCCTGATTCGACATGTGCAGAGCTAGAGATATGGATACCCAATTGGCTGTGTGGATCCTGGCATTTTGCGGGTTTCGCGCTCACACACAATAGCCGTGACGATCAAGCGATGTGCTGCTGCCTGGTCGCTGAGGTGCCCGGTTGTGAGAAGGATTCAATGCTTGTTACCAATCCACTACTCGGGAAGGAGCCGACTCAACGCGCATGATCGTCGAGAAAGCTCGCGGCTTCGTGGTGGCTTGTGTCGCGCTAAGGGGGGCACAGCAATTGCGAGAGTCGAATGAAGCCTATAGAGTTCTACCTGTACGATGTTGTTTGCTGCGAGACATGGGATACGCATGAGGCTTCCGCACATTTCTGCTGCCGTCTTGGTGACAGGCGGCAGAATATTTCTCGTGATCTGCAATGTAATACCAGCGCCCTTCGTTCTTCTTGTGTTTTCAATACAGGCGCAGTTGCCGTCCGACAAATCCATTCCCTCACTCTTCTCTCACTCGAGATGAACAGCCAACGACATGACCTCCCCATGGACGACATTGTGAGGAAAATATCCACGATCCTGCGCCAGCCAATCGTTGGACTCACGGCTGCTTGCCTGGCAATCATCACAACTCAACACCTCTTCGTCCATGGCTTTCACTATCCCATGCTCCTGCTACTCGCGCATCTGGTGGTCGGGCTCGTATTGGACTCCTCGCTCGGATCGAAGCACACGGCTTGTTGGAACTCGTCGATCTGGGTGCTCCTGTATACCGGGCTAATCACCGCCGCTGCTCTGGTCTTCGGGTACCAGTCATCGCTGCACCTACGAAATACAACATTCCTGGTGATGGTGCTCTCACTGAACTGGGATTCCATGATCTACCGACCAGCGCCTTGGAACATCCCCGATTTTGGCTTCTCTTTGGGAACCGCAGTGCGGCACGCATGCTTCTTTGTGTGTGCTGCGTTGCTTTATGCGCAAGAGAAGAGGCTTGCAGGTCGGCGCGACTTGTTGTTGCTCGGATCCGTGCTGTGCACTGTCCTTACGCGTCGAGCGTGGGGGTATGGCGTTTGGGGAGTAGACGATGGGGCGAATCCAGTGAGCCGAAGAACGAGTGCGGTGGTCCTGGGAGCAGCCATTCCGCTCGTGCTTTTCGTGTTCTTCACACAGGAATTGAAGGACATGAGCGACTTTCGCCTTCCTGCAGTCATCGTCCGTCTGTTAGCGGTCAACGTGCTTGCGGTCGCCTTGCTTTTATATAGCGGCGACATCTTCGGTCAGAGGGAGTCAGCCTATGGCTTATGTCTTGGTGTTCGTGATCCGAGGCTGCGCTGGGTACTGTGCTCAGTCTTCCTGGTGGCTGTGATCGAGTTTGACAACCAAATCTTGCAGCCAAGACCTTCGAAGACCACAGCCGGGCAGTGGATGGCGTTCACGGTCTCTTCTCTGGCCACCTTGGACGTCTACAGCGCTTGCGACATCCTCGGCGACCATGTAAAGATTCCGGCCTTGACGCAGTACTCGGACGAGCCGCCCGACGAAGAAGAGGAGGGACTGTTTGAGCCTGGATCGGAGCAATCTCTGCAGCCAAGCGGACGGGAATACGTTGGCGGACTCGCGAAGGCCGCGGCAGCGCTTTCAATGTACAGTGCTCTGGCCGCACTGACCTTTGTCTTGCTACTCTGCTACGGTACGTCGCACTCGCAAGCTGGCCCCACGTCAGTCCAAAGTCCGGACAGGAATTCAACCTACGATGTCGATGTAGTAATCGCCCGATACGAAGAGCCACTGGCAAAGGTGGCCGAGGACATAGACGCAATTCTAAGGACACAAGGCATGGCTGGACTGCGCACGCGGATATTCCTGTACAATAAGTCCGACGTCCCCCTCGTCGGAACGGATCAGGTCCCTCGGTTCCCATTAGCAGACGAAGTCGTAGTCGAAGATCGGCCGAATGTGGGACGCGAAAGTGAAACGTATCTCTCCCACGTTCTGGACCAGTCAGGAGATCTTTCGCCTCACGTACTCTTCTTACAAGCGGAGCCGCACGAGCTGCAGGAGCTCAAGGCTCGAATTGACCAGTACTTCGTTGGAGAAACTTCCTTCTTGTCGCTCTCATACTCCGGCGACTCTTGCTTGGACTGTGACCATTGTTGGGATCTGGGCGGATGGCATGGAGACGCATCCACGATTCGGGACATTTTCCAGGCTTCCAATCCAGGAGGACAGCAGTGCCGAGACCTCTCGCTGACCTATCGCGGCCAATTCATCGTCTCGGCGAGGAGGACACGGCAGATTGATCCTCGAGTATTCCAGAGCGTTAGGCGGAGGATTCTGGATGATGATGATGATGAGGAGGAGGACGGTGGCGAGATTGGATATACCATCGAGCGGGTGTGGGGAGTCATCTTCGGATGTCCTCGAGTCTCGTCGAGCTGTCCGAGCCTTTCTAGTGGATTGCTGGGGAATCGAGGTGCTGTGGAGGATTGTCAGTGCTTGGATGGAGATGGGACGTAGAAGCTGCCCCGCTGGAGTGACTTTAGGCATCTCGTCCGTACGACACGCCATAACGTCAATTGAGACATAACACCCCCATCTTGCTCGGACATCTCTCGGGTCTATTTATTTAGCCAACGCGGGACCATATTCAATACTTCCGAATAGTCTACGCATTTGTGTGCTACTCAACTACACTATAGTATTGTAATATTGTTAGGTATCGTAGTTGGGTATTTATAAAGAAATCATATCTTAAGAAATGTTATATAAGCCTTAAAGAGGCTTAGCGCGGGGCGTTATGCTTATATAATAAAGTGCAAATAATTGCCTTAGACAAGTTCCAAAGACACTCTGTCTATGTCTACTATCTTACTTACTACTAACAACTACGACCTCCAAGCACGCGTAAACGTCCAACAAGACCCGGCGTGACGTCAAGCTATCCGGCACCATCGTCTCTGTTCTTACCGAGGCAGCAAAGGCGTATGCTGTTGCATCGTCTCTGACCGTCTTTGACGCGCCGTCACATTAGTTGGCGCGTCTGGGCGTCTCGTGGTAAGTCTGTCCCATCACCCCTGCTTCAAACACCCATTTCAGTCGGGCTCGACTTGCACCTTTTCACCCAATCCTACAAAAGTTACGACGTGTGCTACAAATGACATGTGACCGCAGTCCGGACCTCCTCCCGCCGCCTACCTGCTTATTTGTTCTGCGTGCGTGTTTCCACACAAACATTAACTAATTGGGCCGCAGGTTCTCGAAAGCCAGACTCACGGCCGTTTGTCTCCGCGTTGTGCGATGCACCGGTGACACGCTTCTGCTCTTGACTGCAACTCGGCGCTATGGAGGAAGACTTGGGCGATGATGTGCTCATGCAAGATGGTGATGCCACCGTGGTAGAGTCCACAGAACCTTTGAACCATCCAGCAGACGCGCCGCCCGAGACATCTAATGCCACGCTGAACCTTCATGGTCGTGCGGCCGCCTCACCGAAGCCCCTCTCTCCCAACACACCTACTCTAAAAGGCGACGGCGTGAGACGCGAAGCCCTGATCTCAGCCGATAATCGATTGTCTTTACGCCCGGATGACCCGAAGCCGGCCAAATGGAGCATTCTCCCGTATGCAACGTCCCAGACGGGACTCATATACGATGTCCGCATGCGTTTTCATGTGGAATCCGAGCCTACCGACGACGACTTACACCCCGAGGATCCGCGTCGAATACACGCTATCTTCGAGGCTTTTGTCAATGCTGGCCTTGCTTGGCAGGAGGGCGTGTCTGGACCAGCCGGAGATTACTATATGGGCCGTATTGACACACGGCGGGTGACGAAGGAGGAAGCCTGTCTTGTCCACACCGAGGATCATTGGAACTGGGTTCAGTCTCTGAGTACCCTTCGTGGCGTTCAGCTGATCGACGAGCTGCAACATCCGCCAGCAAAGAATGATTCAATCTACCTGTCGGCCAGCACACCATATTGCGCTCAATTGTCCGCCGGTGGTGCTATCGAGGCGTGCAGAGCAGTCATTCTGGGCAAGGTGAAGAATGTCTTTGCTGTCATTCGACCGCCAGGCCATCATGCAGAACGTGAGGATGCCAAGGGCTTTTGTTTCTTCGACAACGTCAGCATTGCCACAAAAGTCTGCCAGAGGGAATTCGGCGAGCGCTGCCGCAAAGTATTCATCCTGGACTGGGATGTCCATCATGGCAACGGCATCCAACAGGCCCACTACGACGATCCTAACGTGTTGTACATCTCGCTTCACGTCCACAAACGTGGCAACTTCTATCCCGAGACATCCTATCGCGACGGTAGGAAGGGCTACGGAAATCAATTTCACTGTGGTACGCGCAGAGCGCTGGGCAAGAACGTCAACATACCTTGGTCCAAGCAAGGGATGGGAGACGCCGACTACATCTACGCCTTTCAGCAGATCGTCATGCCAATTGCGACGGAATTCGATCCGGATCTCGTTATTGTTGCTGCTGGTTTCGACGCTGCAGAAGGTGACCTGCTGGGCGGATGCAAAGTCACTCCGGCGGGCTACGCTCACATGACACACATGCTTATGTCCCTGGCTCAGGGTAAAATGGCCGTGTGTCTCGAGGGTGGTTACAACCTGGAGTCCATCGCACGCTCTGCCTGTGCTGTCGCCAAGACAATGATGGGCGAGCCCCCAGATCGGCTCGAAAACATCATACCTACAACTTCGGCTGTCGACGACATCAAGGAAGTATTGCGGATACAAAGCAGATTCTGGGGATGTCTCTATCCAAAGGACATCTCGATCAGACTGAAACAGCCAATCCACAATGGAGTGCGCATGCACAACGTCGTGCGCGAATGGCAAGCAGAGACGCTCTGGAACGAGCACGAGATGTCGCCGTTGTTCATCCACCAGGAGCAATTGGCTACCGAATTTGAGAATCAGGTTCTCGCAACGTGGGTCTGACTCCTAACTTACTTGAATTTCAGATGAGCTAATACGACGCAGGCCTAAATACAAGGAGGCACGGCCATTGTTGGTCATTCTGCATGACCCTCCGGAGGTCCTTGCGACGCCCGATCCTCGCACTGGGCGAATCGACCTCCACAACACCTGGCTGGTAAGTCTCTCAAATCAGACTGCTAAAAGCAGGCACATCGCTGACGTGACCGAAGACTGATGTTGTGAAGACCTACGTCGACTGGGCTGTTAAGCAAGGGTTTTCCGTCATCGATGTCAACCTACCGAAACACATCGCGGATTACGACGCCAACTCCGACCAAGGGTACAGAGAAGCAAGCAGCGTTGAGTCGCGAGTGAAGGAAGCGACGCTCTTGCTGACCTATTTGTGGGAGAACCACATCGAAATCTACGACGCAACGCATGTGTTCCTCATGGGCACAAACATCGGCCATGGTGCCATTGTCAACTTCATCAAGACCCACGAAGAACAAGCCGAGAGACTGGATAAGGCAATCTCATTCGTCGAGGATGTTCCCTTGTTGTCTTGCAAATCAATGACTAACGACAACCTCCGAGGCTGGTACTACAGCATATCTTTGGTTTTCGTCTCTGGCGAGCATGCTTTCTGGACGAGTGAGGTTGGCACAAAGAGCAGGAAGAGGTTCGGAAATGTCGCCAAGAGCGAGCAGCTTTACATCGGCGACATGCTTCACGGGCATAAGGAAGCTGTCTTTGCTGCGCTAATTGATGCCACGGAAGATTGGGATCCCGAGAAAGCAGCAAGTGAGGACGACATCGAAGCTCCTACTGCAGAGGCCCCGCGATTGCCTCCGATCGGGAACTTTGCGTTGTCTCCATCGTCTAAGAATCTTATGAATTCTCCTGGCAAGTCGACATTCCCGCCGCCCGGATCGAATTCGCCGTATCCATCTGGCATCCGGAGTCCACCCAAGTTTCCACCTCTGCAGAGTTTTGCACCGTCACCCAAGAGATAGGAGAACAACAATACGACCGGAAACAGTTTGCAAGCATGATGCCATAGCCACGTTGGCTGCGACAAGCAGATGAGGCTCGGAGGATCGCAGGCAGTGCGAAATGCGATGATTATCGTCCCACGGAGGACCACTCTGCACAGAGCTCGGCAGAGCGCAGGTATATAGGGCGTCCAAGATCGACGCTAGGATGGAAAAAGGACGGGTTGGCCTTCCGAACGCGCCCACGTCGACGGTACCAGGTTAGAAGGTGTTCAGAATCAGAACACATGCGCCCGGCTGAAAGCCCCGTCAAGGCGAATTGAGCATTCTGAGCAGGGGTGCAAGGATCTTGACAACGCATGCGCGATGCAAATCAGCGGAGTAGCATCATTCCGCTATCTGCCTACAATGCCTTTCTAAAGGACACTTGAATGCTGCAGTTTGGACATGAAGAAGACGAAACAACACTCGAGCTCCCTCCAGCTGGTATACTTACTGTAAGCTGGACTATTTTACCTCAAAACTGGATGGCAGTGGTGTAGCAATTGACTAGCATCTCGCAATTGCAATACATGAACTTTTCGCGGCTTTCACTACCATGTTGTTCTTAGCCCCGTGACCATCTCGCTGGACAGGCAAGTCGCTGAAAGTGTAGTAGTCTGCTCGACTGCTTGTGTTGCGAACAGGTTGTTTGGTAATCATGAAGACGAGGCCGATGACATTCTTTTCGGCATCGAGAATATAAAGCATGCAGTGGCAGGAAGCTAATCGGCTAATTGGAGGATCTTCGAAGCTTCTGTGCTGACGTAAGAAGTTCGCCTCTTACATGTGAACAGCACGCACGTGACGCCAGCTTTCGTCAACTCATAATTCCAATATAAACAGCAGGGACCTAAATGAAAAGACGCATATACGATGTTGTGCGCAAGAATATCTGCGTCCATCGATGTAACGATGATGGCATTATTGTGGGGTGAGGTAGAGGACGAAGTTCGGAAGGGTGAAAGTTGAGGCGCAATCAGGACCCTTGAAGACGCGCAGGCTTTCACGTGACGCGCGGTGGGTTCAACGTTACATGTACCCCAGTTGACGCGTTTGTGTAATTCGTTTCCCAGCAGTTCTCTATCGAAGCCCGCAACCACAAAATCTAATTCCTGTTCCTGCACCGGGAGGCGCTGTCGTCGCTGTTGGAGTGAAGATCCCCTCACTTCGCTCTGGCGGACTCACGATAGCAGCAGCGCTTCTGCGCTGACTGCGCCGAACTTCCTACCACTCACCATGCTGTGCCAAATGCCGAAGCTCACTCCTCTACAATCGCGCCTGGCTGCTTCCATATCCGCCTTGGCCCTCGTGGCTCTCATCTACTGGTCACTATCTAACCCACACTTCGCATACGCCGCCGAATTACCGCATGACGGGAGTGGGAACTTGAGGAGCGGCGACGACCACAATTGGCATCGGATAAGAGATGATTCCGTTGGAGGAGGTGAAGCAGGTGGTCATGCAGAAACTTCGATGCGTGAGGAGCAAAAGGAGTCCCACGTTGCAAGGGCGACAGAAAATACACAGTTTCGAGGCAACAACATTGGGACGCTGTACGATGTCAGCGCAGGCGGCCTGGCCATATGGGAATACCCAAAGGAGTACCTGACTGCGAACCACACGGACGCTGGGCCTGGTCTGCCCAGCACACCTTCAGGAAGGAAGGCTTCGTTCCAACTAAAGCATCACGAGCTTCGCAAGCGAGGAGAGGACGAGCAGTTGCCACCAAGGCAGAGCACGAACACCGAGAACACAATCTACATCTCGGGCAATACATGCAGTCAACCTCTGTGGAGTGGGACAGAAACTCAGACGGCTGGGCCGCCTCAGCTCACGCTCTATGTTTCGACGGCTTCCGGCAACAAGGACCTTGGGCCTAGCGGGAGCAATCAGCAAGTCTATCCTTTCGACAACGGCTTCGTGAATGCTTCGGTTCCATCAGCCAGTGGGGATTGGTACGTCGCTGTTGCTGCACCGCAACTGCCGACGGACTTTACTGGCTCTTGGAATTACCAGCTTGCGGCGTCCATCGATGGATACTTCCACTCAGCGGAGCCGGAAGACCCTTTCCTCTACCTAGTCGATACTGATTCGAACGCCGCTCTACTTGTCACGGACAACTTGACTGAGGCAGATGCGTCCGACCCTCTGTACAAGCAATGGATGAATCTGACCGCTCCATTCATTATCTTTGCTACCAACCAGAACATAACGGGCACTATGGGCTTGGAGAACTCATTCTGCGGCTTGCAGACCTTTGCCAAAAACTACAGTCAAATCCAGGCGTCGCAGAGTGACTTGCAAGGGAATGAAACGCATGTGGAGATGGGTATGATCACGCGTGGCCTCGGCAAGAAGCCCAAAGAACAATTCTACATCACAAATCTTAACCGGACGAGCCAGTATACAGCGTACCTGGCTATGGATGGCAATTCAACCGCTTCCGGAGACGGTGTGGTCGGAGGTGGCGGCAAGGTCTGGGGCGCCGGAGTCGACTTCACGACCAAGTCTGACGGGAATTGCCAGCTCATGTTCAACCTGACCTTCTGCGACGAAGTCGCCTATGCTGTCCCCGCGAATCCGACAAACGCCAACTATTCTTCTTTCGAAAGACTGCAGTTCTTCTACGAAAACTACACGACTTCCTGGTACCCAACCTTCAATTATACCTTATCTCAGGTGGCCTGCAACACGACCGCAGATGCTCGGTACTCCCTGGCAAAGAACTGCACGAATTGCGCCGCAGCGTACAAAGAATGGCTCTGCGCCGTATCCATCCCACGATGCGAAGACTTCTCCAACCAAGCCCCCTACCTACAAGTCCGCAACGTCGGGCAATCCTTCTACAACAACGCCTCCACCCTCGACGACGACTTCCTCAACCAACAGTACGTGCCCATGTCGGACGCGCCCACCATCCAAGGCAGCAATGCCTTCCAGCAGACCTACGCTTCGAGCTTCGCGACCAATCGCTCCCGCAATCTCCAGATCGACGCGCAGATCCGACCGGGCCCGTACAAGGAAGTCAAGCCGTGTGAAGATCTGTGCTATAGTCTGATGCAGAGCTGTCCCGCTTCGATGAACTTTGCGTGTCCGTATCCCGGGCGAGGGCTGGAGGCTAGCTATGGCTTTCGCGATCCCAGTGGCGTGGTCACTTGTAGTTATCTGGGAGCGGTCTACTACCAGAACGGAGCGGCCGGGTTTGCGGCGGCGGCTGCTGCTGCTGTCTGGAGGGCAGTCTTATCTGCGATCGCTGTGGGTGTTGTATTGTATTGGCGTTGATAATGAGCCGATGACAAAGCTGTGAGTGAGGCTGTGGCGTTCGGGAAGACAAGACGGGTTGTTGGGCGAAAAGGATTGGGATTTTCGGTCCTGAGAAATAGAATTGTATGATACCCCCTCCAAAAAAAAAAAAAAAGATGATACATACATACATACCTTTTAAGGCTTGCGCACCCTCCCATAATGGCAAATCTGTCTTGTCGTTTGGCAATCTAGACGGGTTGCGTTGCAAACAGAAATTGAATCCCGCAGTAGCAAGCAACAAAAAAAAAAAAAAAAAAAGAGCAGATCGGAAAAAGAGAAAAGGTCGACAATATGAATGAACAGGATATATATGATTATATATCTCTCTCCACATCCGCGACGACATCAAGCCGCCATGCCATGCCAATATTACATCTCTCCAAAAGTCCTTTTTTTCGAGCAGATATTATATTAATCAAGACATTATATGTCCGTTTGGGTATCAAATCATCATCAGATACATTGTGCCATATGCCATATATGATAGGCCGTCGCCGTCGAAAGACAGTTGCGCAAAAAAAACAAAAAAAAAAACCGAATCGCTGGACGCAGCAGAATTGGTGGTTGGTTGTGAAATGGTGGTGTGCGGTGTGCGGTGTGCAACAATAGCACAAAATATGAGAATTGAGCCTGTCGGTGCGTGTTGGTCTGGCCATTATATATCCAAGATCTCTCGAGTCGTCGCAATGTGCGGTGTGCATTATGAAGTGTGGAATCGGGGTTTTTTCAAGACATTAGGGGAAGTTTCACCGGGTAGCGATTACGGCGAGAGCGATCTGATCAGGAACGGGTCAGTTGGTCTTCTGAAGATGAATTGGGGAGCAGCAACAAGCGAAACTCACCGCGGCGCCAATAACGAGCAAGCCGACCACGCTCATTATGCGATTCAGCATTCTCCACCAGGTAGCCTTCATAAATACCTTTTCTTCCCTCCAGCGTCTTTCAGCATCACCGGCTTCGTGCTTGATCATTGCCATGGCAACGTCTTCCTCGGAGTTCTCCAGAGAAGCTTCGAATTCAGAGGCAGAAACGGGCTTCTTGGGTAATGGAAGCACAGCCGCAAGCATCCAGCTGAGCGGACAGACGAATCCTAGCGCGAAGAAGAGGATCTGGCGATTGCAGCGCGAAGTGAAGAGTGTATCCAGGCTGGAGACAAAGCTCGGCGCTTGCCATGCCGATAGCCGATTTTGTGAGGCTCTCTTGGAAGGGGCAAGGCGAGGTGCGTGGACGCCAAAGTCACTCAGGCGGTCTTTGGTCATAGGACGTGGAAATTCCATCTGGTCCCATTGGCGCTGCTTGCTATACTTCCTGACCAGACGCCGGCCTTGATTCTGCGGAGAGGGAGGGTCGTCATGGTCCTTGAGCGTTCCCCACCTAGGCTGTCCAGAAGGCAAGACGTCTTCTGTTCCTTCTGCCGGGGTTGCGGGGTTGATTGCCATGGAGTCCTGGGATGGTCGATCTTGCGAAGGCCTCGATCTACCGCTCCTCCTTATTCTAGATGAACGGCTGTCTCGTTGGGATCCCAATTTCTTCCTCGTCAGTGTACGGAATATGGCAGGCAGGAAATGACTGCTCGCAGGACTGCTCGGTTCAACACTAGCGTATCCCGTGCCCAGCTGGCTAGTAATACTACGCTCGGTCCAAGAACTCCCATTCCGCCCATGGCCAGTTGCTTGCCTGCTCGCCGTCGAGAGACTGGCGAAGGAGGGCTTGCTGGGTAATACTGCCAGTCCGGTGTAGAAATGCCTTGCCCATGTGGGAAACAGGCTGCTGCCTTGGCTAAACCTATCACTTTCCACGTAGCTGATCTGGCTTTGTTGTCGTGAGTGCGAAGGCGTGCTGTTACTCCGTTGCCGTATCGAGTATCCCGATCTCTTCTGCCGCAGCGGTGGAGTCTGCAGCGCCGACAGGGTGTCGAAGTTCTCATCGCTATCCCTGCTCTTTGGCATGGGAGGTAACGGAGGCAGCGGGCCATCGTAGCGCCTTGTGCCCTCCGGTCCTGTCTCGGCCTTGAAAAGAGGCTGTGGCACTGCAGACTGCTCACGGTAGCTGCCAAGCGTCATGTCACCGACTTCCTCCTGGAATCCGCTACTGCTCGTTCCGCGGGTGCCTAGGGAAGGCGTGAACGAGTCGGCGGGCGCGCTACTGTGTCGACGATGGCCTGCAGGAGACAGAGGCAGGCTGCTGGAGTCATCGCCGGTCAACACTCCACTTCCAATCGAAAAGTGACTGAGATGTTGGCTCGCATTCCCGCTTTGGCTTTCGGCGCTCTCGCTCGCAATGGTACTCAGGTGGCTGCTGAACGGTCGCTTCGGGAAAGGTAGAGTATCGATGTCGTCGTCCGCCATGGTCTCGGTACCATACGAGGCACTCGCTTGCGCCTTGAGAGACTCCGCACCGGATTTGTGACGAAGACGCTTTTTCGGGATGTAGAGGGGCGGAGGAGTGTTGCCAGGCTCGAGAGAGTCCCAGGAAGTGCTATTAGCTAGGCTACGCCCTGTCCCGGGGCGAGCAACGGGCCCGTATTGCAGGCGAGAAGGAATGGATTCAGTGGAAGTTGCGTGGCGGAGAGGGTCTCTGTAACTTGGACCAGCCGAGTCAGGAGTGTATGCTATAAAGTTCGGCGATGAATGGTACGGAAACGTCTTCTCAGAGATCGCCAGCGACTTGGAGCGTTCCTGGTCATGCGATGCTGCAGAGAAGGCTATATGCCGTAGATTATCGATGCTTGGCGGAGACTGAACGGAGCTGTCAGAGAATGTTCTTCTGGAGCGCCTGCGAGACACGTTAGGCGTCTGTTCTAAATCGGACGGCGACGTTCGGGGACGTATGGTTGTGGGCGAGTCGTCCCGAGATCGAGAACCTGGACCTCGCTGCGTTGGCGAGGACGATGATGTATCAGAGGAGGGGACCGGTCTAATTGTCGACAATCTCGCTGGTCTCTCTGGAGAGGCTTCCTGCAGCGTTTCCAACGCGTGCGCAGGGCCACCCCGGGCAAGGCTGTCGGCCTCTACGCGTTCCCGCAATTCCTGCTCGTACGGGGTCGGTGTCCCCAGCAGAGTCGATAGCTGGCTGAGGCTACTGTATCTCTCGCTCTTGGTGCTCTTCTTGGAGAAGGCGGTCTCGCTGTCCTGCAAGGTGGAGGACTGCGAATAGGTGCCCGAGGAGGTGCTTCGACGGTGCCATCTTGGCGTGCGCAGCTCGTGCTGCGAGTCGTTGGGGGGCAAGGTTCCCTCCTCCTCCGCCGCCGCCAAGTAGTGTGGTTCTGAAACATCAAAGTCCCGGCTTGCGGCCGAAATAGTTGGATTTGACACGCTAGCTTGCTCACCCCGGTCGGACCGGGGTAAGCGAGCTCCCTGATCCTGCTGATTCTGCTGCGGCCGATGTGCCTCTGCGCCCTCATCGCTGTCGCCGTCCTCCTCATCGGCGGCGGCGTGCCGCGTGTGCGGTGGTGAGGGCGAAGGGTTGACCAAGCGGACGGTTGGTTGTTCGAGGATGGGGCTGGGAAGCTGCTCGGTGTTCTTCGAGTTTGATCGCTGATGCAGGGCTTTCCTTCGCGTGGTCTGCGAGTCTCGAGGTGATATTATGGGCCGGCTCGAAGCAAAGAATCCTGATGACATGTCTCTGCGACTGGTGCCGCTGACGTCTCCGGTGCTGTTGCTTGCAACGCTACTGCTCGCAATGCTGCTGCGACTGCTATTGCTGGTTTTTGGTCGCTTGGGCTCTGGGTCGAGGAACATGGTGGTGATAGGGAGTGAATCAACAAGTATATATGGAGAAAAGAAGGTTGGCAAGGATCGAAGGGCATGTCAGAGGAGGGCAGGCGCACGAGAGCTGGATGCCCTGCGCACACCGAGGACTCTCGTGAGGATTAGCAGTGAGTGTGAGTGTGGCGGCAGATGGTGTACTTGAACGTGTCAGGAGTCGCCCGGCAGTGGGTTAGAGGGCGTCGGGAAGCAGTGTACGCCAGTCACGCAAGCAGCATGCGAGCAGTATGCAAGCTGCAGGGTGACAGGCGAGCGATGGGCCTGCGAACGGCGCGCTGTCGGGCGGGTGGAGCGATGGTGGTGAAGTGAAGTGAAGTGAAGTAGTGAAGTGGAAGAAGCGGCTGCTCGGGGACTGGCGTCGGTACGACTGTGGTATGGAAGATCATCTCTCCCGGGCGGGCGTGTTGAAGCCATGCTCGCAATGGTATGGCTCGCCATGTGAGCGACTGTGGACTGTGCTTTTAGAGTGAGTGCACCTCGCAATCGATAGCACTAGCGCCTCAGGGATGGAGAGACGGAGCTGTGCAGCGGAAATTGGAACGTGGTGCAGGTGTGCGCTAGCGGCAGCGATTGATTATGCCCATGGATTGTGCCAATGGAATTGATTGCGCCAGTTGATTGTGGATGGCAGCAGCAGCAGCAGCAGCAGTCGACAGGCGGTGGTGGACTGGTGGTGGTGAGGATGGAAGATGAAACACTTGACGCCGAGTCTTTCTTGCCTTCTACATCCAACGCGTGACGTGACGCGACGCGACGCGACGCGACACGGTACATTATAGTACGGACGCGACCGACAGCTGTCAATTTCCATCAATTCATGTCTGCCACTGGCTGCCGAACGTCTTTTCCCACGCGCGGCACTCGGCTCTCGCATGACACATGGTCGATTCCCGCGAACAAAGCTGCATCCCATGGTATTGTTGTCCATCGCCCACCCAATCAATGCAGCTATTTATTACCTGCAATCCTCTCCGCTTAGACAGCATCAGTACCCCCCCCCGACTGCTGTTATACTTTCCATTATACTTTCGGTTGTCCTTTCGCTCATCCTTTCGCTCATCCTTTGTCTGCTGCTGCACTCGCCTTCGAGATTATTATTGTGTCGCGGTCGCAAAGCTCGCACGCTTGCTCGGAAGCTGCACAGCTGCGAGGGAGACGGGAGGAGAGGAGGGTAGTGTGTAGGGGCTCCAGGCGCTTGACTCGCACCTCACCCCTCTCCTGCATGTCCAAACCAGCAACCGCCGCCACGAAGAAACAACAACTTGGTTCCCCGAGCAATGGCGCCGCCAGCGAAGATCTGGGAGAAGGGCTCCGACTTCTTGGGCAAGGCAAAGGACTATTTTGGGAAGAAGCGTACGTGAAACGTCTCCCGTACATTGGAACCCGCTCCGAGACATGACGATGCCCACACTGGGAGCCCGGCGGCTAACAAACATGCCCACAGAGCAACCACCTCCTCTCCTGTCCGAGAGGACCGCAGTCCTCTGTGCCGTGCTCTTCACCTTCCTCTACATTGCCCCTTTCTACCTCTCCAACGCCCTCCGCTCCAGCCCAACTAACTCCAGGGACTCGCCGGCCGTCATCAAAGCGAGAGTCAGGGCCGTGGTGCTCACGAGCTTGGCTTCGGCCGCCATCACCATCTATATCCTGACGACCCACGGCCATGCGGGCCCCAGAGATGTCTTGCGCCTCTTCGCCATATGGCCCATCAATCCCATGGACTGCGTGAAAGTGCTTGCCCTGGTCTGCCTGCTCTTCACCGGGCCTCTCTACGAACTGCTCATCGCCCAAGGAAGCTGGCGAAATATAGGCCCTTTCTCCATGAAAGCGACGATCTGGGACTCATGGATCGGCTTCCGAAACTACCTCTTCGGACCATGGTTCGAGGAGCTGGTCTTCCGCTCGCTCGTAGTGTCGCTCTATCTTCTCGCCAAAGTCTCGCCGACCCGAATCGTCTTGACCTCGCCACTGGTATTCGGAGCCGCTCACTTCCACCACTACATCGAATTCGTGCATACCCGCACGCCTGCCGGCCGCAAGATGCCGCCTCTGAAGGTGCTCCTGCTCGGCCTCGTACCAACCGCTTTCCAATTCGCCTACACAAGCCTGTTCGGCGTCTTCGCTGCTTTTGTGTACCTGCGGACCGGCAACGTCTTCACGTGTGGTCTCGCACACATGTTCTGCAACTACATGGGCCTCCCGCGTGTCTGGGGCAGGGTCGGCCAGTTCACTGACTTTGAGCCGCATGAAGTGACGCCGGATGTGGCGCAAGGCAAACGACACAATCTCGATCAGGTCAAGGGAGGCCACAGCCTGACGAAAGATGTTGGCAAGAACGAGCAGAAGGCTGGGGAGGTCGTGCACGCTGGTATGAAGGATCTGGGAGTCGCGTGGACGGTCATCTACTATGTCCTACTTCCAACTGGGGCATATGGGTTCTACAGATTGTTGTGGCCGTTGACGCAGAGTGAGAACGCTCTGGCGACTTTTTGAGGCAGCATTGGAAAAGTAATGGCATGTTTTGGAATCTGCCTCCCGTAGTCTCACCACCATCTCCAGCCTTGTTTGCTGCAGGCATGTTCCCGTGCGGTCAAGGCTACTAGGCCAACACCAGCCTCGGTGTCCAACCAGCAGGTGGCAGAACGCCATGTTTGAGCCTCGATAATGGTTTCTTTGCCCTCTGGTCTCTCGGGAAGGTAGCTGAGCCATTAATTCGTTGACGACGGGCCTCAAGCCCGATGGCACACCCACTTTCAATCTTCTTCGGAAGTTTGCGCTTCCTTTCCTCTTTTTCTCTTGAAAGCCGACAAGTTTCTCAAACAGGCAGTAAAGAAGGCTTTGTTCCCTGGAAGCTTCACTGACAATGCTACCTTGTAGACTGCGTGCTCTCTTTTTCGTGACCCCTTTTCAAACGCCTGCTTGAACGTGTTTGCCTTGTTGTGGGCGTTTGCTATTCATCAGTACTCGCGCTGCCGTCACGCCTGGAAATTTCCGTCAGCCATGCCCGGCAATTTCCAGGATTCGTTGCCCATCATCACTCACGGTATGTATTTGACACCAGCGCTCTCCGCAGCAGCAACGTAATCCTCCGCCAGCTGGAGGGCAAAAAAAAAAAAATCAGCACCCCTGCGATCCCCTCTCTCTCTCTCCCTCTCTAACGCCGTTTCCGATGACCTCGATGACTTACCACTCCATTCACCTTGACCGCGTAGACGCCCGACACATAGCCGACGATGCGCTGCCACTTGGCCACCCAGCTGCCGGTGGTGTCGTTGACCGTCAGCAGTCCCTCAAAGACTTCGCTCGTGCATTCGCTGACGACGTCCGCGCTGCCACGCATTTCCAGGAAGTGATCGCAGTTGGGGCAGCCGTTCTTAACGAAGCGGGATTGCTGCTGCACGTAGGAGCAGACCATGCAGGCTCGCAGGGAGCGAGGGACGCCGCCGCCGGACATGATGGCTGATTGGGCGGTGCGGTATGGATGATGATGATGTCTTTTGGTCGGAAGGCGGTACCTTGGAAGGGGTTATTGAACCGGGGAAGGCAATACTGTCTTCTTCGATGTATGGCTGTCTGTCTCCGGCAAGGCACGTGCTCACATGTGAACAAAGAGGTTGCTGCTCGCTAGCTCGGTGGTTGGGGGGGGGGCAGAAGAAGCGAAGACAGCCGCTGATTGGATCGGGCACAGCTCCGCCCGATTCCTTGGGGTCAAGCAGAGGCCCGTGCATCTGTGGGGGCACATCAATCTCGGAAGGCGCATCCCTCATTTCTGCACAAATCACCACCAGCCAGCTCGCACTCGAGTCACCTTATTATACACCTGCACACGCGAGCACCAGAATCGCAGGGCGCCGCCTGTCACTTCCGACTCCCTCTCGTCAGCTATACTCCGTTTCCACGACGCCAATCGAGAATACAGATCAATCTCAAGATAAAGCTATATCCCAAGCTCGCTCCAGCATGGCGGATGCGGCGATAGCAGAGAAGAACAAGGGCAACGAATTCTTCAAGGCGAAAGACTGGCCGCAGGCGATCGAGCATTATGACAAAGCGATTGGACTCGACCCCAAGCAGCCGAGCTTCTACACCAATCGCGCCCAAGCCCACATCAAACTCGAGGCATACGGCTACGCGGTAGCAGATGCGACCAAAGCGATCGAGCTCGACCCCGAATCCGCAAAGGCATATTACCGAAGAGCAGTCGCGAACACTGCGATCCTCAAGCACGGCGATGCCATCCACGACTGGAAGGTGGTCGTACGGAAGAATCCCAGCGATCGAGTCGCAAAGGCCCAATACGAAGCATGTCAGAAGCTGGTCAAGAGGGATGCGTTCCTCAAGGCCATTGAGGTCGCCGATGCTCCTTCAGCGGCAGAGGGGTTGGATTTGGACTCGATGGTAGTGGAAGAGTCGTACGATGGCGTCAGGTTAAAGGACGAGATGACACAAGAGTTCATCGACGATATGATCCAGCGCTTCAAGGACGGCAAGAAGCTGCACAGGAAATACGTCTTTCAGATTATACTCAAGGTCAAGGAGATTGTATACAACGAGCCGACGATGGTCGAGACCCACGTCGAACCAGGCCAGAAGCTTACAGTGTGCGGCGACACGCACGGACAATACTTCGATCTACTCAACATCTTTGGATTGAACGGCTTCCCGTCTCCGACACACCACTACCTCTTCAACGGAGACTTTGTCGATCGTGGGTCGTGGTCAACAGAAATCGCTCTACTACTCTATGCGTACAAGTGGATGTACCCCAACTCGTTCTTCCTCAATCGCGGCAACCACGAGACGGACGACATGAATCGTATGTATGGCTTCGAAGGCGAATGCAAGGCCAAGTACAACGAAAGGGTGTTCAAGCTCTTTTCAGAGTCCTTCTCGGCCCTTCCCCTTGCCACTCTCATTGGCGATAAGTACTTCGTGCTACATGGCGGTCTCTTCTCCGACGACGATACATCTCTCGACGACATCCGCAAACTCAACAGGCACGATCAACGGCAACCAGGACAATCGGGTCTGATGATGGAGATGCTGTGGACTGACCCGCAGACCGCGCCAGGCCGAGGACCCTCGAAACGTGGTGTTGGCCTCCAATTTGGCCCGGACGTAACGAAGCGATTCTGTGACAAGAACAACCTGAAGGCCATCATCCGAAGTCACGAGGTGCGCATGGATGGGTATGAGGTGGAACATGACGGCAGATGTATCACTGTCTTCTCCGCGCCAAAGTACTGCGATTCGACGGAGAACAAGGGCGCGTACATCAACATCGAATCAGACTACGAGCTGCAGTACAACCAATTCGATGCGGTGCCGCATCCTGATATCAAGCCAATGGTAAGTCTTTAGTCCTCCGACATGACGTTTTCGCTTTCGCTAATTTGGCCCAGGCTTATGCCAACAACGGCATGATGAGTATGATGGGCATGTAAGATGATAGACGCACGAGGATCATGACGAGCTCGACACATGTGATTCACGATTCAGCGCAATTTGGAGGAGCATAGCGATGGAGTGGTTGGAAAGCGTCACATTGCCACACATATATATACGCATGGTGTTCGAGGCGCGCCGGACACCAACAGACTCTCGAGGCTTTTGTCGGGGATGACAAAACGCCACTTTGTAGAAACGAGAGAACAACTACAGCTTTAAAATGTATACATCGTTTTCATCTTGACTAGCAGCAGACATTTACCTTTCTGATCATTTGACTGCCATGCTTTTGCCTCCCAACGCCGCGCTAAATGTCAAATCGAATCGTAGGAGCTCAATCGCGAACCCAGGCCATTTACGTCTGGGGAATCTCGAAGAGGGCGGGCTTCATGTTCAGCTTGCAGAGCTTCGCCACGCAGCCGGCGAGCTGGAGGTAGGTCTGCATCCCTTCCAGGATGCGCATGTGCGTGAAGCCGATCTCCTTGATGAATTCCAGCTTCGTGTGCTCGGACAAGGAATCGATGGATTTGGTGACCTTGAACATGGTGCTGATGATGTCGTGCGAGGAATACCCGAGCGACCTGGAACGAAAATGTCAGCCAACAGATCAGATGCCCGTGCAAATCTATCCATCCCCAAACGGTATCAGTCCCATGAGTCCTTACCAGAGCTCTTTCAAGGAATCCAACGCCTCGTCAACTTTCTGCTCATGGCAATTCCGAATCAGAGCTTGCACCTTGATCGGATGCGGACTGTCCACCACGCGAAACACATTATCTCCATTCACGAAGCCAAAGCCGGCACTCGTGCTCTGCAGATTGTTTATTGCTTGTCGCATATCCCCCTCGGCGCTGAACACCAACGCGGCAATGCCATCGTCGCTGTATTCCACGCTCTCCGCCTGGCAGATCTGATACAGCCTCTTGACCACCTGTCCATCCGTCAGACGGGCGTATCGCAAGATCGCACAGCGCGACTGCAGCGGCTCGATGATCTTGTTGGACTGGTTACAAGCGAAAGCGAAGCGCGTGGTGCCGGAGTAAATCTCCATCGTGCGACGGAGGGCTTGTTGCGCGCCGGACGTCATGCTGTCCGCTTCGTCGAGGATCACGAGTTTCTGCCGCCCGGCGGGGAGGGTGACTTTCTTCTGCGCGAAGCCTTTGATGCGGTTGCGCACGACGTCGATACCGCGCTCGTCGGAGGCGTTGAGTTCGAGGACGGCTTCCTTGTAGGCATCGCCCAGCAATTGTCGCGCGAGGCAGAGGATGGACGTCGTCTTTCCGATCCCGGGCATTCCGCTGATGATTACGTGGGGCATGTTTCCGTCTTTCGCGATGATCTTGAGGCGTTCGATGGTTTCCGTGTTGCCCACGATGTCGTCGAGGAAGACGGGGCGGTACTTTTCTACCCATGGGAGTTCGTAGTTCGTCGGGGCGCCATTGGCCTTTGCTCTTGTGCCGTTTGATTCCGCGTCTTTGGAAGATTCTGCTCTCGCCATCGTGGGCGGTCGGGAGGGAGCTTGGTTGTGGTGGATATCTCCAAGTGCGAAAGTGACGCGCAACTTTGAGAGGAGACGCGAGGCGCGTAGGGTCCGAGCTTCTCATTGGGAGATCGGCACTAAAATGGGCCGAGGACAGTGCTGGTTAGTGGTGCATTCTTTCTTTGATGGGCCTTGCTTCTCCTTACACAATTCAATCTCGTCTTCCTCTTCGCCATGCCGTTCTCTCCTGCTCGTTTCCTCCTCCGCAGTTGCACATTGTCCCGGCCTGGCTCCTGATCGCTGGCGACCGTATCTAAGGAAGAGTGGGAAACGACAGTCCCTGGCCTGATCAAATCGACAGAAGAACAAAATGCTGAGAAGATAAGGAGGTCAAATACGCCATGGTCTCTCTGCGACGCTTTGTGACATATGTCGGACTGGCGGTTGTCGTACTTTTCTTTCTCGGCCACTTCCGCGAGGGAATCGTCTCAACGGCACGTATAAGATACGATGCCATCTTCCCATCTGCCACCAAGCAACATCCCGACGGCCGATTCCACTGGAGCGATGTGCCCGTCCACTATCCCGTGCAGAGCCTGACAAGTCTTCCAACGGCAAAACCACAGAAGCTTCCCAAGGTACAATTCTCTTTCCCCACAGAAACTGCGGAGCATGCGGCGATCCGGAAGCAGAGACAGGCAGTGGTCAAGGCGGCCTTCGAGAGATGCTGGGTGGCCTATAAGTACTTCGCTTGGATGAAGGACGAAGTTACGCCTATCAATGGGCAATTCCGCAATGGATTCGGTGGGTGGGCCGCATCTTTGGTCGATAGCCTTGATACGCTATGGATTATGGGCTTCAAGGATGAGTTCGAAGAAGCTGTGACAGCGGCTATGGATATAGATCTCGGAGTCGCGACTATGGAGACGATCAATGTTTTCGAGACGACCATTCGACATTTGGGTGGACTCTTGTCAGCTTACGATCTGAGTGGCGATAAGCGATTGCTAGAGAAGGCCAAGGAGTTCGGAGAAATGCTCCTCAAGGCCTTCGATACTCCCAACCGGATGCCAATAACCAGATGGAAACCGCAAGAAGCGCTTGCTGGTAAGCAAGAAGCCGACGATGTCGTTTTGGTCGCCGAGATTGGCTCTCTTACAATGGAGTTTACGAGGCTGTCGCAGCTCACTGGTGACATGCGATGGTACGACGCGGTCGACAGGATCATGCGCATCTTCGTGAAGCAGCAAGACGAGACCCATCTCCCGGGAATGTTCCCAGTTGTGGTCAATGCAAAGGAAACCGACTTCACGCGGGACACTTTGTTCACGCTAGGCGCCATGTCGGACAGCTTTTACGAATACCTCCCGAAGATGCATGCCTTGCTTGGAGGCGCGGAGCCCATGTACTCGAAGCTGTACACGCGAAGCATGCAGACAGCGACTAGATACAATCTCTGGAAACCGATGACACCCGACAATGCCGATATCCTGCTTTCCGGGAATGTCAAGGCTGAAATGGGTCAGCCTCCTTCTCTCGAAGCTCAGGGGCAACACCTGGTGTGCTTCGCCGGCGGCATGTTCGCTCTTGGCGGAAAGCTGCTTGAACAGCCAGATCATGTCAAGATCGGTCAGAAGCTGACTGACGGGTGTATCTGGACCTACCGCGCGCTGCCCATGGGAATGATGCCAGAGGTGAGTGCATGGACAAGCGTAAGCCATTGGATGCAGCTGCTCATATTTCTGTACAGGTCTTCAACATGGTCCCTTGTCCTTCGCGCACCGGCGAATGCAAGTGGGATGATGAGGAATGGAAAGAGGCTGTAGTCAAGCAGAACGACCGAGGTGGCATGCCCGCAGATGTGGTCGCCAATGAGCTCAGAATTGCAAAGGGGTTCAGCGCGATTGGAGACAGGAGGTACAGTGAGTGTCGCGAGAGTCATGCTCGAAATGAACGGGGCCCCTACTAACACGGTCGTGTCTTCAGTCCTCCGACCCGAAGCGATCGAAAGCGTCTTCATCCTCTACCGGACAACGGGCGAGCAGTATCTCCCGGAGGCGGCATGGGAGATGTTCCAGGCCATCGTCAACGCGACCGAGACGCACATAGCCAACGCAGCGTTAGCGGACATCACGTACACGAAGGAAGAGCTAGCGGCGCAGCATGCGCAGGTGCAGATGGACAGCATGGAGTCGTTCTGGATGGCGGAAACGCTGAAGTACTTCTATCTGGTCTTCAGCGAGGCGGACGTGATGAACTTGGATGAGTGGGTGTTCAATACGGAGGCTCATCCATTCAGAAGACCGGAGGCTTGATAGAGTTTGACGCGGCGGAATTCCTTACTAGCCTGCACTGTCTTGCATGCTTCGGAAAGTAGAGTGCTCCACCTTCGGGCGTCTGCATTGGAACCGAGACGCCATCTCGTGCATACCCGCGCAGGAACGTGCCATCTGCACAGTGTTCTGTGTCTCCCGGCTCGGCTCAACAGAACAGCTCTACCAACGTCTGCCACCGATTTCTTCTACCAATGTCATCTGCCAATGTCTTCTATCGATGCCTCCCACCAGTGTATTCTACCGATGTCTTCGGACAATGTCCGATCTGGGAGTTCTGGCGCGTGGGCAGTGAAGCGTGACGTGCAGCACGTGATGTCGTGACTGAAACATCTTGGCCGGTTTCACAGCTGCGCTCGCTTGTCCGCCAAGCGGCTCCTCGTCAGCCAGCAAGGGACATGGAGCAAAGAAAGCCTGCGCCATCGGCACTCCATCTGTTCGCCCACAGCCTCAGCCGGCGCTGCTCGTCTGCACAGGCAGCTGAGGTCACAACAACCAGACATGGACAGGCTCACGTAGTACGGATCCAGGCCCGGGCGTGTGGGATGCATGTGAGCGTCTCCATCCATACATGTCGCTGACCAGAGGGCTACCACAGCGCATGAAAGTCCGGCGGGTCGACGAGGATGCGCTGCTCGTACGCCGTGCGACTGCGAGTGCCGCCTCGTTGTTGTTGGTGGGTGAAGTCCTCTCACCTCTGAATCGGAGACTTTTAGATGAGACGGCTCGCCGCATCAGCATACCAATCCAACCCAAATCGGTGCACGCAGCACAACACACAACCACCAAGCGCTTCCGGCCACGCCCCGCCCCTTTGACGACTACATGTATTCATCATGACGACGCTGCGCCGGGAGTGGGCGCCGGAGGAGGACATTTCTCTTTGATCCTTTCACCTCTGCTGTCGTCACGCCGCGGGCGGGAGGACGACGCCGGGCGCATTGTCCGAAGACTTTGTGCTTGTTCGCGTGTCCGAGAGACAGCCGGATTGGTTCTTGGGATCGGAAGTCGGGAGGGAGGGGCGCAAGGCAGGGCGTGGAGAAGGATCGGCCTCCCTCGAATCTTGAGGTGAGCTTGTGGCGGGCAGCGTACGTCAGCGTTTGGACGCGTGCGCCTCCTAGTACTGGAATCCAGTACATGTACATACCGCGAGCCGCCACTATTCCAGCCTGGGCCAGAAACACGACGGCGACGAGTGATGATTGGGACACAGGACCGCTCTGCCGACGAAGCCTCCAACGAATCTCGAATCCCCACCAACTTCCATTACCTCCTTCAGGTACCTTACACACTTAGGTTTTCCTTAACGCCGCTCCGACCCAGCCGCACACATCCCGGGCACAGGGCACCGTCGGTGGCGGTGCGTCCCTGGTATCCACACCTCTCGACAGCACCCGGGCCACGTAATAGTCTGGTATTGCGTACTGTCACAAGACGCAGTATTAATCCTTCTTCTTCTTCGTCTGCTTCTTCTTCTTTTCTGCTGGTCGCGCTGGTTGACGGCTGTCGTTCTTGCTTTCTTCGAACTTCCTTGGATCCATAAACCATGCGCACTTCCACGACCCTCGCTGTGGCTGCGACGCTGCTTGGCGCCGATGCCATAAACCTGATCAAACGGACCGATGGACCACTCAGAGTGCTCGAAGGCACAATACAACGCAGACGAATTGCCAATCCCATAGAACACGATCGCAATCGTATGCGAAAACGAGATGGTACCCTCTCCATCACTTTGGACAACGAGGAGACGTTGTACTTTATGAATACAAGCATAGGGACCCCGGCACAGGATTTCAGATTGCATTTGGACACGGGAAGTAGCGATCTGTGGGTGAATGTTGCAGACAGCACACTATGCCAGAGCCAAAACAGCGGCTGTTCAATATCTGGCACGTACAGTGCCAACGACTCTTCGACATATAAATATATCAATAGCGAGTTCAACATTACCTACGTCGATGGATCTGGATCCTCTGGAGATTACGTGAGCGACGCGGTGAGCTTGGGTGGCGTCACCATCGACAATCAGCAATTCGGTATCGGATATACTTCGAGTTCAGCACAAGGTATCATGGGAATCGGCTACCCGATCAACGAGGTCGCCGTGGCGTACAACGGAGGTCGTGCGTACGCAAACGTGCCGCAGAGCTTGTTGAATCAAGGCACGATCTCCTCCAAGGCTTACAGTCTGTGGCTGAACGACCTGGATGCTTCGACTGGCTCGATTTTGTTCGGGGGTGTCAATTCGGACAAATACACAGGATCGCTGCAGTCCTTGCCTATCGTCAAAGAGCAAGGCGTATACGCGGAGTTCATCATCGCATTGACCGCCGTCGGCATGAACGGCACGCAAGGCTCGATTGCAAAGAACTTGGCCTCACCAGCGCTTCTGGACTCGGGAAGTTCCCTGATGTATCTGCCGAATAGCGTTGCGCAGAAGATCTACGACCAGGTTGAGGCTCAGTACGATTCCGACCAAGGCGCGGCCTTCGTCGACTGCGATCTGGCCAACTCGGACGCCACCATCGACTTCACCTTCTCCTCGCCGACGATTCGCGTGGCCATGAGAGAGCTGGTCATCGTTGCAGGAGAGAGCCGCGGCAAGTCGGTGTGCATTCTTGGTGTGGGACCAGCAGGCAGCAGCACGCCCGTGCTGGGAGACACTTTCCTCCGATCGGCGTACGTGGTCTACGACATGACCAACAACGAGATCTCGCTCGCGCAGACCAATTTCAATTCGACGTCAAACAACGTCCTCGAGATCACCAACTCTACTGGAGTCCCCGATGCGACTGCGGTGCAGAGCGCCGTCACCTCGGTTGCCGTGCAATCAGGCGGCGCCCGCATTGGAAGCGGTACCGGCACTATCACCCTAGGCTCTCCAGCTCAGCCCACCGCCGCTCCGGGCTGGAATGCGGCGCTACTTGGAGCTGCGGGCGCCGCTGCCATGTTCGCTCTCTAGACGGACGGACGGACACCTTTCGTTCGCAACAACTTTATTACACCTGTCATGATTTCCCTGCATAGCGTCCAACGGAGTTTCTTGTTCTATAGAAACGGTTTCCTTGCTTGCATCTAGCATTTTCAGCAGCATAAAGAGAAGGGATTTTTCGGGGTCGGCAATTTCCTGCTTCATTTCACTACTACTACGATCACGACAGCACGGCGGCGCTAAACAGTTCATCATGAGTTCACGGCAGCCCAGAGGGAGATTTTTTACGAGGAAAAAAAGGGGCATCATTGTGCAGTATTTCCAGCTTTTTGGAGACGGGAGACGGGAGACGGGAGACGGGAGACTAGATAAGAACTTGTACTTATTCGATTCCTTTCTGTGCGTATCTCCAGTTCAATCATTTCCCCAGCTCATCCCAAGAAGTATATCCTTTGCAGGCGCCGGCTCAGGATTTTTTTGCTGCTACAAGGCACTCACTCCCATCTCCTCCTGCATATGTCCAAAGGTAATGTGCTCCCAAGTGGCACGCACCATGCGATTTCGATGAAAAAATCGGACATGATGTGTCACTCTCCCTCCTCTTTAAGTTCTGCACATTGCTCTCCTCTGGGAAAAAGCCCAATTCTTTTTCCATGCATCCGGGTAGGAGGTGTCCGCAGGCACACCGTGAGAGGAGGCACCACCATGTCATTGGGATGTGGAGTATCCCAAAGTTTGCCTCTCCCTCTCTCTCTCTCTCTCTCTCTCTCTCTCTCTCTCTCTCTCTCTCTCTCTGCGTGCCAAGTGATTCGATAGAGCGGGCTTTCCGCAACAGGACGCTTTCAATTTGATGGGCGTGGTACGAGCGCAGGCCTCCTGAAAGCACGTTCGTCTCCGTCTCCGTCGTTATCGTTGTCGTCGTCCTCCTCGCGGCCACGCTTTTCCTTTTCCTCCGCAAGCTGCCTCTTCAGATCATCCCTGGTCATCGATTAGCATTTCTTCGCGCAAGTCAAGACCCGTGATATTGCTCCTCACCTGTCCCACGCGACGCGGCAGACGTCGGCTTCCGCCTTCTTCGTCGCCCTCTGCGCGCGTTCCACCCGCTTCTGCGCCTTCTCATTCTCTTTCCCAGCAGCGGCAAGCTCCCTCGCGAGCTCGTGCGTGCGCTTGAGAGCATTCTGCTCGCGCTCCGAAGCCGTCTTTCGCAGGCTGACCTGCGCCTGCGCGTAGGCTTCCTCCTCGCCCAGTTGCTTCTTGGCGGCCGCGAGGTCCCGCTGCAGCTGCGAGTACATGGCCTCGTCGATGGAGGCCTGAGCCATGCTTTGGATCTTCTCCTGCAGAAGTTCGATCTCATGAGCCTGAGCGAGACTCTGTTAGCACCGGGGTTCACTGGTTTCGGGGGGATGATTTACGGGATACCTCGCTTTGCGCGAGCTGCTGGCACTCGGCGAGCTCTTGGCGCAGTTGGAGCTTTTCGGTCTGAAGTTGCTCGAGGAGTAGGCTTGGCTCTTCCTTGATCTCGATGGGGGCGTTCTTGGCGGCCTGTAGACGAGCGATCTCGAGCTGGAGGAGAGTCTTCTCGCGCCTCAGCTCAGCATTGTGCGTGTTGGCCTGTGCGAGCCGCGAGCCGCCTTGGTCGACCTGCGCCTGGAGGTCCTGGATGATAGCATCCATATTGAGATCTTGTATCCGATTTGTTGTTGGTGGTGCAAGTCTTGTTGATGGCGAATGTACGGGAACTCAAGAAGAATGGAAAGAATTTCAGAAAGCCATCGCGTGGTTGCATGTGATCGTGAGGTTTTGTGTTGTGCGACTCTGGCATGTGATTGAGCAGGTGCATGTGCAAAGACGACTTCGGACCCACGAGCCGATCTCCGTTTGACGCTTCTTGGAGGGGTGCTCGAAAGCGCCTCCGGTGGCAGAGAAATCATAAGTGGGACGCACATCACACCGGCATTCTGCGCAGCAAAGTCCTCGCCTGGCGCCGGATAGCTTTGGTAGGTGCAGAGGCCGCAGTAACAACTCACTGTACTCAAGATGTCGATGTCGACTGCCTATGTTGAAGACTGTGTACTTGCGGCGAAGCGGAAAAATCGTGTCAGGAGGCAGAGGACATTTCAAAAGAAGCATATGGTAGACGCTTATCAAGGTAGATATCAGATAGCGCCTCCAACTTACCCTAAAGAGCCAGGTTGTAGGTATAGTCGTCCTCCATATTCTGACTGACCCAGAGCACCACCGAGCTGCGTAAAGGTTAGCTCCAAGTATACCCATGCCAGCACAGTGTTCTTGCAAACTCACCTCAACATCACCAAAGCATTAGCGAGCAAGTTCGCGACCCCAAACCACAACGACATCCCTGTCGCGCCTTCCGTGATGTACTTCAGTACCATCACCGTCACTCCACCCGCAAGTCCGCCCGCCATGGCCGCGAAGCCCATGAACAGGACCACCCGCGCTTTCCATGCGACTCCATCGCCCGAGTACGCGAATGTGTCTCCCGATAAGCGTGTCTTATCGATGCTATTGATAACCACCATTCCCAGGAAAGAGAAGATACCCGGGATCCAGTCGACGAAGTTGAGATGCAGGTCAGAGCCGTTCAGGTTGGAGTTGCTGTAGACGGAGGCATCAATTAGGACGAATAGGGCGAGGCAGAACTGTTTCGAACATGTCAGCCTGAAGCTTCTTGGATTCGATGCGATGCGATATGGCGTTGTTCTTCATACCAGGCTGCCTGCTACGTAGACGCCGGCTGTCCGCGTGTTGGCGCTATTGATCCACTGCGGCTTTGGGAAGCGGAAGAGCCTGTGGCCGCCCATATCGTCGCCGCCGAGACCGACCATAGTGTGTTTCTTCGCTATGTCGAAGCTAGAATCGTAATGTTGTCGCGTGAGAGCACTCCCAACTTGAAAGCTGCAGCTGGGAAAGCAGTGACGAAAGACGAAAGGGAAGAGGTCCGCGTGTCAACGGGCCGAGCCAGGCTAGGTGCACTGCACACGGTCGGCTAGATCCACTTTTATCTTTCGCGGGCGATTTCCACCAAGTGTCCACCTCATCACTCAAAGGCATTGTGGACGGTAGACAAGCCCATCCTGGCAAAGTTCCGAATCACATGTCGAGCTAGTCATTCTATTGTTTGAGCCGAGGCACGCGGTGCATTGTGAATATATATCTGGCCGAGTCCTGCTGGAGCAGACGAGCAGCACCTCTCGCGCCCAATTCTTGTCCGGACCTCGCCTACCCTTGGGACACCCGTCCTTAATCAACAATGGCTTTTTCATGGTTTCCAGGATCCTGCAAGCTGGAGTTCACTCACTCAGACGATCCCCTGACGCTACAAACGAAGGATGGTCCCAAGCGAGCCTTCCCGGAGATCTGCAGAGATGTAGTGCCTGCTTGCAACCTCAACCCGTTTCTTTTCAATGGACATCTACAAACGGCATATGCGGCGCTGCAACACGATGGTCCTGCTGTGCACTACAAACGACGGGTTTTCAAAGCGGAGGATGAAGCATTCCAAGGCCACTTCACCGTCGACTTCGTCGTGGCACCACCGCCCAGGGCCGGAACGGCAAAAGACGCCGGGCCGGAGGACCAAGGACTTCGAGAGGATCCCATTGGCGTGGGTCATACTGAGTTACCGCCTCGGACGACTTACTTCACGGATCATGAATTTGAAGATCTGGCTTCTGAAGATACGAAACCGCTGCTGATCACGCTGCACGGTCTTAGTGGCGGCTCTTACGAGACGTACCTTCGACATATCCTGGAACCACTTGTGAGGGCCACGCCAGAAGGCGAGAAAGCCGGGGGCATCTCAGGCGGTGAGTGGGAGGCCTTGGTAGTGAATAGCCGTGGATGTGCTGGCTCGAAAATCACCTCAAGCATTCTCTACAATGCTCGCGCAACGTGGGACGTACGACAGGTGGCAAAATGGTGTAGGAAGACATGGCCTAAAAGGCCGCTTTTCGGTATTGGCTACTCGTTGGGAGCCAATATCTTGACAAACGTAGGTCGTCCGAAGGAATCGTTTTGCTGACTGCCCTGGTTTACTAAGACGTTTTTTTCCTTTTAGTACATGGGAGAAGAAGGTTCCGATTGTCTTCTATCAGCTGCTGTAGTGGTGTCCAATCCATGGAATCTGGAGGTTAGCTCAATCCTGCTACAGAGCACCACCATCGGAATGGAAGTCTACAGCAAGGCGATGGGAAAGAGCATGCTCGCTCTATTTGAGAGGCATAAAGAACAGATTACGAAGAACAAGAGCATAACCTCTACAGGCATGCATAAGCTCAAGTATTTGCATGAGTTCGATCGCGCGGTACAATGCGCGACCTGGGGCTATCCGACTGAGGGTGCATACTATCGCGACGCAGGCTGTGTCGACAGTGTCTTCGGCATCCGCATTCCGGTGTTGGCTATTCACGCCACGGATGACCCAATTGCTTTCAACCAGGCTGTTCCGTACGAAGAGATTAAGCAGAATCCGTATGTAGTGTTGTGCACTACTACTGGAGGCGGACACCTTGCATGGTTCGAGCTGGGTGGTGGCAGATGGCACTCCAAGCCCGTGAGTCTCGTTGTCTGGGTGTAGGCGTTACACCCTTGCTGATTGATGAACAGGCTGTAAACTTCTTGAACAAAATGGCGCGAGAAGTAGACTTCAGACACGTCGATGCGCCAAACATGGAGAAACCAGGTCCCCACGGCGGGCTGCAGTCCCCTTTCGACTACTCTCCTATGCGCAGGAAGCATCACATTCCGGGCCGTGTGTATTGATGCGATGCGCCAGCGGGGGCCGAGGCGACGGTAGGTGAGGTCAAGATATAGGCCGTAGATGAAGATAGACAATCCGCTGGCAACAGCGATGAGATCATCCAAAGCTGACCCGCTTCTTTTTGGCCTTCTTGATGTCGCTCTTTGGATCATCTTGGCTTGCGGCGACCTCACTTTCCGACCTCGGGCGCTTCTTGCTGCCCTTTTTGAGCTCATCCTTCCTGTTCTCCAGCAATTGTTTCTTACTCTGCGCTTTTTTCTCCGCCTCGAGGCGCCGTGCGTCCCTCACCTCCTCCATTTGCCTGGCGCGCATCATTTTGGATTCCAGGTTGCCCTCCTTCTCTGCCATCACCATGGCCATGATTGCGTTCATGCTTTCCTTGTCATCGACGAAGGTCTTGCCCTTTTTCGCATTCGGCGGCTTCTGAACACCAGCAGGACGGATGCCATTTAGCTGTGGCACTTTCAGTTCCTTCTCGGTGTATCGCATATGCGGCGGCTTCTTTTTCTTGTCGCTTTGCGCGGTAGGCTTGGGTTTGTGCTGCGTGGGTGCCGGCTTGGGGCCAGACTTCTTTGGTTTGGAAGAGGCGCCTGATTGTGACGGCCTCGTGGAGCGCTTGTTTGCGCCTTTGCTTGCGCCTGCCTTTGTCTGTGGCGCCATGTCGTGTTTTCTGCCGCACGAGAGATGCAATCGGGAGAGAAATTGAATTGTCGAAGTAAAGTTTGGTAGGGTGGGCCAAATTAGCGCGCGCAGCGGAACGCACCCCGCCCCAATCAGGCGCGTGGGGGAGTCGCGGTCACTTCACTCCTTCCGCGCTGCTGATGGAAGGAGAGACGTGGACAATACTAAGTAATGGCCAGGATGGAACGGAGGTGGGAAGCTAAGGCGTCCGAGCACGCAGCATAGCCTAGGGAAGAAGGAGCGACGACGAGATGCCGTACCAGGGCCCGAACGGCTACCAGCCGTACGTACCGCCGCCTCACCTCAACTATGGAAGTCGCGGGATGGAACAGAATGGGCAGGCGCACGTCTACCATACGCCCGGACAGGCTGCGTATTCCCAGCAAAACCATATCAGCATACCTGGGCCCCCGCCGCGACAACAGCAGCAGCCGCACCAGCACCAGCACCAGCACCAGCACCAGTATCAAGCGCCGCAGATCTACTCCCAACCGGCGTATTCCACGCCGCAGTACTACGGCCAAAACCAGCCGACATCCTTCTACCAGTCGCCCTCACCGTCTGTCCAGCTCCAGCAGCGTCCCCAGCAGCCGTATCTATCGCCGCCCGCCCAGCATAATACCATTCAAAATTACGGATCCTACTCGCCAGACCCACTGCAGGACTCTCATCCACCACCTCAGTCGTACCGAGGAGCGCAGACGCATCAGCCGCCACAGCAATATCGATCCTCCCAACCCGCGTATCCACCTTCTCCGAGGCAACCTGTGCCATCACCGCAATGGTCTAGTTACCCAACTTCTACCAACGCTCGGCAGGACAGTTCATCACGTGCCGCCAGAAACTCGCATGTACCGCTGCAGCATCCTCCGCCGCCGCCGCCGCCGCCGCCGCCGTCCCAGCAGCAGCAGCGTCCTTCTCCACAGCAAAGACCTCAATCCATTTCCGGGAGACCAGCATCAACTCAAGTTCAAGCGCCGTCTTCGAAGTCCCAGCAGAGACCTTCGTCGCAGCAACATCATTCTTCCAACCAATCCCGGCCTTCTCCCTCGCGACCCCAACAGCCAAAAACACAGTCATCCTCCCGGCAGTTGTCGTCCAATCCACCTCAAATCCAAGCACAGCGATCGACCCCTCAGCAGGTGTCTCGATCGGGAACTGACTCAAGCAACGTGCAGACTTCGAGGCATGACTACCGCTATCAGAACGTCGATGCGGATGTAGGCCAGCGCAGAACAGCGCATGTACAACTCCCCGTTCATCGAACTCAAACGTCGTCCGAAGACGAATCCATGGCTCGATCTAATAAACGTAGAAGGTCTAACGAGGGACGCCCTGTTCCCGTTGATGAATCAGCGCTACAGTCCCAGCAGCGACCTCATGCTGCACCGTCAGTCACGAATCCGATTCCTTCGGCTCCGAAGCCAACGCCATCTTCCCAGGCTCAACCGGCCTCCCGCCCAGCGACCATCGACTACCAAGCTACTCTCCTTGCACTGTCCGACGAGTACATCAGTGCAGCTTACAGCATGACAGGAGCTCTTGCTACTGCAGAGGTCTCTGATGAAACGCTGGACGAGTACCATGCCCTGTTGTCGACTGGCATGGGATGTTTGGACTCCGTGATTAGAAACTACCACATCCCAGATCCGCGGAAAGAGGCACGCATACGGCTCCGACTTGCCAGCTTGCTGTACGAAGAGACCGATAACGACATGGAAACGGAGGAAATCCTGAGCAAAGGCATTACCATCTGCGAGCGAGCCAGGCTGATTGACTTGAAGTACGCCATGCACCACCTGCTTGCCCGTGTCTGGTTCAAGGGAGACAACGCCAGAGCAGCCACGAAGACTGTAGATAAGCTCATTGTGGAGGTCGAGAAGCTGAACCTGCGGCACTGGATTTACGCTTTTCGCTTTTTGCGGGTCTCATTGGGCTTGCAGGTGGAGGCGACCCACGCAGAGTCTTCCGCGATAGTAAAGCATCTACAAGCCATTCAAGACATTGGCTCGAGAAATTACCACGTCACGGTCCAGATTGTGGCATCCGCACTCGAATCATTGGTGCACCTCCGTACCCGCACTCCCGAGAGCGTGGACCTGGCTCAAAGAGCCATGGCGGCAGCAAGGACGCATCAACTCACTCCGGAAATGGACTCAATGCCACAGATCAAGGCTCTCCTGAACTGCGTCGACTTGGCCTGCAACCTTCAGAACTTCAATCCGGAGCAGGCGGGCGCCAAAACACAGGTCATGCAAAAACATCTGGATGCATCGTCTCGAGACGTCGCATGGCGCAAAGACGGGATCTGGCAGGTGCCACTATGCGCGAAGCCAAGCTCGTCGGGTGACATTGATGCTGATACCGGTGGTTTGCTGAAAGATGACGGCATGGGCGCGTATACTCTTTCTTTCATATGGTTGACGCACACTCAGCTGTTCACACTTGGCTTCTTACTCAGCGGTCTCGCTTCCCTGCATCAAAACGCTAGCCACGAACAAAAGGCAGAAGAGTTTCTCCGCGAGGGGATCAAGATGAGCAATCATCAAATCGATGCAGTACCACAATCAATGACTGCTGCTTCGGCACAGCACTATCAGCAGAGGCTGATGCGACTGATCTTGCGCTTGTACGGTGCCTTTGGTCGTTGTGGTCGCGCCGACTTCGAATTTGCCTGGAGAGGCGTAGAAAGCATCCGCAAGGAGGTCCAGGAGCTGGAATTTGGGCTGTCTGATGAAATTCTTTGCCTAGTCACATACCTCGAAGCAGTCTGCAAGCACGGCTTGGGAAATCTTCAGGGAGCTCTGAAAATCTACCGCTCTGATGAGCTGTCGCTAAATCCATCGGAGTCCAGGCTGGTCACCTCGACCACTAATCCTATCAAGGTACTTGCGGTGCTGAATAGCATACCAATCATGCGCTTCAATGGTGACATCGACGACTCTGAGCGCCTCCTCACCACGGTTCAAGACTATTGTCTCACGCGCACCAACAGCAATGGCAACCTATACGGGAACAAGGCCTTGGAATCTGCCTTTTACGCTCTTAAAGCCACCGAGCCACCAGATGTATCGACCGAGAACGTTGTCATCATGAAGACCAAGCAGTACCTGCAGTGTGCAGTTCAAGCCGCTAAGGTCGCGCTTAATCACCAGCTGTTGTGCATTGTGATGAACCAGATGACGAACATGTTCTTTAAGAATATCGTTGGCGACCAAGCGGAGAAGTCGGTGCGGGCAGGTAGAACACTCGCAAGGAAATCGCAGAATAAGCTGTGGATGGCGGTGGCAGATCGTATGTATTCGAAGACGCTGGAGCGATGTGGAAAGTTGGACGAGGCTGCAGCAGCTAGACACTCTGCACAGGAAGCTATGCAGGCTCTGCCAGAGTCCTTGAAAGCGGCAGTGCTACTAGATGGAATGGCTGACACTCGAATGTCCGAGATTTGAAGGCGAATGATATGGTAACGGCGTCATGATGGAATTGGGTGCGAGGTGCGTACGCTTATGTATTACTATGTCGACACAGCGAAATAGCTTTGCTCATGCTCTATTATTTTCGTGTAGACATTGATACTCGATACATGCATCTACAGCATTTGTAAGCATCAGCGCCACCCCCAGAGATCTCAGTATCAACATCAGATACACTGCTTCTACATCATCTTTGCCGACGCTACCGCTCACTTGAGGCTATTTGACCCGGTGTGAGCACTGTTTTTACCAGGACGTCCGTGAAGAGCACACCCTTCATGCATGGGCTTCGTATTATCTATTGGAGAATACCGCACTCTGCACTAAATCTTGGCTACATTCAGGCTCAATAATAATCGCGTGGCCCGAGAGAATCAAAACAGAATCATAGATCTCTCTATCTATGACACATGTTACGATGCTACGGGCCTTCTGGAGCATACTGCACAGATCTCAGACTTGACTCAGCTTAATAAAGCACGGCAGAGTACGGCAGAGCCAATGACGATGGTGTTGGGGCCCTCAAAACGGCATGTATTGTCGAAATAGAAGGTAATCGGCGTTCGCCAAGCCCGCTCACCGCTGCAGTGGACGGACTTTGCATGTGATCGGCTGTCGCTTCAGATCAAGACATGAGTCACCGATTCACTTCCTCAGCCTCATTTCCCGACTCTTGCGACGCAAACCTGCGAAATACGCCATGTTTAGCGCAGGAGGCGTCGAGGACCTTGGGAAAGACATCACGGCTAGTGATGTCTCCTGAACGCTTTGTCTGTTCGAACGCAACTCGCATCAGGATACTGGTGAGACACCTTCCTTCTGGTTCAAGACAGCAGCGAAACAAAGTCGATGTTTTCATCCTGCCTTTGTCGCTGCATCTCTTATTTCTACTGACAATCAACTCGATCGACGAAGTGCAAACTTGAAAAGTATCGTACACTGAAGCGGCGACCAAGAACACCATGGCATACTCACAGCAATTCTCTGATCGGCTTCTGCAGCAAGTCAACGAAACGAACGCTCGCAACCTTCATCTCGAAGCACTACTCGCACAGAGAGATGACCAGCTCGCGCATGCACAGCGTACTTTGGCTGGCCAGATTGGCGGCAGTCTTCCGGCCAGTTTTGACTTCCAGCTCCAGCTTCAGAAGGCTAACGAGCGGGCCTCGAATGCGGAAGCCAACCTGAATAACTCCATCAGTACATTTGACAAGGAATACAAGAAGCAACAAAAACAGATCCGCACTTTGAAGAACGAACTGGAAGCAGCTCGCTGCTCTACCTCCGTGACTCGAGCTCCAGCTTCTACAGAAGAGAGTTCACGGATCATCTCGCTGGAAAAGGAACTTGAAAAGAACAAATATCAACTGCAGAACTTGAAGACGGCCTACGCCGGGCTGCAGAGACAGTTGAAGGCGGAGCAAAGGGAGAATTCTCGGCGACAGAACCTCCCGAGGACAAACCCAGCGAAGGCTGTGTCCATCGGCGATGATGATCAAGATGATGAGGAGCCCGAACCACCACAAATCAAGCAGGAACCCAGGACATCGATCTCGTATGGCTCAAGCAGCATGCTCTCGCCTCCGCCTCCGCCGCAGCTGTCACGACCGCGAACGCGTTCTTCCCAGTCCTCAGTGCCTATCAGTAGGAGAAACCTCACCAGCAGCAATATGGCTGTCACCCTCGCCCATCGCCCAAAGGTAGACTCCAACACGACCCGAGAAAGTAGTGCCATCCTACCTACTTCGAATAAGCGGCGTCGAAGCACGTATGGCGAGGACAATCTTCAGGAAAATCTCGAGGGGGTAGCTGACTCTGACCGTGACGATCCTGCACCTTCTCGAAAACGCACCCGCGGTTCTCGCGGTAGCATTTGGCTCACGGACTCCGGCCCTCGCGACGACGACCACGAAGATCTCAAGCGCCGCCTCTCGTTCCTGGGCATCACAAGCTACGACGATCAAGGCCGACCCGGTGGCTTCAACGCGCGCGAACTCGATGACTGCATGCCCATGCTTTGGGAGCGCATTCGTATGATAGTGAATCTGTGGGAAGAGAAAACGGAGGCTTGGAAGGAGACCATCGAAGATAGGGTGAAGATGAGCAAGAGCAAGACTCCCATATGCGTCTCTTCCAAGTTGAAGATTGAGGGGAGAGAGCATGGGAATTCGAAGTGGCGGGAGGGCTGCGAGGGGAAGTATGCCTGCCGTAAATGCGTGGAAGAGAATGTGCCGTGCTTCACCTGGACGGGAGAGGAGTTTCGACTCTTGCCGCTGCATAAGATGGATCGGAAGTATCCTGATAGAAAGGATCATGAGATTCGTTTCTGGTTGAATGAGGCTTGAAGGTGATGTATAGTGGATCTAGGCGGAGACAGTATAGGTCTTGGATGAACGGAGGACGAATTGGATCGAGAGAGAACTGAGCGTAGACTGGACTGGTCTGGCTTCGCTCTCGTCGAGGGTCTTGGGATTCACATATGTATTCCGATTTCAATTCCGAAAGACTCACTTTGGAAAAAAAATTGAATCATACATGTTATTGGTCGCAATCGCTCCTGCTGAACTTGGACAGGATGAGATTCAGGGGCAGACGCAGCTGCCTCACCATGAGTTCAACTTCCTCCGCACATGCGATCTCAACCACGCCTTCTGCATTGCGCTTACCGCCTTGGATCTATGTGCAGACAAAATACCCGACAGCATGATCCTCCAATCGTACCCAAGCCACCGCGTTATGCAGAGCTATATGTTCATTACTTCATTACTCCCCGACGACATCCGTTCATAATGGCACCTACGAACAGAAGCAGTGCATCCAATGAGCAGCAACATGCATCTCAGCCCAGCCTCCAAGTCCCTGCGACTCCAAACAGGCACGACTCCGTTGCTCCGAATCATTCCGAAGAGCACTATTCACAGGACATGAAAGATTCCCTCCGCAGTCTTCGCAGAGCTCGAGAGGCGAGCGGGGAGAATGACGGAGACCTCCAAGAGCACGTGAACGGTATTCTGGCAGAAGTCGCCCTCATCGGGCCTCTCCTGGAGTCGAGTCGCCAGCACAACGCGAGACAAGCTGCGCTGATCGAGCAGTACGTCGAACAGGTGGCTGCCTTGAACGAGGACGCCCAGCGCAAAGACGTCGAACTGGCAGCCATGGCCCCACAGCTGCAGAACAGAGACGAAGAGTTACAACGGCGCATCGAAGACCTGCAGCTCGATAACCAAGCCAAAGCCGCCAGAATCCAGGAATTCGAAAGCAAAATTGCAAGGCAAGCTGCGCTGACCGAGGAGTACGCTCACAAGATGGCTACCATGAAAGAAGAGTCTCAGAGCAAAGACGGCGAACTAGCGGCCATGGCGCAGAAGTTCCATGACAGAGAGAGGGAGCTACTACACTGGATCGAAGTGCTCCAGCTCGAGAACAGAACCGTGGTCGTCAGGAATTAGGAATTTGAGGCCCATCAGAAGGAATTGGAACGACGAATTGAAGAGGCCTCACGTCTGCACCATACAAGGAGCAACTTTTCGGAGGCAGAATTTGAAGATTTGAAGGCACAAAAGCTGGAGCTTGAGAGTGTTCTGAAAGACGCAAAAGCACGCGTGGTCGACGTTTATCATTTGTATGATGCTCGAGATCGCGAGTGTGACAGCTTGTGGGCCACGATCGCGAAGAAGAACAGCTTGTTGAAGATCATGGCAGACAGGCCTTCCGAAGCAGATCTCGTTATCCAGAGTACGGCGCTCCAGATTCTCGCACTATTGAGAACCAAGTACAGCAAGGGAGGCTGCACTGTTGAGGATTTCAAGGATGAGATCGCAAGAGCTATGGATGCACAAATTGAGAAGCGCGCGGAGAAGAAGCTGGACAAGGCCACGAAAGCTCGTCGTTCGTCTGCGCCGTCTCTGTCATCTGACTCCGCGCTCTGCGAAGAGCGCTGACTGAGTTCAACGCGCGTCGCTTCAATCTTTATTTGGGGCCCCGCCAGGATAGGTTGATGATGGTATATACTCGCCCAGTCGTTGATGGAGGAAAGGAGTTTTGTGAGTTTGGTCAGAAACTCAATGGGTTATCAATATTGCACAACAGAATGCAAATCGTACATGTACATATGCGTCTTTCTGCCTGCCTCAGAATTCTTCCTGCTCCTGGAAGAACATGGTGAAGCTTATAATCGTGCCGTAAATCAAGAGGCCCCCAACAATGCTCATGGCCATTGCCGGAATGGGAATCTTGTCGCAGTGTGCCAGAACAACCGGTAGCGCTGCAATCGCCCGTAGTCAGCAACTGATGCATAATCCGTTTCCCGCTGCAGATACGTACCTATCCCCATGACGACCAGAAAGCCTGTAATCAACCTCCCCAGCTCCACGATGCTACTGCTCCCATTGTCCATGAAATCATCGCGCGATTGGGCTTTGGCGCATATCCAGTTGGGTACCGGGGCGAGTACGTAGGTTGCGACCACGAGGAGGGTGAGGTGTTTCTTGTAGATGGCGGACGAGAGGATGACGAGGAGGAAACCGATTGCTAGGATCTATGTACACATTGTCAGCAGGCGGGAGAGAGAGGTCTAGGAACGTTGTGGTATTCTTACGAAGGAGAGGACGATGATCGTCTTGAGGCCTGCCATGCCCGTTGGTCGCGAGATGGAGCGCGAGGTGCTGCGTGTTGGGGTTCGACTCAGCTGGGTGCCTAGAATTGCCGTGGGATCCGTATTACTTGTACGCGGTTGTCGAGAAGAGTCGTTGTGGTTGGTTTGGGAGGTGGTAAGGCAGCTGCGGCAGTGGGCTTTGGGTGACGTTGGCTGGCTGTCGCGTGCAGTCCCGTCTGGCGGCTGACGGGGAGAGCCGAGCCGAAAGCTACAAAGCTAGGCGGATCCGACCGGATCGCGGCTGGCGAGCATGTGAAGACGGGATGGCACACAATGATAGTCTCCTTCCAAGTTCATACGGCGGGACATATTCAAGTTTGACCCTACTAGTGAGAGCAATGAAGCAATGGGTTAGGAGACGACATTGAGTTGATCGTTCACATCCTTGGACGTTGCGAAGAAACTATCACGGACGATGTTCTTCGCGACGTGGTACTTATTCTATCGAGATATTGGAGGTTTCGTTGAGTATAAAACATGGCCCCCGACACCGGGGTTCCATTGCGCGTCCAGTAAAGGGCTCGTAATACTCCTAGGTTGTCAGGAGATGCTGCCGGTGCGAAAGCCGAAATACGAACACCACCGAGCTGCTTCCTGTGTCACAGGAGATGAATAACCATCAATAATTGAACGGCCCGGCTGAGCTCAATAAGTATTGGCCTCCTTCCGGGTGTAGAAAGGTACTCGGTAGTCGTGTTGATCGAAAAAGGAACGCGCAGAGTGGCAGGTGGATGTTCGGGCAAAGTCGTGACGTGCCAGTAGCCGGCAGGAGCCGTGGGCTGGGCCAATGGGGACGGCGACAATCCGATAGCTCCAGAGATTCTGCTGCCGACAACATCACGCCGTGAACACACCCACCACCGCTCAATTGCACCCAACACGCCAGCACCACCCGTCTGGTCACGCTTCGGATCTCCTCGAGGGCTCCCTCACTCGATTGATACCCTTCTGAACTCTCCGCTCTGTCTCCCAATCCGCCGTCACAATGCTCCGAACAACTCCTCTCCTGCGCCAACTCCCTGCCTCGCTGCAGCACACCACGACCCGGACCACCGCCGCCTTCCTTACTCCTCTCGCGCGGAAACAGCAATCACAGCAGCAGGTCCGATGCGCACACGCCATCTCCAACCCGACCCTCGCCAACATTGAGAAGAGATGGGAGGCCATGCCTCCTCAGGAGCAGGCCGACTTGTGGATGGCATTGAGAGATCGCATGAAGGTGGACTGGAACGAGCTTACTCTCCAAGAGAAGAAAGCTGGTATGTTGATATTTTCGATGCTATCTCGAGCAATGCACGGGGCTGGTATGGACGTTGGGGAGCCTCGGGAGATTGTCGGCTGCTCACACGACAGCTGGAAACAGTCCTGATGCAGGATGGAGAGCTCAAAAGTAGGCAACAATCGCTGACAATCTCTCAACTAGCATACTGGATTGCTTTCGGTCCACATGGTCCACGTGCGCTCCCACCACCTGGTGAGGGAACCAAGGTTTTCCTGTACACCATACTCGGTGTCGGCGCTGCAGCCGTTCTTTTCGGCGTCACTCGCTACTTCGCTCGCGGACCACCAAGCACATTGAACAAGGAATGGCAAGAAGCCACGAATGCATACGTCAAGGTAAGCGGCGCATTTCGCTGTCGAAACACTGGGCTCACACCCTTGAATCGTCAATCTGCGGCCGGGCGAGCGGATCACGGCAGCGGTCAGGAAGTCTTTCTTCTGCTAACACAGCTTTGTCACACAGGAGAACAAGATCGAGCCCATCACTTTCGCCGGCGGCGAAAACTACAAGGGCCCTGGACACGTGCAGAGCGCACCGAAGCCCAAGGAGTAGAATACACCCTACCCACCGATTCGATGATAGACGGCGATGTTGTATACTTGGACTTCGTAGAGCAATTATCGCATACTCTACACCCATGCGACGACTACCCGCCGAACAAGAGCCATTCCCTTGCGTTGACTACTGTAGAACGGGATGCAAAATGGGAGAGTCAGGAGAGGCTTGTATCTTACACTTTTCCGACTGCAGCATTTGCCACTGTATAAAGGAGCGATTACGGCAACATCAAATCCACCTCAATATTACTCGGAGCTGACTAGTCCATTTACTCACCACCTCGCCGCGAGCCCGGTTTGTACGGAAATGTCTTCCGATAATGCTTGGCGATATCCCTCCGCGTTGTCACCCACACTCCCTCCTTTTCCGAGATATATTTCATGAAGTTGCGAAGCGCTTCCGCCCGACCGGCCTTCCCGGTGATGCGGCTATGGAGAGGAATGTTCATCATCTTGCCGCCTTCTCGGTACAGCATGTCAAACGCTACGTGACACGCACAGTAAGCAAATGTCTTCACATGCGAGAAACCTTTCAACATCAATCAACTTACTGCTCTTGAGATACTGTTCGTAGAGCTGCCCGCTACTTGAGGTAAAACCAGGCGCCATGTGGAATTTGCCATCATTGCAGTCGTAGTTGTACGGCTAATGGATCACGTTTTTAGCTCTCGACCAAGGCCACCACTTCACAAGGTCGTTCGGGATAACTTACCACCAACAACATGCCCTCCTTCTCTTCATCTGGACTGTTCTCTTCATACGGTAAATCGACCCAGTAGGGTACATCGTCATTGTACACCTCACTCGAGTACAACAACTTCGGCGTTCCCCACTCCCTATTCATCTCCTTGAACAGCTCTGGAAGCATGCCCGGAGTATTGACCGTTGAGCGACCAAAGTATATTCCAACAGGAAACTCTCCCGTAATCTCCTGGAGGAGTCTCTGCGAATCTTTGACATACTGGCGATCTTCCTCGTGCGAGAAATCCCAGAAGTCCAACCATCGAAGACCATGGTTGACGATCTCGTGCCCCGCTTTCTTCACGCAATACTCGCTGAATTCAGGATTAAGCTGCATCGCTCTTGCGACTGCGAATACGGTGATTTGCCAGCCGAACTCTTTGAACAAGCGCATGAGTCTCCAGACTCCTACTCGGGATCCGTATTCGAAGTCTTGCTCGGCGTTGAGGTAGCGTGCCCCGGTTCGGTGACCGCCTGAGCTACCTTTTTCCCAGAGGTAGGGTTCGCTGTGGGCGTCTCCTTCGAGGATGCTGCGTTCGCCCCCTTCTTCGTAGTTGAGGACGAACGAGACGGCGATGCGGGCTTCGTTTGGCCATTGACAGTTATGGGAGGCGGCGCCGAAGCCTTCGAAGTCTCGTGGGAGTTGGTATTGGGGGAGAGGAGGGGACATTGTGTGCTTGAGTTCTGCCTTTCTGTCCAGGAAAGAAACACCCAGTGAAGCTGATAGCTACCTTTGAAGAAGACGTGGAAGTGGATGCGGTGGAGAATTACTTTGTGTTCTTTAGGAATTGAATTCCTACCTTGTCTTGTGCTGCAGTACTATCGTCCTGTTGATTGTCGATCGCCGTACTGCTCGAACCCTAGCAAGTAGATATTTGTGTGAGAGTTGCTCCTGCCTATCTCGGTGGAGAGCTTGGCTGCGGGCAAGACTCAACACCACAAGGAGCTTCCCAGCCACACCATCTGCACTTCGTCCCACCTCCATCTCACGGCATCGAATAGGCGAAAGCATGATAAGCTGCCCTGTACCTGCGCATCTCCCGATCGCGGGCGACATGGAGAGGTTGTTATGGCCGCGGCGCACCTCTATGGAAGCCTGGGATGATGGGTGATGAAGTAGAGCAGGTAGGTCCTCTCCCATGTCCTATTGGCAGTCTTACGATCATTCGAGGCCCGCAGAATGTCTGTCTTCTCTGTCGACCCTAGATCTGGAGGCGCCGTTACCACGGAAGTGCTGGATGAAGTGTGCAAGAGCTTGGGAGTGAGGATCAAAGACGAAGAGAAGGAGGATTATAGAAAGCTATTGGCGGTCTTCGATGAAGGTGCGCAGGAGCTGATGGCGATGGAAGGTGAGATAAGAATACGCTGCGATGCAGGAAGCGAAGTGCTCAATTCCGGATCTCAGACTACGTCCCGCAGGTCGATCTCGAGCGCTTCCCTCGAAAAGATGTCCGCCAGATTGACATGGCAAATAACACGCATGGAGCTTGGGCTTGGAGATGCAGCGTTCAGGACACCAAACCGAACGATGGTCTCTTGGCTGGCAAAACAGTAGCCTTGAAGGATATGATCAGCGTCAAGGACGTGCCGATGTTGATGGGTACGGAGTTTGTCACTGGATATGTCCCGAACATGGACGCGACTGTGACCACCAGGATCTTGGAAGCGGGTGGACATATCACTGGTAAAGCTGTATGTGAGAACCTGTGTCATTCTGCAACGAGCCATTCGTCGGGGACTGGCGTCGTGGAGAATCCTCATGCGAAAGGCTATAGCAGTGGAGGAAGCAGCAGTGGAAGCGGAGCCCTGGTCGCATTGGGCGAAGTGGACATGAGCATCGGTGCTGACCAGGGCGGAAGCGTGAGGTATATTGGTCGCTCCAAGAACTTCAGCACGTCGGAAAGCTGAACCTACTCACGCAGAATACCTTGCACCAACTGCGCTATTGTTGGCCTAAAACCGACGTTTGGTCTGATCCCATATACTGGCTGCGGCAGCAACGAACCCACCAACGACCATCTAGGGCCTATGACAAGGACAGTGCTCGACAACGCTCTTCTACTGCAGGCGATTGCAGGCTCAGACAACATCGACGATCGAAGCTTCGCAGCACCATCCCCAGTCAACATTCCCAAGTATCACGACAGTCTTCAGACTCATGATGGTGCAAAGTCTCTCGAAGGCACGAAGATCGGCATCATCAAAGAATCCCTGTCTACGCCGGTACTAGATCCCAGAGTAAAACAGTGCTTTCTCAACGCTGTCTCAGGCCTCGAGAAAGCCGGCGCCACTGTCGATGAGGTCTCTATTCCAATACACACCCAGGGCTTGAACATTTGGACAGGCGTCAGCAAAGTCGGCGGCTACCTGACTAAAGTAACTGGATATACTGGCCGCAGAGGCTATATCATGCATGATCTCAATACCCTCTTCTCCGCCGCACTGCAGGATCAGGACAGATGGGACAAAGCCTACGTTGCGAGCAAGAATATCTACCTCAATGGCGCATACGCGGAGAAGATGTATCCTGCTTTGCAAGCTAAAGCGACCAACCTCTCGCGGAAACTGAGAGATGCCTACGATGCTGCTCTGGAAGACTACGATGTCCTGATTACGCCAACACTTCCTTATGTTGCTACAAGCCACCCAGTGCCGGAAGCCTCGCCATTGGAACAGATTAAGAAACAGGTCGGCTTGGTCAGTAACACTTGTCAGTTCAATCAGACAGGGCATCCAGCCTTGACTCTGCCGATTGGGAGATTGACACCTTTGGAAGGACCTGCTGCTGGAAGTGAAGAAGTGAAGCTACCTGTGGGGATGCAGATTGTCGGGAAGTGGTGGGCGGAAGAGACCGTCTATCGTGTTGGTTACGCATGGGAGTCTGCGAATGATTGGAGAGAGATGTGAAGTGCGTGAACAACACGATTCCACACCTGTCTGCAAATACCCTGCCGTTGTCAATCAGTCATACACCGCTTCCGATTCTACTGTCTGAAAGGGTACAGCCCGTGTCCATGGAGGGGTTGGTTAGCTCCTGACGAATTACATGTTGTACAACATCTGCCGATGCAGGAACCACTGGACATCCCACATCATAAAGAGGAAGTCACTTGTGCGAAAGTGCTTTCCTTCCATGGTTCAGGTGCCTACTTCGATCCGCGACTTCCCAGGACCATTCGTGTACATATATTCTCCTGTGATCACAAACGCGCTTGCTCACCCCGCCTTCGCTCACAAACATCGCCCAGACAAAATGAACAGCGCTCATCTAGGGAGCACTGGTGGTCAACACGACCTGTTGTGGAGGATTGGACAGCAGATACGAGACCTAGAAGAGCAAGTCGCAGCCACTCGACGTGAGAATGAACTGCTCCAAGCGGCAAGAGACCAAGATGTAGCCCGTTTGCATCAGGAGAAGCAAGAGATCGTGGCGAAACTCGGGGCCAAAGATCGAGTACGCATGAATGGACCACACAGGCAAGGTTCTTAATCTAACAGATTTTCGTAGGAGCTCGAAGACCTCCACCATGCACACGATCGCCTCGGCGAGCAACATCAACAACAAACAGTCCAGATTCGAGTTCTCAAGGCAAGGATAAGCGTACCCAACGCGTGACTAGGCTCCCGACTAATGCTATCTCAGGGGAAACTTCAAAGAAAACCCCCAGCGGCACATGAGCGAGACAGTCTCCAACCCGATACCCAAAGCCCACATTCAGATTTCGCCTCAGAGAACTCCATCTCGAGACCTTAGCTACCCAAAGGACGTGGAGATGAGCATCGAATCAAGACCTACCCGACCAGACATTGGGAAGACGCCCAGTTTCCGACGCCTACTCCATGAAGGCGATGATGGTTACGTTGACATGTTCGACGGAGGTCGCGTCGCCGCTCCTGAGCTCCACCAAGCTGCCCTACGTTTATGGCGTAATCCAAAGGCTATCAAAAGAATGACTGTTCTGTGCCAACCCGAGTGGAAACTTACTGGAATAGCGGGTCTTCTTAAGGAATCTGATATCCACAAGGAAAAGATGGCAGTGGTACAGCACAAGAGCATCACAACCTCAGCAAACTACCCTGGACATGGAGTGATGGAGGACCGGTGGATGCCAGAGCAGGAACGAGCGGAGCAAAGCACTGTAGAACCACAGCTGAGCACTCATAAGGCTGTTCCCGGTGTACACCACGGCCTTATCAGACCCAAGAAGCGACTCGCCAGAGAAAATCTCCCACCCGGTCTTGCAAGCCAGTCAGACCGCCGTCGCGACAGCCTCTTCTCCAGCGACCCGACGTATTCAGAGCCCAGAGGAGTAAAGCGGGCGGTATCTCCGGAATTAGAAGAGACACAACGTCTCCGTTCCCCAATCTGCGTCCGCTGCTGGAGGGATAATTCCGCTTGTTCCGGAACAGAGCGCTGCGTCCGCTGCCAGAAGGGAGCAAGTGGAGGATGCGTTTACAAACACTGCAATGAAGGCCTCAACTGCAGAAAGCCTTCGTGCCCGTACATCCACCCTGGCCAGGTCGAGAACGAGTGGACTTGGAACATTGAAAATGGCGAGATGGAGAATAGGGCATCTTATCACAAGAGCGCGGTCGCTGATCCTCGTATAGTCGATGCCGCACCGCCAAACGCCACAAACCACCACGCAGGGCTTCAGGTCTCGAGCGTCACTAGCGGCGAGATTGTCGCTTTCACGAGCTTGACTTTTCATCGATCGCAGCTCTACTCTGCTGTTGCTGTCGACCCGAATCACGCCGTTCCCCTTCCTCGCGACAAGACTAACCCGATCTGCGTACACTGCTGGAAGACAGGCAAGAATTGCGATCGGGGCGACAAATGTAGCAGCTGCCGAATGGATGAGGTGCAATGCGTTCGAATACGTTGCGGCCTTGATAGGCATTGTTACAATCGCAAATGCCCTCTCGTACACACTGGGCAGTATGGCAAGGGAGCCATTGTGCAAGATAGTCATTTGGGCACGAAGGGACGATTCATCGACACACACCATCCTGCGAGATATTAGAGCAGAATCAACACGACTCTAGAGAATACAGATGGGAGAAAGTGATCTGTTCCGCTGGGGTTTTGTTGAAAAAGGGGTGGCGGACGCTCGGGAGAGACCTCATGTCGTACAACGCTTGAACCGCATTGATACTTCATAAGCGTCTCAGCAACAAAGACTGAAGATGAGGGTAGAAACAGAAGGTGAGATAGCGAGCATTCCCGTTGTTTCCCCTTCAATTCATTCACTTCAGTTTCAGTTTCATCCCTGCATCTCGGCTGGCCCAGCAACTTCCGCGCTTTAGCCGACAGATCTTGGACCCCCCACTCCGATATAAAAGTGCAAATGGACTTCCCACTTCCCACTTCACACTCGAACCTTTCATCCTAACAAAGCTCAACGGACTTGCCCGGGAAATGGAGGGCTTTTCGGACGGCGACCCGGACATTCCACTTCTGGGACAGATTGGCCAGCAGATTCGTGGCCTGAGGAACCAGCTTGCTGCCGCGCGCCGAGAGACCGAGCACTTCAGCGAGAGGTTGCGGGCGAGTGAGCAGGAGAACGGCGATTTGCGACGTGAGAAGGCCGAATCGACGCGACGAGCTCAGGCCATTGATCAGGTAGGTCGACAGGGTGCAGTCGAAGCTCAGAGGCTGCAGGTGGGCATGTTATTGGCTTGGCAGGGCAGATTTGCTGACTCGGATTTCCCTCTATTACACAATAGGCTTCAAGCGACCTGCAGAAGGCATGTGATGATCTGAAAGAGGAGCTGCGGCTGAAGGAGACGGCGACGCGCGAGTTGGAGGTAAGGCCACGCCATCGGTGCATGCACGCGTTACTGGTGTGGTATGGTATGGTAACATCATCTTCTAGGCGAAACTCGAAGAGGCGTCCCGGAACACGGTACCTGCCTTATTGGACCACGACGCAGGAACCGGCCGTGGACAACAACAAGTGCGACAGAGCATCGAGACGACTCGGCGGCGGCCACGAGCCATAGCACCGGGATTTGTTCGCCTGGAGCACGAAGGTGACAAGCATTATGTTGACATGTTCGACGGGCACAAGGAGCCCAACCCACAGTGGCATAATCTCGATCTTCAGGAATGGCGTAACTCCAAAGCGCTCGGGAAGCTCGACCCAGTGCGGCCATGTGTGTGGAAATACTCTGCGATTGCAGGTTTGCCAGATGAGCGTGGAGACGCGGACAAGGCAAAACGAGGACATCGCCGGATGGTGGAAGATACGCAAGCAAGCCGGCCTCGGGACTCGGTTCTAGATGGTCAGCAGGCAACTAGGAAGGCAGACGGAGCGTGCGGCATACCAGAATATCGGCTGACTGCTCATGGCGGCAATAAAGACGCGAGGGAGCGCTTGCAAGTCTCTGCACCTGACCGCGACGCTACTGGAGACATCTTCACGGACGGTGCTCACTCTCGTGATAGATCTCAGACGGATGACATGAGCGGCACAAGGCTCCGACTGTTCGGACCCCGTCGTGACAGTCTGATTCCCACAGAAACCGTGCAGTCAGAGCACAGAAGCATCAAGAAGCGCGCCGCGTCTCCTGAATCAGAGGAAGCGATGAGCGCCCGCCACCCGAGATGTGTTACTTGCTGGAAGCTTGGACTGAAGTGTTTCACACCAGACACAGGGCGGCATTGCACCAAATGCAAAGGCAAGGGAATGTGTGTCTTCAAGCGCTGCAAGCACGGCCTTGGCTGTCGAAGCTCCCATTGCCTGTACGTACATCCAGGGCAAATCGACGAATCGAGATACATTGTGGAGGATGGGTCCTTCGGGGAGAAGCGTGCGCGTCAGGAAGATCAGCCGGGCTCTGCTGCGCGAGTTCCATCGCCTGAAGAGGCAACGAATTCGACAAGAGGCAAAGATAGGCCACGACAGCAGCAGCCTGTATGCGTACGCTGCTGGAGGGGTAGCAAGTGGTGCCTGGGAGGACCTCGCTGCAGCAGTTGCAAAGAGGCTGGTAGTCAATGCATCTACAAGCACTGTCGACACGGGCTGGCGTGCATGAAGAAGAAGTGCGTGTACATGCACCCCGACCAGTACGATCCCCACCAGGTGGCTTGGCAGGTAGAGGCAGGAGACCTTGGGGTTAAGAACAGCGAGATGGGCAGCCAGTCGACCACGCGCCGGACCAACGATGTCCTCCATCGCAAGGCCATCTGCAAGGAATGCTTCGAGACAAGAGCGCTCTGCGATTTCGACGATGTGTGCAAGAACTGCCGTATCCTGGAAGTGCGGTGTGTTCGTGTGTGGTGTGACGAGGGAGAGGAGTGTACATCGAGACGATGTCCTGCGGTGCACCCCGGACAGGTGGGCAAGGAGGCCATCGTGGAGCAGGGACGGCTTCGTTGGGTGAGGGGATGAAGAGTTGTATGGCCCGCGAAGCCCAAGCACTGCCTTGGATGCTGATATCTGATGTATGCCCGACGTTTGATGATAATGGAAAGGTGAAGTGGTACAATCGGGAGAGTTCTGATAGCGATAGGGTCTGGTCCGATCACGTTGCCGGCATCTGGCCCGGCCCGAGTGGAGATCTCCACCGGGATAAGCTCGAGTCTCGGGTGTGGGGGCAAGCTCAAGCCTCACACTTTGCGCTTCCTCTCCACTCTTGCTTCTTCCTTCCTCTTTCGGTCTATCTCCTCTGTAGATCAGGCACTCTCCCCAAGCCACTGCCGTGATACCACAGATACCGTGATACTGTCGCCATGGCAAACACACGCGGCAGGAGACGCTCGCCGACACGCACATTCGTACGCGTTCATTGTACGACACCGTACATGGACGATGAGGCAGGTCACCTTCCATCTCGTCTCATAACATCTCTTACCTCCCCGTCTCAAAGAGAGCATGGCATCCTTATGGACTGCCTCGGCGCTCCTCCTGACCCTCACCGCAGCCCAGTTTGTCCCAGCTCCGACCGATCTCACCACCACCAAGGGCAATCTTGGCCTCTCCGTCCGATGGAAACAAGTCCCTTACGGAACATGCGAACTCACACCCGGCGTCAAGAGCTATAGCGGCTATGTCGACATTGCGGAAGATCAGCATGTCTTCTTCTGGTTCTTCGAAGCGAGGAACCAAGACCCCGAAGAGGCTGAACTGTCGGTTTGGATCAACGGAGGGCCGGGCAGTTCTTCCATGATTGGATTGTTTGAAGAGTTGGGACCGTGCAGGGTGGACAAGGACGGCAACGTCTACGACAACCCGTATGCTTGGAAGTCAGTATACCACGAGAACACACCCATTGGCATCGGATAGGCTGACAACGGGCGCAGCAATGTCTCCAACATGCTATTTATCGATCATCCAGCGCAAGTCGGTTTCTCATATTCGACCCCAATCCCTGCCTACACCTCCGATTCAGGCGAAATCATCCAGCTGCCCGATACCTACTGCCCCGACTACGCCCCGGCAGATAGCTGCGGAACATGGTCCAAGCCCAACTTGACGGACACGGCCAATTCAACCACCGCGGCAGCTCCCAGCATGTGGAAGACCTTGCAGGGATTCATGGGCGCATTCCCACAATACTCTCGGCAAGACTTCAACTTCGCAACAGAGAGCTATGGCGGTCACTATGGACCAATCTTCAACGCGTATCTTGAGGCTCAAAATGATTTGATCAAGAAGGATAAGCTGCCAGGAGCGAAGTGTATCAACCTAAAATCCCTACTCATTGGGAATGGCTGGTATGATCCACTGGTGCAATACGCCGCTTACTACAACTTTACGGTGTACCCGGGCAACACATATGACTACTCGCCCTTTAACAAGAGTGTCCAGGAACAGATGTACAATTCCATGTACGGTCCAGGCAACTGCTACGACCAGACCGTGGATTGCAACACTCGTGGCATCAATGAGATTTGCACAAATGCCGATAACTTCTGTGCCACTGAGGTGGAGTCCGTATGTGCTCACATGCCACCCCAATGGTGATCATGTCTAACGATTTTGACTCTGCAGGTACTGGACAACATAGCTGGCCGAGACGAGTACGATATCCGCGAGCTTACCCCAGACCCTTTCCCGTACAGCTACTACGTCGACTACCTTAACACTCCAGCATTTCAACAGGCAATCGGAGCCTACACAAACTTCACCACCTCCAGCTCTGCCGTCGGCAACGCGTTCGGCAGCACAGGCGACGATGACCGCGAAGAGGGAACCGTCGAAGCCGTCCGCTCCCTCGTCAAACAAGGTGAACCCACCCCCCACAAACCACTTCCTCCCAGATCTCTCGCATTTCGATCAAAACTGACGAACGATACTGTACCCTCTGCTAGGAATCTACGTCATCCTCTACGCCGGCGACGCCGATTACAACTGCAACTGGCTCGGCGGTCAGGTCATCGCCAACCACGTCTCGGCCCCCGGATACGCTTCCGCGGGCTACACCAACATCACCACATCCGACAACATCGTCCACGGCCAGGTGAAACAATCTTCCAATTTCGCCTTTGCTCGCATCTACGAATCCGGGCACGAAGTCCCCTTTTACCAACCCCTCCTCGCGCTCGAACTGTTTGATCGTGCGATTCATGCAAAGGACGTCGCGAGCGGCGTGTTCGACATTTCCAAGGAGTGTGGCTATCTGACCAAGGGCACGCCCGAGAGTTTGTACAGAGAGGGGAATGCGACGGTGCAGTTCACGGTCCTGCCGAGTGATGCTACGTATAACACGACGACGAATATGCCCAACCCCACGAATGCGACGGGCAACAGCAGCTCCAGTGCGGCTGCGGCGGCTCGGAAGCGTGGGATGATGAACAGCAGCAGCAAGAGATGGCAGCAGAGCGAGCGTGCATTCAGGCCTTCATACATACAGGCCGGGAAAGCTCGGTCGGCGGCGCGATTGGATCTGTAGGGGCAGGATATTGCATGCGCAGCAATAGATATATCTACAGCGTCATCGAGATAAGACAGAACAAGCAAAACGGCATGGAATCTCTGGGTTGTCTATTCAACGCATCGCGCATAATCGTTGTGGAAGCTATCGAAAGTAGCTGTCACATTTTCTTTACATTCGTCATCTTTTGCTCATGATGATGATATCTCCCGCGAGAAAGTCGCACTTGAGAGGAAGTGAAGAGAGCAGACTCCTCGCTGGCTAACTGGCATTGCTTGCTTGGGCTCGCCTGTAAGAGTGTAGGGTGCTGTTTCTCCGTGATTTGCTTAGGCGTTGCCATCCTTCTTGGCGATAAAGGCCAGGAGGTCAATGACACGGCGAGAGTAGCCCCACTCGTTGTCGTACCAGGACACGAGCTTGACAAAGTTCTTGTTGAGCGAGATGCCGGCCTTGACGTCGACGATGGAGCTGTGCGTGTTTCCGTTGAGGTCGGAGGAGACGATGTCGTCCTCGGTGACATCAAGAACGCCTGCCGTACATTAGCCAACTGTACAAGTCGCAAGTTCCGATTTGCAATGCTTACCCTTAAGCTCGCCCTGGGATGCAGCCTTGAGGGCGTCGATGATCTCCTCGTAGCTGGCGCCCTTCTCGAGACGGCAGGTCAAGTCGACAACGGAGACGTTGGAGGTTGGCACACGCATCGACATGCCAGTGAGCTTGCCGTTGAGGGATGGGATGACCTTGCCGACGGCCTTTGCGGCACCAGTGGAAGATGGGATGATGTTCTGAGCAGCGGTACGACCTCCACGCCAGTCCTTGCCGGATGGACCGTCGACGGTCTTCTGAGTGGCAGTGTAAGAGTGGATGGTGGTCATGAGACCCTCGATCATGCCGAACTTCTCGTGCACGACCTTGGCGAGAGGAGCCAAGCAGTTGGTTGTGCAAGAAGCGTTGGAGATGACGGGGATGTCGGAGGTGTAGCTGTCCTGGTTCACGCCCATGACGAACATGGGAGCGTCGGCGGATGGAGCAGAGATGACGACCTTCTTCGCACCGCCCTTAAGATGGGCCGAGGCCTTCTCGGTAGTGGTGAAGACACCAGTAGACTCCACGATGTAGTGGGCGCCAGTCTCGCCCCATGGGATGGCAGCGGGGTCCTTCTCCATGTAGAAACGGACCTTCTTGCCGTTGATGATGAGGTCCTTGTCCGAGATCTCGATCTTGCCGTCGAAGATGCCGTGGGTGGAGTCGTACTTGAGCATGTAGGCCTACGCTATCAGGTCAACGGTATGCTCACACGCTCTAATACTGCACAGCGTTGTCCAAGGGGACCAGCTTGTGCAAGCTTTGCAAGACTTACGGCGTAGTGTGGCTCAATGAAAGGGTCGTTGACCGCAACAACCTCGACATCGCTGTGCTGGATGCTGTTCGGTAATCGTCAATGTTCTAGCTCTTTCTGGCATCCATGTGATGGCTGGAAGACGTACGCATTGCGGAAGACGATGCGACCGATACGGCCGAAACCGTTGATACCGACCTGCGCGTGGTGTATGAGTACGGGTTTTCTTCCTCTTTCTCAAGCGGTGGGGTGCTTGGCTGTGTTACGCACCTTGGTAGGCATTGCGGCTGTTGAGAAGATGAAGCTGGCGAATTGTTAGCCGGATGCAGTATGTCGAGCTGGAGGCGGAGGCGTACAGTGGTGGAGGATATGTGTTTTGGGGTGAAGTGGTTGCTGGGAGGGAGTTGTTGTGAGAAGAAGATTTGCTGGGAGGGAGGTTGATTTCAAGTGGGCTGGCGGGGCTCTCGGGACTTACTTCACTGACGATACGTCTGACGCTATGACGCAGGACGGTACGTGCACTTGGTCTCGTTGTTTATGCTTCAGATGGCACAGCAGAAGAAAGAAGAAAATTGAAGTCCACGGGGCAAGAATCACTCTCCCTCCTCGGCAAGCACAGCGGACTTGTCCTGATCTAATATATCCCGTCGTCCGCAATCGCATCCCTCGCAGCCGCATTCCCCATCCGAGCTCCCCGGCCGATGCGTTACCATACCGCTGCTCTCCGTCTTGCCCCGACCCGTTCTCGTCGCCTGCCTCCTGTTCCCCTGATTCCTCCGAACATGCATCTCTGGCTAGCCGCGGAGTCTCTCCAGGGCATATCTTGACTTCATCTCTTCAATTCCGTTGCTCTATGACACTACATAACTTCTGTGATGAGTGTTCTGCAGGTCCAAAGGCGCACTGGAGACGCTGTTGAATCGGTCCTATTACACATCGAAGCCAGCTGATAGCGCGGGCACTCTACGGGCTAAGCCTCTCAACATTTTGGGTCTCCTCCATTCCCGGAATTGGGTTGATACACTTGCTCCGTACCCCGAGAGGCGAGCTGCGAAATCCATCACGGTTTGATTATCAGCATTCTCCGCCGTGAGTGCCCAACCATCTTCCTGCACCTATCGTTTCAAAGTCCGATGTCCGACAAGGCCAATTTCCAGCCAAGTTCCCAGTGCTTTCAAGTGAGGTAAGGCCGTCTTCTCCTTCTGCTAGGATATTCGTCAGCTTTTTGAGCCTGCAAGCGTTGCCAGTCCGTTTACCTCACCTTGGGCGTTTCCTTTCAACCTCTCCATATGGAAGTCTGCGGCATGCAGCGAGACGGCAGCCGACGGACCAGCAAGGTGCGTACTGGCAGGTGATGCTGCCTTCCTCGCGGCACCGATTGCATCGACAGGCGTCGTCACACAAGGAGGCGTTGCCCGACTGCACGCACGCCAGACACATATGGCGTGCCATGCGCGCCCACGCTTCATGTCTCCCCGGCGGACCAACTGCAGCAGAACAAGGAACGGAGAAGAAAGGTGAAAGACCCTTATGATAATGAACCACCCATCTGAAATTATCGTACACTAAACTTAAGCACTATGCATTACGCATTAACATCCGAAGACCCATTTGGCAGGTGACCAAAGATGTCCGAAAGCGTTCCGTTCGATGATTAGCGTTATCTTTTCGCCTCTTTCCATTCTCTCTCCTCGAGCGCAGAAACAACAGAGCACATCGCAGAAAATGCTAAGATGGGGAGGGTTAAGGCAAGCCAGACTGCAACCTTACTGCTCATAGAGAGGACAAGCGGTCGAGTACAGCAAATCTTGATAGCAATGCCTCTCCAGATCCAACAGCGAGGATGCTTCTCACCCAAAGCTAGGTTTGGCGTAGACAGCGAGGAAACAAACATGCATGTGCAGTGGGTAGATCAGAGTGAGCGTATGGTGACATTGCGTCCAGGTGTTCAGGCTCGCGTGTCCGCGGAAAGCGAGCCCGGCAGTATTGGCGCCTGTCCGGTGTGAGAGACGCTCAGCGGTAAGGACCACCGTAACCGCCGCGACCCATGTATGGGCGCTCATTGCCATAGCCACGGTCGTTGGGGTATGGACGGGCGTAGTCACCGTTGAAGCGGTCACCAGCGAAGCCGTTGTTGTTGCGGCTGAGGGACATGCCAGCCGGGGGTCCTGGACGAGTCGTGTACGCTGGGTTGCAGCAGAGCATGGCAACGCGGGAGCCGTACTTGGAGCCACGAAGGGAGACCATGTGCTTGCGGATGTGAGCAGCGACAATATCACGGCGCTGAGGATCGCCGTTGGTGAGAATGTACTGGATGAGGTAGTTGCCGAATTGATCGCCAGCAATGTCAATGAGTGGCATGCGTGGGCGGTCAGGACGAGCTTCGCAGACGCGGTCAAGGTAACGGTCGAGGAACTCGTTGCCACCGATCTTCAGGCACTTCTCGACGACCTTGGAGGCAAACTGGTCCATGCTGTATTCGGCTGCAAAGCGAATGACGTGGTCAATGGCACGAGTGCGGTCGGGGATGAAGCCATGCTCGCAGATGTGCTGGATGCACCAATTGCCAAATTGACCGTGAGCGACGACGTCAATGCTGGCCATCACCTCGTTGATGCACGGACGCTTGTCCTCCTCCAGGCAATTCTCGAAGATGTTCTGAACCACAAGACTGCCAGTCTCACCGAGAGCAACCTCATGCCACATACCGCGGAGAGCTTCGTTGACGTACTTCATGATCTGTGGAGGCGAGTCGCTCCAGCGGAGCTCGAAGAGCTTCTGCCAGACGTGGCAAGCGTAGCGGTGGATGACAGTCTCTGGGATACGGCGAAGCAGCTCGTGGACCATGATAGCCTTGTACTCTTCCGGCACGCAGTCGAATGCCTTCTGGACGACGTGGCAGCCGAAAGCGTCCATGCTGAGGTTCAGAGTATTGCCGCGGATGGCCTGGGCAATGGCAATGACTTGCTCGGGAGAGCCATGCTCGAAGCAGCGCTGAACGAGGAAATTGCCGAAGCGATTGACCATGAGAGGATAGGCTTGATCGATGATGGCCTGGACAATCTCGAACTTCTGCTCTTGAGTGCCGATCTTGAGCTTCTGCTGCAGGAATATGGATGCCTGCTGATCATTGTTGCAGACGATCTTGTCGACGATGTACTTCCAGTTGCAGCTCATGTTGCGATCCAGCAAGCGACGGTAGTTGAGAGGCTCGGCCGTGCTAGCGTAGGAGGAAGCGGGTTGATGGGACTGCTGCTGCACGCTCCACTGACCACGACCCATGCCGAACTCAGCGGCAGTCGGAGAGAGACGCGTGCCAATAGGGGCTTGTTGAGGATGAGTGGCACCCTGGAGTGCGTACTGGTTCTGATATGGGTGTGGGGTGATGGGCGGTGTGTATCCCGCTGGACGGGTGCCGAAGCCGGAAGCAGGGCGCTGTAGGCCTTGCACAGAGTCGAAGCTGCTACATGTTAGTTGTGCACACCCTCATGAGGACTTTTCGTGGTAGCTTACGACTGATGCTGCGGCATGTTGAAGCTACCGCGCTCGAATGGGCTCGCTGCACGACCGTGGCCGTTGGTCTGCGGGAAGCTCTGCGTGACTGACATGATGTTCTGACTGGGGATGTTGGCGGCCAGGTGTTGAGCAGCAGGAAAGGGGGAGCCGATGGCCTCCTCCATGGTGTGCTGTGCAAGGCGGGACTGCGTGAGTTGTAGATCCATCTGGGCCATGCGCTCGTTGGCGGCCTCGAGTTCCTTCTTCAAGCGGAAGACTTCGGCGGCATCTGGACGGCCGTTGGAAGCGCTCTCGGTGGGTGGCGTGTTGGCGTAGGGGTCAGTGGGAGAGGAAGAGCTGCTGCGGTTCTCGTGCTCCTCGATGTCACGCTTCTGGCGCGAGAGAAGCTCTTGCTGGGCGGTGAGCTTGGCGATGAGCTCGTCGACGGGCGTGTCCATGTTGTGCTGTCGAGGCATGCTGTGTTAGCGAGGGTGTGGTGAGAGAGCGCTAAATGGAGAAGTGAAGTTCGCGTGGGATGCTTAAGTCGCGCGCGTTGCACGCGTAGCACGAGGGGTGACGTACCTTTGGCGATGAAACCATGCGATTCGCGAGCTTGGATGTCGCAAGTGGGAATGGCATGGCGCTGGAGGTGCGCTTTAACATCGGCTGCGGAAACACGAGTCAGATGAGCTTTATGTTTTGTTTTCGTGAAGTGAATGTGTGCGTACCTGGTTGCGCTCGTTCTCGTTGAGGATGGCGAAGGACGCCGAAGCCTTCTTGGTGGGCGAGCCGGTCCACTCCATACTAATGCTGCTGGCGGCGGATACAGTCGATGGCCGGACAGGCGCTGCGGGTGCGGTGGATGGGCAGGAAGATGATGGCACACTCCAAATAAGATGCAGAGATCCTACAGAGATTGTGCAATGCGCGGTGTGGTTACGGAAGTGTTGAAGTCTGGGGTTGTTGTCGAGTTGAAGTGCGATGGAGGATGGAAGAGGGCGGCGATATGCTCGATCGGCAGGGTCGGGTCGTCGTCGTGCTTGCCGCAATGCAGCTACCTTTCAGAAGGCAACCAGGTTCGGCTGGAGAAGGCTCGAGTCGGCAGTTGCGAGGTCGTGGACAGCAGGCGATGCAGGTGCAGGTGCTGCTGGTGGTGTCCTCGGTCGTGACGGGTGTGAGGGAAGGAGGGGAGGAGCCAGGAGGGGGGGGGGGGGGCGGCACATGCGCTTAAATAGGCCTCGCGGTCGATGACGGTGCGTGCGGACAATGGGCCTTCCGCCGGCCACTTAAGGTATTCTTCACCTCTCTGCAATCGAACTACCGGGAAGGCACGCCCCGTCAATGAGGATCGAGAGGCTTATTCCGAAGGGTGAATGAAAGATCGTTGCTATTGTCGATTTCGAGGAGGAAGTCACAGATCACACAAGGTTGCAGAAAGGGGAACAAACGAAGAGCGAAATAAGGTCTCCTCGATTCTACCTACATGTACCGGCTGATTCGCGAAGGCTCGAACTCGTCCAGGCCCATGATCGCTCACTCTGCTGTCACATGCAATCACATGCGGCAGCAAAGGGGTTATTTCAGCGGCCGGATCTCCGAGTGGCTGCTCGGGGGCTGCACTGAGCTGTTTGACATGTGATTGCACACATCGGACCTCACTTCTGCTCACTTCGAGTACCCGTGTGCGCTCAGCCACTCGCGGACAACCTCAAGGTCGCGCTCTCCGTAGCGGGCATTGCCCTTGATCGTGTCGCTGACGACGGCGAGGCCTCGGTCGTAGCCAGTGTTGTCCTTGTCCTTGAAAAAGGCCTCAATGTCCTTCTCCACTTCCGCGCTGGCAAACCGCTGCAATCCTGTTCGGAGGAAGCGCTCCAGCACAACCATGTTGCCGCCGAGCTTCTCCCGAATCATCGGCCACTCTTGCTTGATGTAAGCCCATAGCGTATCACGCAACTTCGAGTTGTTCGCGATTGCCTGGCCGACAGAGTGAAGGTCTTGAATTGCAACATTCCCATCGAATGCAAAGGTGAGATAGTCCTTGGCCAGTTCAGGCGTCTGTACCTGGCCCATGGACTGAAGCGTGATCTCTTTGCCATCAATAGACTTGGTTTGGAGGTATTCTTTCTGAACAGCTTTGTATGCGTCGGGACCTCCGTTCTTGATAGAGATTTTGAAGACGGCAGCTCTCAGATTCTGATTGATGGCCTTTGCATCTCCGCTAAGGAATGCTTGGAAGCGCTTTTGGGCTTCTCCTATCACTTCTTGATGACCGTTGAGTCCAGCCGTGGTGATGAGCAGTGATCGGAGCTGGCCCGTAAGGTAGTCGTCTTGGGGTTTGAACTCCCAGCCAATTTGATCGGTGGCTTTGGTAACCAGCTTGAGCGTGAAGTTGCGCAGCCCTTCGGAGACCTGAGGGTCAGACGAGAAGACTCGTCGAATTTTGCCTAGTGTGGCCAGCACTTCGCTCCAGACCAGATAGTTTGTCTCGGTTACAAAGCCCTCTAAGAATGAAAGGACGGCTGGGGTAGTGCCCTCGCCGGCTACTGCCATAGCGGCAGCGTCACCTATAAGACCAATCTTGTCCTGTACAGACAACTTGTCCAAATGCTTGCTGAGGTGCTCGAGGCGCGCGGGTGGGAGATTTGTCCGGTAAAACCCAGTCTGGTCTGAGTTGACTTTGTAGAAACTTGTGTCAATGTCGCGGTAGGTGTCCTCTTTGGTCGTCAGTGGCTCGCGTTGGGCGTCGGTGGCCTGCGGTCCTGTCTTCAGACCGAGTGGAATCCACCAAACGGTCTCGTCTTCCTCTGGCTTGACCTCTCCTGCGGTCAGGAAGCGGGACTGCTTGACACTAATCTGGCCAGGCTCCTCCGCTACTGTCACCACGGGAAATCCAATCTTTCGAATCCACGGGTCCATGAATGTAGTCACATCCTGACCCGAAGCCTTGCTAAGAGCAGACCAGAGATCGTTAGTAGTTGCGTTGGCGTAGGTATGAGCTTTGAGGTAGTCCGAGACACCCTTGAGAAATGTCTTGACGCCTAGGTGAGAGGCGAGCATGCGAATGACCGAGGAGCCTTTCAAGTAGCTGATGTGGTCGAAGATCTGGTCGACCTCGAGGGCGTTGCGCACAGGTACTTCGATCGGATGGCTGGTTCGCAGGCTGTCCAATTGGAACGCCATTTGCATGCTGTCCGTGACGAACTGCCCCCAAACATTCCAGTCTGGGTGTAGATGATCGACCGCATACCAGCCAACCCAAGTCGCAAATCCTGACGACCATTAGCACAGAAGAGGAATGATTGGAAGGAACAACATACCCTCGTTGAGCCAAAGCTCATTCCACCAGTCCATTGTGACAAGATTTCCGAACCATTGATGTGCGAGCTCATGGGCCACAACGTAAACGACTCGGTTGCGATACTTCTGGTCAGAGGCGTACTCATCGAAAAGCACTGCGGTCGTTCGATAAGTAATAAGACCCCAGTTCTCCATGGCACCGTGCGACTAGAAACTGCGATCAGCTTGTTGAATCCGTAGAACAGCGTGGCAGACGGAAGACGTATAATCGGCTGACGAGCATCCGTCAGTCGCTCGAGATGATGTCGCGAAAATGAGAGCGGAGTTGAAGGAAACTTACAAATTCATGGACTGCAAGCAGATCAACTTTTGGTAAGGGGTAATCGATGTCAAAGATCTATGACCAATTAGCATTGCGTTCCAAGATATGCTTTTGTGGGCTCCTGACCTCCGAGAAGTAGTCGACAATTTGGTGGGCGCTCTCCAAAGCAAGCTGGCCTTGTTGCTTGAGACCTCGGGTGGTGTACACGCGAACAGGCAGGCTCTGGCCGTTGTACTTTCGCCTAGTGAAATCCTCAATGTATTCCTAGCGCATATCAGCAATGTGCCTTTCGACTCCGCACTTACGGTACTCACGAAGTCGCCAAAAGCCCAAGCAAGCAGATACGTCGACATGACCGGCGTGCGGTCAAAGCTAACGATCTTGTGACCGTCCTTGCTCTTGCGCGATCGCTTCTCTGGCATGTTACTCAGAGCCACGAGGTCTTCCGGAATCTCAATTTCGAAATCGAACGTAGCCTTGAGGTTGGGCTCGTCGAAACAAGGGAACGCACGGCGCGCATCGGAGCTCTCGAATTGAGTTGAGAACATATAGTGGTTCTCATTGTCCTTCGCAACGCCCTTAGCCGGCTCTGCAGCAGGCTTATATTTGGACCGATAGAAGCCCGCCATGTGGTTGTTCATAATGCCTTCAAAAGCCACTGAAAGTACGGCCTTGGACGACTGTGGCAGCTCTTGATCGAAGGAGAAGGTGCATCGCTGATTCTTCGCATCGTGGGAGATGTCGGAGGCCTTGAGCGAGGAGGAGTGTTTGCCAGAGTCGACAACGACCTCAGCATTGTGCACTTTCAGCTCGTGAGTGTTCAGCGTTATCGACTTGATCGGCTTCTTGATTTCGACTTCGATGTCGGTCTTGCCTTGGTAGGTCCAAGGCTCGCCAGGCTTGAGGTCGGTGAGGGAGATGGCATAGTTGATGGGTTTCACACTGTAGTGTATTAGAAGCTGTATTTATCCATCTCGTACGTGTGATAGCCATACTCGTCCGCCAGGACGTCTCTGTCCTTTGCCATCTTCGCAGTGAGTGACGAAGCTTCACTCGAGCAGTGTCGAACGGAAGGATGCGTTTGAGGTCGTAGAGCTCGTCTATGCGGATTCTGTCTTCTTCGTGTTGGACGGTAGTTTCTGCCAGTTGGACCGTATGGTAAGGTCAAGGACAATTGGAAAAAGGTGGAGATGGGAGTGAGTTGGAGGTTGTGGCATGGAACGATTGCCCCGCGACAGGCGCGAAAAGCAGTCCCACTTGACTGCAATGCACAACTGAGCCGCCTTCGAGCGAGAGCACCAGCTTGCATTCGGATGACAATCTGGCCACGCTGACGCAGTAACAGGCACGAGCAAACAATCTTCACCTGCCGATGGATGGGAACACGGGATGGGAGCTCGACGCGACCTGACATTGGCGCCTGTCCGAGCTCGGCGAAAGCTCGCTGCCGCTTCGTGAGCACGTGACATAGAAGATGAAAGGCACATGGGATGTATAGAGCGATTCCTCTGTTCAATATTTACTGCTGACGTAGTTCTGCAGAGATTCCTCCTCGTTGAACCCCGAGAGGATAGGTTCGCGCTTCAACGCGCCGTGTGGGTATCTGTGAACCGCCCTCGAATTCCCACCAACGCCGCCCAAATGCCGTCGTCCCGTCGTATCGCTTGATGTCCGCCGTATGCAATCCCATAGTAGACCCTTCGTTTCTTCATAGCCTCACAATGATGTCCACGCACGGTATCCGGAAGTGGCGCTTCTCCAACACACTGCGCAGCCATTCAAATCCGTTGATCGCGTTAGGTACGGTTGCGGCTGCAGCAGGCCCGGATTCTCCTTCAATTCTTCTCTTGACAGATTCCATCGCTGCGCTTGCTAATGATCCGCCGGTTCCGTTGACAGCTGACATGGCCATGTTTGCAGTCTCGAGTACCGCTTGCGAAAGTGTTGCATTTCCGCTGAGGAAGGAGGCCCCTGTCTCGGATATCGTCGAAGGGAGGCTACCAGACCACCGTGGCTCAAACCAGTTGGCATTGAAATCGAAGAGGGAGCACATGAGGGCGAACAGTAGTATTGAGCCTGATTGTATACATGTAAGTTTTGGGCCGCACACGCTCAGGGGTGTAGGGTACACATACAATACACGCAAGGTCGCGTGAGGATGTAGTTCGCGCCCAAGAAGATAAGCACGTAAAACGGCGAGCAGTTCGTTCTTCGGTCGTGTCAGTTCAGGGCCGTTCGTCTGCTGCCTGCAGGCAGAACTTACAGGAAGAAGAGAATGGGTATCCAGCTGCGAAGGCAAAACATTTCTGCGACGGATCGAAAGGGTGTCTGTGGAGTGGCTGATCTAGATTATCTCATAGTGTGCAATCAAACGTGCAGAGGTGATGGTGTACTGGTGCTGGTCGCGTGCTAGCGTGGAGGTGAGCGAGTGACGATGGGCAAACCAAGCGCCTTGGCGCCTGAAAGCTTCTCGACTTCACCTCTTCCTTCTCCCCTTCTCCCACCACTGCCATCATTGGCAACCACTCAGGTTCACTTCCGTTTGCGATGACGCGCGACTTTTGAACTGCACTTCTGATTCTCCAAGGGCCGGAATGTGATTTCGGCGTGGCTATTTCCGATTCACGTGGAAGACGCAACCCAAATACGTTCGAGGATTGGAGCCGTGACATGGGTTCCGGCCAATTCGGTCTTTATCGGCATCCTCAAAGTACAAAGCACGACGACTAGCGAACTACACAAGTCTCTTTAGAATGTCTACGCGCAGGCCTCTCATCTGCTATACTGGCTGCCAAAACGCACACGCTCGATGCTCTTCCTCTCAACGAATCAGAACAAGCTTTGCACCCAGCTGACCTCAACGCCCTCCTTCTTCCTCTTCCTCTACTAAAAGCTAGCTGAGATGCCATTGCTTTGACGAAAGTACACGATACATCTGCCAAGCCTGGTGCACTGTTTACATGTCCGCGCAAAAGATCTCGGTCTGTTGGCTACGAGCATTTTCGGTGGTACAGGACGCGAGCTTGGTCGAGGCACCCATAGTAAGTAATACCTAAGCGCACAATGAAGCTTTTTGACTTTATTACTGGGCATAGCAATCTACCGGACCTCAGCAGATGGACTGCGAGATGGCCAAAACGTCTCACACCAGTAGCCTTAGATGTTACATGTGGTGATTGCTCCACCTTGGCAAAGAATTGTGCCCTCCGAATTTTGCATGTGACAGCGGCATAGACGAGGTGCATTCGGCGTTTCAGATTGTCACAAGTGAGGGCTGCAGCCTAACCTATCACGTCATGGCTCACTTCCAAACCTCACTTTGCTCGAATTATCTTTCCGGTAGCTATTGTATCCTCGTGCCATCCCTACTCGAATTCTTCTCCACAACACCTCCGACACGCTACAAGTCGCCATACTACCTCGCACTTTGCAGACCTACAATCAAGACGCCACCAGGCCTTGAAGCTTCTAAGCTGCGCTGGCTGAAGCATCGCTCCGAGAGGATCACCCGTCTCGACACTGCCGCCAGTATGGCCGATTCGCTCCGATCGCGCCAGGCGACCGGGAAGCGCAAGCGATGCGGCGAAGACGAGAGCAAAGAAGACGTCAAGCCCATCATTTTGTCCGACTCAGACGACGATGCAGGAGATAGTGATGGATCGGACTCTGAATCTACCGACGACGAGGATACGGATCGAAACGAGGGCATTAACGGCCCTTGTGAGCATAACGAGGACGATGAGCCATTTCCGGATTGCGTTGCTTTCGACAAGGATTTTGTTCAGGTCGGAGAAGATCTCACTAGCATCGCCAAGTCTGCTATGGAGATCATCGACGAGAATGGCTGTGAAAGCAGCCGGGCTCAGGGTTGTCGCAAGAACGCCGATGAACTTACTCAGATTCCACGCGCCAAGCGCGAGAAGGTTGCTTTTCTCGGAAGTACCGGCGTCGGCAAATCAAGCTTGCTCAATTGTCTGCTTGGTATTCCGGACTTAGCTAAGGCAATGTCTGGTGGCCAATCTTGCACCTACGTCGGTACCGAATACGAATGCCCATTTCCGGGACAGACGAAGAAATTCGCCGCCAAGGTGGAGTATTTTGACATCAGCGAAATTAGCAAGCTCTTGGAGAAGCTGCTCCAGGACTTCTTCCTTTGGACCTTTCAGCGGCCAGACGACCTGGACCCGAACGAAGAGCAAGAGCTGCAGCGACTATCTTCGACCGCTTTCAACACGCTGATGCCTCTTTTCTGCAACAGAGTGGAATTCCATAATAAAGATGCAGCGGTTGCATGGCTACAAAGCCATTACTGGACCTCCGACAAAGATGCGCTACCGGTTCTCGTTGCCTGGTGTGAGGAGCTGTTAGCGGAGAAGGAAGCTGATGAGGCTGATCATGTTGGGTACATCGATGCCGAATCGAAGGACGACTTGCTCCGTCAAATAAACCCTTTGATCTCGTCCAGCTTCCGACTGGACGAGCCGGCTCTGTGGCCACTGGTACGGAAGATTAGGTATGCAGGTGGGTATTAGTATTGAAATGCGGAGACTAACATGCACCAGGATCGGGATAGACGGTCCACGGGTTCTCCAGTACATAACACTTGTCGACCTACCTGGTAAGCTCTGCTGGTCTTTCAAGATGCGGTACGCTGACTGACGATCTCATAGGTCTTGACGATGTGAACAAGGTCCGCGTCGATGCCAGCTATGATATGATGCGCAGTTGCGACTCCATTTGGATTGTCACGAAAATCGCGCGCGCCATCACTGACACCGCAGTTGACGCCTTGCTCATGCGTTTTGGCAAGACTTACAAGGTGGCAGTCATCTGTACTGGAATTGATGACGGGGTTGACCCAGCGCTCGCCAATCATCTACATTCCGAGGGGCAGAGTGTTGGAAATCATCAGGACCTTCTCGATCGGGAGAGGAAGTTAAGGAACCTGGTCAAGCGGCTACCGAAGAAGATTGAGACTCGCTCAGCCAAGCTGGACGGGCGTACCCAAGCTCGCAAGAAGGCAAAGCGTCCTCTCACGGAGAAAGCCAAGCGAAAATTGTCTGAAGAGATTGCCGAATACACAAAGCAGCTTGAAGTGGCTGGAAACGAACTCCCCCAGGTCGCCGCCGAGCGGTTCGAGCTTCTGGTGGATGCCCGCAATGCAAATACCATCCGGCAGATGCAGCAACATAAGGTGGAGCATCTCATAGCCGGAACGAAGCTGCAGGTCTTCGCCGTGAGCAATCTGCATTACGAAGCTATCAAGGGAGCGCGCGTTATCAATGGACCACGTCTGAGTGTAAAGGACACTGGCATTCCGGCACTGCGTCAGTACGCTCTGGAGTCTGCAGCTCCGTATCGACTGCAGGCCATGGAGGACTTTATCAGTCACAAGTTCACTATTTTCCTACAGGGCTTGGGCATGTGGGCCAAGAGCTTCTCCATCGAACGCTCCGAGGAGCTGCTTCAATCGATACGGGCGCCGGTCAAGAGCGTCCACCCAATTGTTGAGGAATACCTGAGCGCCGTCAGTAAAGCCAACGACGAGGTGATCGTACAGCCTCTTCACCACAATCAGGAGAGCCTGATCTCCACCGCGCTAACGGAGCTCGAAAAGAAGAGAGCATGGAATTGGCAGACCATCCGTGCTTTCATGCGACGCAACGGAAATTTTAAGACAAGCGTGGTACCTCAACAGAGTTGGAACGAATCCTATCAATCAGGAGCCACCAAGATGGTACATAGTCTCTGGGACAGCTTCGTGAAAGATCAGAGCAAGCTGTCCGACGAGATGAAGTGCAAGCTGCTCGGCCTCGTCCTTAGCATATCGGAGACCCTGGACAACCATCCAGCGAAACTGATCCTTCCTATGGATCGCATCCAAGAGATTCTCGACGCTCAGTCTGGAGGCATTAAGCAAGCCTGCCGAGATTATGGAAGGAATCAGGCTAAAGAGCTGCGGTAAGCATTTGACGACCAAAACTTCTGCCGTTCCAGCTAACATATTGCAGGAACATCAAGCTCGACTTGACTCAGGATCGCCACACTGGTTATTTCACGCAGGCTATGGAAGAAGCCTATGAGACGTGCAAGCAAGACACTGGTATGGTCCCTCTTGCCTCTAATGGTATGAAAGTGATCGCTAACACTCGGTTTTCTTTCCATAGGCACCGGCGTCAAGTCCCGTTCCATGGCAACCTTCGAGACCCATCTCAATCTGAGCGGCACTCGCTCGCCGTTCCACGTCATGACCAACAAACTCAACGCCGCGATTGTGAAAGACACGAAAGCCAAGACCAAGGTTCTCGCTCGTAGAGTCGAAGACATTCTCGAGCAAATCTCGGATCAATTCCCTGATCTTGTCGATGAGAAGATCGAAGACAAGGCAGAAGAGGATCTTCGCAAGGTGTTTCGTGCGTTCCTGGAGATGGCGGAGCCTAGATTTGAGGATATCAAGGCTGATCTCGCGCGGATCAAGCGTCGGCAGCGTCGACATGGATAACTGCCCTTCCACCCCCATGAGCGGGCTATATCTTGGCTCGACAGGAGGGGCAATCCAGAGCGGATGGCGTTATCCGATGTCAGCTAGCTGAGAGGAGAGGACCATGTTGAGGCCTGCTCGCATATGGCGAAGGACGAGAGCCTAGATAGCAAGAAATGGAAAATGGCATATTAGGAAAATCATCACTCGTCTCAAACATTTGCCATTATCATTGCACGCTGTGAAGAGCTGACTGACTACGTGACTTGAGCAAGCCAAAGACAGGTCTTCCCACCAAACGCCTTTAACGCCCAATGCAGCTCTCTGGATGCTTGTCTCAAATCCTGCCAACACCACGCCACCCGTACGTACGTACCAATTGGACCAAGACAGGTGTCTAACAGCATTGACCTTTCTTCGTGGCATCGCCTGGTGGGGTGGACTGGGACAGAGGAATGCTTGTGCCTGCCGATGGCCCCTGGGCATTCTGGTCTTGGTCGAGAGCTTTCGACGAGACGATGCGATAGATCTCGGTGAGCTCATTTTGGAATGCAAGCTCGACCTTGTTTACGTTAGTAGATGTTTCTTTTTTCATAGAGTCATTGGGTACTCACATTGCTGGCGTCCAAAGCGGACGTCTCGATGAAGCTCAATCCGTTCTCGCTGGCGAAAGTCTTGGCATCTGGCAGCGTCTCAGCATCGCGAGATATCTCTCTTCAGTTCTCGTAATTCCTTACCTTCTGTGGAAACCGCCCTGAGGTGGCGAAGATCAGACTTGTTTCCGACAAGCATGATGACGATGTTTGTATCGGCGTGGTCTCTCAGCTCCTTCAACCACCGCGTCACGTTCTCGTATGTCTGGTGTTTCGAAATGTCGTAGACCAACAGTGCTCCGACGGCTCCACGGTAGTATGCTGAAGTGATGGCCCTGTAACGCTCCTGGCCTGCAGTGTCCCAAATCTGGCTTTGGGAACGTCAGTATGCCTCGAGCAATCACCCATCTCTTCATTTCACATACGCCTTGATGGTCTTGGAGTCAACCTGGATGCTTCGGGTGGCGAACTCTACACCGATCGTGGACTTGCTGTCCAGGTTGAACTCGTTGCGGGTGAATCTAGTGTTGCTTATGAGCGAATGCCTCGAGCTATAGGTTGACTGACCATTCTCTTACCGCGAGAGCAGATTACTCTTTCCAACTCCACTGTCGCCGATCAGGACGACCTTGAAGAGGAAGTCATACTCGTCGTTGGCCATGTTCTCTTTCTGACGGGCGATCTACGCCTGTGGTCGATCGGGGGGTACGGGGAAAGGCGTGCGACGAATGGACTCTCGGTGTCGCTCGGGCGGCGGAGGTGGAAGCGAAGGGCAAGCGGGTGCTGATGCGATTCTACGGCGGAGGAGACGGAGGGTGGTGAAGGGTGAAAGTCGGGCTGTCTGCTAACAAACACGTTGATCGTTGGTGGTGGAGAGGCACCTGACGATGTTCAAAAGGTGTCGGCAGTCCCTGGATGCGGATGCGCTGAATCCGGACTAGTGAGTGCACAGACCAGTACTTTATCTCACGTGGACGCGCTCACTATTCGTGAATCGCCTTTCTTCGCCGTCACATTCGCCTTCTAACAACGCTGAACAGTCCTGTCATTTCTCCGGCCCAATATTACCGATTCCAAGGCTGATTGTGTCGCACGACGCGTAGCATAGTGACGGAAAACACGGAGCCCCGCTCATAGCGCACGTGAAAGCTGCGACTGAACCTCAACTTGATATGCGTCAAGGAACTTTTTGAACTTCTCCATAATCACCTCAGAATATTGAAATATGGCGGACTCGGACCCTGAATATGACGAGCATGCCTCAGACGATGATGCGAATATGAATGGCGCAGCCTCTTCCGGTAGAGGCGGCGCCATGGCTTCTCGATCCAAGAGAAGCGATATGGCAAGATGGGAGGCGTCCGCTTCGAAAAGCTGGGAGCTTCAAGATGCCCCTGACGACGGCCTCGAAGGAATATTGGGCGGCGTCGAGGAGGCGGCGAAGCGGAAAAGGTATTGTTCTATTCCCCCGTGTGAAACATCAAATCTCTAACCTCTACAGGCTCGCAAAAGACACTACACCGCTACAGCGTGGTATCATTCGGCACACTATCTTGATTCTGGACCTATCTTCTGCCATGATGGAGAAAGACCTAAGGCCTACGCGACACCTGCTGACTATCACCAACACGATCACATTTGTCCGAGAGTACTTCGATCAAAATCCACTTGGGCAGCTTGGCGTGATAGGCCTGCGTGATGGTCTGGCCATTCGCGTCAGCGATATGTCGGGAAATCCAGCGGATCACATCAATGCAGTGAGAGCTCTGCGCGGTACTGATCCAAAAGGAAATCCGTCTTTGCAGAACGGGCTTGACATGGCACGAGCAGCACTTCACCATACACCATCACATGGAACCAGAGAGGTCGTCATCGTGCTCGGCGCTTTGTTGACATCGGACCCCGGCGATATTCACGACACGATCAAAGCTTGTATCAAAGACAAGATCAGGGTCAGTATCATTGGCTTGGCAGCTCAGATGCACATCTGTGCCGAGATTTGTCGCAAGACGAACGCTGGCGATGAAAACTGCTACAACGTTGCAGTCGATGAGGTTCACTACCGGGAGCTATTGATGGGAATCACCACACCACCTGTAGTCCGCGCCACAGACACTGAAGCGCAAAAGCGTAACCAAGCCGCACTTCTGATGATGGGATTCCCGTCCCGGATCGTAGAACAGAAAGCCACTCTCTGCGCGTGCCATGGAAATCTTACAAGAGGCGGCTATCTCTGCAGCAGGTGCAAATCAAAAGTCTGCAGCTTGCCAGCCACATGTCCAACCTGCGATTTGACACTGATTTTATCTACGCATCTGGCTCGCTCTTATCATCACCTGTTTCCGCTACAAAATTGGGTGGAAGTGTCCTGGGAGCGGGCACGCCTAAAGCGGACAACGCAATGCTACGGCTGTCAGTCTTCATTCCCATCCGTGGCATCTTCTCGCGACGGCGCAAATGGAGAGTCTCATGAAAGGGCGCGGCCGAAGAGAGCGGAAGGTGCATCTGAGTCGAGCAGGTACGAGTGTCAGACTTGCCAGAATCACTTCTGCATCGATTGCGATGTCTTCTCCCACGAGGTCGTGCACAACTGCCCCGGCTGCCAGAGCCACGCACACCTCCCCAGCGCAAATGCCGCAGACGTATCCATGGAGACTTGAACACGACACTTGCATGGGTGAACGATCGGAAGTTTGGATCTCCATCATTACCAAGCCTACCCGTACGTCGCACATCGTACAGCATAGTACATTCGCATCTCCAGGTAAACAAAAGGGACATGGCCCTGGCGACGACTTTCGACAACTAATGAAAACTCCTGCAGCGGGGAGCACGCACGTACCATGGCCTCCCTACTGAGTCTTCCCCCCGAGATACAACGACAGATCTTCGGATATCTCCTCGTTCCCGGCTGCATCGAGTTCGGCAAAGCCAACCAGAAGTGCAATGCGATCATAACATACACGATCTGGGATCAGATGGAGCCAGCAGAAGGACCGCAAAGATGGCGCCTGCTCGACTTTAGCTCTCGCTACGCATGGTATCGCAGATTGAGCGCCTTGTTGACCAAATTCGGAGCGAATTCGCAGTATCTCCAGTGGCAACTGCAGCGGCGAGTAAGAGCAGGGACAGGTCCTCACACTCCGATCATCTACGACTTACGAGGAGTCCCATTCCGCTCCCGTGCAATCTCCATTGCACGTGATCAAGCCACATGTCCCTGCGGCCACTGCGAACAGCGTGAGGCATACGGCCTCACCAATACATGGCCTCGCGAATCTTACATACAAGGTGGCTGGAGGAGAGCAGTACGGATCGATGACTTCCTTGCACCTCTGCTGGTCTGCCGGCAGCTCTATCGCGCACATCGGTCGATGATATTCTCGGAAAACATCTTCTCATTTCAGGACCCATGTGATCTGGCGGAATTCTTGCTCCGGCTGCGTCCGTGGTGAGGACCTCACTTTCTCTCTCTTTTTCTGTGTGTTTGTCGTGCTAACCACTTTCCCAGGCAGAGAGATCAGCTGCGTAAGGTCGGGATCTCGCGAGGGGACATGGTCATATTGTTCGAGCCCGGGATGGTCGATCGTTGGGAAGGAGACTGTACTTAGGTACCGGACCATGGCCTTCCCTTTTGGCTACTGCTTCAATACAGTCGCTTAGCTCATCGTGAACCCCTCTCGGCGGGCAACATTCATAGTCTACTGTTGTCGGGCTCTGTCTTGGTCGGAACACTCGGATTGAAATTGAACTCCGGGTATTGATCCAAGCTCAATCGGCTTACGAGATTCCTGCATCCTCAACGAGAAAGCGTTGCGATTACGTGAGTGCTGTTTCCCCTTGGTGTATCTACAATTTACTCCTCACAACAGCAATATCCAGCCCTGCTTCGCCATCAAAGATATCCCTCTCCACCGCCCTGGCATTCACATGCCGCGGCCCAAGCTCCTCCACCCTCTCCACGCCTAGTAACCTCATCGCGGTTTCCGTCTCCGCTTTCAGAATCTCAAGTACCCTCTCCACGCCAGCCTGTCCGCCGGCTCCCAAGCCATACAGAGGCTGCCTGCCCAGTCCGACGCCTTTCGCTCCCAGACACAGAGCTTTCACCACATCCGTGCCGCGCTTGATGCCTCCGTCCACCCAGACTTCGATCTTGTCGAAGACGGAAGGGCAGAATTTCCGGATTTCGAGCAGCGTGTGGATGGCTGGGGGTGCGGTATCTGCCGCTCTGCCGCCGTGGTTGGAGAGGATGATGCCCTTGATTCGTGGTGCGTAGAGAGAAGCGAGGTAGGCATCTTCGTGGGTCTGAAGGCCTTTGAGAATTATGGGGAGGTCGGTGTGTTTCGCCAACCAAGGGAGTGTGGTCTTCCATGTGAGGTCCGGCGCTGTCCCGGCGAAGAGAGCTTTGCCGACGCCTCCTCTTTCTTCGGGCTCGGGGGGAGATTTGGAACTCGAAGGGTCTGCTTGCACGGAGCTTCGGACTGGTAGATTGGACCCGACATTTTTCGACCGTTCGTCGTCTTCCCTCTTCCCCGGCACGGGCGCGTCCAGCGTCAGACACACGAATTTGATCTGCGGTAGTTTGTGGATCCTCCGGAGCATATCCTCGCTCTTCTTCCTCTCCGTCTGCACGTAGAGCTGCCAGCCAAAGACTTGTCCTGCTTTCGATCCTTGCACGATTTGCTCGGGGGTTTGCGAGGCGTTGTTGGAGATGATCTGGAGGGCACCGAAGGTGGAGCATGCTTTTGCGATTCCGTGTTCGCCGTCCGGGTGGCCGAGACGGGCCATTGCGGCGGGAGAGACGAAGAACGGGACGCCGACGGCGTTTCCGGCGAGATTGGTGGCTGTGGAGCAATTCGTGCAGTCGACGAAGATTCGCGGTCGGAGGAGGATGGAGCGATAGACGGTATTGTTGAGTGTCTTGCTGTGGAGGTCATCGGAGGCGGAGTAGTAATATCCCCAGGCTTTCTTGGAGATCTTGCGTGTCGCGAGGGCTTCGATGTCGTCCAAGTTCAAGCAGTCTTCGAGTGTCGCCTCTTCCTCTTCCGCTGTTCCTTGCTCTTGCGCTGGGCTCTTTTCTACCGACGGCAGTGTGCTCTCGTCTATCTTGCCCAGTTTTGCGCTCTCGGGCAGGGAATCCTCCAAGGTGCCAGGTGGGTGGATGGGATCGTATTCCTCTGTGGCATCGGAGCCGGCGAGCTGGAGGATGATCTTGCTGCCGCCTGGATGGTCGGGAAGGAAAGAGGTGACATCGTAGACATTGCCGTAGAGGACGACCCAACAGGACTCCTTAGATCGGTGCTGCTGGATCTCGTCGTAGGTGAAGGTCTTGGCCATTGTGAGGAATGCGTGAGAGTTTGGGGGAGGAGGTGAAACGCTGAAAGGCGAGGGGAAGAAGCAGAGCCTTACGCTTTCAAGTGTTCCACAAGACTACTCGTACATACAGGAAGACGTCGTCAGAGGGAAGTGCATGGGGAGAAGAATGCCGATAACAATCCCATGCGCAGAAGAGATGCAGTGTTGAGACGGGCGACATCATTCGCCGCGACCTGCCCTTCCTGGCCACTCTCACGCTCGGCAATTGACGGCGATCAACATACCGTGAGTAAATGTTCCATCAACATTCATCGACCTCGTTAACACTCAGATTCACATTGGTACCATCTGGCTGCTTCATAAGGAAATATGAAAGCGTATGACTTATTCCAAAGTTGATCAAAACAACGATTACATGTAGTTCGGAGAGGACATGGTAATCCCTGCGCCACGTCCACGTCCCTTTCCATTGCACCAGAGCCGCTATGACTGTAGCAAATCTGTCTCGATGTGATTGGCTCGCGAGCAGTTCAGCGCCGGAAAGACAGTACAGACAATCGCCCTCTCCAGCTGCTTTCCGAATGAATATCTAAATGTTACAACAATATCAAGACCGCCGTTTTGACCTCCACCGCCCGGAGGAGCCCTCTTTGCTCCTCACCGAGTAAGTGCGAGAACCGACTCAAATCCGCAATGCGATAGAATCTGAAGACGTTGAGAAACACCAGATCTCTGACGGCATCACGGATTGTCTTGCAAATGAGCGTCGTCTCCAGCATCTGAGAAACAGATCCAGAGCAGCGTGGCTTATACCGGCATAGAACACAGGCGCACCACGCCTGCTTCTGGATCCGATCCACGGCTATGCGGCTGATACCTCTGTTTCCCACGTGCATCAAACGAGGCCCCTTCTCCCGGAATGTCCTGTCTCTCAGTCGACTTCCTTGCCAAGTGAGATATTTGGATGCGCGAGCTGAATCAACTTCAACCACTTCGCGGAGCTCCGCCTGGAGCCTGGTGACGCGTGAGCAGACATGTTTCATCCTTGCGGAAAATGGAATGCTCACGCTTGTTCGTGTGTAATGAAAGCCTGGTCCAAGATGCGGTTGTATCCCAAAGCGTTGCAATTCTGAGATGCCTCAATCCGCATTTCGCGCCCCTCACTAGGGACTTGTCCGTTGTCGTTCTCCGGCTCATCTCGGGGTAACTGATGCACTGTGATGATGCCCGGACAAAGAAGATGCCTGTAGATTTCCCGAATGATCTCGACTGGCAATGTATCGAGCTTCGTGCCCATGATGATTTTCGTTTCGAATGAATGGACATGCTGGCGCGTTGCAGTCTGTAGGTATGAATGCTAGGGCTTCGGCTCTCAAAAGCGATATGTTTCGAAAGCTGATGGGGTAGTAGTCTTGAGGGATGTGAGCTGCAAGCTCCTCAAGGACTGCGCCGCCGGCCCTGCTCCTAGAGGTCGAATAGGTGCCACTGTAGGCAACCACTCTCTGGTCTTGACGGTCGAGGTTGCTTCTCCGTTCGTTCATTTCTTCCCGTATCGCCTCCAGGCAAGCGCAGCCAACACAACGAAAGCGCTCATTCTTCCCACCAAGGCCAGTGCGACCGCTCGGCGTACGATATCGTAATATCTGGCGCGGTTAGTGATCTCGGGCAACGTCAGCCGGGCAAGAGATTCAACAAACCCTTCAAGCATCGTCGCAACGGCAGCCTTGTTACCCTTGAAGTCACCCACTCCGGATCCCGTGCCGAGGCCATGAAGGCCTGTCTCGTCTGGCCGCTCCACTATAACAGTCGACGCACTCACATCGGCGTTTCCAGGTGCATAACTCTCTGAAGCTGTGCCGAAAGAAGGTCGGAGGTCCCGGAATTCAGACCCAGATTGCAGTTCGGCGCGCTTGCGATTCTTGAAACGATATGTTAGGAGCCAGACGGTGAAGCGGACATCCAGAGGTGTGAAAGTGGGATAAGACCAGAGTTCCAGAGCGTTATGTGGGGGTATCAGGTCGAGGAAGTCGCTTACGACTGTTTACAATATCAGCAATCACAATATACCGTATATCTTGAGGCGGAATGGACATACCTCCCAGGGTCAGACCCCAAAGCAGAAGTGGACCCTCCTTCTTCGGCAGAGGATACTGATTGAACAGATCACTCCTCCGTATTCTCGAAATCAAATTCTCTGCTTCATCTCTTGCATCTAGCCTCGCAAATCTATTGTCCTGCAGAGCATGTTCTGCCGGGCTCTCTTCGCTATGCAGACTCTCAGTCGGTTGCAGATGGATCGCCGCAAATTGCATCTTGCCCAGGATCATGGACAACATCCACTTCTTCACCCCAGTCTCTTGATTTGCCAGTCTACTGCTCACATCCTCAAACACTACAGTCCTCTGCTTCGGGTCCAATAGCTTTCTCAACGGAACCCAGTGTGTTGCTGCAACTTCGCTTGGTTGAAGCTTCAATGGTGGAATCTCATGTTGCGTGAGCAGAAACACGTATGGACAGAGCACCAGAAGCGGTTTCTTTCCCCAATGCGTCGTGACCATTCGCTGGGGTAGATTACCCGCTTCCACGGCGTATTTGTCCAGATCTACGCCTACTTCCTCCCAAGCTTCTCGAACTGCGGCGGCCTTGTCGTCGGCATCGGTAGAATCTCTTTTGCCTCCTGGTAGCGCGATGTGACTCGTCCAGCGATCGCCCTTCCGAGAAGCGCGTTTGATGAACAGGACTTGGGGAGAACCGTGCTGTACCCATTCTTGCTCGAAGAATGAATCGAGCTCGCGTACGTTCTCGGTGAACGAAGAGGGCCAGTAGTCGTACGAAGGGCTTATACGTATTATAAACGCTACCGAGGCGCGTCGTTTTGTCTCTTCGGGCGATTCGAGTTCGGGATATGGACTTGATCGCAAGTCGCGTAGGAGAGTCTGCAACTGGGACATCAGCTGGTCTCGAGCCATGCTTGAGGCAGTATTCTAAAGGATAGTAAATTCTAGGTCGATACGAGAGTGAAACAGAAAGTAATAGCAGTAATACGAATCTACAGTTAGCTGACAAAGGATGATGCTCGTGATTCAAGCCAGCTCAACCAGAACCCGAGAGTGATACGCGGTATCGGCGATACTTCGGGCGAGCTCGGCGAACCTTTCGACTTCACGTCCATCATCAACAATCTGGAGTCGATACATGCTCAGTTCAACCACGGAAACAAGCTCAGTCGCCTCGCACCGGATGTGTATGTCGCGGGCGTTTGCCACGAGGAAGACGTGCCGTTGGTGGAAGAGGCTGTAGCCGCTGCAGTACCCCCCTCGCTCGTCGTAGTAGATTGAGCTTCAGCATCGGAGCCATCGCCAGAGCCATCTCCATTTTGATTGCTAGAGGACGAGGATCCAATGTATCCCTGGCCACTATTCGTCGGAGTCTCAGCGCCTTGATCCTGCCCAGTGCTTTCGCTGGAGGATGAAGAACCGTCCAAGGGAACGCCGGAACTGTTCGGACCTGGCATTACAGCTGCGTAACCTGGATACTCGGTCGGTCCTGGAGTAGCTGTGGACGATACAGCCGAAGTCTGCCCCGGAGTACTGCCGTCTTCCGTAGCAGTTGATCCAGCTGCTGAAGTTGGCTGAGAATCTCCACCTGTGACACCAACGCCAGGAGTAGAGGTTGCGGTAGAGTCGTTGGACGAGTACGCGTCAGGAGAAGAGTCGCTGCTGCTGCCATTTGAAGTGCCGTCGGAGCTGCCGCTGTTCGAGCTGCCGCTGTGGGGACTGCCAGTGTTCGAACTGTCAGTATTGGAGTTGCCAGTGCTGGGAGCGCCATCGTTGGGACTGGCACCGTTGGAAGTGCCACCATTGGACGCGCCACTGTTCGACCCAGCAGTGCCTGAGCTAGCATTGCCCGAGCTCCCGGCCCCTGGACTGCCGTTCTCACTCGATGCGGGACTGGTGACTGCTGGAGGAGCCGAGCTGCCAGGAACCGCAGCTACTGAGGGGGCAGACGCGCCACCCGTCGGAGTTGGAGTTGTAGAAGCTTCAACATCGCTTGCCGTCGTCTTGGGATCCACCGTAGAGGCGCCGGCCGGCGTAGTCTCAGTTGCCTGTCCAGAAACCGTGTTGCCACCAGTAATTGGAGTCGAAGATGTGGATGACGTAGTGGTAGGGCTTGTCGTTGCTGCAGAATCCGCGGTGGAAGCCCCGCTGGTTGGAGCAGATGTCGAACTTGAGTCGCTTGCAGAATTGGTTGTCGAGCCGCCTCCCACCGCCGTCCCATTGTCTACATCCCGACTCAGAATCTGGATGCTCTGCCACGTTCCACTTTGATCCGTCCAGTTATACGCATATCCAGGCATGTAATTCTCAATTTCCACCCTTCTCACATACATGGTATACGGACCGCCTTCCGTGTCCGTAATACCACCAGCCCAGGAGATAGTACCTTCATTCTCCCCGGGATCACCTCCGGCCCAAATACCAAGCTGCAACCTCGACGGAGTCTGAGGATACTGATAATCACTTCCGACAGCCGTCGTACTGGCGTTGTATTCGAAAGTTCTGATCACAACGCCATCAACTTCCCACTTCAAAGCATCCGGACTCCAGTCGAAAGTGTAAGTATGGAACGAATCCTGCGGATCGCTGACATCGAAGTACTGGCCGCGGTCATAGCTTCCCGTGATACCCTTGCCGAAGTAGTTGTTCTGGCCCTTACCATTCGTATTGGTCATGTTGTAATTGTTACCCGAGAACTCGAAATCAATCTCGTCGAAATCATCCGAAATCAGGACCGAGGAGGAAATCATGCCGGTCCCATTTGCCACGCGGGCTTCCACGGAGACTCTGCCAAAGAGAATATAGAAGTCGGTCCAGAGTTGCGGTGCGTCGTAGCGTTTGGCATAGACGAACTCGGCACCTCCATCGGAGCTGAAGTTCATGGTGGCATAGTTCGAGAGCGTCCAGTTGGCTGGAATGGCAGTCTGCTGGGTAAAATCGATGCTGTACGTGCTGGTGGGGAGACCTGGGTTGGGCGTGCAGGCTCCCGTTGCGTTGACCATTGGGTTGCAAGGCGCAAATTGTCCATCATAGCGCTGAGCGTTTGCGCCCGCGAGGATTGCTGTGACTGCGAAAAAGAACATGATTGCTGTTGTGGTGATGTAGCGGCGAAAGGCGGAGCGCTATTGAGGAATAGCTTCGCAGGGGAGGACAAAGCAAGCGGCCATGTGCATTCCAGACCGAGAATAAACAAAGCAAGGAGATGAGGCGACTCCCACGCGACATGCGTTCATCAAAGAAAATGGTGAACGAAGTCAGAAAGAAGCAATACTCTTGCCTACAAGAAGGGGAACGTGAAATTGTACACGTTCCTGTAGAATATACAGACCGATTACTCCTCGCCATCATCGCCAGCTGACTGCAACTTTGCCACATAATCCTTAGCAAGTGCCTTGACACGTTCCACTTGCTTTGCATCCTTTTGACCCTCCTCAAACTCCAGCCATCTCTTGAACAGGAACTTTGCACGACGCTTCTTCATCCGTTTTGCCGCCATGCGCTCATATAATGACCTCACCTTGTCTGCCTGCCCAGGCTCTTTGTGCGAAGCAAGACGGGAACGTTCCAGATCAACGAACATGTCCCATCCACTCGACCAGCCGGGGTGTACAGCCAGTAGTTCTTCAAACACAGTACGTCCGCGCTCAGGAAGTCCGTTTGGTGAGCGGAATTCCAGGGCACCAAATTTGGCGACAAATAGTCGATGCTCGGGTTTTGGAACAGAGTGCATTGCTTTCACAAGCAACGCTCGGGCAGCATCCGGCGTGTTGAGCTTGTCCATCAAGAATGTAGCATAGTTGAGCCAAACTTGCGGTGCAGCCCGAAACTCCTTCTTTCCTAGGATGCGCTCATAGATGCCCTGAGCTTTATCATATTTTCCGGAGTCAATGTAGATCGAGACCAACTTCTCGTGTATCTCAAGGGGATCCTGGACTTCGCAGGCTCGCTTGAAGACATCTTCCACCGACTCGTCGTCGCCATACTCGACTTCTAAGTTCAACCAGGCAATCCACACGTTTGCTTTCTCTTCAGTTTCACGGATGTGGATCGTACGCAGGGCCCGTTCTGCGATATCGCGTGCCTTCTGGATCTCTGAAAGTCCCAGCTGAAACGACATGTAATGGATCCAAAGTCCGGAATCATTGGGCTGTCCCAGGAGTTGTCGCTCGAAATCATCCACGCTTTGAGGGCCGCATTTGTCAAGATCACCAGTCATATCCTCCTTAACCTCGGGGTTGCGCTTTTTCTTCTTCTTTGACATGATCTCATGCTCGGATTCAGACGCTGCCCCGGCGTCCACATCAAATGAGTCCGCGTTCCAATCAAAGCCAGAAGTCTTTAGGCCGCTTTTTGGCATCGGCGCAGGCTCGTCGTCTACATCCATGGTATCTGCAGGAGTGTCTTCGTCACCACTGTCCGATGCCTCCACATCCACGCCGCCCTCCTCTGAGCCATCTTCTGGTGCAAGTTCAAGCTCCGCCCCGCCGGTAGCGTCCATATCGATATCTACATCCTTGTTCTCCTGATCGGATGCGTCTTTGTCATCGTCTTTGAAGTAGCTGGCCTTGAGACCGAGGCTGATCTTCTTGTCTGCTTTGTTTACCTTCAAGACTATCGCTCTAACGACATCACCAGGACTGTAGAGCTTCTTGGGATCCACCTCGCGTCGCTGAGCCATCTCGCTCTTATGACACAATCCGGAGAGGCGCGGCTGTGTGTTATCGATATCGATGAATGCTCCGAAGTCCTCGACTTTTCTGACTTTGCCAGTGACCTGCATATCCTTCTTGATGTCATTGATCGTGAGCGGTGGTGTATAGTTTTCGTCTAGATGCGAAGGCTTCAGACTGAGCTGAACGTGCTTGGAGACAGGATCGACCGACACCACGCGACCTCTGACCAGTTGATCAATTTGGAGGATGCTCTTCCAGTCTTTGACATACTGATCGCTCAAATCCGCGATTCGCACAAGCGCATCCGCACGAGCGCCAAGAGAGACAAACACTCCCTTGTCGGCGACTTGCTTGACAAAGCCTCGGACGATGTCACCAGCCTTCAGCTGCGCGACGCTTGTTATCTGAGGATCTTTTACTGGAAGATTTGAGCTCAGTGCTCTGGACGGACGTAGGCTGAGATAGACTTTCTTGTTGGGCTGATCGACTTCCAGAACGCATACGCGAACGATATCGTGCCGGCGGAATGAGCCGGGGTTAGTTTGGTCGAAATCATCGCTCAACTCGGCCAGCGGTACGACTCCGGACAGATGCTCTGAAAGCTGAACGGTCACGAAACGCTCAGAGCTTTTCGTGACCCTTCCCGGCAGAACCATGCCGGGGGAGAGGTCTTGAATCGTCAAAGCCTTGTCTGAGTCGGTCTGTCTAGCTGTCAAGTCGAGCCTGTTAGACGCAGTATCAACGTTCTTGACAGTCACTTGCAAAGCACAGCCAATACGAAAGCGACTCTCAACATTTTGCAATTGGCCAATGTCGTCGGAGAGATCCATCAATGCTATCCGGCCCCTGACATTGGGCGAGAGGTTGACCCACACACAATTGATGGAACCAGATGAGCTGTCGCCGTGATTGTTGACAAAAGCAACTTGAGTAGAGCCAGGCTTCACAGACTCAAGGCTAAGGAGCGACTCATCCCCATTCTCCACTCGGGATCTCTTGGCTGAAAGCTCGAGGACGGGAGCCTTGCCTTGGCGATGACTGATGGGCAAGAATCGATGGTTTCGTGCGTCGTGGATGCCGAGAACCTTGACTTTGATCTCATCGCCTGGTTTAAACTTCTGGAGCGGCGCCGCTTTATTGACAATGTCTTCCCAGGAGTCAAACGCCTCACTCACATCAACACGACCCTGAATGTCATCGCTCAGGCGGACATTGACCTGTGTGGCCTTGACAGAGGCAATTCGAGCTTGCAAGACCTGACCCGGTCGTACTCCAATCGTGCGTGGAACCTCAGTCGTGGGCTTGAGGCTTGCTTCGTTCTCCCTCTCCGCGCTCTTCTCTCTCATAGTCAACACGAATCGCTCTTGGCTAGGATCAAGATGTGATATCCAAAGATGGACAGTCTGGTCTTTACGCAGGCCAAATTCAGGCAGTCCGAGCTGGTCCGGTGCTATTTGATTCTTCGGCATAAGCCCGACTATCCCGTTGGCAAATTCGACATAGACTCCATCTGGCGTGATGTTCCTAACAAAGCCATGCGTCTTCTTGCCCTTCTTCGCATCTGCAAAGGACACGATAAGAGCTCCGGCTTTCGCTTCAGAAATCAGACTGTCTTTCTTGCTCAGAATGAGTGTCTGACTTCGAACATGTTTATCCAGTACGATAAGGTTAGAGAGCTTTTGACCGATGCGAAGTCGCTTGAGCTCTTTTTGCGCCTTCGAATGCGACCCGTCCAGAAGATGCCCGATACGAATTGCGCCTTTGAGATCGAGTCCAGCTGCGGTGGAGACGTTGACAGAGATACTTTGCTCTGTCTTTTCGGAAACAACACCCTCAACAAGCAGGCCACCATTGATGTCGTCCCAAACCTGCTTTTGCTCTGTTGTCATTGTACCAGCGTCTTTGCAGCTAACTTTCATATCGCCAGTCTCCGGATTCACAGAAACAATCCTCGTTTTGATGGTCTGGCCAAGATGGAAATGCTGATCTGGCTTTGCGACAAACGTGTCGCTCATCTCAGCAACAGGTAGCCACGCTCGTACCAAGCCGTAGAATTGTACTGAGGCGCCATTTGCCAACAAATTGACAATCGTGCCTTTGCCCTCCATGTCAGGCTTAAGAATCGAATGATCTTTCCAGACAGGCGCATCATCCTCGACCAGAGATTTCTTCAGAGTGAGGCGCAGCTGTCTCTTCTCCAGGTCTACGGAGAGAATCCTAGCTCTGACAGAAACGCCTTCTCTGAATTTCCGTTCAGGGTGACTGAGTTGGGTATCGCTGAGGTGCACTTCTGGAACAAGGCCAGTTATACTTTCACTCAGTTTTACCAACAAACCCTTGATACCGGCTGCACCGCCTAGCATCAACTTTTCAATAGTGCCTGTCACCTTCTCGCCAACAGTGAGGTCCTCTAGACCGAGGAAAGCCTGGTCAAGAATCGACTGTTTCAGCGCCACATAATACAGGTTGTCAACGGCACTGTATCCCAAGACCCGAACTTTGTGGGTAGAGTCCACTTTGTAAGGTCCGCTGCCGGAGATCGTGTCAATGCGCTCGTCGGATATTTGGGAGATGTGAGCAAAAGCCTTCTGCGCCTCCGGAAACTCTAGAAACAAGCCTCGATCCGAGAGTACTCGAACTACCTTCGCGTCTTCGATTATCGTTGATTGCGGCAGCTTTTGCTCGAGTTCAGCAACTTCTGACTTCAGCTTGGCCGTGGCATTTGATGGCAATTTGGAATGCGGCGGTAGCATTGCCAACAAGTGAGGCAACACGGACACGCCCACCCGACGACTACCATCGTCCTGCGGGATTGCATATGTGATGCGAGCTTTCACCTTCGATCCAATTTTGAACTTCTTGCTGAGATCTTCTCCATCAAATGCGCCAGAATGTACCACATCCGCACCTAAATCAAGCATTCCCATGACCTTGCCGACTAGACCACGACCGTTGTCTGTGACGAGCACGTCCACGGCAGTTCCGGGGAGGAAAGCATCCACAGAAGGCATGTCGCTGACACTCGGCGGTTTGATACCAGGAGCCGTCACTGTAAATTTGTTCGGATCAGGCGAGAGCTTCAGGACCTTTCCACCTTTACCTGTCACCAAGCAAAGCAGCACCTGTCCCTCGTGCATCTGATCCAAGTTGTACGCCGGACTAAGCTCCTTCTTGCTGATGAAGCCCTTGACGCTGTCATCCGCGAGCCCGAGGTCCATAATGATACCATGGTCCTCGATGCTGCGGATAGCTGCTTGGATTGTGGAATTTGTGACAAAGCTGTCATCGGGTAGGCCCCCGTTGACCGCACCAGGAACCAAGGACAACTCGATGTGCTTCTTGCTCTTCCCGCCGGTCTCGGGGGAATCCGTACCCATGGAGGCGACAACGGCTCGCAGCCACTGCCCAATATAGAAGATCTGCTTGAGATCGATATCCTCGTCATCTTCTGCTTCGTCTTCGTTGTCATCGCCCAGGAGTTTCTCGATTCGTGCATTCAGTCGATCCGAAATCGCCGTGAGTGGCACGTAGCCTGTGAGATTATTCGGTAATGCCAGAGCGATATCCCGTCCAGTGATTGCAGTCACTCGACCCAGCACAGTGCTTCCAACAACTAAACTCTTGTAGCTCAATCCCGGAACACGTGGGCTTGGAGCTAGTGTCTTCTTCGAACTCTCCCTGCCGGACTTTGAGTCGCGTTTCTTTTCCCTCTTCACTTGCGCAGCCGCGTCATCGTCGAATAGCTCACCGTCGTCTTCCGTGGCTTTCGCCTCTCCGCCTTGCTCTTCCAATAAAGCATCGTTCTCAGCTTGAAGTTTGATCTGCTTGTGTTCCAAAGGCGTCAAGACACTGCCACCTCCTCTGGGGAAAGCACGCTCCTCCTGCTGTAGAATGCTTTTCAAGGCCTTTGGTTGTGCATCCGCCTCTTGCGACTTCTTCGCCTTCTTGTCCCCAGTTGACTTGTTGTCTCCGGAAGGCTCCTTGCCGCTCTCTTTCACCTTTTTGCTAGGCCGGTCGTCCGTGACGGCCTTCCGCTTTGTGGCTGCCATGATGTGTATGCGCTGCACAGAAAACAATCTGGAGAGGCCGCTGGTTTCCTCGAGGATGTGCAAGCCAAAGTTTTGATCGAGAAATTCGTGAGCTTGGGCCACAAGCACGGGCCGTTGCCGACGTGCCGAGCAGTTTCCCTTCCCGCTGCCGCTGCACAGACCTCGAGCTTGACGCGTTTCTTGAGTCTTCACGCGTAAAGTGCCTCCCGTCTTGACACTCTTCTCTCCACCGTCTGCTCTTCCAGCTGCACCTCTTTGTTGCTTGCTGCTTGCTGCTTCTCTCGGCTTCTTCCTCTTCTGCAGCATATGCGGTCTACACCCATCTTTCCCCGGACATAATCTACAATGGCGGAGGCACCGCCTTCTTCCTCCCAGGACACCTTCTACGAAGAGCACCAGATATCGCTGGGAAAGGAGAATGTCTCTTCGCCATCGCGGCCCCAGAGCTCGTCTGGCACCCTTCTCAGCACCAGGAAGGAGCGCCGCAACCCGACAGTAACGCCGAAGCGATTTAACAAGTTCTTCGCGCCTCGAAGTTCGCAATCTACTCGAGGCGGTCGCCAGAGCAAGGCGAGACGCCAGTTGCAGGACATCACCCGCAACGCAGTCAACCAACGCCGTAGTGGTCTTGCAGCTCGCGACGAGTTCGCTGCAGATGCGGATATCAATATCAATTCATCAAGGCCCACGAAGCGGCGAAAATTCTCGACGGACCTTCAAAGCTCGCCACCCCAATTGCAATCCTCGCCTTTGAAACATGTCCAGACCGTCGAATCGATTCCAATCCTGGAGGATGAGCAGCTATCGGAGGCAGAGACCTTACCTGGAATTTTTGACCAGCTCAGACCTTCTCCAAAGCCAATCCGACGCCTCCGAACGCCAGGTCCCTCGAGACGCATGCTGGAAAGTAGCTTCGGTGGCTACGATGCGCTTTTACGAGGACGACGGGGTCCAGACCACGCTGCAGATTCACGAGCTGAGACGGCCAAATTTGTTACGACTCCTATGGACACACATGCTTTTCGAGGCACCGCACTGCCCTTCTGCACGGCCACATGCAATACCAACCCTCTCATTGCAATTGGAGATGAAGAAGGCAGTGTGCGACTCATTGACTCCTCAGTCTCCTCGCAGTTCAGCAAGACACACGTCAGGTTCCGAGTACATCGAAATGCTGTTATGGACCTTGGATTCAGCTCGGACGACTACGTGCTCGCAACTGCGAGTGGCGACCAGACTGCACGCGTGGTTGATATGCAGACTCAACAGACGATGTGTGTATTGACCGGCCACAAAAGCAGCGTCAAACAGGTTCGTTTCAAACCAAGCGACGACAACATGGTAACCACTAGCGCGAGAGATGGAACTGTACAGATCTGGGACCTACGCTGCGGCGGTAAATCAGCGGTGCAGAACTTTCGTGCCTCCGCATGCCAACGTGTAGACGCGGATGGTATGGCGGAACCTCAAGTACGATACAGCCAGCAAGAGCTGGAAGTTGGGTACGGTCATAGGTCGCAGCAGCGGCCCTTCGAATCTGGCCTTCGCCATGAGCTCTCGATCACGTCCTTTCAGTACATGCCCGACGGCCGGGAACACCTCATTGTCACCGCTAGCGAAGTGGATGCTTCGGTCAAGCTATGGGATCTCCGCAATGCCGGTCGTCGCAATCCTGTGCCGTTGTCGAGCACTTCTTTGCCAGGGTCGCATCACGGCTCGCGACATTACGGTATAAATGCGATGGCCATGTCTGGCGATGGAGCCCGACTGTACACTATTTGCAGGGATTCAACTGTTTACGTGTATTCAACAAACCAGTTGGCTCTCGGTTACGTGCCAGAGATGTCGGCGGCTCCCAGCAGACGCCGGACGCTCAAAGAGCCAAAGGACGGCCTCGCACCGCTGTACGGCTTCAGAAACACGTCCCTTCGCCTCGGCACTTTCTACGTCAAGGCATCACTGCGACCCGCGAAAGATGACCGTGGAGAGATACTGGCGGTCGGCAGCACAGATCGTTGTCCTGTCCTCTTTCCGACAGACGAGCGATATTTACCGCAGCTTAGGGGTGAAAAGACGTCGTGGGACCAGGAGGATGAAGACGAAGACATCGGGTTGCCTACTCTGCCACCCATTTCCTCGCAGCAACTCGCAACGTTCAATACGGATACCTTCGATCATGGAACCGCGCTGGTGAGGGCACATAATAAGGAAGTCACCTCGCTTGCCTGGACGACGGAAGGTAATCTCATTTCTGTCAGCGATGACTTCACTGCGCGTTGCTGGCGTGAAGACGCACAAAAAGCCCGCGAACTGCGTCAGGGAGGCGAAGCTGGAGGTGGACGCTGGCGCAGCGGATGGGCCGAAGTGGGCGCGGATTGGGATGAAGATGACTGTTAAGTCTCTATTCATTGGGATACATCGCCTGCTGAAGGACCACCGTGATAGACATGGCAAAATCGTGGAAAGATAGAGGATCGAGCGATCGACAGAACGAGAGTAGACTTCCCCATCTAATATAAATGACCCCGACCAGAGCCGACAGTGCCTATATTTCCAAGCCACACATCTTGCCCCCGTTATCATGCCTGCCAGAGGAGAGAGAGTGCTTCTAGCGAAGGATATCGTGAAATTGACATCCTCAGGCCTGCACGACATTTGGGATTCCACTACACTACTTCCTCTAAGGTCAGTGTTCAAGCGATGTGGCCTTTCGACGGGACGGGTCTTATACATGCCTTGGACACCGTAAGTGGCTTTGGGGGCTTCAATAAGTTGCTTGCATTGCACTTGGCGAGGAGGATGTTTCGAGTACATGGTAAGAAAATTGGGCTGGCATATAAGGACAAGTTGACGAGAAGGATACACTCAAGAATTTGCTAGATCTCTACAGGACACCATGAGACCTCGGTTCTTCATTGCCACTGTGATCGGATGCGACTTTCTCATGATTCGGAAAACATGCCAGCGCGGACCTTTGAGGTACCGTGACACAAATTTCTCCTCCCAAGAACAAAATCACCACTCTGTCTTCGGCTGATACCTCCGTTCCACCACCTTCAAAGTGTCGCGAATCTCGCCAAATTCCTCTTGAGCCTTGATGTGAAACTTTTCCAGCAATTGTCGTACCTCGATCTCCTGTGGGTCGTTCGACTGCTCGTAGAACATGGCCTCAAGCCACTGGCGAATGTCTCCCAAGATGCGCTTGACACCCTCTGTTAGTTCGGTCAGGAGCTCCTGGGTGCGCTTCACTATCGCCTCCGCCATGCGGGTGCAGAGCACCGCAAATGGGGATCGGTCGCCTGGAAGCTTGAGGTGGGTCTCGAAGATGGTGAGGGCCCGGGCTTTGGCCTGAGGACCTGCGAAATCGTTAGTTGAAGTATGTATCCCAGTCTGGAGACGACCGACCTGAAATTTCTTTTGCCTCGTCCCAAGCCGCGCCCATGGCTTGAAAGAAATATCCCGTCGGACACTGGTCGTCCGCCTGGGTGGCTTCGATGTGAATAGTCCTGTCCCGGTTGTTAGCATCTTGCAAGAGCGATTGAAGCCCACTCGCCTACCTAAGGGCTCTTTCGTAGTCTTCAGCAAATTTGGCACATAATTGCTCGATACCTCGTGCTTGGACTTCGATGAGCTCTTCAAAGCGATGCTGCTGGAGGCGGTACTTGGACTCATGTCTATCGAGAGTCTGCGCGACCGATCTGCAGTGGCCGATGAAGGCATCTTGCAACACTTTGACGTATTGATTTTCAGCGTCATGAAGTGCAGACCAATAATCCTCAAGCTCGGTGACCATTTCTTGTATGAACTCCTCTGTCCAGCTATGGTGGGGTATAGTACGTGTTTCATGACAGCCACGCTTTCGGATGAAAGCTCTGAGAGACATGTAAGGCCATTTCTTCTTGGCATCCAGCACTTTCAGTGCGCCCTCGGAGTAACGAGCTTGAGCAACTTGTAAAGGCGCTATCAGCTCTCTCTGGACGAACCAATCGACAGACTGTAGGAAGTAGTCCCTGTCCGGCTCAATATCCTGTTGTTTGGACTCAACCATCTTCAATGCCTCTTCACATCCCTTTAGATCGACTGTGTCAGTGACTAGGCCTACGCCCTTGAGTAAGACCTCGACCTCAAAATTGAGAAAGTCCTGAACGGTCTTGAGCTCGCCGGGAGCGGCGGCGCTAAGGATGTACTGACGTATCTCTGGGATGCCAGTATCTTTGATGGGGAGAAGGGGATCTTGGCTGAGGGTCCTTCCTTTATGCCGGGCGTAATGAGTGTTGGACGCGAACATCAGCTCCAGTCTACCGTTCAACGCATGTTGGTACAGCTTCTTGTCATGAAGAAGCTTTTTGATGTATTGTTTGCGGACATGGACCCTCAACTCGAAGATTTCCTGTCGTAAACGGGCCTGTCGCTCCTCGCAGGCGTTGATGTTGGCTGGTATCTCGCGCTGATCATTCTGGTAGCGTACCCTCGCCTCCTTACTGAGTCGCTTTCTCTTGCCTTGTTTGTTTGACGTCCAACCATGACTCAATGCATTGTCCGCCCTTTCCTTCTTGTGATGAAGTGTATCGATCTCGTTCTGAAGAGACGATTCGTCCGCCACCAGCTCGTCATGATTGCCGATATCGTGGCCATAGCCTTCAATCTCTTCAACAAGCTCGCCATCGATCTTGTCATCGATGCCGGTGCAGATCAAGGCGCAAGGTATGGTCTTGCCATATCGGATCAAGTTGGTGGTTGCTGCGGGATCAGTGGCAATACGGTCCGCCGACGACACAATCCATATTTCATCGCAATCGTAAATGCGTTGCGCTGAAGCATTTGCGCGCAGATGATTCGTATCGTCAGAACCAGGCCAATCGAATAGCGTGACATATTTGAGAAATTCAATTCCTTTCATTCCCTCACGAATGATGTTAACCAAAGGCCACAAGCAGGGCTCTTTGGATTTTGGGTTTCCAAAAGCGTATCGTTGGATGTAGTCGCGCAGTTCCTGCTCGCTCTCCGTCTCGTAGATCACCGTGGTATCGTTCCGCCCCGTATTCGGAACAATACCTTCGCACCATGAAGCAAACCGGTCTGCAACAAGCGTCTTCCCGTATTCGACCTGCAAGCTTTGGGAAAGGTACCCCTTCCCGTCTTCCCGTGTTGCGAAGACCTGTTTCTTGCGAAAAAGACCATGGAAAGTGTCTAGAGCAGTTTCCGCCGCATTCTGCATGTTGGCGAGCTCAGGGGTGTCGAGGCCATCGTGATTTTCAAAATGGTATTCGTAATAATTGTCGACCATGAGTTCCATCATTTTCCGTATCTGATCTCTTGTGAAGAATTCGATCCTGGCTGCAAATCGCTTCGTTTGATCATCAAATGGGCCCTCGTAAGCAGTGGGTACGTGGGTGCACGCTTTAGAGCCTGCAAGAGCCTTTGCATGACCTGGCAGCCCAAGGAGGCAGTTCAGGAGCGAGCTTTTGCCCGCGCCAGACTTCCCAACGACATTGATACGGTGCTTTTTCTTAACGGGAAACTTCACGAGCCGTTCTGCTTGGTCAATGAGGTGCTCGAATTTAGGATGTTTGCGGCTTCCGGCAGGTACTGTCTGGCTGATTCGTGCAACAAGTCTGAGCGTGTCCACCGGCACCTGTTTGAAGTCAGGGTCGTACGCTGCGGCTTTTGGTAAGGATTCGATCGATTCGTCGTAGTATTTAATCCTTGCCGAATCTTGAACATTGTCATCCCCTGAAGAATCCATCTCATCGTCATCTCCGCCGTCATCTCCGTCGTCATCTGCGTCTCCGTACTCGCTTTCATCGTGAGTCACGAAGAGGCCCAGCTCCTTGTTAGGTGTGGAGGACCGACGGGTGGTTTGAGAGGCACTCTCAGTCTTGACCGGCGGTGTTGGGGATGGAGAGGCAATGCACCTGGCTGGTATGGACGTCATTGCTGAGATTTTGTCCGTGTATGTGTTGTAGGTACAGACGATGTAGTCTGTAGTTGTGTGTTGAGAAAGGAGACTCGAGCCATTGCCAAGCTCCTTATATTGCAGACGAAGCTCGTGTAGTGAGCTCTTGCACTAGACGCACATGATTTGTGTCAACATGTCAGAAGTGAGGACACGAAGGGAGGCTTGGTGCATGTGATGGATGTGTGAGCGGGCCAAGGCCAGAAGCGAGATCCCTGTGTTTCGCGAGTCAACTTACGGTATAGACCGAGAAATGAGCAACCATGGCAGGTAGTTAACTACCGTCTGCATCGAGGTAGATCTGCGATGCACTCTACTGCGATATGGCAAGCCTTTCACAAGCCTTTCACAGGATTGCGTGGCCAGTTATCTCTTCGGTACTTCGTTACATGTAGAACACATTCGTCCTCTCGCCCGAAGGTCCAAGAGCTCATTCACATGCATACATATATTCGATGCAGCGACCGTCCAATCCGAAGCGGAAGAGCCATGGCCGTGACGGTGGTCCATTCTTGGAAGCTCGCAACGATAATGCCGGTGGCACGGTCTCGACATAATGCTCCAACGGGACGGGAATCCAATCGTGTCGACGTTGCGAAGACCGCATGTGACTTCAAGATGTTGATCCAATGCACGCATTAATCATGGTACAAACGGTGCGAGAGGAGGTGAAGTTGGCTGTGGCTGTGGCTGTGGCTTGGCGATGAGACGAGATGGTGACTGCATCGTCACCGGGCTGACATCTCCGACTCCCGAACTTTGTTGCGAAAGCTCCAAGCTCAACCACAACCACGCCCTGACTCCCAAACACTTTCCTTGCTTGTCAAACTTCTGCCATCGTATCTGCCACCGGAGACAATCTTCCAACGCTTGACGCGACCTCTCTTTCTCCCCTCAACTGCAAATTACGACACCAGCTGAGAGCCACGACTGGACGGCACGCCGGCAGGCATCCACCATGCGATCAACTCTTGCCTTCGCGCTGCTCCCTGCAGCGATATCAGCAGTATCATTTGACTGCCAAAACGTCGTCGTCGATGACCAACATTTCAACCTCGAATCTCTAGGCGGCCCCAAAGAAGTGAACTGGCAGCGAAAGACACCTCCCTCCATCACCAACACAACCTACACCATCGACTTCTGCAAACCTCTCAAGAAGTCGAAAGATAGCAGTGCGAAAGAGCAGTGCCAGAGCGGGACAAGAATTTGCGCGACGCAGAGGATCTTTGAGAATGATCAGTCCATCGTGCAAGAAGTGATACCTATCGCCGGCGAGTTCGCTACTTCTAATGGAAGGCACATGGATCCGAAGTTTACGAGGCTGAAAGACAGCTCGAGTCACTCAGACTCGGAGCAAGAGGGCGTGAGAGCGGAGCTGCACGGTGGGTTGTGGAATAAGCAGAAGCAGAAGGCGATCATCGAATTCATTTGCGATGCTGAGTGGGAAGGAACAGAAGGGTTCGACGACAAGTCGAAAGCCATGAAAATCGATTCTTACGACAGCATGGGCAGAAGAGAGGAGCCAGAAGAAGGTGGCGACGAAGATGATACCCCTTTGCCAGAACTCGACGAAGGCAAGGCCCTGCAATTTGTCAGTTATAAAGAGGAGAAGGGCGATATGGGCGTCCTTCGCTTGACATGGAAGACAAAGTACGCCTGTGAAGGTGCATCGAGTAAGAAGCCTTCTGGAAGTGCGAGCAAGGGCTGGGGCTTCTTCACCTGGTTCCTGATCATCGTGTTCTTGCTTGCCGCGACATACATCATATTTGGCTCCTGGCTCAACTACAATAGGTATGGAGCTCGTGGCTGGGATCTCATCCCTCACGGCGATACCATCCGGGATATTCCGCACATCATGAAAGACTGGAGCAGCAGCATGATGGACAAGATGAAGGGCGGTGGGACCAGGGGAGGATACAGTGCTGTCTAGGGCATGCTGGCTATCTCAAAAGCCAGTTGTATAGTCTCTGGTATGTTCAACCATGATTTCCACTGTACTGGATATAGGCTGACTTTGGTTAGTATACTTTCAATAGAAGCTTCTTCCGATTAGACAATTTCGGCCCAGTAAAAGTCTTGAGCGATTTCAGCACGGGCACTTCGATCCCTCCAACGGGCCACAAGTCTCCCATCTTCCTCAGCGACAGATCTCGGCCGCGTGATTATCGAGAGATTCCTTATACCTTCGATCGTGAGTGACTGGCCGCGGTTGGACAGTCTCTCACTGAGCTCACCCAGACAATCTCTCACTGACGACGCAGTCTCCGAATCGTCCAACATCAACCGGTCAACCGAGGTTGCCTTGTACGACATCACTTCCGCCTTCCGCAAGGAAACTTCGGCTACCACCGTGGAACGAGGCTTGGTAATTGGCGTCGAATTTGCTGGCGGCACATCCTCAATTCGAATCTTGTTCAATCGCTGCTTGTCTGCCTTTCTATCATCAATCAACCATAGCATGAGTTGTTATTTGCCGCAATATGTCTAGTCAAAGTCGTTGCTTCCGCTGCTTCTTTGTGGATTGCTTTGCAGGTCCGCAGCAGGGCAGTGGAACTGTTGGCTGCTAGCGAGCAAGTCACACGCCTGAAGTGGGTGCAACCGGATAGTTTGCAGACAGGTACTTTGGCTTGGAATCGAAGACAGTGAGTGTAGATCTTTAGGCGGAGCTCTGCTAGTAGAATTAGAAATGGGCCTTATGTGCTTTGATGTGCTCATTGGCGGTTTGTTGTCAGTGTAATAATGTGCTGTAGCATGCCATCCGAGTCATGCACAACTCCAAGCTCGGAGATCTCGGATCTGACAATTGTTCCCGGTTCCTTGGTCGTTAGCGCGCCGGGATCTCCAGGAACGGGCGCCTGTGCCGTCATCAAGAAACAACTGGAAATTATTCGTCAACGTTCAGTGTCTTCATCTTTCACAAACACGCAAACATCACTGACTTCAAATTCCTCAAGAGAATCTCTCAGCTCCGGCCAGGACACAGGTCGACAACTTCTGGAGGATGGCCGCCCAAGTGATGGAAGCAGTAGCCGAGAACGCGACCAAGGTCGCAACACAACTCTTCATCGACAACCCATACTATCCCATAGGCTCCCACATCGCCAATTACGCTCCAAACGAATGGGCTGTCCCAGCTCTCCTGGGTGTCTTCTTTGGCGCATGCACAGTCCTCTTCTCTTCCACCTACGTTGTCGCTAAAACTATACAACCGACCTTGCAACGCGGTGAACTGCTCACAATCATGTGGTTCGTCCTCTCCGGCTCTATTCACATGTTCTTCGAAGGCTATTACGCCTACAACTTCGCGACCCTCGGCAGCAAGCAAACCCTCATCGCCCAGATGTGGAAAGAATACGCATTCTCGGACTCTCGGTACCTCACTCAGAATTCCTTGGTGCTCTGCATGGAGACAGTCACGGCGGTTTGTTGGGGTCCTGGATGTCTCATTGTGGCTGCGATGATCATGAAGAGACATCCAATGAGATTCCCACTTCAGATGATCGTGTCCATGGGTCAACTTTACGGAGACGCACTGTACTATGCTACGAGTTTTTTTGATCACTACGTTATGGGCGTGAGTTATTCCAGGCCGGAGGCGTTTTACTTCTGGGTTTACTTTGTCTTGATGAACTTCTTTTGGATTGTCATTCCGGGTTGTAAGTACCTATGTCTTCGTTCGTTGAGATTTACGCTGACCTAGCATCTAGTCCTAATCTGGCAGAGTACGATGGAAACATCACAAGCTATTGAGACCTTACAGAGGCTCGACCAGGGAAAGAAAAGCAGATAGGGAAAGAACGTTCGAGGTACTCGATCTATGTCGTGCTCCATAGATCATCTGCTTACCAGCGAAGGCGTTAGTTGTTTGGTGAAGGGGAGGAAGCCAGTTGCAAAAAAGTAAGACAAGAAAAGATTAAGTTAATAGATGTAATACGAGTGGACAGAACAGAGGAGCTCAGATAGCCTAGAAAGCTGACATGTGAATTCGAAGTTGATGCCTTTATGCCTTACGCGCCCGCGTCTTACTTCATCTGTTTACTCCGCGTCTCGCTCGCGACTCCACCTCCAGTCCTCCACCAATGCGCCAAACATCACAAACCCACGCATATCATTTTCAACACCGCAGAAATGGCCGGAAGTAAGCAAACTTCAACCGCTCTACTCACTGAACACTTCCGCTATACGCCCCTCACACTCCTCGACGACATCATCAATGTCGTGAACGAAATCGCCTTTCGCGCCGTGAACGCGATCGAAGAAGGCTTCGGCCACACAACGGCCGAGCAGCTCGGTTTCTCGCCCTCATCCACCAAGAATGGCACCAAGGCAGAACTCGCAGAATTGAAAACGAACGAAATCGACAACGGAATCGTAAAACTCGAGTCCCTCCTTAACGCGACAATAGACAAGGATTTTGACAAGTTTGAGATCTACACGCTAAGAAATATCCTAGCGGTGGGGCATGAAGAAGATGATATCGCGAATTGGGTGAGACTGGATCACTATAAGGGAGTGGATCTGGTGAATGCTGCGGAATTGAAGGCCCCGACGCCGGAAGCGGTGCAGTTGCAGAGGAGGAAGTTGCAGGAGACGATGAAGTTGAATATAATGCTGAAAGCGGAGGAAGCGAAGAACGCTGCTATTCTCAAGCAACTGAGCGGGCTGATCGAGAAGGGCGGAGAAGGAGGGGAGGGAGAGGAGGCCCCATTTGCTTTCCTGAAAGCCGCGGCGAAGGAGGGGAATGCGGAAGGAAACTTGACGCAGGATACGCAGGATGCTTTGGAGCGCATACCCGCTCTGCGGCAGCTTTTGTCACAGATGCAGGAGGCGATGCAAGCTATTCCTAATGCTCGACACGGGAGGTACGAGGATGAGGATTCTGCTGAGGCGAGGAGGCGGAGATATCTGGAGCACCAGAGCCGCAGAGCACTAGAGAGGAAAGGTATTGACCCGGACTCGTCAGCTGGCGCCTCGCTTGCTGCCGGCAGAAAGATGGGGAGAGACGAGCTGGAAGGGATCGAGAGTGTGGTACAGGCTTTGGGAGGCGCTTCGAGAACCAAAGAGCAGGAAGATGATGAGAAATGATGAATGCAAATGAGCATTGAATGGATACGAACAGCATCTCAAACCCGAAAGACCATCTGTGTCTGCCGACTGCCAATCAAAACTTTCGAGCTCATGGCTGTGGCTTCCTTGCTACCACGACAAAATGCACAGTATTGATTCAGGCGCCTCTTGCACACTCTTCCGTCGCCTTCAGCAATAATTACATGCACATGTCTTTTGACATCGTCGCTGGCACAACCTCGATCTTCGGCAGGCGTACAAGCGTCGCCGGTATAGCTTCGCTTCGGGCATACCATATTGCCAAGGCTTTGTCACACCAAACACGATGCAGCTCTTTCTTTGCGATTAGCCGAAAACTGGATCGATTCAGGGCTGCCGCTAAGCCGTGCAGCGACCCTGGAAACATCTTCATATTCGTCTGCACGTATATCCACCTGGCCGCGATATATTCTGCCGCTCGGTCATCAGTCTTGCCACTTCTCAGAAGGGACACAGCCGTTTGTGAGCCGTGTGTTTCGTTCCATTGGGGGTAGCTGGCGTACTAGTCAGCTTTCGATCAAAATCGGCATGCAGTGGAAACTCACCCTCTCGGCTGCAAAACAGTAAAGAGATTGGCAAGAGGGTCAATTATGTCACCGTAGACGGCGCGAACGCCGACAGTATCCAATGCACCCACAAACTCCCGCGGTACGTCGAAAAGGATATAAACACATGGAACTTCATGTTTGAACGTCTTCCGCAAACAGGAAAGAGCCTGGCATGAGCAGCAGTGTCGAGCCTATCAAAGGAGGCATAGGGTCTTTGGCGTTGCGAGTCTGATATCCAGCCGCCTTTGCCGCAAGCGACATCCGCTATTCGGATGGGTTGGTCGAGGAAATGTCGATCTTTGGATTGAGAACGTAGCCCAACTGACATTGCCAGGTCCTGTCCCGGAGTGTGGACCTAGACCATTTTCGGTCGTCTCTAGAACGATCACATCCTTGGCCATCCTGACACCATGTGGATCGTTGAAAATCATGGTCATCCCGATATGGACCTAGTTGGAACATGGCCGGATCAGCTGCTGAGTCCGCCATTGCGTTGGAGAATTCTCGAGTACCGAGAATAGATAAGAAGTGTTTTCGATCTCAAGTGAAGAAGCTCTGTCATCGCAGAGGGGAGAGCAATGCAAACTCAATGCGCGGCACTCACCTCTTTCTTGAAGCCCTACGTTGGAAGGTGAGGAATGGACGAGGGCTCGGCCCTTCTGCATTACATGACGTTCCAAATGGTATCCCACCGAGCGAAAAGCGCCACTGGAACATCTCACATAGCGTAGAAAGAGGAGCAGTGCATGTGCAAAAAGCTAATCCTCTCCTTTGGAAGGAAGATACCAACCTAGTCAGTAGTCGGATGCATTCCGAGTCCGTTAGGTCGCTCCGAGAAAGTTTCCATAGACTTCCTTCATTAATCCCAATTAACGACCTCTTCTCATGAGCGGATCGCTCCTGGACGTGAAACTGGACTCTCCATATTGGAGAAATTTAACATTCACTCAAGCAGAGTGGTGCCATGTGAAACTGGCTCGTGCCTCGGCTAAACTTTCGATTTGGCCGACACCCCGGTTGTTTGCCATCATCCCGCCTTCCGCTTTCTATTCTTTCAAACAAATATTACAAACAACAACTTTACACTTTCGACCAACAGTCAACATGGGCCTGGAAGCGATCTACGTGGTCCGGCACGGCGTAAGTACTCCTTCGATGTTCGCGACGTATTTTCGGCGGCAAGAAGACGGGGAGTAATCATGCAATTCCACGCATGGGACGAGATCCAACTTGCCGTCTTCGGAAGGACTGCACGGGGCAATAAGTATACACGAAGTAGGACTCTTTCCTATCTGGGAAGAAGCGCTGCCGCACTGTAGCGACTGCACTGTCCTTCTGTATACTTTGATCCTGTACGACCAGCAACATCAAGATTCTTTGACTAACCTCGATGAATAGTTCCGGTCAAATTGGACCGTCGACCCAAAGACCGGCGAATACGCATCCAGCGTCCCATCTCCGACTGGAATCGTCGCGGATCCCGCGCTGGCTGGCTATGGAGTGAAGCAAGCAGAACAACTCGGAGAGCACCTTCTTAAGGTCGATCCTCCCGTTGATCTCATCTACAGCTCGCCGTTCTACCGCTGCCTGCAAACGCTGCTTCCCTTCGTGAAGGCGCAAGTTGAGCGTAAAGGCAAGGACAAAGTCATAGTCAACGTCGAGCCTGGCGTAGGCGAGTTCTACGGCCTTGCACGCTTCGATCATCCGTCACCCGCTCCAATCGACGAACTCAACAAGCACTTCGACCACCTGCAGATAGTCGAGCCGCCGACAATTGTTCCATCGACTAAGGGTGAGAGCATACCTCAGCTGCACGATCGGCTCGCCTACTGCCTTCAGCACATCATCGCTCGCGCCGATGCCGACCCAACCGGACCCAAAGCGCTTCTCATTTGCACGCACGCTGCCGCTATGATCGCCATCGGGCGTGCTCTGACGGGTCGCATGCCAGAGGACGAAGGTGAGGAGGACTTCAAATGCTTCACGTGCAGCTCCAGCAAATTCGTGCGGCGGAAGCAGGGACTCGCTACTGCGACGAATGGCGCCATCAACGGCGAGGTAAATGGTACAAACCTCAATTCAGAGTGGAAGCCTGACTCGCCCGATCAAATTCCCAACATCGCTTGGCGAGATGGCCACGGTGTCGGCGGTGGATGGGACTGCGAGATCAACGGCGACTGCTCATTCCTTGACGGTGGCGAAGAGAGAGGCTGGTAAGTTCTCCCCGTTTCTTTGTTGCACTTCTTGCTTCTTCCTACTCGGACGTGTAGCTATCTGGATGTGCTTGATTTTGGATCCACTTACCAGTATTCGGGACACACAGGAACTTCTGGATGGAGCACCAGCAAGCAGGAAAGATCACTGGCGCCAATGTCTGAGAAGGCATTGACAGCACACCTTGCTTACACTTATTGCCCGGCACAGGCATTTCTCGGGCGACGAAAGCTTTCTAGACGACCCTAATGCATTCAACGATGCAGCAAACCAGACGGCGCTTACGCACGGCTCTTACGATAGAAACAGAGAGAGGAGTAGAGATCCACGGTTATGATGGATGGCATTGGAAATGGCACTCCAGTTCAATTTTGTTCAGAGCTTTTCATTTCGCGTGGACGTGAGGCGCTGCGGAAGACAGAAGCAGCTTGCATTACTATGCTAGGCTGCAGAATCATTGCAAATCCCATTTCCTGTCGCGCGTCTGATGCGACTTTCCTTGCGCCTGTCCTGACGATGCGTAAACTCCTGATCCAGCCCCATCATGCTGCTACTCTACTCTACTGGGATGGAGTAAGAGTGAGGAACTTGCGGGAGCGCTGGGCACGTTGGCGCGAGTTCAGGTGGGAGCTCTTGCCGGTGGCGCGAGCGACAGCCTCTGGTGCCTTTTGAACGACCTCCTCGCCCTCGGTGAGGATCATCTCGATGTGGCAAGGGTTGGACATGTATGGGTTGATCTAGAGAAAGATTAGCACATTCAAGTTGATTACGAGTATTGACGACTTACACGACCGTGGGCACGGTATGTACGTCTCCGCTGCTTGGGAGCCTGGTTGACCTGGATGTGCTTGACAATCAGGTTGCTGGTGTCAAGACCCTTGGTGTCGGCGTTGGCCTCTGCGTTCTTGAGCAGGCTCAGGAGGAACTCGGCGGACTTGACAGGCCAGCGGGCCTTGGAGACACCGAATTGCTTGCCTGTGATGACACATCTCTCAGTATATTGTATCCTTATTGCGTCCTCCAATGCATCCTCGCACATGGCGCCGCATCCCTACGATGGGCTACGTACCTTGGGCAGTACGGCCAGTGCTCCCGGCATATCTCCTCATTGGGACGGCCTCGCTCTTGGTCTGGACGTTCTCGAGGTAGCGGACGGCGCGCTCGAGCTTCCATCCGTTGATGGCCTGCGCAGTCTCGCGGGTGTTCTTGAAGGAGACACGGAGGTAGGAGCCGCGAGCTGTATTCAATACTTCATCAGCATACCATTCGCGCATCCTCCAGAGACATCGTTCTCATACCGCGAGCGCTCTTGGCGGGCTCTAGGTGCTCAGCAGCGTAGCGGACCATCTTGACAGGCGCTGAGTTGATGTGTTGTTGAGTGACTGTGGTGCTCGACCTTGAATAGACCAAATGGAATCTACGCTTGCTCAAATCGCAGAAGGTGCAAATTCCGTGCCAAGCATCGGCGTGTGTGGGTTGGACTCCCGGCGCTAGTAGAAGCTAAATCCAAGCTCGAAATTTTGTCTGGAGAGAGAAATGCGACAGAGCTTCGACTGCACATTCGACACCCATCTAGATACGATCACATCGATAAAATACGAACATCATGGCCTTCACACCCCGAGGAGGCCGCGGCGGTGGTGATCGCGGAGGACGAGGTGGCGGACGAGGTGGACGTGGTGGAGCTCCCCGTGGTGGTGGCCGTGGAGGTATGCACATGGACACATCTTGAGCAAAATTTTGACAATCGCTAACGCTGTGGAAGGCTTCGGCGGCGGCGACCGTGGACGAGGCGGAGCAAGAGGTGGACGAGGCGCACCTCGCGGTGGCGGCAGAGGCGGTGCTCGTGGTGGACGCGGCGGCGGAAAGCCAGGCGCAAGGGTACGAAGCACACATCAAGGTGGAAACGACGCACATGGTATCTAACAAATACACAGGGAGGCCAGAGGGTCATCATCGAGCCACACAGACATCCTGGTGTCTTCGTTGCCCGCGGCAAGGAAGATCTGCTTGTCACCAAGAACTTGACTCCCGGCGAAGCAGTCTACGGCGAGAAGCGCATTTCCATCGACACTCCCGCTGCGACTACTGGCGATGCAGCAACCAACGGCGATGCGCCAGCAACCAAGACTGAGTACCGTGTGTGGAACCCCTTCCGCTCGAAGCTGGCAGCTGGTATCCTAGGTGGTTTGGATAAGATCTACATGGGACCGGGCAAGAAGGTCCTCTACCTGGGTGCTGCTTCCGGAACTTCAGTATCACACGTTGCCGACATTGTCGGTCCTACTGGTACCGTTTTCGCTGTCGAATTCTCTCACCGCTCTGGCCGTGATCTCATCAACATGGCCACACACCGCACCAATGTCATCCCGATCATCGAGGACGCCCGTCACCCGCTCAAGTACCGTATGCTCGTCAGCATGGTCGACTGCATCTTTGCAGACGTTGCTCAGCCCGATCAAGCACGTATTGTCGGTCTCAACGCTCATCAGTTCTTGAAGGTGGGCGGTGGTGTTGTCGTCTCCATCAAGGCCAACTGCATCGACAGCACAGCCGCCCCAGAAGCCGTCTTCGCACGTGAAGTCGTCAAGCTCAGGGAAGAGAGGATCAAGCCACAAGAACAGCTCACTCTCGAGCCTTTCGAGAGAGATCACGCGATGGTTGTTGGTGTTTACCAGCGGTCAGGTTAAGCGAGATGCGATTGTATGATGGCTTTGTGTGCTACAAGGGACTTCATGATAAAGAATCAGGAATCGGCGTTCTGTGGCGAAATGAGGCGCTTTGCGGCCAAATGCACGCGACTGGGTGGCAAATGAGGGTACTTTCTGCAGCTTTCGATACGATGTACAGCATTTTAACCGATTATGAACACATTGATGCCAGTTGGGTAGTGGAAGTGGAATCGGTAAAATGCTGAGAATGGTGGTGATATTCGACACATGTCCACATAAGAAACGCTATTTCAGACAGCCTCCCGTACATGATGCCCGTCACACAGGATCCCAGAATATTCAAACGCTACCGCTAAAACAATACAAAAGTTCCAAAGCCAAGCCCGCAACTTTGGCGATGTAAGAAGAAGCACATCATTCTTGTTGTTCTGCAATCCTCAAACTACGTCGAGTAGGACTTGAAAATACCTCAGTAGGACTAGACGCCTTTCTACTAGAGCTCCTGCGGGAAGAGCGAGAAGGACGCTGCGACTGATTGCCGAACCACTCTTCGAGTAGCTCGTCCACATTTTGGAGTGAAGCCATGCTACGACGCTCAGCGGCACGAGTATGCTGTGCTGGACCATCCTCGACAGCCGCGGGAGCTGTAGGAGTAGTCATGACTGCTTGGGGAGGGGTGTAGCGACGCATGGGGGGAAGAACGAGGCTTGGAATGCGAACTGGGGCAGGGGCAGGGGCAGGAGTAGCGTACTTCTCAGGAGAGGAGACGGCTAAAAAGGAGTGTCAGTGGGAGCGTAATTCAAGCATTTGTGGCTTGGCTAGTACTCACCTGGGGAAAAGGCATCCTCGTCCGCATCGCGGTAGGATTTCGTTGAGCTGCGCGTAGAGCGCATTGGACGCTTGGAAGCACGAGGTGAGAATTCTTGCTGCTTCTCGAAAGACATCTTACGCTTCGAGCCAGTCTGGTAGCTGACGGGATCGTACGTGGGAAGTACTTCAGTCTCACTCTCAGCCTCGGCCTCGGCCATCCGAGCTCGATCAAGAGCACGCTGTGCCTTCTTCGTAGCGCTGTTGTACGCAACGTTGGCTTCGTAGGCGCCGCAAGTACAGTCAGGGGTACCGAACTTGAGCGCCTGGGCCTTGCCCGGCCGGAAGACGTAGTCGGGGTTTGCAATTCTATGGTTTTCGGCTTCTTGCGTAGCAAGTTGCGTATACTGTCTCCGCACCTCTACAGTCTCGTTGTGCCAGCGCTCGGAGACGGCCTTGGAGATTAGTTGCTGATTACCAACGATGCCCAGTTCCTTGGCGACGCGGTCGCTGTTAGTGACACGGTAGAGGATGAAGCAATTGCGTGGACGCTTGACTTTGGTCTTCTTCTGGGCTGCAGCGCAAACGCAGGCTTGATCGATGCTGTCTTGGCGCTCTGGATTGTTGAAAGCAGCTTTACCTCGGCCGCGAGGGGTAAAGGTAGGTCCGGGGCGAGGTTGAGGGACCTTCAAAGTTGGAGCTGCAGGTGGCTGGGCATATGGGTAAGGGAATGGTCCTTGGTTTGCCGTTGGAGTGTTGTAGCCAGATGCCGAAGACGATGCATAGGCAGACTGAGGCACGTGCAAAGTGCCGTTTGGACCTTGAGAGACCTTGTAGTACCAGCCGATTCCGCGCTTGAAGGAAGCGCCCGGTGCACGAGGAGTAGCAATGTTGTACCACAAGTCGAGATCTGCATCGTAGTTGTCTGCAAGCGGCTCGTCAGCGGCTGGAGTGGCTGCTTGGGCTGGTGCAATCTGCAAAGCGTTGTCAGTAGTGGGTTTGGCGTCAAAGGCGTAGTCGGAGAAGTCCGAGTTCATATACTCGTCTGTGGATTTGAGATCGCCCTCGACGGGGAAACCCTCTTGGAATTCCTTCATCTCGTCGTCCGTCAAGGTAAACAGCTGCGGATCGAGGGAGAAGTCCTCGAGGTTGTTGTCCATTGTAGCGGAGTTGTGATTGGGTTGAAGTTCTTTTGGATCCACCCTCGGAGTTGTGGGATAATTGTTGGGCTCAAGTAAGTCCTGAATTGTTGTTTGAATGAGTGTTTCGGCGTGCCAGACGCTGTCAGTGGTGGGATGCTTGAGTGGAAGGTTGGATTTGTTAGGAGAAGGTGGAACGGAGAAGGAAAAGTCGCTGTGATGCCGTCTTGGATGGGTTATATTACATCTCATCCCAACTTATCTTTGTTACTTCTGAGGCATCAAATCCCATTGTCAATGGCTTTGAAAGACCCGAAATAGCCTACCTCGAGTACGGTCGGACAAAGGCGCAGCATCTGTGGAAGTCGAGAAGGCCTCGTAGTGGTCGACTGAAGACAATGCCCTTGTAATCTGCTCAAAGAGCAACGATGCCGTCTTTGATTTCTGGGGATGCCCCGCAGCAGTGTGAGTGAATGCATTGTCCTCTCCGAGTCCAGTCTCATGCTCTATCCTAGCAGGAGACATGCTGCCTTCGTCAGAGGCAGAATCACCGGAAATACCCCCGTACTCGAAAGGCCTCCAATGAGGACTTCAAGCACAAGTCTCTCACTAGGAGGGCAGCGGCAGCCAACGCGACGAGTCATCGGAAGCCATCCTTTGACTTGCCTCTCCGTGATCAGTAGGCCGCTGGTCTGACGAGTTTATGGTTCTCAGTCCTCTTTCTTCTTTTCACCCATTTCGACTCCAAGCTCTTCCAGATATTCGCTAACGACCTGGATAATAACGCCATGATCCTGCTCCTGCTTCAATCCGCTCACAACAATCACAGCAACAATGCCCTCAACTCCCTGTACTCTTACCGGCCAACCTCCTCCGTGGATTGCATACTCCCCAGCTTTCTCGCCCAGAGCAAACTTCGCTCCGAAAGCCTGTTCGTCGCCCTTGAACTTGTTGTGCACGAACCATGTGCTATTCCCAAACCTCAAGACGGTATTCCTCTTCCTCGCAACCCACGTATCGTTATCCGGCGCCGTGCCTGAATGGGTTACCGCATGGAAAAGACAGTGATTCCCATGCGCAAGGCTGATGTCTATTACAGTGGGTTTAGAGAAGGCGAAGAGTCTCGTTCGTAGCAATGAGCCCAGCGTCCAGGCGGTGTGTGCGGTGAAAGTGGGGAACTTAAGGGAGTTGTCGATGATGGAGATTTCTTCCAGCTCCCTGGGAGGCATTGGAATGATTGGTTCGCCCATGATCAAAGTACACTTTAGCCCAGTATTCAATTAGAATGTAAGAGAATCTGTAAAAGTATAGAATTCAAATGTTTTTTTAGAAGACAAAGAAGAGCGGGTCCGCTTCTGTCGAAGCTGAAGTCAATGGAAGTTGTTCGGCTTTCTCCGGCCTTTGATGTTGGTGCCTGAGGCCCCGAGAAACCAAGGGGATGCATGTCTCTAGAGATAACACAATTCAAATTCAAGACCAAACCTCGGGTGGAGAATTGCTACAGTATTAAGGAAATTCGATCCACAGTCCTCTCAACCTCGAGGACGCCATTCCCTTCTACCACGTCTGGCGTTGACCACACCTTCACAACGTCAAGCCCATGAACACTACCAATCAAATCTAGCCATTCGCTTTTGTTCCTGGTACGGCTATTGTGAATCAACAGCAAGTAAAAGTCCAATTGCGCCGAGAATTGCGGTACTTCCTTGTTAGGAAGTATCTTGGCCGACACCATGAGCTTGCTATATTCAGGCGTCATGGCATCCCTGATGTGTCCCAGAATCTGACGACAAGAGTCATCGGTCCAATTATGCAGAATGTTCTCTAGAAAGTACGCTCTCGCTCCGCGGATTGGCTGAGGTGTGAAAAAGTCGTGCGCCACACATTCAATTCGAGAATCCAGCGAGCCTCTCCCAATTTGGTTGATGGCTTGGGGGAGATCTTCGAGAGCAAATTTGCCCTTATCTGCTGCGAAAGGGTATTTTTGGAGCAGTCTTGATATGGGTAGACCTTTCCCGCCCCCAACATCGACATACATGTACTCCGAGCCGGATTTGCACGAGTCGAAGTCGTTGAAGATGACTTGATCGTATGGAAACCATTGAAGCGGTGTGACGTTCGGACGCTCAAAATAGCCCTGAAAAAATGTATTGAGAACATTGGATGCCTCAGGCCGTTTGCCCCAATAGGCGAAACTGTCCTCTTTCGTGTCCAGCGCATAATTGAAGAGGCCGGCAGTCATGCTTCGTGGCAGGCGATAGTCGTTCTGGCGAAAGAAAGCTGACGCGCGTGCCACTATCGGGCTGCTCATCTCCAAGCTGTCCGGCGTCAGTATCGCGAAGCCCTTGCAGAATTTCCTCGCCTGGTCATGATATGTCTGCGGACGCCATCATCGTCTCGACCCGCTGTGACTGCAGTCTACGCGTGTTTTCAGGATGGTATCGATCTTTCGATGCAGGAGTACGTTGCAAAAGGGAACGTGATAGTCTTACTGATATCTGACTCCTGCCTGCACATTGGGCTTAGTCATGTGTTTTGCTAGTGAAGTCGCTGTATACGCATGCTGTCCAGAACCAAGGTCGAGTATTTCGTCTTCAGCGATGAAGTTCTGAGCGACTAGCACGATTGCGATGTGCTTCAGGAGCGTCTCTTCAACCTCGCACATTGCAGCCAATTGTCGAAGCGTCAAAGGTCCTTCTGCATCAGTGAGCTTTTCGAACAACCCTATATCGACAGCCAGTTGTACTGCGGCCAGGCGATATGGTCCAAAAGCCAAGTCCTCTACAGTGACATAGGGTTCTTCCAATGATGCAACGAGTGCTCGAGATGCTTGGAGGAGCGCTGCTCGTGCCTGGGGCTCCGTTTCGATGCCATCGGGGTGATCGGTTGCAATTGAACTGATCTTGGACACTAGGGTCGCAATGCTTGAAGACGTAGGGTTGTCGTGGTCCATGGTTCCTTTTATTGTCGTGTTTTCTCTCAGAGGCTCCAGACGGCAGATCAATTGATTATGATTCAAGATGAAGTGTAGCGACGCCGAAATGCCCTTCTGAGGGTCCGCCCCAACTCGAATCAAGTCCAACGCATTGCAAGTTCGTACGAGGCGTCCAAGAGTTGATCCTTGCAAAGTTCCCGGGCCATCCGCAGTCTGGTTGGCAGAGCTTTGAACATGAAGGCGTGGCAGGTGTACCGGCTATCCTCGCTCATAGATCTTATGGCAACAATCAAGATTAAGTAAAGCCAGTGTTCACCATGTCAAGACCGGGGACGGCGGACCAAACGTACCAAGCCCTTCACCGGACCTCTGTCGACACATTCGAAGCCGGTGCCGTGTTCTCCCATCTAGTGAGAAAGCTAGGAGACTTAGTATCGTCTTATCGAGAGCCACCATGGCGAAGTGCACCGTTTGCGAGAATCGAAGGACGCATGTCGTTCAGGTTGGTACCTTAGCGTGCCGTGAAGTGAATGTCTTAATCGGCTTCGGGATCGGCTTTATTTTTCGAGCGGAACGAGCCGACGCTACTTTTTATCCTCTTGAATTTTTGGATCGCGAAGTTGTCTCGGCTTCAACATCAGCGCCTGTCTACGCAGGGATTTTTTGGGACATGGCAATCCAAAAGAAGCACGCAAAGGCGCGTCTGGACAAATACTACTACCTGGCCAAGGAGAAGGGCTATCGCGCTCGTGCGGCATTCAAGCTCATCCAACTGAACAAGCGATTTTCCTTCCTCCAGAACGCAAAATGCCTGATCGACTTGTGTGCCGCGCCCGGATCATGGCTTCAGGTCGCCGCCGAGGTGATGCCTCAGAAGTCGGTGATTGTGGGAGTCGACTTATCGCCGATCAAACCCATCCCGAAGACGATCACCTTCCAAGGCGATATCACGACAGACAAGTGTCGAGCGACCATAAGAGGGCATTTGAAGACATGGACAGCGGACTGTGTGATACACGATGGTGCGCCAAATGTGGGAACAGCATGGGTACAGGACGCCTTCTCGCAGAACGAGCTGGTGCTGTCGTCTCTGAAGCTAGCAACCGAGTTCCTTACGCCTGGCGGATGCTTCGTCACCAAGGTCTTTCGAAGCAAGGACAGTGCGAAGTTGGAGTGGATATTCAAGCAACTATTCTCCAACGTGGATCAAACGAAGCCACCGTCAAGTAGAAATGTTTCCGCAGAGACTTTCTACGTGTGCAGAGGCTACAAAGCACCCAAGCATCTTGATCCACGATTTCTGGACCCACAATATGCTTTCTCGGAGCCAGAAGAGAAGAAGGGCAGTGATGAGGCAAAGGTGTTCAATCCGGAGAAGAAGAAGAGGAAGCGAGAAGGTTATGAAGAAGGTGACTGGACACAGTTTCACGAAGCTCCTGCGAGCGAGTTTATCCAAACTCAGGATCCGATCGCTATGCTTGGAAGTTTGAACAGACTGCACTTCAGGCAAGACGCGAACGACATTGCACTTGCTGCGTTGGACAAACTACCAGAGACAACGGAGGAGGTGCGACAATGTTGCGAAGATATGAAGGTCCTGGGAAGGAAAGAGTTCAAGATTCTACTCCGATGGAGGTTGAAAGCGAGAGACGTGTTTGGATTTCGACAAAAAAAGGAGGGCACACACAAAAAGGCCGAGGCGAAACCCGCGGAGCCAGAGGGAGGCGAGGCTGGCGAGGAGGTTGCCATGGTCGAGTCGATGGACGACGAGATGCGGCTACAGCAAGAAATTCAGGCGCTCAAGGATATGCAAAGTAAAGAGAAGCGCAAGGAGAGGAGGCGAAACAATGAGAAGAAGCAGAAAGACATTGTACGAATGCAGATGGGCATGACCACACCCTCAGAAATCGGAATTGACGCTGGCGCGAATGACGACGTCTTCCAGCTCAAAAAGGTCGACAAGGACAGCAACGTTCGCCGTGCCATCGTCCGAGGTCGGATGCATACACAAGTTGAGCCGGAGAAGCCCAGAGAAGAGAGCAGCGAGGAGGATGAAGATGAGGATGGGGACGCACTAGAGCGAGAGCTTGATGGCATGTACGAGCTATATCAGCAGGGGCGAGAAAACCGCGATGCCAAGGCTAGGGCCAAACGGGTCCGAAAGGAGGCGAAGGGCGATGAGGAAGAAGAATTCGAGGATTTCGACACGCGTGAGAAGGGAGCCGACACTGACGCGAGCAGTGATGATGGGCTGGTCGAAGACGAAGACGACTCCGAAAGCGATGAGGACGATGGAGATGGCTTGACAACAGATCTTGCACCCAAGGATGATAAGCAAGGCGGTTTGTCAAGGCGCGCGGCTGCTTTCTTCCAACAGGACCTATTCGACGGGATTGAAGGCCTTGACGAAGACGTGGAAGCCGACGCCGAGAAAGAGAGAGATAGTGGAATCGACGTGGACTCGCCTGAGCTCAAGTCGGCAGAACTGGCAGAAGATGACGAGCAGTCCGATGGAGAGGGATCTGGGCCTGAAGAAGTTGAGAGAGCCGAATCCGACGAAGACTGGGAGGAAGGTGCAAAGAAAGAGAAAGCAAATGGCGAAGGCCGTCCGAACATTGACATTATCACCGCTGAAGCCATGACTCTGGCGCACGCCCTCGCAACTGGCAAGATGACCAAACAACAGCTCGCAGATGACAACTTCAACAAGTACTCTCTCCGCGATACTGATGGCCTCCCCGAGTGGTTCCTCGACGATGAGGGCAAGCATTCCCGGACCCAACGTCCAATCTCAAAAGAAGCTGCGGCCGCTATCAAAGAAAAGCTCCGTGCCGTCAATGCAAGACCAATCAAGAAAGTTCGAGAGGCAAAGGCCCGCAAGACTCTTCGCGCCGCCAGGCGGTTGGAGAAATTGAAGAGGAAATCCGAGGGACTTGCCGAAGATGGAGATGCAAGCGAGAGGGACAAGGCGAACCAGATCTCCAGACTCATGGCGAAGGCCTCCAAGGCGGGCAAGAAGAAGAAGCAGCCCGTCAAGGTCATCAAGGCGGGCGGGCAGAACAAGGGCTCGGGCAGACCAAGAGGCGTAAAGGGCAAGTACAAGATGGTCGATGCTCGATTGAAGAAGGATGTGCGAGGTCTGAAACGGGCAGAGAAGCGGAATGGAAAGAAAAGGTAGTGGTCACTGATCAGCTGCCGATTTGGCCTTTGCAGAAAGAATTGATCGATTTTCGCTCTTTTCATTTTTGAATACCTGGTAGTCTTGTCGCTCACATGACTTGACAAGGCGGTCGGCGCATCCTGATTTTCCGCCGCAGTCTGGCTGCACTGAATGCGTGATCGAATGTCTGGATGAACTACTGTGATGAGGTGGATGCATGCTGTGTCCGCCGTACGGATGTGCATTCTGCAACGCCGAGCAAGTACGCACAGGCGACGGCGCGACGGCGGATTGCATTGCAGGACTGGTGGCATAGAAGTCGCGGTCGAAGAAGACACATTTAGACAGCTGCCCCAGGTGAGGCAGAGCGTACTCGCGTGCAGTCCACGGCTTTAGTAGATGGCCGCAAGCAGTCCGACGACACCACCAGCGCCAAGCAAGACGGCTCTCACGGCATTCTGTCTCGCAAACGTGCCCAACATCTGCCGCACCTCCTCGTCCTCTTCCTCCGTACTGTCCAGCTCAGTCTTCTCCTGCGGTCCGCTCAGATCCGTAAACTCATCGCCCTCGCCTTTGCCGTTCACCGAGTCCAAAGCGCTCCGCTCGCCGGGCTTGTAGCCTGACTTGGCTAGCTCTTCTGCGGCTTTGGCGCTCCGCGCTCCTCCCTTGTCGGCATTCTTCTTGATCAGAGCGAAGTTGTTGGGTACCATCACGGACATTGTCCAGGGCGCTATGCTGATCGAGAGGATGGCTGCGACGAGGTAGCCATTGACACGGAAGCCATTGGTGCTTCGGAGGATCTGTGTCAAGGTTCTAAGGTTTGCTGGGAGGGCGTCGTAGGCTAGGTAGAGGAAAGTGAGGAAGGAGAGGAACTGTGATGATGGGACGTTCAGCTTGTCTTTCTCGGGGAGGTTATTATTATGGGGTGGCAGGACACGACGTACCGATGCTGAAGGGAAGATGTGTGAGCCTCGACTAAAGAGCCATCGGATCATGGGCAAGGAACGATTCGCCGGTTGGGATTGGATCTCGGGTATGTCGAACAGGGAGAGCGTAGCGATTCCGCCCGCTCCGACGAGCGAGCTCGCGATGGCTACCGTTTGGAGCGTCTTGGTGAGGATGACACTCATCATTGGTTGTTGAGGGCCCTAATTCTGAGAATCTCTCTGTAGGGCCCTCTGCAGACGTCTTGCTCGTCAAGAGATTCTTATGGCTTTTCAGCAGACAACATCATATGCTGTTGCGGGCATTGGAAAAGTCCGCTCTGCCGGTGTCCGAGTTCCGAAGAAGATAAGACCGTCTCCGGGGAAAGCCGGAGCCGAGAGCTTCGGCGTCTAATGCTGCTTCATACCTGCCCTTCACACTTCCATCTACTACCAATTGCTACGACGTGCAAGTGCCTACCTAACAAATCGCACCCGCCATACCTTGCGTCTCCGTGCCATTCCAGTTGCACTTCAGGTCTCTCGCCAAGTGAGGTAGGGTGCATCTCCAGCGTTCCGACTTCCTTCAGCTTGCGGTGGTCGCAGCGCAATCATCCACGGCGAGACCATTCATCACCCAATGACTCCAGCATCATTTCAGCCTTGTTCTTTGCGATACCAACGCGCATCCATTCCATCATCCAAGAGTGTGCCGAGTACCTTCTTGGCCCCAAGTTGCCGAGAGGGGTTCAAAACTGCGCGAGCTGCTTGGAAGAACGATTCCGGCGTTACTGGACGATCGCAGAGCATCTAGAAGTACATGCGGCTTCTATACTACGCAACTCGTATTCAGTATAGTTCGCATGACGGTGCCTTGTACGATTGCGTTTCCCATTCGCACGGCAAAAGAACGCTCTGCGGTGGTCATGAGGCCTTCTCAGATTCCATACCCACTCGCTCTTGGAGCCGTGACAACATCCACATGTAACGGCCAAGGAGGCGGCGAAATCGAAGCAAGCGCTTCGAATCCCATAGCCAGCTCTGTGGAGGGGCTTCTCCTAGGCTGTGCATGGCCTTGGCTCCTAGACTATTTGCTTCTAGGCTGACTTTTACCAATCCGCAGTCATCTAGTTGGCTTGCCACATGCCTTGGAGCAGTGCGATCGCTCGAGCTGTAGTACACCGGCATCGACACTTCTCGGACTCCGACCTTGGCTGCGGCCTGGCCTGCTGCTATGGATCACATCTCCAGGCAAGGACTTGGAGCACGTTGGACTGCCACGCAAAAACAGGCGGGCGGCGATGTCCCGGACAGGGTGCCTCTCTTCTTATGCAAAAGACGAGACACTGGTGTCCTCACACCACCGCCTGGCTATAACGCCGAGGAGGAATACGTCGATGTCTCGAACGGCAGTGGACACGAGTGGCAGGCTCCTGCTGAGAGCGATCTCCAATTGCGCGATTTCAAGACGGACTTCAATAGATTCCCACAAGCTGAAATACAACAAGAGAACATATGTCTGTCATGGATAGAATCCACATGATCCGACGTATGAGCGTTCTTGCATGACTACTCCGTTCCTGTATTGCTTAGGCGGAGAAGATAGTTGAGAGTCAAATCTCTTGTCTCACGAACATTCCCTCCAGTCGCCGAATTGTGCGTCGACTTCGGTGGTCTAGGTCAGTACATCGCCCGCAGGTTGCCACGAGGTTCGGTGTCGGTCCGAGAGATGGTGAGGGTACCGGACATGAATCGCCGGCAGTCAGAATCGACGGCTTGCAGGAAGCATCTGAGAGGTGTCTAGAATTTCACGTCCAGGCCACTTCATACTTCCTTTCCGTTGCGCTGTTGGTATAGCTAAGACACGACCGGAAACAGGCAGCAAGCCAAGAGGTGACGCGTGACACGCGTGACGTGCGGGATCCCGAGAGGGAGCTGTGGAGCCGTCCCCGTCCCCGCCCCCGCACGAAATTCTCATTGACTCGGTCGTGATTGGGCGAGACGGATTCAAGGTTCAGTCTCCATGCAGGTCTCCGCCGTATAGATGGGGTAGCGTCTTTTCAATCTTGGCAATTAGGTAGCTGCAATTGGATGTCCGATGGTTCCAACTGTGCAATGTCTGGCCTGCCTGCCGGTGGCTTCTAGCCCTTCTGCTGCTGGCGAGAAAAGACTACCCATCACCTCCCCGATCTCTCACGCTGCCACGGTAAATGCGGGAATCTTCACTTTCTTTCATGTCCTGTTTCCCGCACTCATCTATCCGTCCCGCTAGGAGGGTGCTTGCGGCCATGATGCACCCCGATGTGAATGCAGCAGCCGGTGTGAACGCGCGGGGAAAGCTGAAGCAGAGACGCTCGAGAAAAGCCTGTCAGCATTGCCACACGCGCAAGATTCGCTGCAATGTGCTCGAGAACGGGACGCCTTGTGCCAATTGTGTCGATGCTGGCACGACTTGCATCATCAGGCGGCGCAAAAACCAGAGGTGAGCACAAGACAAGGCGCGTGAAACTCTTCCGACGAGTCAGCGGCTGACTGGCATTGCAACCATCAAGACGAGAATCAACTCCACCTGACCAGAGGCAAGCCGTTCTGGATCGCACTCACAGCTTTCCGGTCTGGTCGAACGGCAATGCCCATCAGCGGCAACACCACCAGCAACAACAACAACACCACCACCAGCAACAACCACAACAACAACAAGAAGGGCAGCAGCCCCAGCCGCAAGTTCAACATTCGCAAAGGTCCCTGGCGCCGAACGGAATCTCATCGGAGAACAATGGCTTTGCGAACGGCGTGGAGAGTCAATCACAGAGCTCCACGCCGCCCCTCTCCGCCGATGGATGCAACCTCTGGCCTGACCTGGGCAACGAATTGAATGCTTGGGAGCAGAATAGTGTCGTAGATGCCTCGTCGGCTAGTTGCGACTTCAGCCATCTTACCGATCTGGACGACATCTTCACCTTCACCGGAAATACCTTCCCCACCACTCTGCCGCATTTCCAGAGTGATTTCGGCTGGAATCCAACCTATGCGCAACAGAATCATCTGAGCCCGCCGCCAGTCTTGCCAGGTCCCGGTATTAATGAGAACGGCAATCTGCCTCTTCGGCCCCCGTCGTCTCTCACTACCTCTGTTCACATCCCTGGACTGAACCCAAGAGACCATGAGTATCTCAGAGGTGAAGGATGCTTTGATCTCCCTCCGGCTCAAGTGCTCAAGCAGATGATGCGGATGTATTTCAGAATGAACCATCCCAATTTGCCTGTAATTGCCGAGGATCAGTTCTGGGCCCTATGGAATGGCGACGAATTTCGCGTTGGCGAGTTTTCGTTTCTTCTTCTCCGAGCGATGATATTCGCAGCGACTTGCTACACTGAGCTAGAGACGCTGCTCAGCATTGGATTCGTTAGCAAGCGGGAAGCCAGAAACACGTACTATCGCCATGCCAAGGTGAGCTCGCTCAGTCTCTTGACATGTAGCGCCAGACTGACCTGCGACAGCTTCTTTTCGACTTCTCCATCGAGCGCGACGCTGTATGCAGTGCACAGGCGTGTTTACTGTTGTCGTACAATTCTCCCAAGTACAATATTTTGCGGCTCAACACATATTGGGTCACAAATGCAATGCGCTTCGCGAGGATTGCAAGGGCCAACTCGTACCACCGCGCTCGGGATCCAGTCAAGTCCAAATTACTCAAACGCCTCTGGTGGGGTGTAATCTTCCGCGATCGCATCCTCTCGCTTGGGCTTCGGAGGTCTGTGCAGTTCGAACTGGACCCTTCTTGGGCGGAGGGCGAAAAGCACACACTCACGGCGGAAGATTTCCAGTCGGAGCTCGGAAATTCTCAGGTGCATGACCCAGAGACCCAGCTTCGCATATTTGAAGTCATTGCTGCGACGTGTCGGCTCATGCGATGCATTTCTCACGCAAACCGGATCATGTACACCCATGAACACCTGGACGATCGGCTAGAGGCAGTATCAAAGTCAGTCCCCGGGACCATTGCTGACATCAAACGCTGCTTGGAGTCACTCCGCCAGTGGCACGACCAAAGCATCCGACTCTTCCCCTTTCCAATTAGCTTGGATGATGCGCATGAAACGATTTGCGTCTACGCAAACCTGATGTTCTCGTATCACGTATCAGCGGTATTCGGGCTCAACACCTATCTCATCCTCCTCCGCGAAGTCTTCCCGTCAGCCAGATCTCTCTTCTCGTTGGAAGAATCGAAAGAAGCCCTTGAAGCTGCCAACAACGACGTGTCTCGCCGCACCCAGGAGCTGGTACAGGTCAGGCTGGTCAAGTTTCTGCCGATTTCTGCCTCGGCGATCCTCGCCCTTCCGCTTGTTCTCCAGGCCATCAATGTCGCTGCGGCTCGTGGCTCGGGCATGGAAGCCGTGGAGATCCGCCGTCTGGATGTGTTCACTAGGACCCTCAAGTCACAGCAACAATCATTTGATGGCTCGGACTTCTGCTCAGATGTGCTTGCCAACATCGTGGCCTACGCTCAGGACGACACCAAACTCGTCAGCTCCATGACCTCGTGGCGCGATGGCACGGGCAAGGATGTCAATTCGAATGCAGTCAACGGAGGGAACCTCCAGGCGAGTGCACAAGGCGGCCAGAATAAGATCAAATTGGACTGGGGAAACCTGGTGTATAAGCGTCCGAGATTGTTCTTGAGGTTGGTGTTGTATTTGGACCAGGCATTTAGTCGAGGTGGCCCGCCACAGGACGAGGACTTCCCACCGGAGCTGCAGAGGGCGTCTGTTTGAGAAGCTCGATGTTTTTCATCAAAGGCTGAAAAGTTGATATGCTCGTGGTTCGACTTTCTATGATTGAGTAATACATCCAGTCATGTCGTGAGCGAGAGAAAAGGGGGAGGGAAGTGAGAGGTGAAGTTGGAATCCGGTACGCGGCAAGTGCCGAGAAAAGCCCGAGACATTTCAAGAGGCTCAATCAAGCTCTAATCAAGTTTTCGTCGACTAGCTTAACTTCTCTCCTCCTTCCACTTTTTTGGCCGCCTTACTCTCTCCATCCGTCCACACCATTGACATTTCATTGCATTTGCGGGAGAGGTAACCTTAAAGACGGCGGATGAGAATGTGAACCCGGCTGTGTCGATCGGCTTGGCCTGAGGATCCCATCATGAGGTGGCGAGTGCCGGGCTCGTGTCATACTGCATGGTCATCTTCTTCCTGAGAATTGTCGCCTGAGCAAAGACATCGTGAAGATGGACTCGGACTGCAACTAAGAGAACCCTCTTTTGAAATGACTTCTCAGTGCGAGATGGAGCTTCAAAACGCACTCCGGAGGTCGATTTCGGGCTATTGGTGTTGCAATCGAGTATTGATTTCAACTCATCGACCTGACCACATCAACGTTTGGCCTGCTCTGTCTTGACGACCCTTCATCACCATAGTTGCAGCGATCAAAATGGTAGACGCAGCAAGAGTCGCACCCACAAACCACTGCAATCCAACCCAATCTTGTCCGGTCATAATCTTTCCCGCGATAGGATTGCCGACAAGAACTCCGAGGGCTAAGCAGAGCGTCGCCATGCCCATTCTACCACCCACGAATCGCATGTCTGCTGTGATTGCGGCGATTGTGGGCGTCTGGAGGCTTACAAATGGACCGCTGAAGACACCATAGAGGATCGACCAGGCAATAAGTCCGCCCTTTGACTCTCTGATGGGGATCCAGCAAAAGATCAACAATGCAGATATCGAAGTCGTGAATGTGAGCGTCTGCAAGCATCCAAACTTATCGGCTATCATTGCCGGAAGAGTTCGTCCAATGAGGCCTCCGGAGGCCATGATGGGCAGCATGAAGAAGGCCAGCTCTTCTCCAAGGTGAGAGCGCTGAGCGGCATAATCCGTGATGAAGAAGTATGGGACGTAGAGTCCCATGGACCCCACGAAGGATAAGACACAAAATAGCGTGAAGAGAACCTCTTCAAACCCGCTGAAGTCGACAATCTTTGGTCGCGGTGGAGGAAGAGTGCGTTGCTTGCATAATAGAAGCGACAACACAACACCCGCAAGGACAATGAAGCCCATGATTCGCACCGCCCATCCGAATCCCAGTACTGGCTGCAGGCGGCGAAACATGATCGGATAGATGATGCCACCTGTAGCGCTTCCAGCAGCGGCGATTCCAGTCGCAAACGCGCGATATCTATCGAACCACCCAGGAATGATTGCAACGGCGACAATGAAAAGCTGTCCGGATCCGAGACCAACGCACACTCCTTGAGCCAGGAACAGCTGCCAGTATGCGTGATCTAGCGAAGTCATCATCAATCCGAAGACGACCATGAAGCCCCCGATCATGATTAGCCAATGTGGGTGTCCTCTGTCCAGAACGGGACCTGCGAAGATCGACATGAACGCGAGAAGAAAGCCTTGTATTGTCCCTATCCATGCAACGGCACTGTTGCTCTCGCCTTTCAGGAAGTCGTTTACATAATAGCTTTGGAAAACACCGTACGCTGTAACAATGCCCCTACGAGATGAGCTTTGTTAGACCGGAGACATTTGACTCAGGATAAGAAGATATTGACCATGAATTAAGATACAGAAAAAAACCAGAGACGGCCTGGAGCCAGGCCTGTGAGCCTCCGTCGGGTATGGGCGATTTGTTGTACTCTCCCGATGTTGTCGTCTTCTTGGACGTCGCAGCCTCCAAGTCCAGAATCGCGCCTTTCCGTGCCGATGCATCACTGGCATCGATACCATGCCCGAGATCTTTCTCATCGTCCATGCCATCGTGCACGGAAAATGTCCCTTGGCTTTTGTCGTCTTCGGTCTGGCCTTGATATTCTTCCATCTCGGTGTGCCTTCGCCGTCTACTGGATGGACACTTGAACTCGGTAGGGCCTGCCACTGAACGAAATATCGACACTGGTTTTGAACGGTCTGAAAGTGGACGAATGCGGAAGGAAGGTTGAGTAATGGAGTGGTAGCAGTCAAGAGGAAACCCCGGAAATCAAGACTATCCACTCTTGATGATGCATCTCAACTCTCCGACAGACTTTGATCGACGCCTGGGATTTTGAAGATCATCAGATTTAGGTTCTATGCAGCTTGGGCTTCTTGTCTTGTTAGGAGACTCGGAGGCAGCTGTTCCCGGCGATGAAGAGAGATGGCGACACATGCTGCCTGTCGAACACTTCAACTATGCGTCTTGGACAGATTGGCGGTTGCTGTCACTGTAACGCCGATTAGAAAAACAGCCCTTCCTGTGGGCATGAGACGAGGAATGATCGATATCAAGCGATATCGAGCGGCATCCCTATCCAGAGGCATTCGCGACAGCGTTGAAAGATACTCAATTCTGACGCCTTGCGGGGAGCAACAACTCTCGACAACTCATCACACCAAAAGCGAGAAAAAGCTGTGTCGTGATCGCGGCTTTTCCCTCATCACCGCGGAGTTGCTCGATGCCTGCCTGCCTGTATCATCCACAGGCTATTGAACGCTATCTATCGTACGCAGAAGTATGACCAGTTACTAAGGTACATCACACGGCTTAATCAGAACTGTAGCTGTAGCATTCGATGACTTTCCTCGGAGATGTTGCTTCGTAGACAGATGATAGCGAGGCATGGCTGGTAAATCAGATTTCCCGGAGCTAGCTAGCTATGTGTGAAGACTGATCTGCAGGGCTTTATCGATTGATGTGATGTGATGTGGTGTTGTGCTGCTTTTTTCCCGGGTTTGAAGACTTGACTTGACTTGTGCAGCACAGGAGGGTCACTTTGGGCTTTCGTGACAGAGAGCAGGTATGTATGTACAGATCTTCGCTGGGTCTGACGATCTTTTGAGGTGATAAGGTAGCTGTAGCGTCCACAGTCCCGACACGATTTATCACAATATTGGCCGGGGGTTGCCGCTCCAGCGTCCGCGAGCATTATGACCGTGCTGATGCAGTGATGTCGAAGGATTCATAATATTAATATGAATTTTCCTCTGATTATGGCTGTTGAAGCCGATGTTGTCCGTGTCAGTGATGAGACGAAGTTTTCTTAGGTAAGAGTGGAGAGGGTGACTAAGCATGTGTAATCCTCGTCATCCTCCCGAGTCCCGAAGTCCCGTCCGTCCTCTTGTTCTTTTCCTTCCTTCCGTCAACACCTCTCTGTTGTGCTCCTGTGCTCACACCTAACCGACGCCTCCCAACCGCGTTATCACCATTCCGCCCTCCGATATAGATAGCTGCAAGCCGGCCTTTACAATCTCGGAAGCGTTTGCGCATCTGGCCTCGGCTGAAGCTGGATGCCTTTCGGGCGAGCAAACTTGAGTGCCATGCCAAGGGGTTCGCCGGGGGCCAATACCACCACACGTCCTGTCGACCTTCATCATGGAAAAGGATTTGGACACGCTCTGTGCTTGTCATACTGCAGACTGCAGTGGGGTACGTTCAAGGGAGTTGACGGGTGTTGTACTGATTACTAGTGGCGTTGAGTTGACAGGTGATTTGATTGATCACTACCGCTTTCGCTACCACGGCTGCAAGAAGGTCGCCAACCTACGCCACCACGGTTTTTGCAGATATTCATCCAGCGCCTTTATCTCGTGGAGATCCAGCGCTCTCCTTCCCGTCTGGAGGTCGACCTTGCACGGATCTCGAACCTTGGTCCGGAGAATCAGCTTGTATCCGATGCCAGAACCCATGATTAGGATTAGTCCGATCATGTACTGGAAGAAGGAATATGCTGAAGGCGCATCCGACCCGATCGGAAACAGCGCCAGATAGATTGAGCACCCAGTGTAGAGTGAGCAGCATGTCAGCAGCCAGATGGGTGGGAAGGGCCACCACTTGCACATCCACGCGTACTTCTGATCAAACAGTGGATCTTTCTGGGCCTTCAAAGCTGCGCGGAATCGAAAACTTGTTATTCCGATCACGACCCACACGCCAAAATACCCCGTCGTTGCGATCTGAGCAAGCCAGTTGAAGACACTTATGCCGCCTGCGCTCAGATTGATGTATGTCAAGGTCACTGCGCTCAAATATGTTATAAGCAGCGCCCATCTTGGCCTGCCTTGTCGATCGACCTTCGCAATCCAAGCCGGAATCAGGCGCTGATGCGACATGGCCCGCAAGATGCGCGAGGCAACGAAGACGGATTCTGCGCCTATGGCTGCAACGGCAAACATGATGACCACATTCAACAGCTGTGGCAGACCAGGGACAGCCGCTTCATCCAGGGCAATAACGAATGGGGAAGCCGCTACGCCCGATCCACCAAGCAGGCGCTCATCTGTTGCGGGAACCAAAAGGCCGATGAAGATGACAGATACTAAGTAGAGCACTGTCACTCGAATTGAAATCAAGACAACCGCATGTGCGATCGAGTATCGGGGAGTCTTGGCTTCACCAGCGAGGAATCCGGTGAAGGTATTGTCGCCAATCGCAAGAATGGCCAAAAGAACCGAGTTGCTGTATCCCTTGAAGCCGTTTCGAAACGCCAGTCCATTGCTCCAAGTCTCTCCATGATGGACATACCCTTTCGGACCGGCGCCCAGAACCATTGCAAGGCCGGCCAGGATGAACACGAATAGGGCAACCACCTTCATGATGCTTGTGCCGTACTCAAACCACGCAAAGACTTTGCTTGGCAACGCGAAAATGATCAGCATCACCAGTAAAAAGATTGTATACCAGACGGCTTCGTTGACTCGGTCTTCAGCCCAGTAGTTGATGATGACACTGAAGAATGTTGCTTCGCTTGCAACAATGGCGGTCCAGCCGAGCCACATACTGAAACCTCCGGCAAAGGCCAGAGCAGGATCCACAAATCGATCAGCAAAGTCGATGTAGTTGCCAGAGACGGGAAAGGCGATCGTCATCTCGGATACGGTATTTAAGACTGCCCAGACACATGTGCACACAGTCGCGAATGCAAGGACTAGTGTTGCTGGGCCACCATCGCGAAGGTTTTTGCCCGTAGAAATGAAGAGACCTGCTCCGATCTGGCCGCCCAAAGAGATAATCTGAAAACATTTAGCAAGTAGCCATTGTGTCGACAATGAGAATCTGGAGCGTACGTGAATATGGCGAGCTGAGAAACTACGCTTGTATTCGCCATCTCTTGCTTCAATGGCCGTGTCAATGGTCGTGTCGATACACTCCCCCTCCTCAACGAGAATGGGCTCGACTTGAGGAGTTTCGGACGACTTCTTGAGATCTGCCATTCTCAGGAATAATGCCGATCAGGCAGGCAAGAGAGCACAAATGAGACGGTACACAATGCCGCATTTGAAGATGTCCATCTGGTTGCTCGACAGCTGCAGTCGCGCTTGTCTGACGATTAGTGTTGAAATGACATAGATAGGCCACAGAGTAGCGGCCAGGCCCCTTGCATGTCGGCCAAGGAGCTGTGACAACTGCAATGGTCCTCAACATACCAGCGATACCTCAAAAGCTTCAGTGTGTGTGTCTTCAAACCTCTCATTGAAAGTATCGCGAGCCTTGCGCTGCAATGTCTCCGCCGAGCCCCAGAGATCGATCCATCTTGATCGTTGGTGGTGGCACTTTCGGAACAAGCACGGCATATCATCTTGCCCAACAAGGCTACACGAATGTTACAGTCCTTGATCGGTGGTCACAGCCTTCAAAAGAGGCCGCTGGGAACGACATCAACAAAATAATAAGAGCAGACTATCCAGAGCCTCTTTACGCCAATCTTGCCACTGAGAGCATTCAACAGTGGCGAGATCCCAACGGCTTATTTGCCGGCCTGTACCATCGCTCTGGCTGGCTACTGGCTGCGGGAGAGAAAGGTCTACCATTCATTGAAGGCTCAATCAGGACTGCTGGTGAGCGCGGCTTCGAAAAGGCACAGCTTTTGACATCGCACGAGGTGCGGACACGCTATCCTGCTTATAACGGCCCGATGAGTGGTTGGAAGACGTATTGGAACTCCTCAGCTGGCTGGGCAAATGCGAGATCAGCACTTGCCAGGATGGCGGATGCAGCGCAGGCGAGGCGCGTAAAGTATGTGACTGGAACGGCCGGGCATGTTGTACGGTTCCTCTTCGACGAGAGCGGAAGATGCATTGGCGTCAAGTGTGTAGACGGGACTCAGCACTTTGCCGACGAGAACATACTGGCAGCGGGAGCAGCCGCAGCCAGCATTCTCGACATGAAAGGGCAGCTTGTTGCCAAAGGCCATACAGTTGGACACATTCAGCTTGAGCCTCATGAGGTCCAGAAGTATGCTGCAATGCCGGTCGTAGATCATCTTGAAGGAGGTACGTCTGCTTTGCCATACAGGCTTGCAGAGATCATTGACCAAGACAGGCATCCTATTTCCTCCCCAAGAGGACGGCATCATCAAGATTGGCGCTGTCAACTTCGTGACAAACTATTCGGCCTCGCATCCTGACACATCTCTTCCCCGATATCGCTCCGACCATCCGGCAGACACGATTCCCATCCCAATCGAACGTCAACTTCGCAACTGGATGCGTGAGCTTGCCCCGGAACTGGCTGAGCGCCCATGGGTTGAAACACGAATCTGTTGGGATGCAGATATGCCAGACTACCATTTCCTAATCAGTGCACACCCTGAGCACCCGGGCTTAAAGCTGGCCGTTGGCGGCTCAGCACATGGATTCAAGTTCCTGCCCGTGATTGGCAAGTATGTCGTGCAGATGATAGAGGGTACTCTGGATGAAGAGTCAGCGAGGAAATGGAAATGGAGACCTGGTGCGAAGATGGCCGAGGGAGAGATAGATCCACATCCGACGCCCTTGTTAGACTTGGAAGACGTTCCGGGTTGGCAGGAGACGACAAGAGCTAAGTTGTAGTCTGATCTACATTTTTGAAAAGTCTCACGCCGAGCGCATTGGTGAGATCGGTGAGCAAGTCAAAGATGAGACTGTCTCATCGCCTTTAACAAGCTGTGTCTCGCGCAATGGTGCAGAGCAACACGAGCAGCGGCTATTCACCAGAGACATGAAGTCTACGCCAATTCTCAGCATATATCGCAACAAAACTGCATTCCACACAACGAAAGCTACTTCCTCTACGTTCAACACTTCTTTCTCGACCATTTCGCAAACCCGACCTACATCAGCCCCGATTAATACCCCCGGAAATTGATCAAAACGTGGAGATATCTGGCCAGCAGATAGTCCGCGCTGCAAACATGCTCCGACTCAAACTTCCTGAATTCGACAATGCTGAGGACGACAATCCACTTTACACAGTGGTCTTTTCGATCCTGCACTACATCCGGTACCTCATCCCGATCCTCGCCAGCTTCTCCCCATCTGCAGCTGCAATCATCGCCGGAGTCGGCCTCACGGCCCACGACCACCAAATGCAAACATGCAAACACCTCTTCAACGGTCTGTTCCTCCTATTCATAGGCATGGTTGCGGGCTATACGAATTTCTGGCTTGTTGTCCAGGCGCAGGAAATCGACGGCGAGTACGTCGATCTTCTGTGGGGTTGCTTGGTTGGCGGCTCTATCAGTCTGGTGATTGTCGTTCTGCCTCTGGTGGTCGCTTTGGGAGAGTATTTTGGTGAGTTGCAAGCGGGAAGTAGGGAGGTTTGGTATGAGGAGGGGAGCTGGGATGAGGGGACGGAGAGTGTGGGGAGTGCGTGGACGGGACGGACGCTTGTTGATAGTGAGGGCGATGAGAGATCGTTACGGTCTCAAGATGACCGGAGATACTATGGAGCTTGACTAGAATAAGGCGATCCTTGATTTCTCCCTGCAGGGCGAGTTGAGTCGTAGATTTGCGAATGCGCGAGCATTCAGTGTTTCTGAAGTCTTGTCTTCCTGAGATCCAACGTCTTTGTTTGAATGATGTCCTGACTTTGAAACGGTACTAGAAGACCCGTCGCAGTGACGTGCCTTGCTAGAATATTCGACAAACGGTGCTGTCAGACCCGCCGAAGTTACATGCCTTGCTAGAATATTCGACAACTTTGACACTCAAAAGGACGATATATCATGTCTAGCATTACGCTCGATACTGTCTCAAAAAAGTGCGGATCAACCCTGTCTTGCCGAAAAATGGTCAAGCAAGCACTTCAAGAATAATCCCTCGTTCAGCTAGAGCTCTCAACTCACCCTCTTCACCATTCGAACCGCTAACACTCCCTCTTCGAGAAGCAACGAGCATTCCATAGTGCATGTTACTAGGGCCAGTGCATGACTTCATGAAACAAAGCACAGGCACCTAAATATCGCACTATGCATCGCCGTGAGCCCCTTTCCCCGATCCTCGAGAGTCCTCCCTCCAATCCCTGCGGCCTTCTCTTCCGAGATCTCGCGAAAGGCATCAAATCGATGCTGCCCAAACATGACACCACGATTGCAGAGCGTCGCGGCAGATGGATACCACCACTTCAGAGTGCGCCCTTCTACCCACCTTGCGTTCCAAACGTCGTCAAGCTTCCACCCTTCCCGAGCCGGGAACTTACCGTGGTGAGAGCTGGGGAAGCCGATAGAGACGGGCGAGGTAGACTACATCGAGAGAAAACTACGACTGTACCGAAAGAAGTGGGGCAGCGTCCAAGTCCGAAGCCAAAGCGTAGCTCGACGACGTTAGCAAAGGCACGCGAAGAACAAAAGTGGCCGAAAAGCCTTGAGAGGTTTCAGGAAGTGCCTCTAACACCACCTTCTCGTCCGCCGTCCGGTAACGCTTTGGAAAGACAGGGCGCGCCGAACGACAGAATTTCGACGGCACGAAGGAACGAGGAAGACGTTACTTGGCCTGCGGTGTTTTCATTGTCTATGATCCTGGTTGTAGTTAGCGGTGTTAGCGTCATAGCGTGGGTAACAAAATAGCGGCGTCGATGCGCAAAGGGCAGAGTCACATTGAATGTTTCCCAATACTCCATGTATCTCTTCGGAGTGTGACTCCGGGTTCCAAGCAGGTCTCCAGTTCTTGACGCTAGTGATCGGTCCGTCCCGCTGGGCATGTGATAGGTGGCCTGTGCGGCTGCCGTCGCAAAAGCATGCCACAGATGTCAGAACGGCCAGATAACGCTAGAGCAATCGCGACTCGCGTTCGGATTATGGTACTGTTGACGCGCGAGTTTCGACTTTCGAATCCTGTAGCGTGCTGAGCTCCTGTCACGTGGTCGACGTCATGGCCAACCGCGCTAGCCGCGATAATCCATCCGACTATCTCCGAAACCGATCACAGTGTTTGTTCACGCCGTCGTTATCGACTAAAGTCTGTTATTTATAGTCTTCACGCACTCGGCGCCGCCGAAAGACTCTTGTCCAAAGGGCACAACGCCTCGCAAGCGCAGGAAATGTCGTCCGCAATTCTCCGGCGTCCGCGTTGTGCCCCAAAGCAAAAAAGAAGCAGCTTCAATGCGTCATCGCCAACCAGGTGCCAGATAGGAGGTAAAATCCTGTATTCGACGCTCGATTCCGTGAGTTTGCGTGTCCATGGGAGGAGGCTGGAGGAGAGTTTCATTTCCCAATCTCTTCGACATCTCAGGCCGCTCACTTGCACCCGACAAGACCTCACCTTTATGTGTGAGATTCGCTACACGAAATGACAACACAATATGGCACCGTGAAGCCTTCCAATCCAGATGGCAGAGAGCAGATTGTTATCGTCGGCACCGGTATGGCCACATCTCTTCGTCAGACCACCCGAGACTACATCAGCTGACGACACGAATTCACTAAGGCTGGGCGGGCTTCAATGTATCGCAGAAACTTGACGACAAGAAGTTCAACATCACTGTGATTTCTCCAGAGGATACAAGCCCGTACACTCCGTTACTTGTACCTGAAATCACTGCCCTTTCGGAGAGATAACGACGATCTGACATATTTCTAGGCAAGTGCAGCTTGCGGCCAGTTCGACTTTTCCCTCGCGGAAGAGCCGATTCGACACAAGAGCAAGAAGATCGCGTATTATAAGGGCATTGTCGAATACATCGACTTGAACTTGAAGATATGCAAATGCCGATCGGCCTGCGAAACGGATGGCGTGGGTCCAACTAGGCAATTCAGTGTCGCCTATGACCGGTGAGTGGTACGGATTCGACATTTCACGCCGATGCTGATTAAAGCATATAGCCTCGTTCTCACACCAGGATGTAAGGGACTTCTAAACCCCTCTGATATATATTTTGACTAAAGCACACACAGGTATCAGCAACACATTCAACACTCCAGGTGCAGAGGAGCATGCATTCTTTGTCCGGACTGTCAATGATGCGAAGAAAGTGCAGCACCGTGTGAAACAGCTGCTGGAACTCGCATCACTTCCGGGCGTCTCTGATACAATTCAGCGCGACCTTCTTCATGTTGTTGTAGTCGGCGGTGGTCCCACTGGTGTTGAACTCTCTGCGGAACTATCAGACCTTTTCAACGAGGACATGGCGATGCTCTATCCGCATCTCAAGGGAAAGATGAAGATCTCGATTCACGACGCAGCGCCATTCATTTTAGGAGCTTTTGAGGACGCTTTGAAGCAGCACAGCATCCAGAGCTTCTCGAAACGAGGCGTGACGGTCATCACGGATTCGAAAATCAAAGAAATAGGAGCAGACCACATCGTGACGGAAGCCGAGGGACGGATCGGCTGTGGCATGGTGCTCTGGACGGCTGGCAACAAACAATGCGCACTGGTCGACAGTCTTGACCTGTGCAAGACCGACAAACTTCCTCGAATCTTGACAGATCGATACCTTCACGTCTTGAAGGAACCGGACAAGAAAGCCGTGCTAGACGTCTTCGCACTCGGCGACGCAGCCGACATCAAGGGCGATTTCTTGCCGACTACCGCAGAGGTGGCCGTGCAGAAGGCGGAGTATCTGGCCAACGCACTCAACAAAGGCCTAGATGGCGCGAAACCTTTCGTGTATGGGCAGAAAGCCATAGTCGCGTATATCGGCGGACATGACGGAGTTGTCAGCGGGAAACCCGATTGGAGCGGTGCTCGAGCGTGGGCCGCATGGCGAAGCAAGAACCTGTTTTGGACTCGAAGCTGGAGGCGTAAGTTCATGATTATGATTTACTGGGGACTCGATTGGATGGGCGGTAAGGAGATCGCAAGGCTATGAAATGGCGGCATACGACACGGCTGAGTAATCAATTGCACATGATCGCAGCTCTCGTTAGGACCCCTTTGCTGTATGAATGTTCGAGACAAACCATCGGACCAGCTCAAGAAATGAAGGAAGCTGACGGTCGCGTACGTTAATACGATATCAAGGTGTCTGGGCTATGGCAGAGCAGCGTTGTCGCGGGAACGGTCCAATTGCCGCAGATTGAAATCAATGCGTGAACTATGCGCACGTGAATATCTGGGGCACCTTCCTTCCTCATCGGGATGTGGGGTTGGTGGAAACTTGTTGGAGATCTTGTGCATCCTGCGTGCAACCTCCTCTTCCGTTTGCACTTCTATCGTACTGTCTGTCGTACTATCGTGCGAGCTTGTGCCCTCCGCTTGACGACCGCCGCTGGCCTATCGCAGAATACCAACAACATCGTTGGCCGCTGCCGAACCCTAAAGATGCTGGAGAGCTGGTAGACGTTCCGGTTGCACGACGTTATGCAGGGCTATCTGGCTGCTGGAGTGATCGACACGCAGCTGAACGGCAAAGTCGACGGAGAATCCGCGCACTTCAACGACGACACCTCCACATCTCACTTCTGCAGTCATTTTCAAACAGGAATATAGATTTCGACGGCACCAGCGGAAATGCTGCAACGGACGGCGACCGGGACCTGGATGCCCGCTTGGGTACCAGAGTCTACCGTCACTCTCTCCGTCCTTCTTCTGATATGCTCCATGGTCCAGTCATGCGTCAGTGCTTCGACGTCTCCTTTCGCAGGTTTTCGCTGACGCAGGGGATAGACTGGCGGCTATGATGGCTCCATGCTCAACGGGCTGAATATTTTGGACACCTACACAAATTACTTCAGACTCACTCCGGCAACGACAGGATTGAACACCGCCTCGGTCTTCATCGGTGGCTTCTTCGGACCCATCTTCTCGGGTGTCATTGCGGATCGTCTAGGCCGCCGCCCTGCGATCCTCTGGGGCTCTCTGATCACGTTTGTCGGCATCCTGTTACAAACCGCCGCCCAGAACATCGCCATGTTCGTAGTGGCGAGAATCATCCTGGGATTCGGATCCGCCATATCGGGGATCGCAGGCGCGGTTTATCTCTCCGAGACCTTCCCGAGTAGATGGCGTACGTGGGGAGTTGGCCTGCTGAACGATTTCTATTACGTGGGTGCTCTGCTGGCAGCGGGCATCACGCTCGGGACGGGGCGGTGGCAGTCCACTTGGGCGTGGAGAGCGCCTTCACTCTTCCAAGGCATCTTCTCTGGCCTCTGTATTCTCATCTTGCCCTTCATTCCCGAATCGCCTCGCTGGCTCGTGGCAAATGGGCATACAAAGGAAGCACGGATCTGTCTGGCCCAGACCAACGCAAGCGGAGATCTGTCTGACCCGGTCGTGCTCGCCGTCTACAAAGAGATCGTGGATACCCTGAGATGGGAGAAGGAGGAGAAAGGCGTGATGACTCCTCTGCAGATCGCCAAGGACCCGGTGGCTCGAAAGCGTCTCCTCGTCGGCATGTCGGCCGGTCCTTTCTCCTGCATCGCCGGCAACATCATCGCCTCTTACTACCTCGGAGCCGAACTGGACACCGCCGGCATCACCTCGTACCAAGACCAGCTGAAAGCCAACGTGGTCCTGAACGCGTGGAGCCTACTCACCTGTCTCGTCGGGACGCACATGTGCTACAAATGGGGCCGCAAGCCCACCGCGCTCGTCACGCAGTGTCTCCTCGTGGCATGCCTGTTCATCATCGGCGGCCTGTCGAAGGTCTACGCGGACAATCCGGACGGCGCGTCTTCGAGCATCATCTACGGCGACGTGGCCGTCATGTTTCTCTTCCAGGGCTTCTATTCCGTGGCGTGGACGCCATTGCTCTACCTGTACCCGGCCGAGGTCATGAACTACTCAATCCGAGCCAACGGGTCGGCATTCTCATCGTTCATGCTCAATGCTTTGGCGTAAGTATCTCGAACACCAAATTCAACGTACGTTGATCTGACATGTCTTTATAGGACGCTTCTCGTCTTCGTCATGCCCATCGGTATCGCCAACATCGGCTGGAAGATGTACATGATCAACGGAGGCTGGGACATTATCGTGGTGGTTCTGATTGTGAGTTATTCTTCCTTCGCTCGCGCGATATCGATTGCTAACTCTAGAATAGGCTGTCTATTGGGTCGAGACGAAAGGCAAGACGCTCGAGGAGATCGATGCTCTCTTCGAAGGCACGAAGCACTCGGATGTACCCGATGTGGAGGCCGTCAGGAGCGGCAAGGCGACGCTCGATGTCGCTGGCGTGGAGAAGGAGCTGGCCACAGAGACGGTCATGATGAAGACGGAGTGAATGCACGGAGTCCGCAACGACGAGTACTGTAGCCAACTTCTTGCCTTATAACTTCTCATCCGGATATTCCACCGTCTTGAAATCCGCTGGCAGGGAGACCTCGAGCAGACTCAAATCTTCCGAGCAGTGCAACAGACTAGTCTTGTGGCCCGGGGGCAGGGTATACGCATCGCCTTCGGTGAGGCTATGCACGCCCTGACCTTCGGCTTGCAGCGAGCAAGAACCAGCTAGGACGACTGGGACAAAAAAAGTCAGCAAAACCAAGCAGACTCTCGCGATCCCTTGCTCTCCCTCCCTCCCACGCCAAGCAAGACTCACACGTAAACAGGATATCCGAATCATGACTCGTAACCACACCAGCCGCAGCAGCATGCACAGCTTCTTCCCTCACGGGCCTCACGACCTTCACGCCAGCCACGCCTTTCGTCCCCTCCCCAATGCCCGTCTCCCTGCACTCGAACCCGCCCACCCTCCACTCCCCCCAGACCGCATCCTCCGCCAAAGAGCGCACAAACCTCTGCCCCTCCCACTCCCTCTCCCCCCTCCCCCCGGGGCCCCCCGCCGTGGGCAATTCCATCTCCCGATCAAAACACGTCATATGCTCCGCGGGCACACCGACTTCCAGCACCTGCAACCCATCCCCACTCTCCAGCACGCGATGCCGGATCCTTGGCGGCTGGATCACACAATCCCCCGCGTGCAGCACAAAGGGCTCCCCCTGGTCTTCGTAGACCACCCGCACCCACCCGGAAACGCAATAGATGAGCTGGAAGCCGACGGCGTGGTAGTGCACTCGATCCGGCACGGGGCCCGCGGTGGGGATGCGGATGTGCGAGGCGATGATGGCGCCGCCGAGGCGCGTTGGGATCAGGTCGCGGTAGGCCATGCCCGCGCGGCCGATGATCCAGGGGGAACAACCCTTATCGGCTAGACGACCGATGCGGAAGGTGTGTTCCGTGGGGGGTTGCGGGAATTGGATGTCTGCGGAGACGTAGACGAGGAGGGTGCCGGAGGGGGAAGTTAAGGTCTTTCCCTCGCAGGTCGGGTCGTGGGTGAGGAGATTGATGGTTCCCGGGGCCGTCGTTTTCGTGGCGGTTTTGTCGAGACGGAGACGGAGGCCGTGGCCTGAGAGGAGGACGACGCGAGGGTCGTCGGCTGGGTAGATTTGGTCTGTTCGGAAGCCTAGATCGGGGGAGGTCCAGAAGTCGATGTCTTGGGCGATGTTTTTCGAGGGGAGCAGGATTTCGGCGGATTCGATTGCCATTTTTCTTTCTTTGCTGGGTTTGTCCTGTGTTTGGGAAACGCTGAGGTATGCTCTTTTTTTTTTGTCGTTCTTTGGAGTTAGGAGACGGGGACGTTCCAGCGCATTCGCCTGTTTAAACGTGACGCTGCTGCGGGGTATGCCTTAGCAGTGAGCTTACTATAGAGCTGAGTAGACAGAAGCCATGTTAATCATCTCTTCGAAGAGAAACTTGATGTACTGTACAATATATAGCGTCTGTTAGATATGCGTTCTGCGAAGAAACCCACCAAGGCGTCCGATAGGGTTCGATAGGCCAAGACATATCATTGGTAAAGCAAGAAAGTAATGACCAAGTCCAAAAACTGAGGAGTCTTTGCCCCGGTAAAAATTCGCGAGTGAGAGGTGTAGAGACTCCGTACCGGTGGAGTAGATGGAGAAAGAAAAATAAGTCGGGCTGCTTTGAGGGGTATCCGAAAGAAAAAAATATAGAGCTCCCCGCCAAGTATCACATGTCCGAAGCTTGTTTAAGCTCACGCTCAGACCGCCTGACCCCACAATCCTAATGCCCAGTATTGACCTAGGCACCACCATTTTTCTACTGCGCAACGTCGCTCTTCCTATTCAGCCTCCTAGCGAAATCGCAAAGTGTCTTGGGCGCATCCCCACGGGGCATATGCATTTCGACAAACTGCAGAGTCCCATCCATGTCAGCAGCCACTCCCTCCAGAGCCATACCCGCCTAAGGGAAAAAGAATTCCACTAACCTGCAAACCCTTGCCCTCAGCGAAAGCCTCATCGCCGAGCAAGGCCTCGAGCTCGGAGCGCGTGCGGATGCGCCAAGACCGGACGCGATGCTGGGAATTTTCCGGATTGAAGACGTGCGGGAGCTGCGCGTAGCGCCATTGCGGGATGTCGTTGTAGGACTCGTTGGGGCCGTGGACCCTAGATAAAAAAACAACAACCCTTTGATTAGAGAGGAGAAGTCGTCGCAAAGCAGGGAGGATATTTTATTCAACACCGAAACTTACCATCTCTCAATCTCATAGCCGTCATTCTCAATGACAAACATGGTAACGTCCAAGTCGTGACGGATCATGGTCGAGAGCTCTTGGGCCGTGAGCTGGAAAGAGCCATCGCCTTCGAAGCAGATGACGCGTTGTCCGGTGCCCTTCTCCCGGGCGGTCAGCGCGGCGCCCTGCGCCGCGCCGACGCCGTAGCCGATGCTGGACCAGAGGATCTGGTTGATGATGGTGACGTTCTTGGGGAGTTTGGTTTCCCAGTGACCGACGAAGGACGTCCCGGCTTCCGTGACGAGAATGTCCCCCTGTCGGAGGAAGGAGGAGATGCGAGGCCAGAGGTAGCCGTGGGTGATGTCTTCGGAATCGAACGCGGTCCTGACGTTGATCTCCGAAGGCGAAAGAGCCGTTTCCGGGATCTGTGTAGCGGAAGGCTGCAGTTTGCGCGGTTCGAGTTCCTGCGTCAGCCGATGCACGAGGGACTTGAAGTACACCTGCTCGAACTTGGCATACTTGGCTTCCACATGGTCCCAGTGGATATCGATACGATTGAGCTTGGAGATCTGATAGGAGAACCCGGCGGTGTTGAGGTCGGACTGGATGGTTCCGATGGTGATGACCAGATCGCTGCTCTCCAGCGCGCGAGCCACGGCAGGCTGGGATCCCTCACCCGCATAGACGCCGACAAAGTTGGGGAGATCTTCGTCGATGGAGCCCTTGCCCATGGGTGCGACGAAGACGGGGATTTCGGATTTGCGGACGAGGGCCTGGACCTCAGGCAGGATCTATGCCGGAAAATGTGTCAGCTATGATGTCTCTCTTTCTTCACCGGTATGGCGTTGATGGGGGCTGGCTAACCCGTCTCCTCTGCGCCGCGCCATCGATAAGCAAGACAGGCCGCTTCGCATCATACAGACTCTTCAAAATCACCTGCAGCGCGAACTCCTCCGTCCCCCGATCACTCGCCAGCGGCTGGACATCGATGGGCGTGCTCAGCAGTCGTGCGGGAACCCGCTGTTCCACCATATCCGTCGGCAACTGGATATAAGCGGGTCTCAGTGCGATCATACACGTCCGCAGCACGCGGTCGATTTCCGCCGGAGCGGTGGCGGGATCGAGCAGGTCGGCCTGGGCGCAGGTGATTTCCTTGGCGATGCGGGCGAAGACGGTGAAGTCGCCGTTGCCGAGCTGAAGGAAATTCTGGGGATTAGCATGTGATATGCAGGTCGAGGGAGGTATAGGAGTATGCATAGTCTTACCGTGTGGTGCAGCAACATGCCATCCTTCCGACTCGACAACGGCGGCGTGCCGACAATGTGCACCACGGGCGCCAACTCGGCGTACGAGCCCGCAATCGCATTCACAGCCGAGAGCTCTCCCACGCCAAACGTCGTGGCAATGGCTCCAATCCCGTTGATGCGGGCATATGCATCCGCCGCGTAGCCTAGCAAATCCCAATCAGCATTCCCCTCTACTACGCACCGTGGAAGTTAAGGTTTCCTTCTCTTTCCTTACTACTTACCAGCATTCAACTCATTCGCATTCCCCACCCACTTCAACCCGCAAGACTCGACGAAATCCAACGACCGGAGACTGAAATCCCCCGGCAAGCCATGCAGGGCGTGACATCCGAGTTGTCGCAGGCGCGTGTACAGGTACTCGGCGACGTTGACGGTGGTGTCGTCTCCCATCTTCTTGTCCGAGTCTCCTATCCAACCGAATCCCTCACCGCAAAGAAATGTATCGTAGTAGTAGTCGTACTAATAGTAGTAGTAGTAGTAATAGTAGTATCAGTAAGGTAGTAAACGAAATCCAACCTTCAAGTCCACCGGCCGGTACTACGTCGCCCTTAAATAATCAATACCAACACCCCATCCATTCTTGAGCAGACTTTTCTCCTTCCCTTCCCGTTCCGGTTTCTGGTTACGACGCCCGTATTACATTCCCATATCTCTCGGCTTAAGAGGAAGGGAAGACCCACCTCGCCCGAATCGGGTTACGGCCCAGATGCGGCCTTTCGGTCTAAGAGCTTTAAGCCGAAGCCCAATGAAACCATTCCCTTCCCTTCCCTTCCCTTCCCTTCCCCTTCCGGAGAGCGCAAGGACATCTCTCTCTCTCTCAAGAGAGAAAGAGGAAAGACGGGAGACACCAGGTCCCCACAGAATTCTATTCTCAGCACGTCCAATTATTCATTATATACTAATCTGGTCTATCGGCCGCTTGCTTCCCTTCCCACTCGTGGCGAGTCAGGGCGGGACGGGGCGGCGGAACAAGGTGTAATCTATACAGAAGCCCACCCCCAATCACCAGACGGAATCCTTCTCATTCATATGATGCCATGCACCCTTCCCAACATCTCATGCAGCAGCGAAAGATTCCCCCAATCCCGCCGGTGGGTGTCATGCATGCAAGACTCGCTCGTGGCGCGAGAAAAAACGTCTCTTCTTCTCTCATTGATTGCTCTTGCGCTCCAAAAAATCAACATCGGAACAATTCTCCACCCCGCTCAAGGTCGTTTCTTGACTTTGCTACAGGGCGCTTCCGGTGGATGCGGTGTGCTATGCGATGGTCCGCTGCCAGACATATACTGCCCCAAGCTCGCCAGCGAGACGGGGCCGCTCGAGAGGTGCACGATGAAGAGCCAGAAGCAGACTCCGTTGACCGCGTAGTGCATCTTGTACGCGTACGTCACGCCGTAAGCCGCCGCGAAGATGGCGAAACAAAACATTATCGTGTTGGTGAGGTGGCGCACGCTGCCCCAAGACGTCAGTATCCTTCTATTACTCGGTGTGCACTCCATCGACTTACCGGCTCGTAACTCTCGGTATCATATTCTGATCGCTCATCATCTCGACCAGCAAGATATATCCGAGCACAGATAGCAGATTGTGGTGCGTCGAGAAGGGCGTCAGCCACGACACGGCCAGATTATGCGCCCACACCACCAGCACCGGCATGTTGATGGGCAGGATCCAGAGCATCAGCACCAACATCGAGTGCGTGTAATTATAGAAGTTGTAGCTGTCCGCCTTCTGCGTCTCCTGAGCTCCGGTGAGGGCGCGGATACACGTCGCCACCTGCACCACACAGAGGATCATGTACGCAAACTGGTACGGGATGAGTGTGATGACCATGACCACCAGGATGGTCGTCAAGACGATCCGTTGCTGCGCGGGCCTTGCCACGGGAGCAAGTCCTCTTCTGTACATGCGAGTCAGATCGAGGTCATCGATGGGGTGGTGGAGAGCATACCTTGACTCACGCTGCATCCACAGACGGATACGGCCAATGACCAGCGCAAGGGAGTGTGTCACAATCAGCACAAAGTAGTTCATGGTGATGCAGATCCCGACGCTGATGATAGCAAACAGCGGGACGAGGAACCAGAAGAACGGATCGGAAGTGCCAAGCATCAAGTCGTTGACAGTGAAGTCAATGGTCGACTCGGACGTGCCTGTCGATGAGCTCAGGAGCTGTCTTGTCCAGATGCTGTGGCTGGACTTCGAGACCGCGATGGCGAAGAACGTCAGGGCGACAAAGATGGCCGGCAAGGAAGTGCGGATGCACTGGTCCATGCTCTGGGTGAAGCTCATGAATACGCCCGTAGTGTCGTAAACCTTGAATTGTTTGCGCAGGACCAGTGCCACCACGAGCAGTGGGAAGGCTGCGAATACCGTGCGATACCTCATCACGAGCTTCCCCGCGCTGCCGAGCATGTCCACCTTCAGTGAAACTTCGATTGTCGAATTGCACGTCGGGTCCGTCCAGAACTGCAGCGAGAGACCCTGAGTGGCACCACCACCCATGAGCGGAGGAGGCATATACGGTGACAGACCATGCACGTTGATATTGCCACCTTTCGCGTTGACAAAGTATTTCGACTCGTACGGTTCCGCGATGTACTGGCGCATCAGGGGCGCAAAGCTCTCTCCGTACTTCCGGCAAGCCTTTCGATTGACTTCCAGACGATATGCGAACAGCGTCGAGTGAACCTCTGGGATCTTGAGCTCCGTCATCATTGTTCGCTTTGCCGGAAGTACCACCTTCATTCCGCTCATCAGGATCTGGTGATGCCCTTTGCTCACTTTGATCGACGACTCGGCCGCGTTGCTGAACTCGGCTATGACCCAGCCATCGGTCGACTCCTTCGCATTCTCCACGACGGCGATGAATTCGTAGTCGGAGATATTTGCCAGGTCGTACTGCAGGTAGGAGAAGGGCGGAGCGTCGTCGAATGAATTGACCGAAACGTTGGTGGAGGCCGGCAGCTTCGACACGTCCGCCGCAGCATTCTTGCAGGCGAGCCTCGCCGAGCCAGATGATCCGCTCGAGAGGACGGAGAACCCGGCGGGTGGTGGGAAGATGCTGCATAGAAGCACCGACAGCGTTCCATCATCTTCGGGAGCGTCCAGCTCTCGATCAGTCAGGAGCGTGAACTTGCTGCCCTCGGCAAAAGGCTGAGCTGGAACGGGCAACACGTGTGCCCTTGGAGCACCGGTGTCACCCAGGGACCGAAGCACGAGCCGTTCTCCGTGCGACAAGATCGACGTGGACTCGTGGTCCAGCGGTAAGAGTTTCGACTCCTGACCGAGTAGACCCTTCTCCACTACAGGCTCCATGCCAGTCAACAGCCTTTTCCTCAGTGCGCGTATTCTGTCCGGCCGACTTCGAGTCTGCGATGATCGCCGCACATCGACGACGTCAAAGATGGCTTTGACAAGAGCTTTCCGAAATTGGTCGCACCACATAATGGCCAGATGATCCATTCCTGTCCAGACATTGGGTATGCTCGAAGTGAAGACCGTGAAACCGTGTGTCTCAGGCACAAGCGACGTCAAGCTTGTGTACTCGGAGGGGATCATGGTGTCCAAGCCACCTCCCGCAACAGATACCAGAACCACATTCTCTAATGGATTCTTTCCAGCCACAAGGCCAGAGTACGAGTCCCTCCAGAAAGTGTTGATGTCGTTGTACGTCTCGACCATGGCTGGGTCAAAGGAGATCGGAGGTCTTGCGTGAGGCGCAGATAATGTTATGATCGTGTTGATGGTGTGCTCCTGGTGGTTGGGAATCCGAAGCATTGCCCTCGCTACTACTCCGCCCATCGAGTGACCCAGAATGATGACGGATTTGGGATCTGGAAGGCCAGGTTCCCGCACCGAGCGCTGCGGCTGGTGGTACAATGCCAGGATATATGCCACGGCCTCGTTCAGATACTCGGCCTGGTCCAGGAGCGTCTGGCCGTGGAATGCGATGAGTTCCTCGTTGAAGTCCACGGTGAAGAAGTCCAGCGGCCTCTTCCCACCCCGAATTGCTTCCGGATCATTGCGCAGAACGTCTTGGAAATAGTGCGCAGCCTCAGCAGCAATGGGGCGCACTTGCTTGTAGCTACCAGCATTCCCAGGTATAAAGAGGACTGGAATTCCCCTCACTCGTGTATCCTCGTCCACACCTCCTTCTCGATACAAGTACAGCGAGTACTTGCTGGCAAAGCGAGTGTGTTCGGTGTCGAAGTCGGAGAAGCGCGCGAAGCTGGGCATCATGTATGACATCTGACATCCCTTGGGATCTTGCTGGCGATTCAGGAAGGAGTGTACTACGGTGAGGAGCAGAAGTATTGCGCTGATACTCGTGGCCAGCGTCAGCAGTGAGCAGCGCCACGGCGAGCGCAGTCGCAAATCGGTCTGGCGCAAGTGGTCGGCGATGGGCGCGGGTGTATCCTTGGGGGTGCCCTTGGGGGTGGTGGGCTCGTGAGGGTCATTCAGCGGGTTCTTCTCCAGAGCCGGGCTGGAGATAGGTGTGCGCGGCCATGGAGCGGCAGGCGGCGCGGTGGCCGTGGTGGTCCTCTGTTCTGAGGCGGGCGACAGGCTGACGTCTCTGCTCTTGTTGCGCTCGTTGCGCTCCTGTATGCGCAGGGATTGTCGCGTTGTGCCGCGAGTGGCACCCGTACTGTTGTCCCGCGATGTCATCTCTCCTGCAATCGCACTGCTGGGGGTGCCTCCGCGGCTCTTGACGCTCTCGGCTCTCTCCTTGTCCTGGCTGCTGGCGGTGCTGGCAGACTTGCGGACGTCCTCATCTTCGCCTGAGCCCGACGGACGTCTCCTCATTAGGCGCTGGTATAGGTGTCGACCGCGCGCAGTCGGTGTATGTCAGCATGCAGGGTGCAGCAGCGTCGGTAGCGACAGAAAATGGGCGGCAGTGGCAGTGCGCGGGAGAATCCCGGGGTCAGGAGGAGGAGGAGGAGGAGGAGGAGGAGGAGGAGGAGGAGGAGGAGGAGGAGGAGGATGTCGAGATTCTCGCCTTGTGCCGCGAGCGCAGGCCGTGTGAGGTGGAAGTGAAGGATGCAGAGGAGGAGGTAGAGGGCGGAGGTGCAGGAGAGGTCGTCAGGCTGCAGGCGTAGGAGAGGATCGTTGGTGGTGGTGGTTGGAGGACGGGAGCAGCGGCGGCTGGAGAAGAGACTCAGGTGGGAGTGGGAGAGGGAGAGGGAGGAGCAGCGGAGACGGGGCAGGACGAGACGAGACGACGGAGACGGGACGACACGAGACGGGACGAGACATCTCCACCAACCAAGTCGCTGCATCCTTCTAGGTACAATGCACTGCACCTCTCGGCTTAGGTAGCCGGCCGCTTCTCCACTAATACATCGATGGATACAGTAGATAGATAGCCGGATGGATAGATACGTACGGTAAGGTAGAAGATGTCTTGCACGTGCTTGGCCCTGATCATCCCCACACAACATCTGTGATCTGATCCTTCCACACGTTCGCATCCGACCTGCGCCATCTACTCAACAACAACGATTGCCAAGGAAAAAGCCGCGCAAGCTACCAGCAAGCTACAAGCTGCAAGCTAAGGTATAAGCTACAAGTTCCTAGGTAGCTGCAGCAACACGCTCTGAGACAGGCTTCTCCCAGCGCAAGCTGCAGCTCTCGCACATCTCACATCTCACTCCGAAGGCACGAGGCTCGGTCCGCGAGGTACCATCAATGCTATCACAGCTACAGCTATCCTCCTACATGCCCTCCAACGCCTCGCCGTCATCACTGGCTGCTTTCGGCCTCTTGCGAGTCGCGAGTCACGACATGGCGCCGATCGGACCGACCTGACTCTTGCTCTTCTATGCGGCCACCGGCCCGACCTGCACTTGCTGATGCTGCTGTCGCTCCCGCCACTTCGACTTCATCGCAACCTTCTTCTCCGCCTTGCGCTTTTGCCCAAGCATCCGCTCGAACCGTCCTCGCGCACCATGCTTGAATTTGGTGATCCAGTCAGCCGCCCGTCCCTTGGTGATGGAGCCCGCCTCCAGCTTCTGGTCTTGTTCTCGGAACTTGTTCAGGAAGCTGAGTTGCCCTTCCGACGCCCACGTCTTGCGCCAATACGCCCACGTCGCGATGAAGTCGAATTGGAAGGTCTCGGACGCGAACTTGTCTCCACCATGCACTGCATCTTCAAACGTCATCGCCTTGCCCACTTCTCTCGTGCGCGCGAACGGCACTTTCGAGCCCGACGACGGCGGGAGCTTGGGCGTGTAGCTGATGATGAATCGATCGCCTGCCTCATCCTTCTTGATCGTCATGTAGGAGCCGTCTCGATTCGACAGTACGTAGCGACCTTCGTCAATCTGCACCCACGCATATCGAGACAGCGCGCGGATCTGCCGCTCCCCAGACGTGTCCTGTATCAGGTCATTGACATCGTCGTAGTCGGTAAAGGTGATCTCTCCCTTCAATTCGGGCATCTCGCGACCAGATGTGTTCAGCGCCTGCTCAACTCGTTGCTTCTCCATTTCCTTGCGCTCGCCAAGGCTCGCCATCTCTTTGATGTCCGCACCCTTTACCAATTCTTCAGGATCGAGGCCGAAGAGAGTTGGCGTTGTAACGATCCCGGCTTCGAGAGACGCGACCATATCAATGACATGGCAATTCTGCTTCCCTGCATGCTTCCGGAGTCCGCGCCCGACCATTTGCACGAGGAGATTCCGTGACTGCGTGGGCCGTGCGAGTAAGATGCAGTCGACGTTGGGAATGTCGGTCCCTTCGGTGAAGATGCCACAGTTCAGCAGGACGGGAAAGCCTCCGGCCTTAAAGTCATCCAGTCGCTGCTCTCGCTGCTTCGTTGGCGTGTCGCCCGTAATGAAGCGTGCATCGATACCGTGTTGGCGGAACATGGCTGTCAGATTCGTGACGTGCGCCAAATCAACACAGAAGCCAAGAGTGGACTTCCGCTGCCCAGCCTTCTCGAGCCATGCTCGGACGGTGATGGCATTCGTTTCGTCGTTGTTGACAGCTTTCGACAACGCGCCCGTCTGGAAGTCACCGCCAGTGACCCTGACCTTGGATAGGTTGACTCCCGTGCGGACTGTCGTGAAGATGACATCTGACAGCCACTTCTCATGGATCATATCCACATAATCCTTATGATAGACAATGTGATCGATGGCAGCTCCAAGCTTCAACCCATCATGCCTCGAGAAAGTTGCAGAAACTCCCACAACGGCAGTCGGGCCTCGCTCGCATTTGTCCGACAGGCGGAAGTGCTTCAGAATATTCAGATAGCTGGTCGCGACGGTATGATGAGCCTCATCAACGAGTATCAGCTTGAATCGGTCGGGATCAAAACGCATCAGTCTCTGTGGAGACTTCAACGTAGGAACGGACGCCACCGTGATGTCCGCGACACCCGAGGCGTGCTTCTTGCCCATCTCAATGTCGACGGTCTTGTCCGGATAGAGCTCTCGGCAATGCCTTGCCGCCTGATCCACCAGTTCCCGCCGGTGCGCGAGGATGAGGGTCTGTGTGGCATGTGGAGTTGGAGCAGGGACCTGGTCGAGCAGATGGCTGAAGATGACTGTCTTGCCGCTTCCGGTCGCGAGGGAGATTCCCAGTCTCTTCTCGCCTCGCGCCAGATAGCCGAGAGCGGCATCTATGCTCTCCTGCTGATACGGACGTAGTTGGATCTTCGACTTGGCATGTTGGCCGAGTATTCTCGTCGTGCTGTAGAGCCGGGCCCAGGTTGGATCTAGTCCCTTCTCCCGCAGGCGACTCTGAGGGATGGGCGAGGCAGCTTTCCACCTCGAAATAGATGGGGCTACATTTCGCAGATGAGTGAGGAGTGGTCGCCGCATGGAGGCGCCATGTGAATGCCAAATGTTGATGGCGATGGCGATGGGAAGAAAGTCGTGTCTTGCAACCTAGGAGCCACTGGGCCGCAATCTTCTGGATGCTACGTTCCGGACCCTGCAGCCATCCGCTAGCGCCCGTTTCTCTCTAGCCAATCAGCCGACCATATAAGACCGTTCGAAATATCAACAACATCCATCACTTCGCCTCGTCTCCCTTCTTCCTATGCAAGCCCACAGAAAGCACTGGCTGGAATCTCTTTGTCTCATCACTGCTTCATTCTGCGAAGGCACACCTTGACGCCATCTCGTACAGCCAACGACCCATCGAGAGGCCCGACTCCTCACTACTCAATTGCGTAAGGTACCTGGTAATCTCCTACAAGATTCGAGTCAGCCAAAGTAAACATGGAGTCTCGACTCCGATTCTGACGCCCGACCTCTTGCCCGTGGTGGGTGCATGGAAATGCTCCAATTGCAATTGCAAGATCGTCGGCGGCGGGTTGCAGATCAGAGATATCGTCGTGGAAGGTCCAAGTTGCATCACGCAACCCACGATGAATGCCTTGACGGCTTCCGGGAGTACGCGCTCTTTCCAGTTTTCAAAGCTGAGGAGGCGCTGGAGGAAGGGAGGTTGAGGAGGACGCATTGTGTTGACGGACGGTGTTGCATTGCTCGAGAAGGATTTTGGGAGTGGAGTGTGATGCGAGTATGTTGAAACGTACCTAGGTCTGTGCTCACGTTGCACGGCGTGCCCAGGGATGAGATAGCATCGTTCTTGGTCATGAGGCTGCTGCATTCGTTGATATCTTGCTGTATATTGCTCCTGCCTACAACATCAAACCAATTCTCGCTCCTCCATCACCCAACTCTCAATCCATTCTTCCTCTGCTCCTCCGTCTCCGTCCCAACCGTAGGCCGAATCTCCCTCCTCTCCCCCGTCTCAGCATCCCATTCTTCCCATTCCATGCCGGGCAACACATACGCCACCCCATCAACCCTCTCGACCGCACCCGTCGTCTCATCCCCAAAACAAATACCAAACCCTCCACCCCGCACAAATCCAATCCTCTCCGCAGTCCTCTGACTCCTCCCATTATGCGGCAGAGTCCCGATGAACATCTCACCCACTCCAATTTCCTCTTTCCAGAATCGTGTCGCTTCCCTCCCAGCTTCGGCGGCATATCCGCTGCCCCAGTAGTCCTGGAAGAGAGCGTATCCAAGATCCGGATATGGCATTTCCCTTCTGAAGCTGAGACCGATGAACCCGATGCATGTTTCTGGGGAGGACTTGAGGTAAATGAGATGGAAAAGTCCATTTGGAGTAACTTTGGTACAGAGGTGTGGTCTAGGGCCGTGAGCGGCGTGTTTGGCGTGGACCTCTTGGATGGTGTTGATTCCCACTCTGGCATTTCCACCCATGGAAGCTGCTGGGTCGTTGTAGATCTCGATGATCTGGAGACAGTCTTCATCCGAACTTGGGTCCGCAAGGCGGAGGGTGAGACGTTCGGTCTGTATGGTCTTTGAGTAGGTCGTCATTTTCAGGGGTTGATCTTGACAACTTTTGTTCGCTCTTGATCAGAGGTCCAGTAAGTTGTTATTTGGTTTGTTCTCGATGTTCGGAGTCGATTCATCATTTGCGAATTGCGCCGGTCTGGTTCTTCCATTCCATCAGTTTGTCAGCTGCAGCGGTCTTCGTGTCGGGGGAGGGGCTGATACGAGTAGGTGCCACTTTCGCGTTCAGCTCGCATCCTACGCGGCGCTAGCGCAGGTACAGTCCGGAAGACGAGAAGCGAGCATCCAGTGCGGACAAATGCAAGACCTGTGGTAGAGTGATTACTCTCTGTTAAAGACTTTCATGTGGATTTAATCGTTGCAGATAGTTAGCATTCCCCCCGTGACCTGGACGTTATATCCATAGTCGGCCCCAAGTTGTGGTCCATTATGACCTTACGACGATTCCACTTGCACATGTCACCCGGAGCAAGAGTAGCATATGAACCATTCCAGTCACTCCAGGCCATAGCCGCGACAGGGTGCCAGTGATATATTTCGACAAGTGCTCCTGAAAGTCTGACATCCCGAGCAGTACCCCGACCTGAAGACAGGCTGCGAGGACATCGCAATGGCATTCCTTTGTGCGCATGACACTTGAGTACCTCCGCTCTGGGTCTCCAATGTAGTTTCCCACGACACAGGGAATTCCAAGATGGATGGCATTTCAACGCAACCTGGGCACAATGACGTGAGAACGGCATGTGTGCAGCACTTTGGGGAGGTGTTTGATAACGACGCCCTCGTGAATACGCAAATACATGCGACGCTGATTGGACCGCCAGAGGTGGACGCAGATCGGCATGGAGAGTGAGAACTTGCAGTCAGTCTCCGAATGGTTTGGTAGTTTTCAAGCATATTGCACTCATATGAGGTGCTTCCATGTGACAGGCAAAGACCGATGTTGGCCCCAAAAGCGCAGACGTCCTGTCTCTGGGAGGCTTGCGCTCAAATCTCTGATTCGATAGTCCGTTGAGTAACAGGCTGGCAGTGGCATTCTGGCGTCCTCTGATAGCATCTCGCCAGTCTATGCCGTAGAGATGCCAAAGAAAGCGTGACAGTTTCTTTCATTACGCCGGGGCACGCTGCGGACGCGAATGCTCAATTTCCAAGATCTTCTTGGCGAGTCATGTCCTCCAGGAGAAGCAGATCGTACCATTGAGGCACCCTTTGATAGTAACTTGTTAAGCCATGTCGTGGGGCGGTGTTTGTTCAATTCGTTCTTGCGCATCGGCTCGAGAGTCTCTCAAAGACGTTTGCTCGCGACCGACGTATTGTCTGTGTCCAGGAGTCGCCTGAAGCATCTGAAGCACAGCTGATCACCGGTTGATGTTTTGTTTTGAGAGATATGGGAAATTGACTCGAGCGAGGTGTAAGACAGGACGAATGCCAAGCCGGATGAAAGATGACCCTTCGCGCCTGAGGCATCAGCCCCACGTATGACTCTTGAGTTCAAAGAAAGTGAGTGCCGCACGCGACAACATTTCAAGACACACCACTCGATCGACATCCCAAGACGACCACAGCACTCACCCATTGATCAGAGCCGCCGAACCCGCTGATTGGACTGTATCCTCAACAACAATTCCAGAGACGATCGAGAAGAGCACCGCCCATCATGTCGCTCACAAACTGTCGCTTCTACGAGGAGAAATATCCCGAAATCGACTCGTTTGTCATGGTCAACGTCAAGCAAATTGCCGAAATGGGCGCCTACGTGAAGCTACTGGAGTACGACAACATCGACGGCATGATCCTCCTCTCCGAACTCTCCCGACGACGTATTCGATCCATTCAGAAGCTCATCCGTGTCGGCCGCAACGAGGTCGTCGTCGTGCTGCGTGTGGATAAGGAGAAGGGATACATCGATCTTAGCAAGCGTAGAGTGTCGCCAGAGGACATTGTCAAGTGCGAGGAGCGCTACAACAAGAGCAAGATGGTCCATTCTATCATGCGCCACGTCGCCGAAAAGACCACAACACCCATCGAAGAACTCTACCAGGACATTGCCTGGCCGCTCAACAAGAAGTATGGACATGCTGTCGACGCCTTCAAGCTCTCCATCACCAACCCGGATGTGTGGAATGAGGTTACCTTCAAGAGCGATCTCATCCGTGACGAGCTGCAGTCCTACATCAGCAAGCGCCTCACACCCCAACCTACCAAGGTGAGAGCGGATGTAGAAGTGACATGCTTTGGCTATGAGGGTATCGATGCCGTCAAGGAGGCCCTGCGTAAGGCCGAGGCCAAGAATACGGTCGACACCCAGGTCAAGGTGAAGCTGGTTTCCCCACCTCTCTACGTCCTCACATCGCAAACGATCGACAAGAACAATGGAATTGAAGTCCTCACCGATGCCATCAAGGAGATCGATACCAGCATTCGCGCCGCGAACGGAAGCTGCATTGTAAAGATGGCACCCAAGGCAGTCACGGAGAACGATGATGCAGAGCTGCAGGCGCTGATGGACAAGAAGGAGCGCGAGAACATGGAAGTGAGTGGCGACGAGGATGAGAGCGAGAGTGATGAGGGCGTAGTCGCGGCGAACGATTAAGTCACTACAGCGAGGCGTTAGGAGTTTGGATGGCGAGGAAAAGCTTTCTCCATCGCGCGGTCGTACAGCAGGCTGCTTGGGGACCTTTTGGTAGATTATCCCTCACATGCATGTACGAGAGCTGAATAGAGAGAGTTTGATGACAGGTTCAGTTCTTCAATTTCCAGTACTGGGGGGCTTTTCCTGCTGACCTCATGTCAGACTCTCTGCGACATGAATCTTTGCCGGAAACCTAGGGAAGAAAGGCACACAGAATCTGCAAACCACCTCAACGGATACCAACATCTTTTCTCCCCTGGCATACTTGTCGTGTCCCCAGACAATCTCGATGAGAGTACCAGACCTCCTCACCGACAGATCCTCCCCTTTCCCGAGCCGCTAATGCCATATCTATATCTATATCTCCAAGATCCTTCTTGTTGTACTGTAACCTCATACTCTTCTCCTCACAACAACAACACCAGAAAGGCAAACACGATCTTTCTTTCTTTCTCTCAAGAGACATCTCTTGTCTTAACGTTTGCGATGAATGCGCAAATTGCTCTCTCTGGTCATCAAACTTCTTCCTTTCCAGCTGGACTGGAGGGATCCCAAGACCTACACTCATTTCTTGCCAAGGGAAGGGAAAAACGGAGGTCGACGTGGAGAGAAATATATAGAAGGAAGGAAGGAAGAGGCGATGGATGTGGAGTCAGTGCTCCAGGTTTCTTGTTCATAGAAAGCCATAGTCGCTACAGTTCCCCTCCCTACCAGCAAGCCGTTCCTGCCATGCTATCTGGATACTAGACCTACGGCCGAGCTGCAAAAGTCTACCGTCATCTGACCCAATGGATAGAAACTTGTGCTGAGTCTCCAGGAAGTCGTGCTCGTTGCGTGAATTGCTCGGGCGGGGAGGACGTCTTTGGCACAGCCCAAAAGACCTCCGGCAGAATTCAGTCTTGGCCATTTTCAGGCGAGATGAATTGCCCCTGGCATCGATGTCGTGATTGTATTGGAGGGTGGTCCTGAGAAAGAGGTGTCCCGTTATTTCCATACTCCAAGAAGAGGTGAGGCTGTCGTTCTGTTCTCCGGATATAGCTTTGTTGTTGAGCGGCTCGCTTCGATAGAGTCATGCTTCACTCCTCCAGATGTGTGGGTAACCTTCTGGTCGAATCCGAAGTATTGTAGAAACTGTGCAGAGGCGATCGCGAGATCTCGTGGGATCTCCGATGGCGGTACTCATCCGACCGTCGTCGGGTTTGATCCTGCATGGAGGCGAGGCTGTCGCCACTGTCCACTCGCTTGGGTCTGATGTGCCTTGAATTCCTTGGAGAAGTTGCCCAGTCCCCAGGGTAAGATGGCTGCGTAGCAGAGCTGATTTTCCTGGAAAGTGGTGCGCCTGTTGGGGACTTCGGGGTAGAGTGCTCTGAGGAGACTGAGCCGGGTGTTGATGGTCGCGTCAGGCTGCTGCCGACACTGCGGCCGTCGCGAGATGGTTGCTTCTTGTTGTTGGTCTTGGACAGGAGTGACTCCATCTTGTCGAGGAAAGATACCATTTTGGTGGCGGATGTTGGCAAGGTGGCCAAACGAAGACGCCAGTGCTCGACAGAATTTGCTGAGCGACGCCGAATGCGATGGATAGAGCTGTACTCTGTAGGGGGAACGTCGACGGGGTCAGTCGTGGCGATGAAGGAGCAGGAAGCGTTGCAGCAGGATGAATGAAATCTCTTCACGTCGCCGCCGGTCAAAACGATCAAGAGGGCTTATCAGTATTGCTCCCACAGTGCTCTCACGGTGGTTCTATCATTGCATCACGTTGCTTGCGCGTAGGCCTCCACATTTTCGTCTGCGGAGCCATTCAACGCACCGCCGTGGCAAGCCGTGGCACGCGGTGGAGAGATGTGGTTTGCCGGCTTACCGTTGTTGGGATGTTAGACAATGGAAATCTGGAGACGCGATACGTGACAGTTCTGGTCCGGAGGTGTGGCTGGCCGTCGGTTTGGTGCACAAGATTATTATTAATAATGTTTGGAGTGCGCCAGAAAATGCCGCAGGGCTGAAGCAGAGTGCACGAAAATTCTGTTATGCAATCATGACGATAGGCACCTTGAAGACGTGGCAAAGCATTGTCGCCGACAGAAGTGCCAGCGCATCGAAGCGCTTCACGATTGATTATTCAAATATTCGATCATTTCGTTATTTACTCATCAAATTCAATTCTCGACTCATTCATTCAATCAATCAATTTAACGACTGAATCATTGCTTCTTTAATCATTGTTTGATTGAACCTATCAATCAGATTGGCATCGGGTCATTCGATTTGATCATTCAATCATTCCCTGGTCCAATCAATGATTCACTCAATGGATCAATCACTGGGGGGCATGAATGTCCATAAATGTCCATGAATGTCGAACATCGCGTTCAGCGCTGCGAGCCGCGGCAGTCATTTCAACGACGGCAACGGTCGAACGAACTATTGGAAGCCGATAGTTCATCACAGACGAGACCGATCAATCATCATTATCACAGGTGAGGTCGGGAGAAGCAATAAGATCGGCAGTGCTGGGATGAAGATCCTTGGCAACCGCCTAGACCGCCGCCAGCCATAGCACAATAGTGTGATAGCACATAATAACATCACCGCCCGTCACGTGGTCTTGGCACCGCATCCCAGCTCCCGTCCGCCTCTGCTCCGCCCCTGCAGCAGCTCGACGACTTCGACCTGTCGGGCGGGCCACAGCCAGATGCTCTCCCTCCACGCCGCTCCCACTCGGCATCACCGCCATCCCCCGACCTGCGTTAACGCGTCTCACCCACCGACGGCGTGGCTTCGGCTCGTCGCGCGCACCCTCACATTGGGACATTGATCGGATTGACTTTATGGATGGCTTGCCCATATCCGCCAATTACGACTCCCTCCCAATGCTCTCCACACGTCACCAACCCCCCGATCTCGACCGCGCACTTCTTGGTCCACGAGTCGCGTTGCGGCCTCTGTCTCAGCGCTGGAATCGAGATGCCAGCGAGCTGCGTTGTTGTCGGTTCACAAGCACGCCGCCAGGTAGTAGTAGTTAGCCTTCTTCACCTCCTGTTCTTCCTCCATCTCCATCTTCCTCTCCGTCCATGACCGTCTAATCACCAGATACTGGAGCTCCGTCTGGCACGGCAATTCCGCCCTCCGACTCGCCTTGGCCAGAGAGCGACATTGCGCCGCCGGAAGCACCAACAGCGGAATAGCGGTTGAATGTGAATCGCACACGCTGGCCAAGATGCAACAATTCATGGGCTTGCGAGGGAGAGGCCTGTCTCATGCCATCGGGGTCGTTGCGGCTCTCATCTTCTTCCTCTATGGCTACGACCAGGGAGACATGGGCGGTTTCTTGACCGTCCCCTCCTTCCTCACCCAATTCCCCCAGATCGGCGTCCTCTTCAAACCGGGAGACCTCCACGTGGCTCAGCTTACCGGATTCACTGTCGCCATCTGGAACCTGGGATGCTTCGTGTCTGCCATGGTCGCCATCTTCGTCGGCGACATACTGGGCAGGAAGAAGATGATGTACATTGGACTTGCCGTCCTCCTCATCGGCGAGATCATCCAATGTTCGGCCTTCCAATGGGGCCAATTCGTGGCTGGCAGGTTCATTGCGGGCTTTGGAAATGGATTCAACTGTGCAACTGTTCCGGCTTGGCAGGCGGAATGCACCAAGGCACACCGCAGAGGTACCGTGTTGATGCTTTCCGCCGGAGCCTCTATCGCAGCCGGCCTCTCCTTCAGCTACTGGATCGACTTCGGCTTCGCCTGGTTGGATCCCGACTCGGCGGCGTGGCGGGTGCCAATTGCACTCCAAATCATCTTCATCCTGATCGCCATCTCCGTCCTGGTCTTCCTCCCTGAATCTCCACGCTGGTTGATCTTGCAGGGAAGAGAAGACGAAGCGCTGAACGTGCTGTCCGCCTTGAACGACTCGGAACCCGACACCTATGAGATTCGTCAGGAGTTTTTGCAAATCAAGGATGCCGTCGTGGAGATGGCCAAAGCCTCCTTCTCCAATGCCTTTCGCATGGGCGACTACCGGGATCTGCATCGTGTTGTGTTGGCTGTTGTGCTACAATTTTTCCAGCAAATTGGAGGCATCAACTTCATGACCCAGTACTACGCTCAGATGTTCAGCCAACAGTACATCTGGGACCCCTGGGTGGCTCGCCTGCTGGCTTCCGGCGCCGGCACCTGCTTCTTCCTGTTCTCCTTTGTCGCTGTCTGGTGCATCGACCGGGTCTGCGGGCGTCGGCCTCTGATGCTGTTCGGCACCTCTGGCATGTTGGTCTGCATGATCATTCTTACAATCATGTTGGAAGTCAACAACCGCGCATCCCTGGACGCGGGCACTGCCTTCGTGTGGGTCTTCTGCGTCTTCTGGGCCATCGGCTGGCAAGGCATGAGCTGGCTGTACCAGGTGGAGATCGTGCCACTACGCATCCGTGGCCCGGCGAATGCTCTCTCTACAGGTGCGAATTGGTTGGCCAACTTCGTCGTTGTACTCATGGCTCCGGTCGCATTCAACAACACCAAATGGATGACGTACCTGATCTTCGTCTCAACGTAAGTGATCATGTCGTGGGTTGAGATGCATCTACTAACACATCTGATGCAGCAACGCTGTCATTCTGCCAACAGTGTACTTTCTCTACCCGGAAACAGGCCTCCGCTGTCTCGAAGAAGTAGACTACATCTTCCACACTGCAAACTCGTCGCCTCGACCCTGGTTTGACGTCGTCAAGATCGCCAACGACGAGCCATTGTGGTACGGCAAAGACAACGAAGATCCATACGACTACGAAGCCAGCGAATGGCATCAACGTCACGTCCGCTTCTCCCCCGAAGTCAAAGATTCGCAAGGCGAGTCCACGACGCTGCAAGGCAGCAGTGACGACGGCGGGATGGAGAAAGTGGGCAGCAATGGATCCACCAGTGAAGAGGGTTGGAAGTATCCCGGCGACGACGTAGCTCCCAGCCCGCACATCTCGACCGCGAGTGGGCGGACATCTCGGAGCGCTGGACGTGGAGCTTGAAGTACGAAAGATATTCTTTGCATGTGTTAATGAGACTAACGAGACTTTCTCATGTTACCCGATGACTGTACTCTAGGCCTTAAAAAAAAGGATGGCTCTCACTCATGCATGCTGTTGCCGACTTTGGGTTTCGCTCGCAACTTCCTTCCTTCCTTCCTTCCACACATATATATATACCTACCTACCTACCTACCTACCCATCCTTTCCGCATCGCCACTTCTCCCCTCATTATGCCCACAACAGCGACTACCCGTACCTCTATATTCCCATCCCGTCGCGTTCTCAACATCAAATCACATCAGATCATCGACCATCTCTCCGGCATGGTGTATCGGCTAGCATTTGCGGCTCTCACTCTCATTCTCATCCTCCATAATGAGAAGGAGGAGGACCTGCAAGAGCGGGGGTATGTCCAGTCCGTCCAGCCAAAGCCATATCTCCTACCTTAGCTCCAAGAGATTTTCGACTTCTTTGATAACTCATCTCATTATTGATGTGATTTTCAGTTCGATTCCCCGTGCCGGAAAAGAAATCTTTTTTTGATTGAATCTTGTTTCTTTTTCTTTTTTTTTTCTTATTTTGGCGTCAAATGGTTTTCTAATTGGAGACTGCAACGGTTTGGTGGTTGTTCGTTGGGGAATGTACCTCTAGCTCTGCGAATTGCACGGCTGAGGTATTGACGGGCGGGCAAGAGATGACACCAAGGTGCAGCCAGAATCGATTGGACGACGCTGTTTTCCAACATTCAACAAGATACTATACTGGCGACCCGCTCTACTCACCAACATTCCTCCATCACGAAACTCACCGGTAGCTATGGGCCTGGCTGTCCGGCTTTGCAGCTCCGCCAGCATTTCAGTGTCCACATTGTCGGGAATGAGGTCGAATGATTCTGGATTGAAAGCACACGATCTGTTCCGCATCGATGGGCGGAAGAGACATACAGCGGCAACATGCATCGTCTTTGTTGGCGACCTGCCAGCTCCAGTCTGTTTTCTTTGAGAAGAACTCTTTCTTTGCTCGCACTTCAACGCCTTGTCCGAAAGCCTTTGATTCGACAAAGGATCTCTGGCTCTTCACGACCACAAGGGCATTGTTTTTCTCAGCTTCTGGTCGATTTAAAAGCAATCATCTCACCGCTTCCCAGGGATTTGACGAAAGCAGAACCCGCCTATCCTTGAAACTCTCGAGACATCGAACCGGCTTCGATCCCAGAGACATTACTGAAAGCGCGTAGGCAAGGCACTCTCGCTCCAACAAACTTCCCCAGCGCAGCGCATCCAGACGAACCAACGCCTCCAAGATGCCTGACCTAGCCGACCTTCTCGACCAAATGAGCATGGCCGACCGCAGCAGTCAACCCGCAACCCATCGCCCCGTAAGCCCCCTCGGCTCTTCGCGTTACGAGCGGCCATTCGATCCACGCGAATACCGCTCTTCATCCCGACGGCCAACAAATCCTCCTCCCCTCCACCGCTCCGAAAGCCGTCGACGCGAACATTCGCATCGCAGCGGTCCCAGCCGCCGCACATCGTCCCCCGGTATACCCGTCGATCTCAGCTCCCTCGGAGCGGACTTCGACCCTCGCCCTCGAATTGCTGCTTCCCGCGCTCCTGCTGGTCTCGGCATCGACTTCGGCCCATCAGGTTTCCACCCCCGTAGAGCGCGCGAACAGGACGAATTCGATCGTCTCCACGATCAGCGCCGCCATCGCACGCCTCCCCCGCGGGACTACTTCGACGGCTTGGGTTCCGGCTTCGACGGTCGGGATCCTCCTCCTCAACGACGATCCCGTCCCGCACAGCAGCCGGAACGATACATGTACGACATGTCCACCCTCTCTGGCGGACCCCCCATGCGGTACGGGGCGGGTTATGGCGGCTATCGCTCTTCCCGTCCCTCCGGCGCGCCGCCCACGACTACCGCTACCGCCGAATACCTCGCAAGCACGCCATCTCGAAGCGCGAGACCTTCTCGACGGGATCATCGCGATTACATCCCCCCCAGCGATGAGAATAGGTACGTCTACCCCCTTCCTCCTCCTTCTTCGTCTGCCCGTCCGAGTTCCTCGAGCAGAGAGCATCGGTCGCATCGATCCGGTGGTGGTGGGCTTCGAGGCTTGTTTCGTTAGAAGAAGAAGAAGAAGAAGAAGAAGAAGAAAGAGGGCCACTCTGTTGCGATTAACAGTATTTTATGTTGCTTATGGGTAAGCTGACTGGCCAGGGGGGGGTTTTTTTCTCTCTTCAAGGCAGTATGGCCGGCGTGCTTGGAGGGTAGTAGAGTTGATGAGTAGTGAGTATGTTATGAAGCAAATCTTACCCAGAAATTCATTTATTTGCCGCAGTCCGGATCACCCCTGAGGGTTTTCTGTGCATCGAGCTGATATTCTCCAGGCTGATAGAAACCGATCTCCAGCCCTGCCCGAGGACTCTAAGAAAGTATAAACTAGGCTTAGCTACGCGGAACGTAGAAGTCTCCACGCTGAGTCGAGTCTGGCCTTACTATATACATACATACAGATCAAGAACGAACGTGATTTTAGAATATCTTCAGCGATGCAGGTCCTCCGAAGCAGAAGTAAGCGTAAGTATCCACGTAATTTCTAGGGCTTGGGAGCACTACTACTACTACTGCTGGGGATTGATCGATCGGTTCAGTCGCTAGTAAATAACCTACCTAAGGGGTGGGTAATCACCCAAAAAAAAAACCCCCCCCAAAAAAAAGTTGCGTAGCAACCGACCGCCATGCGCGCCATGCCATTATCCATCCAAATTTCCCCCACTGGTCTGAAAGATCAACTCAACCCGGAAGCTCTCTTCCCGCTTAGGTGGACTTTTTTTCCCCTATTGTCTACCTTACGTCCTCTTCTTCAATCTGCATCGTAAGTCTCTCTCCCACCAGCCAGCGGCGTCTGTGGAAATGATGGGAAAGTCGCCGTCTCCGCGTATGCCGAACCGATGTCGTGCTTTTCGTGCTTTTTTGCGCCGCGGTGACTGACTGATGGGGTGTTGGGGATGGGGCGGACATTCGTTCGGCTTTGTTGATGATTGTGACTCCTCCTCTTCTGGATTTGGGATTTGGAAAGTCTCGCGCGAAAGCGATATGATCTCGCGTTGCATGGCCGGGCAGAGAGCTGGTGGAGCCTGAGAGTCTTGCGGTTCGATGTTCGATGATTGATCGGATGGAGCCTACCGCTGAGAGAGAGAGGGATTCAGCTTCTCTTCCTTCCGACGGATATGCTCCTCCGGCGTAGTCGTCGGCGTGGTCGTAATTGTAGAACTTCTAGCTCTAGTTCTAGCTCTATCCGGTTTCTTCCCCCCCCCCCCCCCCTGAGAAGTCAACTCAACTCTCAATCATCATCATCATCCTCTCCCTCATCATCATCATCACTCCCCTCAAATTCCGACTCATCCGAATCATGACCCTCTTCGAAAGCTTTCAAGAACTTCGAAGCAGCAGCAGCTTCGCGATCCTCCTCCGCTCCCATCTCACTAAAGTTTTCTGCCTTCACCTCCTCCTCTTCCTCCTCCTCGTCGTCGTCCAGGTCTGCCATCGCAGCAGCAGCGCAGTAGCTGACGCGGCTCTTGCGACTACGCAGCGTGCGGGGCGCCTCGACGTCGGTCTCTACCACGGCGGTACGTCTGGTTTTCTTAGTAGCAGGCTCCAGCCCGTCTTCTTCGTCGTCTTCTTCGTCGTCGTCGTCATCTTCCTCTTGCTTCACGAGAAATTTTCTCTTCTTCTGCCCGGAGCGCTGGCTCTTCATTTGCATCTCATCAAGATCACGGAGCTCTTCCTCCATCTCATCCTCGGACTCCGTCTTCACCGCAGCCCGGCTCTTGCGAGCTCGCTTTCCAGGCACAGGCACAGGCGTACCGTCATCCTCATCCTCCGACTCGCCCGTCTTCTCGCGACGCTCTCTCCGGCGCTTAACAACACCAAGCATAGAAGGAATCCGATCCCGAACTCCCAACCTCGCTTCCTCCTTCGCAAAAGCGCCATTCCGCTTCCGCTCCGCATCAAAAGCAGCCTTGACGCACTCATACCCCCGCCCCTCCCTCGCCGCCCGCGCCTGCAGCGCCAACGTGATCCGCTTGGTGATGCCGTTGGCGTTCATGGCTTTATTGCGCGTGCCGGGCAGGGCTTGGTACAGCGCGAGGACGTGGTTGGCGATGCGCTTGTTGCTGTTGCGCGCGGCGAGGTCGAGCAGGAGCGTGCCGCAGATGTCTTCCGGGTGCACGAGGCCCGTGAGGAGGGCTGAGTCGCTGAGATGCGCGGGGAAGCGGGCGCGCGTGTCGCGCGCTGGACAGCTGATGCCGTCGAAGTGGTGGAGTTTGCGGGTGAGGAGGAGGCCGGGGGATTGGATTTTGATGGTTGAGAGGGATGGGGACATGGAGCTGTTTGTCTTGCTAGCGGTGGTGGAGGTGGTGGGAGTGGGAGTGGCGTGATCAGCGGAGTCATCGTCTTCGCTCTCCTCTTCGGCATTCTGGAATTCTGCTTCGGTCGCTTGAATACGCTGATGGCCTCTGCTTGTCGATGGAGGATACTCAACTCGCTCACGCACCGGTATTGGCGCTCCAGGACCAAGTACGAAGCCCTTCCATCTCTCAGTATAATCGTGTCCCCTACCAACGATCTCACGAAAGAGGTGGAAGGTATGCGTCGGCGCAGTGGTGCCTGCAGCTTTGTAGTGCTGAAATCTATGGCTGCCTCTAGAGTTCGTAGTGACACAGACCTGCCAGACTCGAGGACCACCAAGCTTGCCGTGGTGATGATACTTGCCGAGCGTGTTCAGGAAAGTCAGCGCCCTATCCACTAGGGGCTCTTTGAAAGGTGGGGAGCCCGCGTGTTGCGAGACCCCTGGACAGCGGTCGTCGATTTCTTTCTCGGTGATTCCGAATTGCTGCAGCTCTTCAGGCGACAGTTGGTGAAGTCGGAAATTGGCGTCATGTTCGATGTCTGGAAGCGCTCCTGTCTGCTCGTGGTACAGCGCAGAGACTCTCACGGCGTGTGTGTTTGCTTCAGGCAGTCCTTCCTGCACCATTAGGCCATTACTATCGATGGCTTTCTGAAGCTGGAGGATCGCAACGAAGTCACCAGAAACAGACACAGGGGGGAGTCTGCGGCCATATAGATGCAACACCCGCTCGTTGTCGACGCCGTATGCTGGGACGCGGTACTGAGGCGTTTGTGCCAGCGGCGGGTTCCATCTATGGCCAGGTTGAGGGGCTGATGGCACGGGCTGGGTAGTCGTGCCCATGCCCATAAAGTGCGAGGTCGAGGTGAAGTATTGGCTGCTGAAATGTGGAGGTGGAAGACAGTATCCTGGATACTGACCGTAACCATACGGCTGACCGTAAGAGGGGTGAGGGGCGTATGGAGGAGCATAGCCTGGAGGGTGATGATTGAAGTGCTGACCATACGGCATCGAGTCGTGGCCAAATGTCTGCGGCAGGTGACCTGCGTAACCAGGCTGCGAGGGATGATATCGGTGCTGGTATTGCAGAGGGGTGTATTGCGGGTGAGGTACTCCAGTCGCAGCAGATGGCTGGCTGGGGAGAGGACGCTGAGCTGCCGGCGGAGGCATCTGTTGGGGCGGAGAGTTGTGGGTGATTGGCGGAGAAGAACTGGTTGCAAAGGGAGGCGGTGCGATGTTGTAGTTGCCGCTCGCTGGTGGAGGGGCAGATCGGTCACGGCGATCCATTGGAGACGCCGAGTATGTGCCGTTCGTAGTTTACCCGGTTGGCAAGGAAGGCGTGGTACTGTCGAGGTGCTGTCCTCTCGAAGAGTGTGCGAACGGATGGACGATTGTTGGGGTCGCAGTTGGCAGTTGGCGCAGGCGTGGTCCTGGAAGCTCGATGGTCCGTGGCAGAAGCTCAGGCGTGGACCGTTGCCGTTCGGTAGTAGTAAGCAGTAGAGAATGAGATCCCGCTGTAAGACTCGGCAGAAGAGGTCGAGTTTGCGAGAAGAGAGGGAGAGAGAGAGAGAGAGAGAGAGGTTGCGAGCGCCGGGAACGTAGTTAATGGCCGACCAAGAGTGAAGCTTAGCGCATGGAGCAGACGTGAATACACTAAGCGGAAACACACAGCTCAAACAATGCGATTGTCTGAGACTGGTGAGACAAGACAGATTCACCAGACAGCAACAGCAAGGATATTCCAAAGCCCGATAAGTCGACGCAGAGTGATCAAAGTGAACAGAATCAGGGGGAGAGAAACCAGGAAATATAGTCATGGAGCAGCGCTCGGGTGCACGTCGATCTGGAATAGAAAAGCCAGCGGGTGGACAGTGAGGGACTTTCAAGTTTGCCGCTCCGTTTGCCTAGACTTACTTCAATGGTAGCTTTGCGTTCAATCAGTAGCCGCTCGATCGGTGGACACTGCAAGTAGAGGCTCCATGGCCGTAACGAGGGGTGATGTCGAGGTATCCTCCGCGTCGTTGTATCCAAGGAGAATCACGTATTGCCAAATACGAACCTGCGCCAATTACATCCAAGTCTACGAACGCCATCCTCGAGCTCCCATCCTTTGACGCTACATAGCTTCCGCACAATGTCGCCAAGGTACTCGTCCATACGGTCTCCGGCTGTGTGCAGGTCACTCTCCACGAGTATGCGATCATCCGGGACAGCCTTCACAGCAGCCTCGACCTTACCATTGCCGGAATCCGACCACGAGTTTATGGTCGTACTGAAGCTGAAGAAGACGTCACACGGCACTGATGGTGCGATGTATTGTTTGACAGTCTCGGCGGGTCCTGAGAAAGAGTGCAGACATATCCGAGGTGGATATGGCTTTGACCCAGACGCCGCTTCGACCTCATCTCCAGCTTCGGGAGGGTTCGCGTGCAGCTTTGCTGTTGCCTCTGCTCGCTTTCTGTCTCTCTTGGAGACTTTCCGTTCATGGCCTTTCCAGGTCTGCGCGACAGTGTCGTAAACGTGGCCATGAGCCGCTACACCGTGCACCGACACAGCTCGCTGCATCTCGGCGGCAAGGTGTAGCTGTGCAGATAGGACCTTCTTCTGGTGGGTCATGCTGACGCTGTAAGAGCTCAACTTCCTACCTTCTCGCCCTCCTGGAGTGAGGGCGTCATCGCGGTGCTCCGCTTCACCCGGCAACCACGTTTCTGGTATACGGAAAGAGCGATCCAGTCCAACTTCACCAACCAGTGCCAAGGGGAAGCGTTGGAGGTATTCTCTGGTCTGATGGAGGAATTCTCCCAAAGGGCGAGGATGTGGAAGAGCGTGGATGAAGTCGCTGTCTTCCGGCTTGGGCGTGAGGACGCTCTGGTAATGTGCTCTCATGTGTTCTGCACTGAGCACGACGGATCCGTCATATTCGGTCTCATCGAACATTTGATGGGAGAACCAAGGATGCCAGCCGAAAGCGGGTATGATCTTGTGCTCCTTTCTGTGCACAGCGTCAGCTCCAGCCAGTGGGATGAAGGCGGCAGGAATACCTCTCTGGCCCGACCTACCTCCAGTCCATCTCGAAACCGGCTGCTTCTGACTCTGTAACACCGAATTCCTCGGCCGCGTTGGCGACGAGCTCTTGATCCTGTGCTCTTGTGGCCATGACGGTCAAGACTTTCGCCTGCATGGTGGGGATGGACTGCAAGCTGGACAGCGTGTCGGTGGGGTGGCAATGCGCATCAAATACGCCCAGATGCCATGGTATCGGCTTCATTCCGTCATTTTCAGCCATTTGGGAAGGTGGAGCACTGGATTGAGATGTTGATGGAGAAGGAGAGATGGGATGAGATGTTGACGGAGAAGGAGAGATGGGATGAGATGTGAATGGAGAAGGAGAGATGGGATGAGGTCGTGTGGAAGGTGCCGGGACCCTTGCTCCTGCCAAGCAAAGTTGCCCCACCTGCTCCGCTCCCCCTCCGCCCTCCGCCTTCCACCTCCACTTCCACCTCCACTTCCACCTCCACTTCCACCTCCACTTCCATTCCGCCTTCCACTTCCACTTCCATCTCCACTCCGCCTTCCACTTCCACTTCCACCTCACCGTCGCCTTCCCCCTCTCGTCGCCTCTCGCCTCTCCCGCCGTCCCCATCACACCTTCCCCTCCGCCATCAGCGCATCGTGTTGGACCGTGCCGGGCGTTGTCGTGAGACGCCTGAGACGGTCTTCTCTCCCTCCGTCAACATGTGACCACCAGCGCCGTCGGCAGCCTCGTCTGCTCTGCTCTGCTATCCGACACCGCCCGCCCCTCATGGATCCCACTCCGTACATCTCCGCAGCATTCCACGACGCACGCACAGCCGCCACGCATGTCTGTCGGAACGTCGTCGGCGCACTGGTCGGCTTCCCAATCCACATCTTTCCCATCTTCCCACCGCTCGGCATGCTTGTCGCTTGTCTCCTCTGGCCACTTGCTGCCTTTCTGATTGGCCTGGCCTCCATCCTCCTGGCCGTATTGGATCTACCCGAACGCCTGCTCCGGCTGCCTCGGAAAGTTGCTGTCGCCATCTTCGACCTGCTCATCTGCCTGCTCTCGCTTCCTCCGACTGCTGTTCCCACCCACTCCCGCTCCGGACCCTCGCTCTCCCGAAATCTTCACCTTTGCTACCGACTTGCAAAATGTATATGATGGTGTCCCAAATCGTTCTGCCGCATCGACCCAATCATTGCCGCAGACGCCAACACAAGTCTCGGACCACCAATCCTCTCGGGGGAGTCGAATGGAAAGGAGCGCTGTTTCCCCGCAGCAGACTGCTAGGACGCCGACCGGACAACAAATGGTGAGTATCTCGCCTGATACTCTCCGACTGCTAGAGAGCATGGTCCACACCCCACATGCCACATACGAAGAACTCAATCTGCTGGATGCCGGAGTCGAGCCCGAGGCAATCCGCGAGCAGAGACTGCAGAGAGCGTATAGGGTCCTGGGCATTGTCAACGATGATCAGATGGATGGCGCTCGGGGACCTCCGACTAAGAGACGGCGATGCTCTGATCCAGAGAACCAGATCAGCGACCAGCAGGGACCGGATGGACGCTCGATTGACCAGCAACGCTCTGTAAGCAGGCGAAGGCCTTACGTTCGGACGACTGAAGCCAGAGAAGCTCATCACTCCCAACGACCGAGAAGTCGTAGTTCGACGGCAGTCTCTCCAACAACGCCCGTTCGTGGTAACAGGTCAATCCTGGAGCCTCCCACATCTCCCCCTCCCAATTCGGCTCATGAAATAGTCAATGGATCGCCACAATCAAACGGTCGAAGAGACTCCCGCAGGGAAAGCTTGAGTTCAACTCCAGTCTCGCCGACTGCACCTACTTACTCTGGCTTCCCAAGCGCCGGACTTTCCACCTCGCGCCGACTCAGCACAAGCTCTTCCGTAGCAACTCCATCGCCAGTCAATGGCTATGCATCGCCTGCAACTACCAACGGATCTTCGATGCGTAATAGCCGTAGCATGGTGTCACTACCGCTCAATCGGGGTCAGCAGCAACCTAGGAGAAGATCTCCCGCTCACAGACCCAGCTCTAGTACGACAAGTCTTACAAGCATCCCAGAATCACAGACTGCGAGACAGCTGCGAGACGAGGAGTCGAGCGATGACAACAGAACAAACGGGACTTGATGGATGTCTTTTGCATTGGTGTGACAGCGGTCTTGGATGAAAGGACCGACAGTCTTGGAAGTCGATGCCACTTGTTTTGGGCGCGTTGGCTTGAATCTTGCCCGAAGACTTCCTTTTTCAGGACTTCCTCTCTTTTGGACTGCATCGTGAGCGAAACGGCTGTGGCGTTTTATCAATTGAGGCTTGGACAGACGGCTTTGGGAGTTGAGGACTCCGCTTTACTATTCATTTCAGGCATTGTACGATTGCAGTACTCGTTCTTCTTGGTCCGAATGCTACAATCTTGGCTTCAAACGCTGCGACTGGTATCTCATGCATGATGCTCCATCGAGCTGGTGCTCTCTCCCGCGTCTTCTGGCTCTTCCGCGAAGATGTTCATGCAGTAAATCCATTATTTTCTTCTTCGCGACTTCCGACTCGCCCTCTCACTTCTCGCTCTTTTCTCCCGAGGCCTCAATGCAGTCAGCGTCCCCCGGATCGCCCGGCTTGTGGTTGCTGTCGAGTACCTCGAAGAAGCGATGCTGGGAGGCACGTCGGTGAAGTGCACCTTGTTTTTACTAGTGCTCCTGGTCCCCTTGGCCTGGTGTCTTGCCGCTCTTCTTCACGTCTGGTGGGGACTGTAGACTGTCTTGCTGTTTGTGCTCCTTGCCATCATCGCGCTGCTTGTCGCCCTGGCTTGCTCCCTTTTCAGTAGACATTGCTCGTTTTGCGCAGGTGGAGCCTCGATACTGCGGTCTTGTTGTTGTAAAATGCCGACAAGCGAGAGTAGTTGTCTCCAAGTGATTGATTTGGACTATCTGAAGGTGAAGTTCGACGGAAAGTGGCCGCAGTCTTGGCATCCGCATGTGATTCTTGGCATTCACCAAAAACCCAAATTCGCGCCGTGAAGTCTCCCAACACGCGCCTGAAATCTCAAGCAAGACTTTCCATCCAACCGGCCACTTCCACTAAACAGCAAAGTCGCCCGCACCGATGGCTACAGACGATAATCGAGGCAAACTCGCCGCGCTGGTCAGCTGTGTGGCCGCGGGCGCCGTGTGCATCCTCTCCCCCGTCAGGGGAACCTACCGCCCTCTGAAGCGCAAGGAATATCACCAAAAAAAGCACGCCCTCAAGCGCAGCTTTGCCAAAGACAAAGACAAGAAGCATTGGAAGCGCTCCGACGCTCTCGCACTCGACAAGCGCGCTTTCGAATTGCCAACCCCTACCCCTGATGACGCCGAACGCCCTGCTATCAAGCAGCAGAAAACTGAAACGCTTCATAAGCCTGCGAATGGGCATGATAGTCAGCCCGTTATCACACTCACTGCCCCCGACACACGCAATCATTCCGAATTCGACTTCATCAGCCATAGCTATAGCCCCGCGCGCAACCGCACGACGGACGAGTCTGGCATCGCGCGGCAGGGCCTCGTGGTGCCTCCCAAGTGGTCCAAGAAGAAGCATGGCTTTTTTCACGATCGGAACGCGATGATGCCGTCTCCCGGGGAAGAAGCATAAGAACGGCGAGATATCTGTTCGTAGTGTGGGGCTTGTGGTGCCGGAGACTCCCTCGGGAGGCCTGATTGCGGGCGCGAACGCGGGGTGAAGATAGATCGAGATGTGGACCGGCTGCGATGGGGAGATTTGGTTTCGGAGGAGATGTAGATTTGCGAGGAGCGGGTCAAGGGCGTGGTGGACACGATGCAGTGCCGATTCTGGAGGAAGTTGTGCCGCCGGCTGGGGTTCTGCGGATGTCGGGGGCTTGAGGGATGGAAGTGAGGATTGGCCTGGCGGTGTCCGTTTTACTTCCTATGCAGGGGATGGGGTTGGGAGAATATACCGCTCTGAGAGCTCGTGATAACATTGATTGGGCAGAGCGGAGACGATTCGAAGTAAAAAAAAAGCCCCTGTTTCGACAACGAAAAAACTCTATGGGAAAGGCGCATGCGTTGCAATTCATCAAAGTTTTTTCCGGCTCTATGGCAAAAGCATAAAAAGGAACGCTCTCCTCCCCCTCCCCCTCTGTACGTATAGCGACTTTGTGAGCTCACACTAAACCCCCCACCAGCGTCTCTCGAACCACATCCTCTCGCACGATCAATCAATTTGTGGCTCAGGGAAGATGTATGATTCGAGCCACGGCCCTCCTGATCCCGATCCCGGTTCTGGCCAGCGGGAGCTGCTGGAGCCTGCCTATAACTTCAAGGGTATTGAGGATCCATTGGACCCGAAGTGCGAGGTGTTTAAGTCGTACTAAGAATGCTCCGCGGCGAATTCTAGATACTGAGTCAGGAGGAGAACGAGCCTCCCCGGTAGGCCACTTAGGTTGTTGCGCGGCACGCACGCAGTCGGAGATGTCTGAGAGCTTCATAGGACCCCAGCTAGACCCATGCTGCGGTGGCGTGCAGCTTTCCCGGTGATGTTAGTACACTTCTCTAGCATGATTCGTATGGGGGGGCTAACTCAACCGGTCAAGAAGCCCACCGGCATTCGTCTGAGAAAGGGGGTTCACTTCCTCAGCTACCTACATTGCTGCCTCGAAATAACCCGGCTGCGCGGGTCTGGCGAGAGGGTAGTTCCTGTCTCACATTGGCAGGTGAAGAGATTCGAGTTTGCATCGTTCTTGATTACACTCCTGTCCATCACCACGGCCGAATGTGGGAATCTGAAGATTCTCACGCTTCCGTCTCTCACGTTGCTCGCGAAGCCAGGACAGGTCGATCGAGCTTGGTGCTGCACTATCCCTTGGCTCGGTGCTGTTGATAAAGTCGTCGAAGCTTTCGCAGTTTCTGTTCTGTTCCTCGGTGAGTTCGTTCCAGTTTGGGGCACTTGGAGTCCATTCCAAGTCTTCGGAGAGGAGGAGGTTGCTTCGCTTATTGTTATAATGGCGAGCCGGGAGAAGGCGTGTCCCAAATTGCCCATAGTGTGATTGAAACGTTGAAAAAGTGTCGGAAGAGAAGAAGATTTAGAACGCGGATTGTGTACGTAGAGCGGGGCCCCGGCAGTGTCATCGGGATAACTACGAGTCATGTGGGGAGACCCACTTGGATGAATGAAACTATAGAAGGCGGTCGAATGGGATGTCTCGTGATACTTTCACAGAACACGGGTAAGAGCTCGCAGATGTACGATGGGACATCGAAACGAGTGAGGAGAACTTCTTCCTTGGATTTTATCTCTGCTTGAATTTTGCTATGACCGACTTGTTCGATTTAAAGACGATTGTCTTTCTGGAAGATGGAACCTTGGAAGCAAATGCGTGCCGCAGACGCAGGAAAAGTTCGAGCGACTCAATACCCTTCTCGTATGTTTGATAACAGAACAGCTCCATAATCGGACGGAGGTAATATGTTCTTTGCTGCAGTAAAATAACAGAGAATACGTTCTGCCAATTCGAGTTCACGACAACAGAACAAAGACTTTGTCACATTCCCGCCTTGACATTTTGCATTCCATTCCCAAAGCAGCGTCTCGGTGGTTTTGAGAACAAAGGATATCTTTTCGAGTTGACCAATTCCTTTGCATGGTCTTCAGCCAATATCAAACGGTAACATACTATGCATATGGAACCAAGCATGGCAATCAACAACGCTATTAGGCATCGTGAGATGCGAGTCGCGATGCTAGCGTCCTTTTCGAGTCCAAAGCCATCTCACCAGAGGGACATGTGGAAACACCGACATAGCAGTAATGTCCGGAGCGATAGAGGGCCCGATTTCCCCCAGGATAATGCAAGCAACAGCGACTTCCCAACAAGAAGGAAGACCACTCCCCGATTGTGTGCAGACATCGCTACTTATTGGCTGACGGGATCCCAATACTACTGGTCGAATCATCGATCATCGGAATCTTGTGGATCCTGGATGCCGTGTGAGGTTTAACACATTACCATTGTTCCGGTCCTTTTCGAAAAGAACTTAATAGAAGACGGCGCCCGGGTATCTTCACCTCCTCTGGGCCTATGCCCTACTCGGATGGCAGACACTACCAGGCTGGCTACCTACCTTACCCGGTCACCGAGCTGGCTCCACTCTCGAACCTCGACTTCACCGGGCTTCGCACCGCCGATCGTGCGCCTTCCTATTGTAGACCAGCCATCAATAGGTCTTGTCCCTGAGCACGCAGGTACCATATCGGCAGCTGTGCTTGAGATGCGGGAGTCGGGCATTTTCGAAAGGCGGATATATAAAGGGAGGTCGTGGCGTTGATAGGACAAGGCTGGTACAAGAGGAGAAATAGGAGATGCGAGATGTAGGTGGCAAATTCCCTTCAAGCAAATGCGAGGAAGTCGCGTTCTAGAGCGCTAAGAACAAGTCGGGTATAGCTGACTGTATGAAGTTTGCTGAGGTGAATGGAAATTGTGACGCTGCATAAATGCGCCTCTTCGCCAACCCCGGCGTACAAGCAAATTTACGCGGAGGAGCTCATGTCACATGTGAGGCACTTTATGTTTTGATAGCCAATAGGGAGGTCCCGCGCAGGTGAGGTTGCAGAAGCACGTGCTGTCCGGCTGTCCAGCAGGTCCGACAAAACCTTGCCTTCTTCCTTCCGCTTCCCTTAACAAATTTCGACCAGCAATCAGCTACCACGACCACCAACACATCTCCTTCTCCAATGATTGCCCTTCCGAAGGTAGCTAATACCTACCGCCCTGGGCTCTGTCCAACCCAAGGCCGCGCCTTGCCCTGAAGTCTTGCTCACGTCGTCTATAACACCCAACACCAACTCTTCCATCACCTATCAACAAACACGATCCATCAACATGTCGCAGGAGCAGTCGCCAGTCGCCTGCGCCGCCGCCACCGGCGAGAAGGCCACCTACAGCCAGAGCGAGGTGAACCTCGCCATCCACGGCATGATTTTGCGCAAGTCCTACGCCACGCTTATGAAGGTGTGCGACTTTCCGACCGAAGAAGCCGCCTACCTCGCGCTCGTGGACAAGCTCGCTAGAGACACCATAGCCGGTGAGAGCGCTAAGACCGCCGATAGTGAGTTTACTCGAATATGTGACCCTTCCTGCAACTGTGTTGACATTCGCGACAGCGACAGCGGCCGCCGCCGCCATCGGCGAGAAGGCTATGTACACCTCTAAGGAGGTGAGTGCCATGGTCATTGGTCTATATCCGGCTTTCCCCCATTCCAGAGGAGGGCATGGAAAAGATCATGAAGGTGGGCGGCTTCGAGACCAAAGAAGCCGCCGAGACCACCTACATCGCGCTTGGGAAGACAATCGCCGCTATATACTAAAAGGTTCGCGAGAGTGCTAAGGCCGCCAAGAGTGAGTTTATCCAACTCTCTGACCCTTCCTACAAATGTGCTGACACTTGCTATAGCTAGGGCCACCCCACAGAACGGCAAGAAAATCCCAAAGAAGCGGGTCAACATGGAGACCGACGACGAGGGCGAGGAGAGTGCCGCCACCGCGCCTTACATGTACCTCACGAACACAGCGATTCTCATCTCGGATCGCTCACCTCTCCATCAACTTCCATCGTCGCCACTGCCTCTCGGGAGATCCTACTCCAGCTCTGGACCCTGGCGTCCCCATGTCCTAGCCCTTGGTCTGTCGTCGCCGCGGACGCCTCCGCCCGTCCTGAATGCAGCATAGCATCCTGAAGTCGACTCACGATCCATTGCCACGGCCGCCGGTATCGCCGGCTGGCAACTATCAGCAGACAATGGTGGCACCCATGCAGGAAGTTGCGGAGACCGCGGGCGAACTGAGACTCGATCGCGCCGACGAACGAGAGGGCCGATCCTCCTCTCTCACTCCTTGAACTGCATTCCATCGTAAACGCACAGCATCATCAAACGCTAGCAGACATGCGCCATGGAAAATCGTCAGCTTCGAGCTCAAGGATGATCCGTCCGTGGAGAAGCAAGAGCAAATGCAGATCGACAACCCCGATTTCCACCAGATGGAGGTTAGCATCGCCTATGTCGAATGGCCAGTCTCCAAACCTGATCGCATTCACTTCACATTCCATCGCTACAAAGCTAACACTCTTTGGTTGGAGGCAGGTCAGCTGAGAAAGCTCAGTATAAGGGCCTCGAGAGAAAATTTACGTAAGGTAGCGATAAATTAGAAGGAGGAGAAGACCAAGGACTTCTGAATGGTTACCGATGCTGCAAGCAGCCGCTTCGAACAGATCGGCACGGACGGGGATTCTCATACTGCGGTCGGAGACTTCCACGTCGATATGCCGCCTTCTCATGATCGCACTGTCAGTGTCCCCACCAGATTCCTGTCTCTCTACGGCTTCTCCAAAAGATAGACAATGGCGAAATCTCCAGACATTGGAACATTAGCGCGCAGCGCGCGGAGTATGTAGAGATGTCTTGAATGGACGCAAACGTTCTGGCCGCTGCAATGTCCATGAGAGAAGCGCAGCTCGGTTATCCGAAATCACCAGTCGATTCTACTACAACGCCGACGGAATTTTCACCGAGAGATCAGCAGCCAGACGAAGAGCACGAAGAAGACTTATACGACTCCACTCCTCCACCGCAGCCGAAACCACCGGTCGATCCTCTTCTTACAACGCCGACGAGATCTCCACCGAAGGAAGTTACCCCTCTGCTATACTAGGCTGTGTAGGGCGTTGGAACGCGCACTCTTCTTGCGCTCTTCTGACTATAGCGCCACTAGGACTACACGAAGGTCGCTTATACAGGTCGTAAGCTATGGAGCTTGTCCTTAAACGGATGTTGTTGAACACCGGACGTTTGAAAGATCATTGCAAGGGTCAGAAGTGCAGTGGTTTTGAACAAAGAAAAGGTTGTTGTTGCTTTTATACTGCAGGCAAGCTACGCTATCGCAAACTGCAGAAAAAAGCACCCTGTTGCGATTCCGGCTCGACTGCCTGCGCAGTAACAAATTCTATCCTGTCTACTTCACTGAACTGCTTCAGCATCCACAGAGTATTCTGTTCAACTTCTATGGAAATCCTATACTGAAAATTCTTAGCCGTATACATTTGAGAGTGTTCATACATGCATTGTCTATTCGGTACTCCCCGGACATTAAGTCACGTGAATTGCGGGTCCTCAAAGGAGCGCTCTGATTGGCTGAAAATCCGGCTTCACATGCGCTGGCTTGACAACCACACTCTCAAGCTGAACGCGAGCGTCTCGGAAGGAATGCTCACTTCAGCAGTCGTGTGCGCTCCGGCACGCCTCATCCTCGCACCCGCAGTCGATCCGCCAGTCCTTCTCGCACTGCTGGCTCTCACACCCCGATGCGTGACCGCACTTCTTCTGCTCGCAAGGGCTCTGGCTCTCGTGGTCGGTTCGCCGACATGGAGGACGGGAAAACCCCCTCCAGAGGTCGGAATGCCACTCCACGATCCATCCTGCGCTCCCGTCCACGTCGCAACAGTTCCCGCAACCGGTCCGCCACTCGTCAAGCTCTCGTCGGCGGCTCACCCATTGTCTCCTTAATCAGGCGAACCGTGGCCTGGGTCTGAAGGCACGAGTACCGACGAATTGCCAGCCGCCACGGAACATCGACATCAGTCTGAGGAGGATCGCATGAAGAAGCGGTTCTCCACGGCTGAGAAGCTCATTCACAAGGCCACTATCGAAGACAATGACTGGAACAAGCGCATTGCTGAGGTCTCAGAGAGCCAAGTCGACTTGACTGCCAACAGCTGGCAGCACCGCTCGCAGCACGACGATGCAATACTGGTACGAATGTGAAGAACTACCGCTTCAAACATATGGATCTCAACTTCCATGTTATTGGGTATCTCGCTATCTACAACACCCTTGAGCCTCTAATAGAGGGAACTACCATGCGTTCAAGCATGGTGGATGACATACCGCAAACATTGGTCCTCCTTCATATGCTGATGATTCTACGCCACTGACCGGTCCACGACGGTCTCTTCACTTCTCTTGTTCCCTTCTATCAGGTTCTCAATCTGGTACCATTGTTGAGAGGTCTCAAAAACTTTGGAAGTTTCAAGTCATGTGTTGTCTGAGACATGGCCTGTCTCTGGGGAGGGAAGAGAACCTATTCACTCGATGGTCCGTGCGCGACTTTAGTATGTGCCCGAAGCTTTTCCTGCGGCACTTGCCTTGCACCACTTTCTTCGAAAACAACTTGTAGGCCTCGTCTTTTCCCCCGTCCCGACTGGTGCATCAACCTCGAGGCAACCTCGCCAGTCCCCGCTCGCCAGACGAAGCATTCTCTTAACCATTCCGGTATAAACTGCTCGCGTCTACGACTCCCCTCGGATACTGACACTTGCTTCAGACCCATCAAGATCAACATTCTAGCGCCTCCCTTAAGGATTTCTCAAGATGCAGAACAATCAGCCAGGTCAGCACCCACCGATTTTCCAACCTTCCTTCAACCTACTGAGCGGCCGTTGGGAGTGGGCTTACAACATGACGCCAGCAGCTCAGCGTACGACTACCAATCCGAGACCACCGCTGCCTCCAGGCGTCTCTGCTACTGGCTTGCGCCTCGCCGAGTTATCACCAGCGATCGGCCGCAAACTACTGGGCGCTCAGGATGTCTCTGCCACTGCGTTCTCGCAAGTCACAACCCATCCGTACGCTGGACTCACAAATCACCCTAGTCTCATGGGACTGGGAGCCGACAAGAATACCCAGTACAGCCGCATCGAGTCCAACCCAGAAGCCGCTGTCGAGGCGCTGGATCAGCGTCAGACCAACTCGCCATACGGACAGCCAACTCGCAATAGTGCAGCTGGTGGCCCTTACTACATCTTGAACCCGAGTGGACCTCCTGCTGCCGCTCTCTTCCGTGGCGGCGATCCGAATTCACCGCCAGATCCACCTGCACCACGAGAGCCACCACCTAAGCGTCGTCGTACTAGTCACTTGGACTCGATCCGCGGCACTGGACAGGCTTCGATCTCGCAGGGACGCACCTCTCTTTCTGGCCACTCTGGAGGTGGCAGTAGCTCACGTGGTGCTCGAAAGCGCAAGGCTCAGACGCGAGTGCCGACTCTGAAGGTGAAGGCGTGATTGACCAGTCTACCAGCGGCTCTCGCAAGGATACCTCTCCCTCCAACACCGCCACGAGCGCTCAAAAGACCACTGTTGCTGGTGCTAGTGAACTATCTCTTCAGATGCAGCCAGTTCAAGCAGGACCTATCACGCAGAAGCAACGCGAGATCGACCTGGCTAAGCAGAAAGTGGCTCTTTACCAGCAGTCACGGCGATGCTACTCGAGCAAGGCTAACTGGATCGGAGCTCGTCCCCCTGAGATCCTCATTAAGCGAGTTGCAGGCGGAAAGCAAGACACTGCTCACTACTTCTCTAAATACTGGATCCAAGAACTCCTCAATGGCGCCGCTCATCCAAACGACTTCTACGGCACCTTGCTATTCCATGTTGCTGGCGATGCAGGGAACAAGTACATTCAGAACTGTCTCAACAAGCTCTACGTTGATTGTGGACTTGTTCATCCAAACACGAACTATGTCACGCTCCGCCTTCAGCATGCTTGGGAGGGCTTAGCCGCAGCCGGAGACACGAGTGTCGCGGAAGTGCGGAAAGCACACGGCAGGAAGCTGGTCATCGTCAAGAAGAAGCAGAACAAGAAGAGCAAAGGCGATTCTTTGGAAGACCATGAAGAGGACTAGGAGCCGGTAGAGACCTCCATCAAGCGCAACGGAGCTCAGGAGGATGGAATTCTGATAAGCAAGCGGACTACCCGCACGCAGAGAGCCGAAGCTCCGCTCGCTCGTTACGACTGAGTATGAGTATACCCCATCTTCAGGAAAGGGTCGAGCGCGGCTAATAAGCTGACGAGAATAGGGTGATAGTCGTGAGACAGGCTTATGGGCCCATGGAAGCAGAGTCGAGGGACTGAGGATTGTTGAGTTGGAAGACAAAGCTGCGACAGAGCATCCGCCATTACTGCGACTGCACTAGCGTATCTGGGAGAGAGCTGATTGCAAAGAATACTGAGTGTCAATTGCGACTTCCATCCCCAAAGAGCCTAATTGCAAAGCTCAAAGAGCCCCTTTGCCTGCCATTACTGGAGTTGTTTGGCATCGTCTTCTTTGGAGATACTGTCAAGCAATAGACGAAGCTGCCCATAAAACCCCTCCATTGATTCGCGCAACAAAAGGATTCGGAGTTAGTGGCACCACTGGAATATCACAGACTGGTCGACCTCCTCCGTTCTTGGGAAAGATTTTGCAATGCCTCCACGCATCTGCCCCTGACAAGCCCCCAATGTCTCTGCTCAAAATGCATGCAGGGACCGCGCCCTTCTTCTCGAGGCCAACTGCGACTGCAAAGCCTCCTACACTGACCCAAAAGCCCTATACACTTATGTGTTGTTCGCTGGTGAAGCTTCAGCTTTCATTCACTCACATGGCCCGTGCGCTCGGCAGCTGCCGGGAGTTTCGACCCAATTACATGTCCTTCACGCCTCGCACCAGTAACGCGTCCTGACTTGAAGGTATCCTCTCTGTCCCTTTGAAGCGCATGCTCTAGTCTTTCAGCAACAGTACAACTTTGCTTGAACCTCTTGCACGACCACAACTCTGCACGCGATCGCCAACAGCAGCATTTAGGCGACCAGCTGTTGAAGCAACAGTTTCCAGACCTTTTACAAACTCTCAGAACGACAAGAGAGCTTTCAGTTAGTCGCAAGATGGACGGTTACGGTCACCATTCATACTTTCCACCCGGCGGCAAGAAGCCGGCGCGAGTCAACTCCAACTACGGCGACCCAATGCCCGCCTCTCACTACCAAAGAGCCCTTCATGGTGATGCACCCACGTTCTCGCCTGCCACGAATCTCCCCTACAACGACAACCCTGCTGTAACGTCTCAGGCTCCGCCATTGGACACCGGCGCTGCTGCCAGTCCGATCTTTGGAGAGAGCCCTGCTCCAATGACCCCGAGTGCAGCTCACACCGCACCTAATCTTCATGGGTTAGGCGCTGAAGACTCTCAGAACGACTTTTTCTACGACGATGATGAGCTGTTCCAGGCCATGCTCGACAACAATCCGGACTTGAAGCGGATATACGACGAAATTCCAGATCTCGCGGAGGCAGAGCAGCCTTTCCAGACCCACGGATCCGGCGCGCGTAATGCACCACAGCACGGCCAACACTCGCCGTTCACCTTTGTGCCACATCCTAGCTATAGTCAGCAGCGCCTATCTGACCAACGCGGTGGGTACGGCGAGCAGCAGGGCTACGGTCCACAACAAGGTCAGACCCAAGGACAAGACTATGTCTCTGGTCATGATGCTACGTACCGCACAATGGGACTGGCTACAGAAGATCAGAGTTATCCAGCGCCCCTCCGACAAAGCACTCACACGCCGCAACAGCAGCATGTCGGCTCTCAAGCTGCTGATGCCGCACTTGCAACGCTTCGAAACGGTGCGAATGACGCCCCTGTTGCTCGTTCTCAGCCTCCCGTACTGGCATCACCAAATTTCCCTCGCGCAATACATTCCAGTGCCGCGGCACCGCAAGCTCCGACTGGGAGCATTGTCATATCTTCTCAACCACAAGCACAGCAGCCTTTCACGCAGATTGCGGGCAATCCTTCCCTCCGTGCTCTTCCGAATCTACCGCTTTTGAACACGGCTCCGCTGAACGACCAGCAGTCGTTTCAACTCGCGAAAGAGCAGATTGCACCCCGGCCTTCACAAGCGATCCCAACAAACCAACCAAGCTTGGCATTCTATGCTGGTCGAGCTCCTGCCCGCTTGCGTAATGGTATAGCCAACCCGAAGCAAGAAAATGCGAACTATTTCAGCGAGTACACAGCTGAAGAGTTGCTGGCTGGTGTCATGCACCCAGATGATGTTTGCGGCACGATCGTCATTCGACTTGGGATGCAGTACAGTGGCAAGGAGCTCCGGGCCTTGGTAGGTGGGCTCTACCCGTTGCATGGTATTACCAAACCAGTGCCAGACGCAAACAGCTTCACGAAGCGCATCACCCTGGCTGTCCTTGCTAAGCAAGAGGGTGACAAGGCTGCTCGAGATGCCGAGGTGCAGTATATCAAGCGGTCTCGCAAAGCCTTCAAGAACACAGGGCGGATCGCTGTGCCCCGGCTTTCTCCTGTTGAGCTCCGTGCTGTCGCCGCCCAGGCCGCTGCTCAAGCTGCAGCTGTCGCCGCCATTGCCGCGACAACAGTCCAGGCTAGAGATGTTGTATCAAATCATGACACACATTCTATGCCCTCAGCAGCAGACACACGGGGCTCACAAGCCTCCTCATCAAATCGACAAGGTCCAGCTGTTCAGCCTACCGGGTCTGGCGTGACTAGAACCTTACCCACTGCCCAGACTACTCTACAGCCGGCCTGGTCAGTCTGGAAGCGTAAGCACAGCAAAGATGGCGAATCTAATGACGAGCGAGCAGCAAAGCGCTCAAAGGCGGTAGACGATGCCTACGCGGAGGAGAACATCCATCCGATGGCACGGGCCATGGCTTCACGTTGATAGTCTGCGCCGAGTAAATGGAGGAACAAATTTGCAAGAACAAGCCATCCGTCGTTTCGGGCACGTCAGTCAGGTTGCGAAAGCATTGACTCCAAATTTTAGAGCTATATCTCCGGACAAGCCCTCCTACTAGGAATTAATGATGACGAATACTGCACAGAATACACGACGCCGTTGAAAGTATAGGAGTTCTCTGTAAGTAGCAGTGTATCCGTACCCGCGGCAAGGAGACATAACGGCTTCGCCTCGTGGCCTCTGTATGCGACGAACTTCCGTAGAGATCGTGAATGCGGATTCTTGAGCAAGAACGATCACAAGTTTATGGAGGAGGTTGCGCGAAGCACAATAGCCACAAGTCGATGAATGGAGCCTTTGCAGAAATTTAACGTTTCCTATGGACCCTCTCGTGCCCTCATGAGTGGCCGCATATAGGTCTATCAGGCCGTCCACGCGCATAGATTACTCCTCGACTATTCGGACAAAGTCCCATAGAGCATCTATCTGGATCTCGACCTTACGGTGCTATGCTGCCAGCAGCATTCACTTGCCCGATCCGTGCGCAGCACGTGAAGACGCTAGCACGTGGTAACGACAACACCCGCCCGAAATTTTAATCTTCCACACTTAAGGCGCGATTCCACTCTCTACTACCTATGTCACTGCCAGCCAGCTGCCTCACCTCCTACAGCACAACTTGCAAGCGCAAGCAGACTGACAATACATAACAAGCTTGAGCCACACGATCAACCACAAAAGTCTTCACCAAAAGTACAACTACACAACTCTCGTACCTATCTGGGTGGTCTCGCGAGACCTCGACCATGTCTCAAAACTGTCCGGGCTTTGGCCGCGGTGCTCAGCCTGAGAACGATTGCATCGATCCTCGACTCCTACAGCAGCACCCAGGTCAACACCCCAGTCAATTGCATCAACACATAGACAGTCACAATGCCACCAACTCGAGTTTTGGCGATTTTCCTTACGAGTACGTGCGGACCGGTGAAGCGCCTATGGGAATTCACTTTGGCTCGGCAGGTGACGAGACGCATGAGGCGTTGCGTGGAGAGCGACAACTCGCTGAGCGCTTCAATCGTCATCGTCATGTGGATGTAGTCGGAGGCTTGCGGTATGGTCAGCGCTTTCAATCTGACCGAGACCGGTCTCCTGCGTTCGGACCTGCTCGATGCAGCCCTGCCCCAAACACCTGGCGGGGAGCCAATACTACAGCTTTGAGCAACAATCTTGGCCTCAACCCTGGACCAATGCCACAAAGCTCCATCATGCCTCCAGAGGAGGAGATCCCACGTTATGGCAACTTCATTGCACAGCCATTTGCCGGTGGCAGCTTCGGATTGCAATCGACTCGAGATATCGCCCGGGGCGGTGATCAATCTCTCTACAGCGAGACATATGGTCACAGCTCCGGTATCCATTATCCTACACCCTCTCCAGCGTACCCCCAGTATGGTGCCCACTTGACATCTCATGTTGAGCATCCGTCGCAGCCACAGCTAATCTCCGCGGCTCCTTTGCGAAATCCATATGGGAGTCTGCGTCGATCGTCAGCTCAGCACACCGGACATCACGATCACGGAAGCTATGGTGGCTACTTTGGAGGCCGAGATCAGGCTACGGCCTATGATTTCCAACCGAATGAAACTCAAGAACAAGACGCCACTCAGTTTGGGACTATCGGCCCTCGATCGCGAGACGCATTTGCGAGACAATCTCGCAGTCATTCTCGCGAGGATTTCGAAGATGCAGTCAATGAGGCTATCTCAAGTGTTGCCGACGACCGAAAGAGCATGCACAGCGAACAGGCAGGATATACGCCTCCGCCAGGATACGAAGGCACTGGGGCTGTCGCGGACGACGAAAGCGATGGCGATCGCGAAAACGACGAGTTAGGTGCTTATCCGAGTGAAGGAAACGATGCTGAGGGAGTCCAGGAAGAAGGATCGGAAGAGGAGGCAGATGAAGACCAGGAAGATGCACAGCATGTGCCCTCTTCCTCATCAAGCTTCTTGGCCGCGGTGAACGATCAGAATGCTTCGGCATGGCGTCAAGAAGCACTTCATATTCCGGCAACTCACAGCTTCCGCAGCATCGACAACTTCGTCGGCCGCCCCCCTCAGCAAATACGATTTGGTCCAGAGTCAGAGCGTAACGCGGCTCGATTTTATCGACGCTATAGCACTGCAGAGATCTTGAACGGAGCCGTACATCCCGACGACCTAGGCGGTCGCCTGATATTGCGAGTCGCGGAAGACGCCAAGAATCATGAGATCCGAGATGCTATCAACGAGCTCAAGGCGGCATGGAACGCACGTGAACCTCGCAATTCCAAGAAGAGAAAGGCTTCCATGGGCAAGTCCAACTTCGTTACTAAGCGAATCAACCTTGCAATTGCAGCAAAAGCGAAGCACATTAGCAAGAGAGATGGAGGCGATGAGCGAGAAGTTTTGGAGGAGCTTCACAGAGCATTGGACAGAAAGGCTCCGACTGTGCCGAGAGGTGTTGCTAAGGCTGACCGAGAGAAGGTGAAGTTGGAAACTAAGGCTACTGATGCTGCTGCCGCTTCCAACTCCACATCTACGGGTCAGGAATAGCGGCATGTTCGGCCAATTCGAGCGCAGTAGCCCGCTCAGAGCCTGCAGTCTTTACAGCAATCTTCTGCATCTGCTACTAAGCGTAAGCATCAGGCCACTGAAGATGTCACTCTGACCCTAAAGCGTGCCATTCGGTATACTGATGCTAAGATGCAGCTTTCCAGCTGAGAATACAAAGTGCAGCACAAGAGTGAAACACAAGATGGGCTGGTAGAGGTTGACTTATTTACGAGTCTATCCTGGCAAATCGTTGAGGTCAAATTCGTGAACTTGGAGAGGCGGTCAGCAATGGTAATTGCTAGAATATTTTCTCTTGCGCAAATAGATGCCAGTCATACGGGGTTCAAGAAATGATCAAAAATGGGGGATGCGGAACATTGTTGTAGTCAATCCATGGGTTGTAGTTCGTATAGAAGAAGACTGCGAGTATGGTTTTGGGACACACTGCAGCGTTGGAATTCTTTCCGACGTGATATTTGTGTTAAATAACGCCTCATTTGAATGGTACAGGAACGCAGAACAACGAGATGTGTTGAAACCCCCCGTATCACACCACTCTCATCGCTTCCAGACGAATGCTCCGCCTTGCTTCGCAGTCAGTAAGCCTGACGTTTCGTCCAAGACTAATGATGCTTCGAGTGGTTCGCGATAGCGATGTGAGACAGCATGCTATGAGATGATGTTGGATATTGCGGAGGACTCGTCTGCTAGTATTAGCATCCGAAAAATCAATATCCGAAGTCCGTCGCTTACCAGCAAGATTTGCCCTGATACTGTCTTCAAGACTGATCCAGCCATCACACCCCAACCTCTTCAACAGCTCGATGCTCCTTGAAACATCGTACACTGTCTTGTCCCTCACGTCCTCAATCTTCTCCACCTTTTGCCATTTTGGATCATACTTCCCAAACAAATCAATAATATCATTGTAATTGAACTCTCCTGCCATTCCCCAGATCCTCTCGTTCTTCACATCGTCGAAAATAGCCGCCGCAAGATGGAGACTAGCGTCGTCGCGGACGTCGATATAGTTCAGTCCGCCCATCATAGTCAGGAACCCCAAAGGCCTTGGATCGCCGAGGAAAGCTAGCTTCAGAAGACCGCTTGAGGACGCAGGCTGGGTAGGGTGGATTGAAGGCCCGGTATTGTAGTTTGGGCAGACAGTATTGAGAACGAAGTGCGGTTTTTCCCGCTCGACGAATTCGAAACAAGTCTTCTCTGCGAGCGTCTTGCTGGCGGCGTATACGACTGCCCCTTGCATAAACTCGTCAATGGATGTGAGTTGAGACCGATCAGAAGTCATTTGGATGGCTTGGTCGTTCCAAGTGTCTTGGCTCACGACGAGCGGAGTCTCAGTTGAGGATCGCACTGCTGCTTGTGAAGACGTGTAAACTACACGCTTGACGCTTGGTGTATTCGCCGCGCATTTGAGAACTTCTTGGATGCCAGCGACGGTCGCCGGAATAACCTTATCGGGATCGGGGTCGAAAGTACTAGTCTTGTTAGTACACGCAGTGGAATACATAGCTTGTCGCCTACACGATGCTGGCAGTGTGCATCACTGCGGAACAACCTTGCATAGCCTCGTTGAATGCACCGGGCTGCTGCATGTCCTCGACCTTGACAAGCTCAAAGAGACCGCTGCCATACTTCTTATCGAATAATTCAGGCATCCAAGAGTTTTTCTCCAAGGACCGAGTCGTCCCTCGCACTTTATATCCATGTCGTAAGGCTTGGTCTGCACAGTGTGATGCGATCATACCATTGATTCCGGTGATAAGAATAGTCGAGCCCTTGGACAAAGTGTCGTAAGCTGTTGATTGCCCAGCCATCTTGTTTCCGAGTTTATAAGGTGGTTGCATGTGTATTTTTCGAAGGGAGCGAGACTGTTTATATGTATGTGTTTTAGGTAATAACCGGCCGAAGCATGTGCTATGCTGTTAACTCCGCATCGATCGGCTGAATTCATTCCGCTGGATGGGTCCTTCAAAACTCGCAACAAATGAACGCCTGCAATTTTCTTAGGGTACGATTTGTAAGAAAAAGGCCACCCGCTCCTTCGAATGTGATCTGCAAGGTATTAATGGCAGAGAGGGCGGAAGCAATCCGTTGCTTAACAGCACGTGTCTCGCAACATTATTAATGTGCATCGCCGACAAAGCAAGAAACGTCTTTTTTTTGGGAAAATTAGCTTACTAGGCCTTCCCTTGCTTTCCTCCATCGTTGATTTTGGTCTCAAGCCTCGGGGTATCCTTCCTGATGACAGAGTCCCCCGCCGATCTAAGCTCTACATTCTCTTCTGTCGGAGCAGGTGTACAAACTCATTGTTTGGCCTTGTCTTCGAGATTAATGCAATACCTACAATGCCATTGTCACAGGATTCGTCACGTTAACCTACATACTCTAGTAGAATCCCCTTACGTCAGTGTGACGTTGTAGCAGCCCAACTCTTGAGCAGATAAGAATGGAGATTTAAGTGGGCGATGGCGCTGCGCGGAAGCCAGACCCAGTCTTGGGTCGAGGTAAGTCTCGTCGTCCAGCATCAGCTGCTGGGGGTTCCATGTTCTGCAAGTGGATAGAAGATTTGGCTGCCCTGAAAGCAATTCTTAGACTGCTGAGAGTCTGCCGGTCCTGGCATCTCGGAATCGAACGCGCCGAGTCCAGTTGATGCCGTACTGTCGCCGGAAGGGGTCCTCCCCCTGTCGGTCCCTGCAGACTCAAGTGTTCCAAGCTGTGCGTTGGAAACCCCGCTTTTACAGTCGGAAGAGAGGCCTGGCTGTATGTTTGGACTCGAGCTGTTGAGAATTGCGTAGCCTCGTCGTTCACGCCGACACGAGGGTAGGCGGAAATGTCGCAGGGGGCTTGCTCGGTATGCCGCTCCACGTTGCGGAGGAATCTTACGCTGTTAGCGAGTTGAGCGGAATTCTGAAGTGCAGTATCCCCTCGAAGTGGCTGCTTACCTTGGGTACGTGATGTACGATTCGAAACCTGTTGGGTATCTGCAAGTAATCTCTCAATTTTCCGCGCGGTGGTGTTGCAGGCGGTTGGGGGCAGAGTACAATGGCGCAGTCCCAGGAACAAGAGTTGAAATCTAACGTACTGTATGTATGCGCTGAGCTAGTCGCGGTTCCTAATACGGTTAGACTAGTGATGCCGCGGGCTAGCGCGAACCAACGCACGGGCCATGTGAATGAATGTTTCCACGGCTCACATAACATGAGAATTTCGGTGTCTCCCTCGACTCCGAAAAGCCTCGATAGAGAAGAGTTATAACGATAGTAGCTCACTTCGCAGGCGATTTTACAGAAGTAGACAGGGCATATCGCGATTAGGGAGAGGGAGAACTCTGGACACCCGCCCTAATGGCTCGGTTGAAGAGCAGTCCAAGGAGTGTTAGTGTACCTCGATTGCTACTGCTGTCCAACTAGATCGCTTCCTCATATATACTGTCAGGCTGTGAGGTTGCCACTATGCCCCTCTACTAGAATAGAACTCCATGTTTGATACCGTCGTAGGTCGGACTTTGTCAGCAGAGCGACTTGATGTGGAACAAAGTCATTTTCAAGAGCGTTTCAAGAACTCAGACGACGTCGAACTCACAGCGTAATGTCTAAGCCGTGTTTGAGACAATCCTGAATCGAGGTACGCTGTGAGACTCGTTGACAGCACTTCTGCAACCTTTGTCTTAGACGACGGTCCACAGAAGGCTATATAGTCGTGCAGATACTCACAGCCAGGCTCTGGGAATCTAGTCGTCCTTCATACCCAATCTCAGCTAGAAACAATATCTTCCATTCTTACGAATACCCTAGTCAGCATTTACAAAGGTCCGAGAACCATGGCCGGTCCATGTCAACGAGATCTACAAGCAAGCAACACTAGCGAAGAATCCAGACCTGTTCGCATCAACCTGATGACCGGCGATTGTATGCCCGCTACGAGTCAGAATAGGGACAGCGCGCAGCATAGCTCCCAGGGCCTCTATGCGAGAAGGTGGGCAGACACAGGAGCAGCATCTAATGTACAGCGTTCAAGACCAGCGGTGAATACTACTTCCAGCTCTCAAAGTCTTCTAGCGAGTATGTGGGCTCCTAACCCTGTCACGCCAAGTACCAGGATTGGCAACACGACATCATCGAGCACTCCACGCTCGAATGACAGCGCAAATCGAACTCCACGATTGGTGAGAGTTCCAGTGTGTAGCCGGATCCATTCTGGATTGATGTCGCCAGTACGATTCGTTTGGATGGACAGCTCGAGTAGTGATCAACCAGAAGGTCTCAATGCAAGCATGTGGGCTTCCTCAGCACCGACAGATGGTGCGGAGAGCACCAATCGATCCCGATCATCAGCATCTCGAAACATTGACATGAATGCAGGCATGCATGCTGGCCCACGAACCCAAGAAACACCATTCACCGGAGGTTCCAATCTGCCGGAAACCCCGCTTTCATCAGGCCAAGGCATGTGGTCGGTACCCACCGAAACAGATAAGCATATCGAAAGCGTGCGCCCTTGCCCCGAAATCGAAATGGGTGATTATCTTTTGAATGACTCAGCGCCCTCTCCTCCACAGCCAACTGCTCAAAAAAGCCGTCAGTCCACCCATCGCCGGGGTGGCAATCGTGCAGAACAGTCCCACGAAGCAGGGCCATCGTCAGGCCCAGCTTCAAAAGCGGGAAAGATTGAAGAGGAAAAGCGTCAATGCTGCATCTGTTTAGACACCATCCGGGCGAAGCAAAAACGTGGGCTGATGGTGTGCGGGCACACTGACTTCCACAAGAGATGCTTGGAGAGCTGGTTGAATGTCAAGCCGGAGTGTCCACTTTGTCGAACAGCAGAGCAGTGACGAGTGACTGTTGTAAAGCGCCATGTCGATTGGCGCCCGCTCCAGGAACTCGATTTTGCTACACCGTGTATACAATTACAGCTCCAAACTGCTATTGCCCCTCTGGAAATTGGGGACCAATAGGGCTATATCCTGCCCGGACCGAGATAGGCCACGCAGGACTTGCGAGAGAGGGAGTGTCTGAGAGGGTATAGCAGTGGTGGTGTGAGATAGATGCATATACCTCTTGGAAGTTGTCTCAAGTATTGTGATTAGTATTGCACATCAAGTAATGCGCCTACGGACACATCATCCGCAAGCGTGTTCTCCGTAAACCTAAGACTGGGGTCAGTGTGCTGAAATTTTCTCAGGTAACTTGATAGCTTCTGTGTTCAATCTCGCAGCCCAGATTATCGTCAGTTTTCATCATGGAGACCAGCAATATCTATCGAAATCTCGATGTGGTGATGATGCAGCTACCGGGCGTTGGCCTTCTCGTACTCTGCTGACCCGCCTGAGCTGACCACTCGCTCAACGCAGCGAAGCGTGCTCGTCAGCGTCACTTTATCAGCCAAAGCCAGTCTTATCCGATGCCTTGTTTTGGCAACCATGCCGTCAGGTATCTCGAAGGCCGCGTATCTCTCTTGAGAAAGAATAAAAGCGGTGGCGAGCGCAGTGCTGCCCCGATCAGTCTCATGCGCTGACGACGCTTTCGTGAGTTGATTGTCAGTCTAAGCATGTGACATTTGTGATAATGCTGCCGCACGGGCTGGGGGCGAGATAAATGTTGGACGGTGGTCGGTATGAGGGAGAAACGGTGAGGTTGGACCGGGTAAAGTGTTATCCGGATTCGGATAAAAATACCGTACTCGTATTGATCGACCGGGCCCGGGATCAAGGGTGAAACCAGCGGAGATTTTCCCAACTTCATCTCGTCTTCCACGAACAACATCATCTTCCTCTTCCGCCTCACCATATCCTCGCTGGCAGAAGTGATCCTTCATTTGTACGGTTCATACGTGCGAACGCTCCAGATTGCGACATCCTTTCCTCCAGCCAAACCGGAGGCAAACTGGGCGAACGCAAGTTTGCGGCTCGGCTCCAGCCAATTTACCTCCAGCAAAATCTACCCAGTGGACCCCTCCCGGGATATTGGAAGTCGGTTCGCGTATTCGTGAGGAACAACTGCAACACGGCGCAAATCGTGTTTGTTTTCTTGCCTTCGCGACACTCGGAACGCGTCCTCGCTGCGTGCTCGTCATCAAATCTTAATCTTATTTAATCATCGGACAGCAACGGTCGGCCAGCCCGTTCCAGTTCCCACGTTGCATCGCGCCACGCAACTTGCATCTTTCGCTACCACTCGAATGAGAGACATCTCTCCGACCTCCTTGATTGGTTCTGAACGACAGCTTGTTCCTGTGGTTCTCACGACGAAGCAAAAGAGCCGGCCATGAAATCTCATCGATCGCGCCCTTGATTCTTCTCGTTGTTACCGCGGAGAACGCTGCTTAGGGGCTAGCTCTGAGGCTGATCTGTTGACGCCACTTCAACTTCGTACCGTGCAAAAGGGCTATACCTTGCACAACTTCTGCACAGACCGACCACACGCTGGAAAATGCAAAGTCGTCGGCCTGAAGAGAACGAAATGATTCGCCTTCAATCAATCGGAAGGATCGCCTCCTCACGGCAGTTTGAACATTCCACCAAATTTACAGGACCCTCTTTCTAAGATACCAAACCCGAGCATCTCTAGGCTGCAAGATATGTACAGATGTTCACTCGAGTCCGGGTCGTTAACTGACCAACCAGACGCTCAATGCGCCGTGGTTCAAAGTAACTGCTCCCTGCCATCGCCAGCCTTGCCAGGACACGCGGCCATTGGAACGAGCTCTCGCCCTCCCCAGCGCTCCACCAACGAGGTATCGCTACAGCTTGATAGTGGCCCGTAGCGTTCTTCGGTGAAAGACGTTATTCTTTGCCAAGCAGAACAATGGACCTTGTACGAATCCATGTACCCAAGGCTCCGCAAAGTTGCGCTCGCCCCTACTTTTCTACCACGTAGGCTTTCATCCTCTGCTTGGTGGTGACGGACTCTCTATCGTCAACTTGGACCTGTTGTTGCGGGAGCAACGAGATGCCCTTGAAAAGTACATTACTTCGAGCTCAACATCCCAGCCATAATCATCACTCAGAGGTAAGAGCGTCCATCTGTCCTACTAGGATAGCATCAACTACGAACCATCTCCGTTCTGTATTGCAAGCCGACCCTCGAACCCTACCCCTGGACCTGCCACCACCAAGCCGCAACTCTCGAGCAAGATCAGACGTAGGCGTACGATTTAGGCAGGGATTGGAAGCTCGTCAGTACCGTCACAGTTTCCTGCAACTAAAGAACCCTTGCTGACAATGCGTACACCTCTAACATGGCAAGGCTTGACGGTTCTTTGGCTGTCCGCTCACGTGGCCTCCATTCCGCTTGTGGCACAGAAAACAAGCAACAAGGCCAATATCTGGGTAACGAAAACGAACACATTGAACGCAACAACATGGAACAATGAAACAAAACCACTGGTCAACTTCGACCGCACATCGATCAATCGGAATATCATCCTACCGTATCCATCGCCGGGCGCAACAGAAGATGTGGAGATGTCACCGTCGATATTGAAGAGTCCGAATGGAGGAGCAGGATTGAACCGAACATACCCGGATACGACGGTGACCACAGGCAACGGGAATACTGACCAGAGCAGCATCACAGAGACCAGGCTTACTGTGAGCTGGACTGGAAATCTCTCAAACGTGACAGAAGTTGAAGTTGCCCTGAACATAACGAGCTCGTCCGAGATAGGAGCTGGACTGGCCAGCAATGGAACACGACCGGCCTCGAATGGAACTGGAATACCCTCCCCTCCAACTACACCTAGCTCGAATGGAACAACGCTTGACAACAGCACAGTGTCATCGAATGACACGCTGGACGCTCCATGGATAGGCGGCAACACTTGGAACACCACATCGAGTCGGATATCAGTCGCAAACAGAGTCGACGCTGGTAACAGTGATCTTCGGCTCGACGTCGTCAACCGCCTGCCAAGCAACAACGTGAAAGCCTACATCTCAGGCCTTTCCCCTAGCGGCGCCTTGATCATGCTTGGCCAAGACGGGCAATGGAAGTACCCAAGCACTTCTAATTCAACCCCTGTACCCGTCGAAGCTGACGTCGCCATCTCTCTCCCCGGACCGAACCAGACGCTTCCCCTCACGCTTCCGGGATTCATCTCCAGCGCTCGGATCTGGCTTTCAGACGGCGAATTGCAATTCTTCGTCATCGCCACGCCAACAGGTCCTGGGCTCGTCGAACCTGCCGTCGCCAATAGCAACGATCCTAATTCCGAGACGAACTGGGGCTTTGCGGAAATCACTTGGACCTCCGATGGTCTCTACGCCGACATCTCGGCCGTGGACTTTGTCGGATTACCACTCGGAATCACGCTACGTGAGACGAATGGAAACTTTCAACAAGTCCTCGGTATGCCGTCGAACGCTGCGCCCTTGCTCTGCGATCGCCTCAGTGCGCAAGGAAGAATCGACGGCCGCCCTTGGAGCTCAACGTGTGAGTATAGGCCCGATGGCGGGCTCGTGAGAGGTCTCAGCCCCGCTGTCTATCTCAGCCAAGTACCGAATGCGTTCGGGACCTATTTCGGATGGTACATCAACGATGCTTGGGATTACTACCGCAGCAACGACCTCACGATCAACACGCAATCGGCTCCCGGAAACGTCACCTGCCGCGTCGTGGGATCCCAACTCACCTGTGCAGGCGACAATCGAGGCTACAACAAACCCACCGTCACGGATATCTTCGGCTGCAACACGGGCCCCTTCGCCGTGGAAGCGGGCGACAACGCCGTCCACGCCGCCGTGGTGCCCAGACTCTGTGCGGCCATCAATCGCGCCACCTTACTCGTGTCCGGAGGCAACGTGCAACCTTCCCTCCCTCCGAGCAGCTACTATCTCAGTGCCAATCGACCCTCGCAGTCGAGACCGATGAACCATTATTCGAGGATTGTGCATGATCTGGAGTCCAATAGGAAGGGATACGCTTTCTCGTACGATGATGTCAGTCCGGCGATTTCGGAGGATCAGAGCGGGTTCGTGACGAGTGGGAGTCCCGAACTTATGACTGTTATTGTGGGCGGGAGGTGATGAGATTGGGAAAAGGCGTTCTGGGCACGAGAGGTATTATGGTATCATGGTGGTCGGCTGCATCTTGAGTACATGAGAATGATTTAATGGCTTTAATGATGAATGGGATAGTTTTAGGATACGAGAATGCATGGACGACGGGGATGATGGATGATGGATGATGGATGATGAATAGATTGGAAGATTTGTAATGAAAAGTCCTTCGCTTTGCCTACTCGGCTTCTATCCCCGCTGAGATTTCAAGCAATCATTAATACACTGAATCGCCCTTCCCCGTGCTTTCGTATCCCAATCCCAAATCCGCTTGATCGGATCCTGATCGCAGCATTGGCAACTCTTTCTATGTCAGGCTGTATTACGCTTGAATGCATTGCACGCGAGAGTGTCAATATGCCGCACTGTATTCACGCAAGAGAAGAAGATGTAGCCCATCGCTGATTGCCCGTCATGGTCGAGCCGGGTTGTGGTGGATGAATTTTCAATGACCTGTACACACGTAGTCGCATCAAATCACGCCTTCAGATGCTCAGTGCGGATGTTTGGTGGTAGTCCTCCATGCTAAATCGCTCGATCCAAACATGGTTTCTCCAGAGAACTGAAGCTGACGGGCTAGCTGAGTGACTTGCTGCTGCGGTGTCTTCACAACGCACTCCTATTTCGCAAACCGTCAGTAAAGGGCAACTTCCCTTCAAGAGAGAGATCCTGTGAAAAGCCTGCGGAGTTGTGTTGTCACCGCGGGAAGGCAACAAGCTTTGTGAAGGCTCCATAGCACAGATTCAGGATAACTGTCAAATCTTCGCCAAACTATTTGCCGGCGCTCGAGCTTCTGATGCGCGGCTCAAGTGGAAATACGGACTTTTCAGGCTCAACACCAGAATAGACATGATCCCATCTTGCCTCCAGAGCAGCTGGTGTTTTCCAAGCATTCTCAGGATCTCGAAGCCAAAGCCGGATCAGATGTCGTCTGTTCCGCAAATCAGTATTCATCACAAGATGGAAAATCGAGAATGGGTTCTGCTCATACTGTTGCTCGGGTGTATCCGTAAACGCGTCCCTCGCGTGAAAAATACTCAAGTTGTTGACAAATTGAATATCGCCTTTTCGAAAGTCGAGGGATACTGCATTCTTCTCGGCAAGGAAATGTAAGGCATCCAGAGCTTCGGCTTGCGCTTCGGTGATGGGCGGAATGTTGGAAGAGCGAGGGAGACCCCAGTAGCCTGTGAATGTGCGTCGAGCGTATTGGATAATCATGCGTTCTGGAGCAGTGGACGTTTCGGGAGCGTAATGCAGGAGTGGACGCAGAGAGTACTGCGGGCCCTGACCACCGAAGCTAGACATCAACGTAAGTATTGCGCGAGTCTTTGCTCTCTCACCGTCACGTACTTCTCTGATGCCCATGGCTCTGCAAGAGTGCGAATCAAGTCGGGTCTGGACCTCGCCAACTCGTTGTAGACGGCCCATGAGCTAGAAAGCTTGCTTTGACCACCCTCGGCTGCCGTTTCCAGACAGAAGAGAGCAATTAGATCGCCAGCATCAGTATGGAAGACCTGCTTATCTGTCGTATACGCCGGCGCTCCAATCTTGCTCGCCTCGACGGTCTTGGTCATGTCCTTGATGTGGTTGAGTATTACATCTGCTGGTTTGCCTTCGAATTGGTGGTCTTGTCGGCCACGAATCGAGGCGATGTGTGCTGAGACACCAACGTAGATCATGACGTTCTCTTCACGGTTGTGCTTGTCGACCGGAAGACCTCGCAGAACTTTGAAGCCTCGACCGTTGTGGACTTGATGCGAGATGCCGCGTAGGGCAGCATGGAGATTAGGGAGCGGAAAAGTCTCCTGGTCAATATAAGATACAGGCTTGTTCAGAGCTGCGTCGGTGGATTAGCATATCGCAGGGGCTGTACGAGCGATGGTGGCAAACATTTGAAGTGCTTCAAAGCCGCCTCGATCTCCTGCAGCTCGGCATCGTTGAGCACGTACGTCCAGTCGTATTTCTCAGCAATATCCTCGCCGGTCCATACCAAATCCGAGTGTAGTCGAGAGGGAAAGCCATCCGGTAAGGACTTCTCGAGATCCTCGCTCTGCTGTCTCTGTTGAACCCGAGCGAGGTATTTGTCGAGATTGGGAGCGTAGTCGATGTCTGGCTGACCGACCGGGCCTGGTCTGAGTACTTGAGCGCTTGCCATTGTTGTGGTGACTTGTTCGTTAGTTGGGATAGATACGATGGAGGATAATCATATAGAGCAGAAGGTTGAAATACACGGCTTCTAGCGTGCTTGGAGGTGCATCTCGCGTCACAGCGGAGCTCGCTGGCAGCTGAGCTCGAATAGGCAGGTATCTCGTGGTACGTATTAGTATCCCTCCATTCACCAACACCCAACCCAACGAGGTATAATAATGGGCGTGTTCAAATTGAACGGATGTCGTTGCTTCGTACGAGACGAAGCGCCGCCGGTGGAACTAATCCTGTCTCTCGGACGATCTTTTTTCCGGAACTCGGACATTCTTTCTTCCAACCCCTCTCCCCCCTCCCCGTGCATACCCATATCGCTCCATGTAATCCTCATTTCTCCCGAGTCCACGCGCCCTCGCCTTTCACACGGCCGCCAACGTCGCCGATACATCATGCGTCACGCCAATATCCAAGGAGTTCTCGACCCCTAGTCCTTCCGCCGGATCGCGACCTGCCACGAGCGAAATGCAAACCCAACACGCGGATCCTGCTGTGACGCGAAGCTTGCACGGCACAACCGAACGGAAAGCTCGTATTGCGGATGTGCCCTTGGCAAGCGTAGATCATGTCACTTGCGATGACCAGGGAAGAGGAAATCGAGCAGGGCCTTCAAGGGAATCAAGGCCGCGAAAGAGACGCTATCTTACCCTCGACAGAACAACCTCCATCGTTCCACAAGAGCAAACGCATCTGGGGCTGTCAATTGGACAGACCATCAAGCAGACACAGGAGCAGACCTTTCGCGCAATGATATCGAGTAACCCAATGGTCACTCCTATCCCGAGAAAGCAGCACTCATGGCAAGCGGATTCGACTTCAAACAGAACCCATAGATCTTCTCCAATATCCCGTACTGGTTTGAGAGGGCATTTAAAGTCGATGCCTTCGTCGACTTCACACGGCAGAGGTGGTTCGACCTTATCGGGAGAAATTGATCCCAGTAAACTTTAAAATTACGGTAAGGGAGTTGATGCAGTATCTGGCGAACGTCAAATTAGCGGAAAACTTGGGGCTCGGAGAGGTCAAGGAGATGGCGGGTGGACATTCTGGATACGCAACACACGCCGAGGGCTTCACCAAGAACACGGTCGAGATACTGGAGAAGAGAAGGGGCATGTAGATCCAGTTGCGCTTATTACTAGTAGGTCGGCTGAGCAGCCAAATCTTACCGGGATAATGTCCGGAGTTACGAGCAGCTGTCAGACGTTCTAGCTCCGTCGAGGCCAACGGGTAAGCAGATTCCAGAAACGGTAAGACTGGGGCGCGAGGCAGTCGAGAAACTAAGGAGCTCCGGATGTGCCTTAAACGACAAACACTGAAGCAACGGAACATCGGCGCATCGGGGAATCGAGATTCCAGCTTAGTACGCGAATATTCTAGCACTCTCCGGGGTAATTCTTATCACGCGGATATACCCGTAGAATTTTACCGTCGCCGACGTAGCTACGTACGTAACCCGGCTACGTATACGACCTAGCTACGTACGCGTACGTAGCCTACGCGAATACTACTATAGTATCCTCAGGCCCTTAAAATAGCCGTCCTTATAGACTAAGATATCTCCGAAGATAGTATACTAGCGACCTACTAACTTAGATATTCTCGTTCTAAAAGTATATCTTAGAAAGATACGTAAATCTCTAGATCCGACCTAGCGCTAGCTAGGTAGGGATAGTAAGCTCCGCCTTTACGTAGATTACCGCAGGTATATCCGCGTAATAGATTTTACTATATAGAGTACTAGGAGATTCGCATACTAAGTATACTCCAAATACCCCGATGCGCCGATATTCCATTGCTTCAGTGCTTGTCGTTTAAGGCACATCCGGAGCTCCGTCGAAACGCCTGGAAACCTGCGTATGAACGGAGTAGCACCCGTCATGGGGCAGGTCAACGGCGAGATTGCACGATGCTTACTTCTATTAACAGAAACTTATTATATGGAGGCCTGGTCTACGATGACGACTTATATTGAAGAGCATGGTGGACCCGGCAATAGCTGTCTGCTGGTTTCACTTGGCAGGCCACCGTATCGCAATTCAGCCCTGCACTGCCACTTGGAACCATGCGACATGTACCGAACACCTGGGAGCGGTGCCGTTCCAGGCGGACGTGTACAGGGACTTCTCGCTTGCTCCAACAACCAGTAGTTGGAGCAAGCGCGCCATCCCATCATCCGCCCAAGCACCTGACAATGCCACGCGGATCTACCTCCGGGATTCGTGCTCTCGGGCAGCCAGGTTGACCTTCTGGCCAAAAGGAACGCCGGAGCCGGCTTTCCACAGGCTAAGAGCTGCCTGCCTAAAGGTCAGCAAGAAAGCACCTTCCTTTCGATCATCTTCTGTTCCTTCAGCCACTTCAGACAAGCATGATGGAAGCATACAGAGCTTTCCAACATGTCTTTCAACATCAACAGCGTGCTACCTAACCTCGGTAATAGTAGTATAAGGCCACTTCCCGATTGCGCGGTAAGTCTGTCCCGCCTAATGCCGAGCGGTCCATGCTGATGTTACACGCAGATAGTTTGCACGAGAATTGTCTCTGATGCCGTTGCCTGCTCAATAACAGGCAATCATACCTGTGTCTGCGACAACGATTCTCCTTCTTTCATTGCGACTGGCGCCTGCATCCAAACGCAATGTACGCTCGACGAACAACTCGCAACTCAGGCCTTTCAAGCGGACTACTGCGGCCATCCCCCTAACGACCTGCAACGAACCATGAAACTCATCTTCTGGATCTTTTTCGGATTCGCTGCTGTGTTCACGCTCGCGCGACCCTTTTCGCGATGTCGACGATTGCGCGGGGCGGGATTCTGGTACGACGACTTGGCCGTGTTTGTTTGCGCCGGATTTGCCGTGGCTCTAGTTCCCATCACGATGTTGGGATTTCGGTATGGGATGGGAAGAGATCGATGGGAGGGGAACGGAGATGAGCTCTCGAAATTCCTTCTCGTAAGTCCTGGGGTATTGGCTCAAAGATTGACATTGAAGTCTGACTACTCACTAGTGGACCTGGATACAACAAGCCATTTACATGCCCATCATCTATGGAACCAAGTTATCTGTGGTGTTGCTGTATCTCCGAATCTGGCCGGCAGAAGAAGAAAGTCTGACGAGATCGCCATTCCGCGTCTGTTGCTACATCTTGGCCACTTTGGAGTTCATTTATGGCTTTGTGTCTCTGCTGGTATCGCTGTTTCAATGTTCGCCGGTTCGCTACAATTGGGAACAGGCTTATGCTGATGCGCCAGGCTCGTGTATAAGACGACTGGACTTTTACTATATCGGTGGAGCCATGGTCATTCTCTTCGACATCCTTATGGTCTTCTTGCCTTTGCCAAAGCTGGTCAAACTTGGTTTACCATTGTACAGCAGAGTTGGGTAGGTGGTCTCCCCACCATTGAAAACTTGCATACTTTCTCTCCGACTCACACGGCTGTGCAACAGAATTTTCTTCACCTGCATCGTAGGCTTCGGTGTGACGGCCGCGAGTCTTTTCAGGATACAATACCTCGACACCATCACGCACAGCAGGAACATCACCTGGGATATGAGCATGTTCCAGATATGGACACTCATCGAGGTGTACCTTAGTCTGGTCTGGTGCTCCATCCCGCCCATGGCCGGCCTTCTACGACGATCATGGACCTACACCAGGTATCGCGGTGATTCCGTACCATCTTGCATTTCTCCTTACGAGGGGACGAGAGCGGCCATATCGAAGCCCTACCATGGTGTAGGGATTGACCAAGAATCCGCAATGGAATTGACTGGGTCGAGGACGGCGCCAATCATCAGAGTTATAGGTGGGAGTCGAGATGGTGTCTTTCAGCCGACCGCGCCGTTGCCTCCGGAGGTTTTGGAGTAAGCTACGAGAGTCCGGTTGGCTTTGTGAAAATCATCGTTTGCAAAAGACGGTCTAAAACCTTCCACTACACCGGCCAACAGGGAACTACTACATCCAAGACGGCCGCCACAGAGTCCGGAGCAAAGACCGCCATCACGTTCATCTGTTCTTGGCGTCCTCGAGGATCATCTCCGCTGCTCTTTCGGCAACACCATACATCACCGCTTGTAAGTGCGCGCTCATGGCCACTGGCATGATACTAGCATCGACGATTCTCATGCCCTCAACGCCCTTCACTTTACAGTCGGCGTCCACCACCTTGCCCATACTTGCCGTCCCCGCGTAATGGTAGCAGGTCACAATACCCGCCTTGGCCCTCTGGTCCAATTCCTCGTCAGAAACATCAGTATTGATCGGCTGCATCTCGGGTGAAGCCCACTGGCCGACAGAAACCTTCCTTCCTGCGTCGGTGGATTCCATGATTTTCAGGACCGTTCTTACCCCTGCACGCATGACAGCCAGATCGTGCTCGGTGGACAAGTAGTTTGGATCGACGAGTGGTGGATCGTCCATGCTCTTGCTTTGCAACGTCACCTGTCCTCTCGAGGTGGTGCTCATTAATACCGCGCCGAGAGTAATCGTCGCGCCGTCCATCGGGGGAGGTGGATGGGGGCTGATCGGAGTTGCAAGGTAAAAGGGCGTGAGCTCAAAGTCATCCGTCCTCTTGCTGGCAACGCCGTCCATTTGTGCTGCCTTCTGGATCGCCTGCGGAGGAGCACTGCCGTTCACAATCCAGTCCATTGGATTTCCCTCGAAGTATTTCGGATTGTTCATGAATTTAGGGTGGCCGAAAGCGAGGCCTTCCTCTGGATGACGAAGGGTATACCAGAGAGAAAACATCGGGTGGTCGTGGAGGTTCTTTCCCACATCTTGCGAGTGGACAAGAGTCTCGATACCGAGCTTTTCCAACTCAGCTCCGGGCCCGATGCCCGACAGCATCAACAGCTGCGGAGTTCGAAGCGCACCACATGCCACAATGGTCTCCTTCCTCGCCATCACCTTCTCCCCACCAGCCAACACCGCCCCAACGGCCTTCTTCCCCTCAAGCAAGATCCGCTCCACCCTGGCACCAGTCAAGATCTCCACGCCCTTCAGATCATAACTATTAGCCGCATGCACCCTGCGATTCTCCCTCCAACTCTCCATCAAAGGCCCCACGCCGAGAACATCCCCACTCGTGATATCTTCATTCCTCTCGAACCCGGCACTCAAAATGGCTTCCAACAAATCGTTTTTCAACGGGTAACCCCGATCCACCAGACTCGGCCTCATCGGTCCCGCATACCCATGCTGCGCCTCCTTGGCGTCCACGGGAAACGTCTCGCTGCGTTTGAAAAAAGGCAAGAGACCTTCATAACTCCACCGTTCGTCTCCAACCACAGCCGCCCATTCATCGTAGCCCTGGCGGTCTCCGCGCATCCAGCCGCCGTAATTCGTCGCCGAACCGCCGCCTAGCGCCCGCCCGGTCTTGAGTTCCAAGCTGCGGCCGCCGAGACTTGTCTGTGGGACGGTGTGGTCGATGTAGTAGTACTTTGGATCCAGCAACCATGCCTGAGCGGGAAGGTGGATGGATTCTTCGCTGCGAATGTCTGATCCGTTTTCAATGAGAGCGATGGAGAGATCCGGGCGGGCTTGTCGGAGGCGTGAGGCGACGACGCAGCCGCTCAGGCCGCCGCCGAGGATGATGTAGTCGAATGTTGATGGGGCCATG